TGCACAAGGGTCCTCCTCCCCTTTGATCATGCACTAATCGGAAGAGGAGTGACGGAGTTGGCGAGACTTGTTGAGAATGATACACGACTTGAATCTCGAAGATGCCCCTGGTGGTGTCGGTAAAGCAAAGTGCAGTCATGCAAGGCCCGATGATATCTCGAGTGCGACAAGTGGTGCCTGTGGTTGGACGGATGGGATACATTAGGTAGCCCCATTGAAAGGTGGAAATGCAGGGATGTAGGGATAGGATGCAAGTTTGCTCTTTGGAATCGGCTGCCCCTGGCTTGTACATGTAGAGACGGACGGCTACATGCCCTCATCTGCCTCATTGCCCTGCGCGCCTTGTGAGTCGTAAGCTCCCCCCATCTTTCGTGGGAAGCAGCATCTCACAGATGAAGCCCTCTCCACCGTCCAAAACGGTTTGGAGTAAATTGAAATTCTTGAAAGGTCGTTAGCGGGGTTTTCTGCGACACTCCCGTACCAACAGTGCATGCATGGCCTCAGACATGCGGTGCCCTTAATATGGGCGATCCCAGCGCTTGTCCCAGAGATATTGGTGGCGCTACTACAGGCCATATAGGCAGGGGGTAATCATGCCCGTTCGGGCAGATATCATTTCAGCTCGATACAACTATGACGGATCAGAGTCGCCAACATTCCGATCCGACAGAGCAAGGTGTGCGTCTTGATTTACTGTACAAGTGCTCCGTACCTCGGTAGGAAGAGTGAAACGCATCGCACCGGCTGCACGAATAGATGGACAGAGCCGTCTTGATAGAATGCCACCAGTCTGGGCCCTTTCCCGCCCTCGTAAACCGCCAAGTGAGGTAGGCTAGGGTCAACGAGGTCGACATCGCTCGACATTGCTCTTTTGGGAAGAAACTTGATAGGTCCCCACTCAGAATCGCGAGAGGAGGGACGGTTGCTTCCGTCAGCCTTAGATCCCATCCCGGACGGCAGTGAATCGGGTTTTGCGGGTTCGGATTGGCGGGGACAACGGGCGGGTTTAGGTTGGTACAAGTCCTTGTACTGTGTGTCTTGTACATCCATTGATACGTCGTGCTCCTGAGTGGCCCAGCTTCTTTTCGAAACGGGGTGACAAGGTAACCCTGGGATTAACATTAGAGTTAATTCATAGTCAAAACGTCTTTTATTCCCCTCCTGCGCCGTACCGTGGGACACTTCCCTAGTATGCACGAGAGCGAAGGCCCTCGTTCCACTTCCAACGTCGTCCTGGACCGGATGCGTCGCTCGCGTCCCCTCGGATGCTCGCTTCAGTACCATGGTGATTTGGTCTCGGTCCGTCAACAAAGGTCAATACCGAGTCTGACCATACCCAAACACGCCCGGCGCAATTGAGCCATCTCCTCGCTCGCGTGCAGCAATAAGGATAATACTGTGCGCTGTGGATTGTTGTGGGTCGTCACAGCAGCCTGCCGTATGAAGACTGAGAAGTGTTTGATCATCTTTTAGCCAGAATCATGGCAGGCGTCGGCCGATGGCCACGCAAGAATCCCCCAACCCCCGCAGCACTTGCGATAACAAGGTTACGCCCAGGGTCCAGTCTGGAAGAATTGGCCAACGGGCCGATTTGGAGCAGAGGCTGTAAGTCTGATTTGATCGGTACCTGTCTCTCTCGCGCTCCCTCGCTCTTCGCAGCACCAGCTCGGTACCGTTCCCCGATACCTTGCGGTGTCCTGACCAACATCCTGATGATGGACAGGATGTGCTGATGCAAGTTGCTTTTGCTCTGGCCATAGGGGTCAACGAGGAAGCGGGGATGGCGGGACGGCTGGCGAGTCGAGGTGGTGATGTTGATGGCGCTGAACACAAGGGTGCAGATGCGATCGGTGTTGCTCGCTATAGGTCGACATGTGCATTTGATGTTCTTTTTGCTCTGTTAGGTACCTTACCTGACCTACAAGTACCTAACTTAGGTACTCAAGGGCGGTAGCTATGTACGGCTGGGACACGAGAGCGATAGCCAGTGCGACGTGAGAGCCGGCATTGCATTGCAGACTTTGAATTACCGATTTCCTGGGCCTTTCAGTGCTGTGGTATCCGGTAGACCGCGCTCAGCTGGCGCCATGTCTTTGAACAATCACCCAAGGTTGTATCAGCGAGCATACAGGGCAGAGGGCTGGCTTCAGTGTCGTACTCCGCAATGTACAGCATCGACGGGAAGGGTCTTTTTCTCACTGAAACCCTGCAACCGTTGTCTGCAGAGCCTCAACAGTTCCTCCCCTTTGTTCCTTGTTGAACCAGGGCAGTCGTTACATTGCATCTTGCCATTGCATCCTTTGGGACGTGCCTGCCACTCTGGCCCGTCCTGCTCCAACCCAAGGTAGCAAGCCAACTTGAGATACCGTGGGTTCTTCCTTCAATGTTCACTTGAACTACCTACTTCAATGTTGATGTACACGTATACGTAATCGAGCTTGGAAGGCGACGATAGAGATACTCTCTTTAATTCCACACCTCTCCGAGAACCGGGGACCTCAGCATCCCAAAAGAAGCAGCAGCAAAAGAAGCAGCAGTTCTGAGCTGTGATGTCGCACCTTCCGTCCCATTCTCTCAATCTTGACTCATGACCACACCTTTTCGTCCTTTCCCAATGGGCAGACCGGCTGGTCTGATCATGCAGGCACTCCATCGTCATCATCGGGAGATGAGCGTTTCATTTTTTTCAGAGTCAACTTCGTCATAATGGGTCGAGTTTGGGGTCATCTCCTCAAAAGGACAGCCCAATGCATGTTGCGTGGCGGGAAGGAGTCGAGAAAAGCGCCTCTTGTCCGCTCGTCATGTCTCACCATGGTCCTTTCTCGGCTCCCCTTTTCGAGTCCTCCTTCTTCTTTCCTTCTTTTTTTCTTTTTGCTCCGGCCTGAGACAAAGCGACCTCGTCCCGTTCTGCGGTTATTCCTTGGATCTGGTATTGTTTTCTGTGTCTCTTGCCAGACAGACGCCACGATGTTGAGCTGTCTAGAGGACCCGAGCCTCATGCAAGTAAAAGTTCCCTGCCTGGAGCTAATGCATGTCAAAATGTCCTTTTAGAATAACGGTCGAAGGAGTGGCAGTCAGCCCTGGAGGGCGCCGGCACCCGACGCCGTGGCCACCCTTCCAAGCCGTACCTGCTGCCAGCCATCTCTCGTCACTACAGAACTGCAAGCCATGCCTGTTTTCATCACCGCGTCAGAAAGCGGCTTTTGGTATGCCGTCACCCCAGGCACTTGGTTCCACAGAACTTTTGTTTATGGCATATGGAGTGCACTCTGTATGTTAGAGACCTCAAACGCCATCCTTCATAGCATCAGCACCAGTTCACATCTCTTTTGCAGCATTTGGCCGTTGCCACTTGTCCAAGATCTGGGCATATTTGCCTCTTCTAGTTGCTAAGCAGAGTGTACCATCCCGATCTTGGTACGATGAGCTGTCACGTTACACGGTTCTAAGGTTCAGCCACTGTGGAATGGTATGTTGAACTTGATAATAGCTCGAACTACTGGGGAAATTCAGCTAATCCCCCTTACTTTGTGTAACCAGAGGATGAGGCCATATACAGACCTGCAAAGCGTCAAGTTTGCCTTAGGGGAAAGGCCTTGCTATGCATGGAATCAGGAGGAGTTCGTCAGAGAGTTTGGCATTTGAACTCAACGTCCTTCTTTCCCGAGAAGCGGGCCGTAGGAGCGTGCAGTATCCGACGAGGACATCCCTGCTCCTGATCGACTTGAAGATGTCTCTCAAGATTGACTTTGTCCGGTTGCTGGTTGTTGGCACTGGCCTTCGGATCAGGTTCCGCATATGTCTCAGTCGTCAGATCTTGCCGTTTGAAAAAGACCATCTAGAGCACATGCTTCTGAAAAGGGGCAAGGGGCAAGGGGCAAAAAGCAAACAGTCAAGTATGTTGACTAAGCACCGTTGGGAAAGCGAAACGCCCCCGGTTCGAATCCCACCAGACAGACACAATTAGGATCATCATCCCCTTGAAGTTGCGTAACTTGGTTGCAAATTGCCCATCGACTGGACTCTCTTGACGACGTCAAAAAGACCGCCCTAAGACTGACACCAAGACTGACCACTAGATATCACCTGTATCTCCAGCGCCGTGTACCATAATGCCACGGGGTCACTTGAGTCTCATACCTTTTTGGTAGCATGGTTTTTGCAATCAGATGCAATCAGATACAATTCCATGGACTGTGTTTATTACATTCTGTTTTAAAGGGTATCGACAGAACCCCAAGAGTTGCACCCCGTCATCCAGGACCGGGTGGTTCTTTGGTAAAGGGGGTTACAAACGCCCCTTGCGCCCCAAACGCCCAACGAAAAGAAATAGGTACCAGAAAGGAAAATGAGCCCCTAGTTTCGCCCGTCATCATCTGCTCATCGCAGTATCCGTTCACTCCGAGACAACCGTACCGCTGTTGTGATCAGCACACACAACACACCACACACACACACACACACACACACACCTCTCCCGCGCTCACCCGAAGGAGCACATGGCCCCATGTGGTTCCTCGCAGCGCGAGTCGGGATCATGCGCCAGAGAGGTGGCTGCATGGGCCTCGTCGGTCTCGACGAACGCCTCTCGCAGGAAGGACACGAAGCTGCACACATCGTCTTCAGTGCTCATCGCCCCGAGACTTGCGCGTACGACCCTGTCAGAGCACGTCAGCTACTGGTCATCAGGGTGTCACTGGCGCACAGCGACCGCACTCCGGTCGGTCGTTCGGTCGGTCGACCGGCACCATACCGGGCACATAGGGGAAAAAGGGTGGTTCAGGGGGAGGGGACTTACCCCGTCGGGAGTTGGTGGATGAGGCTCAAGCCGTCGGAGCCGCAGTGATGCCCGGCCGACTTTGCCCTCTCGAGCTCCCATGGTTCATATTGCAGCGCCGTGAACAGGCCGCCAGGGCAGCAAATACCTAGATGGACAATGCAAAAATGTCAGTTCAAAGAGCCTTCAAGTCTCCGTGATTGGTACAAAGAGAAACTGAAATTTAAGAAGCGAGCGACATGAAGCGAGGAGAAAACGCACCGCCTGATCGCACGTAGATGCCCTTCTCGTTGGCCAGCCTCTCGACGTCCGAGTAGGCCACGTAGCTGCCATCGGCCCTCATGATGTTGAAGGCGACCGTCGCGCCCTGCCGCCGCGGGTCCCCGAACGCGCCGTCGCCGTCGCAGTACACCCGGCACACGGGCTGCCCGTTGCCGTGGCGCAGGGCGGTCATGCGCGCGTACATGCGCGCGGCCAGGCGGTTCGTGTAGCGCGACACGTTGTCCATGGAGCCGTAGAGGCTGCCGTGAACGTCGATGGCCTGGTCGAGCGCCAGGATGCTGTGGAATGGCAGCGTGCCGTCCTCGAGGCCGTCGTGGATGCTGTATGAGGGCGAGGAGGAGGCCGCCGCCCCCGCCGCGTCTGCGTGGTGGTCGGCCGGCGGCGACGACGAGGTGGCCTCGTGGCCCTTGGACTTGTGCCACGCCTCGCCGAGCGCGCTGACCATGGTGACGGTGCCGCCGCCAAAGTACTTGCGCAGCGTGAGGATGTGGCCCGAGTCGCGGCGGACGACGAGCGCGCCGAGGTCGGGGAACCCGAAGATCTTGTAGAAGGAGAGGCAGGTGAAGTCGGGCGCGGCGTCCGGGTCGGCAAAGACGTTGGCCATGGGGCTCGTCATGGCGTAGGCCGCGGCGTCGAGCAGGCTGTACGTGTTCTGCAGCGGCGCCGACGCCCGCAGCTTGCGCGTCCAGGCCAGGGGCAGCCGGCGCCCGGAGAGGTTCGACTGGGCCGGGTAGGCGAAGAGGCCCAGGCCCCGGGTCTGGGCCTGGCCGACGTAGCGCCGCGCCTCGACGGGGTCGGCCAGCCACTCGTCGACCTCGCCGTCGCTGCCGAAGCAGTGGGCGTCGCCGGCGCGCGTGAGCTGCCGCACGCCGACGAGGCTGGTGTGGGCGTCCTTGTGGTAGCCGTACCAGAAGCTGCGGCGCCGGGTCTTCTCGGCCAGGTCCCGGAAGGACTCGGCGACAAACTTGATGCCGGCCGTGGCGTTGGCGACGAAGACGAGATCAAAGTAGCGCGGGTCGGCGCCCAGAAACCTCAGGGCTTTGGCCCTCGTCGCATCTACCATCTCGCCCGACACCTTGGCCGGCTCGTTTGCCGAGTGCGGATTCCCGTATAGGTTGGCCGCCATGTTGTGGGCAAAGCCATCGACGGTCGACCGGGCATAGATCGTCGCCCCGCTGTGGTCGAGGTAGACGCCTACGGTAGCTATCAGCAACGAGGCAAGAGCATGCTTGAAGGAGATTGCAAAAGGGTGTGAGCTGACCATGGTTCATGTGCGGATACTCCCGCTCACGGATCGCCTCTACGGGCAATGCATATCCCGTGAGCAGAGGGTCATGCAGAGAAGATTGGGGTCCTAAAGGTCCATGTGTTATTGGTATGCTCGGGCGAAGCACCGTCATGCTTGGCTTACTCGCACTCCTGGCCGCCTGACGCAACTTTAAGAACGGCGAGCGCCGCCCCTGTCGACGACAGGTCTGGCAGGCCAGAACCCCATGGGCCGCAACAGGACTTCTAGCAGACATGGAGATAGCTAGAAGGGGGGGTATCTCAAGCAGTTGGATTATGACTCTTCCAGCAGCAGTATTGAATCCTCAAGTGAGGAAAAAGGGAAGTGTCTCGTGGGGTGTGGCCGGCTCGGACTTGGACATGTGTGGGTGGGTGATGAAACAAGATCCCTCTTGTTGTAGGCTCATCTGCTTCAGGATGGCATACCGCCTTTATTGGCGAATTCAGACGAGCCGTTTCCATTGCTGCTTCCTTATATGGTCCAGAGTGGCAAGCAACATGGACGTTTATGGCAGTCCCGGGCAGTGCCCCCCCTGACGGCGTCCACGAATGGGATCGGGGCGGAATGCACAGCAAGTGTGAAAGCCACGCAGCAGTGAGTCTCGAGTGTGATAAGGATTGGTCAGGATCGCCATGTGCCGGCATGAGGAGACTTGTCCGGGATGGGGGGAGGTAGGAAAGGGCACACCTCCAGGAAGAGCCAAGACGCCTCCTCGGGGTGACATGGCCTTGATCAGCATGAGTATCTCTCGTCAGGCACGATGCCAAAGCACCTCACCCTCCTGCACTGCAGGAGGGATGGGAGGGAAATGTCGCCTACTAGGCTCAAAGGGGGGACGAGGAGGAATGGCAGCTCGTACAAGTAAAGCGGCCCCCTCACGACAGAGTGCGAGCGACAAGAACGATAGCGACTAGCCAGGAACCTGCACGGATAAGGAATAACCTGGTCCTCAGAGGCTCTATCACCAGCTTCTAGGCTCAAGGAGGGCGCACCAAAAGCTTACTCAGCTCTTGGGGTCACCTTGGGTTCCATTTCGGGCAGTCATTGTCTTCACCATGTAAGAAATAGCGACTCTATGACGACGTCAATGGTGGAAGGGTTGCGTCTCCGGCTCGAGACTGAGCCGGCCTGGCCTGGCGCGTTCAGCTTCAAGCTGCCACGCTGTGACTTGACAGCTGGGCGTCACCGGATGGAGGACTGTCCACGCGCGCCAGAAACGAGAGACGCCCGTACCACCAACAAAGCCACGCGGCTGCTGGACATCTGGGCCAACAGTATCCACCACGGGGGGTTGAACAGCTCGTTTATTTCATCGGCAGAGCCTATTTTGTGCATTGCACCGGAAGAAAGGCGCATGGCTGCTTTCCAGGTGAAGGATCGCGGTCCCGGCGAGCCGATAAGCTTACAAACCTCTTTTCTAGGATCTGATGAGAGACGGGCAACTTTGCGCGAGCACTCGACCGGTGCAGGCGGGGGCCTGGGTACTCGGCAACTGGGTCAGCATTCTGTCCCTATGTGTGTTCCTGTGTCCGCTCCAAGGATGGTTGGGCCACGTTGAGCTGGTGAGGGCATAGCCGCGTCAAGCATGGCCAATGCGAGTGATGTGACGATAGAGACCAACAGTCGGAAAGGGAGGGAAGGGTGGCCTTTGGTCTCGATCTACGACTGCATGCCAGGCCAGAGTTTGGTAGCGAGACGCACCTTATCGATAGCAACAAGCAGCCTCTCCAGGCTGGGCTCGTCTTTGGAGCAGTGTGTCGTACAGAGAGCATACAACCGTACGCCGGATGCAGATTGCATTTGCGTGCCCCCACCCCCTTTGCCCGCGATCGCCTACGCCTCTTGATACTTCCTTGTGCCTAAAGCAGCTCGTCAAGGCAGAGGAAGGACCCGCCGAAGGAGAGAAAGCCCTCACGAAGTGAAACTGCAGGGTAACTATGCCAGTGTTGGCAGTCTCTGTTCTGGACCTCAGACCTTGACGCGGCGCCGAGGGATTGGCTACCCATCCCCAGACCTTGGTCCCGGCACCCGCAGCCAAAAGGCGGGAGGACTCGGAGGGGCAGCAACATCGAACCAACCCTCAACCACATACGACAGAATACCTGCAGCAGAAACCTGCATGACAAGCGCCTCTGGTTTGGCGGGAGGATTGCTTCCTTCCCGCCGCCTGTCAAAAAGAAGCATGTGTCGTGTATCCACAACCTAAAGAAACCCAAATTCTGCAGCGCCCACGTCGGCAATTTTTGGCTGGCATCCATGGTGGGAGGGCGAGGAATCAGGACTCGAGATGCGCGAGCGACTCGGGCGGAGAACCAATCGGTGCAGACAGATGCACGACTGCCCATCTCCAACCCTGCTCTTCCTGAGAGAGAGACGGGAGAATGAAACGCATAAGCTGACGTCCCGCTAGTTGGATGCGAGGCTAGTTCTGCCAGCCATGACAGCCATGCAGCGATCATGGTCCTTTTGCGTTTTCAGGACCTCGTCTTCACAAGTAGGTTTGAGTAACGCAGACTCGGAGCCAAGCATCTCCGTTGTGCGACTCGCTTGACACGGGCCCTGACAGCTGTCGTTACTGTTACTCAACAGTCCGCCTGTCCCGCGACTCTGTCCAGCCTTTCGGTCCGAGAGGTTGGCACCGTTTTTAGAACAGGAATACACAACAGAAAGGACGAGAGGTACCTGCCTCGGTCCCGATCCAGCCTGGAGGTATGGTAGGTATTCTGACCAGGTGCATAGGTACTGCTGAAAATAGGGCAGGGGATGGTGTGGGTGTGCGAGGGCCGCAGTCCCAAGTGACGACGAACATAATCCTCGATCAGATGCAATGCAACACAACCTACAGCCCTGCTCAGCATCTTATTAGCCCAGCACCACACTCCTCCACAATGTGACGATCGAGGAGAAAGGAGATAACCGCAGCTGCGCCGCAGACACGCGGCCGGCCGGTAACAATTTTCCCCTTTCATGCCGCTGAGCGTGTTGCCATTTTCATCATCAGCCGCTGCAAGGCCTTTCGAGGGCTAAATATCTCTCACCTTTCTCGCTTTCCTTGGTCCTACTCTACTGGGTGCGAAGCCATGCGGGAACTCCTGCCCGCCTGCATGCTCGTGCTTGGTGCATAATGCAGACGTCTGCGCACCGCAGCAGCTGAGAAAAGCAAAATATCCATTGTTCGGCACACTCACGGCCATCGACTTGCCCACATACGACGACACACGTACGCCTTTGTCTGTGCGCGCTGCAGCCCAAAGATAGCCGCGACAAGCAACCATCGGGACGGTTTTGCTCGTGCTCGACAATGCCCTGTTGCAGCTGGCCCTTTCCCCATCAGCTGAGCCCATCGCGCAGAGAACATGCCATACTCGGTATGGCCTGCGGCGTGTCTTGTACGACACTGGCGATGGCTAGCTCAAGGTACAGGGATGGAACGGCACCACCAACCAGAGGCCCGACTCTTGCTGGGAAGGGGGACGAGGTGGGCTAGCAAGGCATACACCCTGGAGCTGGCTACGATAGTACGATAGCAATATGCATCCAGTGCTCTCATCGACAAAGAGTCAAACGCCACTATCACCGCCGGCGCCAATGACCAGCGCCCTGGACCGACGTGGTCCACTTCCAGGTGCCCAACGGCACATGAATGCCTCGAACCAATCGGATGAGGGCTGCTCCTCAACTTGCACCAAAGCTCCGCCGGACGCAGCAGCAGTCGAAACAGGACTTTCCAGCCCGGGTGCCTTGCAGGGCCCAGCCAATAAGGCAAGGCGGCAGGTGTGTTCCCTTTCATCACCAGCAGCACTTGACTCGCAACAACACGTCGACAGCAGAGGCGGCAAGCCAATAGTCTTGTCCTGATTGGGAGGCATGTGACGCCTCGTGCGATCTTGCATGAGAAGAGTCTGGCTTCACCGCGCTTGCACAGGACCTCGTGATGCGCCGCCCCCCAACAACACATAGCGAGAGGACCCTTCGGCAGCACCCATATCCGTTGTCACCTCGAAGATGAGAGCGACATATCTCTTCCGGGACAAGGAGACATTGCGGATGTTCAACATCACCACATCCCTGCTCGTCCTTTCAGCTGCCATGACCACACGACGCTCTCACCGCCGGTCAAGCATTCCAGCCGAAAACGACTCTCGCACCGAGAGTTTTGCCCAGGACCTTTTGGGCCGAGGTCCGTTCCGGCATGAAGCCTAATCGATATCACAGCCCCTGGTTTCGTTATAGGGCGCGTGACTCGTACGTACGAAGTACTCCATGAGAACAGGGACAAGAAGGTTGCTCCAACAGACGAGCATCGCTCGACCATGCCTAGACCTGGATCATCGAAGGGAACTTTACCCGAGGCCAAAAAGGCCAGCTCACCTCTGGCTGCGGTGTGCACTCTGCAGCATGACACTTGGCCGAAATCCTTCCCTGTTCGGCGCGGTCATGAAGACGAACTTGATTCTGCACATCTTCACAACGCACCTCCTCTGCGGAGCCTGAGCCGGTAAGTGGTGACTCACAGATTCGACGCTATCCGTCACTTGATATCATCGAAGCCGTCAACAGAATTTCACCGAGGGATATACCGAGCCAAGAAAGTCGATGATACCGCAGCGGCTGAGGTCCAGCGGTCCTGGCGGACCGGGCCGCACGCCACCACTGCTACCCCATATATCAATCCGGGACGACTTGATTATTGTCTCCCCGGGTAGTCACCAGACTTCCGGCCCTCGTTACGGGGAGATCGCGTATTCGGCGGTGCTGATCTGTCACACCGCATCCAACCCATAACCATTACACCATGTCCGACACGATGTCACCTTGTGAAGGACCGCCCTACGCATCATGACACAGCACCAGCTCATCAGTTTTGCTTTCAAGTCCCGTGCGTATCCAAGGTGGTTGTCAGAGGTTTCAATGAACAATCTATTACGAATTGCGGGACTATGTGACCATGATGGCTCTTCTTGACCGCCCAAGAAAACGAACAATAATCCCCAATCCCTCATCAGACTCAAACATCGTCCTTGTGATTACAATTATGTATGTCTGGCAAGTGCCGGACATCTTCTCTGCGGCTGCTGACCCTCTAGTGAAGGTGGTTCCTCTCGCGATTGGTCCTGTTCTCACATGATTGGCCCGTATCATAAAGCCCCAAGTGCCGCTGAATCGTACATTGCCACGAATAATTTTCCCTTCCTCCCATGGCGCAGTCGCAAGGAGGTGCCTCCCTCTCGAACTTTCTCGTTCGTCAGGCTTACAGCAGCAAGGCAGCTGCGAAAAGCGAGGCAGCGCCAGCACCCAGCATGGCAGCCGACTTGCTCACGAGAGAAGCACCGGCAATGGGAATGCTCGACTGCGTGGGAACCGAGGTAGTACCTCCGGTACCAACGGGAACCTTAGTCGTGGTCGTGCAGTTGTCGGTGGGAACGGGAGTACCGGCCTGGACCTTCTCGAAGTTGGCGCACGAGATGCGGGTCTTGTTGGCGAAGTGCAGGACAAAGCTGAGGTTTCCGAAGAAGCCCGGATCGGTATTGAGAGTCGAGGCGTAGAGGTCGGTGTAAGAAGCCTCAAAGGGGTCCGACGTGATCTTACCATGCTTGCCGCTCAGGTCACCGACCTCGCAAGTTTGGGGGGCCTTGCTATCGCAGGGAGGGTCATCCTTGCGCATGTAAGGGTCGATGTGCGAGTTGGCGGCGGTACAGTTGCCATTAGCTGGGACCGGGGCGTTGTGAAGGTGGTAGGCTGCGACGGGTTAGAAAATGGCCACGGCGATGCAAGCAACCAGCTGGGGACTTACTAAACGGGCCGCCCTCCTTGGGGAGGTTCGAGAAGCGCACCTTGAAGATGACGCCCACACCGTCGGGGCTGGCGACGGCCGAGATGGAGCCCTTAGCATTACCGCCATCAGGATAGGCAGACTTGGTGAAAGCCGAGGGGGGCAGGGTGGCCGAGTAGACAACTCCAGGTGGGTTGTTCTTGACGACCGGTGCGTCTCCAAGTTCCTACAAGGGCAGAACAGTCAGCCTAGGACAGCTCACACGCAGATTGACTTGCACAGGGTGCGACATACGCCAGTCTGGGCGAAGACGCCGGCGGCCGCAATGGTGAGCAGGGAGAGGGTGTTCTGGAAGCGCATCTTGGCTGTTTGTGTCGAGAAGATGAGGAGGTGTGGCGTCAAGAATCAGAGTTGACGTAAACTTGTCTTGGCGGGTGAGCTGAGCGAGCGGATGCACTCTGTATGCGTGCCCTAGAGTGAATGTCAGAGCTGATGAGAGACGGGATGGCAGCTGTTCACGAGGCTGTAAGCCCACATACCTGGAGATTATCTAGGATCCTAGGAAGGAAGAGGAAAAAGATATCTACTTTGCGAACTTTGCGAACTGGGAAAAAGAGGGACAGGTAGAGATGATGAGACGGAGGACGAGGAGAGATGAGGACTGGAGGAGAAGGATGCACGCATGCACGAAGGAGGCGGAGGTAATCTTATAATAAACAAGCCATGTCCCACCTGTGCGAGCAGGAGCGGCGATGCAGAGGCAGGCACGGATGGGTGTAAAGCAGGTACCCATTTGGGGAAAACAAGAAGCAGGGATGGTGCTCTGGGCCACAAGCAGTCACCAGTCGGGGCTTGTCTGGGCAAGCACACACCCAATTGTGACTTCCGCTCCTTCCCTGTCCTGCAACGGCGGCGATCGCCCTGAAGGAGCCATCACATCCATCGATCCAACAGGCCAACAGCGGGCATGCAGTGCCCCCCTTCCAACCCTTCCACCCTTCCATCCTTCCACCCACCCACATCTTCACTTTCATGTCATTCCCTCGATGTACGGAGTAATGTACAGTACCTTGCAGCTTCTCTCGCCAATCCCGCACGCCAAGGTCGAGCCAAGGTGAGACAGGCGCCGCTGCTCTGCATCTCTCCAGCCAAGGAAGGAACCTCAGGAGGAAGAAGCACTGTTCATCCATGTCTCTCTCTCATGTCACACCCACATCAGCGGCCCACTCGGTGCAGCGCCAGCTTGACGAGATCCCGCTTCGCAAGCAATAGAGCCAGAGCCAGAGTCCCGAGCCCGAACAAAAATTGGTCTTGATTAAGCTCTTTTCGGAGCTGGTCTTCAAACCAGGCCAATCCTTAACATGATGTCAAGCATGCATGCATGCATGGCGGGTAAAATGGCTCATGTACCTACCTAGACCACGTCCCCACCAGCCCTATCCTCTCCGCAAGCTTGGCATCTCGCCTCTGGGATCTTTCCCTCCAAGCCCTCTCACATCCCAACGTCACGAATGCTTGGCTTTGACCCAGAAAGAAGGGGATCTGCACGTGCCCCGTCTCTGAAATTGACACAGTGGTTGTGAGGGGTTCTTTGCTTTCGGAAGAAGAGTCGGCCGTGCTAGATCCCACATGCAGCAGCGAGAGGAATACGAAAGCAAGAAACAACAAGAACACGACGCAACGAGGGGTCAAAGGGAACCCCTGCTGTCAATCAATGTTTCGTTTGGAACCAACCGACTGGTGCATGTGCTGACGGATGGCTGGTCCAAGCACATGTGCGGAGGAAGCGCCCTTGGGCACGTTTCGATACTGCAGCTAAGCAACAGCCACCCCTGAAAAAGAAAGCCCAGTGGTCGCAGGATGTTGGCCTGTCATCCTCCAGCCTGTCATTACCAGCCCAGCGCTGCAGAACAGCCATGTCCCCCAGCCAGCCTGTTTTCCCCAACACTATTCGGCCCACGCGACTTCTCCTTGAATGGATTTTGTCTTGGCCCATTCCACGCCATCAAGCAGAGTCAAAGTCCCCTCTGATCGACAATCTGATTTTCCTACATTGCTCCGATGAGTGGATGTGTAAAGTGAAAAGGCGGGCATGAAGATGCGGTATCGGGGGAGGTGCCCCCTCGGCACACCAGATCTACATAATGCCACGGAGCCTGGGTACCCCTGTCTTAGCCATTTACAGCAACCCTCATCTCCCGAAATTAATCACCGTCCATAACGGTTGAAATGGACACAGTCACAATGACGAAGAAAAAGCCAACGGAGTTCGCTCTTGTACCAACAACTGGCACAATGCAACTCAACCCATCGGCACTCTGGTCCGGACTATTGGCAAATCTCGATTTAAGGCAAACCCTCGGCTGGAAGAAGGAGACGCTTTCGGACCGTGATAAAACGCGGAGGTGACAGCCACGAGCGTGTTCGGAGAAGCGAACGGCGTGGCTCCGGTCGATCGGCATTTTGGCGTGGCTTGGCTTGCCGGCTTCGACTTTCTTGACCCTGAGCTGAACACAATCTGTTCTATTTTGCCAGCCAGATCCACAAACTGCGCAGCTCGCCATGGCCGGCGTTGAATCTCGTTCTCGCATGACACCGATATCCCATCGAGAATAGCGTAAGACCGCTCGCTACGAGCCAACAGCTCGACGATCTTTCCCATAATGGAGGCGAAAGCCTCCATCTCTTTCATCTTATCTGATCTTTTCCTCCCCACACTTCTGCGAAGCTTGTCCAAACCCAGTATCGCCAGCTTCAGCATAATGCTACGATATACAGCACATTGCTCCGTGCAATCACGAGACTGTCGTCGGAGCTCGGAACAGGAGTCCAACTGGCGCATGGTAAGGATTTAGCTCCCAGAAGCGCGGGACGTGCATGGTCCGTACAGCCATTCCGATCCTACCCTGGGCCGGGTGTTTCAAGCTGCTACGGCCAATGATGCAGGGGCTTGGCGTTTGTTCTCAGGCTGGCCAACAGCGCTTGGGGATCAGCCCCTGCAGCTGATCCTTCCTGACAGTGCGCTGGGAAAGCTCGATTTCCGGGAGGCTGGTGACCACCGGACTAGGCTCGTCTGCCACTGTCACAGACTACCGACTCTCGTATTCTCTGTGTCGCCTTGACAATCGTGAGACCGGGAATGGCTTTGCCGCACAATCTTAGGTGCACGGTTGGACAGGGCGCAATTCTGACCTGAATGGAGGAGCGCTGACGCAACCTCATCTTGCCTTGCCTGGGCCGTAACAACACTTCGATTGACCTAGCACCACAAGCAGGGCTGAGGCGTCCCCTTCTTGCATCAGCCCCATCGTGGTTTCGGAAGAGGTTGGTCCAACGGTACAACGGTGCAACGAAGAGCAACAGATCGATGAGACCCTGGTCGGAAGAAGCCAGCCACCTTCAAAGCGCTTAGCGTAGTGCCCCTTCAGACAGTTGGACCGTGTTGTACTCATAGGACAGGCTGCAAGAATTACCAAGAATTACCCAATTCACAATAGCCGGAGGCAAGAAGTAGAACAATGACCTATTATGGAGATCCACACCTAGAGAGAAGGAACCTCTACTCAACACCAAAGTGTTGCTAAGTCAGCTTTTTTTAAGCCATTAGAAATCATCTCTTTACACTCTACCTTAATATCTCTTGACTGTTGACAATAATCCATGTCTGGCGGGTTCCTGGAGACGAGGATGTCAACTTGCACACCAAATTCCTGACTTGTCTTTCTCTCACCCTTCCGGTGCGATTGATGCTGTAGCTCTAATCGCAGAGGCATTCTGAAGCACACGTATAATTGAGAAGCTAGGCATCTTTGTAGAAACTGAATCACAAAGGTGTGACCCTTGCTTGAGAGTTGGACCTCAGTCTCTCGACAGCTGTGTCCATTGAGCAGCTGTCAAGACACTCAACCCAGCACAGCCAGTGGGATAAATTACGGGTCGATAACATGCACGGGTGTGATTCACTGGCTTATCTCGCTAACCCCATATTTCACGTGCCCGCAATGGCGCGTCACCCATCTAGCTATCGTGTCCCTATCGGGAGCTCCAAGATTCCAGTAGACTTTCAGAATAGCTTCCATTCCACCATTGAATCAGCCAAAGAATCTCGCACGCACCAAATTAATTCGACGACCAATTCTCCCTTTCGACTCTGCCTGCCCGCTCTATATAGCCATCCAGACCGACCGAGTGCAATCTTGTCCTTCGACTGTTGGACATACACAATGGCGCCCAAGCGCAACGCCCGTGACATCACGCCCGCTGCGTCGGGCGCAGCATCGTCGGCAGCCGCCACCTCTTCGCCCGTGGCACCCGTCGCCAAGGCCTCCAAGACGAGTCCCGCCACGGCCGCCGCCAGCAGCGCGCAGAGCTGGGACAAGGTCGTCGTCAACCTCGTCAACTACTACCAGGAGCAGACCCCCCAGCGCACCAAGCTGATCGATGCCTTCATGGCCTTCCTCGTCGCTGTCGGCGGTCTGCAGTTCGTCTACTGCGTCTTGGCTGGCAACTATGTACGTCTCCTTGGAGCTTTGGGAACCCAAGTAGAGTTTGGAAAATGAAACTGACTGATCTGTTCACGTCCAGCCCTTCAATGCATTCCTTTCCGGCTTCTCTGCGACGGTCGGCCAATTCGTCCTGACTGGTACGTCAATAGCCATTCCTTTGTGCATATGAGAGCGATAAGCTAACGTTCAATCTCTAGCATCCCTCCGAATCCAGACCACGGAAGCCAACAAGTCGGATTTCCCCTCAGTATCACCAGAGAGGTACGATTCCCCACCCGGATATCCTGCACTGCTCCGGACCAGCTAATACTAAACTTTCCATCGCAGGGCCTTTGCCGACTTTGTCGTGTGCAGTCTCATTTTGCACTTCTTCTGCGTCAACTTCATCAACTAAAAGATGATTCAAATGGTACAGAGGCATATGAACTGTGGAAGAGCACGGCTCCTGCCGTCTGAGGAGTGGTCTCGTTCCAAGGGATTGAATGATTGAATGGCACAGAAGCCCGGCACGGGCGGTAGATTTGTCACAAATGTACATTTCAAAATGAGCGAATCGGCGTTAGGTCAACTCAAAAATGTGAAAAGAACACCAGTTCTACAAAGAGGGACTGGGCATCACCCATCATGTCATCTTGAGCTTTCTATCAATATTGCAAGCACGCTGGTCTGTATAGTACACATTACGCACAGGAGGGGAAATCATATGAGCACCTAATCCCCATTCTCGCCCTCGGCTGGTGTCGGCGTGCTTGCCTTCGGTGGTGGCGGTCCGCCCTTCGGCGGCCCAGCACCCGCTTTCGGCGGCGGTCCAACCGGCGTCCGACTCCTGTCGGGCGCATTGTCTAGCTCCCTGCTCTTCTTCTCTTCCTCCTTGAGATAGTCATCCATCAAGCTGTTCTGCCCGTGCGCCCGCCGCTCCTTCTTCTTGCTGCGCGGCGGCGCACTCATCGGCGTCGCCCCCACCATCTGTGCCGGCACCAAGAAGTCTGCTGTAGAGCCGGCGGCCGCCGCCGCCGGCACGAACGTGCTCTGGTCGCCGCCTTCCGCAGCACCGGGCCCAGAAACCGTCTCAAACGCACCGCTGGCCGCCGCTGCCATGCCCGCCTTCTCCGAGTCGCCCAGGTCGAACATCATCTCGCCCGGCGCGTCGACGGGCTCGCTCAGCGGGGCCGGCAGGCGGTGCAGCGCGCCGTAGCCCAGGACGCAGCCGAGGGCGCCCTCGCCGCCCCAGTCGCGGCTCGGCTGGATGGTGACCTCGCGTGTGACGTTGTACTCGTTGTTGTAGACCCAGAGCCGCAGGGGCCGGCCGATGTGGTCCTCGACGAGCTCGCCGAGGCCGCTCTCGCCGTGCAGCACGCCCTCGGGCGTGCCGAGGATGTAGTCGCTGTAGGGCAGCAGGCCGGCGACGTCGGCGGGCGAGTTGGCGGGGACGTCGAGCACGTGCCAGATGTTGGAGACGGCGGACAGGGACGTCCACTGCAGGGTCAGGCCGAGGGATGGGTTGTCGGCGGGGACGGGGATGTGCAGAGCTCGTGTACGCTGGCCCTGTGTGGTTGGCAGCCAGGACGTGTGTTAGTGTGTGTGTAATGTAAGGCTTGGTCGGGGGCCGTTGTTCAGCGAGGATATCTCACCTTTGCACTCCACAGGCCGAGCATGACTGAGCCGCCTGCACAGTTGCGGACCTCTTGCGCAAAGAGTCTTGGGTCAGAGTCGTCCTGATCACGGCTCCTTTTAGTCCGGCAGCGCTTAGATAGAGAAGACTCTAGCGATTGCTTACAATCATGCGGCCGTTGATGCCGACGACAAAGTCAAACCAGGGCTCAATGCCGAGCTGGAGGTTGGTGTTGCGCAGGACCTGAAAGCCAAATGCGCCGTGGGACGACTCCCTCTGCGCCTGCGGGTCGCCATCGAGGCGGGATATGAAGCGATTGAGAGCGTTGAACATGGCTATCCAGCTCTTGCATGCGTCAGTGGGTTGGCCGAAGGGATGAGGAGGGTCTAGTCGAAGGGAGGGCGGGGATGTTGTCCGGGAGTGTACTGAAGGTAGATGTGATGTCGTCGAGATAGGCAAGAATGAAGCAACCCTGTCATCAAAAATCCACTTGTACCTGGAGCTACGTAAGGGTGGAGCTGGCCCAAGCTCCCGCACCCGTGGTGGAGCAAACTGGACTGTTTGAAGTGGGCTATTTCCAGTTTATTTACACTATGAGACTATTTATTACTTGTAGTTACTGATTTATCAGAGGATAGAACCTCTCTCAAGTGATTGAGATTTACGTTAACCGCCTTTGGTTACATCATCGCCTAGAAGTTAAAGTTATACAAAGACAAGTGTTATGATGTCTGCGACCAAGAGCGGAACATTATGGAGCTCTCCAATCGCAGTTGCAGTCGGCTTTATGACGGCCCATTCATGCACAGGCTGTTGCAAACTTCCTCTCTGCACAGTCAGTCTGAGCACCTCAGTTTCACGGTTTGTGACCGCGTCTATACGATTCTGACGGCCAATCGCGTTGCTGCTAGACAAGAGTTCGCAAACTGCTCACACGGTATTCTCAATGCCTAATCTCGACCCGGCCGACTACCATGTCGCGTGGATCGCACCACTCTGGATCGAGCATGTTGCGGCGATAAACATGCTCGATGATCAGCACGATGGCTCATTTCCTCACAAAGAGGGTCGCAGGTATCAGGTAACGGCCGGCCAAATTGGCCAGAGCAACGTTATCATCGCAACCTTGGCCGGAGAATATGGCAACGTGACGGCTGCCGATCTAGCCAGCGAAATCCGCATTCGCTTCCCCAGGCTCCAGCTCTGCCTGTTGGTCGGTATTGCTGCGGGCCTTCCTCTGTTGCCAGACCGAGATATTCGTCTCGGCGATGTTCTGGTTGCCGTGCCATCTCAGAGTGATGCTGGAGTAGTAACCTACAACCTTGGCAAGACGACACCTGACGGCTTTGTTGAACTGCGAACACTTGCCCAGGCCGCTGGACTCGTTCGATCGACGATTACCATGGTCCGAGGCGAGTGGGAGGGATTAAGGAGGAGACCGGACTTGGCACAGAAGACGAGATTCCTATCTCATTATAACGAGATCAAGAACTGGGTGCACGGAGTGGAGGTGAAGGGATACCCCAGAGATTTCTCATACCCAGGTCAAGAACATGATCGAGGTCCCGAGGTGCCCATGGCACTCCCAGAGCTTGCAGGTTCTATACCCGCGGCTGGTACAGAAGACAAGGTGGTCGTCATAGGCAGCAAGGGGGAAAACAGGGATGCCTCTGAGCAGCACCCGGCTCGGGATGAACGCACCTGCGTTTGGTACGGATCAATTGGAACGGGAGGCGAATTGGTCAAAGACGCTTCGAGGAGCGCCGAACTTCGAGCCAGGTACGACATCATTGGTCTGGAAATGGAGGCTTATGGAGCGATGACTGGACTCAGCACTGGAGTTATTCGAGGAGTATGCGACTATGGCAATGAGAAGAAAAACAAACTATGGCAGCCCTACGCCGCGGCAAGAGCTGCTGCGTATGCAAAAACGGTCATCATCAGGGCGGGGCATCTCAACCCGGATAACGAAAAGGGCACCTTGGGTGATGGTCAGTCCATCAGGCTCTCCTTAACCACTGAACGGGAACTTCCCCTGATCCACGATTCTTGTCAACAGGACGTCGAATCTGCTCTGTCGGAATGCATAAATCAGCTAGGTCTACAACGGAATGACATATTTTATGCTTCTGAGCCCCCGGAGTCAGCAGACAAGCTATGCGACGGATCAAACATCGAAGAGTCTTTGGAATGGTTCACCAAGAGTCCGGAATTTCAAATGTGGAGGGAGAAAAAACATTGCGCACAGCTTTGGCTCCACAGTCTTCCAGGTGACGGGAAAACTGTCGTCATGTCTTACGTCCGGAAATGTCTTCCAAGATATTACGGGTATACCGAGAAACCGAAAGTTGCGTCCATCTTCTGCTCTTCAGACCATACCGAGGATTGCTTGTTGGCTTCCCTTGCTTCTCAATTCATCAGGAACGACCTTCGGGCGCACACTGAGAAATGCAAAATCAGATCCCGGTCGGGTTCGCAGAGTGATATGGAGTTGACGGTCTATCTGTGGGAAGTACTAGAACTATTGATCACAGGAGTATCTGCCTTCCAAACGGTCCTTCTCATTGACGGAATCGATGCTCTCAAATCTGGCACCAGGTCTTCTTTTCTTATTAATCTCCAGGCGCTAGAGAAGAAAGTTCAGTCAAACACAACAATACGGGTTTTGATCTCATCAAGGCCGTTTTCAGACATAAGAGATGCACTTGCGCATTACCCCGAAATCGAGCGTGGAAAGGAGAGGAACGGTAAAACTCCCGGCACACAAATCATTTGATAAGATTGCTGACTACGGACAACAGAGTTTCTCCACACCCTCTTCTTCAAGGAGTGGAACGCACGAGAAACTCGCATTGAAACAGTAGAGGGAGGGAGTTGGCTTGCGTCAAATCACGAATATCTTGAATGGAACAGGAATGAGCGCTCCAACGTTCTTTGGATAGAAGGCAAGCCGGGAAGTGGGAAGTCTACGTTATCGAAGATCATTGTTCGCCAACTGAAAAAGGAACAAATGGACACTGCTCAGCGGGACCCTCCGGAAGACCAGGGCTTTAGCAGTCCAACAGATTGGAGTACCATCATTGCCGAATTCTACTACAGCTTCCGTGGAGGCATCACCGAGACCAGCCATGAACTCATGCTCCGGTCAATCGTCTATCAGATCTGGAAACAGAACAGCAGACTCTTCCCACTCCTTCAAGCCCGGTATCGACATCGCCTGAAAGAGATGGGTGACAATGAGACACAGGGAAACACATTTTGGAGCTACGACGATCTCAAAGCAGCCTTGCCGTCTTTACACCAGATTGACTTCTCACTAAAAGTTGTCATAGTGATTGACGGTATGGACGAATCTGACAATACTAGGCGAGATGACGTGCTGAAATTTCTGACTGCTCTCTCGACTCAAACAAGCCATTGCAGCATCAAGCTATTGATAGCAAGCAGGCCCGAGGCCAATATCAGATCATATGTAGCACAGGTTCGCCGAATTGTGCTTCAGAAGGAGAACACGGAGGATATACGTAAGGTGGCTGATGCCGGAATCGAGAAGCTCAAAGGCCTCAGCAAAGGGTCATCAGTGTTGCCATCAGAACAGGATTACGACCAGGAATTTTCCGCAATCGAAGCTTACATTGTGGGAAACTCACATGGGGTTTTCCTGTGGGTCTCCCTGATATTGAGAGAGTTAGTGAGGCTTGTTATTAAAGGGGGGTTCACCATCACCTCTCTTAACAAGCGAGTCCGCTCGCTCCCCAAAGATTTGGGTGGACCAAATGGCTTCTACAGAGCAATGGTGGATTCATTGCTCAAGCGTGACGATGAAGAGGAAGATGCAGCAAAAGAGGACCGAGACCGAGGACGAAGGATATTTTCCTGGGTGACCTTCCCAAAACGGCCTATATCGATCTTTGAATTAAGGGATGCCCTCGCCATCCCACCCCTATCTGAGCATGTGGAGCTATCGAAATTCGATCTTAGGTTGAACAGACCTCAAAAATTAGAGGACGGAATCTTTTCATATTGCGGGGGGCTTGTAGAAGTGAGTATTGTTCCAACATTCGACAAGAATGAAACTGACAAGATCACTTATAGGTGCGAGACACGTATCCCGACAAGATCGTGCAGCTTATACATCAGACCGTTAGAGAGTTCCTTCTGGACAGGAACCACTTAGCGAAGCCCTTTGATATCGACGCACTCAGGGGAGATACAGAAATTGCCGCAACGTGTTGCCGGTACATACGTATTGCTTTTATAGCAGCAACTCCTCAGGCCGAAGCGGATGAGCACTTTTCACTAGTCGACTTCCTAACGAGTTGTCTTTCGGAGCTTACTCTGCTGAAATACTCGCTGACAAACTTCACGGCGCATTTGGATCAGCTGGGACATGAAGGCGAAGAAATACGAAAGGAATTTGAGGTCTTCACCGCGGGCCTCGGAGCCAGCCCGACTTCATATGCCTCTCTCCTTCTTTCAAGATGGGTCGAGTCGCTGACCTGGCCACGGAAGTTACGTACGGGTGTGAACGCAAGGGATGCGATGCGATGCATTCAGACAGCACTGACCCACGCTGCTGGTGCTGGAAAGAATCGGACCGTGGAAATTCTGCTCGCTCTCCGGGCAGATATAAACCGCCGTGACAGGAACGGTACATATCCTCTGGCAAATGCGGCTGCGTCAGGTCAATTGTCCACGGTGACACTGCTGCTCGGCAGCCGTGCCCGCGTCGGCGCAAGGGACAGCAATGGCCAGACAGCTCTATCACGGGCCGCCGAGAACGGGCACGAGGACATCGTGCAGCTTCTCCTTGAGAGGGGCGCCGAACTCGAGGGAGCGGACCTTAATGGCCAGACGGCTCTATTACGGGCCGCCGGGAACGGGCACACGGCCCTCGTGGATTTTCTAATCAAGAAGGGTGCCGAAATTCAGAGAACAGACAAGAGGGGCCAGACGGCGCTATCACTGGCCTCTGCGAATGGACACAAGAAGACCGTGGAACCGCTAATCGGAAATGGTGCTGATCTTCAGGCAAAGAATAATATTGGCCAGACGGCGCTATCACAGGCCATCGAGAACGGGCATTTTTACATCGGAATCCTGCTAATCAACAAAGGCGCCAATGTTCATACAAGAGACATTGATGGCCAGACGGCACTAACACATGCTGTCAAGAGAGGATCCACAAGCATGGTGTTTGTGCTGCTCAAGAACGGCGCCGGCGCCGACATCCAGGTGGAGGACCACAACGGCCAGACGCCGTTGTCACAGGCCCACTCGAGGGTGGCTTGGCTGCTAGAGAAACATCTAGCAGCTGCAGGATGAAAGCTAGATGGAAGTATCGAGGGCAGCCAAACATGGGCACTGGCAGGTCGTGTCACGGTGAAAGATACAAGATAGGCGGCGACCCGTTGCCGTATGTCGATGAGGAATGCCACAGTGCCGTCGTCAAGATATAAGGCAATTTCCATTCCCAAGTTTGAGATAGCCTAGAAAGACAGTATGAGCGGCGCATGAGGTTTTTGGTGATGTTCACATTCTTCTGTTGATTAGTCACATGTGTAGTGCAGCATAAGCCAAAAACCACTCCTTGACCCTTGGGAAAGTCGATACAGTGTATAATTAGCTCTCATGGCAACTACCTGGTAGTGAGGACGGCCAGCAGCGGTACCTCTCCTGTACGCCACGTAAAGTAGTAAGGTCATAAAGATGAACTTAGCTCAAACACCTCTTATCAACCCCAATTTGGACCGCGACTGTATGTGCTTGACAGACAGGTTGAGAAGGCACAGGGATTTTTGGAAAACGTAGTGAAAATCAAAGCCTGGATACCTCCAGAAGGGCACCCTGTCGGCTGGCCTCTGAACAAGCGGTCTTGCCTGCATCACAGAGCGTCAACTCAAACTGCAACTAGCTAATTATGTACCTATCTTTGCCGGGCTTTTCGCCAAAAGAATGCATATGCACCTGTACTATTCTATGCACCGTCAAAGAGGAAAGGGTGCCAAAATTCTCTCTGGGGCAGGAAAGGTGTTGTACCTTACATACATACTACCTAGGTAGTTAATAGATCTCCAGCTCATGGCCAGTAAATACCTGTAAGCGTGTACCCCACAAGAAATTGATATCACCATACACGATCCGACCCACTGAAAACTTGCACTCACAATTGAGCTGGAACTCAACGCCTCATCGAAAAGCTTGATGTTCGCTGACTTTCGTATTTTCTCGCGGATCACAACCCATTCTCATGGCACCAACATCCAGGCTCCAGTGAGAAGTAAGTAGCAGAAACAACAACAACAACAACAACACTCTAAAAGACCTGTGCATCACAGAGCATCCTCCAAGCCGGTTCTCATCTCATCTGAGAGACCCCTTCTCATCATCATGAAGCCCGCCTCCAGGCTGCCACTTACCTCCGAGTGCCACCACTACTACGACATTGGCGAGGTACCCTGGGACATCCAAAAGTTAGTCGTCCACTCCATGACGCAATTCTCATGCCATGCTTTCACGTTCGGACGTCTAACTAACTCTTTCCTCCTCCCCGGCACAAGATACTGGCACCAGCGCTACTCCATCTTCTCCTACTACGACGACGACGTGCAACTCACAGACGACGCCTGGTTCGGCGTCACCCCGGAGCCCGTCGCCGCCGCCATCGCCGCCGACCTCGCGGCCCGCCAGCCCGCCTCCCACACCACGCTCGTCGACCTCTTCGCCGGCGCCGGCGGCAACGTCATCGCCTTCGCCCTGTCCGGCCGCTGGCAGCGCATCGTCGCCGTCGAGCGCGACGCCGCGACCCTGGCGTGCGCCCAGCACAACGCCGAGGTGTACGGCGTCCCCGACGGCCTCATCACCTGGGTCCACGGCGACTGCTTCGAGTACCTCCGGCTCCTACGGCGGCAGCAGCAGCAGCAGCAGCAGACTCAGCAGCACCAGGAGGGTGAGAATGAGGCGGCCGAGCTGCTGGCCCCGGAGCTCCAGGTCGACCCGGCCTCGACCGTCATCTTCGCCAGCCCGCCCTGGGGCGGCGTGAGCTACCGCGACCAGGACGTCTTCGACCTGTCCACCATGCAGCCCTACAACCTGCGGCAGCTGCACGATGCCAGCGTCCCCTTTGAGCACGCGTTGTACCTGCCGCGCACCAGCGACCTGCGCCAGATCGCCAAGCTTGTCCCTGGCGAGACCAAGGTTGACGTCAGGCAGTACTGCATGGAAGGCGCAAGCAAGGCCATGGTCGCTTACATCCCGAGCACGACAAGTACGTGAAAGTATGTCGTATTTCGAAACTTCTCAGCAACAACAAGAAATGGTATTTGCTATATAAACCGCTACGCTTTTTCTGCTCAACTTCTACATCTATTTTATAATGCCTTGACGATGGTTCTCTCGTCAAAAAGGTCCTTCAATAACCCACTCAGGCACACCTCCCCGTCAAAGGGGCCCATTGCATATGTAGACTCGAACGCATATATGCTCAACTGGCTAAAGAACGGCCGCAGCACCTTGGCGACCAGCTCATCCTTCCGCTCGAGGCTCACGTCATCGCTGATGCCGCACCCGCCCAGCAGCGGCGTCCGGCGGGAGCTAGCAGCCGCCATCGTCGCCGCGTGCTCCATCTGCACCCCGCTGGTGATCATCACGGCGCCCAGCTCCTCCGACAGCTCGTCGGCCAGCGCCACGGGCTGGTAGTTTGCCGGCCTATACACCGCGTCGATGGTGTCCGTGACAAAGAGCCACTCGTGCAGCTGGAAGTCGTCAGGGGCCGCGCAGATGAGTAGGTCTAGCAGCTTGCACGCCTGCATGATGGAGGCGTTGTTGTAGGCGTCCGCGGCAGCGCTGTCGTCGGGCGCAATGATGGACGTCACGGCCGCGTGCAGCTCGGCGTTGATGACGGGCCACAGGGGCGCAAGGTGGATAGCGCTCGTCCTGAGCACGAGAGCGCGCACCACCATGTAGATCTCGGCGCGGGTGGTCGATGATGGAGACGAGGTCGACGACGCCGCGAGCAGCTCTACCAGCTTGTCGAGAATAGCCTCCAGGTCCGTGACAAATGTGTCATTGGCCGACGCCAGGATGAGCATGGCCACCCTGCGCAGGTTGAGCTGCGTCTTGCGGTCGGCTTCGAGCCGCGCCGACGTCGCGCCCACGCCGAACACGATACCGGCTGTGGTCGGCGGCGTCATGCGGGCGAGGATCTCAGGCATTCGCTCCTTGTCGCTTACGGTCCACTGCCGTATGAGTGGCAGCCAGTCGCTCTGCACTAGCGACAGCCGTGAGCCGAAGAAGCGGTGATCGTTGAAAGCGTCCGTAACGTCCTTCTTCCACGCCTTTTGGTTGTTGGGCAGTCGCGACAGCTCCTGCAGCAGGACCAGGGTGCTCTTGGAGACGCTATCTGGGAAGGACTTGGCCCGAAAGGCCGGCCCGATGATGCTGGCCGAGATGGTAGTCGCGGCAGTCAGCACCCGGTCGTTCTCGACCAGGATCTTGGGCAGGTTGGGCACAATGGACGAGAGGATGCCTACGACATCGTCTGCCCTCTCTGACGGCGCCTGTAGCTGGCGCGTCGTTTCCATGGACTTTGCCTTTTCCGACTGCGTAGCGGAGCTGTCGCTGAAGTTCATCGGCCTCGTTGTGAAGAGGGCGGTCAAGAGGCGGAGGAAGAGATCCTGTCATGTAGTCAGATATGCAATCCAGATCAACGAACTCTCAGATGACTTACCCCCAACTCGCGACGCATTCTCCGTTGCTCCCCAAAATTGGTATTATCCACCTTCTCTCCCAAGATGGCCGTGAACTCAATCAGGCTTGGCAAGGTCTGGCGGTGCGGGAACGGGTTCCCAAGAAGGTCTCGTAGGAACGTCATACAATCCTGCCAGATCTCGTCCATGGTGTCGTCTTCGAGCGATCTCGCGTAGTCGACGAGGAAGATGACAATGTCGGTGTCCTGCAGCTCGACGGTCAAGGTAGATTTCCTCGACGGGTCCAAGGCAGCCGGGTTCGTGCGGCTGTACATGGCGTTGAATATGGCGGGGATTGTGTGCTTCGGTCTCGAGCCGTCGAGCACCGGCAGGAGATTGAAAACCGCGCCGTGCTTGGACGTGTCTGACGAGTCGAGGGATGTACGCCAGATTTCCATGACCGTCTCTAGGCATTCCAGAGTTTCGGCAGCGAAGAGGTGCTCAAGGAGCCGTCTCGCGCGGTTCCGCATGCGCAGTGATGTATAGTTAAAAGAGGCCGCCGAGCTCGCGTCTTGCGAAGCGCCGTCGCTGCCCTGGCCCCAGGACCATATCTTGAAGCAGATTCGAACAGCGTCTTGGAAAGCCAGGAGCACCGTCAGCCTGTCATTCGCAGTGGCGCTCCTTGTCTGGGGCGCGTCGGCCGAGAAGATATTGCCAAAGAAGCTCTGTGGCTGCTCCGGGTTCTTGATCATCTGAGCACGAGCTTCCTCGACCAGCAGCGCCTCGTGCCCCTTGGCGAGCACCTGCTCGAGGGCATTCAGCAGGCAAATGAGAGTGGATTCGGGGACGCTGAGCTCTTTGTCGATGACGGCGCCCTGCCGAAATGTGGTTTGCAAACCCGTGAATGTAGAATTGATCTCGGTGCACAGAGTCTCCACTAAGGGAATGAGCACTTGGAAGATTGAATCCGTATAAAGCGGCAGGCATCCAGAGAGAAAGGTGACCCAGCTTTCGAGGACTGGACGGCTTGTGCAAGAGCTCAACCCGTCCTGCAAACACTTGAGTAATAATGGCGGAGGCGGCACCAATCTAGGGGGCTTCTCATCTGTCAACGAATGCCTGACAGGCTTGGTCGGATCGATGCTCATAGCCCGCTGCTTCTCGCGCGGTGGGGGCGATGGAGGCTCTGGCACAAGGATATCACGAAGCTTGAGCGCCGCAAACACGGCATCTAAGAGCAGGACCTGCACATAGGGGTCTTTGCCGTTGATAGCTCGCATGAGATGCTCCAGGAGAGCGTCTTCCAGTCGCAACTTGGCGAGTACCTCGGCATATGGGCTCAAAAGAATCTGATGAAGTACGGTGAGCGCATAGCGGTGAAGCTGCGCTGTGCGACCTTCCTGGTCACAATCGGGCGATTCCTCACAAGATATACATCTCATGCAGATCTGCAGGAAGAACTCCTGGAAGGTGATGTCGGCATCCGAGCCGGCTGCCGAAGTCAGTGACTGGCGACACACTCGATACTCTGGAAAGAAGGCGACCTACTGATCTTGGAGATGCTAGAATGGCCATCGCCAGCGGAGAGAGTACGACGCGCGAGGATAGCATGGAACGAATCGGGCGCCCAGCGAAGCACGTTGGAGAGCGTTCGTAGGTAGTAGATGCCGAGATCAAGGTCATCATCGCTCGTCAACTGCCTCGTTCCGTGAGCATCACCCTGTTTTGGCAAGTGCAGATAGTCGAGTGCTAGGAAGCGAGAAGCAAAGATCAGAAACATCCTGCGAGTCCATGTCAGTTTCCCGTAGCCTTGCACGCCGCATGATGGACATACTTTTCAACGCCCATAAGGCTGTTGAGCCACGTCTTGATATTCATGAAGAGCTCCGTTCGCTCGTCGAGGAGAGCGTCGAGCGCAAGGAAGAGTGGCCTGCCCAGCATCACCTCATAGTGGTCCACGCCAGCCAGTCTGGGGAAAGCCTTCAAGTCCGCATTGGGTGTTTTGGGCGTCCTCCGGTCCGAGCTGTGAGGGTTGTCTTGTAGAGTATGTGACCACAGGACACTGAAGCGCCGGCCTGAGTCGGCTGACCGGACAGCGAATGTACCCGCCACATTCTGTTCGATCATGAGGGTGGACAGGGCTGCCTCGACCTCCCGACTGGAGGGAGAGAGTGCGGTCTGTAGCTGCCAGAGACTACGGACCGTCTCCACGTGGTACTTGGGTTCTGCACTGGATAAGAAAGACCAAGCGTGGCGTACGAGGGGTGTTACAAGCTCCAACAGTTGGTTGAAGGTAATGTGGCTGCTCGAATGGAGATGAGTGGAGAGGGAGAGAACGGAGGAATAGGTGGTAAAAGGTAGTGTCGTGCGCTCGGACAGGCAGCGGCTCAATGCCGAGAGCAGTTGGTCAGAGTCAAAGGGCGTCCTTTGAGGAGTCTTCCCCAGGAGCAGCATCAAAAGACGACTCTTAGTCGCCATGTCTGAGGCCGTGTTCCGGTCGAGAAGGCATTGAATATTCAGGCTGCAAGCCTTTCGCAGCAAAAGCGACGCGAGGGTATTTGCCGTGTATGGAGGAGCCGAAGCATCAAGGTTACCTTGATCAGTCACGTAGAAAGTCTTGATTCTCTTCAGCAGATCGGCGTTGGTCGGAGATGTCGCCGCCACAGTTCTACCGTCCCCTGCTTCTGGACTTTTGCTAGTTGCATCGCGGAAAGCACGTTCAGGGATGAGCTCGATGAGGTCGCTACCAACGGCGAGCGCCTGAACTTCCAGCAATTGAGGCCGGGCCGGCTCCTTTGAGTCTTCGAGCATACACAGAATTGACAAGGCAGTTAGCGGAGCATGAATGGTGATCATCTCCTCCTCGCGGATATTGAAATGTCTGATGATGAACTTGGCCAGGTCCAGCTTGTCGCTTCGCTCAGAGCTAGTTAAGTTGCTGGAGCCGATGGCCTGGGCCACCAAGCTCAAGATCTCGCCGTAGATCAAGCCACTCTCGACGCCGTCGAAAAAGACGCTCGCGCTTCTGAGAACCTCGCTGAACTCGGCCTTCGATGAAGCCTTTGTTTTGAAATGCCTCACGCTGTCTACGATCGCGAGAAACACCTCGGGTACGACGAGACCACCAATTTCCCACCGATCCATGAGAGACAAACATATTCGATACGGTCTGGCTCGCTCTGCGGGTGGGCTATCCGGTATAGCTCGGATCATGGCTAGTAGAGCACGGCTGAGAGGCTGTAGGCCATACTCTTCGAAGTAGCTCGTCTTGGTAGAGAAGTACCCGCCACCATGCTCCGTAGTTGCACCGGGGCTGTCCAACGCAGCATCCAGGTCTTGGGCAGAAGGTTCAGGGCCCAATAACCAGGCCCACAAGCGTCGATTCAGGCTCATTTCTCGTCGTGTGACTACGCCGACAGCTGCACGCAGTAGCAGTTCCAGATCTGCAGGCTTGACACGCGTCTGCAGGACTTTGGAGTGCAGAGGGAGGTGGGTTACGAGAAGGTCAAGGTACCCTCGCTGGATGAGCAACTGCTCGTCGGCCAGACCTGCCGCAAAACACCGCAAGAGTAGACCAGGTTCTGGGGAGGTTACCAGTTCCGACAGCTGCGCGGTCAAGTCATTGTCGAAGCCATTTTGAGCCTTTGCGCCCGCTTTGTGGGACTCGGCGCTGCCGAGCTTAGGAAGATAGCGAACCAAATACGCCAGGGCTCCCAGGCGCCTGGTCTGGCTTGTGATTGAGGCGAGGAAGAAGCACTGCCAGAAAAAGTCATCGCCGGTGGAGTGATCGCGCGTGATGTCCTCACGGCCTGGTGGTCTCACAGCAATCTTGAAGCGCTGTAGCAGCTGCATCGTGCGGTCGAAATCCTCGGCCGTCTCTTCCTCCAACCCAGGCAGCAAAGCTAGTACTATTGACTTCAGGGCTGGCCGTAGCGATCTTGGTTGTACATCGAGGAAGTACTTCTCGAGGAGGTCGAGGAATGGCGTCCGGACGGACAGGGAGGCAAATGACAGTGTCGCTGCCAGCCCAGGCAGGTAGAGAGGGAGGTCATTGGACAAGCCGTCTTTACCGATGATGGAAAATACGCAGCTGTATACTTCGAGGGCCTTCTGATGGACACCAGAGGGAAGCGAGGGGTTCAGGCATTGCGACAGGCGCTTTGCGACGAGAGCCTTGGAGGGTAAAGTCGTGATAGTTGAAGGCCTAGATTGGAGGGCCTGTCAACGTCACCAGTTAGCGAGTTCCCCGTTAAGGAATATAGCCCGTATTGACACACCTTGAGAAGTCTATTCAGGAAAGATATGTAGTCTGCCCACTCATCCAAGGCCGTCTCGAACAGCGTGAGCGCCCTGTCTATGCTGGCCGCGAACTTGCGGTACGCCTTGTCTTTGGTCGGTTTCTCCTCTACAGTCGCGCATTGTCAGCGAGGGTTCAACACTGCAGCGGATTGAGTCTGTATTATTACCACTCCCAAGCTGGTTCCTCCATTGCCGGGGAACGGGCGAGTCTCGTCCAGAGCTCTCTGGCGAGATGGAGCGGCGCGGCACCCCTGGCTCCAGCGACATGATTGCCGTTTACAGCTCGACTTGTGTGATGACGGGAAGCACTGAACTCATATGGCTAAAGTTTCTCTATAGTCATATCTTGTCTTTCTCCGGTAGAGGGCGCCACTCCATTGTCTGCTGCCTGTTGTCGGTCGATACGCTCAGATTGCTTGTAGACAGGCGTCTCGTTGCATGGGCAGAAAGGTGCAAGTAGAGGTACGTACCTGCCACCCCAGGCGGCGTGTCCTCAAGGTCGCCCGTAAGACATGTACTTTAGGTACGTCAGGGCATGCAGGCAGCTAACTGGAGAGCTTAGCGCGTCCCCAGGTGCTACTGGCCGGTGCTGCGGGACCCTGGACGCGCTAGGCCTGCCCCTCGGCAAGGCTAGTAGTGCAATCGTTATCGCGACCTTATCTCACCACGCGCACAGTGTTCGCGACATCACCTGGACTTTGGCAGCCATTACACCGCCAGGCGCCTCTGAGCAACATCACTTATACGCTCGCCCTTGACTCTTGCTCATGCTTATGCCCATACCTATGCAAATTCACAGTTGAAACGGACAAGCTCTCTGCTGTCCATCTCGTGCTGCGGCTGGGAAGCTCATTATGGATCCCGAGAACATCGTCATTGCCGCACAACCCGATCACTCGCCCTCATAAACTCTCCCACGGGCTCCAGGAGCCTCCATCGCACACTTTAATATAGACGCGTTAACAGACAATGAAAGGCCTGGAGCCTTGGAGTACACAATGGTAAAACAGAATGATGCTGTTGCAGCTCCCGGCGACAGCAATGAGGACATGCCTCCTCCCCCGCTCCCGCCTCGCCAACGGGCAAGCACCGGTGATGACACCCTCGGCGTGGACTCGGCCCCGCTGCAGTCCAGGGCCACCACGGCGATATCACCCATTGATATCCAGACACTGTCTTTCCCGGACGGCTCGCGAGGGACGTTCTCGACGGCCAGCACCAAAGCACCGCCGTCCCCAGCCCATATTGGCAGCGGCTACACCTCCCCCAACGTCCCCGGTCTCGTGCCCTTGAATAGTGAGAACTCGGATTCGATGAGCATCATGAGCTTCGCGCCTACGATGCGGCCTCCGGGTGACTTGGCAAGCCTGGTGGCTGGAGACTTCAACCGGAAAAGCCGGGCCTGGCAGCTTCTGAGGTCGCAATCTGCTGCCGTCCAGCCCTTCGAGAGCAAGAGATCGGACGGCCCAAAGCGACTTGTTGATTTTGAGAAGGAGTTTGCCCCGATCCCGGATCTGTCCGAGGATAACTTAGACGAGAGCTCGGACGACATCAGGCTGTCGCTCTGGAAATCCAAGCTCAAACACTATATGATACTGTCATCGGCCGGAAAGCCGATATGGAGCCGCCACGGCGACCTCAGTCTCATCAACTCATATATGGGCGTCGTTCAAACGATCATCTCATTCTACAAGGAGGCCAAGAACCCCTTGCAGAGCTTTACTGCGGGTAACGCCCGTTTTGTTGTCGTCACAGAAGGGCCTCTCTATTTTGTCGCCATCAGCCGGCTGGGCGAGAGCGATGCCCAGCTTCGGGCCCAACTCGAGGCCTTGTACATGCAGATCCTGTCGACGCTGACGCTGCCGACGCTGACAAAGATCTTTGTGAATCGTCCCTCCACAGATCTGCGCAAACCGCTGCAGGGCACGGAAACCTTGCTCTCCTCGTTGGCGGACAGCTTCACCAAGGGCTCGCCCTCTGCCCTCCTCGGCTCTCTCGAGTGTCTGAAGCTGCGCAAGTCGCAGCGATACGCCATCAATAACGCCTTTCTGAAACAGAGGACCGATAAGCTCCTCTACGGGCTGATCGTGGCGGGAGGCAGGCTCGTCAGCGTCATCAGGCCCCGGCGCCACTCTCTGCACCCGAGCGACCTGCAGCTGATCTTCAACATGCTGTTCGAGTCTGGAAGTATAAAGGAGGGCGGCGGAGAGAACTGGGTTCCCCTCTGCCTTCCGGCTTTCAACAACCAAGGCTACCTATACATGTACGTCAGCTTCTTCGACGGGAGCCCATCTGGCGACCAGGCAGAGTCCAAGTCACCCTCGGTCGCGTCGCCGGACGAGGCCGTGGCCATCATCCTCATCAGCCCGGATCGGGAGAGCTTCTTCGACCTCAAAGAGATGCGCGACAAGGTCGCCGCGCAGCTCACCAAGAACGGCAGCCTGGCCATCATCGCCGCCGCCGCGCGCGCCGGGCGGCCCCAGCCCTCGGACATCTCGCCGGGGACCCAGCTCAGCCACTTCCTCTACAAGTCGCGCGCCAACGTCCAGTTCGCCATGTCGTCCCTGGAGCCCGCCTTCGGCAGCAGGGGGGACCCGGACCTGGTCGGCCGCCGCCGGCTCATGACGCTGTACCACCAGCTGCACGCCGCCGTGCACGCACGGCACTCGCACCTGCGCATAATGCACTGCGCCGGCGAGGACGCGACGAGCCTCGCGTGGATCACGCCCGTCTTTGAATTCTACTGCGTGGCCGGGCCCAACGCCTCGCGCGCGGCGATGACGCAAGGCGCCAACAAGATTGTACAGTGGGCCAAGAAGGAGGAAGAACGGCTGTTTATTATTGGGGGTGGTGTGTTTTGAAAATGAACTGGATGAGCTGGTTGATGGTGGTGGTGCAGATTGGAGGTGGTAGAGTTGCTTGTTTATATTATACCCCTGAGTGAGAGTAAGAAACGCATTCGCAATCGATATCAGTCCCTGACCACGCGCGAGCCAAAGACCCCTTATAAGTTCTAATATCGGTGTCTAATTCTCAGGGGGGCGGCATGTGGCGGCTTGGTCGGCTGGTCAAGTTCAGGTCAATCGTGTCGTCCTGCGGTGGACTAATCATTCCATTTCGGGAAGGGGAAGTGGAAAAGGGACAAGGAAAAGGGGGAGGACACGGGTTCGAATCACAACCACGGAGCAAAATCACCTGAAAGGGAGATTTTCGAAGCATACCACCCTCCGGGCTGATATGCGAGTTTTTTTTTTTTTTTTTCTCTTTTTTTTGTTACTTTGCAAGTACGCTCAGCAGGTCCCACCACGTAGACTCACTTGAGGGCGTCGGTCGCCGAACTCCCCTTTATTATTCTAGTATTCTTTCCTTTCCCCTAAGTCTACTCCCTCCGTCTCCCAGGCCAGTCCTTCATCACCAGACACCTGCGTCCTCCATTTGTTCGGAACACTGCGCAAAAATCCAGTCCTGGAGCTGGGATGGCAAGAGTAAAAAAAGTGACAGTGTACCATAACCTTTCCTCAGGGTCCCTCAAACCAAACTGTGCATTGAAGCTGTACCTTGACTCGAAGATCTGAGTGCAAGTTAGACCTATATTTATCTAATGCGTAGACTATGCCTATGAGGAAAGTTCATGTTGTGCAGAGTATTAGAATGCACCGTGGAAGGCTCTGCTCCAAACCGCCAGCATCTGGTGTGCGAGAATAAGCCTACAAGGGTATAAGGCAGCACCCACGTTGGCTGCAAATAGTAGAGTCAAACAAACAATAACATGACCTTTGTTTCGCATCCTTTCCAATCTCGAATCAATACGCACTCCCAAAAGTTGAGCGAGGCACCAACGAGTCTGCCCGTCCTTCCCAAGCCACAATGTCCCAAAAACAACGAACAGCAGAATGAACCCAAGCAAAGCAAAGATCTTGGAGGTTTGGTCTATAGCTCAAGCATGCTATGATCTCGTCTTGGTCGACACAGTGCCTCGTGTCCTTCTGACATATGCACTCACGGCGGTTCTCGCTCCCTTGACCCATTTCGAGATGCGTGTCCGGAACCTGATAGCACGACCCGACTTGGATCTCCTTGGCACCTCGAAACCCAGGCCGCTGGCCGCACTACCAGTCGTGGTGATTGAAGTCCTTGTAGGGGTTACTGCCACCGCGTCCGGGATCAGCTCCGCGAGAGGAACAGGTTTAGGGGTCTTTCGGATGCCACTCGTGAGATGCGTTGTGTTCGTGGCAAATCCTTGAAGCTCATGCCGGAGAGTTAAGGGTGTTTTTTGGTGGCTGCCCCGGTGAGAAGTGTTATCACCGTCAGCCGATGTCAATGGGGTAGAGCCCGGATGACTGTCCAAAGAACCTCGGTTCTCGGGGTAGTCTGAAGAGGGCGTAGACATGCTGATGGGGGTGACTGGCGGTATGCTGGGGGCGACACCCCTTTTCTTACGGCTTGGGCGATCGGACTTCTGGGAACCCGGCGTTCGAGGTTGAGTGATTGCTGAGCTGTCTTGTGACTTGAGCAAGTACTCAGGCGGTGCATTGACCAAGTTGGTAATCAGACATGAGCCATCAACAGCAACACGTCGTCTCACAGTCCCCGTGCTGGCGATCAGGTTCGTCGAAGGTGCGTCATGCACAACAGCTTTGAGCCGCAGCTTTGGCTTTCGGGTTGATGATTCTAAAGAACCCTTCTCTGCTCGTATACTCGAACTCGGTGTGATGTCCGGAGTCGACAAGATCTTTTCTGGACTTGGATTCGTCGATCCAGTGGCACAAGCAGCAGATGACATCGACGTTCTCAGACGCAATTTCCGCCTTGAGATGGCAGGATGGTCTTCAGTGTGGGTCTCATTGTCTTCGAGCTTGCTCTCCAACTCCGTGCGAATCGGCTCAGCATTGCGCGTAGGCGATGTTGCGGGCAACAGGAAAACGCAAGCCGGCGATGCAACGATAGGGAGATCAGCTCTGCAGTCTTCGGCAGAATCTTCGTGCTCCGCAAGTTCTGCATCGTGTCCGGGAACCGGTGGCAAAGCCTTCATAAGTTGAGGGATACTATTCTTTACCCGAAGCTCTTTGGCGGGCGAAATCGGTTTTGGCGCCAGCATTGGGGTTTGGCTGCGAGCACTTGAGTCTTGCGTAGTCGGCACCACGACGACGTCACGCCGGTGCAGACTATCAGAAACATTGCAGAATCTATACTGCTGAGGACCCGAAGTTGCTTGATTCTGAACGATACCATGCTAGAGTTTCGCAGAGATCGGTGTTCCAGGGTTGTGCGGTTGTGCGAAATCCGCTGACAGGCTGGCCTGCAACTGCGCACCTTCCGTGGGCGTAGGTTGTGAGCGAGACAGCGACGAATGATTCTCTCGACTCCGGGATGGACTAGCATTTCGTTCGGGCTGCGTGTGTTCGTCCTCCGCCTTCACCAAGAGAATCGAGTTCCTGCTCTCCTCTGCGATGCCGCTGTCATGATCAGGAATAGTAGATAGACTGTATGTTCGAATCGAAAGCTGGTCTTCAGGATCTAGAATTTCCGCCTGCTCGCTATGAATCGTCGTCTTCCCTGGGCTCTCGATTTCGACTTGACGCTCCGGTGACTTGGAAGTCGCCGTCATATCTGTGGGTGAATCATACATCTTCGCAATGGTTCCGTTGTTTTGGGAGACAAAAGTACCGTAGTGGTTATTGTCAAGATGCCCTTGATGCGCGGTAGTCTGTCCATGAGTGGCGTCCTGGAGAGGCGAACGCGCTTGTACATGCCTTGCCCTCGAAACAAAGTGGGCGTCAGAGGGCTGGAGCTCTTGAGCATTATGATGATTGTATGAGAGTAGCTCGTGAGACCCTGTTCTAGCCTGAGCCCGTATAGCTACCAGACCGAGTCCAAGCGTCTCGAGTTGGTATGACTGGTCCTTGAACTCTGTGCTGCTGTCCTCTGAGGCTGGCTGTCCCAACGAGCCTCGAGTGAGTGGCCATGGTGACAGATCGTCTGGCTGACCTCCCGAGCAGTCGAATTCCTCGGAATAGTCATAGTAAAACGTAGCCGAAGGCACTGTCGACGATTCCCACAAGTCGTTTTGGCGTCTTGGTTGCACGACTGGGGTTGGGTTCTGTAGCCGACGTTCTCGTTTATTCTCATGTTCATGACCCGTCGCATGGACAGTCTCACCGCCGGAGAAGCCACCATCATCACATGGACTCGGGCGCACAAAGTAAGGGCCTAGAGAACCCGCGCCTGGGAGTCGATAAGGACCATTTCGTAACGACAAGGGCGGTCTTCGGCGAGGGGATTGTCCATAACGTGGCCTATACAAGCCGTGGACAGTTCTCTTTCAAAGACTTGTGAGCCATCTTATCATCGTGTTTTAGGTTTTTAGGCCGAGAGACTTACATAGGAAACCCGATCAATCTCAACCATCCTACTGTAATCGACCCTGCCATTCTCCGTGAGAGCCGGTGAAGCTGGCCGTACACCCGGTCGCTTGAGCCGAGTCGGGTAGGGAAATGGCGAACGTGGACGTTGTAAAATGCCGCTGCTGGCTTGGCTGAACAGAGTTCTGTCTGAACCTTGGCTACGGAGCCTTCTCGAGACTGAACTTGTCATGGAGTAAGACCTGAGGCCGCTACCATCGCACTGGCGGGATAGAGAGCTGTAGACAGATCTCTGGCCCTCAGATCCGTACAAGGACAAGATCTCCGAGGTTGTGTCTCGATACGAAGGCAAGAGCAGGCGGTCGTCCCTTATGGGTGGAGGGATGTAAATCGCGGCGTTTGACGACTGAGAAGCGAGGGCATCCGACCTGTCAACGGGCTTCGACCGATGTACTCGACGAGAGGTATGTGACTTGGGAACAGAGCGGATAGTGAAGATGCCTATGTCGCCGGTTTCAGTTGTTGTCTTGAGCATGCTCTCAAGAGGGCCCGGCGAGGCCAGAAAGCTTGCGTTTTCGCTGACGCTTCGCAGCGAGCGGCAACGGCCATGGGATCGGTGTGGTACCATTTGGCCGTGCCGACCATGGGAGGAATATGCGCTGTGAAGGGCGCCATGGCTAGAGGATCGTCGGGCTGCTCGTCGTTGGCCCTGCATCGGGATCGCTCAAACCCTCGGTTTCTTGTGGCTGGTCCCGACAAAACATAAAAGCAAAGAGGAGGAGACAGCAGGATCCCAAGCAAGGCAGCAGAGTGTTGACCCTTCAGCAAGCAGTCGACGTGCACTGACAGGAGTTGACGGGTTTGGTCAAGCTAGAAGCGATGTTTGTCGACTCGAGAGCAGTTCGATGCTTTTCGGCCATTGACACTTTCAAGGGAGAAGGCAGAGAGGGGTTGCCATCTCAACAAGAGAGGCAAGAGCGTTTGCAGCACTTGCTAAGCCTGACTGCCATGCTCCTCTGCAGTGGAAGGAGCTGGGCAGCGAATTATACTTTGAAGACAGTACCAGGGCGAGAGGAAGCCGCCCGCGATCAATTAAGATCAGGCGTGGTGCTATGAGCTTTCATTGCCAATGACTTTCATGATCTCTGCTGCCCTTCTCAAGATATGGCTTTGCCCTGTCGAGTTCGACCGGTAGGCGTCCCAATGCTATATCTTTACCTAGGTACTTACTGGAAGTATTGGAGTGGGCATAGAGGCCATGTCGATTGTTTTCTCCTATTTCGGCCTCAGTGGATCGTCTGCTGCCAACTATTCGGGTTGAGAAGTTCCTCCGGAAGTTTGACAGAGCTCCGAAAGGTGAGAGATGTCTCCAGACGGTCAGCTGTGTACGCACTTCGACAGCCAGAGAAGAGTCCTGCGATGCCATCCGGCCAGACTGGTCTAAGTAAGAAGCGCCGAGCTATCTGTAAATGGAAGTGGATAGCGGGTCCTCGAGATGTACAACTCCGTTCATCTGCACGAGTGAGCGGCATGGCATTCCCGAATGCTGAGGGCACCATGCATCTGCATGGGTAAGCTTGTGGGGAACTGTCCGTTGCTTACGGCTCGAGTCTCCGCAAACTGATGGGCCACGACGCTGCGAGTACATCCCGCCGAGCTCATGCGAACAGGTAAGATGGATGGAGTTATGTGTCCTCTGTAGTCGGGGACTTTGAACAACATCATTGGCAATGAATTGAATATCCAGATATCAAGGGCAATGCCGACATTACACACCACCAACTACTGCCCTTGTGTGATGGACCGAAAGGGCTGCCAGTCCAGCCCCATTCCTCCCTCGACTCCTGGTGAAACACTCGGAGACGGGGTTGTGAAAAGGAAGAGAGCGTCACAGGTAAGTAGGTAGTTATGAAGACACACGAGGCTTCCTCGATTATGCTCTCTCGCTGTCGTCTGTGTGAAGATACAGGATGAATAAACCATGGTTTATTGGCGCAATTTACACGATCCAGGGTTGTCCTGCAAGATGATATTGTGCTGCTGGTGGACCCTCGACCGAGCCTCTTTTGCCGCCTCAAACTCCGTGACACCCTCCTGTACCTCCATTCTACCTAGTTTCGCCGAGTAAGTAACTATGGTAACTATGTGTTCCTCCACCAATTCGGAGGAGAAGGCCATCCACAAGGACCTCTGGCCTCGAACAAGGCCGGCATGTTGAAAAGGTTTGCCATTGTTGGATAATTACCTACCTATAGGCAAACAAGGGTCGATGGGCTGAACTCAAAGTGTACTTTCCAGTGACACTTTCTTCCAATAGTTGGGTGGAGATCTTCAACCTTCCACCTTTTGGGGACTCTCGGGAGTCAGGCCAGGGGTATTTTTGGAGAAAGTCGCCCCCACTAACAGCCATGGATCCGATGGCCAGGGCCCAATCAGGGCCAATCAGCCTGGTGAGGGCGCCAGGGGACCCGTTGCGTGCCACTGTTCCCCCAAGCGGAGCCAAGCCAAACCCGCCCTCCGCCAAAAAAGACAGGTGTTCTTTGAGAGACACTGACCAAGCACCACCACCAGACCGCCACACTAAGTAGCGAGGCGTGCAAGGTAAGCTTAGAAATGTGATAGCGATAACGCAGGCGGGCTGGAGAACACCTTGGCCACTATTCAAGCACACACGCACCTCTCCTCTCAGCAACATTTCTCCCATCTGTCTCCAGGGCAATTGCTTAAAAGGAAGACATCTCCACTTCAAGCACCATTTGCCATACCCTTTCCCACCTTCCATTTACATTTCCGCATCTTGTTTCTTCATTCTTGCCGTATTTGATTCAGCTGTCCAGAGAGGTAAGCTCAGCTCCCCAGTCTCCGTCCCCGTCCCCATTTGAAGCTTAGCTTCAGTCAAAGAGGCGACCGTGGCTTGGTGAACTCGTCTCCGGCCTGCTCTGCTCTGCTTGTCTCGCCATCGTCTTTGCGTGCCTGAACTAACATTGGCTTCTTCCCTCCCAGATCTCTCGTGAGGAATCAATATGCGTTCCGTTCAGAACTTTGCCTGGGGCCTGCTCGCTGCGGCGACCGTCGCTGCTGCTGCCGACTCGGATGTCACCCAGCTGACCAAGGCCACCTTTGACGACTTTGTCAAGACCAACGATCTCGTCCTCGCCGAGTTCTTTGCCCCCTGGTGGTAAGCTTACAAACCTCATTTCCCACCTACATTGTATCCCGTGTGAACTACAATGTATCCTTTCTCCGGATCATGTAAATAAACAACAAGCTAACCATGGTTGTCTTCTTAGCGGTCACTGCAAGGCCCTCGCCCCCGAGTACGAGGAGGCTGCCACTACCCTGAAGGAGAAGAACATCAAGCTTGCCAAGATCGACTGCACCGAGGAGCAGGATCTTTGCTCAACTCACGGTGTTGAGGGCTACCCCACCCTCAAGATCTTCCGTGGCCCCGACAACGTCTCTGCCTACAAGGGCCAGCGCAAGGCCAATGCGTAAGTGTCTACCTAGGCAATTTGCATTTCCATTCCACATAGCATCTGGCTGACCCAGACTGTCCAGCATCACCTCGTACATGATCAAGCAGTCCCTCCCCGCTGTTTCCCTCCTGACCAAGGACACCCTCGAGGAGTTCAAGAAGGCCGACAAGGCTGTTGTCGTTGCCTACTTCGACGCCTCCGACAAGGCCTCCAACGAGACCTTCACCCAGATCGCTGACAAGCTCCGTGACAACTTCCCCTTCGGTGCCAGCAACGACGCTGCTCTGGCCGAGGCCGAGGGCGTCAAGGTTCCCGGTGTTGTTCTCTACAAGGACTTTGACGAGGGCAAGTCCGTCTTCTCTGGCAAGTTTGAGGCTGAGGCCATCGAGAAGTTCACCAAGACCGCCTCCACCCCTCTGATCGGTGAGGTCGGCCCGGAGACCTACTCGGACTACATGTCTGCCGGCATCCCCCTGGCCTACATCTTCGCCGAGGAGGCCGATGAGCGCAAGGAGCTCAGTGAGGCCCTGAAGCCCATCGCCGAGGCCCACCGGGGTGTCATCAACTTCGCCACCATCGACGCCAAGGCGTTTGGTGCTCACGCTGGCAACCTGAACCTCAAGGCCGACAAGTTCCCCGCTTTCGCCATCCAGGAGACTGTTAAGAACCTCAAGTACCCCTTCGACCAGGAGCTCGAGATCACCCACGACGCCATCAAGAAGTTTGTCGATGACTTTGTCGGCGGCAAGATTGAGCCCAGCATCAAGTCTGAGCCCATCCCCGAGAAGCAGGAGGGTGTTACCGTCGTTGTCGCCAAGAACTACAAGGACATTGTCCTTGACGACACCAAGGATGTCCTGATTGAGTTCTACGCCCCGTGGTGCGGTCACTGCAAGGCTCTGGCTCCCAAGTACGATGAGCTCGCTGCCCTGTACGCCAAGTCTGAGTGGAAGGACAAGGTTGTCATCGCCAAGGTTGACGCCACGGCCAACGACGTCCCCGACGAGATCCAGGGCTTCCCCACCATCAAGCTGTACGCCGCAGGCAGCAAGGACGCCCCTGCCACCTACTCTGGCCCCCGCTCCGTCGAGGACCTGATCAAGTTCATCAAGGAGAACGGCAAGTACAAGGCCGAGGTTTCGGAGGCTGAGGCTGAGGCCGAGACCCCCGTCGCCCCCGCGGCCACCGAGTCTGGCAAGGAGGAGGCCAAGGAGACCGACGTTCACGACGAGCTGTAGGTTGGTTGATGAGTTTTGGTACTGGTGCAGAGTCGTTTCCATGCCTGTATGATTCCCGGGTTTTGCATTACATGATCAAATCGTATGAAGCGGGAGCACCCTTTTCCGGGCTCCAGGATGTTTGGAAGACACAGTCAATGAAAAAGAAAAGTCGGACTCAGGATTCATGGTAATGATAGTGGGAATGAGAACAAGTTAAGAACATATGCCTTGATTATGTGTATTTGCGTTCGCTATGTGACGTGTGTTGTTGAGTCTGTTTCTTGATCGTGCCAACGCCTAGACGCTTTACATGATACTACTACGTGAAGCTCAAGGAGTCCCTACTGGCGAATATCTAGTTATATGCTCAACCCGCCTTTGATTGAGAACCAAGAAGCAATCAATGTGGTGTTTCTGGCCTCGATCTCTCCGTCTTTTTGCAGCTGCCTCATCGTTCCTTTCCCAGTTTCCTAGTAGAGTGCTGAGGTGGTCCGGGGTCGGGTGTGCACTCCTGCATTTTGGCGCTAGCTGCCGCCGCATTGCCGAAACCCACCCAGCCAAAAGAAGGTCCCGTGCGCCTCAAGTCGTCGTCCACTACGTCCACCTCAAGAAGGACGAGCCCATTGAAACACCTCGTCCCCGCAAAGAAGTTCAATTGTTCCCTCAACCTTGACCCGACACGCATCTCCAACACAACAGAGGTCGCACATCTCAATCCCCAGAGAGACCATGGCCTCGAGAATACTCGCCTCGGGCGCGCGCGCCCTCTCCTCCCCGGCCGCCTTCCGCCCCGTCCGAAGCTTCCAGACGTCTGCGCAGCGCCTCGCCGACGCGGCGCCCCTGCCGCCTCGCAAGCCGGTTGGAGCTTTCCGCGGAGGGTACGTAGCTACATAAGATCAACAGGTTTTCTCGGCGCACTTGGCGGTGCGCGAGGGGTGGGGGGAAGAGCGTCTATCAGAGCGCAAGTCAGCTAACCGTGCTTGTTGCGCAGCCTATTTGGTTTCCTTCTCGGCACCACGCTGGCCGGCAGCGGCGTCTACTACTACGTGCTCCAGGAGTACAAGGCATCCAACGAGCTCCTGATGGAGGATATCTACGTATGTACTCGCCGACTGCACGGACTGCCGGGGCTCGCCCTGTTTGCGAGCTGGGTTGGCGTGCAAGATGGGCTAACAATCACTTCTCTTCGATAGACCCTGCAGCAGGCGACGCAACGCATGAGCAACTACCTCGGCACCCTGGAGGAGAAGGTCGAGACCATGGAGCGGAAAGGCAAATAAGGAGTTCGTCACCACACAGAGACAGAGCAAACACACGGGCGAGGGAGCGTGCCAATGTCCATGTTTCTTTTTATGAGCGCAGGGGTTTGTGAGGGACATCGCTCAGGGAAGATTGGCAAACTCTTGGTTCGGTGACTGTACATTATAGCGTGCTTCGCAGCAAGAGGCAGATGGGATTTAATACGTCCTTTTGCAAGATACTCGCTCTCGGCGTGATCACTTGAAATGGAGAGTGCAAGAGTATGGCCTGGATTCAAGGATCTGGCCCGTCTTGTTGCCCGTCTGCAATTGCCGCTGCTAATTGCCCTTGTATATATGAGCCACCCTGGCACAAACCAACACCGAGTACAAATTTCTGGCCAAAAGAGTATGTTGCTGCAACAGAGATGAGCGTTGAAACGGCGCGGGTAGATAGCTCATTAAGCTTTCCAAAAGCTCAACCTCAAGCTCATGATCGCCACCCGACATCAGAGCTAGATTCTGGTCACCTCTGGTTCGACCAACCATACGGAGGTGTGAAGGGTAAGTTAATTCTGGTAACCCTTGTACCTTTCCCTTTCGAAAAAGCTGGTTAATGTTTTCACCCCCTAGTCAGGTACACAAATTCGACACTCGGACCACTGTCTATGAGGTCACGCTGGTGACACGGGCCCTGGTCAAAATGAAAAATACCTGGCAGGGGGATGAAAACTTTCACCTGCAACCTCCAAAAAAAAAAGTTCCTTGGCCAAGCAACCCCAACGTCAACCCCACACACTCTCTTTCTTTGGCACGCTTACTTTGCATCCTGTTTACGATACAAACCAAGACATAACAGCCGCACAATATGTCAACCAACTTTGGCGTCGTCGAGCTCGCGAGCACGCGCACGACCAACGCCCCCGGCTGGGCCTACGTGCCCGACGTCTCCATCCAGGCGGCCGCGCTCAAGCAGGGCGGCGGCGGAGGCAACCGCAAGCGCGCCGCGCGCAACCAGCCCAACGCGAGCCTCTCGGACCTGACGGCGCGGCAGGCGACGAAGGTGCGCAGGGAGCTCGAGGCCCTCGACCGGGACAGCCATCGGGATGCCAACATTGCCATCCCCCCGAGGCCCGGCGGCGCCAGCAGCGCGAGGAGTACGTTCTCAGTCTGATCAACACTGAATGATGGAGAGTCGCTGACATCAAAGTGAAAAAACAGCACAGAACAAGCACACGCCCAACGTCCGCAAGATACTCATGTCGCAAAAGACCTTTGCCAACCACCTGGACGACTACTTCGCCATGCAGGCCCTGCACGACGGTAACAACAGTCCGCACCCTGCAGCGCCCTCCTCGGCCGCGACGACGACCGCGGGCTCACGGCGGCCCGCCGCCCCTCCTCCCGGCACGGGCGGCTCGTCCGGCGGGCCCAGCAACAAGAAGAAGAAAGTCGCCGCCGCCACATCCGCAGCAGCGGCGACAGAGACGGCCGAGGACACGCCCATGCCTGACGCCGACGCCGCTTCCAGCGCCGCCGCCTCCCAGGACGCCGCCTCGACGCTCCTGGCGCCCTACACGGGCCGCATGCCGCCGCCGGGGCTGGGGGACGCGGACCCGCTGCTCGCGAGCCGGGTGCCGCCGCTGCCGACGGACGAGGAGCTGCGGGCGCTGCTGGCGGCGCCCCCCTTGGCGTACGGGGAGGCGAGGGGCGAGGTCGGCGGCGGCGAGGGCCGCCGGCGGTACCCGGGGCGGGTGTTCTGCGAGGTGTGCGGGTACTGGGGCCGGGTGGCCTGCCTCAAGTGCGGGACGAGGGTGTGCGCGCTCGCGTGCCTCGAGGTGCACCGCGAGGAGTGTGTGACTAGGTATGGGATCTGAGAGGTGTGTGGTGTGTGGGTAGGTGTATCATATGTCTCAAAAAGGAGAGGAAGAGGGAGAGGGAGACGAGGGAGAGAGGTGTAGATTCCGGCGTTTTTGGACTTGGCTTATTGAGATACCCACATGAATAGAGCTGCTGCATTTTCCATCGTCAAGGCATCAAATCACTCGCACGTAGCACTACATGTCATGCCTAAGGCGGCTTTTACCTACAGTGGCTACCATCGCTTACACGGAGAAACAAAGTGGCGTATGTTTACACACTTATTTCGTTTTATTTTTGCAAATATGTACGGTGAAACTGCCAAGGTAGAACAACTACACTGACAAGGATCGATCGACCACCAGGTTGGTCGTTCTTGTATCTCCGGAAGACCTGGCCGGTGGTGTTGTTTGCCATCAAGGCGATACATCAAACCCGCCCCCCCCCCTTTTTTTTTTTGTCCTGGAACACACAGGAGCAGCCAACATAGAATTGTCCTTCTGCCAACTCAAAAGAAAGCCCAAGTCTTCAGACCTTTGGAGCTCAAGTTGGCCAGCGACCACATCTCGTCAAGCCTTCTCCTGCACACACATCACATACACCCTCTACCTTCTCGCCCTCACGCTCCCCCCGCGTCACCTCAGCGGCTCCGCGGGTTATCCAGCGTGAACTGGACGTCGCCCTTGCTCGCGCCGCCGGCGCACGTGGCCTTGAGGCTGCCCGTCGGGCACACGGCCCGCGCCGCGCGCACGCACTGCTCCCACCGGCCCTTGGAGATGTTGATCGTGGCCCCGCGCTCGACGGCGCTGAGCGAGAACTTGGCGCTGCCCGACGCGCCCGTCGTGCTGGTCGGCGCCCCGCCGCACTTCTGGATCGAGCCCGCGATGCCGCCGCAGATGCCCAGCTCGGCCACGTTTTGGTCGTGGAAGACGATGTTGCTGTTTTTTTTGTTTTTTTTTGGCCGGTGTCAGTTTGTTATGTATGTATGGTGGGTGAACTGTCTGGTCAAAAGGAGCGGGAAGATGGGGTGTTGGGGGCAGCTCAGGGGGGGTAATCATACACTTTGGAGTTGAGGCACTGCGTGTTGACCACGGCGGCCGGGTTGACGGCGGTCGAGGCGCGCATGTGCAGGACCTCAAAGTGCTCCAGGCGGACGGCGACGTGGGGATGGCCGTGGGGCATAGGCCGGGCGGTGATGCCGGTGAAGGCGAGCATGGCCGTGAGAAGGACGGCCGAGGACACCATTTTCAAGACTTGATGTGACTTCCTCTCTCTCTCGTTGGATGTATAGCTCCGGATGTACAAAGTGCTGGAGGCCGTCGCTCGGGTATTGCAAGATCCTCGACGTGCCGATACCGCAGATAGTCCAGTCAAATGGAGAGACGTCAAGCCTCTTGGGCTCGAGCTGAAAAGGAGATGTGGGATAGAGGAGATGAGGCTCCGTCAAGGACCTGAACAAAGATCACAGAGAAAGGGGCCGAACTAAAATCAGAGAAGAAAGGAGCGATCACAGATCGAGCAGTGCTATAATAAAAGAGAGAATTGGCGAAGGCCAAAGAATGGAAGATGCACTTGACACACAGTACGGATGATCCGTACAGCAAACCCGTGAGAAACGACACGAAAAACAGAGACAAGAAGTAACAGGAGGTTGGAACGCTCAGTTCCAACTATATCGATAGACCCAACGCGAGGAGGCAGTAGAAGTGGCTCCTTTTCCTCCCTGCGAAGGCCCCCCCCCAGCTGGCCTTTACCAACAACAGCAGGTACAAGCCCTCGCAAGCCAAGACTGATCTCCTGAGGATCTTCTGCGACAAGCGAAGTCCACAAATGGGGTTTGGGACGAGGGCCAGCCTGCCATTGGCGTTGGGGTCCCTTCGGAGGGCCCGGCTGGGAGACCGAGCACGTCCAACCCCGGAGCAAAAGCATGCACAGCACGCAAGGCCCTCAATCAATCCCGCACGTTTCTATCTCTGTCCTGCAGCTGCTCCCCTGGCACTGGACCTCATCATGGGGAGATCCCGGAAGCGCTCATGCGAGCGGCGAGACGACGACGAACGATCCCGCCCGCCCGTCCCATGCAGGAAGCGTGGGAAGCAACAAGGAGCGAGAGGCTGGTGAAACGACCGACGGATGGAACGAATGGCTGTACGGTGTTGGCCCGGGGGGAGGGCGTACCGCTAACCGCAGTCTGGGGGAGGCTGCCCTGCGGGCCAATCGCTTCTTCAGATGAGATCTGGGCTTCCACGAGGAATCGCTGATCACGGCACCCTGGCGTGCAGATCCTGCGACCGGGACCCGCCGCCGTTTTGGGCAAGTCTTCGAGGTTGATGAAACAGACCCCAGTCTGGCACGGCCTCACCCTTCCACCACTCACAGCCAACGTCACTTGTCCGAGGGTGCTCACTGATGCCGAAGAGCGCGGAGGGAAAGGTTTCGAATGCTTCTGTGGAATGCAGGTGTTGGAAGGGAGAACGTCGAACTGTGGTCCAATCGCATCGATCTGCATTTGCAAGCCCCTCTCCTCGCAGGAAGATCAATTCCTTCAACTAGGACCCGTCACAAATCATGACGAAGACGCGCCCGACGTTTTGTGAACAGAGTAGATCGCAATTCTACAAAGTACAGTCGTCATGCGCGCGAGTGAACATGATATGTCTCGCGCTATCAACCCAGGAGCAACCAGCTAACCGTCTAATACCAACAGCTTCATACGCTCAAGATCACCCATACATACCGACCAATGCCCGGACAAATTACGAGGATTCTCTCTTCATCCCACATAGCCCACAGACCCCGCAATCGCCAGCATTGATGTAACTACTGCCCTGGCATGACGGACCTTGACAGGTCCAGCAGTCCGCTACCATCTGAGGCCTCAGGACATGGGCACACATTGCACAGGTCAACGAAGCCTTGTCATTCCCGAAGCTGCATATCGCACATGACTTGAGAGCCTCGGCCTCTGGAGGGGGGTTTTCAGGGTCATCAGGCTGAGCAGTGGTCGGCTCCTTGTCCGGTTGGTGTTGTGCTGGTGTTGAAGCCGCTGCCTGCAGAGGCTTTGTTCGGACGGGCTCATTTGATTTAAGCTCCAGAGACTGTGCAGGTCTTGTCCTTGAAATCTCAGGCGTGGTAGATTCCATCTTGGGTTGGAATGACGATTGCAGTTCCAGTAATTCCTGCTGTGCATCCTCATCGTTCGGGTTCTCGTCTTCACAGACCTTGACCATGCCGTGACCCTTCTTGTCAAGCAGCTTCGTGCCATCGATGTCGAGAGCATCTGGTCCGGGAGACGGGCCATCGTCTTCTTCGTAGTCGCTCTCCGTTTCTGGCTCACTGGCTGTCTCGTCATCGTCGTCTGCTTCTTCCTTCTGCCGAGACGCTTCTTCCTCCTTCTTTTGCTGGTCGAACCGAGCCAGTGCGGCTGCTGCCCTCAACTCCCTGCCTCTCTTGCTGCCCGCGACCCTGGGCTTGCTGGCGACACTCCGCCCCTCCAGCTTCTTCTTAGCACCCTCGTCCTCGCCCAGTGCGACGCCGTTCGCTCCAAACTTCTTGAGAATGCGCCTCTCCTTCTGCTCCTGATAGCTGAGCGTCTTCTTGGCCTTCCTCTTCCTCCGGCCCCGCGACCGGTACGTCCCGCCGCAGAGGTGCTCCGGTAGGCCCTCGCCCACGGAGACGGTATCCCTCTCAAACTCCCCCGTGCTCAGCAGCGCGCCGCGCCCCCACATGCCCTCGCCGGTGTACCCGCGGGCCCAGAGGGTGCGCATCTCGTCGGCGTACCTGTTGCGCACGGCCCAGAAGGCGCGCGAGTGGTTCATCTGCACGCAGTGCGCGAGCTCGTGCATCATGACCATCTGCACGTACTCAAAGGGCAGCCAGCGGTGCCGCGCGCCGAGCGGCCGCAGGACCAGCTGCACGACCTCGCCCGCGTTGAAGTTGCGCCCCACGAACTCGCGGTTGGGCTCGTACTCCTCGAGCGTCATCACCGAGAGGTGGTGCTCCTTCATGATGGGCACTGTTTTGCGCCAGGTCATCAGGACAATTCCAGCCCGGGTGCTTTGAAACACTTACGGCATTGCGCAGCGATGCGCTCGAGAAAGTCCTGAGCGATGGCTTCGTCGGGGCCTTTGAGCGGCTTGATGAAGACGATGCTCGGGTTGGGCTGTGACTTCTTGGCATTGAGCCTCTGGATGCCTACAGGCATCTTTTACTCCTAACTGTATGCCGTACAGAATAGACAGAGGTCTCTTGTGGTGGCAAAACAGTAGGTAGCCGGCCCGTACTAGGCAGTCTCAAGGAGGATGCAATAAAAATGCCAAATTTAGGCTGGCAGTGCTGTCTGCTTTCTGTGGTTGGAAGAGAAATGGTCTGGTTTGCCACTCGGGGATCGTGACTATTGCGAAAATGTTCGCGCCTACCTCTGGAGCGTCAATGACACCAAGTCAGGTGATGGCCAACATAACTGCCTTGCACGACGTCGTGACTGTCACTCCAGACATTTTGTCTAACAAATAGCAGAGCTTCCTGCACGTTTCCTTTGACTGACTTTGATATATATATATATATTGTCGCTTTTTATTTGTATAGCATCCAAAATCGTCCCTCTTCCTTTACCTTCTGCGCCCGGCCCCTCCCGCGGTAGCTGTCTCGCCCCTATCAGCCAGCGACACCACCTCGCCAATGCCCGCAGCCTCCTGCTCCTCCTCGAGAGCCAAGATCTCTTCTCTGCAATCCCACCACTTCTCCTCGCTGAGCTCAAACGCCTTGGACTTTATCTCCTTGACCGACAGCGACTCGGGCTTGATGCCCTTCCAGCGTAGGCTCGTCATGAGAACCTCCTGCCACTCGGCCGTCGTGCGTTGGAAGAAGTCTCGCCGCGATTCAAATGGCTGGTGCATAGTTAGCGACATGGTTATGAGAGGAGTTGGATATAACCAAGCAAGGTCAGAAAGACTTACCCTTGGATGTGGCAGCCCATCGTCCTCGGCGGTATCTGCTTCTGTCTCGTCCTCTTCCGATGTCCCCGATGAAGCAGTCGATCCCGAGGACACAGAAGTCTCACTGCCAGCAACCGATTCCTCGTCCTGCTGCTTCTTCTTGCGTGCGCTGGGCGTGAACTTTCTCGGCTCGTCCGCCATCTCAATGTCGCCCTCCTCATCCTCCTCGTCTTCGTCCTCATCATCCTCGTCTTCATCGTCATCCTCGCCTTCAGATTCAGATTCCTGGATATTCGCATTAGCAAAACGCCTATTGCGACCATCGATAACAAGAGCCAATCCATTGTAGAAACTTACGATCCAGTCCGCAACAGGCCTGGTGAATATCTCCTTGCACCCGTCCATCTTGCCCAGGTCGATGGCGTACATGTCGTCAAAGGTGAACTCGCGATCGCCCTTCTCAAAGGTGCCGCCGTAGATGTAGAGCACGTCGTCCTGCACCGCCAGCTGCGCGTTGAACCGCTGGTGCGGAAACTCCATCGACACCGGCATCTCCCGCGCGGGTTTCTCCTTGTCCACCTCCGCATCCGCCCCCGCGGGCCGGTCGATCTCCATCGAGTCAATGTCCTCGAGCGACTTGCCCGTCTCCAGCGCGGCGAGCTGCTTCAGCAGCTCCTCCTCGTTCGCCGCCGCCCTGCCCCTCCTGCCGCCGACCCGCCCCTCGCCTGATCCGGCATTGGCCGCCTTCTTCTGCGCGCGCGGCTTCCGCAGCGCCAGCGGGAAGAAGCGGTTGCGCTCAATGTTCCACGCAAACATGTGGTTGAAGAACTCGCTGTCCATGCCCTCCTCGCTCTCCTCCACGTCGTGCACGCCGCCAAACATGATGCCGCGGCCCTTGTGGTACGCCATGGTCGCGCCCGCCCGCGTCGGCACCGGCGCGTTGGCCGGCTTCTTGCGCTTCTCCCACCGCACCGTGGGCGGCTGGCCGGGCGGGCCGTCCGCGGCGGGCGGCGTGATGCGCAGGAAGAAGCAGTCCTGGTGCACCATGGGCTTGAGGACGTTGCGCTGCCCCTGCGACCCGGCCTTGGCGCCCTTGTTGGCCGCCACGGTGGCCTTGACGCGCGAGTACCCGCCGTACAGCACGGCGCCCTGCTCGTGCGGCAGCAGCGTGAAGGACGAGCGGGCGTCGGGCTTGAGCTGCGCCGGCGGCAGCGCCGGGCTGTGCCACACAAAGTTCTGCGTGTCGTAGATCCACAGGTCCGCCAGGTACTTTGTCTGGTTGGCCGTGTCCTGGAAGCCGCCGAACAGGACGACGTACTGCTTGAAGTAGGTCATGCGGTGGCCGCTGCGGGCGGGCGGCGTCTTGCCCTTGGGCTCCAGGCGCGTCCACTCGCGGCTGCTGGGCTCGAGCTTCCAGAAGTCGTTGTAGTGGTAGAAGGTGCCCTGCTTGGGCGAGCTGAACTCGCCGCCGAACAGGTAGACTGCGTTGCTCTGGTTGCCGCCGCGGCACCAGGCGTGGCCGGACCGGGGCAGCGGCGCGTTGGGCGACGTCACGGTGCGCCACTCGTCGCGGTCGATGTAGTAGACGTGCAGGTCGTTGAAGAAGGTCGCCAGCGCGCCGTTGAAGTACTCGCCGCCAAAGAGCAGCAGCTGGTTGGCGTTGGACGGGCTGGCCAGGAAGCACGAGGCTGACCGCGGCTTGGGCGGCGCCTCGGCGACCGTCTCGGTGATCTTGAGGAACTGCTCCTGCTGCTTGCGGTACTCCTCGAGCACGGCGTCGAGGTCGACGTCCTCGGCGTCGCTGCCCTCCATCTTGGCGTTCTTGGCCTTTGCCTTCTTGTCCGCCTTCTTCTCCTGCTTCTGCTTCTTCTCGGCCGCCTTGGCCTTTTTCGCCTCACTCTTGCCCTTCTTGTCCTTGGCCATGATGTCTTGGGACTTGGTACGTCAGAAGCTTCTTAGAATAGCATTCCAACACAGATTTGTTCCTGCCAAACAGTAGTCCTCCTCAGCAGCATCCAGCGGCCGAGTCTATGTAGGTTTGTGTGGAGAGAAGCTGTTGAAATCAAGATGTGGGGTTATTCCGCCAACACTCAAAATTCTAAATGGATGGCCGTCAGACATCCTACATCTGCAGCGATCTACGCAGTGAGAGCTCACATTCACTCTTCAGCAATACATTCACGCACGAGCAAAATTTAGACCATGTTCGAGTGGAATTCGTTTTGTATTGGTAGCCTTTTTCGGCAGAGCTAGTTAATTTCCAAGATCACGCTGTAAATGTGACTTATTGCATGCATGCTCCAACTGGTGTGCAATGCATCGAGAGTCTGGCAGAATTCCAACAAGCCCACTGGAGGGATCAGCTCAGCGGCCATGAACCACTGAAGTCATACTCATGAGGTATAGCCGTTCTCTTTGAGCCAGTTGGCCACATCCGCACTGTCACGCTCAAGCCAGGAGATCTTAGAGCGGATGGCGTCCCTGCTCTGGGCCAGCGACTGGTCAAAGCCGGTGGTGTCCTTGCCAAGAAAGAACGCGCGGACCCGGGTCAGCTGCTCCTCCTTGGTAAAGCTCGACGTCGTGATCGTAACCATGGTGCCGAGCATGGACAGGCCGGGCGGGCATTTCGTGACCAGCTCACGCCAGTTCTGCGTCGCCCAGGAGAAGAGAGCCTCAATGCCCTCGGGGTGGCTGCGGAGGCCGGCCACAGGCATGTAAATGTCCTGGCTCTTGACCTCGCCGTTGAAGACCATGTCGAGCGAGCGCTTGATGAGCTCAGGCTCCTTGGCCCGGCCCAGGCAGCGGAGGGCTGTGTTTCTCTCGTCGCTGTTGGTGGACGAGCGGTAGAACTCCAGCACCGAATTATACTCGTCTTCGCCGCCGTATTTCAGGGCCATGCCGAAGACGCTGCCACGGATGTTGGGGTGGATGGCTGATCGGTCACCAGCCATGTACCGCTTGAACATCTCCTTGGCGGCCGCGATGATGGTCTTGTCGCCACTCAGACCAGCAGATCCAAAGAGAAGAGCCTTGAACTGCTGCTCAATGTGGCCATCGTTCTCGGAAAAGTTCCAGCCGAGCTTGTGTGCCCTAGGACTGACCAAGTCCCGCTGGAATGCCTCCAATCCATCGCGGACAGCTTTGTCCTCAAAGATCCAGGCGCTCTGCACGGCCGACAGACGGGAGACAATCTCGTTCCAGACAACGAACTCAGTCTCCGCGTCAAAGCCCTTCAGCAGACTCAACACGCCAGAGGTCTTCTGGTAGCCAGAGATTGCCAGGGCACCGGCGTCGGCGATCATGCCGGCGCGGTCCTCAACGCTGAGCAGACCTTGCTTGGCAGCCTGTCCCAGCTTCGCCAAGCGTTCAGGGGAATAGGAAGTCCTATAGATGCTAGTGTGGTTGGCGTTGAGCTTGAAGAAATCGGTGTCCTTGAGCTTGAAGTCGCCCTCCCTCTTGTCGAGGGTGAGGGCCTCATCGATCCCATCCTTGGTCCGCAGGCCAAGGAAGACGGGGTAAAGAACCTTGTCCTCCTCGGGCTTGGTATCGCCGGTGCGGAGGAATCGGTTCTGCTTGAGGTGAATGCTGCTCTCGTTGGGGTTCTCAGTGACGGTCACGACGGGGTAGCCGACGTTCTTGGTCCAGATGGTCATGACCTCCTCGACGGGTTTGCCACTTGCGGCGCTCAAGGCAGCCCACAGGTCGCCCGTCTGGGTGTTGCCATAAGCATGCTTCTTGAGATACTGTCGAACACCCTCGAGGAACGTCTCTTCGCCGAGATACGTAGAGATCATGCGCAGCACGCAAGAACCCTTGGAATAAGAAATGGCGTCAAAGATCTGGTTGATCTCGTCGGCCTTCTTCACCGGCACCTCGATCGGGTGGCTACTGCGCAGGGAATCCAGGGACAGAGCACTCTGCAGGTTGTCGGTAACGTATGACTCCCAGACCTTCCACTCCGGGTAGAACTTGTTGCAAGAATACCAGGAGGCCCACGTGGCAAAGCCCTCGTTGAGCCACAGGCCATCCCACCAGTCCATTGTTACCAGGTTGCCAAACCATTGGTGCGCGAGCTCGTGCTGGACGACCTCGGCAACACGCTCCTTAGTCGCGGCGCCACTGACCTTCTCATCCAAGAGCAGGTCGACGACACGATACGTGACGAGACCCCAGTTCTCCATGGCTCCAGCAGCAAAGTCGGGAATGGCAACCTGGTCCATCTTGGGAAGGGGGAAGTCAATGCCAAAGACCTTTTCGTAGAATGCCAAGGTGCGGGCGGCGAGGTCCAGGGAGAAGCGACCGTGTTCAATGTTCTGGCCAGGAGGCGCGTAGACACGAACGGGTACGCGGAAGCTGTTGCTCTCGATGCAGTTGAGCTCGCCGACGACAAAGGCAAGCAAGTACGTCGACATCAAGGGGCTCGGGTTAAACTTGACGGCTTTCTTGGTCGTACCGCTCGTCTTGGACTGGATCTCGGTTTCAGAGGCCACGTCCATGTTACTCAAGCAAGTCAAGTTCTTGTCCGCGACCAGCGTCACGGTAAACTGGGCCTTGAGAGAGGGCTCGTCGAAGCAGGGGAAGGCGCGACGGGCATCGGTAGGCTCCATCTGAGACACAGCCAAGATCCCGTCACTTCCATCGGGGTTCTTGTAGGTGGAGCGGTAGAAGCCGGCCATCTTGTCGTTCAGGATACCGGAAAAGCTGATCTCCACCTTCGCCTTGCTACCCTTGGAAATGGCATTGTCAAACTCGATCTTGGTGGTGTGATTAGGCTCATCGTATGAGATCTTGGGCGAGGAGCTGCGAAGAGGTTAGCAAGGGCGGCAACGATTAGACGCTTAAGCAGGTGGTGCGCGACATGCCTGATCGTGTTGCCATCTGCAGTGATATGGACGCTGTGGATCTCAAGCTCCAGGGTGTGCAGCGAGATGGACTTGGAGTCTTCAGCAACATCGAGATCGATAATAACCTTGCCCTCAAAGGTATGCTTCTGGAGGTCGGGCTCAAGAGTCAAGTCGTAGTGCTTGGGGACTACATTGGCGGGCAGGAGCTGTCGGCCGGCCTGGACGCCAGCTGCGCCGCCGAGTCCATCGATAGCTTGCGATCGGCACATGTTTGCTCTTCGGTGTGAGCAATGTCGAACTTGGCGCGCGCGCAAAGACTCGAGACGGGTGCGATTGACAGAAGGCCTGCGCGGACTACCAGTAGAAGTAGAGAAGCTGTACCGAGCAGAGAGGGAGCTGTGAAGCAATTAGCGTTGTGCTTGAGGGGCTTCGCATAGACATCAGACGACGGAGCTCACCGGAGTGCAAAGGATTTTCCGGGGGTAACCGAGAAGCGAGCAGATGGCAGCAGTGACGGCGCAGGGAGCTTGTAGAATCCGCGAGAGAGCGAGCTGACGGAGACAAGAGAGCGCATCGACATGACCGGAGGGAAGAGACGGCAGAGGCAGCTGCCTTGGCTGGTGGTGTCTTATAATATATACATATGCTTTCGCCCCGGACGGACCCAGAATGTGGGAATGCAGGCAGGAGGAGACGCGCACGGCGCCACCACCACGAGAGCAGAGTTTGGCCTGCTGGGACGCCAGTTTGCCGGTGCTAGCCTGCAGCACTGACCCCATCGCTGAGCCCAGCAGACCCTGGTTTTGCTGTGCTGGACGGCGCTGAAGCAGTCACAACCCAATCCCCGCAAACGTAATCGTCACGCTATCGCCTAATCAGGCTCACCAGTCCGCTCTTAGCTCATCCATGGATGTAATGATTGTATCTGCCCCTCATCCAAGGACTACTGCTGCCCCTCACTGATATCACAAATTTGCCTGCATCGGGCAGCAGCAGGATCGTGCTGTCGGACAAGGGACTTGAATACTTGTCAATTTCGTTTGTCAAGCCTCCGACGCTGTCAATTGGCCTCTTGTGATATCAATGCAGCCCAAGCATCGAAGGGGAGGGAAAAGAAAAGAGATGCTTCCAGGTTAAACCCTGCCCTGCCTCTTCTCTTCATGGTGTCAACACCAGACAGAAATAGGCACCAATGACCTTACACGTCTTGGAGGGGCGGACGACCACATGAGGCAAGCCACAGCTAGCTGTAACTACCCGACTTCCTGAGGCAGACAAATAATTGCGCGTCTTGACAGATGGAAGGTCTTTTTGCTTCGATATGCAAGAGCCAGTACGTAAAAGCAACGATCCCGGTGTGTGAGGCTTTCCATCACGGAGGGAAATGTTTGGCTCTCGACATACCTACTAGGTACATAAGTAGTCAGTGTCCAGACAACGGCCAGTGGGTCAGACATGGAAGCGCCGCGTTATGTGTGAGAATAGCATAATGGAAAGCAGAGCGGCTCGGCGTGGGTGCGGCGTGGGTGCATGGATCTGTTCGAACGACTGCCATTGATGGCCATTGATTGCCATTGACTGGAACAGCCCCATCAGGGAGCGACTGGAGACCTGGATGTGGCCACAGAGGCTTGCGACATACGGGCCGAACGAGCGCTTGCAAGTCAATTGTTGAGGGCACGGCCGCCTCAGTGTCTCTCGGCCTCAATCTGGAGCTATGACGAACGGAGTAAGACGGACAAGCAAGCGTACCCAGTCCGTGTTGATGCCATTGGCCTGGGAGCAAGACAAGTCCCGGATACTACTGGGCAGCCTGGACCCATCTCATGTAAACCACGCATCTAGCCAACGACAGGAGAATAGCCCAGCCCTGGCCCTGGAGTGTAGGTACTAGAGGATCAGCGAGGCGGTATTAGCTACCTCGATTGCAAATCACCCCACTATCAGGTCTACCTTCCGCCCATCCCACCATCTTGTCCCACCAAAGCTTCATAAACACATCACCGTCACCCAGACATCCAGACCTACCATTCTCACCTCCAATTCCTTTTTCCCCTTCTCAATCACCAATTTGACTTGAGTGACTCTTGCGATACCAACCGCGAGAAGACAAATCCACCTCGTAAGTTTCTGTTTTGCAAGTTCTGCTCGTTTTCATGTCTTTCAGTCGCCAGTATCATTGCCTCTGCCCCTCTTACATGATAAGATTCTGCCATTCTGGAAGATTTTCTGGAGGGGCGTATCATAGTTGACTCGAGAGCACCTGGCTGGACTGCGCGAATTTCAGCGAATCCTCAGCTCTTGACCACCTTGTCGAAATATTTTCTTCTTTTCTGTCCCCTCTTGCCTTGTTTACAAACCTTTTGCCCTTGAAAGCCTGTTTTTACATCTACTGTTATTCTCAGGCCGTTTACATCCCCGGAACTTGCTTCTCTGACACAATCTACCAGAAGAACCTAGAACCAGACATTCAAGATGCCTATCACCAAGATCCACGCCCGGTCCGTCTACGACTCTCGTGGTAACCCCACCGTTGAGGTCGACGTTGTCACCGAGACTGGTCTCCACCGTGCCATCGTTCCCTCTGGTGCTTCGACTGGTACGCCATGGCTGCGGCTTCCCGTCCCCATCGCCCTACAATGAGCTAATATGAGAGGCTTTGTATAGGTCAGCACGAGGCTTGCGAGCTTCGCGATGGCGACAAGTCCAAGTGGGGTGGCAAGGGTGTCACCAAGGCCGTCCAGAACGTCAACGAGACGATTGCCCCAGCTCTGATCAAGGAGAACATCGACGTCAAGGACCAGTCCAAGGTCGACGAGTTCCTCATCAAGCTCGACGGCACCACCAACAAGACCGCACTCGGTGCCAACGCCATCCTCGGTGTCTCCCTGGCCGTCGCCAAGGCCGGTGCCGCCGAGAAGGGCGTTCCTCTGTACGCTCACATCTCCGACCTGGCCGGCACCAAGAAGCCCTACGTCCTGCCCGTTCCTTTCATGAACGTCCTGAACGGCGGCTCCCACGCCGGTGGTCGCCTGGCCTTCCAGGAGTTCATGATCGTCCCCTCGGCCGCTCCCTCGTTCACTGAGGCCATGCGCCAGGGTGCCGAGGTCTACCAGCAGCTCAAGGGTCTGGCCAAGAAGAAGTACGGCCAGTCTGCTGGCAATGTCGGTGACGAGGGTGGTGTCGCCCCCGATATCCAGACGGCTGAGGAGGCCCTCGAGCTCATTACCGAGGCTATCGAGAAGGCGGGCTACACCGGAAAGATGAACATCGCCATGGATGTTGCCTCGAGCGAGTTCTACAAGGAGTCGGAGAAGAAGTACGACCTGGACTTCAAGAACCCGGACAGCGACCCCACCAAGTGGATCACCTACGAGCAGCTCGCCGCCCTCTACGGCGACCTGTGCAAGAAGTACCCCATTGTCAGCATCGAGGACCCCTTCGCCGAGGACGACTGGGAGGCCTGGAGCTACTTCTACAAGACCCAGGACTGCCAGATTGTCGGCGACGATCTGACGGTCACCAACCCCATCCGCATCAAGAAGGCCATTGAGCTCAAGGCCGCCAACGCCCTGCTGCTCAAGGTCAACCAGATCGGTACCCTGACCGAGTCGATCCAGGCTGCCAAGGACTCGTACGCTGCCGGCTGGGGCGTCATGGTGTCCCACCGCTCTGGCGAGACCGAGGATGTCACCATTGCCGACATTGTCGTTGGTATCCGAGCTGGCGAGATCAAGACGGGTGCCCCCGCCCGCTCTGAGCGTCTTGCCAAGCTCAACCAGATCCTCCGCATCGAGGAGGAGCTCGGCTCCAACGCCATCTACGCCGGCGAGAAGTTCCGAACCTCCGTCAACCTGTAAATGGAGGCTTGCCGCCCGGAAGAAGGGATCCACTCGGATCGAACCGGAAGTTGAACCCCTCGGTTCAACCCATTAATGACGAACGATAGCCGGTCTAGGCGTAACGGCTAGAGGACCATGGCTTTTTATGAAAACCGGTGCAAAATAGACAGAATCGAGATTGGCGCTTGATAGCTTAACAAGGGATAGTCTGTCACCTTTTTAACGCAAGTCGCAAAAAGTTGGAACATTTTATTGTGTGCCTTACGTACATCGTGCCGGTGATGTGAACACTATTCCGAGACTGGTCCCCATTAGATTGACCACCAGTGTTTTGGTAGCAGGCTGCTATGGGTGCAAGAACTGGGCAGACAGCTGTCTTGCAGTTGGTCAGTGCACCAACTGCCAGCTCAACGCCCACACAGACCTTTAAGATGATGAGTGGGGCCAATATGTTGTCACGGCAACGACCGTGTTTAGCAAACAACCAGATGGGGCAAATGTAAAGAAAGGATATCTAATCTAACTACTAATTGCGATCGCGCTCACGCAGGCTGGCGCATATCGATCCCATACATCACCAAACAGCTGCCAGGTAGGTTGGCGCATTGAGTATTCTCTGATTCTCGCAACCTGTCTTGTTTATTCTTTGCGTCTCATTCGTTTCGACTCGGGGCGGACCCTCGGGCAACACACATTACCATGTCGGCGTCCGACGATCTGATCAACTTTGATGTGATCGAGGCGCAGAAGGAGAACATCCAGTCCCTACCCAGCGGACGGTCGGCAAAGAAGCTCGTCGACCTCTTCTCGCCCTCGCCGCTGCAGAAGCTGGCGACGCCCACTCCCACAGACACCAAGAACGTCAATGACGCCGTGCGCGCGGAGTTTGAAGAAGAGGTCGCAAACATCTCCGAGTCGGATGACCCTCTCGATGTCTACGACCGCTACGTACGCTGGACCCTAGACGCGTACCCTTCAGCCCAGGCTACGCCTCAGTCGCAACTACACACCCTGCTCGAGCGCGCCACAAAGGCATTCATCGGCTCAAATCAATACAAAAATGACCCGCGCTATTTGAAGCTCTGGCTGCACTATATCCACTTCTTTTCAGACGCCCCGCGCGAGACCTACATGTACCTGTCGCGCCACGGCATTGGCGAGACTCTCGCCCTCTTCTACGAGGAATATGCCGAATGGCTCGAAGGCGCCGGACGCTGGGCGCAGGCGGACGAGGTCTACAAGTTGGGCATCGAGCGCGATGCACGGCCGCAGCAGAGACTGATCCGCAAATTTGGCGAGTTTGAGCAGCGCAAGGCTCAACAGCCAGACGCAGATCTCGAGGCACCTTCCTCGCCAGCCCTCCCCACCGTCCGACCCGCCCTGGCTGCCAAGGTCGATCCGTTCTCCGCGGCGGCAGCGGCGACCAGAGATCCCCAAGCACCGAGGCAGGGCAACGGTATCGGCGGAGCAGCTGCCAAGTCCGGCCGCGCCAAGATGGCCATCTTTTCCGACGCCTCGGCCTCCGCACCGGCCATGTCATCGCGTGGACCCGGCTCAAAGGGGTGGGACTCGATCGGATCCCTGGCAGACCGGAAGAAGGAGAACACAGTGGCGCCGACCCCGTGGGCGGGAGAGACGCTCAACGCGGGAGGGAAGAAGAGCTCAACCAAGATGGCGATTTTCAGGGATCCGGTAAGCTGAACCAGGCTTTTGCTGCCCTTCCCTATGCGCAAGATGTTGATGGATGCAGGACTAATATGTTGGCGGTCTGGCGCTGTTTGTATCTTAGTCATTAGCAAAGTCACACATTACCATTCACCCTTCGCAATATCAAGTGACTGTGAATCCGAACGGCAAAAAGGAGCGTGTGTTTGTCGACCTCCGCGCCGTGTATCCCACGCCGGAGGAGCCCGGCTCCGAGCTGAGTTTTGAGGAGATTTGGGCCGAGAGGCGCGGCCTGCTACATGGCGTTCCCGAGGAGATGCCCGAATTTATGGACGAGAACGCATTGATGCATGATGAGAATGCCATGATGCACGATGAAAACGCGCCACCTAAAATGGCCGTACTCGCAGACGCCGTCGCGACAAAGCTCGTCATCCATCATGATGTTGTTCAGCTTGACGAGAATGGAGCGATCAAGAACGACCAGCCGGTCTCGAAGCCCAAGAAGAAGAAGGTGATAGAGGTGAACGAGACCCAGGTCATCAAGGCAAAGCTGGACTCTCCTTCAGGGCCAAAGATCAAGAAACGAGGCTCGTCCAACTCGGAGCCTACCATGACAATGCATACCAGGGCAGCCACGGACGATATCTACGAGATCTTTAACCAGCCACTGAAGCCAGCCGGCCTCGAAGAAGAGGAAGATAGTACTTCAGACGACGACTACGAGACCGATGGTGACTACACTAGCGGTGCGGAGAGCACCGGTACGACTCGACAGATCAGTACGAGTGAGGCAGGAGACGACGAGGATGACGACGGCGATGAAGTTGGCGAGGCAGAGGCTTTTGAGGCGGACGATACATCAGACGTGAAGAGTGTGAGCGAGTGGTCTGACTTTACAGCGCGAAAGCACATTCCGAATGTGGATGACCCTGAAGTCGACGACACTCGCGCCTCACAATTTAGTTCAGCAGATGATCAGGGTCAGGACCACTCTTCTGAAGCAGCCTCACAGGAACCTGAGGAGAAACATGACGACGAGGAGGAGGATGAGGAGGAGCAAGCAGTCACTCCTGTTACTGAAGATTTCCCCCCTCCTAGGCCACGGACTACCTTCATTCCTATCCCTCCCGAAGACTACGTTCCTCCGACCAGGCCGTACAGAGACCCGGCAGAGGTGGCCAATAACCGCTTGCCCTTCATGACGCCCATCACGGAACGGACCGAGTCATCGCTCGAGATAGAACCCGAGTATGACGACCAGCACTTCGACGCAAAGACTCCCAGTAAGAGGTATGGAGATGCGTCAACGCCCGACAGCCTCGACTCTGAGCCGCTGAGCAGTCCCTTGCGTGAGATTGTCAACGAGGCTCTCCCTCTTCCCAAGATCCCCCAGCCTCTACTACAAAAGACGGTAAAGCCGGCGACTGTTAAGCCCACCATTCCAAAGGGACCGATCGTCAAGGAGCTGCAGTGCAATCCTGTTGACGATGCTGTTCGCCTCGAAATTCTGGCAAACATGCAGCCCCCCCTGTCTTCCTACCAAGGCTTCTACGACCACCGGGAAGAGAAGTACGAGAAGGGCTCCGAGATCCGCAAGTATGCCAAGGCGATGACCAAGGCACGCAGCGGCGACCGCTCCAGCGGCGCGGGCGTTCCCATCGCCGTCCAATTCCCCGACGTCCACACTCGTTACACCATCCGCAAGGAGCTGGGCGCCGGTGCTTTCGCGCCCGTCTATCTCGTTGAGAACTCCCACCCGGGATGTCAGGAAGAGCCTACGGAGGCCCCGGCCGCCATGGGCAAAGGTGCCTTTGCCGTCGCCCACACCCGCCGCTCGACGCTCGAAGCCCTCAAGATGGAGGACCCGCCGACACCTTGGGAGTTCCACATGATGCGCCTCGCCCACACCCGCCTGGGCCCGCAGCACCGCGCCGCGGCATCTCTGTCGCCGGCGCTCGAGCTCCACCTCTACCAGGACGAGACCTTCCTCTTCCTGCCCTACTACCCGCACGGCACGCTGCTCGACGTCGTCAATCTGTTCCGCGCCGAGTCGCCGGGCAGCGTCATGGACGAGACGCTGGCCATGTTCTTCACCATCGAGCTGCTGCGCACCGTCGAGGCCCTGCACGCCAAGCAGATCCTGCACGGCGACCTCAAGGCCGACAACTGCCTGCTGCGTCTCGACTCGCTCTCGCCCTGGGCCGCCGACGGCCAGCTCAGCAGCCAGTGGCACGCGGACGGGTCGGGCGGCTGGGGCGCGCGCGGCGTCGTCCTCATCGACTTTGGCCGCGCCATCGACATGCGCTGCTTCGCGCCCGACGTGCAGTTCGTCGCCGACTGGAAGACCTCGGCGGCCGACTGCGCCGAGATGCGCGAGGGCCGGCCCTGGACCTGGCAGATCGACTACCACGGCCTGGCGGGCACGGTGCACTGCCTCCTCTTCGGCAAGTACATCGAGACGGTGCGGTGCGACAACGGCGGCCTCGGCGCGGGGGGCCGCAGGTACCGCGTGCGCGAGAGCCTGAAGCGGTACTGGCAGACGGAGCTGTGGGGCGAGCTGTTCGACCTGCTGCTCAACCCCGGCGCCGCGGCGGCCGCGGCCGGCGGCGAGGAGGGCCAGCGGATGCCGGTGCTGCGGGGGATGAGGAGGGTGCGGGAGAGCATGGAGCGGTGGCTCGAGGAGAACTGCGAGAGGGGGGTCGGCCTCAAGAGCCTGATGGCGAAGGTGGAGGGCTGGGCCAAGGGCAAGAGGTAGATGACGACGACGACGACAACGATGATGATGATGGCCTTGCACGTTCAAAGTTATATCGCACGAGGGGGCGTTTGTGGTTCATCTCCGGGGGGTTACGGGACGGAAGGAGGAGGGGAACAGCAAATTTCGCATTCCATGGCATTCACGACTTTTGATCCAAAAGCATTTCTCGATCAGAAAGAATAATACCCGTATCTACTTTTTTCCTTTTTCTCACGATATCACACTGATAGAGATGCACCCGGCGTTCCCTTCAGGTCCTGGTGCTACTAATATTACAATACCTCATCGTACATGCCCTCAGTGCACTTGAATTATTGTTGTTTGGTCATTTCTCGTCATTGGTCGCAGCCTAGCAGCTCGCTCGGCCGATGTTTCAGTCACTCTCGTCCTCGTCGTCGCTTTCTGTCTTCTTCTTCTTCTTGAAGAAGCTCTTCAGTGTGCCTTTTTTCGGCTTCGCATCCTTCTTGGCATCTTTGTCAGCCTTCTTGTCGACCTGTGCCTGTATCCTGCCGCGCTCCTCGGCGCCCGCGGCCTGCAGCTCCTTCTCTTTGGCCTTGAACTCGTCGCAGTCGGGGTCCATGCCGATCAGGCTCTCGAGCAGCTTGATCTCGCGCGCCCAGACGCCCTTGTCCTCGACCGTCTTGCCGTCGGGCCCCTTGCGGTCGATGGGCGTCTCGAGCACCATGGGCAGGTCCTGGAAGGCCTCGTGGTTCATGAGGCTGTGGAAGGCGCGCAGGCCGAGGAAGCCCGTGCCGATGTTGGCGTGCAGGTCGCGGTGCGAGCCGAGCGGGGCCTTGCTGTCGTTGACGTGGAAGGCGCGCAGGTATCTCGCGCCGACGACGCGGTCGAACTCGGCCATGGTCGCGGCGAAGGCCTGCGGGGTGCGCAGGTCGTAGCCCGCGGCGAAGGCGTGGCAGGTGTCGATGCAGACGCCCACGCGGCTCTTGTCGTCGACCTGGGCGATGATGTCGCGCAGCTCCTCGAAGCGCGAGCCCACGACGTTGCCGCTGCCGCACATGTTCTCGATGACGGTGACGACGGAGGCGGTCGCCCTGTGCGAGCGGTTCAGCTGGGCCGCGATGCGCCCGATGGCCGCCTCCTTGGTGTCGCCGTTGGTCGAGCCCGGGTGGAAGTTGTACAGCCCGATGCCGAGGGCCTCGCAGCGCTGCAGGTCGTCGACGAAGCTGTCGTAGGCCTGCGCCGCCTTGTCGCGGTCCGCCTGCGCCAGGTTGACGAGGTAGGAGCCATGCGGGACGCAGTGCTTGCCGGCGTCGAAGCCGTGGCTGGAGCAGCCCGCGAGGAAGCCGTCGCGGGCGTCGGGCGCCAGGGGCGGGTTGGCCCACTTGCGCTGCGACTTGAGGAAGAGGGCGAAGGCGTTTGCGCCGATGTTGACGGCGTTGCCGACCGAGTTCTGGACGCCTGTGTTTTTGGAGACGGGTTGTCAGCGCCTGCCTCCTCACGGGGGAGGAAGAAAAGGAGTGCGCCAGATTATTCACCTCCTGCTCCGCTAACGTGGGCGCCAATGTACATAGCCCTCTTCAAAGAGCCGATGGCCGTCCGGGCTGCGAGAGGCATGGCGTCTTCCTCCTTGACCTTGGTCTTGCGCTTCTTGGGTGCCGGCTTCTTGGTCTCCTTTGCCTCGGCAGGGTCGATGTTCTCAAAGTCGTCGTCCTCGTCCTCCTCCTTGATAGCCGCGGCCTTGCGTTTCCGCGGGCTCTGCTTTTCGATCTTGACTTTAGTTTTTACCGTGGCTACTGCCTGGGCGGCGCCTTGCTTGGTGACTATCTTCTCCTCGACGGAGATGTCCTCTTCGACGATGGCAGGCTGGTTCTTTGCCTTGCGGGGGAGGCGAGGCATCGTGAGTGTGGGATCCAGAGGTGCAGCCGGGCGTTCGAGACTCTCGATGAGATACGTCACCAAGGGAGGAGATGGATCCAAAATAACAAATGAAATTAATTCAATTCAAGACGACGCAGATTTGACGATTTCCACAGCAGCAGCGCAGCGATGACGACGACGAATTGCTCTGGATGTCGGAGCGATCCACAGGCTCGCCATTACTAAGGAACGCGCTTCTGACGCGAGGAGGAAGAGCAGGGGTCTTAATGGGATTCGTCCCGGCTTTGGGGTTAGGGTAAGGGTAGTATGTCGGATACCTAGTCTTATCCCCTTGCCCCATTTCTCGTTTGTCTACGATCTCACGATATGTGTGTATCAAAGATCTGTAGTGATACAATAGACTACCCGAAACACTGAAAGAGCCTCTGCCAGAGCCTACGCATTTTTACCTGCCAAAATTGCAGTCGTTGCTCCTTGAGACTTTGCGGTAGCCCTGGCTTTGGGTTTTCCACCTCGCTGCGTCCCAAGCTCGGCCGTGACTTGGTGTACTCCGTGAGTACCTACGGAGTAGGTATGTGGGTGATGCTGTGCCTCTCCCGTGCTGTTGTCAACAATGGCTTACTCTGACTGAGTATGTCACCAGCCACCCCGGCCATACACGGCTGCAGTGATGTGCCGGTCATCAACAATTTCCTCCGGGCAAACGAGGCCCGGCCAGCTGGTCTGGCTGAGGGCATGGCTGAGCAAATGATGCGGACAGAGGTGCTGTACGGGGTATGGATATAACCGTATAAGTCACCAAGGCAAGACGAGCAGAGCAAGGGGGCCAATCTCTGAGCCCACGAGTGTGAGGGATGCGTGGGGTTGGCGTTGGTTTAAAGATCGATCACCATGCACCCACCCCATATCATAGGTATTGAAGATCTTTGTTGGCCCAAAAATAGCACATCCATCGTAAGCCGAGGTGCCCGTCTTTGTCGACGGGTACTTGTGCAAGATAACTCGGGGGAAAAGTGCATAGAGTAGCCTAAAGGAGTGACGGAACCAGACGAGTTACGCCTCGTGGAGTGTCAGCACTAGAAGTGCCATGCGACGCAACCACATGATGACAACTTTATTGTTTAATCCCCCCCGATGTTTAGATGTAGATAGATGTTCAGGTAGAATTCGTACAAGTAGATCTAGGGCCGCATGCTTACGTATGTCCCGTGCATCGTCTGCATCGTCGTCTTATTGCAGGCCCAGAGTCGCAGGCGCATAGAAGGAATCCGACATGAAAGGATGGCCGGGAAAATACAGCGCCAAGAGCACATTGGACTCTTCTGGTGGTGCATGCAGGCTTTGCAGATCCGTCGCTTGCAAACAGTACGTACGTGGAACAAAACAAAAAGAAGATGGAATCGAAGCAAAGCATGGCCGAGTTTCAGCTCCCAAGTGGCTAATCGCCCGACAAGCCTTCAGTGTCGACCCCACCCGAGACCGCCCGTAGCAATAGCGCCTGTAGGGGCGGGAACTAGCCTGAGACAACCTTATCCCGGAAGGGCTAACACTAACAGCGACTTTTAATGGGCAAGCAAACCAGACGCAGCGCCTGGCCAATACGATCCAAGTAGCCTGCTCCGCCTCAATCTACCAACCCAGGTGTGCTATTCGTCATGTCCTTGGGTGTGTGTGCGCGCGCATATGCATGTGGGCATGTTCTCTGGTGGTTGCATGGGTGAGAGGAGCAATCCTGTCCCTACTCTCTCGACACTGGGCACTTTTTCTGCGACACGGCTTTCACGACACAGAGCCGCCTCCTCGAGGCCCTTTCGCGATTATCCTTCTGGCTGGTCCTTCTGTTGCTCTGCCTTGCTGGCTCGCTCGCGATCGTTCCAAGCGACAGACAATGAGACTCCGCTCCGCGCCCGACTCGCCCTCATAACAAGCGCCACCGGCACGGCATCGCCGTCGTCATGGCCGAGACGCAGCAGGACGAACCTGCCCGACGCTCCTCCATTGAGAAACAGCCTGTCATGGTCCCCGTGCAGGACCCAGAGCCCTCGGCTTTGGACAGACTGCCAGACGAGATCATCCAACAGTATGCGCGCCCCGATCATGTGCTGCCTATGTCACAGACCGTTATGTTCCTCGTCTCTGTCTCTGCAATGCTGACCTTTGCGAACTGCAGAATTCTCCTGCTGGCCGACCCCGATACTTTTGCATCTCTCATCCTGCTTAATTCCAGGTGGCGGCACGCATCCCAGGAAGCCCACCTGTTCGCACACCAGCTGTCGCAGTCCCCCTCGTACGCGGCGAGTCACAAAGGCACCTCGAAGCCCATCACAGAAGATGATCTGCCCAGGCTACGGCGGCTGTTCGCTTGCGAGGTCAAGAGAAACCTCTTTGGAGCCTACCTGCGTCCGAATAAAACCATCATAAAGCTCATCTCCAACTCTATCAGCTCCTCATCGTGCCCCGGCGGAGAAGGCATCCAGTTCACCCCTTCGCCGCGGGGCCACCATCTGCTGGGCTACAACTCGTCCAGGATATATGTCATTGACGTTCGGGGGGCCGACATTGTGGTGCAAAGGGAACTCAAGATATTGAGGCGTCCTGCTGCGACTTGCATCACCGATAGCGGGAGCTTCCTTGCCGTCCTCCTCACTGAGATGCAAGTGGATCTTTACGATCTGAGCTCTTCGCCACCCAAGAGAACGCAGTCCATCATCCTCGACCACTCTCCGCGCGCCATCGCCCTGTCCCCATGTGGCGGCGTACTGGCCGCTGCGTACGAGGGCGGAATCGAGGTCTCCTCCCTCAAGTCCAGCGCCCTCCCCACCGACAGGAGAGCCGTCAAGTGCGACGCCGTCGATTCTCTGGCCTTCTCCTTTGACGGCACACAGATCCTCGGCACGACAACACACTCTTCGCAACCGAGCACCGTCATCATCACGGCGCCGTATTACGACCCAGGCGCCGCAATGATGGACGAAGACCCGAGTGCCCTCTGGACCACTTCGATCCTCTTTCCAAATTCCAGCCGAGACTGCAGTCACGCCGTTTTGATACAGAACTCGACCCGTGAGGAGGCCGAATGGGCATTCACCTACGACAGGAGTTTTGAGACCTTTCGCGCCGTCCGAATCGAAGACCTCAGGAACGGGACTACATACTTCACCGGACCGATACCGAGCCTCGAATCCCAAGCCAAATTACTGCCCTGCACACTGCCGGCTGCCTCGTACTGCGGCGAACTAGTATCGGCAGGCTTCCAGGGCCACGAGATCTGGCTATATGGCGTTCCTGAGGATCTTGATGCGGTACCTGACCCTCCACCCCCGTCGAGTGACGGGAGCTCGGGCGGGCTTAGCCGCCAGAACAGCGGTGGCCCCATGAGAACTCCATCCCGCGGGCAGGAGCCCAGCACCGAGGCTCGCATGCCTCAGTGGCAGGTGCTCTGTGACAAGATGAGGAATACTTTCGTTGCCGGCTGCAAGATCGCCGAGCTGAATGGCGTCAATACCGTGAAGTGGGTTGAGGGCTTTGGCAACTCGTCTGTGAAGGAGAGGCTTCTCGTCGCGGCACGAGGCGTGCTGCCGCCGAAACCCATCACGGAAGAGGATGGCCTGGATTTTGTCGACGGAGGCCGAATTACCCTGATCGACTTTGACTACGCTACGCAGGACGGGCAGGAGGTCGAAATCGAGATCGAGGTCGGGACCAAAGAACCAGAAGTTCTCGAGGAGGAAACCCGGGACATGGATACCGAGGTTGCCATCGTTCGACGGAGGACCGTGGCGCAGAAACGAGGCAACCGCAGCGCAGTCGGCCGGACTGCAACGATGGCATCTCGGGCGCCTCCTGTTCCGCAGGTACCCCCGGTGCCTTCGGCATCCGAAGAGGAAGACCCCCTTGTGCCAAGGCGCATTGGCGTCCGCCCTGTGCAACGCCAAAGAACATCATCGCCGCCACCGAATGAAGAGCACGAGACGGAATCGATCATCGAGGAGCAAGAGGCGCTCGATCTCCCGTATTCCCATGCCAGTCCCAGGTCCGGGACGACACTCCGCCGCGCTGCCACTGCCGCGGCGACTAACCGTCGACTTCACCCCACCACAGCCTCTGGTGCGCCCATCCAGTATCGTCGTGCTGATGGTCGCGCAGAGCATCCTCACGAGAGTGACGCAGACAACTGGGTTCCGCCGCCGCCTCCGTACCAGGCCGACGATCCAGGCGATCTACCCGCGTTCATGCGCCACAACGTCCCAGCCGTGACTCCGGGCGATCTGTCCCTTTCGCCCAGCCAGAGAGGCGCAGCTGGAGAGGGGCAGGCGGGCGAGTCTGTGTCAGCACACACAGACATCCTACCTGAGAGGAGTCGTACAACTGCACCCGGCCTGCCGTCATCACCCCCAGGTGCAACCGCGTCCGGTGTGTCACGTCAACGCTCAGTCAGCAACGATGCGAGCATGGCGCGGCCCAAAGCTAGCGACTTTGCCCATTACAATCGAAACTCTACCGCCATGGATGATGAAGAAGGCATCTATGATGTCTCTCCTCCCGAGTCTCCAAAACTCGCCAATGGGGCTCCGGACGCCGCTGGCGTAAGGGATGTAAGTGGGTCAAGTACAAATGCTGGGCCAAGTGTCTCACCAGCAACGTCTACGCCTGCGATCCCGCCGCAACAGGTCTCACCTGCGCAACCTCAGATGGAGATGGCAGCCCCTGTGCCGCCAGCGCAGCCATCGCACGGCCCACCCTTGAACCTCAACATCCCAACGCCTGCCTCGTCGAACAACTTCAAACCCCTACCTCTTCCGCCAGCGGACGCATCACCGATCGCCCGCCGCATCTCGGTCTCCCGCACCTGGCCAACCCAGCCCAACCCGGAGCAAGCCGCCGCATCTACGAACGCAACCGCTGGCTACCCGTACTCGGCTCCCGTCACAAACGTCACGACCGACCAGATGATGATGACCCAGGCTCTCCCACCCGCACCGCGGACGGACCAGCTCGCGAGCCTTCATCGCCACGACGGCCAGCGCCCGCCATCCCACCGCTTCTCCGGTGTCTTCCAGCTGTCTCGGGTGCCCGTCGGCAGCCGCGACAGCGACCGGAGGTCCTCGTCCCTCGGAGGCCCGCTGCCGATGCCGCCCACCGGCCAGGAACAGCCCCTCGCACCGCCGCACCACTCCTTCGAGCCCCGGCGGCCCAGCTCCTCCCCGCTGCCCCCCGTCGAGGATCAACCGCTGATCATCAGCACTCCGACCGGCGTGTCGGGCGCCTACGACCCGCCCGGCCGCGTGCCCTCGACGCACGTGCGCCAGGAGCCGACCATCTTCGCCCCCGTGCCGCGGCACCCGCCCCCGGCGCCCGGCGGCCGAGCCACCCCGGCGGCCGAGTTCCTGCGCCCCACCGCCGAGCGCCTGGAGACCATCTACAGCGAGGCCGGCGCCGGAGCGGCGGCAGCGACATACTCGCAGACCAGCGGCGCGCCCAGCGTCGTGGGCCGGCGGCCGAGCCGCGCCGAGCGCAGCGCCGCCAAGAACATGGCCGACGCCAAGAGGCGCGGGTGGCGCCGGGCCCGGAGCGTGCGCAAGGTGCACAAGAAGAACAAGGGCGCCGCGGCGGCGGCGGCGGCGATGCCAGACCGGGACCTGGACGCCTGGACGGACGTGACGGCGTCGTCGGGCATGGGGGCTTATCCTCCCGGGGCGTGGCCGCCTCAGCAGCAGCAGCAGCAGCAGCAAGGGGCTGCTGCCCAGGGCGGTCGGGCCAAGGGTAAAAGTGGGAAGTGCGTCGTGATGTGAACGCGGCCTGTGGAATGTGGAATGGAAAATTGGAAGGGAGAGAAGTAAGAAAAGGATGCCTCTGGGCGTGTGGTCGGCTTTCTCCCTTCTGTATGTGTTGGTTTTTTGGGTTTTGTTTTACATGCGCTGGGATGAGTGAGAGAGGAGGGGGCGTTTATCATCATGTCAGCATAACAGCACGCTCGCTTTTTGTCTACTTCTACAAGATACCTATCTCGCGATTTTGAAACGACCGAAAAAGGAGGAAAAGGGAGGGTCATGTTCAGCGGTTTTGCAATTTCGTATGGAGGACATTGAGCAGATTAGGTATGCTCGAGCATGTGGTTAGAGTACAAGCCACGAAGATAATGCGGCAGAATGATACTGAATGGAGAGATGTCGAAAAAAGACACGACGACGAGAATGGAAACACGATTCAACAAATTTGGATATAAAAATTTGTTCCATCTAGCAAGTGATGGCATCGTCTTCTCTAAGAAGCAAACACTATACTAAGTCGTTCACATACCAACTCCCCCATCACCTATTTTCGCCCACAAAACCCCCCTTTTTGGCCAGGGACGTTTCAAAAAGCATCTTCTCTTCTTAAGCCTCGAGCTTCAGGCCCTCAAACTGCTTGATCGTCCCCTCGAGGTGCCGCTCCTCGCTCTCGGCGTCGGCGAGCCTCTTGCCGTCGGCCTCGCGCGTCGCGTCCGTCACCTTGTCCTGGTACTTGGGGTCGTCCATCGTCTTCTTCTGCTTGGCGATGCCCGCGCGCGTCTTCTCGAGCTTGCTCTTGGCCTTTGTGATCTCGGCGTCGATGTCGACGCGGCCCCTGACGTGCAGGTAGACGGCGGCGCTGGCCGAGACAGGGAAGGCGACGCAGCCGTGGGGGCGGGCGGCCGCCGAGTCGAGGATCTCGAGCGAGGCGATACCCTTGCCGCAGAGCGACTTGATGGCCTGGATCTGCTCGGTAGCGGTGCGGTGGGCCGTCTCGTCAAAGGTTTGGACAAAGACTGTAGCATGATTGTTAGTGGTTTGCAGAAAAGAAAAACCGACAGGAGGGTAGGGGAACGTACCCTGAGCCTCATCCTTAAGAGAGTACTCCGACATGAGCGACCGGACACCCCTGGAGGCGCCAATGACGAGCTCATAGGCAGCCTCGGCCTTCGGGTTGTCGAATTTCTCTTCGAAGACGGGGTAGGAAGCAATGACAATGGATGGGGTCTTGTCCTCGGGCCGCCTAGGTAGACGCTGCCAAAGCTCCTCGGTGATGAAGGGCATGAAGGGGTGGATGAGCAGCAGGGCGCTCTCGAGAGCCGTGTAGAGGGTCTGAAGCGCCGACTCTTGCTCCTCCTTGGAGCCCTCCTGGATGATGGCCTTTGAGTTCTCGATGAAGACGTCGCAGAGCTGGTTGTACCAGTAAACGTAGACGGCGAGTGTGCTCTTCTGGAACTCGCGCTCGGCAATGGCACGGTTGACATCCCGGGCAGCGGCGTTCATCTTGTGCAGGATCCAGAGCTCTGGAAGGCTCTCCTTGCCTCCGAGCGTCCGCGTCTTGCGAGGCACAAAGTCGGGGTAGTTGGCTAGGTTGCCGAGGACGTACTTGGTGGCCTGCCAGATCTTATTGCAGAAGCGACGGTACGCATGCATGACCTTGATGTCAAAGTTGATATCGCCGCCACCAGTGACGTAGCTGGCCATGCAGTATCTGAGAGCGTCTGAACCACACTCGGGGATACCGCTGGGGAACGCGGTCTTTTGATACTTCTTGGCCTTCTCGACCTCGGAGGGGTGCAGGTTGCCCTGGAGAAGCTTCTCGTGGAGATCCTCCAGCTTGATGCCCGCGATAACGTCCAGGGGGTCGATGACGTTGCCCAGGGACTTGGACATCTTTCTGCCCTCGGAATCACGGACGAGGGGGTGCAGGTAGACCTCCTTGAAGGGCACCTCGCCAGTGAGCTTCAGACTGAGCATCATCATGCGGGCCACCCAGAAGAAGATGATATCCCAGCCAGTCTCGAGGACGCTGGTCGGGAAGAGCCTCCGGAAGTCCTCTGTCTTAGAGGGCCAGCCGAGAGTGCTGAAGGGCCAGAGGCCACTGGAAAACCAGGTGTCGAGCACGTCAGGATCCCTCTTCAGCGTGAACTTCTTGCCACCGAGGGCCTTCTCGGCCTTTTGACGAGCCTCCTCCTCGGTCTTGCCAGCAAACCAGCGGTCATTGTTGGCACCATCGGCAGTCTCGCCCTCAACCTCAGCATAGTATACAGGGCACTGGTGTCCCCACCAGAGCTGACGAGAGATACACCAATCCTGGATATCCGTCATCCAACGGTAGAAGGCCTTCTCGCCGGTCTCGGGCTTGATCTTGGTGCGTCCATCCCGGACGGCCTGAGCGGCGTTGGCAGCCATGTCCTGCATGGACACCCACCATTGCGGCTTGAGCATGGGCTCGATGATGTCTTTACTCCTCTCGCAGATGGGGACGGTCATGGGGTTGTCTTTCTTGTCGACGTACAGGCCCAGCTTCTTCAGGTCATCCTGGAGGGTGTACCTGACGTCGAAACGCTTCTTTCCAGCATACTCGCCACCGTTCTCGTTGACGAGACCATCGTCGGTGAAGATGTTGATGAACTCTAGATTGTGCCTCTTTCCAATAGCGAAATCGTTGGGGTCGTGGGCAGGGGTGATCTTGACGGCACCCGAACCGAATTCCTTGTCGACGTAGTCGTCGGCAACGATGCGGAGTAGGCGACCCTTGATGAAGGGGTGCACGGCATTCTTGCCAACGAGATCCTTGTAGCGCTCGTCTTGAGGATGGACGGCAATACCAGTATCACCCAGCATGGTCTCAAGTCGAGTGGTGGCGACCTCAATGGTCTGGTCGGAGCCCTCGATCTGGTACTTGAAATAGACAATCACACCGAACTCGACCTTCTTGTCGTAGTTGGGGACGTCGAGTAGCGTCCTGCCGGGGAGCTCCTTGTTGATAACCTCGAGGTTGGACAGGGCCGTGTTCAGCTTGCAGCACCAGTTGACAAGGCGGTTCGCCCTATAGATGACTTTCTCGTCGTGGAGGCGGACGAAAGTCTCGGCCACGGCGGCGCTCAAGTTCGCATCCATGGTGAAGGCCTCCCTGCTCCAGTCCATACTGCCACCCATCTTGCGGAAGGCGTTATTGATGCGCTGGTGATACTCCGTCTTCCACTCCCAGACAGTCTCGTTGAACTTCTCACGGCCCAAGTCATGTCTGGTCTTGCCCTGACGCCTCCAGAGCATGTTCTCGACGACGCTCTGGGTGGCAATGCCAGCGTGATCACAGCCAGGCAGCCAGAGGGTGGTCTTGCCGTGCATACGGTTCCACCTAATCATGATATCCTGGAGCGAGCTGCCGAGCGCGTGGCCCATGTGAAGCGAGCCCGTGACGTTGGGGGGAGGGATCGAGATAACGAAGTTGCCTTCGGGTTTGACCTCGCCATCCTTGGTAAACTCAGGCTTGAAGAAGCCCTGCTCCTCCCACCACTGATACCAGGCGCTCTCGACGGCAACAGGGTTGTAGGCCTTGTAATGCGGGTCGTCGAGGGACCGGAGCCGCTTCTTCTCGCCTGCAGGGGTATCGTTGACGTATTCGGGGAGGACCTCTTCCTCGGTTTTGACCTTCTTCTCCTTCGCTTTAGCAGGTGCAGCCTGCGCGGCTTGGGCTTGGGCAGCCTTCTTTTGGGCAAACTTGGCGGCCTTTTCGGCCTTCTTGCGCTCTTTCTCAAGCTCCTTGGCCGATTTGACCTTGGTCTCGGCGGGGGCAGCACCAGCGTCCTGACCAGAGGCATGGGTGCCAGCCGCACCAGAGGCCGCAGTCTCCTGAACAGCCTGCTTGGTCTCAGCGTCGACGGGGGGAGGGGTCTCGGTGGTAGGGTTCTGAGAGGCGGCAACTGTGTGGGAGCCACGTTAGCCATTGGGGGTGAGAGCTGGCATGGCAGCAGGTCTTACTCGGATTGCCTCGTCCTGAATTGGTCGCCATGGTCGCCTGATGTTGCTGTATTGTAAATAAAGCGTGTTAGTCTTCTGATGAGGCCGTATGTAGGTGGCGTGTGGGGGAGCGTATAAGGAGTGATGCATACAGGATAAATAGCACGCCTGAACAGAAGGGTTCGTCTCAATGGTGACGAGCGCCTCAGGAGCGCTCGGAGTGCTTGATGAGACGACGTGGTTGCGGTTGGAGGAGAGGGGAATATGCAGGAACTAGGTGGGATTGATCGCATGCGCCGTGGTCGACTTTGTAGATGCCGGACAAAATTGAGTCACTAGCTTAGCAGCACGGAGTAGGTGACTCAGGGCACGGGCCAATGGCGATGGTTGACAACCAGGAAGCTGCAGCATCTTTTGGAGGGGCAACGTACCCTGGAGACTCCACTGTACTTCGTTGGAATCCCTGATATAGACTCTTTATCTTATCGTCATCCCTGGGCCCATATAAATTATTATTTGTTAAGGCAAGGTAGGAGACGGAACAGAGCCAGTCATCCCGATGAAGCCCGGTCGGCTCAGCCATTGTCGAGCTTACACTTGCCACGTCTCAACGCCGTGATGTGATGTTGCTCAGTCGCTTCAGTCCCCAGGCCGCCCTCCGGCCCCGTCCGGGCTGTGTCAGATGGCGCTCCTCCATCCATGCTTGCCAAAGCGGACGCTTCTCTGTTCTCACTCAAGGAGCAGCGACCAAGGTAATAACATATATCGCCCTGTGCATCACATATGGTCCTAGAGTCTCCTACTGACACTCTCGTAGCAAGCCATTCTTGATCATATAAAGAATGATGCCCATGATGCTACCCTTCAATTTTCTCATGGGCTAGCCACGAGAAAGTCAGACTCGGCAGTCATCCTTGCGTCTCGGCAGTACGCTACATGGCTCGAGGATCCGGGCTTCATGGGGCCTCTCCTGCAGCAGTTCTTTGGTCAGTCCCAAGGCGAGACTACAAGCCAAGAAGTCAGTGTTCTAGGCGCCGTTGTAGACGGCCTCTGTCCTTTGCAGCCCTCGGTAATGCCCCGTACAGGGTTCTCCATTCTCCATGGGAACCAAGACGAGATCCTTCCAGATCTCTGGGTCGGCAAACGGGAATACAAGTTCCGTGCAGCAGAGGTCCAAGCATCCATAGCAGTCTCATTCAGACCACTGCTCGGCGACTTCCATCCCCTGAATGTCACGATCCCTTTGGCACAGACCATCTTCCAGAACGGCAGGCCATCCACTCTCCTTGCTACCCGGTGGAAAGCCGGTCTTTCCGGCTCATATGAGCTGCAATCCCTCATAGAGAAGGATTCGCAGGTCATAGTGCCGTCTTTGGCCAGCATACAAGCGCATGCCAGTGTCTCAGTGCCCCTATATCCGATATCAACGCCACGACAGATAGTATCGGGATTGGGCAACATTGTTCGTCAAGTCGATATCGAGGGCAAAGCTTCACCAGCCTCTCAGGAATTAGAGGCTACAATTCCCAAACTGCTCGACAGGCGGGCGAGGCTTAACCCAGACTTGGAACCGACGCCACTGGCTGTGTGGGCACTCATCATCCCCGCGGATCTCACAGAATCTTATATCGCAGCACAGACTGACACCGCCTCAGATGCTGAGTCTGATATGGCTGAAGACTTTGCCCGGAGCTTCTCCAACCTCTTTGCTTCTGGTTGCCACCTTCATCGAGTTTGTAAGTTACTTTTCTCCCTCCCTTTCTCACCTGCGTCGCTGACCTCTCCCGTCTCAGTGAGCGGCGGCGGTGGCTGGGGCGCAAAGCAAGGTCTTTTATCGCTTGACCCTCAAACAAGATATATGACTGCTGGGAATGAGGACATTGAGAGTTTTATCAGCTCTTTCAGAGGAGAAAGCACGTCCGACAGTATCGTGACTCCAGGAAACTACATACAGTTCTTCGTCCAGCCCATGCCCAACAAAACAGAGGAGTTGGCTCCGGTTGCGAAGCAGGCTGGCAGCATGCCGTCCATTGCGTTCGGAACGCACGCTGGCCCGCTTGACGATCTGGTCGCCGGAGCGAAACCGTCGATAACTGTCGTCGATGATCACTTTGGTGCGGTGACGTCTCATGGCATTTACATTGAGCCAAAGCCAGACTTGGAGCATCAAGTGCAAGTCAGAGAAGGCACGCACACCAAGATTGACGCTCCCAACTCCTACATCTGGGAGGGGGGTAAGCGATGGTTTTGAGGCAGCCGCACTCGGGACAGAAAGGGACGTCAATGTATTATCTCCTGTACCATATTATATGATATCATGTATTTGCGAGGTTGGAGTATCGCTACAACGGTTTTAATATCAACCCGGAAAGTCTCCCGCTGTGCATCCAGTCCCTTGCTTGCTTAGGTAATCTACAGCCTACGACTTACAAATCACGACCTCTCTCCCCCAGCGAACCGATATAGCACGCAATTGGTGACTTTGCAAGCGCTCAATTCTCACTATTCTACTTCTTCAGCGTTTCTTCTTTTGATCTTGGCAATTTGTAGCGACACACGAGCCTGAGCCTGCATTCCACTTGAAGAAGTCTTGAATAGCCGCCGGAAGCAAGGATCCGTGAGAAGCAGAATGACGACTCCCATGGCTACAGTAGGCATCCTGTCCATAGGGGATATGGGCTTGGGCATCGCCAAGTTGCTCATTGCGAAGGGCTTTACTATCGCTACTAATTGCAAAGGGCGAAGGTACTGTTGGGCGCACCCTTCACGTATCAAGTCACGAATTTCACGGGACTGACACAACCTACAGCCAAGACACCGTCTCCCGGGCCAAGTCAGCCAAAGTCACCATCTTGGACTCGGACACTGACCTCGTCAACAAGTGCGACGTCATCCTCTCCGTCGTGCCGCCCCGCGACGCCGTCGACACGGCGCAGCGCGTCTTTGACGCCGCCCAGGCCCTGGAAGCCAAGCCGGGTGGCAGGCAGCTCTACTTCGCCGACATGAACGCCGTGGCGCCGTCGACCTGCAAAGCCATGGCCGCGACCTTTGCCAAGTCTGCCGCGCCGATCCGCTTCGTCGACGGCTGCATCCTGGGCGGCCCGCCTGCTCCGCCCTCCTCCGCCGATGCCGACGCCGGAGGAGGAGAGTGGTCCTGCCCGCTGATGCCGACGTCGGGCCCGCACGACCTGGCGCAGGCCTTCCCGCTGCTCGCGCACTCGCTCCGGGCGCGGCACATCTCGGACGCCGTCGGGGCCGCGAGCGGGCTCAAGATGTGCTTCGCCAGCATGTCCAAGGGCTATGCCGCCATCGCGACGCAGGCCTTCACGACGGCGCACCGGCTCGGCGTCCTGCCGGAGCTGCAGTCGGCGCTGGGAGAGCTGGCGCCCGCGCGGGCGCGGCAGATCGAGGCGTCGCTGGCCGGGATGCCGCCCAAGGCGTACCGCTGGGTGCGGGAGATGGAGGAGATATCGCTCACCTTTGCCGAGGAGGGCGGGTTCGAGGGCGCGGCCGACATGTTCCGCGGGGCGGCCGAGGTGTACCGGACGGTGGCGGAGGAGACGGTGCTCGGCAAGGAGAAGGTCGGGGATAGGAAGAGGGGGCGGACGGGAGAGGATGTGGCGGCGGCAATGGCTGAGGGGATCGAGCGGAAGAGGAAGAAGAGGGATTGAGGTTTGAGAGATGTACCACTGTTCGGCATGGGGAGGGGTGGATGTACTTTTTGCCCTCGTCGATAGTCGAAGATACACCGTCGAGAACCAAATTGCCGAGCGAACTCGCGGTAGGCCTGCAGAGTGCTTGTTTCCTCACCGTCCCACCTTATCAAGCAAACAGGTTTGTAGAGGCGAAAGCTGGCCGGAGGATGTTGATCTATGTTGCACTCGGCTATTCACTCACCTTGCTATGGGAGGGACTGGTAAGGTCCCTCCCATAGTTCCTATTACGGTCCAGCCTCGGTGAGACTGTCCCGTCGGAGAAGCCGTTGATCATCGGCCTGTGCCTCGATATGCATCCCGAAAAGCTGTTTCGGGGAGTGTATCAACTTTCCTGTATCAACCATTTCTTGGACGCCAGAGTGCCCGTGGCAGCTATAATCATGACGTTCTACGTCCTTGTGGAACGACTCCTTTGCAGGCAAGCTACGGTGTTGATCAGGTCACCTCGAGCTCGTGTTCATCAACCTCCTCGCAGGTGTGTAAGTTGAGCTTGCATCTATCAACACCAGATTCTCAACCCCGTGATGCCTGCCCCAAACCTTCTCGAAGTGCGTATATGCGAGAGAGCTATGCATTGGCATCGAGCAGTCAAGGGTCCAATATGTGCGATCTGCATATAGCCAGCTACCTTTTATGACACCGCATAGCCTCGGAACTTGTGACTTGAAGATGCCAAGTTTGCATCGCCCGCCCGGCTGGGAACTACAAAGATCATCATATAGAAGATATAGAGCACCTAAGCGCGAGACGGTGGTCCCAGAACGCCACAACCGTCCCATGGCAGGCTTTCGAGCGTTGCATCCCCCTCATCGTCGGGACCCAGATCTGAGGGGACTAACAGGTTCCGGAAATCACCATGCTTCGTGTTGCATCCGCATTGGGCCGGATGCCCAGCTAGCAAGGTTTACAGTCATGCCCATTTCGAGAAGAGGAGCAGGAGGGCACAAACCAGTTGAGAGCCAAACTCTAACAGAAAGAAAGCGCCGACGCCTAAGCCAACGTTGAAACCAAGCCCCTTCCCCCGGGCGGCGCGAAACCGTCCCGGCCGCCCCCGCAGCAGCCCGTTGCTGACCCGCCACTTACACGCCAGCCCGCCGCCAAAAACAGAAAAAAACCGGCTTTCACACCCACACCACCCACACGGCATGCCGATGACGTCCTTCCTTGGCCGCCCACAACCTTGCTTTTCACCTGGTAATGCGCCTCACCGCACGGTGTAGGCTTCATCAATTCTTCTGGGCCCCCCTCTGCATCTCTGCATAGTTTACTGGGTTTGTGAGACGTAGATCCTGTTCCGCTGGACCCTTGAAAGGTGTTGGCTACCTGTTACGGTAAATCATCAACCTGTTTTCTCAATTCTGCCAATTCTCACCCGTCTCCATCAAAGAACTTGAACCTGTTGTCTGCCCAAAGCTCCCCCTTTTTTGGCGATCATCACGGATTCGAAATCAGTATATCAATAAGACCTCCTCTTCAGTCCGTCGGGGCTTCCTTCTGGTCGACTTTGCATCGGCGCCTGTGCTTTGCCTTTCATCTCTGAGGCACGCTGTGGCCCGTGTAAGTCGAGAGGAGAGTGTGGTCCATACGTCATAGCATCGCATCGCCGACACGACACGACACGACCACGAGCAGATCAACTCAGACGGCGACCTTGATCAGAATTGTTCAGAACTTTCGACTCCAGAGAGGACGGGATTCGCAAAAGGCAAATACTTATTTGCCCTCATTTTCAAACAAGCAATTTAAGGCGTGCTGGGCAACGCCTTACCCTCTCTCGAACATATATCCTCACGATATCAACTGGACAACAAAAAACAACAACTCAACAATGGAGCCCACTCCAGAGTCAACACCGGCTCCACCGCCCTCCTCCTCATCCTCGAAACCGACAGCCGACACGCCCTCCTCACCCAGCACGACCAAGACGCGGCCGCGCAAACAACAAGGACAACAGCCGCCGCCACCAGCCCCATCCTCCGAGGCAACGCCCTCACAAGCACGGCCTCGCCCTCGCGCCCAGCCATCACAGCTCCCCAGCCCGCCACCCAGCGGGAGCGCCCCCGGTGGGAAAACCACCAAACTGGCCTTTTCAGCCGACCCCAAGCCGAAGCCACCCCGGCGGCAGCTCAACCCGCCAAGGCCGCAGTCGACAAAAGTGACGCCCAACTACGTCTCCTCTCCCGACGAGGACGAGGACGACGAGGACGGATCCTACGAGGAGGAGGAGGAGGATGACGAGTTTTATGACGACTATGACGACGGCGGCGGCGATGCGAACAACCAGCAGCTCTATCCGTACAACCCTCAACAGCAGCAGTTGGTGCAGCAGCAGCAACAACAGCAAATGCTGCAGCCAGAACCTCAGCAGAAGCAAAAAGGTCTACGAGTCGCCCTCGAACTGAATCTCGAAGTGGAAATCATGCTCAAGGCGCATATTCACGGAGACTTGACGCTCTCTCTGCTGTAGACCCAGGCTTGTGCTCCCTTTGTTGGTGGTATGAAAGAAAGAAAGCGTCGATGACGAGAGGGACTTTAGAGGTGGTGCTTGGGTTTGCCGGTTTTGATTTTGTACTTTGTATTAACACCTCTTAATGCCTTCTAATGACATGTCCTGGGACGCGTTCTTTTCCTTGCACTAGTAGAGTTTTAAAATCAGGCATCTCAAGAAGATCAGGGCGGGAAGGCGTTCTCTTGGTTTACCACAAATGTTTGTCATACTTCAGAAAGACAGTTTTACGAGAACAGAGACCATGTACTCAGCGTTTCAAGTGTAAACCGTCCAGACTTCACCATCCCGATATCTCGCCTTGATACAGTAGTGACAGCCCTTCGGAAACCCTCCTTCTATCCCCTCCCCCTTTCAACCGTTTTTGTGTACATGTACTCTTGCGTATAGATCTCGTCACGCGCCACGGCATCGTCACTCAATCATGTCGACATCATCATCGTGCGCCTTGCCATTCTGGTTCTCGCCCTCCGCCTGACCCTGTGCAGCCGCACGTGCCGGCGCATTGAAGTAGTCATTCATCTCGGCATCCAGCTCCTCCTGCGTCTTCTTGGGCCGTCCGTCCCGACCGCGGCCTCCGCCATTGCGCTCCCGCTCTCCGCCCTCTCCGCGCGGGCCACCACGCCGATCGCCACCCCTCCGGTCACCGGGCCGGCGACCACCACCGCCGCCGCCACCGCCACCACCGGTACGACGACCCCGCGGCTGGGGACTGCGCGAGCGCGAGCGTCTGCCGGGAACATATCTGTCGATGCCCCTGCGGGCGGCATCATCTTCGAGGTCTCGGCCGGGCGACAGCGAGCGGCTGCGTCTTCCACCTGGTGCTGTGATGCGCTCCGCCAGAGGGCGGCCGGGCTTGACGGCCGTGTCAAAGGGATTGCGACGACCGCCACTGCCCAGCGGCACGATGGTCATTCGGATGGGTTGGCCTAGCCGGTTCCATGTTAGCCTATCCCGGCCCGCGTCCGCATTGCTTCAGCACAAGTCGGCTCACCTGCAGCATTGGCGCCGTCGTACTCCCGAACTGCCTGCTTGGCGTCTTCGTAGGTCTGGTAGGTGACATAAGCCACGCCCTCAGACCGTCCGGCACGGTCGTAGACCAGCTCGAGCTTAGCGATGGGACCGATCTTTTCGAATAGGCCCTGTTTGTTGCAGGTCAGCATGTGACAGTCGCGAAGATGCAAACTTGTGTGTTGGGACATACGCTCAAATCTTCCTCCGTAAGCTCGTAGTGGACGTTTTCGACGCGGATCTTTGCGCCTCGGGATTCGCTGTTGACCTTGCATTAGATACATGCTCTCCAGGGCGGAAAGGGAGCGAGTAAAATCTACCTGGCATGGCGATCGTCTTCGTCGCGTCGCGATCTAGGACCTTTTGACCGGCGAGAACCTATCAAGACAGGATGTCAGCACTTTTTGCCCGTCCGTAAGCTCGCCCATTGCGTGACGCGGGGCAACATACCACTGTCTTCGAATCTGTCATGGACCCATTCCCTACACGAGACGCTCGTGTCAGTCATCCACCGCTCGAGACGCAGTCCACCTTTCGATTGGTATCACTCACGAGTCCAGGTTACGAGGAGCTTCGTCGCGGTAAGACTGTTTCATCATCGCAGAGGAGAGCGCAATGTTAGCCGACACAATCCCAATGGCATGCTGCTGTTACCTTCCCCCGGTCGCGCGTCTTCGGAGAATGTCCTATCGTCTGCGAAAGCGCAAGTTGTATCGAGAGCTGCGACGACGTTCCAACAAAGAGGGTGTTCTGGACCGGAAGAAGGGACCGGCTGTCTCTTGACTTTACGAGGGAGGAGGAAGAGGAGGAGTATCAACCTGTAAGAGAGAGAATATAACGTTAATGTCCTGACCACGACGAGTGAGTTCACGCAGAAGATAGCGCACCTTTCTTATGCCGTCGCGCGGATAGTTATCCTGCCTGTCACGGCGCCGTTGACCTCCTCGGGAGCCTCGCGAGCCGCCGCCAGATTGGCCGCCCTACACGTTGAATGCGTCAGCGACCGTTGGAGAGCCCGGATAGTCAAGTCCGTCCCGTACCTTGCGCTCTGCGAGAATCTCGTCGAGACTGCGATCCATCGTCGTTTAGTTGGAAAATATTGGCTGCGCAGAATAAGTGCGAGTTGCCGGGCTGAAGAAAGGAGGGAAGGCGAGCTGGTGTTTGGTCTGGTGTTTGGCATTGTACCAGGCTTGATTCTGCCGCCCATAGCCTGGCAGGGGATGTCAGACTACACCGCCTTGGCGCCAATGGGCGGAGCCGACTTCGCAACTAACCTTTTATTCCGTCCAAGAGAATGTTATGTTGTACACTCTCTGATTACCTCTCTCTCTCTCTATATATATATATCTAGAGAGAGAGAGAGAGATGTCTAGGAGTGAATCGCCAAGGGGTCACTGTACAGCATAGATGGTGGATCACTGGGAAGATAGTTTTTAATAGAAATCGTATTTTTCACCAGGCTGACCTAGTCTCAACCTACACAATCGACAAAGGAAAAGTAGAACGAAAATGAGAATTGCGCAAGTACTGCTTATCATCTCGCAGTTGAGGCATCGAGAACCTTCCCTTGCTATTAGGTAAAAGCGGGAAGCCTCTCAAGACCCCTGGAAATGCAAAGCCACCATTTTGTGTCGAGTCGTCACAAAGCTGCGCAATAATGCCGGAAGCCCGGCCCATGCAACTTTTTGTCCTCCGCGTCTATCAAACAGTGCAACACTGATGCTCCCAAGCCCCAAAGGTCGACAAGCTGATAATATCGGTGCGTTCGATATTTGGATGAAGGGTGAACGAGGTTACGGTGCGATGTTGGTGTTGGGGGTGTCGCTGCTTAAATGAGGTCGGCAACGTTCATAGGCATCTCCTCAATCTGAGTGCTGTAGAACTGCTCAATCTCGCGCATCATGCGGACATCCTCAGCCGTGACGAAGTTGATGGCAACACCCTTTCGGCCGAAACGACCACCACGGCCGATACGGTGGATGTAGTTCTCACGGTTGGCAGGCAGGTCATAGTTGATAACCAGCGAGACCTGCTGGACATCGATACCACGAGCCAGAAGGTCGGTGGCGATGAGGACACGAGAGGAGCCGGACCGGAATTCCTTCATAATCAGGTCACGCTGAGCCTGGTCCATGTCGCCGTGCATGGCAGAGACGGTGAAGTCGCGGGCAGTGAGCTTATCAGTGAGCCAGTCGACCTTCCGGCGGGTGTTGCAGAAGATGACAGCCTGGGTGATGGTGACCGTCTCGTAGAGATCGGAGAGGGTGTCGAGCTTCCACTCCTCCTTCTCAACAGCAATGTAGAACTGCTTGATACCCTCGAGGGTGAGCTCGTCCTTCTTGACCAGAATGCGGACGGGGTCGCGCATGAACTTGGTGGTGACCTCAAGGACGTCCTGGGGCATGGTGGCAGAGAGGAGGACGACCTGGGTGGACTGAGGCAGCAGCTGGAAGATGTCGTAAATCTGCTCCGTGAAGCCACGGGACAGCATCTCATCAGCCTCGTCGAGAACGAACATCTTCATCGAGTCGGTCTTCAGGAAACGGCGCTGGATCATGTCGTGGACACGGCCGGGGGTACCGACGACGACCTGAGGACCGTCCTGGAGGGCCTTCATGTCGTCGCGGACGCTGGTACCGCCGATGCAGGCGTGGCACTCAACGTTCATGAAGTCGCCAATGGCAACGACGACCTTCTGGATCTGCTGGGCCAGCTCACGGGTGGGGGCAAGAATGAGAGCCTGGCACTGCTTGATGTTGGGGTCGATCTTCTGCAGAACAGAGATGGAGAAAGTAGCGGTCTTGCCAGTACCGGACTGGGCCTGAGCAATGACATCGTGGCCTGTGGGGAGAAAGATCAATTTTCTGGTCCTTGACTAGGGCAGAATTATCAAATGAGCCCTTGACATACCCTTAATGACGGGCATGATAGCGCGCTGCTGGATAGCAGAAGGGCGCTCGAAGCCATAGGCGTAGACACCGCGAAGGAGCTCGGCCTTCAGGTTCATCTCGTCGAAAGAGTCGACGGTCTCGTCATAGTTGGACTCGATCTGTCCTGTAAATGGCAAGAGAAAAATGTCAGTCTCGGATTCTTCATCGTTGCGCTTCTAGAGTGTTCATGGGAGAAGCCAATGTTTTGAGACAATGTGCCCCGCCAGTGATGGCGGATTTTTGGAAAACGTGCGAGGAGCGCCAGAGCTACCAAAGCAGGGGGTTGGCTTTGCCTGGCGCATCTTCTCCCAGGGGGCACAGAGCACATGGACGAGGTACAACTGGGAGGGGAAGGATTCACATACCCTCGGGGACGTCCTCGAGTCCCTTGTCGGTAGCCATGATTGCGGTTGAGTTGCAAGAAAATCTAGATCACAAGCCCGGCTTGAGATCTAGATGAGAGGGAAAGTGAGTTTGGTGGGGGGTTCTTTCCGAGAAGAAAAAAATCTACACGAGTCTTATCAAAGACGATCGCTGTAGAGATTCGCAATAAACCGTAAGAAATGAACTAGACTCGAAGGCTCTCAAGGAAAATGAGAGCTCAAATCTAGACAAAAAGTGGTGTTCCTGGTGATGTTGTTTGTGGTTGGTGAGGTTTGGGTGGGAGAGAGGGAGAGGGAGGCGCGCTCTTCTAAAAGGGTAGGAGGGAAGAAAAAAAAATTTGGGCGATCTGATGTCAACGCCTGAGGCAAACTTTCTTGCCAACTGTGGTGGTGAATTTCCAGTGCGGTGCTAGTGAGGGATGGGAGACTGGACCCGTGGTCGAGAGTGAGGCAAGCAGAGGGTGAGGGTGAGGGCGGGGCAAATTCGAATTGATTTGGGTCCAACCACACGCTCGAGCGCCGAAGTGTGTGCGAGTGCAGCGCAAAAGTGTGGGCCAGCAACGCAAACAACCTCGAACTTCCTCAAGGCTCCTCTTCTTAGGGAGGGAGAGTACCACCTAACCACCCCTAAAACCAGCTCACAGCACTGGAGGGAGGCAAATTATTCTGGAACCATCCGTAAAGTCACTCACTCACTGGCCATGGGAGCCCAGCCAGTATGCCTACTGGTGCCTCCGGTTTACAATGTTAGGTACAACATGAACAGACCAGCCCGACTCGGCCTCGGAACATTCAAGGCATCGAGTTGATGGACTCGAGGCAACGCATGCGTCTCTCACAGTCATTCATGTTACTCACTCACTAGGCTCCCTACATTACAGTACAGCACAGTCACTCATTGCTCATGCTGACAGTGGAGCTGCGTGAACTACCACCTCAATTGATACAAGCTGTACCTGATCAACGGACGCATCTCGGTGCAGAATGAAAGTACCGGCCCCAAAAAAATAATAAAAAAGATGCCCTGATAAAAATTATGGTGCCAAATGCCATTGATATGATGGAAGTGGGGCATACAAACCAGCCGCTAGTGCAGTAATTAGGTGTGAATGCGGTTCTGTAAGGGTCTACCAAAAAAAAAAAAAAAAAAAAAAAAAAAGGACATGCTCCCTTCCCCTCTTCCCCCTCCTCCGCCTCCACCCTCTTCCCCAGAAAAGAAAACGACCCTGACTCATCAGGCAACTCAGCTCGACTCGAGGGCTTCGATGGCCTTGACCATAGCCTCGTTTGCGGCGGATGTCAGGCTCTGGATCGCCACCGAGTCGACCAAGATGTTGTTGAATGAGTGCTCTCGGTCCTCGCCTAGAGCCTTCAACTGGCGGCTGAGCTCGAAGAGCTCATCGGTCAAGGCCTCGACAATCTCCGCCATCTCGCTGTTCTGGCTGCCGAGCTCGGCCCATTCCTCGCGGGTGTCGGCTTGCGTCGATGTAACCCCCCTCTCGACGCTTTCCTGCAGTGCCAGAGCTCCGGCCTTGGCCTTGGCCATCTCTGTCTCGAGCTCCTCTGCCTTATTGTTGTAGGCTTCCTTGACCTGACCGAGGGAAGACATCTTGTCCTTCTTGTAGAGAGGAGAGTGGCTTGGAAATATTTCTGTTCGGTGCTTGCGATATCCTTTGTGGCTGTGCGTCAGCGCGTGCAAATGCGAGTTGATCAAGTGCTCAAGACCGAGATATATTTATCAACAAACAGTTTGCAAGGATGGCATGAGTTTCCCAGAATATATATGTACAGGATGTCGCCATGGCTACAAGTTGGCTAGGCTGTGATTCATGTACAATGGGTTACTAGCTCGGTGCCAGGCATTGCCGAGCCTTGATTTAAACAGCGTCCATGATGACCATCATCTGGGTGATAGGTGTGTCTTTTATCATGAATAGCTAGCCAGTCGACCGTGAATCGCCGATGGGACTTGTATGACTACTCGGGCATTTTGCATGATTATCCCTCAAGATACCTAGGTAGTGAAAACTACATTGTACTGATGGAATAAGGTCAAAGGGCTACCGAAGGAGCACATCATCGAAACTTGAGGTTGTACCAAAGATGTCACAAATAGTTCATTCATAGGTTGGAACTGGCTCCATGGCTATGGCTAGTGGTGACAGTGTCTTGGAGGTGTAATTGATTTTACGCGTGCTGTATTGTGAGAAGGGAGGTACCTATCCATCTTCCTCCTCGCAAATCCCCAAATCTCGACGACAGAACCTTTCCGCGACTTGTCCCTAATTATTCCGCGCCACCACGACTCATCTTTACGAGAACCCAGGCGGCAGCACTTTCCGCATCCCTACAGGCGGCAACCTGGGAAGCAGCATCGGCAAGTATGTGAAGAGATGAGCAGTCTTCGGCTACAGCAGGACTGTGTTCATGTTCTCCACGATCTCCTTCTCTGCTCAGGCTGGGATTGGGTAGCCCCTCTTGAGGCTCAGAGACAGCCTGTGCCTTGTTGGGCGTCGGGACCGACATGCGCTCCATATCGAGCCGGATGCCCTTGCGATAAGCGATCTCCTCAATCCTGCTGCGACTCATGCGGTCGCTTGAGAGCGGTCTCGAGCGACTCGAGAGTTATGTCTTTGACACTAGACCGAGAGCTTTTGGCTAGGAATGCTCGGGGTGGAAGCCGTGGGGAAGGCGAATTCTCGGCTCTTGCTTGTTGTTTGGTTTTTTATTCATGGGAAAGATAATCAGCATGATCGCTTTATATATACGACCAAGGCGTGGTGATGGTAGATAGCAAACCATAGACAGGTTCGCGAACTAGTTCATTGACCAAGGCGGCAAAGCTACGAGTGGTCTCCAGGGAAAAAGGGCTTTGTCTGAAATGGCAAGAGAGCAAGACAAGACGTGAAAGCGAACAATTACTGATTGTTCTCGATGGATCAAAGGCTGTTACGAACAGACCTTGTTCAAGTACAAGTCTCCACATTGTAGACAATGAAGCCAGACGTACAACAGCAGGGGATATCACAAACAAGGAGCACCAAGCCACAAAATAGCACAAAGGAGCAAGTCGCGACAGCTGCATCAAGAGGCCTGCTCATTGGCTTGTGTCAGCACCGCGCCGTTCGTCTCCTTGGCAGCAGTGGCTGCAGCGGCCGCGGCTCTCCAGGAAGCCTTGACCTCCTTTCGGTCATTCTGCAGGATGTTCATGAGCCAATTCATGCTCCTTCCACCGCGCAGACCCTCAATCTCGGCCACGGCGGCTTCCTCGCTGAGGCCGTCGTAGATGAGCTCCTTGATCTTGTCCCAGATGATCTTGCGACGGCTGTACCACGTCCGGCCTCGCGGCTCTGGTCGCCAGCGTGGGCCCCAAGCAGCATCAAGAGACTGTATGGAAGGCTGGCCGTCGATGCCGTGCCGATACTCTGCCCATACGTCCTTAACAGTGCTCGCGCTACCGTAGATGACCGTCGGGGGGCCGCCATCCTCGGTTGAAATGACTTGGAGCCTGGTCGCTTGGTAGCCATTGGCCGAGTGCATCTCTACCAAGGAGGATGGCGAGGCGATCGAACGGCCGTGCGGGGTCGCCATCGAGACACTACTCAAGGGGGTTCCTTGAGGTGTCGACAAGGCGGACAGCTAGACTGGGCCTGCAGACCTGGGTGGCAGTGGTGAGGGAGGACTTTGCCGGTGTAGTACGTGCAGCGGAGAGGAATGCGAGGGTGTCGACACATGGCGCGGATATGCTGCTGGGTGCCTGACGAGGTCCTGCGACGGATCCCGAGGAGGAGCAGCAGAAGATGCTGTGGCCATCATTGACGAGTCGCTTGTGAGGAGCTGCTGGTTCCGAAAGTTGTCAGCGTGCTGCGATAGCGTTGCTGGTCGACAAGAAGAGTATCCTGCCCACCGTTGCCGCTGTACTCATTGCTTTGCCTTGGGCAGCGAAGATATGCGATAGGGATCTCTTCATGTTCAGCATCTCGTGGCTTAGTGAGTCGTAGCGCGCAGAGAACAGCGCCGACTGTTCGGAGAGGTGCGCTTGCAGGTGCATTATGACGTCGACAAGCTCCTCGGGCGTGCTGTCGCAAAGCTGGTCACGAGTGAGAGGAGGATCCACGGAACGTGGGTGTCGACTGCGACCATGGCCATGGCCGTCATGGCAATCATCTATGCCGCCAGGGCCGAGGGACACATGATTGGTGCTTGGTCGTTTCGCCGGCGGTGATTGAACATGAGCGCAGCCATCACCGTCATCAGGCGGCCGTCGTTTGGCGCTGGTATGCACCGTGGAAGACATCGTGTCGTTCATCTCGGCATTGGGTAGGCCTTATAGATAGCGACCACTGCTGCCATGGGCCTCCATTGGTGGAAGTCTGGATTGGCATTGGCAGTCTTGAGAGCGAAGCTCTTTTCCCGCGTGACTGGTGCCTTTCTTTTTCCCCTTTTTTTCTTTTTTCTTTTTTCTTTTTTCTTTTTTCTTTTTTCTTTTTTCTTTTTTCTTTTTCTTTTCTGTGACGCGCCAAGCCCCCCGGATGACGTGCAATTTGTCTGGGATTCTGGGGTAAGTGCTCGAGGCACCCGATGTTGAAGCAGGCAAGTGCAGATCACACACCCAGAGACACACACGTGATTGTTCACTGTGGCCGCTTGTTCTAAATTCATGGCTCCCTGTCAGCCAGTCAACTTCTAATGTCAACTTGTCAACCTGTCAACTAGCACCGGCGTGCAATCCATCGCGACCAGGCCGGAGATTGCTTGACTGTCTTTCCCTCTCCACCACAGCGGCGTGCCTTGAGGGGAAATTGACGAGATTGATGCCGTGCTTGCTGCCTAGAAAACTGTACTTTGCACGGATCCCTCAAGGGGTTCCGTTCGGAAACTCGGAATTCACGGCGGCACATTGACATCAAATGATCCCTGCTGGTTCGCTCTCGGGTTACACAGGCCGGGAGTCATCAAAGGAACGCGCGCGCGAAAACCGCCAAAGTCAACACCCGCTTGGACTCGCATTCGCTCAACACCCTCGCCCGGCTTGTCTGGCGAGCGGGTAATTGGATAATTGCGCTTTGCCGGGATGAGATGCCCAGTGGCCTGTCTGTTGGATTGGGAGATCAAAGAGAAGAGGGAGAATACGAGGGAAAGGGAGTGAGGCGCGAGAAGGATGGCTTTGTCTGCGCGGCCGCTTGATCCCGGGTGCTGCCTGGTTGTGCAGATGGCACCGCCATCTCGTATCCACCGCATTGGATGATTTGACGGAATAGAAGTCTTTCAATCTCTCCGTACAAGTACATCGTCTTCAACCTTATTGGACTCCACTCGATGTCTCTGTGAAGAGATGGAGGGGTCTTGGTGGAGAGTCACACCCGTTCAGTCCTTTGGTCACGATGCTTGGCGGAGGAACAATGGGACGACATTGCCAATGCGGCCCCCGTCCCGGGTGGAGTGCAAGCGGTTGTGCGGCATCCCTGGCAAGTGTACCTACTGAGCCAATAACAACCTCAGCAGGCGGGACCTAACACGGGTTGGGTTGGGTCAACGACAAGGCGGGAGCGCTATCCTGAATGTGGCGCTGACAGCTCGAGCTTCGCCCGAAAAGAGGGTGGTGCCCGATTGAAGAACAGGAGGGAAAAGGGACGAAGGGGGAAAAAGGGGGCGACATTCACGATAACTCGGAACGGGGTGGCTCGGGTACGTGTTGGTCCTGTGGAAAAAAAAAAGACCATATGGAGTGTCTCGGCGAAAACCCAGACGGCCGACTCAGCCAGCCCTATCGTACGGAGCATCTTGTGCCATGTGTTGGTCCATGCACAAAATGCGAGGTTATGAGGTGGAAAAGAAAAACAATCCCACCGTGCTCGGTCGATCGCACATGCACCTTTATTTCGTGCTCCGTCATCCCCGATGGCTTAAAGAGGCTTGGCCCTCTCGACGGGCGATGAGCAACAGGCGTTCCTGTCGATCAAGACGTCAACATTAGACGATCATACTCAACCTTAAACAACGCCTGTGGACAAGATTCTCACTGGAGCCCCGGCGACGCGCGATAGCGTTTTGGGGGGGGCACGGGAAATTACACCACCTCCATACCCATCCTTTCAGAAGCGGGCGCGTCGCCCATGCACCATGAATGGAGTCGACAAGGGTACCAAAGGGCTGGCTGACAGTCTGGGCGTCCATTTTGTGTGGTTTGATGGTCTCCAGCTGTTGCTGTTGGTTCTCACTGGTCAAGAACTTCAGCACACATCCGGCCAAACACCGAAGAAGCTCGACCCGGCATCCGGACCGTCGAGGCATGTCAGTTCTGTCAGTAACTTCGTATGGGTAATAAGTACACATGACGGGGTATGGAAGAAAAGGTATACTGACCCTGGTCATGTTACATTGTCAAAATCGTGTTGGTTCGTTCATCCCGTCCTCCTCTCCTCTGCCTTTCTCTCTCTCTCCTCTTCTACCAGCCGGCCCAATCTTGACACGGTTACTCTGTACATAACGATCCTGAAATGAGTTGGATGGAGACTGAATAAAGCTCCGCAGGCCCAGACCCGACCCAGAGTGTCAGGCAAGCAGCCATTTTGGACGCAGGTATTGAAAGTCAGCTCAGATCGGGCCGCCCCAGAGAGCAGTTTTGGGCATAGGCCGACCTGGCAGCAGACGACCAAAGAAGCCGCAACGGCAACAAGTGCAGAAAGGCAGAGAGGAAAACGACCGAAACCGCAAATCCCATGTCTTTTAATTTCCTGCTCCTGCAGCAGTCTCACCTCGAGCATGCGGCTATTGAAAGCTAGTGCTTCGCCGCGGTGCCCTAAATGGCCCATCTCAGCCTAGCCTGCGCCCGGAAAGGGCGCCAAAACCCGGGAGCCGTCACTAAAAGTGCGCCCCAGGGCCGGGCGTCTCAAGCCCTCGAGCGCTCATTCATGGATCCATGGATCGCTCCATCTCATCAATTGGATTCATGCGGTAAACACGGCCGAGGCCAGCCTTTTAGCTCTTCAGCTTTTGGCTTTTCACACCCCGTTCAGGACTGGTCCTCCGACTTTAATGTTGTACGGAGTACATCCTGAAGAAAACCGGCACCAGCGAGTTGGTACGGATAAGGCCGGGATCGAATGGGATGGATGGACCTGGTCTTTGGCCTTGTCCACTGCCCATCCCCAGTGTCGCATTCGATCTGGCTCGCACATCTTCTCGGGATGGGCCATTTGATCCTAATTTTGGGACCTGCAGGACAGTACCTAGGCACAAGTAGGCGTGTACATACTCCGTCCACAGACATCACATCCATCCCCAGGGAGCATTGGCACCCGCCTCCGTCTCTCTCCCTTCCTCGCGCCCTCCCTGTCCTTGCATCCATCTCTTCCAGGCCCCGACCCCAACCTTCTTCCAACTCCGCTCTGGCCAACAAACCGTGCGTGCCCGGCTGTTGGTGAACCGGGCACAGCTCTTCTTTTTTCTCTGGATGTGTACGGAGTACTTGTATTCCGTACTTTTCACGGTCTATCAGTCAGCAGCGGGTCTTTATTGCAAGGTCCACTCGAGCTTCTTTCTGCCCCAGACCCCGGTTGTAGGGGGGGTGACCCCTGTCCATCATCACCTCGTTACCCCTGACGGGGCTGGCTGTGGGAGGCAAGCCTTACCCAGCTTTGTCTAGCCTCGCTCGCTCGACTACCACCTTGGTGGGTGTACTTTCTTTTCAAGATGATGCCTGTCGCTACTAGCGGTTTGGTCCTGCACGATGTGTGTGGTGTGGATCGTTTGCCCAGCGCTGCGAGGTGGTGAGATGAGTGAGATGAGTGAGTGAGCGAGCGAGCGAGCTCTGGTCGAATAAATGGGCACACAACCCCCCCCAACTCCCTCATCGTCATGCTCTTGATGCTTTTTTGGAAGGGTAAGGCTTTCTCCTCCTTCGTCCAGTCGCTCTTTTTGATATCAGCTGCATCACTGTACCGTTGTGGCCCCGTTGCGTGTGCCCACGCCAGTCAAGATGCGCAGTCACTCATTTCAGTCACTCATTACTCTCTCTTCCCTGCTTTCCGCCACGGCTCTCGGCCATGTTGTCGGCCGGAACGCCACCGCTCCCGTCGACAGCGGCAAGCCTGTGACCGTCTGGGTTCACAGCACCGTGACCACCTGCCCGACGCCCCCGCCCGTCCTGTGCTCCAGCACCGGCAGTAGCGGTGGCAGTGGCAGCGGCACCAGCACCGTGAACTACAACACCACGAGCAAGGTCACCGTCTCCTCGACCTCGACCGTCCGCGTCTGCTCGACTTGCAGCAGCGCCCAGACCACCACCTCGGGCGGCTCCTCCATCGTCTACCCCACCACCACCGGCCCGTACACCAACTCGACCGTCTCGAGCTCCTCCACTCGGTCGTCCAACGGCACCACCACCAGCGTCCCGACCACGACGTCGGCTCCTACGAGCAGCGCCTCGTCTTCGTCTTCGTCCTCGACGAGCATCTCTTCTACGTCGACCTCGATCGCCGCCCCGGCCTGCACCGACTACTGGCTGTCCAAGATCAAGCACCAGGGCTACGCCCCCTATGCCGACAGCCCGAGCACCTACCAGGTCTTCCGCAACGTCAAGGACTACGGCGCCAAGGGCGATGGTTCCACCGATGATGCCGATGCCATCAACAAGGCTATTGGCGACCAGGGCCGCTGCACTCCCGGCAAGTGCAACACTACCTCGACCACGCCCGCTCTCATCTACTTCCCTCCGGGCACCTACGTCATCTCCAAGCCCATCCTCAACGCTTACCTGACGAGTGTCGTGGGCAACCCCGAGTGCATGCCCGTCATCAAGGGCAGCAGCAGCTTCCGGGGCGCCTGGCTCTTTGACGGCAACCAGTACGGCATTGGCCCCAACGGCGGTCCGGCGTGGCTCGCCACCAACGTCTTCTGGCGCCAGGTCCGCAACTTTGTCTTTGATCTGACCGAGCTGGGCGACCCCAGCCAGGCCATTGCCGGCATCCACTGGACCACCTCGCAGGCCACCTCCCTCCAGAACATCGTCTTCAAGCTGTCCACGGCGCCCGGCAACAAGCAGATCGGCGTGGCCATCAACGAGGGCTCGGGTGGCTACCTCGGCGATCTGGTCTTCAACGGCGGCGCCCAGGGCATGGCCGTTGGCAACCAGCAGTTCACCATGCGCAACCTGACCTTCAACGGCTGCGCCACCGCCATCAAGCAGGCCTGGGACTGGGGCTGGACCTACAAGGGCGTCAGCATCAACAACTGCCAGGTCGGCTTGGACATGAGCAACGTCGACGCCAAGACTGGCAGGCTGCCCGTCGGCTCCGTTGTCTTCATCGACAGCGAGATCAACAACACCCCTGTCGGTATCCTCGTCGGCAACACTGACACGACTCAGCCGGCGGCCGCCAACAGCCTGGTTCTTGAGAATGTTCGCCTCAACAACGTGGCCACCGCTATCCAAGGGCCCAACAAGAAGACCCTTCTTGGCGGCTCCTCTGGCCAGTCGACCATCGCCGGCTGGGCCCAGGGCCATGCTTACACTCCCACCGGGCCCAACAAGATCCAGGGCCCCATCTCCCCCAACGCCCGGCCCGGCAGCCTGACCTCGGGCACCGACTTCTACGAGCGCTCCAAGCCACAGTACGAGAAGCTGCCCGTGTCTCAGTTTGTCAGCGTTCGCGATGCCGGCGCCAAGGGCGACGGCAGCACCGATGACACGGCCGCCATCAACAAGGCCATCGCTCAGGCCACCGCCGCCGGCAAGGTTGTCTTCTTCGACTGGGGTATGTATGTCGTCACCAGCACCGTCGAGGTCCCGGCCGGTGCTCGCATCGTTGGTGAGGCCTATCCCATCATCGTCTCGTCCGGCGCCTTCTTCAGCAGCATGGACAACCCCAAGCCCGTCGTCCAGATCGGCAAGGCCGGCGACGTCGGCTCCATCGAGTGGTCCGAGATGATTGTCAGCACGCGGGGCGCCCAGGCCGGCGCCGTCCTGATCGAGTACAACCTGGCTTCGCCGGCCAGCCAGCCCTCGGGCATCTGGGACGTGCACACGCGCATCGGCGGCTTCAAGGGCTCGGACCTGCAGCTCGACAAGTGCCCCAAGACGCCCAACACCCAGATCACGTCGGCCAACCTCGCGACGGACTGCATCGCCGCCTACATGAGCATGCACGTCACCAAGCAGTCGAGCGGCCTGTACGTGGAGAACGTCTGGCTGTGGGTTGCCGACCACGACGTCGAGGACAACCAGACGCGCCAGATCACCATCTACGCGGGCCGCGGCCTGCTCGTCGAGAGCCAGGTCGGCAACGTGTGGCTGGTGGGCACGGGCGTGGAGCACCACGTCCTGTACGAGTACCAGTTCGTCAACACCAAGGACGTCTTCATCGCCCAGGCGCAGACGGAGACGGCCTACTACCAGCCCAACCCGGACGCGCGCATCCCCTTCCCGCCGGTGGCCGCGCTGTCGGACCCCGTCTTCGCCGCGGGCGAGAGCGGCTGGGGCGTCCGCGTCGTCGACTCGAGCAACGTGCTCGTTTACGGCGCCGGACTGTACAGCTTCTTCAGCAACAACGACCTGAGCTGCTCGCAGGAGGGCAACGGCGAGACGTGCCAGAAGCGGACGCTGTCGATCGAGGGCAGGAGCAGCGTGTCTGTCTACAACCTCAACACCGTGGGCACGACCAAGATGATCACGGTGGACGGCACCGACGTGGCTAGCTACCAGGACAACCTCAACGGCTTCGTCGACACCGTCGCGCTCTTCCGCAACTAGAGGGAGAGAAACCTGCTGCTCCTCGCCCCCGCCCCGGCTCTCGCTCGATTTCCTTTTCTCTTTCTTTGGATATAAATCTTGAATAGCAAAGGGAAGGCGTGGGATACGATGAACATATGAGAAGAATCACAGAAACAAGAGAAAAAAGAAAACACAGTTTAATGTCACATATAATGAACGCCGGGGGTCATCATCATCATCGGTGGGATCTATATATATATATATTAAAGCCAATATCTTGCCAACTTTTACTTCTTGGGACATAATTGTATTCAACTATTTTTTGGTGGCATTAAAAGATAAAAGAGACACACGTCGCGTCATGGTTCCTTATTTCTGCGTGAACAGGCGCGTGGACGAGCGAAGGAGACATGCTGCACCGCGTTCGTACAGCGGCGGCAGTCAAAGCCTGGACCAAACACCACCTGCAGCGTACTTGGTAAGCAACGAACATCGTAGTGCAATAACTACCTAGGTACAGTGCAGTGCCGTTCTGTACCCTTGCTGTAGTTATTGGCTCTGATCTGCATGCAAGCCCACTCGACTCTCCGATCGGCGTTGGTGGTCGACGAACAGAGATGCGCCAGCGCAGAACCAGAGGCACACCCGAACAGACAGACACACACACACACCTCTCTGCTCATGTGCTGACGCCAACACATGCATCCAGAGAGATCCTCCCCGGGCTGGTCAAAGCAGTTCTTGCGAAGCCGTCGGGGGTGAGGGGGACAGGAGGGCTGCATCCGCGATGCGCGGGGGTGCATGGGCAACGCCAAGTGCCGATTGCGTGTGCCAATGGACGAGAAAGGGCAAAAGGGGAAATGGTACAAGTAGAGAAAAAGGTGGGCGGCGTGACCGGGGCGCCCTCGTGGTGGGCGATCCTTGCCGTGCTGGTGATACCGACACGGCAACCAGCGATCTTACACATGCATGTCTATGGCTGCGTCGAGAATGACTTTTTTTTTTGGGTTCGCCGCCAAAGAAAGCGACGAGAGAAGAAGGATCTTCTTTGGCAGCTTATTCGATCGACCACAGCAGCGTGGCTGGCCGGCTGGGTCTGGAGGAATTGTACAGCCGGGCCATTGCTGAGGTGAGTATTGCAGCACGCACTGTCATACTGATTGATGTTCTTCCTCCCCCCAACCATACCATGAGCTACCTAGGTAGCTAATAATGAGAGGCGCACCTGACCAAGCTTGGAGATTCCAAGGGAAGTCTGGTGACTGACTAATAGAGGGCTGGCGCCTTGGGGTCAGCCAGCCGAACAGCCTCGGACTGGATTGCGGGATGGCATCATTTGGACGTGGGCAGCCATGCCACACTTGTTGCACGACCTTGACAATGGGCAAAGGCTTGAAAGGCCAGGTTCCATTCTCGAGACGCCAGGGCGAGGGGTTTCAGCGTCGGTAGCGCGGTAAGCGATGATTGGGCCAGCGGGATCGGCCGTGACAAAAGCTCAGGCGTGGCCTGTCGTGGCAGATCTCTGGTGTCGCCGGCCCCCTCCAGCTCAGCCAGCCTGTCGCAGGAGCGTGGCCAAGCGATCCCAAACGTAACTAGCTAGTTACTTGTCCTTGTACTCTGTAGATGCAGACATGTGAAGACGGCCCGAGCTGCTGGGCACAGGCGGGTGACTGGGCGCATGGTTGATCTCAGCCAGCAGAGAGGGCTGGCCTGGTGGCCGAGTGTGTCAAATGCTCGGCTTGTGATTGACGCCTCTTCTCACAGTCTCGGTCTGGTCCTCCAAGAGAAAGAGTATTAATAAGGAACGGGAGGCCATCCGCCTGCTGGCTTTGCTCTAACTAGTTACCTAGGTAGCTACCACAACACTCTTTGCTCTGAGCAATCACTCCCTCCTCCTCCTCGTCGTCTTCGTCGTGTCGTCGTCGTCGTCGTCGTCGTCAGGGTAGCCTTTTCGCTGCTTACCTTCCTTCCCTACCTACCTACTGGACGATATACTTTATTATTTAGGGTTTGGAGCGTTCGCAGCGGGCCCTCCCGCTCCCCTTGCTGGAGCGTCGCATCGCCTCCCTCCCCCCTCAACTGTATGCACGACAAGTCACCTACCTTACTCCCTACTTGTAGAGCGTTAGTCACACTTGCACGTTCTTCAGCGACATCGGCCGCTAGTTTGACTGCTCATACTTTGTACATGGGTGAACTGCATCACGCGGGTGCTGATCGCATTTCTCGGCTGCAGCAAGTCCAAGTAGGGAGGGTAGTTAGAGACTCTCCCTGGTCTGCCCTACCCCCGCCGCACTGCTCTTTGTTATACTTGTACTTTGTTATACGCAGCCTTTCCCTCCTCGGCACCAGTCAGCCAACTTACGCTCAATCGGCTCGACTCGGTTCTCTACCAGCCATCTTTACCGTCTGCAGTGCGGCCTCAAACACTCGCTTGGTTGTGTGTGTCGAGAGAAAGAAGAGTGAATAAGAGTGGAAGAGGAACAGCCTCAATTGAGGATTAGTGCGAGTTCCTGTTCCAGCCCGGCGACTTCTTCAGGGCATTCAGCGCTTCCCGGCCTGCACTGCCAACGACCACAGTGGGGTCTTTCAGGCGGGGTCACCGCTAGACGAAGAAATTCCCTTACCCACACGGGGGAAGCAACCCGACACGGACGAGAGGGTCCAGAGCATCGCGAGTGGAGGTCTCTCTTCTTCGCAGGACGTTGGGAAGAGAACAAGGGGGGCGAGAAAAGAACGACTCAGTACCAGACCGCTTGTCTGCTCAACAAAAATCGACTGCAGTACTAGTTATCGAAGCCCCAGCTCTCTCCTCTCGCTTGGCATCCCGCCGATCAAAGGACCGACGACGGGTGATGTTTGCTAGCGTCGAATGGTCGCGGAGCCGCCTTTTACCAAGGAAAACATCCCACCGTCTGCCCACTCGAGGGCGGCGGGCTGCTTGAGTTTGGTGTGAGCGAGTGAACGGGTGAGTCGAGCGAGCAAGTGAGTGAGTGAGTGAGAGCCCGAGTGCGTGTGACTTGCGATATCGGGTCGGCTTGTCAAGACCGCATAACTACTGCATGCACACGATATCGACATCCACGTCGACGTCGAGATCGAGTCACATACACGCACACACACAGAGAGAGAGACACTCTGGTCCTGGCTGCATTCACGTCCAGCTCTTGCCACCGACCACCACCACCACCGTGCCTTTCCAAGTGCACGACACGCACGCGCAGAGAAGACTGGATCGACTCCCTACGGGGTGGCCAATTGCATAGAGGCTTGGCAGCATCACGACTTGGCAGCGTCCTCGCGCCTCCAATTGACCGCTTCTCATTTGTCCTCTGGCCCAAGTAGCTCATGGGGCACCGGGGCCGCCGCCGCCTTCGCCCCACGCCCATCACCATCTCCATCGCCGTCTCCATCGCACTTGGACCAAAAGACGATCCGGTCTGGCGTACCTGGGGTTAATCCCGATCCATCGGCCAGACTAATACAAACCCTCTCCATATCCCATACGCCCATACACCTCTGATCCGCCCAGGGTTTCGCTTTTCAACCAGCAACGCAGACCGCAACTTCGTTGCCCTGTCTCTTTTCTCCATATCCAATTCTAATCTCCTTTTCTTTTCCGTCGGTGTGGCAGCTCCCTCGAGACAACAAAGGACTCGACGACCGGCTCTCCGTTTTTTTATTTTTTTATTTTTTTATTTACAAAAAAATACCTTTCTTCCTCTCTCTTCACTCACTCGCTACCCATACACACGAGACAAAGAGTCACAGTCCTTACCTTGACACTCCCTGTCTGTCCCCCTTTGGCTGGCCGAGACCATACGGCCAGGCGACTGACTGTGACGACATCCGTCTCTGTCGTCACCCACCACAACCCTTCCGCCATGACCCGTCACCACTCCACCGTCACCCGGACGGTATCACGGTCCAGTGCAGTCTCGGATGTCACTTACCACAGCCTTGAGCCGCCCTCGGATCTCTCTCGGCCCACTTCTTCCGCCTACACCTTCGCCCCGCAAGAGACCTCCGAGCCCGGACCCTCATTATCGGAGAAGGCCCCGATGTCTGCCCGCATCGACCGTCGAGATTCGGGCTACGAGTCCGTCTCCTCCGCCCGGCCCGCCAACCGCCGACGCACTTCCACCATGTCCACCACAACCTCCAGGACCAAGTCGTCTCGCCCCTCGCCCCGCCGCGCCCACAAGTCAGGACCCGTGGCCTACGCACCTCGGACCACGGCGTCCATGTACTCGCCACCGGCCGTGCCGCAACCCAACACCTACTATCACTTTCCGTCCCCGGACCCTCCTTTCCACGAGGATGACAGCGTCAGCGGCTACCGCTCCGAGCCCTCCCGCTACCGGGACTACCATGAGCTCGCCAGCCCGCCCCGCGCCGAGGTCCCCAGCTATCCCGTCCCGCCGCAGACGACGCACTATTGGACCTCGGACCGTACCCGCCGCCTCGAGTACGCCGCCATCGACGCCGCCACCCGCGGCGTCAAGGGCTGGGTCATGCGCCACATGGTCCCCGAGTGTTTCGTGCCCCGCGAGCGCCGACGCGTGCCCTTTGACGACGACACCGGCAGCGTGCGCCGCTACAGACTCGACCTAGACGACGGGGAGGGCTCTGCCGGGCCCGATGAGAAGAAGGACGGCGACGTCTATGGAGCCAAGTCCAGGAAGAAGGCCTGGTTCTTTGGCAGCGGTGGCAGCCCCTCGGCGCACTCATAAGGGCCACTCTCGCGCGGAAGAGAAAAAAAAAACCCTACTGTCTTTTTCCCTTTGCATTTATTGTTTCAAAGCATTGCGTGGTTGGGGGCCGTCTAGCATTCGACCTGATTTTAACTTGTCTTGCATTTTCACCATACGCATCAAAGTCATGGAAAAATGGAGTTCTATACCCGTCGAGACTGCACACGGATCTTTTTATTTTTTATTTTTATTTTGTCCTTTGGGACATGTTTGCTTTTAATTATGTTTTCGAGATCGGGGAAGAATGGGAGGGGGTATAGTGGATTGTAGTAGACGGAAGATCTGACGACATGACGATGAAGATGGTCTTGATAATGAGCATGATGGATGAAGCGGGACATCTCTGCAGGGAGGCAAAGGGCCGGCGAGAATCCGGTCCCGAGGTGCGGAAACCCGTCCGTGCAGCAGAATACACTTCGAAATTAAGAGAGAACACAAGGGATCTTGTCTTCACATTGCGCTGTGAGACGGCTGTGGTGGATGAAATGCCCGGAGCTGAGTTCCCTTAGTAGCAAACAGGATGAATCCTTAATTACACTTGAAACCAGGCTCTCGCCGCCATGGTTCCCAAAGAATATTGCTTCACAAATGACAAATTACATCGAGACATCACTAAACCGTCGAATCTCCCACCAAGAGATCCATGGCAATGCGTGTGGACGGGGCAGCAACACGGGCTGCAACACGGGCTGCTTGTTAAGCTTGTCTCGCATCCCAGCCTGGCGGAGTACCAGCAACGCTTCCTCAGAACATATTTCCATAAATAGTTTCCAGAGCCGTGTCTGCAATACAGAACAGTTTACCAGCCGCTATCGTACGTAGAGGGCATAACTCAGCATCCCTGTCACATAACACCTTTGCCTTGTATGTGGGTTCACATCGACACTGGAAACTCGGCTGCGGATCAGAATAGGCCTGTGTTCATGAGGCCGACGTATGGAAACTCATCAAAAGCCCGATGGCTTAGAAGTCTACTGTTGACCAGGGATTATCTGGATGTCTCGCCACGGTTAAATCCGGGTCAAAGCAAAAGTCTTCTCTTCTTCTCCCCCCCCCCTTCCCTTCTTTCTGTTGGACCCCTTCTGTTGTGCAACAGGCCGCGGGCCAGAACGCGGGTGTCGACACGGGTGGCAGAAAGGGCGGCTTGTTCTAGGAAATGATCAGCGGGCTTCGAGATTCGCGAGAAGGTGTGACCGGGTCTGTTTCGTGCATACATGGTACGAGAGATATTTGATGATCGACTGATCGACAATGTCAGGGGAGAACCTTAATCCCAACGTCCGTTCTGTAGAAAAGGTCACAGGCACCAGGATAGGACGATGATAGTCATTCTGTGGAAAAGCTTTCAATTGACATGAAACTATGTTACCTAGTTTGAACTCCTCCGTTTTCTCCGTGCGCTAAACACCAAATATTGCATGAATAGACTAGCCGAGCAAAACGAGCGATGATGTACGAGAAAAGTAAAAGCATAAACAGTCAAGGACAAAAACTCGGGGGAACCGGGGGCCACAAGTGAATATCACCAGCGGCTCTGATCAGGCTTCAGACATCAAAAGACAGACAATCCGCATTTCCCTTGGTGTAGCAGCGAGGCTATCCTTGATCGAGTGCGGGAATTGGGGGTAGATTCGTAACCGGCCTCTTCTCCTCTAGATAAGGCCGAGGAGACCCGCGGCGACTCCCTTGAGGACGTCGTCGAGGATGTGCTTGACGGCAATCAGGAGGCCATCGACAACCTTGTCGAGGCAGCGGATAAGACCGCTCAATGCCACGATGAGGGGAGTCAGGTAGACGAGGACACAACCTGCGGTAGAAGTTCATTGTCAGTATAATTATATCGTCTCACGTTGGTGAGCATGCTGAGACGGCCGTGCACGTACCGAGACCGAGCTTGATGATGACAAACTTCAGAGTGCAAGTGATCTCAAAGACGAGACCCTTGACCTTGATCAAGAGACAGCTGTGGTCGCAGGCGCCATTGCGGCGCTCAACCCAGAACTCGCGCTTGGACAGAACCTTGGTAGCGTCGGTCAGGGCGTCGGTGATGCCCTGGAAGTCGGGAGCGAGAGCCGCGGCCGCGGCATTCTGCTGCGCCACGCTGGGGTTCTCGGGAGCGGCAGCAGTGGTCTTGTCTGTAAACGTATCAAGGTCAGATATGGCATGTCCACGGTGGGGAGAGCAAGAGGACCGGAATCTTACTGATGCTGGCGGTGTGGCCCTGGATCTTGGCCATGAGGCTGTCGATCTCGGTGGCCTGGCTGTCCAGCTGGCGCTCAGAGACGACCGGGGACGCAAAGGCGCTGGCGGCGAGGGCGAGGAGGGTGACGAAGATGGCCTTCATGTTGGCGATTTGTTAAATTTTCTCTGAAATAGAACGAGATGGAAATCTAAGCAAAGAGGCTGGAAGGATTGGAGCTTCGAAGTCTGAAGTCTGAACTCTTGGAGATGCTGATGAAGGAAGAAGAGATCGAGACCGAGTTCGAGGGAAGACGATCGAGTATTTATGTTTTTTGGAGGATGCTGAGAAGTACCATGAGATGGTTCAAGATGGTCCAGACTTCCAAGGAGATAGTTTTCTCTTCGCAAGTCTAACTTAGAACGTGATCTGATCGTTGAGTCCGGTAATGCACCTTAGAGCACCAACCAGTCTTCGATAAGGCCATCTCATGGTCCGCCCCATGGCAACGGGCGGCCCTTCGAAACGCTTGATGATGTCAATCACTTCCGTTTTCTGTCAAAAGGTCTGGTTCGAAGCATGATTTCCCTGATTTACGAGTTTTGTTCTCTGGGACGACCTCGGAGGCCATGAGATATTAAGCATGCCTGTGTCTCTGGGAGAAAGAGGAAAGGGATCCTGTCGATCGACGCACGTTTTGATGAATGCCACATTTTGAGAGCCGTCGAGAACAGCTCGGCCAATATACGCGGAAAATAAAATGCCAGATTGCTCGCGATCATGATTGAGCACAGAGTCGAGGCATGGCTGCGAAGAGTCACACAGCTGGACGGCTGCCAGAGCCGACCTCCGACCCGTTCAGCGTCGGAGGAGGTCGTAGCGACGGTACAAGAGAGAAAAATAGAACCAGGCAGTCCAATGGCTGTCCGTACCGCCCCCTCCAGGGAGAGGGAAGGGTTGCACAGCGAGCAAGGCGATTGGTTCTCCGGAATATGGTGTGAGTGCGCCTGCTGAGCTTTGGGACGCCGGCCCCTCCCCCGAGATCCAGGCAATGCTCTGAAAAGACAACTCAGCACTCTAAACACTGCTTCGATCTAGATTTGCTACTACCTTCGGGGCAACAGGGTGCCTGGTGTACCTTGCCGATGCAACTCGATGATGTCAGATAGCATGAGCAAGCTCTCAGTGCCGGCTCGACAAGAGGGTTCTTCACTCTCAACCAGTCAAGAAATGGTCTGATGGTGTTTCATGAGAAAAGAACACGGGCTGGCTGCTGGAAAGCTGACAGTTATGACATGTGCCCGGTCATCTGGGACGATCTGCCTGCCATGCAAGGGATCAATGGCTTTCTAAACCAAATTCTGGGATCTGTCATGAGCCGCAATCCAGGTTTGCTCAATGCTTATCCCTCGGGCAGAAAGGCTTTACCTGGCAACGGAATCCAACGCGGACGGACTAGGGAAGAACATCTCCCGGGGAAAGTCGATGGGCTCGTCCGGCACCGGCAGGGAACCACAGCCTGTTCCTTGGCGAGTTCGAGAGGTCCACCTCTGGTAGCCAATAGGACCTGAGGGTTGATGTTGCATCTTCAGCCGTTTCTGCAGAGTATTATGTCTAAAAAAAAGAGGTGTTCGAAATCCCGGCAAGCGAGTGGTGGCATGCATATGAGGCGGATGCATACTCAATTTATCCAAGAGATGACTGCTGGGCTGGGGAATGCGGGGAAGACGTCTGGGGAAGGAGAGCCAATTTGAGCGTTAATCTCGAGGTGTGCACAGATGGGACGACAAGAGAAGACGTTTTCATGGTTTGTGCAAAGTCGATCGAGATGACTCGGTGGCGTGTGCAGAGTGCAGTGCACCTGGCTGTTGGCTGCAAAGACGATGCCACACGTTGGCATCTACCGTGATGCAGTCCGGCAGTGCTCTGGATCCTCACTGCAGTCTTAATGCCTGGCTCAGGCTCAATATCGCACACGGCTTGGCAAAGAAGGGAGCGGGTGCCGGAGACTGAAGTTATCCACCGGCTAAGGAGCCTCACTTGCAATATCCGTGTATCCCATGAGTGGTGGCGCTTAAGGGAGCTGGATGTCGGTGGATCTTCCACAGCCCGAAGCAATTTCCGGCACAATTTAGTCTGCCCTTCGCGTCTCGAGACTTGAATGCATCGAAGGAACCCGGTGCCGTGTCGATCTCTTCCCGATGTGTTGCATATGTTCCACGAACCTTCACGAGTCGGCCAGTTCAGCATCATGCAACCTTTGCCTCGTTTCCTCCCTTTTCCCAGTTCACACTTGGCTGCCTGTGAAACCACCAAAAAAGACCAAGAGTGCAATAATTCCAGATCTGGACATGGGAATTCAGTATACTCGCTCCGTGGATTAGAGTGCTATGGCGATCATCTGCAGACGATACATCCTACCCCGTGCCACGCTGAGCTTGCCTGTCGGCGCAAGCGGACGGCATTGCCAGCAGCCGAGGTGACATCGCGTTGTGACCTCCAAGGCCCGGGATCAGCTGGAAGAACGGGACTGTTTCCTCCTGCAGAACCCTTTGGTAAAAACAAAAGCACTCTCAGCCGTGATTCTCGCCGTGCTCTGACTGCTGATCATCTCTCCCGTGCTCACCTTGCAGGGATGCGGAGCCCGCAGCGCGACCTTGACCGTGTGGGAAAGGGTCAGCTTGATCCCGCTGTGGAAAGCAGATGCAAGTGCAAAGTGCTGGAGGAACATTACGAATCGTCCAGACAGAATGAAGTCGGCTTAGATCGCCGGCTTTCGCTTTGTGATGGTGTCTGGGAGGAGGCTGGGCCATAATAGAAGGGTGCCAGGAGCTAGGAATCTGAGTTGTGGCAAATATCTTATAATTCTAATCTCTGAGCAGAAATACACGGAACTTCTTCTATGGCACTTTGAGAATACTCTCGAGAGGCAGCCTGAAAAGCCAGTTGTTTTTTGATTATCACTGTGGTCAAGAGAAGAGGTCCAAGAAGAAAGTCAATCCGAGTCCACGTCTGAATACCAGCAAATATCTTCCTAATGCCTCACCTTTTGGCAGCTCTTCAACTCTCCAATCAGCTTAACACGCTTGCAAGGCCTCACTTGTCAACTAGCCACTACTGGGACGATAATAGGAGGGGCTGATTATTAACTGTACATGGTTATGTTCTTGAAACGCATGAGCATAATTGTCTGTCTTCGCCTTGAAGCAGAGGAGCATTACGGTTTTCAAGGCCACCGGACGGAGACAAGCAGGGAGCTCTCAACTAGTGGCTGCCAACACCCAAGCCTCTCCGGATGGGTCGCTTCCAACTTGATCACGGTAAAGTATGAAAGGCGTCAAGTATGACGTCTGTCGGAGGCCGAGAGCCTTTCTTTGTTTGACGAATAACCTCGCACAATGCCGAACCCCTGATCAAAGGGTCTGAGTAACGTTCTTCCTGTTTCCTTGTTCTCAGTACAAAGACCACTGAACAATGTGTTTGATTCTAGGAGTTGACGGGACTTAGCGTGGCGTGTAAAACAGTGAGGACCGCCCTGTTCCAGCCACTGTTGACAACTTGATGGATGGACGCAGCTCGACATCTCGACTCCCCTTTCCAGCATCTTTCCAAGCCTTCGCCCTGAGTCCACAGCGATTGATTTCCCGGAACCGCAGGTATATGCTTGGTGGCCATGTGCGTCCGAAGGATCACGCATCGTCTTGTGCACGACCGACGTCCGGTCATTGCCGTCGTTGACAAAAAAACCACGAGGTTCTTGGTGGTGCCTTACGCGCGACCGATGGCATGCCACTGCGGAGAAGGCGAACATGTTGCTGCCGGACTCAAGTGTGACGTGCACGATTGCTGTACGAAGGAGCTTGAGCTGATTCTATGCGACAATCCCGAGCCGTGCCCTGAGCCCGCCCAGTATCATATATACGAGCAGGCCCCAAGTCCCCTTCGGGCGCGCTGGTGGCCCATCGGTGCGATCGACGAGCGCATCGCGGCCATCGACACTTCAAAGTCAATGGCAGCCTCTACTAGCACGCCACTCTTTGTCAAGGCACGGGCAGTGTACTTGGAGTACAGGGTCGAGGCGCAGCAGCAGATTTCTGAACTCACTCAGGCAGCTGGATTGGTGGAGCAAGCCAGGGCGCTACAGTTGAGGCTCACTGGACTTGAGCCAAAGGAGCAAGAGAAGGCTTTGGACCGCGTAGTCGGGGCCGCAGAAGAGAGATACCTGGATGTTTGTGTCAAATCGATCAACAGGCATTCCCGTCTCTGCGCAGCTCTCGAGCTTTGGGGTAGGATACTCGCAAGGTGCCTACGGAACGGGAGCACAATCGATGGTATTGAGCCTGAGGTTCATTTGTTTACTCAGACACAGGAATGGTATGACCTCTGGTCCCCCTGCATCCCGCGCTTACTTTCGCCAAGCAGCAGAAGAAAGCTGGAGTCTGTGTTGGTACTGGGCGGCTGGCTGGACCCGGCAATGCCCCATGTCTCCAGAAACACTTTGCATTTCAACACGAAGGAGCGTTAACATAAACATTGCTCAAGTATTCCTAGAATGTTCCTTCTCCTTTCATTCAAACCGGGAATAGACCAGTAGCTGCCACTAGATATCCCCATCAGTCGGTACAATCCGACTCATACCTGCATCATAATGTGTCCTGAGTAGCTCATCACATTCCTTAAATAAGAAACCGTTCTTGCTGGTCTCTCCTACTTAGCTCCGGCCCCTTCGGATCTCGAGTGTGGAAGTGCTTTCCCTCTTTGGGGCGTGGCGTTTGTTTTCATTTCCCGCCATCGGGTTCGTCGTCGCCTCTGCCGTGTTGCTGGAATGTGGGCGTCCCACAAAGTTTCCTGGCCGCTGTGGAGATGATCTCCAGACACGCTCCGCCAGCCTGTCGAGCCGAGATTCCAGAACCGTTGTACTTGTAGGTGTACTAGCCCATCCGGCCCCTGCAGTAGTCTGTCCAGCCTAGTGGCTACGGAACAGGACAGAGGGCTCCGAGGAATGCCTCCATTTCACAGTCCTGACGCAATTGAGTTTGCAAAGCTCAGCCAAGACAGGAGCGCCGCTGGAATGAAACAACAAGGCGGACGCGCGACAGACCTTGGCTCATCATGCCTTGATTGCTATAATAGGTACGGCGAGTAACAGCCGGCGCAATCCTCGATCCCATCGAGATGAAGCCTTCCTGTTCTGACCATTTTCAAAGGAGATAGCCCGCCCATCGAGTCCGCTCTATTAGTAGCTGTTACGGCGCTTACTGTCCAGCACTTTTACCACAAACACCATGCCTTGGCTGTCAAGCGGATCGCCATCTCCTCAGGGATCACCCCGGATGTCATCGCCGCCCCAGACATCCGCGGAACCGTCCATCACCTATGTCCCGCCGCTCATCGACGGTGCGTGTGGCTCCCTGCCCCAGGCGTACCAGTCGCCAATATCCCTGCTCCGGAGCGATGCTCGGCGTTTCGTCCGCCGTATGCCCGCCGTCGCCCGGGCCGGCTGGACAAACTACAATGCCCGCCGCAAGACGACATCGTGGCGAGACATGGGTGAAACTGCCCTTCAGATGATCGTGTCCGGCATCGAGATCTACACTCTGGTATCTATAGTGCCGCTTTGGCTCTGCCTACCTGGGGCCTTGTTCTGTGCATGGCTTGCCTTGTGCATGGTACTGGTGATGGGTATTTGCCGTATGCTCAATGCCGACGACGAGGTCATTCGGCATTCTGCCAGCGCCGCAAACAGGCCTGAAGCCTTCTCGATGGGGCCTGAGTTGGAAGAGGAGCGCTGGATCTTCATTGGGGGAATGGGAACTAGGTAAGCTTTCTCTCGCAGGCCACTTGTATTGAGAATAATGGCCGGCTCACGCTTGAGACGTTATCAGTTCACGAACCTTGGCCAAGTCGACGTTACCCAAGGTGTCGAAAATCTTCAATCGCCCCATCACTGCCGTCCAGATGTACACTTGGGGCCTTCCCTTTGATGTTCTCGCCATGATGGTCCAGCGGTCATTTGGTCTCTCGAACAGTGCGTCCCAAACTTTGTACAACCAGCTTCGCGTCGCCCTCCTGGACACAAGACTGCACCGCGTGGTTGTCCTTGCTCACAACCAGGGCGCCGTCACTACGTCTCAGATCCTCTCTCGGCTGTACGCCGACGTACCCAGTGAGAAGCTCGCCCGTCTTGAGATTTACACGTTCGGGTCGCTCGCTAGTGAGTTTGTGATCCCGGTTGGCGAACCGAAGCCGGCCAAAGAGCAAAACGGACAGCACGACTTCGTTCCCGAACGGCGGGAGCCGCATATTGAGCACTTTGCTCATGCCAGTGATCCGTGGGCTCAGCTTGGTGTTATCCGCAGCGTCAAAGAAGACCTCGAAGGTCGATACTGTGGAGGCGTCTTCGTCATCAATAATTACAATGGCAAGAGCACCTCCAGCAAGAAAGCACTGGTCCCCGCTATGCAGCTCGACGACTACCTCACATGTCTCTTCCCGACACCAGCAAAGCAGCAACTGCCTTTCCAACAGCCGCCATCGCCCATCTCGGCTCCCGGGTCCCCGCTGTCGCCACCCCCGCCCCCGACACCGGGCGTCACGGGCATGCCGGGCTTCACTTCGATGACTGGTCCTCGCAGCATCTTGGACTCCATCATGGTCATCGACCGTGAGGTTGCCGAAAAACGCGAGTTCACCGCCATGGCTAACCATCCCTTACTGACGCGCGGCGGCAAGGACAAAAAGAAGCGTCTTAGCTGGACGGGTCTTGGCGCCATGGCCGGCGGACGGAACGGCATCATGGACGGCGTTCGCGGCCTCGAGATGGCGCGCAAAGGCTGCAAGGACTGCGACGGCCATCGGGGCCGCGAGGTCAGCTGGCTCGTGCGTTATGTCAACATCAGCCAGTACATGATGGATGCCAAGGACGTGATGGGCATGCGCTCCGAGTCGCCTGCCATGACACGGATGAAGTGATTTTTCTTGCGCTCTTAGGTCTTTTCCCCCTTATTCTTTTTACTTTTTTTGCTACGGATACCTCGATGCGTTTTTATTGCTAGAAACGACAATACCCTCTACGAGTAACCTCCCCTTTTCTCTCCTTCGGTGTCGACCTATTTATTCGTATCAGGAAATAATACATTCTCGCCTACAACACGCACTACCACCTACATTCCTGTATTGCTAGCTGTTCATGGGATCGGATGATCATGTATGATCAGGCTCTTAATGCTGTGGGATATAATGGGAAACGGCAGCTTCTTTCTAATCACTATACTATGTATTCAGTCACAATCTGCAGCCTGGTCATGTTGCAAGCTCACGGGCGAAGACCAGCCGATCAAAGCTGACATTTACTCTCACGCACTCAACACATACTTCTTCTCATCCTCTTGTGAACAACAGCAAGTGAGACAACCCCGGATTGTTCATATTTACCCACATAGGCAGATCCCAGGCCCACACAGGGCAGACCCGACCCAACGCTGGTATGGAGTTAGATAACATGCGCTACTGGAGCCCGCCCGCTTCTCTGCGATACCTATCAATAATTAGCTGATCAAGGAATGCGAGCTAAGAGTTCCAGCTGTCCCAGAGTGGCTCGGCCTACAATACCTATTGCAGACATGTGAAAAGTCTCTGTTAGTTTGTAATACAGTATGATGTGCGCCAGTCATCACCGGCTTTTATCGTGCCCACACTGTATCAGGTACCCTTCTTTGTATGTGCCAAATTTTCTCGAGCCAGCCCGCGGACACTGTGGTGCTGCTGTGGCACCTGAAACCAAGTGAAGGATCGTTCGGCATGATCCAAGAATCGGTTGGATGGTGCACTACCTACCTATGAGTCGAATCGTATTGGAGCTTAGCCGCCGTTCGACATGCTCGTCGCCTCTGAGAACGAGATTATCAAACACATCAACTAAGATATGGGCGTCTGATTGTATCCTCCCAAACTGGGATACGTGCAGGAAGACAGTAGTTGTATGCATTACACCACAGGGTTCCCTTTCATCATATGTAAGGAGGTTACTGGCATGATGGGCAGACTTTCTGCCTGAAAGTGAGATTACTCGACCGAGGATGAAGAGATGACCCGACCATTGTCGGCAGGCTGGCGCAGCACGATATCGGTAGGTAGCCGGACCTTGCGCTACCTTGCACATGTGCTTAGCTATCGACTGCCGAGGTGGCAAAGTGGCTACCCTGTTGTACCGTCTGCCTGGAGTGAATGCAGAACCAGGGACATGGTGTGCTCCTGTAATACTTAGAGGCTTGTATATCTGGACTCGTTCATGGAGCCGTCAAATGAAAGCGGTTGGTGGCCGAGCCCAGACCTGAAGCCTTTTTAGGAAAGCGAATCTTCAATGTTGGTAGATACATTGTCTAGAATGTTGTCATTGGGCATTGGATAGTCGAAAACTGGGTAGTATTTGAGGCCACTCAAAGGATTCTTTACCAGCCGGGAGCTAACAAGGGTTTTCGATCCAGTCGAGCATGATTACAAGACTGCGTCGGCAATGCAATGCATGGGTCACTCTATACTCGACGATGAGGCCACGAGTGCTCGGAACAAGGGCAATAAAGCCGCGTAGGACGAGGGCACCGACATAGTGGTATGCCTGCGGCTTCATAGCTGCGTAGACGTTATTGAAATGTGGTATGTATCGTACAAGAAGTAAGTGAATACTAGAGGAGGATCTGTTGTAGTCTGCTAGGTCCTAGTATACAGAGCGAGTCTCCTTGGGCCAGACCGTCCAAAGCTGAGCGTCAAGGAGTGGTATCTGCGACCAGCAACTGCCTTGGGACCAGGCAGACAACAACATTAAGCCCGAGCTTGGGGATCCTTTGAATCTTTTGTGGGACCGATGAGGAATGGTCGTTGCTGCTGGGCGTTTTAGAGTCTTGACATGGAAATAGAGCGAGAGAGAGGCAGTTCTCCTGGGGATCTTTTTGACAAATGGCATAGCCAGATGGATAGCATAGTCGTGGCTGTATATGATTGGCTGAGGAATTGAGTATTGATGTGTCACGGGTGCTGTAGCTGGCTTGTGGAGATCCACTCATGTATAGGCTCCTCATCGGTTATCATGCATGCAGGATGGAAAAGTGTAAGCAGACAAGCAGCTGTTTGTGACCAGTCAGAGAATCATGCAGCAACGGGCCAATAGTAACTCGTCTGCTGGCATGGTACTAGGAACATGTTGTCTGTCGGGCGTACGACGGACGTGCCACAGAACAGAAAGACGGGCGTGAGAAGTAGATGGTTGTTCACGGAAAGGAGGTCCCTTCCCATCTGCTATAGAGGTCGGCATATCATGTATATGCGCCTGCATGTGTATTGTGATAGTACGGATAGAGGGGGGGAGAGGGGGATTAGTGTGAGACTTGCGCACATGACTCAGGCGATGTGACGATAGATACGACGTCAAAGAGCTGCTTTGCCTCATTCTGGAGATGGGTCGACTCTCGGCTAGCTCGAGCGGGGAACATCAGAGATGGCGCCAAGGGCAAAACGCGGATCATTGCTGGAGATAAGTACAAAGTCGCAGTCTTGGGTTATGTCTGCCCGCCTGGCTGGCCGAGAAAGGCAGGGTGCAAACGAGAAGGGTGGCTTTCTTCCTTCCCTGTTGCGATACGGCGTAGTTGGCTGTTGGCTTCTGTAGTTTGTTAGGAGACGCAGGGCCGGGCCGGCTTTTCTTTGTTGATTTCCTTTGCTGTTGCTTGCCATGGCAGGCCACGTTTGGGCCGAGGGGGATGTGATTGCGGAAATCATATGCATCTAGAACAGCGAGCCACAGCACTGAATATGCGTACTGCCGTTCTTGTTCTTTTATGCTGTACAACATAGTTACATGATGCATGATCAAGACCTTGAGGAGCACAAAATGCGTGTGCTCGGCTGGGATGCGTGCCACAGGCATACTTACATGTCGAGTCGTACAAAGCAAGTCCTGCAGGCAGGTATCAAGACCTCTCTTCTTTCAGCCCACAGCACAGAGTTTATCTAGGTATGTTGCTTGTACAGATCGTATCGAGGTGACTGGGGGGGGGTGAGATGGTGGGCGTGCTCGGCCCTTGCGAATACTCCTTTTGTAGGCTTAGTCCACTCTTCCACAGCAAGCGAGCGCAGTGTGGTGACAATATTCTGCATGTGTGTGATTGCCCCACCTCATCATCCCTGTTTGTTCGTTCGATTTTTGTTTTTCGGATAGAGAGAGAAATTGAAAGGGGAAAACCAACACAATTGGCCGGGTAGGTACCTACTTACGACGGACTTTTGCGACACGGATAAAACTTGGCATTTCGTGCGAAGCATAATGATGGAATTGATTGGATTCGAGAAAGACGAGAAAGCAGAACCCCCCTGCCATCATTGCGCCTGGGGAGCATGAGAAAATTAACTACAAGGGATTGATTGATTGATTGGCAGTTATTATAGCGAGACGCGACTTGTGGCCTGTAGCCTGTAAGTAGTGTCAGCACTTTAGGTTTTGCGACCGAGATAAGCATATGTAAAGTAGGTACATTAGTTGGTGGTGTGTATTGCACTAATGAGACGAGTGGCGTGTGTGTGTGTGTGTGTGTGCCCAGTAGAAACGGAAAAAAAAGAACAAGAGAAAGCACACCCCAGCAAGCCCGTCTGACCGGGGATCTTTCCTTTTTGTCCCGCGCCTAAAATTGCGATTCCCACATCTTTCCACATCCAGCTCTACCTACGGAGTAACTAACGTTATGCCACACCAGCAGCCACTCGCTCCTGCTTTCCACAACCAACGTCGCCAGCCCAGCAGCCCAGCCCATCGAGCACATGACCGTACGACTTTCTTGAGCCAACGCATACTGCCAGACCTACCACCTACATCAACACAACTCGTGTTTTTTTTTTTTTTTGTTTTTGTTTTTTGGTATTCGTCGACACAAGATACCAGAGACTCGAGTCCCCCCCCCTCGTGACTCTCCCCTCCTTTACCTCGCGCCATCAACTCTCAATCTCACCCAGTCCAACGTAGCATCTCCGGGGGTTCAGCCACCCGACTCATAACCCCTGCCCACAAGAAACATTCCCATCTCAATATCGCTGTAGTTAGCGACCCAGGGTCGGGGGCCATCCTGGAACGGCGGATCTTTGCCTCACCTGGTACACCTCACCTTCTCTTCACCTCGCCCGACGGCCACGACAACGTCAACACTACAAGGTCAACGCGCTTACATTATCTGCTCTAACAACACTCGTCAAAACGGGCTCTACATCAACGCGACAACGCCGCAACACGAGTGCAACGCGACTGCGCGTTGATGAGATGGGAATGGGATCGAGAACAGGCCTCTCACCGTCCTTTTCCCTATCGCAGCCTCCTTCGCTGATCTGATCCCACGCCTGCTTCCCGGCCACTCTGCGCGAGGGATCTTGTTTGTCTGTTCGATGTAGGTTTGTACTCAAATAGCAACTTTGACCTTTCAGTCCATCCCTTTATACCCGGCGCTTGCAACATTGGATGAGCTACTCCGACGCTGGCACACCCTGGTCCTTTGCAGTAACCAGGGTTCTTTGCTTTTTATTGATCCCGGCAGACAAGCAATATATGCACAATCTCCCATCTCCTTCAGCTTCTACCGGTTGTTCGCCCATCATCTACTTCTTCCACGATCGCTGAAGCTTTCAACCGAGGCGTATTCTTGAGAGAGTCGTCGCGTTCTCTCATCCACACGTGCTGGCCAAAGCCAAGACGCGTTACACTCTGGTTTGATTCACGAAAGAAATACTGTAGTCTCTTCTCGAATTTGACTATTCGACAGTCACTGGCCTCTCCGGGTTCTCAACATCCCTTGTCAAAAAACCGCTCTGCCATATCTGCCAATCTCCACTCAGCCTCCCCTTCGCTTGAACAATCACATCTCCGCCATCTTCCCGATATTGGTACCGCGCGCTGACGACGACGATTAGGCTCACAAGGTTCTCGTTCCTCGCAGAATGGACGAGAACCACTCATGCTCTGCAATTGATGATCAGCTCAACATGTCTCAGTTGGATATGGAGCCGGAGATGATGTTCCCGGTCAGAGTTTGGAATGCAGAGCTTGATGGCATCGAGGACTACTACCACCAGCTCAAGACTGCCGAAGATGAGGCCTACAAGAGTTTCGTTGAGCAACTTGAGCTCGAGATACAACAGAAGCGAGAAGATCAGATGGCAACATTGAACGCCGAGATCCATCAGTACATGCACTCGGTCCAGGTCAACATTGATCAGACACTCAAGGAGTTGAAAGAGCTGAAACTTCGGCAACTCAAGGTGGAGCATGCCAAGAAGAAACTGGAGCTGGATAATGCACAGAAGAGGGCACGCGTGAATCACCTGGAAAAGCTGGGCACGGATTTCAAGTTTCGCAGTCAGCTATCTCCTAGCGATCCCTCGGTACGGTTTTCTAGCCTATTCATGACAGCTGCACAGGACATGTTACTAACTGAGATAGCCTGGACATGCGTCGCAAGGTCGTCAAGAACAGAACGCTATTCCCGACCACCGCAACGAGCCGCAACCAATTCACTCCAGAGAGGCTGAGGCTCCAGGTACGACGGACGCAGCAACCACCAACGGATTTCGAAAGGAGCATCCGAACAACATTGATGGTGGCGGAGATTTAGAGACTACTGGATCCCAGGAGATGGACGTCTCGGACAAGCTCCAAGAGGCCCAAGAGGCCCCTACTGGTACACGAAGCAAAGTGAGTCTGAGCTCGTTAGTGTCGATTCCTACCTGGTATTGACTTCTTCTAGGGGAAACGTAAAGCCAGCCATGCGTTGGAAGAGACTTCCTCGGGTAGGCAGAAACGAACGAGGCGTGTTGAGCCAAACGACGTCCCTCCAGACCCGGCCGCCTCGGTTGCTGGCGACGAGAGTAATGCACGTTCTCGGCCCCAGCGGAGCGCTGCACAGCCCAAAAAGCGCAGTGAGCGCCGCACGATCTCGTTCGACGAGGTCTACCAGGACGGCCAGGCTGAACATAAACACATGATCATCGAGTACCCTACCGACAGCAACAAATGGTACATCCTTAGGTGTGATGAGCACGGTGTCCATTTCGGTGTTGATCCTCTGCGCGGTGCATCTAAGCACATCAATGTTGCGGAGCACGGATATCTGCAGAAGAAATTTGACCTGGCCATTGACATCTTAGGCCATGTCGTATTCGACTGCGACCGGGAGCTCGCCGAAAAGAACAACGCCGTGACCTTGGAATACTTCAAGAACGGGGGAAAACCTTTCAATGCCAAGTACCTCTCCAGGATCCAGAGACTCGCCCATGGTTTCGATACGGTTGCGCGGACCCCTGCTACAAGCGTCCCTCCCAGGCTAGAAGAGACTCCTGACAGCACTCCCAAGGCGACGGCAGCCACTGCCGCCAAGAGCCCGAAAGTGTTCAGCGGTATCACGGATCCCGTTGCCGGCGAGCTGTATCTGGGCTACTGGAGCAAGACAAAGACAAAGTACCCCATCCTTATCTGTCCAATGCAGGGCGACATCGAAAACGCCACAGGCATCCCAGGCACCTTGGCAAGCATCAACATGGTAACCAACGCGCCACGCTGCATCCGGGTCCGCAGGTCGACCCAAGAGATCATTGGCTGGGCTGCAGGCTTCGAAGGTGGCGGCCAGCATGTAGAGAAGCGAGAGTTCCCCGTTGTCTATCTCGACAAGAAACAGTAAGGCCCCACGAACATAGCGAGTGAGACGTGCTTTGCTGATGGTCGTGACTCTAGGCAGGTCGGTTGGCTCGCCGTCAAACACATTTCCCGGTTCGACTTCGAAGATCCAGAGGCCGATAATATCCCCAACTTCTTCGCGGCTCGAGATATTTACGCCCGACTTAGGGGCTACGCAGGAGGCTACGAAGCCCTCGCTGCAGCGCGAGCCGCCTCCTGCAGAAAGAACCCCCAAGCTGGTAATTTTGCTGTTCTTCACCCTTGCAGGACATGGTCTAATGCGCATAGAAGCAGGTGACAGCCCTCACGGCAGTGCCGGTGTGGAAACTGCCGCACGACGCTCAGTCTCGCATGAGGCGAGTCATGATGGTGAGCGGAGCCCAGCCCAGAACCGTCGGTTGGAAGAGGCAGGTGACGGCAATGGCTCGGACGATGCCGAGGATAATGGCTCGGATGAGATGGAGGAAGATAGTGCGTCCATGGTGGCGCCCGGTGAGATGGAGACGCGAGAGACAACCTTTTCCCCCGTGGGTAAGTTCTCATTAATAGAGCTCCTACACTGCGATTTTGTTTGATTATGGGCTAACCCTAGGCTGTGAAGCGACGAGCACAACGGCGCAAGCGCCGGTTGGTTCTGAAAGCAGCACATCACAACACCCACAAAAGGATGAACAGCTGCCCGACCCTCGCCAGGCAAACGATATCAACCCCGAGCTGCGTACATTGCCCGAGTCACAGGACAATGCGGTAACAAAGCTCGGAGAGCAAGCGTCTGCTACAAATCGCATCGCCTCTCCCGCTTCTGTCGATAATCCAGTGCCCGCCGGCGCCGCTCCTGCCGTTGCGGCGCACAATATACCTAGACTTGCAGATGCAGATGCCGCCAACGACGAGCTCTCGGAGCCCCGCCCGCAACGCACAGCGGCGGATGGCCCGAGCATAGCTACACCACCAACCGAGCCTCCTCGCACAACTAGTGCAGGCCTTCCTCCTATCCAAGGGTCGGACCTCACCAACCGCCAAGCACCCATCCAAGCCACTGAGAAAGAGACTCACTCTGACAAGCCTTTGTCCTCTGATGACTCGACAATGTCAAGAGAACCACAACAGAAACTTGGCACTACTAACAGCCAGCCTTCGAGACGGTCTCCTAGTTCCCATCCAGAACCCGACGTCCGGACAAGGCCGCCACCGACCAATCCCACTCAACTTGACACAGCACAGAACCGCAAAGTGCCGCTTAGCATCCAAGATATCTTGGGAGCCGATGTTAGTCCCATCAGGCCTCCTCCTGGATCTTCGGGATCTGCGCTTAGTCAGGGAGCTGCGAGCAGGTCTCTTTCTCCTTCTGTTGGAAGAACGGGACAAGCATCGACCTTGCCGCCGCGTCCGACGTCGGTACAGCCAGGAAACTCAGTCCCCTTCAGACCGGCAGATACAGCCGCAAGTCTCAGGAATGGAAGTGGTAGCGGCAAACCGCCTCCGGCAGGCTATACGAATGGCCGTGGCCAGGCGGCTGGTCGCCCGGAGCCATCCAACGCTCCAACTTCGACGTCACGGGTCACGACGCCCAAGCCTACACCGACTTTCATCCGCGGTGACAGTACCGATCAGCGATGGAAAGCAGTGCGGAACCCCTCATATCCTACTTCGCCGCAGACGACACCGAGCCCTCTACTGGCGACAGCCGAGGCGTTGGGTGGCGCGCAGAGGGCACAGGCACCCACGGTTGATTCCCCGGCCGGCCTCGCCAGCGCGGGCGTGGGTGCAGGCCAGGTGTTCCACATCAAGGCCTACTCGGTCAAGATCAAGGAACAAGACCGGCCGACGAAACGTGGCTATAGTGGGGTTGGGCTGCCTTTGACTGTTGATAGGGACGGCCGTGCTGCGCGGGCCGTTGAGGGACATCCTGCCAACGATGCCAATGTGGTGATCAGCCCGGGCCGCATAGTGACGATGACGCTAGACACGACAGACCCTGGATCCACTAGGAGTGTGGCTGTAGAGGTCGCGGAGAGGGCGGACGCGGTGGTGCAGCGGCTCGAGTTCGCTCCGTACCGTGTGGGAGGGCCCGGAGGGCGGACCGAGTCGGGTACGGTGCAGGCGAGGCGGTTCTGCCAGTGGGTCAGAGCCGTCAATCACGGGCTCAAGTTCCAGCACAAGAAGTGATGAATGCTCGACGCATGATTCAGGACCTGGGAGGAGAAAGGAAGGCTGGCTGGAGTTTGATTGTTTTCAGGGTGTAGTGATCGGCATATACATATGGGAAGAAGGACTACGGCTATGGAGCATGGATCTCAACTGTCTCGTTGATCGAGGGGGTAATCGCCGTTGACGAGGGTGTATGAGGGATCACTCGGAATCAGGTATACCATGCACTGGAGGTTCGCTGGGACTTGCAACCTCTGGTTGTATTCATAATAACTTTTCCCTTTCATGGTGGTGTGTAGGCAATGCCTAGTGATGACAGTGGTGAGATACAGGGATGGAAACAGTAGTGCTTGTCGTCACTAAAAGCCGACCTCTTGATTGCAATATTGCAATGTTTACAATGAATAAAGTATTCTACTATTATTTTGAATTGCTCTAGTCAATTAGTCAACTGGTGTTGGTTGGTTGATTGATTGGGTGCGTGTAGCCAGATTTACATGTGTCAGTGTTTCGGTACGGATCACATGTAAATTTGCTCTTGTCCCGAGAAACGCATAACCATTAACTACCTAGTAAGGTACACCAGACCTTCCGGTTACAGTGGTCTCACGTGCGGGTCATCATCAGCTGGAGCGATCCATGGTACGCTTGCGTACTTCCCGCTGAATCGCGTGCGCCTCGATGATGTGAGGGTGTGTCTGACCTTGTTCTGTGCTCCTTACAACTCTTCTCTTCTTCATCTTTTCTTTTCGCCTTTCCCGCCCCAACACCTCTGTGGCTGACTCTATTTCCATTTTGCCCGCTCTCGCTCTTCTGGACGACGAATGCGCAGAGTTGACCGCCACAGGTGCTTCTACGTCGTTGTCCAATTGGCCGGAAGGCAGCCAGCTGGCGGCAGCGGGCGACGGGGATTGCCCCTGCCTTCAAGTTACCTACCCAAGCTCCCAAGTTGCTAATTATCCTGCCTAGCCCTGGACGCAGCCCGCCTATGACGTGGTGACCAGGCGCCCATCCCGCTTTCCTTTAGGTGGTGGAGAGCTGCTGTGAACCCCGAGACCGCCCGCCAGATCAGGTTCGCACTGCGCGAGCTCTGCTATTCTCCAGCTTCTTTATGGCTGCCTTGGTGAGTGAGCGCCCTTCTGGCTTGAAACAGCATTTCATGGTACGATCGCCGTTATTGGGCTTTGGTACTTTTGGCCAGTTATGCGGCACTCACCCCGTGATTGCGAGACGATCATCCAGGCCAACTCAACTAGAGAGCAGAGCAGCGTCAGCGAAGGCTCGCGCCGCGCTGCCGTGGATTCTGTCCGCGACCGACGTCACGTCACCTCGGCTGGCTCTCTGCCTGGAAGCTTCGCACCATGATATGCGCCAAAACTGTTTCTTGCCTTTTCGTCTCATCCCCGGTCTGACCTGTCACTAATCTTAAGCCGCTCCGTTGAGCAGGATACTCCTTGGCTGAACCTCATGACGACGCCTCGATCCCAGCGCAGCGAGCCGCTGGACCTCTCCTCGTCGCCGCCCTTTAACCGTCCCGACACACCCTCGCGCGCCTCGCGCAACGCCGCGTACGATGAGGGCCCTGCGAACAGCCCAAATCCTACCTTCGCGACCTTCTCTCCCACCACCCTCTCCTCTGCGACGCCTTCCGCCACATCAGCGGCTAAGCGCCGCAGCACCGTCCTCGTGCACCAGAAATCTCCTCTCCTCCTAGCCACCCCGCCACAGATCACACGCGCGCTCGCCTACAGCCACCCGTTCCTGCTGCCTCTCAATAAGCTCGTGGGGTTGCTGAGTTGGACCACCGGCGACCCATGGGAGAGCTTCATACTTGTGTGCGTCTGGTGGGGCGTCGTGCTGTACGGCGATGTTGTCATCCGCTTTGCAGGGCCAGTCGTCCTGGTTCTAACCCTAATAGCTGGCATGTACGGCCGGCGATACAGCCCACTCAGCACCAGCGGATGGGGCGAGCCGGGCTCCAACAAGGAGGGTGCCAGCGACGCACAGCCTGTTGCCAATCAGACCAAGACCAAGGGAGGCTACGTCAAGAACAAAGGCATGACCATGGATGGCTCCGCCGCCAGTTCCTCAGCTAAGGGCAACGCGAACAACAGCGCGGGAGGGCCAGGCCATCAGAGGAGCGCGTCATCTGCCGAGGCGACCAACACGCGCCACCAGAAGACGCTGGATGAAATTGTCGAGACCCTGAAGGAGTTCACGAGCCGGTGTAACATACTGCTCGAGCCTCTGCTCGAGCTGACAGATTTTCTCAGCACGCAGATCACAGCGACATCGGCGACGACGAGACCTGCCCTCACGGCTCTCTTCATCCGGATTCTACTGTGCACCCCGTTCTGGTTCGCACTGACTCTGCCGCCGTGGAGAATAGTCACGACGAGAAGAGTGGCTTTGGTGTTCGGAACCCTCATCCTGACATGGCACTCTCGTGTGATGCGGGTATCGCGGACAATTATGTGGCGCAGCGCCACGGTCCGGAGGATCACAGCTCTGATTACTGGACTAGACGTAGGAGGGCTGGACAAGGCGAGCAGCAAGTCCGTTCACAGTCAAGGAGGCGCCTCGCTTCCGGCAGACGGGTCCGCCGCAGTAAAGACGGCGGGCCGCGCGCCGACGCCACAAGAATCAGAACTCACCAAGGCGATTAGGAGAGCCAAGGGAGGCCATGATGCTGGCGTGCGATTCACCTTTATCATCTATGAGAACCAGCGACGTTGGGTGGGCCTGGGTTGGACTACGAGTCTGTTCGCCTATGAGAGGGGCGCATGGACCGACGAGCACAACAATGCTGTGCCTCCGCGCGACGAGTTTGAACTGCCCGAGGTGGAAGATGAGAGCAACATGCGCTGGCGGTGGGTCCAGGGCAGCAGGTGGAGGGTCGATGGTGTGCCTGACGAGGCTGTCAAAGTCGTCAAGCCTACGGGGAATGGGGAACTCGGAGAGAAGGAGGTGGAGTGGGATTATGACGGCGAGGGAGGCCGGATGGGGTGGATCTTTTATGACAACAAGGTGAGTAGTGATAGCAGTAGAATCTCGTGTTGGACCGCGAGAAGCAGCAAAGCTAACCGATCTTAATAGTGGCAGAATGGCCGTCGCGGCCAAGACGGATGGGGCCGTTGGACCCGTCGTCGCAAGTGGTACCGTGATGCGGAGCTTGTCGAAGCCTCGAATCAGACAGAGGACACAACTCCGACGCCGCCACAGAGCGCGCCTGTGCTTCCGCCGCGACCGAGGTCGCCAAGCGGATCATCTACTCACGCCCGCTCCGTCTCTAGCGCTAGTCTGAGCATGCCCAACATTGCCGAGCACGAGGCTGAAAAAGTCGAGGAGGATGACGCCGTGTCGCTCATGTCGACCTCGCCCCGCTCAGTGCGCAACATGAAAGGAGGAGTGGCCGCGCCGAGCCTCCGGAGACGGGTTACTGACTCGAGCCGGGCGAGTGGACGGTCGCGCCGGGCGAGCGAAGCGGCGAGCGAAGACGACGCTGCCTCTCTGGGCACGCGGGTTGGGCTCGAGATACAGGGTGCTGGCAAAGAGGGGTGGGGGATTGGAGACGAGGCCAGGATGGGCTTGGAGTAGGGATTAGTGGGGTTTGAATTGCATGCACCTGGGTTTAGACGAATAGGACTTATACCCCGGAAACATCGGTTGCCTGACCTGGTTTTACTTGCACGCACGCGCGCCAGACTGGATGGCCTAGGTCGAACGGACAAGGATGCATACATTTGTGTTTTAACGACATGGCTGGGCGGTTGGGAGAACCACACTGTACCTGCTATATCACGTCCAAAAGTGGTTGGTGTCTGTGGCGCACTTTGATCGCCATGGTGGGCATTGCCGGCTATGTGACACTTGGCGGGACGGCGAGTCTATCTATATTATCTAGGCTTAATGGCCTTCGAGTAGATCACCCGGGCTTGGACTGCTGGCCCCTCTGTCTAAAACACCACAGCTGCAGATTTTGAGCCTTCTTTAAATATACAAAGCGCCGGATCGAGAAGACCGTCTAGGAAAAGCAGTGACCGGGCCAGCAGCATGAGATACTATACCATTCTCGCCCTCATTTGGGCGAGCTGTGTCACATCCCTTCCCTTGACCGGCATGTCGACGCAGCAACACATCTCGGCCGCGTTTGAGGTGACCTACTTTTACGCAGGCATCAATGCAGGAACCACGGAATGCAGGTCTGCCACGCCTTCAGAGAGAGACCGCCTTGCTCTTCCTTGCTGACCACGGACATATCCGTTCATGATACAAGCTACCGCTTCCACGTACAGCCGCCTGAGTCCGCCACGGAGACGAGGTGCGCAGCAGACGAGACGTCCCCAGCCGGGGCGCTGGCGGACGTGTCTCGCACCGCCTGCGAGGACGCGAGTGTATCGTTCCAGCTGAGGTTCGCGGCCGGCGACGGCGGAGCCGTTCTCGAGGTGTGGGGGCCACGAGGACACTACGGCCGCTTCGAGATGCCGCAGAGTTGGTTCAAGTGGGTGACTGCCGCCGAGGTTGGGAGCCAGGAGCTGTATGTCGGGCCGTCCAAGTTTAGCGTTGGGGCTGTGTAGCAGAGTCTGGTTGAAGGTGAACGACACGAATCTCTTTGAAAGCAGCCGAGTGTTCAGTCGGCAGATACGAATATTTAGGGCACATCTTTCCGACGAAACTAGCCAGTACAGACACGCGCGTACAGGGATGAACCTATGCTAGGGAAGCAGATGGTCAGAAGCCCTTTTCCGGGAGACATTGGTCAGTAAGATTTTGAGTAGATCGGGGGTTGAAGTGGAGTCCTTGAATCCCTGAACTAGCTTCTTAACTCTACAAGTATGCTTTGCAAGGGTTGCCTGGGGTGTGGCGACATCGCATATGTGATTCAAAGAACCGGCGGGCCGTGCTGCACCGCATCTTTCGCCGGAAGAGCAGCATATCGGATAATGGTCAAGCCCATACCAGGCCAGCATGTCGCCGAATTTTCCAAGTTGCCGATAATTATGGGACTGTTGTGCAGTTCGAGGGAAATACAAGGTAGAGGAAAATGAGAATCTACCATTCTTCACGCATGAGTCATTGATAGAGTGCAGACTGATAAGTGAAGTGCTGTTGTATCAACCTTCACGACAGAAGAGACAATCACTTGAAACTTGACAATCCCGCTTTGAACTAATGTAATCCCAACATGTTAATCAATTCCCATTGCCTCCGTAATCCGGCTGATCACCATCAAACTTCTCAACTCAGAATGGAAAGTCTGATGCCATGTTCACCCCGTGTATTGTATCTCCAAACCACGTTCTACTAGGGAAGTCATTCTCGCTGACACATCTCGGGTTGCACCTGTCGTACACCTACCCCTGAGATGGTCAAGAAGTACAGCGTGACCTATGATGCCAAAGCGGCATATAGCCAGGACGGACCTATTCACGCCAGCTATGAGCCTTATCAATTTCCCAAGCAGAGTAAGTGGGCCTCTTGTAGCCATCATGACTTATTGGAGAACATTCAACTGATACAACGAGCTAGGGATTCTATGGGAGACCCTTTAAGGCGGCTCTTGGTGTAGAAGTTCAGAGGGAGCATGCGGATGGCCAGGCCTACGACCTAATCTGGGTGCCCAACTCCATCAACTTTGCCACTCAGCGACGCTCCTCTGCAAAGACTGAGCACCTCGAAGCCCCAGGAGCTGCAGGGTCTCGTTCCAACTTCCATCTTCTTCCCAGCCACCGCGTCACCCAAGTACTCATGCAAGAGCGGCACAAAGGAGACGAGAGGACATGGAAGGCGACGGGAGTCAAGATCACGGCACGTGGTGCTACTCCGAAAACAGACTGCTATCCGACCAACTTCTGGAACATCACTGCCACGCGTGAGGTTGTCGTCTCCGCTGGAACCCTACACACGCCTCAGGTCCTTGAACGAAGTGGTATTGGTGCCAAAGACATTCTCTACGCCGCTGGTGTCCCGGTCCGTGTCAACTTGCCCGGCGTGGGCTGGAACCTCCAAGATCACATGAACTTTAACATGCAGTGGAAGTGTGGGTTGTGTTCCTGCTTGAACCAGGAGAATTTATTTGATGCTAATGTGTAAAAAGACAACAAGCGGGTCTTCCCTATGCCGGAGGACCTACAGAAGAATGCAACATTCGCTGCTGAAGCACTGGCCGAATGGAACGCAAACAAGAGTGGTAGGTCGGCGTTCTGGTTTACTTTGTGTTGACATCATGTAGCATTGGGCTCAACACTATCCAAACTAGGTCCATATACCGTTCGTTACAACAATGGAGCCTTTCTCTCGCTAGCCGTTGTCACCGAAAAGGCCGACGCGATTGTTGCCGAGATCCTTGGTCAGGATGTGGAGCCTATTCTCCCTCTTCATCTCGATCCTACGCTTGTCGCTGGAGTGAAGGAGATGTACAAGGTCATCGCCAAGCAATACGCTTCTGGCGAGTCTGCCGTTGTCGAAATCCCGCTTGGCACCGCCGATGTGAACCGTATTGTGTCCCTCAAGGTTCTGAGCCGCGGGAGCATCCATATTGGTCCTCGTGACGACGGCTTCACTCAGGGCGACGAAGAGCCCATCCTGGATTACCTCACCTTCAGCAACCCGATCGACAAGGGGGTTGTCATAGAGATCATCAAGTTCATCCGCGAAGTAATGTCGTCAGAGCCAATTATGTCGACCCTGGCTCCAGAAGAAGTATTGCCGGGGCCTCGGTGAAGACTGACAAGGAGATTGGGGATTGGTTTCTCGACAACATCAGTCCTGGTCGTGCCCACCCCGTCGGAACTGCTCGTATTGGCCCTCGTGAGCTGGGTGGTGTCCTGCGTCCAGATCTAACTGTTTACGACACCTATGGGCTCAGTGTGGCAGACAATTCTGTCATACCCATCATTGCCTCTGCGCACACTGCAACGAGCGCGTATGCCATTGGAGAAAAGGTGCGTTCTAAGCGAGACCGAGTGAATGATACACTGTGCCTAACGGTCAATAGGCTGCTGACCTGCGCTGAGGCTGGCCATTGCAGCTAAAGTTGCTACCTGGTCTAAACAGGTATGGAATTGGATGCTAGCTCCGAAATATAGCCATGATTAAGGACAAGATGAAGTTGTAGCGCTGGTTGAAGGCAAAGTACATTGAAATCAAGCTATGGAAGTGGATGGAGCGTATAGTAGCAAGAAACTCGCCTCTGTCAATCCTCCCGATATGAGCCATCCTTCTTTGGAAAGGCTTTGACCAGCTCGTTCTGGTGTATGATCTCGGCCCTCGCTCCATCCCAGGTTCTCCTCTTGCCAGTCTCAAAATACCTAAATGCGTGAGCTGTCTCGACGCCATTGTTCATCAGGTTGTACATCTTGCGATCCTTGAACCAAAACACCCATCCCTTCCAGCCCCAACCGAGATTTTCCATGCCTGTGCCGGCAGCTTTGTGAAGCCAGCCCTGAAACTCCCACTGTCTCACACAGCTTACATCGATCGTAGGATCTTCAGCCCAGCGGCTCGCCACCCATGCTTGGTGTTTGTCAATGTGCTGCTCCATCTCCCTCCTGGATGGCAAGTGCTCTACCCCACGAAATACGTTGCTGATGGCCATGGACGTCACATCGGCAAAGGAGAAGCCGTTATTCTTGCCAAAGGCGCTGTAGTTCAGCACCACACAGCTGTCGGCATATTTCGGCGGGAAGAGATTCATATACATCCTGTAGATAGGGGGCCCAGCATAACCATGTGCCGTTGGCTTGCTTGTTTCGACAAATGGCAGCGGACCCCAATCGGCCCTATAGCCGGTGCACATTATCACGGCATCGACATCTTCGATGACGCGTCCGTCCGCGAATTCTATGGCGCGCGGACCGAGGAAGCGCTTTATCCCGTGGAGGGATTCAACAGTGCCGTCTTGGAGTAGCGGTATGACATCTTCCCACGAGCCGGGGAGGTGGAGCACCAGTGAAGGGAACGGCTCTAGTCTCCAGGCCGGGTCGAGCTTCCCAAACAAGCTGCGAGCCAGCCAGGAAGCAGCGGCATCGGCAACGATGCGAGACAAGCGCGGGAGGTGTCTCTGCATGAAGTGGCTCAGGGCTCGGCGGCGCCAAGTGATGCCAAGATCAACCGGAACGCCGCCTCGAAATCTCTTGAAAGGGAGAGCGCCTCTCCTGTGTGAGATGTACACTTTGGACGCGTGAGGGACAAGGTCTGGGATTATGTCTCCACTAGAGCTGTGGAGACCGAGAACGACGACATTCTTGCCTTTGAACTCGTCCGGGCTAGATGCCAACTGTTCAGCACATGGAGGGTCTTGAACAAATCAAAGGTTCGGTGATACTCACCTCCTGTAGCTTTGAGCATGGATGATCTTGCCCTCGAACTTTTCTTGACCTTCAAAAGTAGGGAACTTGGCTATCGTCTGATAGCCGTGACAGAAGACAACTTTGTCGAATTCGTGGATCTCAATCTTGCCTGATCTATCAACCTCGACGTTCCACTTGGCGTTATCCTCATCTCTGGTCACTAGGTTGACATTGGCATTGAATACAATGTCCTGGTTCAGGTCGAAGTGCTTCGCGTAGCCTTCCATAAACTCCTGAAACTGAGCCGGCTTCATGTATGTTGGGAAACCTTTAGTGAACAGGAAGTGGTCAGTTCTGAGATGCGGCTTTGGGTATCTTCGATGCTCGCTTACGGTCGGGCATGGGATAGTCGGTATAGCCGCATGTGAATTTACTGATGTTTGCACGGGTTCCTAGTTCCAATTAGTACCGTGCACGTCCTACAAGGCCGCGGGCTGTTATAATTGTCCTTACTCGGCAGGGCAGTTGTGTATGATGTATTCTCATTATAGGCCCATAGGCCTCCCACATTTGGCCGTCGCTCGAATGCTGTGACGGCAAAGCCATCTTCGCGCAGGCACTTCAGCATCGACAAACCCGAGGGACCTGAGAGGCAATGTCAGCCAAACATTTAGTCCGGACTTCTAGAGGGTTTCAAGCTCGAAAGTCGTCCTACCAGCGCCGATCACTGCCACTGAAGTCCGTTTGGCAGTCATGGTTACTGCGAGTGAACGCGGAGGAAGGCGACTAAAACAAAGTACACCACTCTCGCTTTTGTCACCTGGTAGTGTAGCTACACTTTCTCGCCCACAGATTTCGTCGAACCAACCCAGGCTGTCTTGCCAAAAAGCTGCAATGAAATGACCGGCGCCCTCGGAGTCCAAGAATTTACGAACCAAGTACGACAATGGGGGATTACATCCTTACCACTTTTAACAACGACGCAGCTTATGTCAGGTGACTCGAGATCCCGGTCTCCCACCCACAGCTACCTAATCCGAGCTGGAAAAAGCGAGCGCAGGGGTGATGGCCTGCCTTGCCGAAAGCGGATGATGCGTTGATCGACTCTAGCCGAATATCAAAGAGGGTCATCATCCCACCCTAGCCAATTTCTATTCTTGTCTACATCATATTCCCCGGAAATCAAGCCAAAGTGCATTTGGCTCCAGCGCCAGGTAACATGAACTACTGGGGGGAAAAACGGCCCGTTTGATCACTCCCGAACGTAGCGTATCACACTACTGCAAGCTATGAATTGCCTACAGACTTGGTGGTATATAAAGGACTGATTGTTTCCAAAGAGCTGGTCCCAATAGACCCCTTCCATAGATTTTTCATTTACCTCTTGAAACTTGCAGAATCGTTATGAACACTTAATCCCCATATGCCATCCGTGGTCAAGGCTCTTGCGATGAGCCGCGGACTTGAGTCATATCTATTACAACCTCGCATGCTGTCATATTCCGTGGAATCTCAGCAGCCGTCCTTCCATGCATCAGCGCGTCGGCACCCCACACTAGACATTCTGTTTGTGCTGATCAGGATATGCATGAGGTGGTAGATGGCCCTGACCTTGAGCAGCAGGGCCGTAAATGGCGAGTTCGAACTCTCTTTGGCTGATTTCTCACTCGTCATATGCGCTCAGGCTGTGGCCTCAATCAAAGTACTAGCCTGATCTTGTATGATTGCTAAATCCTGCCTTGGGTGCATTTCCAGTATCTTGGAGGTCAGGGTAAACAAAACATTCCTGCTAACAGCGAGGCCTTTGTAGTTGTTCAGCTACAAGCCACAGTGAGCAAATAAGATTTGCATAGGCTTCCGTCCGGTGACAGTTCCTGGACTTATGAACGGGCAACGCCACTTCTGCTCTAGAAGTATCTTTGTGTGGTCGTCTCAAGCTTCCAGCTCAGATTGAGTACTCGGCTCTAAGCGCGAGATAAAAGGGAGATAAACGGACTAGTGCAATGATAGAGCACTAATTGTGATGTGGATCATAGTAGTGTTCCTAATAGTCTCCGTAGAAACAGATACGCTTCCGCTTTTAACGCCCGAGATCTTCACGGCCTCTAGTTGTACATCCGTTGATTACTTACCCCGCTCCCCCAGTAACAGATAACCACTTGCTCTGTTCCCCAACAGCCTATTTCCCTCTGGTTGATGTGAAGAAGGGTTCTAGGCGAATGTCTTCTTCAAAGTATACTGCATAGAAGCCTCGAATCATCGCTACACGCGCATTGTTCCGATAACGAATCCTGATCCCAGGACAAACGCTGCGCTAATAATCACCAGTCAACCTGACCACACTCTGCGACAGTATTCCTGATGGCAGCACCCGTGGTCGAAAATATCACTCTCCCAATCCCGGGTCATGGGAGCCTGCGAGGCGTACGATGCGGTACCTCAGTGAATAGGTTCCTAGGTGTACCCTACGCCCTCCCTCCCATAGGGCCCCGACGTTGGCAAAAGCCTGCCGCTCTGCCGCCAGACTTTGTGTATGGCGAAAACGGCGCTCCTCTCGACTGCACAAAGCTTGGCCCCATATGTCCACAGCCAGATTATGTGATGAATGGGACAAATCTCTCGGCTGTGGAGGGTGCATCGGTAAGGCAACAAGCGACGTGCTGCAGGCTTCCAACCTGCGCGGACTTGGCTGGAGCTAACACTATCACGCAGAATTCCGAGGATTGTCTCTTGCTGAATATTTGGGCTCCAGCAGCCAAGCAGCACAGCAGCCAAAAATGGCCTGTGTATGTATGGCTCCATGGCGGCTGGTTACAAATAGGGAATCCTTGCCACACGCCTCGGACTGACCCTTGGGAGCTGGTCGACAAGTCGGGGGCCAACCTACAAGCGGTTGTGGTGGCTGTTGGGTATCGCCTCAACATATTCGGGTTCTTAGCCGGAGAAGGTGTCAATGGCAACTTTGGACATTGGGTAAGTGTCTCACGCCATATGATATGTCGGTTCACAACTCACCGTTCTGTGGGCTATCAGGATCAGCGATGTGCCCTGGAATGGGTACAAAAGCACATTTCGAGCTTCGGAGGTGATCCACATCTGGTGACTTTGGGAGGTCTCAGTGCTGGTGCCTTGTCAACACATTACCAACTGCAATACGAGTTGCTCCATGGGGCCGAGTCAACCCCGTTGTTTCAGAATATCTTCATGTGCTCCAATGCGATCTCGGTAAAGGAAGCCAGGCTCCGTTTTCCAAGAATATGACTGACCATGTGAAATATTGTCAGGTTCAACCTAAATCAATTCAAGAATGTAAGCTTTGGGCGTTTCAGAGTGTGAGGAAGCGAAGACTGATGATATCCCAGCGGACTCCCAACTGCAGGACGTCTTTTCTGTGTTCAAAATTGACCCATCCCTTCCCGCGCAGGAGAAAATCGACCGCCTCCGTGCGATACCTGCGAGCGAATTAGTGGCTAGTTTCCCCTTGATGCGGTTGGACACGTTCCGTACGGTGACCGACGAGAACTTCGTTTTGCGCGACATGCTCAAGCTGTTGAGAAATGGCACAATAGCCAAATTGTTCAAAGAACGAGACATGAAAATTTTGATTGGCGAAGCTGAAAGCGAGGTATGAGACAATTGTCCTCTAAGAAGGATGTGCAAAACACACGACTGACAAGTCAATAGCATCACATGTATGCTCTGATCAACCCGCCTTCTTCCAAGAGCATGTTGCAAACGGCTTTAGAGAACTACTATCCAGCGGAGATCTGCAAGAAGCTGATTCCGAGATACAATTCGGGTGAGGAGCATGACGTTGGTCAGATTTATGGAATGATCACATCGGATGTTCAAGTTCGTGCGCCGATCAGAGCATTTGCCAAGACTCTTGTGGATGCTGGGGTTCCATTAAGCAATATCTGTCGGTACCGCAGCAGCTTCCGGGCAAAGTGCATCGATAGTCTTTACGATCCCAATTTGGGCGTGGTACGTTCATAGTCCTTCAGTTGTTCCAGGGCGCGGGTTTTGTGTGCTTCGATGCTGATGCAAAACATAGACACATTCTGTCGACATGTGCGTTTGGTGGTATTTGATACGTTTTGGCTATGACGAGCCAGAGACTGCGGCAACCAAGGACTGGTTATCGCGAACGTTAATACCCTTGGTCAGGGGCGATTCCATGCACCCGGGATGCTCCACCATTAAGCAGTATCTGGTGTTTAGGCCTGATGCCAGCATAGAGGTGGTGGATGATGTGTACTGGGATGACATGATAGCGACATCTGAACTATGTGCCGAGACAGCTTAGGCTAGCGAGAGCGAGACTAGAAAGAAACAACGCCGCAGGGGTGTGACTCTTGTACGGAGTACCTTATGTGACTCTTATCTGAGATGGACGTCCTGAGGCTTTGTGTGGGGGGTGAAATTCTGGGGAGGTACCGTCACGTGGACAACTACAGGTACGAAGTCGAGGTACCTAGGCTCGTAGGTACCGAGGATCGGACGGCAGCGCCACCAGGCCAATCAGGAGCTTCCTATTTGTTACGGCGTGCTGCTAATCCCCACTAGAAGATTTCTTGACTCCAGGATCGCGCCGGCTATCGCAATCCAGGCGAATTTTTGGGGTACTGCCACCAAAATTCTATGCGCGCCGCTATCCACCACGACAACGACTCTCTCCCAGCCCAGAACTACCTGCCTAGGTGATCGCTCCAGCATGAGATAGACGCCCATCTGTTTCTCCAGGCATAACCACCCATCATGGCTGCATTTGTGAGTTTCTGCCGTCAATTGGCTCGCTCCTGTCTGCCTTGCTCCTGAGCACCGGACAGCGCGAAGCTCCCATGTCCCGCGCCTCCACGCAAGGAATCCCGACTGACACACGGCGATATCTGTAGCGGAGAGCCATTGCTCTCTACTCCGTCCCGCGACTGCGGCCGCAGACGGTCAGGGCCTCCCCTCGACCTCTTTACGCCGCCCTGACCCTTCCTCGTTCCTATTCTACCACCGACCCTCGGAGGCAATACGCCTCCCCATCAAGCCTCCCAAACGCCCACGATGCCGCCGCCTTCCTCTCCTCCCAGCCGGCCACGCCCCCGGCCGACCCTCAGACCCTCACCGAGAAGATTGTCCAGCGATATGCCACAGATCTCCCCCCTGGCAAGAAGGTCAAGGCCGGCGACTATGTCACCATCCGGTAGGGCCCTCTGCTAAAAGGCAATATCGACGGAAGCTGATACAATAAATATCGCCAGACCTCATCGCATCATGACTCACGACAACTCGTGGCCGGTCGCTTTGAAGTTCATGCAAATTGGTGCTTCTCAACTCTATGATAATCGTCAGGTCGTCATGGTAAGTCATCAAGTCTTGCCACTGGCTTTGGCATCTGGTGGTTTACGTTGCCCGGGCGGTTCACCTACAGCGTCAGGGCTGGCCACATCTGCACCCTCCTCACGGGACGTACAGATCTCTATGCCACCACAAAGATCAACATTGGACGCTGGCATTGCTGCATACCCTTGACCGGATCAAATATCACCAAAGGTGCCTCGGCCGAGAGACCAATATGAAGAGAAGACTCGCCACTGTGAACAACAAGGTTTACCCTTTGGAAGCCCTGCAAATCAACTAGCATCGGTTGAGACTTTCTTCTTTGACAGCCCGAGTCACCTCATCTCCAACGAGGTTTGGGGACTACTCGGGTTTCCGATTTGGATTGGCCCGAAAGCTGAGACACCTTGAGCGATTTTGTCAAGGAGGCTCTAAAGATCTCCTGGCCGATCATTAAACATGAGCGCGCTGATGAGAAAGCAAAGAGGGAAGCGCGGTCAGCTCAGTCACATTGGTCTCCAGGGAGGTAAACAGATTTTGCGGTGATGCCAGTGCCGATTGTTGTTTCATTGATGGTATGGAGCGGATTTGGCAGGGCTTTGCTAGCCCTTGCGAGCCCTTGACATGGGAATAGCCTCAACCACACAAGATCATTAACAACGACTAATCTTTTCTTGTTCTTTTTTTTACAAACAGACCCTTGATCATGATGTCCAGAACGAGACACCGGCAAACCTGAAGAAATATAAACAAGGTGAGACTTCCTAGCGGCCGATCCGTTTCCAATTTGTGTTTCATGAGCACTGCTATTCATATATGGCCTCCGATCCAGCATTGTACGGATATCGCTAATCAAGGAATCTGCAGTGGAGGAGTTTGCTGCCCATCATGGTGTCAAATTGTAAGTATCAAGTACCCTCGCTAATAAGCCTCGTTCATTTGCTAGATATGTCTCATGGCCTGCTCCCGAGACATACTCTTTAGCATAACAACTTCAGATCATTCACTAACTCGACAACCCGTAGCTACCCGGCCAAGAGAGGAATAGGTACATAAAGACTGTCATAAGATGAGGTATTCAAGGAAGACGAGGCCGCTAATAGTTAGACAGGTCATCAAATCATGGTAGAAGAAGGTTGGACATCACTCGTGCCCATGATCGAAGACTGGCATGCTAATGGAAGAACAGGACACGCCTGGCCAACAACTCTGACTGTCGCCAGTGACAGCCATTCCAACCATTATGGCGGTATAGGAGCGCTCGGTACGCCAGTTGTGAGAACCGATGCCGCCAGTATATGGAGTACATCAAAAACATGGTGGCAGTCAGTACTTCCCCGGTGCTCTTACCAGTGCTCGACGTACTTCAGAAGCGAGCTCCTGTCCAAGAAACATTCCTTGAAACACCTTGCTTTGAAACACTATTCACAGTACTGCAAAGCACTCTCGGAGCGTCCGTTGCTAACGAACGATATGACAGAATTCCCCCAATTGCCAAGATTACGTTCACTGGTGTCCTTCCCCGCGGTGTCACTGGGAAAGATGTGATCGTTGCGTTGTGTGGTTTGTTCAATCAGGACGACGTCTTGAACCATGCCCTTGAATTCACCGGTTCCGACGAGACTTTGGCAAGCATTCCCATCGATGCTCGCCTCACGATTGCCAATATGACTACGGAATGGGGCGCGCTGAGTGGTATGGCTTAATAGTGAGGGAAAGCAGGCAATCGAGGACTAATGTCTGAGACAGGACTATTCCCCATTGATGATAAACTCATCTCCTGGTATCGCGCCAAGGCCACGACTGCGGCCATGTTGGACAGCTCCCTCAAGGAGCGCATCAACCACGAGCGCATCGACGAGCTTGTCAAAAATAAACTAGTTGCTGATCCGGGTGCATCATTTGCCAAGGAACTATACCTGTAAGTCTTCACTTGGCATAGCTGGTATTTTCCTCGAGTCTCATTTCACAAGTACCCCACGGAGATCAAAGGCCCATGTCATGAAGCAATCTTTCGGAGATGATTATTAACTCTCTTTCCCTAGAAACTTGTCAACCCTCTCCCCGTTCGTTGCGGGTCCCAACTCGGTGAAAGTTGTCACTCCAGTGAAGACTCTCGAATCCGAGGACATCCCTGTGGACAAGGCCTATCTCGTTTCGTGCACCAACGCTCGGAGCTCGGACTTCGCCGCTGCCGCTCGTGTCTTCCGCGAGGCAGCCAAGGATGGCCAGCCAGCCAAGATTGCCCCTGGTGTCAAGCTCTACATCGCCGCGGCCTCCATCCCCGAGCAGGAGGCTTGCGAGGAGGCAGGCGACTGGCAAGTTTTGATCGATGCTGGAGCTCAAGTTCTGCCCCCTGGATGTGGCCCGTGTATCGGTCTCGTACGTCAATCCCCCAAGCGGACTCGCAGGATTTCTTGAGGGCTAATAAAATAACCACCAGGGCACTGGACTTCTTGAAGACGGCGAGGTCGGCATTAGCGCTTCCAACCGTAACTTTAAGGGTCGTATGGGGTCAACAAAAGCAAGAGCCTACCTTGCTAGCCCGGAGACCGTCGCCGCCAGTGCTCTTCGGGGCAAGATCGCCGGGCCCGGCTGGTACGAGAAGCCCGAGGGTGTCGAGAAGGTTATCATTGGCGAGGGCAGCGGTGATCATGTTGCCGATAAGGCTCGATCTGTGGGGGATGCTCTCGATAAGCTCCTTGGCGAGGTCGATAGTATGATCGCCAGTGCTGAGGCAGGTGCTGAAGCCGCTGCAGCGTCCTCCAGTACGGCCGCGTCTGAAGGCGAATCTTTGACTGAAATTCTCCCCGGATTTCCTGAGAGGATCGAAGGCGAGATCATTTTCTGCGACGGGGACAATATCAACACTGATGGCATCTACCCGTAAGTACTTCCAACAAGTCACAGGCAAACCCCCAAACCACTAGAAGATGAGGTACAGAATTAACCGAGTTTGTCGTGATAGGGGTAAATACACCTACCAGGATAACATTTCCAAGGAGAAAATGGCCGAGGTGTGCATGGAGAACTACGATACCGAGTTCGGCAAGATCGCCAAAGCGGGCGATATCCTGGTAACAGGCTTCAACTTTGGCTGTGTAAGACCTATCCAATACAACCCCCTTCGTCTCGTAGACAGCAAATTCTAACTTGACCCAGGGTTCCTCAAGAGAGCAGGCCGCGACGGCCATCTTGGCGAAACAGATCCCGCTCGTCGCTGCTGGCAGTTTTGGCAACATCTTCAGCCGCAACAGTATCAACAATGCTCTCCTCGGCGTCGAGCTGCCCAGACTCGTACAACGCCTCCGTGAAGTGTACAAGGACGAGGCTGAGAAAGCTCTGACCCGCCGCACGGGCTGGAAGCTGCTCTGGGATATTCGCCGCTCCAAGGTCGTCATTACTGAGAAGGATGGCTCGACGTGGGAACAGAAGGTCGGCGAGATGCCCCCCAACGTGCAGGAAATTATCGCCTGCGGTGGGCTTGAGGGCTGGGTGAAGACTAAGATCGCGGCTTAGAGACGAACAAGGGCCCATGGTGATTAGATATTGTCTTTTCAAGTACTTACCCCTGGCGTTTTTCTTACTTGCCACGGCTGGCGTCCTTTAGAAACCAATTCTTTGTTGACTTCTCCAGGCTCAAAAAGTGTATAGTGTCCAGGGTCTTTCGCTAACTAACCAGATGGCCTCAGACATTCATCTAGTATCGCTCGCCCAAATCAACATTTCCATACGACGTGTTGAGACGGGCTTTGGGAGTTGAGATCCTGGCTGGGGACTCTCTCTGCTTGTGAATGCTACGGAAAGGCAGGCCATTCAATTTGAGAAGACCACTGGCCCAACCTCAGATTGAGTCTGAGGGGCCTCGATGGCAAACAAATAATGATGCCGATCGTCCAGTTGCCTGTGTCTGTAGATGGGACCCGATCATAGCCACTACAAGGCATGTACGCCTTTATGACTTGCCAAGGTGCAAGTGCAAATGACCGGAACTTCTAATTTCTTTCTGCTCTTGTCAACCTGATTAGCAATAAGCCATGTAGAAGCAATGCCACCACTGGTGCCAACTACCAATGGGTATCGGCCATTGCCTACCTATGTAAGGCCAATGTATATGTCAGCTGACTGCGAAGGGCGCGTTGAGAGAGGGGCATAAGGCGGCGAGGAGGGGCATTAGGCATCATCACAGGCAGCCTCGATGTCTGACCATCTTGTTTAATGCATGTCGCTACACCTGCGTGAAGACCATTAGTCGCCACCATCCCGGGTTGATCAAAGGACTGATGTAACATATCGTCTGTTACACCCGACTATGCGAGCTATGGAACATCAAGGCCAATATTTCGCCACCGAGGAAGACCACCTGGTCTCTGGAGTAGATACCTGGCGTCGTTCTAGTACCTCATATCGATTGAGCCAGCATGAGGATGACACCGAAAGTCAAGGGATTCCTACTACCGATGGCTATGAGCAAACCGATGGCGCAGCAAGCACCGAAACAGACATAATATCGCCAGCACAGTCGTCGATGTTCTCTACTGGGACCTCTGCAGATTTAGACCCGCCGAAGTCGATTCATATCCAGCCCCAACCACAGCCCAAGCATCAAGAAGCAGAAAGCAGAAAGCCCTAAGGTGCTCTACTGTGAAATCCCAGAGTGTCCATGGTCATTTGATACAAAGGATGACTGGATAAACCATATTATCAGTGACCATTATGGAGATAACTGCCCAGCTCAATGCAGTTGCTTGTTCTGTAACAAGCAATTCGATGCTGCGCGGACAGCTGGCGGTGATACACGGGCCAATTTTGCTAGGCGTCTCGAGCATATCAGCAAACATTTAATGAAAGGTGATACCTGGGAGTCCCGAGATGAGCAGCATGAAATAGGAGCTCACCCTGTGAGGTTGACTGGAGATGACCTACTCCGACCAAAATTCATTCCTGCAGACTACAGTTCTCCAAAACAGGAGAAAAGAAGACGAGATGAGAGTGATCGAATGGAAATCCAGTCTCGGCAAGATAGAAGACGACGCGCTGAACAGATAGATCATGCGCAAAAACAGCCCGCGTGGCTAAGAAAACCGCCTGCACCAGTCCATCATGCACCCGAGTATCATTCAGCAAAAAGGAGCAGCCACTCTACCGACGAAGATGAGGGCGAAGACGAACATGTGATAAATTTGACTTCTATCGATGTCAACCAGAGACTGCGATGCTTATCGACGAGTGATGTTCGGGGTCAACATAAGGCGGACAAGACTTCTATGCCCCTCCATGAGTCTTTGGGATCAGAAGGGTCTGGGATGCATGACATATCCGACCCCAAGCACAGATAATTGATGGACTTTCCCATCATTCCGGGAGAGAACTATAGCAAACAAGACCACTCGGCAAGGGCAACGTTGGTGCGGGAGGAAGAGAAATCCGCACCCACCTTCCAGATTCCCATTACGAATGCCGAAGTATCTGGAACTGAAACCACCACACAGGACTGCCTAAATCAATTCGTTACTGTCAATGATGAGGCAAGACCAAAGATAGTCGAAGAAGCGACAACTGGTGCCCAGACAGAGCTGCAATCGACGAGTCGATCCCTTGCCTTGCGAATGGATTTCTCCAGTATCACGAAGGGGTCCGATTTGAGTTCAATTCCGAATATCGAGAAACACAACTGAAAGGCTCCTCGGGAGCAGATTCTGACCCAGTCTTAACTGGAATGGTTCAGCATTTGTCGGAGGCTAGTGCCAAAGTCGAGCATGAAAACCAACAAGAACAACCTTGTCCAGGACCGTTTCGTCCAGAACTGCGGGCGATTTCAAATACGCCTGCACAGAGAATGTCCCATCCTGAGAAGTCGTTTGCAACGTCTCGGGTAGAGTTAAGAGGCCATCGTTGTTTATGATTGCGTGTGCAGAACTATCTCTCGATCTACCTGCAACCAAGAGCGGCAGAAGGAAGCACTCGCGTATCCTGGATTTGTGTCAGTTGGTCGTTTCTTTTTTTTACTATGCAAGGTCAGAATGAGTAGCTAAGGCCGACCGACATAGAGATGCGGCAAATGGCAATCAATTGATGTGCTTCCTGAACAGCAAAAGGCCGCAATGGCATTTGCTGCTGCAGCAGCCGGGCCAGGTAATGAAGCTACGGTTAGCTGCAATTCTGAGCCAGCGGGAACGATTTCATCAATCTCATCACAAAGCCATGACGCCTCTGGAGCCGAGCAATCAACCTCTGAGGAACAAAATAGCCCGAGCCCAGTTTCAACGGCACCGTCTATCGACGATATCAACAGCTCATTGGATCCATTCATACCCGCAGGCACCAAGAAGTATATGCTACTTTGTGTCAACACTGGTCTGAGGCAGATAAAGCTGGCAAATGTCGACGTTACGGATGCCGATGACGGTCTAGAGATCTTTCAGCGCTTGCGGAAAGCATACGTCGAACTCCGTGGCAACAAAGCAATGAACCGCCTTATGAAGCCCACCACCATGCACTACGTGAAGGTACGAGAAGCCGGGGCACCCGTGCAGATATTGGAAGAAGAAACGAATGTTGACGCTTGTACAGTTCCAACTCTTTCATCTCCACAAGTCAGAGGAGTGCGTCGGGAACTACACTACCGATTCCATCCCATCTAGGAAAGAAGTACTTCGTCATGAGTACGCGTTCTTCCCCTGCCCACCAAGGGTGGGAAAAGTTCCCATTGCGCCTCATTTGTTTATGCACGCATTTCTCGACCCTTGTGACCACATGGGTATATTGGCGACGATGATGCTACCCAAGAAACTGGGAACAGAATTACATTGCAGTGCTAGTCAAATCCACCCTCTCAACATCCCTCACGGATGGGGTTTCTACATTGTTGAAGGATTGGACCGAATTGTCTTGGGTGGATTGACTATCCTTACTCTTCTTACCTCCTGCTTTCTCACTATTCTTTGGTCTGCAATAAAGGGGGACGTTCAAGGGGCACGGGCATCGGGCAGTATTGCGTTGCGGCCGTGGGGTTGGGCGTTTCGGTGCTTTTTATGTTGGAGAGAAACTGGATAGTCGCTCACTCTAAGTAGCCTACCAAGCGAGCTTCAAGATCTCATATTGTTTCAATGTTAGAGAAGCTCAGTTCTGTGGCAGGGTCCAGTGGTAGTGTAGGGGCGGAATTTCGGGAGCGGAGCCGGTAGAGACCAGCCGCCAGCATCGGCCCAGTCCGCAAACGGCAATCCTTGCCCGCTTGTAGGGGCCTGGAAGCCGAGATGGGGATCGAAAAAGCTGCATGAAATCATGTGCAGAAGGTAAATATAATTCCAGCGACTCCCCGGAATGTCTGAAGGTTTTCAAAACACACCGGTTCTCCTCGTAACAGTTTGGTTATATTTGTGGCATCACGAGGACGATCTTTTGTCACAGATCACAGATCTGGCCATATAAATAGCATCAGTTCTGTAAGCTGGAACCCCACGACCCCCAAGACTGGCTTACTGTGTGGCCGCAAACTTACTACGTGTTCTTCCACAGCACGGCACAGCGTCGCTATATGAACGCCACCCGCCAATATGAAGCAATTCATGGCTACTTATGAGCTGTCGCTGTTCCAGCGGATCATGGTCATCTGGCTGTTCGTTATCTGCGGACTGTTCATCTCATTCCACATTGCGCAGCAGTGGACGGAGAAGCCATATGCCTGGGCAAGGCTGACGGAGAAGACGAGGTGCGTGATTCATGATTGCGTTGACGTCGGCACCCACCGAGACTTACACGGCAACAGGCCCTACTGGTACACCTTTTACGTCTTCGAAGCATTTCTTACTGTGCAAATTCTCTACCGGATCCTGGAGGAAAAGATGGCGGGCGCCCTCAATGGTCTGGAGATGCAGGTGCTGGACAGCGTCTGGATCGGCCTCTTGGGCGTGGAGGTGCTCATGGTGATCTGGGCCGGTGGCGTGACTGTGATGAGGTCCATGGCTCCTCAAGTTGCCCAGGCGAAGAAGACGCAATGAGGAGAGGGACAAAGAATGCGGCTGGCCGTCTATGTCCAAAAAATTACATGAACGAAGCCATGGAAGCGACCTGGAAACGGCAATTCCCAACGCCTCAAACTTCCTCAAGGGAGAGCGACCGTGTTCTCAACTTTGCTGTTGCCTTGGGGTCATTCGGTAGACTTGTGCAATAACGAGACACTTTGCTGATATCTCGAGGAAAATGTGCCAATGCCATGTGAAGGTGCGCGCAAAGAAGGATGAATTGATGGAGCCTGGCCCAGGCTCGCGCGGCCGGCTGGTAAGAAAGGACAGGTACTCAACACCTATTCAGGCCACAGTGCTTGTCGGAACGAGATCTCTGTGCTTGCTGTTCTCTGGTGACACAGACACCGAGTAATTTGTTGCCTGAATGTCTCGACTGACTCTCGATACCTGCCTTAGCTATAGGTACTGAGATAGGCATCTTTCTCGACTTTGTCTCGGGGATGACGAGTCATCGCTAGTACTTGTACGAGCAAAGTACAAGTAGCTGATATTTGGGCTGCGCATGACGTAGACCAACCAACCATCTGTTATCAGTCTCCGTTCCTCTCACAGTTCCTGCCCGTTCTCCCAACGAACAAGTGCTTCTCATGCTGGCGGCCGGTAGTAACCCTCTGCTACTTAGCAGACTGTGATTCTTCAAGGAAAAGTCTCGCCTACAAGATCACTGCCTCATTCCATGAAGCCGGATGGAGTCCTTCCCCCGAGTTTCCGTGGGGTCATCCGCTCCATTGTACAGGGCCTTGTGGGGGAGGGGATCCTGCACAGGTGGGCTTTTCAGCGGCACTGGCGGGCGGGCTAAGCTAAAGGGCGCCATTCCAGCAAGTATCTGCCACTACTGCAGGCATCTGCTTTGTCCGCGTGGTACACTTTGGGCCCCACTAAGAACCCCCCAAACTGGCCCAGCGGCGCCCCCAGACTCCCCCGAAGCTTATCACCTGGACCGGGCTTTGTATGTACTTGTAGATCTCGACTCGAGCTGGCCGGCTGTGCGGGTGGTGTAATACATGCTCGAGACCAAGGACTAAGGTAGGTACTTTAGACGGGCCTGCCTTATCCTTTTTTGACTCTGTTCCTCTGCTTCTGTCTTTCCACGAAAGAAAGACGTGCGCGCGCATCCATACTCTCTTCCTCGGCCTCTCCCAGGCACCTCGTAGTGTCCACCACCCTCGAAACCTGTCGCACGCTGTTCGTTACATTACCAAGGGGAAACATGGTGTTTGATATCTTCGCCAAAGCCTTATCGTACGTCACCTCGCCTGGACTACTACCCCGCCATCGCCGTCGCCGCACGTAGATACCCGTCCCATCTGCTCGTGCGGGCGCGGGAACCTCGGTCACGTCCTCGAATGCTAATCAGCATCACAGCTCCGTCGCATCCTTTCTCTTCCCTCTCTTCGCCTCCTACAAGGCCCTCAAGACCTCCGACCCGGCGGAACTGACACCATGGCTCATGTACTGGGTTGTGCTAGCCTGTGCGCTGCTCGTCGAGAGTTGGTTTGAATGGATCTTGATGTGGTACGTCTCTTCGCGAACACCCATCTCAAGCGCATGCAGGGCACTGATACTGTCGTCCTAGGATACCCTTTTACGCCTACCTCCGCCTCCTGTTCCTCCTCTACCTCGTCCTGCCGCAAACCCAGGGCGCCCGCATCATCTACCAGACCTACATCCACCCTTGGCTCCAGGACAACGAGTCGCAGATCGAGGACTTTATCGCCTCGGCCCACGACCGCCTCCGGGCCGCCGGCGTCGCCTACCTCAAGCGCGCCATCGAGCTCGTTAAGACCAACATCCTGGGCATGCCCCCGAGCGAGCCCCAGCAGCAGCAGACCAACGCCTCGGCCGCGCCCCAGAGCTACACCCAGTCCCTGCTGGCCCGCTTCAGCCTGCCCAGCGCCCGGTGGCCCTCGGCCGACGCCGCCGGCACCGCGGGCGCCGACTTTTACAACCTGCTCGCCAGCGCCGTCAGCGCCGCTACCAGCGCCGCGGCGACCAGCAGCAGCAGCAGCAGCAACGCAGCCAGGGCGGCGGCGACCACGCGCGGAGAGGCGGTGACGGCCTCGGGCACGCTGATCCCGCCCACCGTGCGCGAGTCGGAGCGCATGTCCTTCCTCGCGACGCAGCGCGAGCGCCTGACGACGCTGCTGTTCGCCCTGGACCGCGAAGCGGCGCAGCTGCAGGAGCAACAACAGCAGCAGCAGCAGAGGGGAGACAGCATGAGCCTCGATAGGGAAGCTGCGGCGTCCGCCGAGGGCGGCGATGCGCTGCAGCGCAAGCTCAGCGCGCAGAGCGGCCTGAGCAAGAGCCGCAGCGAGGCCGACTTTGAGAAGATCGAGGCCGAGAGCGGCGCCGAGGACCTGGACGAGAGCGCGCGGCCCACGCCGTCTGCTGCGGGGGGCAGTGGCTCGTGGATGCCGTGGGGTTGGGCCGGCGCGGCGGCGCCGGACAAGAAGAAGGACGAGTAGTTGATGGAGACGTCTGAACGGGATCTGGGACACGGCGTTGGGACTGGTAATGGGATAGGGTGCTGCACTCTTTTTTTTATCATTAGGCTGGAGTATCGATAGAGTCTTTGGTCAGCAATCGACCTTGGCCAACACTGACATCCGTCTCAATTCGCGATCCTTGCATCGGGTCCTTGTCCTGAACGCTGTAGTGAAGTGCTGAATGTGTTTTATATCTATTTGCTCCCGTATATATTACATGTATGATGCCGCTGCAGTTTATAGGTCGTCTACAACATATGGCCATGACCCCATGGCCCAACACTGGAACTTGCCATGCAGAACCTCTCATATCTATCGTACAACTACCCCCCGTGATTTATGAAACAACCGGCCTTCTTGTAATTGTAATTGTAATACCGGGTATTCAACGACGAGCCAACATCGCTGATCCTCTTTGCCTACTTGGACAGCTTATAAGGGTAAGCCGGGTCGCCGTCCTTGCGGATCCAGATCTGTCGCTTCTTCTTGTTGACGACGTGCTCGACCCAGACCTCGCGGGCGTGCTTCTTCTTGAACTCGCGGATGAAGCGCGGATCCCACAGCTCCGAGGCGATGCCCAGGTCCTTGCAGCACCGCAGCAGGGCGTTGGACTTGCAGCCCTCGCTGGCCGTCGGTATCGTCTCTTCGGAGAAGTACTGGCATTCGCCGCGCGCTTGTGCGATGTATCTGTGTTGCGACTCTGTGGTCAGCCATCAGGGAAGCCTGCGGGGACGAGTCATGTAGGTAACCGGCGAGGCATGGGAGAACAAGGGAAGACAGCGTACCGTCCGTGGACAATGAGGGCGTACTCCCTCGACACGACCTTCTCGCTGACCGTCACCTCGCCCCTGGGCGCAAGACCCCAGCCACCGGGGCCGAAGGCCTGGTTCAGGATGCGCCGGTACTTGATCTCGGGCAGGTAGATGATGCCGTCGGGCTTGACCTCGACGTCCTGCATGTCGATGGGGCTCATGAGGATCGCCGCCGTCTCGGGGCTGAAGGGCGTCGTCGACAGGCCGTGGAAGGACTGGCTCCAGTCGATGCCGTTGCCATTGTTGCCGATCTCGGGCGCCGAGGGCAGCGGCGCGGAAGATGTAGGCTCGGGCACGGGGGCAAAGACGGCAGGCGCAGAGTCGGCGGCTTCGGCGGCCGGGGGGATGGCGGACTGCTGGTCGCGGGTGCCCTTGCGGCCCGGCAGCTGGCTCGGAGGCAGGCGATCTTCCCCGGCGACTTTTTGGCGGAGGGGCGTGGACGAGGAGAAGGCGGCGCGACGGGGCTGGGCTTTGGGCTTGAGGGCTGCGGTGTTGGTCGCGGAGCTAGAGGCGGACCGCAGGGTCGATCGCGAGACCAGCCGGAGGGGCCTGAGGGCGTGTGGTATCCTCGAGGGTATCATTGTTGTCTTGTGATGTGATGCGACGTTGTGGTAGAAGGCAGGGTATGGATGGTGGCTATGGCGATTGGAGCTTTGGGGATATTTTTTAACTAGGCGGGCGGCCAGGATAGGCACCCTGGACCTCCCTGGAGCTTGGACCAATCACCTGAAAGTCGATGAGATCATGGCAATCAACCATCCAATTCCGGGGAGCTTCGTGATGGGATTTAGATATTGGTCTGTTCCGCTTCAATGTATTGAGTAGCGACAAGTATACATTTCTTTCTTTATGCAATGCTGGTATAAAAATACAACAGGTCAGGTCGCTGTGATCAATGATCATGCGTGGCTCATTTGGCCTTCTCGTCGACATCCTTGGTGGCTGTCCTCTTGTCGTTGTCATGCTGCTTCCAGCACTCGCGGAATCTCTCCATCTTTTTTTGCGCCGAGCGTGTGTTGTTGTTAGCTTTGGTACACTCGCTCACTGGCCTGGCCTCATGGATTCTTACCTCTTCTTTACATGCCCTCCAGTCCTTCTTTTCGTAGTAGCAGTCTGTCAGTTTGGTGTTCTCATCTAGTGCAGCAAGAGACATGGCGTGTTAGCTCAGTGTCCCCTTTCTGGGGAGGAGACCGCAATGCGCGTGGGTATTCGCGGCTGCACTCGGGCCATGAAATCCAACCCCCCTGTTCGAGGCTCGTGGCTGCCCCAGCTGAATTGAATGCAGGGCTAGAGATTAAGTTACAGGCACGGCGAGAACGTACCTGCGCATCCAGTGCTGAAGATCCGCTTGTCCCTGCATCGGGTTTTAGTGAGTGATCCATCCTGCTTTCCGTTGGTTGGGCGATCTCTTCTGTTGGGGCAGGACCGAGGTCAACTTGGAAGGCGTCGTCGTGTGTGTGCGCGCTCACTGTTGACTCAACGCCAGCTGCCTCGTCCACCTCGGCCAGAGATCCATACAAAGTCAGAGACAAAAGACTGCTTACCATTCATCTGGTTCGTCGTCGTCAGCCTGCGCCGCTTGTGCAGCATCACTGTCGCTTTTTGACATCTCTGCTTTAGTGTTGCGAACGATGTGTTTGTAGTCCGAAAGAGTTAAGGTTCTCAAGTGCCCCCGGATCTCAAAGTGGCGCGACTTTTTTCAGGTCCTGGTCTCTTTGATAAACGGTACACACACCCCGATCCTCCGCTCCGAACCTGCTCGGCCACGCACATATTCTCGGAACCCGAACCATGGCTCCGCACAAGATGAATGTGCTGGTATACACCGGTATAGGTCATACCCTCCTGCATTTCATGCCTCCTCTAATGATCGGTTTTCCATCTAGGTCCGGGGACGTCCAGTGAGTCAGTGAAGCACTGTCTCTTCTCCCTCCGCCAGCTCCTCGCCCCCACATACGCCGTGAACCCTGTCGGCGAGAACCACCTGCTCAAGGAGCCCTGGGCCGCTACCTGCGCCCTGTTGGTCTTTCCCGGTGGCGCCGATCTGGGCTACTGTCGGGTCCTCAATGGCGCCGGGAATCGCTCCATCACCCAGTACGTGCGTGCCGGTGGTCGATACTTTGGCTTTTGCGCCGGCAGCTACTACGGGAGCAACCGGTGCGAGTTCGAGGTTGGCAACGCGCCTCTGGAAGTGGTCGGCAGTAGGGAGCTGGCCTTCTTCCCGGGGACGTGCCGCGGCGGTGCCTTCAAAGGGTTCCAGTACCACAGCGAGAAGGGTGCCAGGGCCATTCGGCTCACCCCATCCAAGCAGCTCCAAGGTGCCGGTCGCCTGCCACCATCGCTGCGCTGCTACCACAATGGCGGCGGTGTCTTCGTCGATGCGGCGCAGTTTGAGGGCCAGGACGTCAAGGTGTTGGCTTCCTATGCAGACACGCTTGACGTGGATGGTGGAGATGGCCAGGCTGCCATTGTCTACTGCACCGTCGGCAAAGGAGCAGCTGTCCTGACGGGACCTCATATCGAGTCAGCAACCGACATGTCTCCAAGCGTCCGAGTTAGCTACTGACTGCCCGCACAGATTCGCATCCGCCAATCTCACTCCTCAGCCGGACATTCCTGCATACGGCGACTTACTACGAGCTGTAAAGGAAGACGACGAGCACAGAGAAGAGCTGTTAAGGCAATGCCTCTCGTCGCTCGGCCTCACTGTGAACCAAGTCACTCCGCCGGTCCCTGAACTCACTCCCCTTCATGTCACTTGTCTGCACCCGGACCAAGCGGCCGAGTTGTGGCACTCCTGGCAGGACATCATCAAGAAAGAAGGCACCAGGGATGTCATCAAGGGGGGCACCGACACCTTCTCTGTGCGTTTGGCTGACACCCAGAAGCGCTCATCAAAGTCGCAGCCTCCCAATGGCAGGGATGAAAAGAACGTATTTACTAGTGACATAACTCCCGTGCTGCAAGAGCTGCTCCTCGGCTCGCAGCAGCATCCCATCTTGATGAAAGCCGCCGCTAGGATCGACGGCAATCATGAATCGGAAGAAGACTTCAATTATCTCCATAACCTTCTCGAACAACTCTCCCACAAAATGGGCACTGACGCACCCAGAGGCCTGTTGTCGTCAGAGGGTACGAGGCACATTGCCCACATCTTAACCAGGACAGTCGCCGATCCCAAGATGGAGGCTTTCCTCGAGGGATCCAACGACAGCAGCGTTGCAGAGGTGAACAGTTCCGGCGGTCTCGACATTTTGATCAAGCAAGTCACTTCCGACCTCGGGCTGGTCAACATCGGCTCTGATGACAAAATCGGCCAGAGATTTTCCAAGTCAGAGAACGATGAAGGCGCCAACAAGATGATCGACTATGCTGCAGTAGTAAAGGAGCTAATTGTACACGAACAGGGCGTTCCCGGTCGCCATGAAACACCCTTCTTCAACCACGAAGTTTACTACAGAGCACTGGAGAATTACAGGCAGACCCGCGACCACAAAGCGGAGGACTGGGGCGATAGCCTTATGTATGGGGAGGTGCTGACAAGCACGAATACTGTTCTCGATCAGTAAGTGACAAGTCGCGTCTGTTGACGGTCTGTTGAAGCGAGCATGACTGACGGTATCTTGCAGAAACCATGGCCTGCTTGCGACCCTTCCCTCCGGCTTCACAGTGGTCGCGCGGACCCAGGTGGCTGGCCGTGGACGTGGCAGCAATGTCTGGATTGCGCCTCCAGGACAGATGATCTTCTCGAGCGTCATTAATCACTCCTACAAGCTTGCAGCGAGCAGGCCCATCATCTTCATCAATTATCTGGCCGCCATTGCTACCGCAGAGGGTATTCGCGGGCTCAGACCAGGTTGCAAGGACATTCCAGTGAAGTTAAAATGGCCCAATGACATATGTATGCGGCACTCGCCATCTCTGAAGCTCCTCGTCCAGCTGACTGATGAACGCAGATATCCAAAAGCCCGGCAAGGATGCTTCTTTGAATGAGTCATACGTCAAAATCGGCGGCTTGCTTTTCCAGTGCTCTTACAGCGACGGTAACTACCAAGTCGTCGCGGGCATCGGCGTCAATGCCGTAAACGACCGCCCAACCACCTGCGTCAAGAACTATCTGCCCGCTGGGAACGACGGCTGCGAGACTTTGGTCGAAGAACTCATTGCGTCGATCCTCTGCCGCTTCGAGATGCTCTATAAAGAGTTCTGCCGGACTGGCTTCTCAGAAGACCTGGAAGCGCGGTACTATGCACACTGGTTGCACACGGACCAGATTGTGACGCTCGAGGCCGAGGGTGGCGTGCGAGCTCGCATACGGGGCATCACCAGAGACTGGGGCTTGCTTAGGGCGGAGGAGCTGGGCACGAACGACGCGCCGACGGGCAGGTTTTGGGCCCTACAAAGCGACGAGAACAGCTTTGACTTTCTCAAGGGTCTAGTTAGGAGGAAGCTGTAGGACGCTTCTTCCCTCCCAGAGGGCGGGCAACCTCCATCGGCGACCAAGTTGACACCCTTCCCCCACCAACCCGGTACCAACATGGAGGCCCAGGCTCATCCCTGCGATGAATACGGGCTCGTACGAGACTTTCTTGTTGCCGTTGCCTCACTTTATGCCCAGGCAGTGATCTTGGTGCTTTTCCCGCGATCTACAAGACGCACAAGACGCGCCGAAAGACTACCAACCCTACCGGTCATAGCAATCTTCCTTTCGGCTTGGCAATCTATCGCCACTGCACTAATAACGGTACGAGGGTACCGAATCAGACAATCGCTCGGCACACCAAAACATGTCGAGAAAGCCCCACGGCGGTGTTTGCTACTGCCGTTCATCGCAGTTGCATTGTTGTTGACTGGTAGCGCTATTCTACTTGGGGTGGCCATTGATGCTGTCATATGCAAATGGTACGGAAGTTTGTGGCCTTCGAGCTGGGCTGTTGTACTTCTTGTAGTCAGGACAGCTCTGGAAGCAGTATTTCGTAGGGCTTTAGGGCGACTTTACGACAAGTTAGACCGCCTACATTGATATCACCAACTGTGCTGTCTTTTGTGCGGGTGGAGGCAAGCATCGTTTCACAAGGTGGTATCAAGCAGTGCAGGGTTAGACTTTGGCACTCAGGTTCGAGATAGACATACATCCATTGAACGGGCCAGAGATGGGTAGCATAAAAGTAATACCGAAGGAATGTGCCGTTACTGTCCTTGGGTTCGGATGAAAACTGAACCTGGGGAATACCACACAGCATGAGCTGGCCTGGATCCGGGGTCCGGGGTGAGCGGCAAGCCCAAACCCGGCCCAAGTCACACCCCCGGCCCCCCCCGCATGATCATGGCGATTTGATCGCCATCTTCCCACCTTGGTAGCTTCCTCCTTCCATCCCCGGTTTTGCCTTCGACCGTCGATTGTGAGCCAGCGGTGGCTCTCTAAAGCGTCTGCATAGCACGTTGCTTTGCAACTTTCTTTCTTTGGAATAACCTTGCCTATTGCAGTAGCAAACCTGGCCGCGGCATGTAGTGATTTGCAGGTTGTGCCGGACAACGCGAAGTACACGAGCTCTCAGACCTCGACCTACAGCAAAACTTCCCCCTTCTGTGAGCCTGGTCACGGACAAGGTGTGAGTGTGAACGGCACGCCACGGCAGGTGGACTGCTGCCAGATTCGCCAGGACTTTGCACAGATGACAGTCCTGGCAGTGCGACACTGATAATCGCGATAATCACTTCCTTCGCCGTCCCGATTGATTAAACCCACGCGACGAATGATGAGTCTCGGCGGCCCTGTCGTCCGCATGAGACCCTGCACTAGTGTCTGACGCCACATCCCAGAGACAATCCCCAGAAGCACGGCATGGTTCCTGTGCTCGTGCTGCTGCAGCCCTCTTCACAACGTTAGGCTCCCTGGTCGCCTGTTCGTCTGCCATGCGACAAGCAGGCATTGACCGTGACCCTTCCGCATTGACCCACCCAGAGAAGTCTTCCAGAATAGTTCCGCATGACATGCCGGCACACCGGATGGCGCTCTGCACCAGACTTTCGCCTCCTGGCCAGGCCAACCATCCGCCCCAATGTCGTCTTGATTGACGTCCACGGCCCGCCGGGCGGTCCATCATGCTCGAGCGAGCAATCAGAGGAGTGAGTGCTCTGCGGGAACAGCACTTCAAGATTGGGCCCATCCACCCAGTGGTACTGCTTCGCGAAGAGGACGGCTCGGATGGTGGGAAGGACCTTGTACCGGATGAGGAATCATGTCCTTTCCACCGGCTGGCCCGTCACTTTGCCCATTTTTGCCAGAAGTTCGCCTCGTAGCCCGGCCCAGGAACCGCCTCCCGCGTCCATTGGGTATTTGCTCGATGGTTTGATGTGAGATGATCATCTGGAGTAAAATTGCTGGTCTCTCGTCCTCTCTCAACGTCTGGGGAATTCAACCTGGTTCATCATCCTGTGATGAGCCTGATTCTTCCCAACTTTTTACATTCGTTTCTCATGCTTCTATCGGCATCGCTGCTTCAAAGCAGGATAAACCGCCTTGTTTAATTATCTTCTCCCTTTACCGGACCAGTCCTACAAACACCGTGCCACATCGAGCACGATGAGCAAGACCTGAGCCATGCACTTGTCGGTGGCTACTATTGCGTTTTTCGCTGTCCACCTCGTAGCTGGACAAACTTCCCTTTCTACAGTGCCCAGTTCAACAGCGCTTGTCGACTCCCATGACGAGAATGGGACTTCAAAAACTTTGTAAGTCCCATCCAGCCAGGGTATTTTGACCGTCCAGGAGCCAATGACTGACGACACATTAGACCGCGAGGCAACTCGACTGCCGTTGCAACGGTGCACAAGACCAAGACCACGACAAGTGTTGCCTTCACTACTGTCGTTGAGACGCTCACCTTGCTTGACCTCGGCCGCAGGACACAGACAAACACACGCACGGTCACGTCTGTCACCGGCTCTAATCAGCGCCCAACCAAGGCTCCTTCTGCACATCGAGACGTGAACCGAGGTCTGCTCCGCCGGAAACCTCGAATGCACCCAGCCATAGCATTTGCTCCTGTATCATCACCAGAGAGGGCAGAAGGATATGCAGTATCCGGACTGCGGTTCATGCCGAGACAGGCGGTCGTCACCATCACGACCACGAAAACCATCGAGATCACAACGACTGTCACGCAGACCATCACTCACACCATCTTTACGACGATCATCTCGGCCCCGAGGGCGACCTACACCACTTCCACCGCCACGACCATCTACGTCCCACCGGGAGCAGGAGTCACCACTTCGGCTGCGCAGCCAACTGGCGGGCAGAACGTGCCCACGGGCTCTCGAGACCAAGGGCAGACCACCCAGACTGGGCCTCAGACTCCTGTAGGAGTGCCCTCGTCATCCGCCATTGGACCAAGCAGCACTGAGAGTTCCGGCATACACCAAAGCTCACAATCCGACATTCCTTCAAGCAGCCCCTTACCCGCAACCAGCACGAACATCGAGACTACAACTACGCCTCCCTCAAGCGAGACCGCGTCGACAGGGGCAGAAACACCCTCGACGCCCCTTCCTTCCTCATCGGACACCATGCGCGGCACCCCGGGAACCATGCTCACCCCAACGCCCACTTCGTCATCCACCGCACCGCCATCCACACCACCCTCGGCGCTCTCCAATGAGCAGATCGTCGGGGTCATCATAGGCTCCTTCGCCTTCCTCGTCTTCCTCGGCATCATCGCCTTCATCATCCGGCACTCCGTGCAGCGCCACCGTTCGAAGCTCGCCCAGCGCCGGCAGCAGGTGACCCCGCCCTCGGAACAGGGGGCGGCTGCGGCTGTGGCGGGGTCGGGCTCGGGCTTGGGGTCGGCGCTCCACTCCAACTCGACGGCCGCGTCGAGCGGGCGCGACCCGGCTAACGACGTGCGCATCGTGATCCAGCAGGCGCCCGTCGCGCGGCAGCAGTTCTCGCACCTGTGGCCCATGCCGCCCGGGCACGCGGGGCCCGGGTTCACGACGACGCACGTGGAGAGCAGCACGGGGGCGACGACGACGACGACAGGGACGACGACGACGGGCGAGGGGATGCCGCCGGTGCCAGCGCCGCTGTCGCTTCACCACCATCAGTATCAGCAGCAGCCGCCGCCGCAGGATCCGGGCCAGTGGAGCAACGCGAGCGAGTTTGGCAGCAGCGTCAGTCCCGATGGGTCGAGGGCCGGAGGAGGGGAGGCGAGATACTCGGGCGCGCCTAGCTCCGGTGTATTCGGGCGGGGGCTGTTCAGCCCGGGCCAGGCCAGCAGTGCTGCCGCCTCGCCGTCTCGGCCGCCGCAGGCACGCAATAACGGCAAGAGGGGAGGAGGCCTGTTTCGGAGCTCGGGGGGGTCTGGATGGTTATGATTAATACGGAAAAAAGATAGATTGATCTGTCACAACCTTGTCAGCTTTGTTTCAAGGGGCGCAGACTCACGGACGGGTTCGGCCAAGAAACTAGATATCCTTTTTCATGTGTATCCTTGTGAGTGTAAAGGTGTATTACAAGAATAAATTCCTCAATTTTACTACAGCGTGGCCAACGTCTAAAGATGCATGCAGCCCACAAATACACGCTCCGTGACTCTCATGATAATGGTACAAGAATATTCTTACAACAAGAGAAGGTCCCCCGAGCCCTGGCCCTTCCCGCTCTGATTGGAAACGTCTAAACCGATCCAAGTTTCTTTTCTTTTTCAAAGTCTCCCGACCAAACGCCAGGCCATGCCTTATTTTTCGAGTGAAGATGGAATATATACACAGTTGAAAGCAGAAGAGAACGCGGGGTTGAGTCGTATAGAGGCGATCGGTCGTTCGGATGGGAGGGAGGGACAGGCGTCGCGGGTCAACAGAGAGACCGTCTGGTTAGATAGATCCTCTTCTCTCGCAGACGGCGTCATTGCCGAGGGTTCGGTATCGAGGCCATCCGAGCAAATGCACCCATACGAGCTTGTCGCGGCTCAGCTTCCCACCCTTCCACGGAACCTCGTCACCGGTCCTTGTACACCTTGGGCACCTCTTTGGCGTCCGCTTCCGCCGCGGCCTTTTCTTGGAAGGGCCGGACCTCGGCCTCGTAGCGCTCACGCGCGCGCAGGATCTTGCTCTGGAGGTAGAAGGAGCCGCCCTTCTCCGGGTCGTTGGCGTCGAACAGCTTCTTGAAGCGGGCCATGATGTCCTCCATGTCGGCCTTGCCGCCCTGCGGGGGCTTTACGTTGAGGATCTTGCAGGCCTCGTCGAGGGTCATGCCCGAGGAGAGGGAGGCGCGGACGGAGGAGCCGTTGCCGGCTTTGGCCTGGGCGCGCTGGTACTGGGAGGAGGCCGAGGCCTGTTTGTAGGCTTCGGCGAAGGCGCGACCGAGGACGCGAGAGCCGACGAGGACGACCTGGGTTATGATGCGGTGCGCCTGTGTGCAGGAGGAGGAATTGTGTTAGTGGTGTGGTTCACTCATCCAGAGCAGTCACGGGAAAAGAGATGCAGTAAGAGCAAGGGAATAGGTAGATAGATGTGTTGCTGGTGGCGTTGCACATGCCGAGGGTAGCAATGGCGGCACCGGAAGCTTCTTCAGGAGGGTTCGGCTTGAACGTACCATCTTGAAAGGCTGTGGGAGGAAATGCAGACACCAAGAAGTGAATCCGGGTCTTCAGGAGAGAGAGAGAATACTGGGAGGTGAGCAGAGAGCGAGAGCGAGAGCGCGCTTCTGCCGTGAATCTCTGCGATGCGACGATCGCGACTTTTTTTTTTCGGTGGTGGTGTAGACAAGGTCAGCCGATGAGAGGCGCTCGAAAAATTGAATGGGTCTTCAATATTCTCTCTGTACAGAGTACCTGCCTCTCCGCCTCTCCAGCCAAGTACCTGCACTCCTGCACTAAGATGGACCCATGCTTAAAGCCGATTTGCGGGACCGGAGCGTCGTGCATTATTGACCAACATCAGTGGTGTGGCTGGCTTCAATTTTCGGCGGGCCATCGGAATTTCTGGGCTGCCGACGCTGGCCTGTGATTGGCTCTGTTCACTCATTCATTCATTCATCTCAAGTTGACTTTCAAGTGTGCCCAGGTATGGAAAGAAAGAAGAAAAAAAAAAGGGCAGAGACGTCATGGCCTTGCGATTGGCATGAGGGTTATTGTGAGCAGATGCAAAAGGGGCTTGACCATGGACAGCACATGGGCAGGGAGTCCACGCCCAAGCGCTCAGATGCCGCGCTCACGACCACCAGATATCGTTGAGATGGACGCTCACTTTGGCCCAGATCGGCCTCAAGTGAAGTGATTATGGTGGCTTGTACCTAAAACAAAGGTTCTCTTTTTCTTCTTTCTTCCCTGGCCTACCAGAACCCTCATTGCTAGTCAATGAATAGAGCGCCGCAACCCCCACACCAGTTGACAATGGTTGGTCCCATCCCAACGCCTTTCTTTCGTCTGACCCATGGATGCATCATTCCTGTCCCTTTTGTTCATTGACAAACTCATTATCCATCGCACAATGGGCAATCCATTCTTTCAGTGCAACACAAGGCTGTTGAACAAACAAAGCACTCCCAGCGGGGGGGCTTGCCACGAACAATGGCGCATCGCCCCCCTTAAGCTTCACTTGGTTTCCAAGGCACGGCGCCCCCTTTACCATGGCCACCGCACATAGGGCCAGCATTCAATGCCAAGGGTAGCCTTCGAGCTGAATTCTATTGCTATTGAAGGCAGACTCTGAGAGCACAAAGAGCATGTTTTAAGCAGCCCATGTGTCCTTCCTCTCCATGTCTCCCGCCAGTAATGATGATCCCATCCCATCTATGCTTACCCGGATCGAGCTTTCTCCCAAATCTATCCAGAGAAGTCTTCACCATAGATCCTCTGGCTCGGACACCCGCTTCGGCAAGATCGACCGTCTTCTTTCGGGACCATTGACCTTGAACGTAGCGGTTCAGCTCTACCAAACGGCGCAAAGATGAGAGAAGAACTTGCGCCGCTCTCCCACTGGACCTGGGCGGCCAGCTATGGCCCGCCCAGGCCCCTCTTGAAGACACGGGTATCCATACCAAACCGACTCTTTGTCTTTGGTAAGAGAAGAACATCCTCCTCCAACGCATCAGAGCCCTCGCCGCTCACGCCGAACTCGCCCCTATCGCCTCTCTCTCGTGCGCCACAAGCCATGCTGGAGCAACAACAGCAGCCCGAGGCACACTGCGAACCGGCCGAGCAGCTGGATCCCATCGATCCGCATCTCGACGCCGTATTCGACGCCCGCGACTACGTCTCCGAGTTTGTCCGCGAGGGCTGGGAGTCACACTGGGACAGCATCCGCATCACCTGCGACATCCCCATCCACGAACTGCGCGGCTTCGGCAACCTCGATGCGGCCCCGGGTACCGCCGCCTGCAAGCGCCTCGTCCAAGTCCCGGTCATCAACGATGAGATCGGCCACGCTCTGTGGTGCCATCTGGTCGAGCAACAGCGCGGCTCGGGTTCTCTCGAGCAGGACAGGCAGCTCCAGCAAGACCTCGCAGACTCGCAGGCCGAGGAGTTCATGAAGAATCACGAGCTCTGGTTGCGGCACGGCTGGGACGAGCCCCGTGCTGCAGAAGAAGAGGCAGGAAAGGGCCGACGGCGGTCTTTCTGGAGCCCCAGGAGTGGATGCTGCGACAGCTGTAACCACTGCTGCCAGTCGCAGCCGAGGAGGCCCAGCAGATCTATCCGCCGTCTCTCTACCGACACCGAGAATGGAGAACGATCGTCAATGCCGACTCGTATCGCAAACCTTCTCTACCTGTGGAGGGAAAACGCCCATCCTGACGGGGACGACGATCGGACAAGCTCCAGCGGGAAGACCCGGCGGAAAAGCCATGACAGCAATGCTACTGCCCGACCAATACGAACGGAACGCTCGTGGTCGCACTTTTTCCGGCGCCTCAGTGCATCTTCGAATGGCGGCAGCGAAGCGGGAGGAGAGAAAGGGACAAGGCCGGGGTTTGATGCAAAAGCCAGGCGCCATTCTCATGTGTAGTCGAGTGTTGATGCGGCAATAGCTAATTACGGCAACAGATTGGCTAGTGGCCTTGGGGAGTACCCCGAAGCCTCCTCCCCGGGGACGGCATGCTTTAGCTTAGACGCCCGCCTAGGCGCGAATAAGAACACACGCATCCCTCCAGAGAAGAAATGCTCCAAATCACCTTGAATGTTCCAAGCTCTCGTGGCAATTTTTTGCATGTTGACCAATGTTGATTTCTGCATCTCTGGGTATCTCACGCGGAAGATCCTGACTGCCTCTTCGTGGAAGCTATCTTTCTCAAAAGTCCTCAGCGTCCAGCCCGGCCACCTTGCCCAGGAAATCGCCCTGCACCCCGTTGAGCAGCGCCTGGATATCTACGTTGCCACTCGTCAGGTACTTTGCGCTCACGCCCGCATTGATCCTCTTGGACAGCAGCTCCCTGAGCTGCGCCCTGAGCCCGGCCATCTCGGCCTTGCTCAGCGCCCGCGCCTCCTTCTGCTTGCTCTGCCGCCCGCTGCCGCGCCCGCTCCACCGCCCGGCCTTCTCGAGCTCGTCGCTGTCGTACTCGACGCCCAGCTCCTCGGCCGCCGCCTTCATCCAGTTGTCGTCCTTGCTGCCCTTCTCCTTGGCCAGCGTCGAGTCGGCGATCTTCTTGGCCAGGTCGACGCGCTCCTTGAGCCGCGCCACGATGTGCCGGTCGAGGTCGATGGTGCGGATAAAGTACGCCTCCTTGCTCTTGCCGGACCTCGTGGTGTGCGACGATGAGGCGTGGACCTTGGCGACGAGGCGGCGCGTCGGGACGACCTCCTCCGGCGCGCAGAGCAGGACGCTGAGGCCCGAGCTCTCGGCACGGGCTGTGCGGCCGGATCGGTGGACGTAGGCATCGGCCGTGCGGGGCACGTGGTAGTGAATCACGACATCGATGCCGGGGATGTCGAGACCGCGGGCTGCTACGTCGGTCGCGATGAGGATGGAGGCTGTCCCCGGCTTGGTGCTGGTGAAGCGCTCCACGGAACGCAACCGCGCCTTCTGTGGCATCTGGGAGTGGAGAGGTAGTGCAGGAATGTTCAGATTTTGCAGCATAGGCGTCAGCCGCCGAACGGAGCTGATGGAGTTGGTAAAGACGAGGATGCGCTGCTTGGGTTGGTAAAGGATGAGCGAGTAGAGGTAGAGATCCTGTGATACTGGTCAGAATACAGCTCCGGAACTTCAACGACCCAGGAGAGCGACCTACTTTCTCCATAGCACCGCATTCCACCAGACCCTCCTTGAGACCCTCCGCCATCTGAGAGACGGGGTTGACATCGATGAACTTTGGCTTCTCGTCTCGGAAGTTGAGTTTCTTCAAAAGGTACTCCATGGACTGGGCCTGGCTCATCAGGTCATACTTGCCCTTGCCCGCCAGCTTTTGCTGAAGGCCCTTGTTGAATGTCGCAGAGAAAACGAGTGTTTGTCTCGGTGGCGGCGCCTGCTCCTGACCCTCCTCGTCAATCTCGGTACGGTCCAAGGCGCCGATGATTTCCTCCGCTTCCTTGAAGTGACCCTCGGTCAGCAATCTGTCTGCCTCGTCGACAACAAGATACTTGATGCCTCTGAACGTCTGCATCAGCTTCTTGCTTGAACTCAGCACCTCCCACAGCCGACCCGGTGTGCCGATAACAATGTCGGCCTTCTCCAACTGCCTTTGTTGCTTGTGCACTGATAGACCACCAGTTACGGAACACACATAAGGAGAAGTTGAGAGGCCTAAGCACAGCTCCTTGATATGGTTTGTTATCTGATGAGCAAGCTCACGAGTCGGTGACAGTACCAGACCAATTGGTCCGGTATGCTCGTCCGATCCTGCGTCGCGTAGGCTAAGCCACTTCTCAACGATAGGTATCGCAAAGGCCAAGGTCTTTCCAGACCCCGTCGAAGCCTTGCCTATCACATCATGCCCGTTGAGGATCTGGGGAATGGCTTGCGCCTGGATGGCCGTTGGCTTTGCGAACTTGAGACGGGCTATGCTCGAGAGTAGCGCCGGAGCGAGGTCGAGCGGCGCCCACTCGGCCACATCTGCTTCCTCGAATTCTTCCTCAACATCGGCTAGAGCTCTGAAGCCGCCATTGGCGAGCTCTGTGTCCACAGGGGCAGCTGGCTCTGTGACCTTCTTTGGTTTTTTCGTCTCTTTGCTGTCTGCCTTGGCCGTCTCTGCTGGCTCGGATGAAGTTTTCTTCTTCGACTTTGGCTTATCTTCACTAGGCTGTGTTGTATCGGGTAGGTCTTCGAACCCCTCAAAGGAATCACCGTCGTCTTCTGAAGGGACTGCAGCAAGCTGTGTATCGCACGATTAGCGTATGAATTGTGATAGATTGCCGGGGGCATATGCCACATACAAATTTGACGGTATTGCCGTCACGAACGACATCGACGTCCTTGATTTCCTCGAGTCCGTAGAAGCCCTCCGCATCGTCAAACATCTCGGGAATGTCCACCGTCTGCCATGGTAGAGAGTCGGCGACGACTAGGCGCTTCTCTTGCTTGGTCTTCTTGCGCGGTGCCTGTTTGTTCGCCGATCCGGCAAACTTGCGCTTGCCCCCGGATCCAGTTGCTCCAGCCATGTCCACTGTACTGCCCAAGAATTCGGAGGACAGGTATCTGCACGGAATGTAGGGCTGCTATCGCAAAGAGGTGAAGTTGGCTAGTGCTGTTGCCCAACTCCGGCCTGGTTATTCCAAGTCCTTATCGCGATCAGAAGAAAAAAAATTTAGGCGGACAGATTCTTGAGCTGGAGCTGCTAGTGGGGTTGCTAAATGCACAGACCACAGCTTAAATCAGCCCTATGCCGCCTGTAGAATGGCGCAAATCTGGCGGTCCATAGTGGGGTTGTTAGCGGCTACGAAAATTTCTGGCTCCCAAATGAGTCCTCAAGTGAGCTTGAGCTTCCCGTTTATATCCTTTCCACACCTATCTCCGAGCATACTTCAAACACAGCTGTTGCAATGGGCAAATCTTCAAAGGACAAGCGCGATGCCTACTACAGGCTTGCCAAGGAGCAAGGATGGCGTGCCCGGAGTGCTTTCAAGCTCCTCCAGCTTGACGAGGGTCAGTGACTCCCCCTTCCTAGCTTACTCACATGCAGACACTAGGACTGACTTACAAGCTTCTTCAGAGTTTGACCTTTTCGCCAATGTCACTAGGGTTGTCGACCTATGCGCCGCCCCTGGGAGTTGGTCTCAGGTCTTGTCGAGGGTCTTGATCAAAGGAGAGAAGTTCGGTCGCTCTGCTTGGCAAGATCGCGAAGCCAAGTTCAGGCAACAGATGCTGGGCGTGTTGAAGTCCGAGGCTACTTCTACAACTAACTCGACGGCGGGTGCTGCCTCTACCCAGGACGGAGAGCTGACGCCAAGAAAGGACGTCAAGATTGTATCCATCGATCTGCAGCCCATCAGTCCCCTGCCTGGCATTGTCACCTTGCGAGCCGACATCACCCACCCGGCTACGGTGCCTCTGCTCTTGAAGGCACTGGATGAGGAGTACGACGCGCAGACTATGAGCCAGCAGGCATCGCACCCCGTGGATCTCGTGCTCAGCGACGGTGCGCCGGACGTGACTGGTCTGCACGACCTTGACATCTACGTGCAGTCCCAGCTACTTTTTGCCGCGCTGAACCTTGCACTCTGCGTTCTGAAACCTGGAGGAAAGTTCGTCGCCAAGATCTTCCGCGGCCGCAATGTGGACGTCCTGTATGCGCAGCTCAAGCTGTTCTTTGAAAAGGTCATTGTCGCCAAGCCACGCTCCTCTCGTGCGAGCAGTGTTGAGGCCTTTATCGTTTGCCTAAACTTCCAACCACCAGCAGGCTTCACGGCCAGTCTGGAGGAGCCACTTGGCGTCGGACACAAGCTACCCCGGATGGTCAGCGAGAGAAGAGAAAGGTTGCCCATAATTGCGGGTACTACAATGCAAAACCATGAGACGGGCGCCTGGGACGCCAGTCCTGAGCACATTCGGCCGTTGGATAGCGAAGGTATCGAAGAAGTTGAGATTGAAGATCTATCATCCGAACCGCAGAAGGACTCGCGCTGGATCGCACCATTCATCGCCTGTGGCGATCTGTCAGCCTTCGATTCCGACGCTTCCTACCATCTACCGGACGATCACGTCTCCCTGGATCCTGTCCAGCCGCCGACCGCTCCGCCATACAAGCGAGCGCTCGAGATGAGGAAGCTGACGGGAGGAGCATATGGAAAGACAGCAAAGGCTTAGTGCCCAACCACCAGGCCAACATGCGCTTGCTCTGCACCGCTGGGTGGGCAGGCTCGTACCCTCCATTACCTCCGGTGTCAGGGACAAAGCGTCACGGTCATAAAAGTTGCGTAGGGTGAATAGGTCGTCATGCCGGCTTGCCGGCCCCATCTTCTCCAGCAGAGGCAGCGCCTTCTCACGGCCCTCTTGATCGTCCAGGTTGTTGCCATAGAGGCCGACATTCTTGGCACCCAATCGATTGGCATACAAGCGGCTTGCGTCTGCGCTGCCCGACAGTATCCAGAGGCCCCGCAGGTGCGGCCAGGTCTCTATCTCTTCGTTGAGACAGTCCATCATCCAGCTGCCCAGGCCGATGTGCTGGTACTCCGGGAGCACATACACGTCGGTAAGGTACGCAAAGGTGACGCGGTCAGTAATGACGCGAGCAAGCCCAATCATCACTCGGCCGTCATTCTCTGCACCGGCGTTGGTCTATCAGCTACAAACTGTGTTCTGTCTGAGAGACGAGGAGTACTGTACCTGAAGAGCCGGCTTGGATGTGGTAGAGGCCGAGGCAGAGACAGTTGTTGAGCATCTTGGTGAGGCTTGGCTCATCTAGGCCTTTAGCCCACCAAAGCAGTTCTGAACTCAGCGCGGCATTGATGGCAGCGGGCTGCAGGTAGCTCGGATTTGCCGAGCAGAGATAGACTCCATCGCCATGCCTATACCACTCTCTAGACTCTTCAGATGTTGCCATGTGGGAATGCCGTGCCGTGGTATTTGAATTGAGGTCGCAAGCAATGAACTGGCAGCGTTGCTGGTGTATAACGCGTTAATGATCTGTACTTTCTAGCGCACAATCTAGAGAAATGGTCAAATGAGAGTTCTCTTTGGTCAATTGAGCAATTTTTAATGTATTGTATTGGATCCTTGTCTTCTAGCCCCAATATCATAGAATCCCGAGTTGACTCATCCAATGTTGCCCATGCGTTGAGTCATTATCACCAACCACCAACTGTTATCGAGATTAGCAGCAATCCGAACAAGCATCTAGCGCCGGGTTACGAAGCATTGCGGCCCGCAATCTTAGCCGGTAGAACGTAGGAGGGCCCACGCTTGGCAAAGGTTGTCTCATCCTGGAGAGCATCTAGTGATGGGGATAGGTTGCGTCGCGTGGAGGAGCAGCTGCACTAAGATCATGATGGCTCTGGAGAAGTCCCTCAAAGCAAGTGTGTCCCATTTGTAAACTCCATCATCCGATATACGTACAGGCGTTCCAACCCAAGCATCCAGGAGGTAAAGATACCCTTGGAGGTATCCCAGAATCAAGTCCCCAAAACTAACCGGCGCAACATAGACCCAACGGAGCATACGACACAGGAAATAACAAGGAGAGCATAGCACAAACGGCAGGTCAGAACAGCGATACCATGGTCAAAAAAGAGCAAAGTGAGACTGGAAACCACGTCACTTGGCGAGAACAGGCTCCTTCTTGTGCGTGGTCGTCTTGGGCTTGGCCTCCTACAGATGGAGAGTTAGCGAGATAATAGCAACGGCACAACTGCGCTCGGGCGTCGGTGCTGGGTGCGCAAGGAGCCCGACATACCTTCTCGGCCTTGACGGCCTTGCCCTCGGTCTTCTTGACGGCCTTCTTCACAACGGCCTTGGCCTGATGGGCGACGAGTTAGCTCTCTTGCAATCTCGCGACAAGGGTGAGATGTTGCCCTTGAGCAGAAGCTTACCTTGGCAGCGGCACTGGGCTCCTTCTTGGTCTTCTTCGTGACACCGGTAGGCTTGGAAGCCTTGGGCGCAGCAGTGGTCTTCTTGGTCTTGGTGGCCTTCTTGCGCGTGATCGTGGGCGCAGTGTCCACGGTCTGGAAGACGCGCGGCTTGGAGTGGCCGGTCTGCGAGCGAGTTCCCTCTCGTGCCATCTTTCCAGTAGTCAATAAGCTCTAAAAGCAGGTCGTCAGTATGCGCGCAGTTGCGATACGACGTGGGAAAGCCTCTAGAGTGAATGCGCCGGCGATGGAAGCTGTCGTTCGCAAATGCGACAGCTCCATGGCGCTCCGGGCGCGTAAATGATATTGCTCACCTGAGAAGTGTGGATTGTCGCAATAGCGGTTTCAGATGCAGTGCCTGGTCGCGCTCAGCGTAGCGGCGATGGTGAATAGGGTTGGGGGGCGATGAAGGGGAATGATGGTGAGGAAATCCAAGAGAAAAAGAGAAAAGAAAGAGCAGAGAAACGAAGGACTTGCGGTCGCGATGCGAGAGGTCGCAATGGAAACAAGCTGGTAGGCGGGCGGCAAAAACAAAAAAAACGGCCCAAAAACAAACGAGGTTGGGGGGTGAGCCCGGAGCGATGTGACGCAGCGACAGCAAAGGCAGCTCACGGTGCTGGAAGTGCTGCTGCTGCTGCTGCTGCTGGTGGTGGTGTTGTTGCTGGCTCTCCTCCCTCTTCTCTCATCACTCGTCCCTCGTCCCTTTTCCTCCCTCCCTCTCCCTCTCTCCCCCCTACCTTTTACCCCCTCCTCCTGGAACAAAAAGAACCTAGCCCTCCCGGGGGGCTTAGAGACCCAGACTCCATGGCCTGCGAGGGGCGGCAGAAGACAAATGTCTGAGGGCCACCTGACCCGAATCGGCTGGCCTCCCTCTCCCTACTACTTGGCTGGCTGGATATGGCATGATTGACACGGCTCTCTGTCCGCTTAGAGGGCCTTGATAACAGGCGCGCGTTTACTCACATCTGGGAGCAGCAAGGATAACTACTCGGCGCATGGCTCGTCCCTCGGGCGGACCAAGATGCACTAGATAGATGACTGGACACCGCTACTCTGCGCTGACACCCAAGTTTGGAGAATGCTTCATCAGCAGCAGACGGTGGGAAGATGGAAATTGCGAAAGCCGAGGTGACTGGGAGCGCAATGTGCGCATGTAATCTTCCCTCGTCTCACCGGCCGGTGACAAGTTGCTGGGAGAATCCGGGGAAGAGAGGGCAAACGGTCCGTGGTAAAACGAGGGCACATGGCACTGACATGGCAGAGTGCATGGCCGGTGGGACTTGGCAGGTCTAGCCTTGATCCAGACCAAGCATCCATGAGCACATATGCGTCAATGGATCCATCAACGATGGATGGCCTGCTGATACCGGTGCGGGCGGCTTGCAGTTAGCGTACTCGGTACTTCAAGCTTCCACCGATGGATGCACCATCATCGACCTCAAGCGCGCGTGCGTCTCCATCCACTGCTCTTGCTCCCCATACTTTTCAGGTGGTCGGGTCTTCAGTCTTTTGGTCTGGCCAAGAGAGGAGAAAATGAAATAAAAAGTCGAAAATGATATCTGGCCGAACATCAGGGCTTGGCAGTTCGCCTCCAGGTTCGAGTAATTTAGGGTCCACGGGTACCTTGGGATTAAGCTGTGATGAGGCGCAGTTGTTGAATGGGGGCAGCTAAACCAAGCTCCACAAGACTAGGCATCCGCATTTCCTGAAATCTCACCACTGCGAATTCGTCCTCGCTGCGAGAGGACAACTCCCAATTCTTACGACCCAAGATCCAATGCTCATGAAACTCGGGTAACTGAGTGACGGAAACCCCTCAAATACTCAGACGGATCCTCGTGAAAATCTACTCCTCCTAGGGGGGACCTATCTCTCTACCCACGAGCACTCGCTCCCCTGAGCTCCGGCGAGCCTCCTAAGCAGCCGGCACGACGCACCTAGCCTGCCAAACCTCCTATACGATTGATCTACCACCGCTACGGCTGGGGGCCAGGGAAAGCACTCTTGTTACGGGCACTACAGGTGCCCGCGCGACCACAGCGCCATGCGGAAACACGTAGACGAAGATCGCGTGCCCTTCGCAAGCCGTTACGAATCCCCTGCGCGGGGCCCTACCATCGAGATTGGCGGCGATGACGAGGTGGCATTCAAGCTTCGGCAGAGAAAGTCTGCCGCTCAAAGGATAGCCTCGTGGCTCGGGTCATGCCTACGCTTCCGTCGAAGAAGCCTCCGACGACATCCGGTTGTCTTCGTCCTCTTTTGCCTGCGATACGTCGCTGCACTCATTGCGATCATCCTCGTTGCGACACCCTTCCTCTCGCCCTCCTACCTCCGACCACCGAAGCACTACAAGGAGCTCAGATCAAGATGCGAAGGGGCATCAGCGCAGCCGGGCTGTGCCAACCCGTTCAAAGAGAAAGTCTTCATCGCCGTCAGCCTGTACGATAATGGGGGCCATCTGGCCGGCGGGCCGTGGGGCAAGACAGTGTTGCAGCTGATCGACATGATTGGTCCCGAAAATGCCTTCCTGAGCATATACGAGAATGACAGTGGGCCGGAGGGCATAAAGGCCTTGGAAGACTTCAAGGCGCAGGTGAAGTGCGCCCACCAGATTGTGGCAGATGAACATGTCCCCCTGGACAACTTTCCGACCCTCACCATGCCAGATGGGTCGAAGCGTATAAAACGCCTTGCGTATCTGTCCGAGATGCGCAACCGAGCGCTCAAACCCCTCGACACCTTTACTGGTGACAAGAAGGGCATAGTCAAGTTTGACAAGATCCTGTTCCTCAACGACGTGGCTTTCAGGCCCTCGGACGCGGCGCAGCTGCTCTTCAGTACCAACGTCGGGCCGGACGGGAGGACACAGTACCTTACTACGTGCGCGCTAGACTATAGGAACCCCTTCCTCTTCTACGACCTCTACGCGCAGCGCGACGCCGAGGGCTTCGCCAACGGCCTGCCCATCTTCCCTATCTTCAGCAACGCCGGGCAGGGCATCTCGCGCGCCGCCGTCATGGCCCAGAAGGACGGCGTCCCCGTGTCGTCGTGCTGGGGCGGCATGGTAGCCATGCAGGCCGCCTACGTCCAGAACATGGACAAGAAACTGCCCCGGCCCGACTTCCAGGCCATCGGCAGCCACGTCCTAGACCCAGACAGGCCGCGCGAGATCACGGCGCCCGTGCGCTTCCGCTTCGAGCCCGAGCTCTTCTTCGACGGCTGCGAGTGCTGCCTCTTCCTCGCCGACGTGTCGCAGGCGGCGCGCCGGGCCGGCGCCGCCGAGACGGGCGTCTATGTGAACCCGTACGTGCGCGTCGCGTACGAGTACAACACGATAAGATGGATGCCGCTCATGCAGCGCTTCGAGCGCCTGCTCGCTCTCCCGCAGCGCATCATCACGCCCGTCCTGCGCCTGCCCACCAACAACCCGCATCGCACGGTGAGGGAGGGCGACAAGTTCGAGGAAGAGGTGTGGGACAACTCGACCAAGGCGTGGAAGATGGTGACGCGGACGGGCCGCAACGGGCTCTTCTGCGGCGTGCGCGAGATGCAGCTCATCGAGCTGCAGGAGCGGCAGGGCGATCAGAACTGGGAGGACAACAACATACCGCCCGGGCAGAAGTTCTACTTCCCTACCTAATGGCTGACGTTGCCTGACCTTGTCTTTTCTTTCCTAAAGGTGTGTTCGAGGGAGCACAATGGCAACTCTCCCGGCAGGCCCCGGCGGGTTACAAGAACAAAAGCGACTTATGTACTGGTATAGAAACATTGTAATCATGTCCAAAAATTGCATGCTTATGGTCGCCGCTGAATCCTTGAACTCTAAAGGCAGGCATACATACAATTTGAGTGGACCGTGAGCTGCTCCTCGGAACGGTGTATGGTTCCAGACACCACGCTACCTCACCCGATGCGGTGAGTCCGTATGCCCTCAACTTCCCTGTCGATAAGCTTACTCCGAACCTTGAGGGGTGGGGCACGCCCCGAAGGAGCGGCTCGCCGGGTCATTCAGAGGTAGTTCTCTCTCTCTTTCTCTAAAAAAAAGAAAGCTCTCGAGGGGCCTCCAAGTTCGATGTGAGGAACCCAGCGTGCATCTGGGAGGATGTCTGGATTATTAAGCTTTAAGCTCAAGACCAGGCAAGGATCCCCGACGTGACAAACTGCGCCGTACAAAGTCCTTCCTACCCTACCTCGCCTACCTAGGTATACCTACATGACCAACACTACCAAGTCAGACGGGAAGTGCGCTGGGGACATTCAAACGTCAAAAGGATGCAACCCCCAGCTCGGGTTGCATTTTAAGCTTCAAGGGCTACGCAGCGCCGCGCTACACCAAACCGGGACAAAATATAACAGGCTCCGCCAACACACTGCGCAAACAACATCTATCCGTGAGATTTTAAGACCAAATAAGCGCCTGAGATGGGGTAGGTATTCCCGACTCTTCTCGGCGTGAGGATATCTGGCCAGTGGTCTTACCACTCCTGGGCCCAAAATGGATAATGGTCTCGCGGGATCGTCAGCTGCGTGGGTTGGTTTGTAAACCTAGCAGCTTCGCCTCTGGAGTTGTGTCAGCCATGCTTCCCCTACTTTTCCATGGACTCTGAGGCTTTCTATATAAGCAAGCAGGTCGTTGCCTCGATGTCTCTCATCCCACCTTTCCTTGGAAGAAGGCAATTTCACCAGCATCGTAGCGTCCTCGCTATCCCTCCCCGGCTTACACACTTTATCCCCTTGCGATCACATCGACACAAAACAATATGGGTTCTGCAGCATTAGACCTGAGCAAGACCGAGGCGTTCCTAAAGGGCGTGCGCATCCCCTTTGTCAGCCCGTCAGCGACAGAGTTCGGAGTGCTAAGCAAGACTTTTATGCACTCCCCGGAACAGCCGACCGGCATCGCGCAGCCGGGGACAGCGGAGGAAGTGGCGACCATCATTAAACACTGCATTGCCGAGAAGGTTCCCTTTGTCGTCCGTACCGGGGGTCATGATGTGACCAAGTCGACACTTGTGGCCAACGTCCTCTCCATCAACCTCCGCAAGCTCGACCATGTCCAAGTCAGCGCCGATAAGAAAACTGCCAGGGTGGGCGGTGGTATTCTGTCTGGCGCCTTACTGGAAGCCCTCGCTCCGCACGGCCTGGAAGTTCCAACAGCCGCGGTGCCGTCGGTGGGCTGGCTCAGTTGCGCGACTATGGCAGGGTACACTCTTATGTCTCCGTCCATGGGCCTTTGCTGCGATAGCCTTCTCGGTGCCAAAGTGGTTGATGCCAAGGGTGAGATTGTGGAGGCTAGCGAAAGGATGATGAAGGGCATCCGTGGCGGCGGTGGCAACTTTGGTGTCATCGTCGAGTTCACAGTCAAGGTGCACCCGCTGTTGGAGGTAGGTATACCCGATGCAGTAGGCAGGGGGGAATTGGAAGCTGACAAAGTGAATTCAGGCCCAGTCCGGAGCGATCATGTACGAGAGCTCGGACCCGCAACGCAGCTGGTCGTCGTTTTTGACCAAGTTCCAGGAGCTCATGACCAAGGAGAAGATGCCGCATTGTCTGTCGATTCTGCCATCGCTCATCGCTGTGCCCAACATGGGACCAGCCGTTTTTGCCGTCTTCTACTGGAGGGGCGCTCGCGATGATGCCTTCCAGTATTGGCTGAAGAAGGCAGGCTCTCTCGGTCAAGCCGTCGTGGATCTCGACAAGGCCGTCGTGACACAGTCGGCACTCACGTTCACCAAGGGCTTTGAAGCCCTGCTGCCGCCCAAGATGTACGGGGCGATCCACAGCAGCTGTGGCTCCGAGCTCACGCCGGAGGCCATCGAGGTGTTCGGCAAGTACGGGGCGGCAATGCCCCCGGCAGGAGGGTCGTCCATCAACTTCCATGTCCTTCGCGAAGGGACCCCTTCCTGTGGCAAGCCCAGTGACTTTCCGGACTCGGTCTTCGGCGCTCGCAGGCCGCATTGGATGTGCGAGTTCATTGGCGGCTCCGGCGCTGGCGAGGAGCAAGGTGCCGAAGCAGCACAATGGGCCAAGGAAATTCGAGATGCTCTTGCCAAGACAGGCGCGGTTACAAAGTTTGGGTACGCTGCCACGACGAGCAAGGAGTTCGCTGTAGTGGAGGACGTGTTTGGCGAGAACGCCGCGGAGCTTAGGGCTCTGAAGAAGGAGTTTGACCCGGACAACGTGTTCCGATGCACAGTCCCCCTGATGGACTGAAGTGTGAAACCTCAAACACCAATACTATACATGAACTCATGGACATGATGAAATGAATTGGGAGATGAGAAACCTGGTTAACATATGCCACATGACTAGGTATCTTGGCTACTGCTGGGCCAGAATCCGGAGAGGTTTGAACAACGATGTTTTATGCAATAATCACTGAGAGCAATACCAGTGGAAAAAAACCCCTGTGGGTGCCAGGCACAAAGAAGGCCATCAATGAAGGAGATAACCGCGCGGCGCATTGTTTGTTTTCCAGAGTGTTCAAGTGGTGTTGAGGCTGCAGGTGGGAACGAATCTCCCTCCTTGTATTTATCAAGCCTTTCACTAGAACAGGTACCTGTGACGTTCGACGGATTGGGAGAAGCTGCTGTGGCACTAACTAAAAATGGGGGACCCCAGCCAGAGCCAATAAACCCCAAAAGTCGCGACTGACCCCATCAAAGACCGCGGCGGCGCATTTCGCGAAACCTCACCAGCTCCTTCTGTGATTTAAGTGCTGTATCCCAAAAGCCAAAAAGTCCACGCAGCTCAGCATCACCTCACCCACAGCCATGCGAACCCAACCCGGACATTTCTAAGCCATTATGCATATTATCAAGCCCTCGTGGCTGAGCCATAGTGGTATGTGGGCAAACAACAATGACGACTCGAGCTCGCGCGATGGAAATCGGGCCCTGCTGACCTTGTTTGTGATGCGATAGGTGAACAGAAGGATTTCGAGGTCTACAGCTGCCATGTATCGCCAGACGGTTCAAGGCTAGCGACTGCCGGCGGCGGTAAGTTGCGACGCAATGGCGGCAGCGACCTGACATCAATGTGGTACTGATGAAGCTCTCCTCCCAGATGGCCATGTGCGTGTATGGTCGACTGAGGCCATTCTGAAATCCAACGACCCGACCTGCGCGAAACCCAGACAATTGTGCCATATGAGCCACCATCTCGGCACGATTCACTCGGTTCGGTTCTCTCCCAGCGGCCGGTATCTCGCATCAGGTGCCGACGACAAGATCATCTGCATTTACATGCTCGACCCGAACCCACCCTCACATACTGCATCCTTTGGTGCGTTGCTCGACACATGTGCCATCTTCGGACCTTGAGACAAAGCTTACTGACTGAACCCCACAGGGACCAACGAACCGCCACCGATCGAGAATTGGAAAACCCACAAGCGACTGGTCGGCCACGAGAACGATGTGCAAGATCTGGCATGGTCCTACGACTCGTCTTTGCTGGTCTCTGTCGGCTTGGACTCCAAGGTCGTGGTGTGGTCGGGTCATACCTTTGAAAAGCTCAAGACGCTGGCGGTGCACCAGAGCCATGTCAAGGGCATCACCTTCGACCCTGCAAACAAATTCTTTGCCACGGCCAGCGACGACCGAACGATCAAGATCTTCCGATTCACCCCACCTGCGCCCAACGCGACCCAGCACGACATGGTCAACAACTTTGTCCTCGAGACCACGATCAGCACGCCTTTTAAGAGCTCGCCGCTGACCACCTACTTCCGACGGTGCTCCTGGTCGCCTGATGGCAACCACATTGCCGCAGCAAATGCAGTTAACGGCCCCGTCAGCTCGGTAGCTATAATCGAGCGTACGAGATGGGACAGCGAGATCAACCTCATCGGCCACGAAGGCCCCACCGAAGTTTGCATGTTCTCGCCGCGTCTCTTCCACACTAAGAAGCCATCCGACAATCCTCAAGCCAACAACAACAACAACGGCAACACATTGGTCACGGTGATTGCCTCCGCCGGGCAGGACAAGACGTTGAGTATCTGGAACACTAATACATCCAGACCCCTCGTCATCCTCCAGGACCTGGCGTCCAAGTCTGTGTCCGACCTGTCATGGACCCCGGACGGCCAGACACTCTTTGCATCCAGCTTGGATGGAAGCATTGTCACAGTTACGTTTGAGGAGGGAGAGCTGGGATGGGTGGCAGAACCGGAGGAGATCGACAAGGCTCTGCAAAAATACGGGGCATCAAGGAAGGGTATGGGAGTCGCCGAGGACGTCGATGGACTAAACCTCGAGAGCCACAGCAAGGCTGGAGAGATGCGCGGTGTCGAGTCGAGAATGGGCGCCCTCATGGGAGACGCACATACGGCCGAAAAACAGAGCACACCAGCAACCAATGGTGTCAAACCACCAGCAAAGGCTGACGAGGTCAATGGCCAGGCGGACCAGGATAAGGACAAGACGGCGGAAGAGAGCGAGGACAAGCGAGTGGAGCGGATCGCGACCCTCAAGTCACGAGTCACAATCACGAAGGATGGGAAAAAGAGGGTCGCGCCTCTTTTGGTTTCATCCTCGGGTACTGGCCAGTCGTCATTACCACAGTCCCAGCTGGTCGGAGCTACATCCACAAAAGCGACGCAGGACGATGCGCCGCAAACCATTCTCGACTTGTCGAAACCCGTCGACGGCCTCCCTAAGGGTGGAATAGCCTCGATGCTGTTAGGAAACAAGCGGAAAGCAGCGGCAGTGGAGGGAGAGGAAGACGATGATCATATCACCAAGAAGACCGGCCCCTCAGGCCCGACTCCTATCATGGTCAATGGGATTGACGGCGTGGAGGCGGCCACCTTGCAAACACCGACATATGGTGTTGTGTCGACCCCTGAGTACTTGCGCCCATGCGTGCTTAACTCTTCAATCGCCTACTCTCAAGTGCGATTAGCGGTGCCCAAGGTCCGGTCACATATCCTGAGACCTCTGGAGAAGGGCGTCCTGCAGGAACAGAGCAGCCTGGAAGACGCTTCCAAGGTTCCAGAAAACATCATACTGGAGGCAAAGAACCCGGTGCAGGTCCGGGACCCGTCCCACGTCACAGCAAGCAAGAGAGGCTCGCTGTTGTGGCAAGACTTCCTACCGAGAGCCGTGATCCTAGTGACTGGAAACAAGCACTTTTGGGCAGCAGCCTGCGAGGATGGAAGCCTTTACGCGTGGACACCGGCCGGCCGGAGACTGGTCAATGCGCTCGTTCTAGAGTCGCAGCCGGTTATCCTTGAATGCCGCGAGCATTGGCTACTGTGCATCACGGCTGTCGGACTGGCCCATGTCTGGAACATCCGGACCATGTCATCCCCTCACCCTCCTGTTTCTCTCGGCCCAATCCTGGAGCTTGCAACTCAGTCTCTCAACCAACACACGGCGACTCCTGGCCCGGGCGTGACCTCAGCTCATCTCAATTCAAACGGCCACATTATCGTGACTCTGAGCAACGGTGATGGGTACTACTACTCCCCAAACCTGTACACATGGCAGCGGCTCTCCGAGTCGTGGTGGGCTGTTGGCAGCCAATATTGGAACAGTAATGACAGCTCTGTTAGCGCGCTGCAATCCACGGCAGTTGGTCCTGTCACCGCCCCGGCAGATCCGAAGAGTGGCGACGTCTCTACACTTTCAGCCGGCATCATCCCCTTCCTTGAGCGACATACTACCAACGAGTTCCTTCTTAAGGGTCGGGCATACGGTCTCCAGCGTCTCATCAAGACACTCTTGTCCAAGGATGGGTTTGAAGACTTCGAGTCGAGTGTGAGTATTGCTCATCTTGAGAACCGTGTCGCCGGCGCCCTCCAGCTGGGCTCCCGGGATGAGTTTCGTCTCTACCTGTTTATGTACGCGAAGCGTATTGGTGCCGAGGGCCTGAGCGGCAAGGTCGAAGAGCTGCTCAATAGCCTCTTGGGCGGTATTCTCGAGGATAAGGAAGCGGATGGTAAGGCCGATGGAGGCAAAGGCTGGTTCAGCAAAGGCGACGAGATCTGTGGGTGGGATCGCAAAGAACTCCTCAAGGGCGTCGTCATCATATTGGGTAAGCCCCCCTCCTCCTTTAGCTGCCGTTTATGCAGTCGTCTTCTCTCCATACTGACGTTGTGCTACCCAGGCAAATTCCGCGAACTGCACAGGTTGACAGTGCAGTATGCCCGTGTGCTCGACCTGACCGTCACCGACGATGAGAATGGTGACACTATGGTCGAAACCTGATTCAGTCTCTGTACTTCGGTGGTCGGCGTCCGGAATGGGAAGGGTCTTCTTTTTGCTCGCTGTGTGGGCTTTTTCAAGGGAGGAGTTTTACTGGCATGTTCTATCGGGCGCACGCTCACGCACGCTGTGTGTGGCTCGATTGTATCAATTAGGCGTCTTCGTGCCCGTTTGTATTTGTAGGACCAGGATTATGATCGCCAGAAGGGCCTCGGAATGGCTCCAATCAGAGAGAAGACATTTGTTATCGTCTCTAGACTTTGTTCGCTCACCTGTGAGTAACACTTCAGCAGGCCCTGGCTCGACCTCCTCTCATGGCTAGCTCGCCGTCACAGCTGCAAGTCCTGCCCATCTCGACCAGCTGCATAACAGACCGGTTTCCACACTGCTGCGGGGGCCAAACGGGACCGCCCAATCAGCACAATTCAAGCACCCCAGTGTGAAGCTGACCGAGAGCAGGCGAATGAGGTGCCAGTCCGTCAAAACGGCGACGTCGACCTGGGAATGTCTCGCGAGGCAGACGCGGCGCAGCTCTGAGGCAGCCGTCTTAAGTCGATACGGACCCCAATCTCTCAATCACTCCCCAAGTCTGGTTTCCTGCTTTCTCCTCGACCGTACTACTTGACGCTGCGAAACATTGTGGTTTTGATCTGTCGGTCTTCCTTCTTGTCTTCATTCGGTTTCTTTTTTTTTTCTGCCTCGTCGTCTTTTATCGAATCATTTGAGCGACAGAGTATCAACGTCTCGGTTGTTGTGAATGGCACAGCATCAGTACCTTGCGCATCTGCCAAAATGCTTCCTCAACCTGCCGGGTCCGTGGACCTCCCCACACGCCCAGCTCCTCCTCACCGAGCCACACTTGCAACACCGCTGGTGAGACCCAATCCACGACGGAGTCACACGCCAAAGCCGCGGTCGCACCGGTCCAGAACACCGGCCCATGCGGCAGCCGTCGAGGTCCAGGTCGGCTTCTTCCCCAAGGCATCGTCCCAAGATGCGGACGTTGCGACCGGCGGCGTCCCCGATGACCAGTCCGGCGTATTCAAGCTAGGTCCACACAGCAACGTGGGCCTGCCTCGTCCTCAGAGGTCACCGCGTGTCCGGCCCTGTGACATCGTTCAGCAGGCACTGGAGCGGGGGATCCTCGTCGGAAACAACCGACGAAGCCACGAGCGCTCGTCCGTTCACGCGGCATTTTTTGACGATGATCTGATCTGGGAGACGTCCCCGGGCCTAGCCGACCAACCCGAAGAGCTACTCAAGCCAAAAGAGTGAGCAAGAATGAACCCGAGTCGTTTCACTGCCTACCTTGTTTCTTATATGCCCACTATAGCTCCCTTTCCAAGTCGTTCAAGCCCCATAGCCCAGGGAGGCGGAACCGCGACAAGCAGAGCCCCTCTCAACCGCCTCCCAAGGATAATGCCAACCTCACAGAGGTTATCAGCAATAAGATCCTGCTCAAATACTTCTCGACCACCTTGGACAAGGTAGACTCCCCTCTGGAGATTTGGAATGTCGTCAAGAAATGCACCGATGAGATCGCCGCCTTGACTGGGACGGCGCCGAGTCTTCGCCCGAAGACGAGCCGGAACTCTGCTTCGAAGCCATCGGACATCCCATACCCCCTCGCGGAGCAGAGAGACTCGGGCGTGGAGCTCACACCTAAAGACCACCAATCACAGTCGCCTGTCAAGGGATGGCCAGAGGCTCGCCCCCGGTCCAACAGTAGTAGTTATGATAGTGGCTTCCACAGCGACCGCAAATCGGTCAGTCCGGAACGACAATACACCGCCAAGACTGAAGACCAAGATGCCTCCGGGGTGACGAGCCGTGGACTCGGAACGGGTGGCTTCGCGTCTCATGCTGGGGAAGCCGGCAGTTCCAATCCTATCTCGTTCTCTCGCCCACGTCGCAAACGCAATGCTCGTGAGACCGGCGGCGATGACAGCTCCCAGGATGAAGGGGATTCAGATGCTGGCGACGATCGAGGGAAACCTCCCTTTGACCATGACCGGGCCAAGCACAAGAAGACTCGATTGACGGAGCCCGAGTCCAATCTCAGTTGCCCGTTTAGGAAACGCAACCCGCTGAGGTTTAACATCCGGGATCACCACCCTTGTGCGGGACAAGGCTTCCCTAACATGGCCGTGCTCAAGTAAGTTTCACTTTCAAGTTTATTGCCTACAATCGCTAACAGGGTTCAAGGCGACATATCCGGACTTTCCACAAGCGAGAACAAGCACTACACATATGTGTCCGGTGCCAGCAAGGCTTCTCCACACCCGATGCTCTAACGAACCATCTCAACGTGCCCATTGACGAAATGTGTGCATCGAGGCCGGTCCAGCCAGGAGGTGACCCTGAGGATGGCATCACTCACAAGGTCGAGAACTCTCTCATCGAACGCAAGGCCTCATCCAAGGTGGACAACTGGGAAGGTTTGTGGAAGAAGCTGTTCCCTTTTGACCAGGACGTCCCGGAGCCAGGTAAGTCCGGTCGACACATGACCAAACCTCCATATCCGGAATGTTCACTCACCCTTGTGTTCCGCACAGACTTTGAGCCACCAATCGAACTCGACGAGGTTTATGTTGAGTTCCGCACGGTGCTACCTCGCCTTATCTACACTCTACAAGAGCAGACCTCGACTGCACTTCAGCGCCACGGCCCTCATCACTCACTCCAGCATGTTTTTGAGCCCATCTGCGATAACTTCGTGGAGCACACCTTCTCCCACTGCCGCAGATCATTGGCCAAGAACCCACGGCGGTATATGCGACCAAAGAAGGAACAGCCGCAGCAGCAGGGTGAGCAAACGGCCAACCCGTCGCACAAGCTGGCTATGCAGCAACAGTATGCTCAGATAGCACCGTGCCCCTCCTCGTCAAGTCAAAGTGTTTCGCCTTTTCCCCCTAGAGCAAGTAGAGGAGACCATATACCAACACCCACATCACTCACCCAGGACCATTACCCGGCCGTCGAGCCCATCTCCAGGCCAAAGACAGCCTTTCGAGAGATCCCTGGGCCTATTCCCTCCTCCTCCAGCCTAGATATCTTGGGCAATACTGTGCTGCTGTCTCGCCCAGACACATTGCAGCACAGTATGCCCGACGATCCGAACCTGATTCAGACAGACTCGGCGATAGACCTGTCGACCATCGACTCTAGAGACTCGCAGTTTGACGACAAGTGCGGGCTATGGTCAGATTCCAATTCCATATTTACGTGCAGTAGCAACAGCGGGGATCATATTGACCTTGCGGACATGAATGATGCTTTCATATGGGACATGAATACTCTTATGAGATAAGTAGATTTTATAGACACAAACATGGTACCTAAGATGTTTCTTCACCGCCTCTACTTTTATGATTCCTCGTCTTGAATTTGTTTATACAGTAAAAAGAGTAAACCCTAACAGCGACGCCATGTAGAATTGGAACTCACCTGACCGGTGTCGAGACGCCGGCCAAGACTTGCCGTCCCGTCATGTACCGTCTTCACGCTAAATATACCGTGATGAAACACTTGAGCCTGTTGTCGGCGACGGCCAATCTCAGATGCAGTCTTCTCGGTTAAAGTCGATATTGACATTCGGAACGGCAAATGTACCTTGGGAACGCGGCTCTTACCCCCTGGGGCATGCAGGCTGGGTGTTTCCTGGGGACATGGACACGATGCGATTGGTCCCAATATGTTCCTTCAAGGCTCGTATAGCTTCTCCTACTCAGTGTATGGGTCCCGGCTGGTATGCGACGTATGATTTGGTCATTGCAACCGAGTTGATTGGGCATCATTGGCGATTACTACCTGTCGAGATCAATATACATGAGCAAGAAAAAACTGGCTCACTGCAATTTACTTGGTGCGGCGAGTAAGTCCGCGGACAAGAACAGAAAGGGTTAGGGCTGATCAGGACATACGTTCATGCTTCCATCCGTCCAAGCCAAGATAAAAGCTGACAAAGTTCGGTGATGATAGCTCTTGCTGTGCTTGGTCGCCATAGTGTTTACTACGACATTGATCTCAAGCGTGCAAGCAAAGATGCTGCAGAACTCCCTGGTCGTTACTATCCTTTCCGCCTTGCTCGTGGGTGCAAGGGCCGGGCCAGTCGAGAAGCGAGCTCCTCACCAACCGTGAGTGTGTCACAAGAACGAGATGCTGAAGCGTATTCTCATCAACAGCCTTAGTACTCGTAATGGCATTTATCCCCTCGATATCGTGGATAAACTCGAGGAGGCTACCATGCCCAAGGTCGAAGAATGGCTGAAGAAGAAATCGAACAACACCTGCACTCTTGAGAGTGCAGCTGTGCGACGAGAATGGTAAGGAATTGCCACCAGATCCTTCTATGACAGCTTGTGACTCCAAGTCTGGCTGACAATATCAACAACAGGAGTGACCTGTCTGTTCCTGAGAGAGAGGAGTATATCAAGGCTGTCCTGTGCCTGCAGTCTAAGCCACCCAAGGTTCCCAAGGACAAGTTTCCTGGTGCCCTGAGCCGTTATGATGACTTTGTCGCCATCCACATGACCCAGGCTATGATGCTTCATGATCCGGTAAGTTTCCTCATATAAGTATGTTTTACGCGGGTCAAGCCCTGATCATGACCACTTCCAGCAACATCTTTTCGCCAGCCACAGGTACTTCGTGTGGCTGTACGAGAAGGCTCTTCGCGAGGAGTGTGGCTATACCGGATACCAGCCTGTAAGTGACTTTGGTTCGCAAATACAAATCGTTAGTTGGTCTGATTGAAGACCTAGTACATGAACTACGATCGCTACGCCAACGATCCTATCAACTCGCCCATGTTTAACGGCAACGCTTCGAGTATGGGAGGCAATGGGGCACCGAGCAACTACCGGGGTATATACCAACCTTTCCGCCCACCGTATAACATCATCCCGTCCGCAGGGGGAGGTGGCTGTGTTACAGAGGGCCCGTTCAAGGAGTACGTTGCAGGACGAGCGAGAGTATTTGCCCCGGCACTAATGGATATGATAGCATGATCGTCAGCCTGGGTCCGAAGGCTACTGTCGTCAACGACATCCCAAAGAACCCTCGCTCCGACGGCCTGGGCTCCAACCCTCGATGTCTCCGCCGCGATGTTAACAAGAACTCGATTCTTGGCGCGACCGCCAATTACACTTATTCACTCATCACTGAGTACACGGACGTCGACAGTTTCTACAACAGATACCTGGGCCAACCACCACTAAAGAATGATCCTCACCCGTGGGGGGTAAGTGCTACAGAACTGTGTTCTCAGAGCAACTGCTGACCAATACCTCATAGCTTCACAATGCTGGTCATTTCACGATCGGAGGTGATCCGGGAGGTGTATGTTCTCAACAGCTCAATACTCGGGCCCGCCAAATACTGACTCTCAATCCAGGACTTCTACGCCTCTCCCGGTGATCCCGCCTTCTGGTTCCATCACGGCATGCTTGACCGCGTTTGGTGGATCTGGCAGATGCAGGACCCCGAGAACCGCGTCAACCTTATCCCGGGCGGTGGTGCTATGCCGATGGGGCCGATGAGACGCGAGGCTCCTATCAGGCGCGCCGACACTCCCGTTGGCGACATGGTCGTCGACCTGAAGTACATTGCCCCGCCTGTGCAGCTTAAGAAGCTGAATGATAACCTCGGCGGCAATGATGGTCAGTTTTGTTATTACTATGTCTAAAGTGAGAAGACGAAAGAGTCCATCATGACCATCATGGTGAGACTTGAATTTGTCTTCGCGTTGAAAAGGAGCTTAGATTGATTACCCATTCCCTAGACCTATGTAGATATTAATGAAATCTCCTGTGCCGCGTTTCCTTTTTCAGTCTCAGGAGTACATTAACATCTTGAGGATATCAATGACTCAAGCTCGTCGACTTCTTTGATTACATTTGTCAGATTCTCATACCCATTAACGGTAACTAGCACATTATCCTCAATGCTGTGCATGGTTAGTGTCCTGTGTATTATTCCAGGGGTGCATCTGTGTCTCAACGCTTACCGAACTCCACCTACACCCCAGTACCTTTCCAAGGTATGGGAGTCTATATACTTGCTGTGCTTCGGATCTTGGAGATAGGGCTCGATAATTGTTCTGCAGAAGTAAATCTTCTTCCTAGTTAGAATGCAAAACACATCGGGTGTATCTCAGAGAAAGGGCTACTGACTCCTGGTTCAACTGTGATCACGGCACCAGCTGGAAGAGGCCCACGCTTTCTCAAATAGCGGAAATAGCCGGCACTCTGCTGCTGACCTGGGTTTCCTCCTACATCATGGGTATGCAATCCGAGATAGTGACCAAGTCCGTGTGGAAAGAATGCCATACTGGTCTGACTTTCAAGGAGTGTTGCTTTGTCGCCTTTCAAGATTCCTATCGCCAGCAGGCCTTCAATGACAACTTCATGGGCGAGCATATGCAAGTCGTCCCAGTTCACACCCTCCTTAATCATGGCTATGCACTCCTTTTGCATTCGAAGTACGATATTGTAGATGGCACGGGACTCGTGTGAGAACTTTCCGGACAATGGATATGTTCTGGTCTGTTTCTCAGAGATGAGTTCACTGACTCCGCCAAGAGAGAAAACGGAACACTTACAATGTCAGATGCATAATTCTCCCACTCAGCACCAGCATCAACAAGAATATTTAGCTTTTTCACCAGTGGTGCGTTATTGACCTCGTAATGGAGAGTCGCGGCTGCACGTCCACCTGCGAAGATGGGAGGATATGCCATCTTCTTCGCACCCTTGGAGGTACAACATCCTAAGAACACTGCTTCCAGCTCCATCTCGTTGCAAGCCGTATTTGTTTGCTGCATAACAGACTCGTGGGCCAGACCAGAAATGTGATTTGCCTTGCGAATCATGGATACCTCATACTCATCCTTGACAACACGCGCGATGTCAAGGACTCTCTTGATGGTAATTGCGTCATTATTGGCGAACCCCTCGAACGTCAGATGTTGCGGATACTGATCTGCGATGGTAAAGATAGTCGAGGAGGAGTAGGTAGCACTCAACTTTTGCAAAGTTGAGGCGATCTCGGTATTATATCTCACTTCGTCCACATCGTACTCCTTCAACGCCTCCTCAATGCTCATCGGCAAGCCACACCATATGACCTCGTCGGCATCGATAGGCGGGATGAAGAGAATCGACCTTTCTCCTTGGATGTCATAGATAAAGTGGCAGTCAGGAAGGTTACAGCCTGTTAGGTAGAAGAAGTGTCGACGTTGACTGCACACGAACATGTCAGCACGTGAGGGCCACGAAACGGGTTTGGAAAGCACGTACCGGAAAGGCTCAGCTTCGTCACTGTCCTCGAGAAGCTTGGTTGGACAGCCCGCCAGATAGATGGCTCCACGAGCACCACATATTATATCCGATAGCAAGCCAACAGCTTTTCTGGCATGCGCTTTGCCAGGATACTTCCCCTTTAGGATCGTTTCAAAGTCTCGAGCCACCATCATGTGCTTATCGTATTACTGGCGCCAGTGACTAACTAATGTCTTTCAAAAACGTTGCCGGAGCAGTGATGGGAGAGAAATCCCTCCCAGTAAGACTCATTCATAATGTATGAGCATAAGGCAGCGTCTAAGAGCCGGCTTAGGTCGGCTTACCAAAATGGCCATTGAGTCTCGTTGGATCTATTGCAACATTAGGTTTGCTAACTGACCACTCCTCACTTCGAAGGCCAGTGTCGGGACTCCATGGCTGCTTCTATCTGGTCCACACCTTTCAGACACTTACATCGGTCAACTCCCGCTTTGATATTAGCAGCATCTCGTGATTTTCTCCAGAGAGATAAGAAACTAACTACCGGCGTGGCGGCCGGCAGGGAGCTAGTGGCTAGTCCATCCCAGGAAATGGGTTGATGACGGTGGGTCAGGGGTCCCGTCCTGCAGCCTAGGCAAACTGACTCGGCGAACTCGGAGCGACACAGCATGACTTATTTCCTCGCTCGATTCGCCGACCTCATCGCCCAACTGTTGGGATCCCATCCCCCTTTCTCTCTATCGGTACCATGGAGGAGGATCACGCCCCGATTGCGGCCAGAGCTCTCCAGCAGCCCCGCAAGTTCACCATCCAGAGCAGCTTCGGCCAGGCTAGGGAGCGGCGAAGCAGGAAGAACAGACCGTGCGATGCTTGCAGGCGCCGAAAAACGGCCTGCGTTATCGAGACCGAACCTCCTTGTGAGTAATGCCATCACGTCGTCGCCAAACCGTGGGGTTGGATTGGCCTAGCTTGGACCGTGTTCCATTAACAATCTTTGGGACGCGGATAGGTGCGTTCTGCAGGAGCCGAGGGCTGATCTGCCGCTCAACACCCGGCCCAGAGCTGACTGCGCGTCAGCCCGCGCTCGCTACGCCGGGATCCCGGTTGGTCGGGCCAGCCGTCTCTGCTACGCCGGACCCTGTCTTACAGCCGCCTGCGCGCGACATCCCCGCATTCCAAGCCAATGCTTCCCCGGACTCCCTAGCACTTCCTCCTCCCACAGGCAACTACGCCACCACACGCCAGATCGCGGGCTCTGCTGCCGTAGTGCATCAAGGCCTCGTGCATACTCCCACCGGGAACCCTACCGATGAAGTGCCGCTAGAAGCCGCCGCCTTGGGCGTCTCTCCGCAGAGCTCGGTACCTTCGGCCACGACAACTCGTTACACGCTTGAGGATGCCAGGAACCACACGGCACACTTCATGGGCTGGGCAGCAGAGCAAGATACCTATCTGCTGGATTCGTTCAGGTCGGTTATCCTCAGCGAATACGGATTCGACGCCAATATCATCCAAGTCGATGGCGGCAACCCCAAGACCGAAGACCCGCCGGTGCACTTCCTCCTGCTGGAGAATGACTTCCCCGAACACACCAACAGGATGACTCAAGCCGCGTCCGATGCGATCGAGGCGCTGGTATGGCCCCATGGCCCGTTGCTAGTCCGCTTGTACTTCAAACACGTCCACCCTGTCTACCCTATCGTCTCCAAGGTGAGATTCCTGCGGCAGTACTCCGCTGGCAAGGAGCGGATACCGGCCTCACTGCGAGGCGCAGTGTACGCCTTGGCGTGCGTCTTCTGGCACAAGCATCCCGTTTCGGGACCATGCCCCTTCAAGCAGCACGAGCTCGCCGCGCAGGCGCATACCGCGCTAAGGGGTGAACTGGAGGCGCCTAATCTATGGAAGTTGCAGTCATGCTTGCTACTGCTGCATTGCATGCCCCCTGACATCGATAGCGTGGAGACACCCTACACGTGGATTCTCGCGTGCCAAGCCACAGCTGCTGCCCAGATGATCGGCCTGCACCAGGACCCAGAACGATGGAATATCGCGTCGTGGGAGAAAAAGCTACGGAGAAAGCTCTGGTGGGCCACATATGCGGCTGACTGCTGGTCAGCTGTATGCCACGGCAACCCGCCACATATTGTGATGGACTCGTTTAGCACTTCGGCCCCAATCATGGACGACCTTCGCTCCGATGAAGATGTGCCGCCTGAGCTCGGCCACCTCGTGGACCCCGACGATACCCGCTTCCGGGTGCCTGACGGGGCTCGCTTCCTGGAGATGGTTCGCATCGCACAGGATCTGCGGATCATCATTCACTGCAGCTCGTAAGTCGAGATATCGGGTCCCTTCGGCTCAGTAGTCAAAGCTAATCTCAACGACCCAGGCACGCGAGCAGGGGGTTGATGCACCCCTCAGATATGGCACAGTTGCGTAGCCAGTTGGTTGCTATCCGGGGCAAGTTACAAGATTGGTCCAGCCTTATACCAAATTGTCTAGCACTGGGGCAACCACAGATTGGTAAGTTTGCATCTGCAACGCTCCCTGCTGTGATGGCTAATCTGGTACTGACGTTCTAGGACCGCTACACCTCTCATTCTACGCAAGCCAGGTCCTCTTGTACCGGGGCCTGATGCAGCCAGCGACTCGTATGGCCAAGGCAAATCCTGACTCGAACCTACGGCGCTGGTTCCGTCACGCCCTTGATGACTTCAGAGCGTTCGTGTCTTTTATGAGTCGTATGACTGAGACTGAGCTAGATGCTTTCTGGGGACGCCGTGAGTTGCATGCTGACCTGTAGTGAGTCTCGAATATGTTGTGCTAACAGCAGCTACGACAGATGCACGGTCTCAGCTCATACTATGTGCAAACTTCTTAATCTACCTTTTCTTGCTAGCCTCAGACGCTCGAGATATCGAAGTCGCGTATGAAATGCTGGAAACCTTTCAGCACTGGCTACACAGCTTAGAGAAGATGGAATGCGAACACGCTAGATTGTTTCTACGATCAGCCAGGCTAAGGATTGATTCATTCTTTACACAGGCGGCGGAACTCATCAAGCATGGGGGAAACGAAGCTTACGCGGACCCCGCGACTGTAGAAGCATCACCAAGCTAGGTCTCAGGTGGTTGAAAGTAATTAGTAAATCATTCCTTATATTGACATGGTTTGATTGGGAAACGTATCCCACATATACAGCAAAGGGTTCCCTTCTGAAATCTTAAATCTTAAGCGTGAAACGAACAATTGGAGAGAAAATTGTAGATATTTCTAAAAGTCTGTCACGGCAGGCGCCGGTCGCTGGTCCTTGGCATCTGGGACATTAGGGCCGAGTTCAGAGCCATCTTCAGGGTTGGAGTGCTCGGCCAAGACAATATCCCAGCGCTCTTCGTACAGCGCACGGAGTTGGTCGGGGGTACCAGAGGTCTCGACGAAATTTTTCAGCCTGGCATCAGGGAAAACAATGTGGAGCAGCGCGTAGACGGCACCCGATGAAAGGAAGCCGTAGAGGTAGTTCAAGTAGTATAGCTCGGTGACTCCATAGGGCATTGTCACGGTCAAGTCAACTGCGGCGATGAAGCCTGGTAACAGGGGCATAGACCCAACGATCCACTATCGAAGGCATGTCAGTCGGGGAGCACAACTGTATATATGGCTGGGAAGGAACTTACTGCGACTGGGGCTCTCCAGTTGACACCCTTGGTGTACCAGTAGATGCTGCTACTATTCATGCAGTACAAGCCGTCGACGTTGACCTTGCGCGAGCAGACGAGCAGGTAGTGGGCACACATCAGGCCAGTCATGGGGGCAAGGAAGACACTGTAGCCCGACAGTACCGCTAGGAAGGTTGTGGCGGTGTTGACGAGCCTCCAGGGATTGACAATAGGGCTCAAGATAGCGACGATGTAAGCGCCTCTCCGGATGTTGATGTACTTGGGGAACACAGTAGCAAGGTCCATACCGCCAGGCAGGGCATTGCCAGGGATGTTAGCGCCTAGCTGCGAAATGACGAGGGCGAGGCCGACAAAGAAGACGGCGGCGCGGGTCCCGGGACTGGGGTCGAGCGCGAGCAGGTTGGCGAACAACGTGGGTGGGTTCCAGACAGCGTTGCCGCCCAGGCGGTTCTGCGTCGCAGCGGTGACGAGGATGCCAACCACAGCGCAGGCGGTGCCGTACAGAGGGAAGGCAACGGCCTGTCCCCACATGGCGTCTGATCTGCGCCTCGCGAAGCGGGCAAAGTCGTTCTGGTTGAGAATGCCGGCGGCGATGGACCCGATCGTACTCATGACACCATAGACCATCAGCCATGCCGTGCTCTTGGGGCCACCGGTTAGGGGGATCTCGGTTTTGGAGTCAAGAGTCGAGCCAAAGCCCGCCGGGCCCATTGTAGCCAGGGCCCAGATCAGAAGGACGACGAAGAAGACGAAAGTGACTGAGCTGGCAAAGTAGAAGAAGTTCTGGATGCGATGGATCTTTATCACAAGAAGCGGGAGACTGATGACACTGAAGATGATGTATCCGACAAATTGTGCCGTTGTCATGCCGGTGCCCTCCGGGATCGTGTTGGGAATCCTTGCTTCAAGATCGGGGACCCACGAGAGTAGCATGAGATAGATGCAGGAGCCGCCTACCCAAGCCTGGAAACCGTACCTAGATTTTGTTAGACGTGGGTCGTTTTATCAAGTGAAGGGCATAGGACTAACCAGACTACAGCCGAACACGTTAGCTAATGTTTGATGAAAGGGTGAAGGGTATTCGGTGACTCACCAAAAGACAAGAAGATACGGTTCCATACTGTGAACTGCGAACCCCAGATGCCCCAAACAGCTCGACTGAAGATCGGGAAGCCGACTTTGGTAACCATATTAGATTGCTAGGCGCCCTAGGCGGGTGGATAGAAGCAACTCACGATGATACTCTCCTCCCGGCAAAGAGTTCAACAGGATAGCGATGGTAGCAAGGATGTTTCCCACGACAATGGCAATGATGGCCTGCCACCAGGTCAGACCAAGCGGCACCAGGGCGCTTCCAGTCAGGTACGACGCAATGCTGCAGTTGATCAGAAGCCCTGTTACAGAGCGAGTCAGCCAGCGGTGTCCGCATGTGTGGCTGAGGCAACATACAGTAGTTGTGAAATGCAAGAAAGGTCCATGTGCGTCGTTCCCGGGGAACAGGTCGAATGTCTTCGTTCTATGATCGAGTGTCAGCATGGGGCTGGTTAAGCCCAGAAGTGGCAGGGTCTGCATACAATCCATTCAGACTGATTCGACAACTCGATCCTCCGAAGCCAGGCGGAGATACCCATTGCGTATGTTGCGAGTAGGACAGGCGACGGTAGCCAAGGAAGAAACGACAAGAACCTGGAGAAGCCCTACAGGAGTTACCCCCCAAAGCAACTCAGGTCGCGTGTGGAGGCCCACGGCTGGACTTTATGCAAGGATGGAGATCTTCTGATGCAGGCTAACGAGTGAGTGATCTTTACTTAATTGATTCCCCTTATCTCTGGAAGTCGGAAATCTTCGACAGAACGCCAGAGGGGGATCGGGCACTAGTGCTAGTGCGGCAGGTCGAGAACCGGGATCGTCGGCGAACCTAAAAGTTGGCCGACGTCGGATGTAGTATTTGGTGGTGCGAGACGGGTTGCCGAGATCTGGACTGCGGGGAACTTCTTGGACCCTTTCTAAGCGATTGCTATTTACACAACATGGGATATGTCTACTGGGCTTGATAAAGGTGTCAGTCCCAGATAGAATTGGGTATGCCGGGAGAGGTCATCACACATCAGAGATAACAAAGCGGCACCTAGAAAGCGAAGAATCCAGTTTGCTATTCTCAAGTCGAATCAGTGAGGTACGATGAGCCCATTGCCTACCGATGAGGAGCACGGATGTGAGTCTCAGGATTGGGATTAACGAATTTGCAGGCACTTCTTCCACATACTCAGAGGCTGTCGACATACAACCAGGAACTGCCTCAACACGCCAGCCAGCATGTCTCTATATCGTATTGGAGTCGATGTTGGTGGCACAAACACAGATGCGGCCATCCTTGACATCCGTGCCTTTGACAATCCCGGCCGGGGAGTCTTGGCGTCTTACAAAGCCTCAACTACCGAGGACATCACCAGTGGCATAGAGGCTGCTATCCGGGCTGTCTTGGGCGAGTCCAAGGTCGACCAAAGTCGAGTTCTGAGTGTCACGATCGGAACAACCCATTTCATCAATGCTCTGGTCGAAGCCGACGCCAGGAGACTGGACCGGGTAGCCGTAGTGCGCCTTTGCGGCCCGTTTACCAGGCAAATCCCACCATTCTCAGACTTCCCTGTGGGACTTCGGAGCATCCTCGATGGAGGCGCATACTACCTGGATGGGGGTCTTGAGATCGACGGGCGCGAGATCGCAGCTCTCGACTCCGCACAGATTGCCAAGACTGCGAGGCAGATTGTTGACTCCGGAATCAAGTCCGTTGCGCTCGTGGGGGTCTTCTCCCCGCTCGACGCCGAGGGTATCCATGAAGAGCAGTGCAAAAAGATGCTGCTTCAGGAAGCTCCTGGGCTTTCAGTCGTCTGCTCTCACGATATTGGACCGACCGGTCTTCTCGAGCGCGAGAACGCCACCATTCTCAATGCCGCCATCCTCCGGACTGGCTACCGGGTGAAGAAGGGGTTCGAGAGGGCCATGGCTCGCCTCCAGCTTTCCTGTCCTTTATACCTCTCTCAGAACGACGGTACTCTCATTGATGCCGACACGGCAGCTGAGTACCCTATCAAGACCTTCGCTAGTGGTCCCACCAACAGCATGACTGGTGCTGCCTTCCTGGCTGGACTCGATCACAACAAGCCCACATCTCAGGCGGGCGATACAGATTCCTCAGAACCCCAGATTCTAGTCATTGATATTGGAGGCACGACCACTGATGTCTGCGCTCTCCTGCCTTCCGGATTCCCTCGTCAGGCTCCTGGCTTCGTTGAGGTGGGAGGTGTGCGGACTGCATTCTCCATGCCAGAGGTCGTCTCAATCGGGCTGGGTGGCGGTAGCAAAGTCACAGTCAATGGGGACTCCGACGACGATGTCAAAGTAGGCCCAGCCTCCGTTGGTCACTTCCTCAAGGAGCAGGCCAAGGTTTTTGGAGGGCCGACATTGACCGCGAGTGATATCATTGTTGCAATGGGCAAAGGCAAATTGGGTGATGCTTCTCTAGTCAAGGACCTCCCCAAAGCGACTGTCGAGGGTGCTCGCAAAGACATCAAGAAACTTCTTGAAACAGTCATTGAAAAGATGAAGGTCTCAGCGGCTCCAGTCCATGCTCTCCTCGTGGGAGGTGGTGCGTTGCTTGTCACCGACCAGCTCGAGGGCGTCGAAGAGTGCATCCAGCCGATCCATCAAGGCGCTGCCAACGCCGTTGGGGCCGCCATTGCCAAGGTCTCTGGAACCATCGACACTGTTGAGATTCTTGAGGGCAAGGACGAGAAGGTAGTCATCGAGGCTGCGCGTCAGAAAGCCATCGACTTGGCTGTGCAAAAAGGAGCTGCTCGCGAGCACGTCCAGATTGTCGAGGTCAACAAGATGCCGCTGCAGTATATGCACAACGGCGCCATTCGCATCCAGATCCGCGCAGTAGGACCGCTTTCTATCCCGGATGAGTTGACACCTCCCTCGTCGCCACCCTTGGTGGCTGCGAAAGAGGACGAGGACGCCGATGAGGGCGTGAAGGTATCCGTCCCCAACGCTTTAGAGTCGACGATCAGGCCGTCGCTTCATGTGGACCTAGAAGCCTACAGGCCCGATGTACGAGAGGGTGTCTGGTATGTGTCTGAGATTGACCTGGAGATGATGTCAACAGGCTGCGGTGTGATGGGCACTGGAGGCGGCGGCCCGACGCATCATGAGTATCTCAAGGGCCTACATGCTTTGCGGACTGGAGGAAAGGATAAGATGAGAATCATCTCTCCTAAATCACTGAAGGATGATGCTAGCGTCTGCTTTGGCTCATGGTATGGCAGCCCTTCTGTGATCAATGAGCGTGTTAGCAGCGGTTTAGAGATCCCGACGGGCCTCAAGGCCCTCATGCGTATCCTAGGCAAGGAAAAGTTCGATGGCTTGTACATTGACGAGATGTGAGTGTTATTCGAGTCATATTTCTACCGAAGCTAGTGGAACTAACAAACTTCACCAGTGGCGGCGGCAATGGCATGAGTGTATTTCCGACAGCGGTTGACTTCGATATGCCCGTTGTTGATGGTGATGCGATGGGAAGGGCATATCCGACGATGTATCACGGTAAGAAAACCTGACAAAAGTTGCTTTACATATCAAAGAGACTGACTTCGAGGTTTTAGCAATTTTCAGTGTCTACGGTTACTCTTTGACACCATGTGTGTTGGCCGATGCTTGTGGTAATACAAACGTTGTGATGGTAAGATTCAAGACCATTTTCTCGTGATCATCGGCTAGAACTGACCTTTTATCTAGAACACTGATACCCCGGTCCGTCTCGAGAGACTCCTTAGAACAGCTGCCATCGAGCTCGGTCTTGGCTGTGCTGTATGCGCAAACCCACTGCCAGGCTCCGTCATCAAAGAGTACGGTATCTCAAACACCCTCTCAATGGCATGGTATCTGGGACGAGCCGTGCACATGGCCTCGCGAAGGAAGTCGAGTATAGTGGATGCTATCGTAAGTCTCGTTCAAGAGTATCTTGAGAGGACGTAAATGGCTGACACAGTTATCTCTAGTTTGACGTATATTCTGGGACACTGTTGTTCAGCGGAAAGATTATCGATGTGCGCCGGTACATCGGTGGCGGCTACACCATGGGCGCTGTCGTCTTAGCCCCCCTGAGTGAGGAGGAGCGGGAGGGAACATCTAATAAGACGAAACAGGCTGCGCCAGCTGACAAGCACATGGTCATTCCCTTCCAGAACGAATATCTATATGCGGCTCTGTGCGATGTGGATGCTACGGAGAGCTCTCAGGAGGTGATCTGCACTGTACCCGACCTGATCTCCATCCTGGGCCAGGATGGAGAGGCCATCGGATCTCAGGATCTACGCTATGGGCTGAGGGTCAGCGTCATTGGCTTACCAGCGCACCCTCTGTGGAAGACGGAGAAGGGAATCAAGGTGGGCGGCCCTGAAGGCTTTGGGCTGAAGATGCCAGTGGTACCAATCAAACAGGTTTTCCCTGAGTCGAAGAGTGTCATTGAGGAGTTTGCGCAATAGATAACTCGAGCATACCCAATAGACACACCACATGAAGATACACATGGTCTCTGCAATAACTGGTTCATGGCTGATACACATAGATTTAGATGGCTAGGTTATAATATTATTGTCATGGAAATGTTGTTCGTTGTTATAAGCTCTCTGATCTGGTAATTATGCCTTGGTCTGGTCTTTGCAACTGTCTATCGTGCTATTTATCTGGTCCCTCCCCATATTCTGGCACATTCATTCTATGTCACTCACCCACAAAAGTCCATATCCTATCTGATACAAAAGATAATAACACGTCGGGCTAAACCCCTGGCCGGGTGTAGTCAAGCTCCCGCACCCTCCGCCACACTTCCCTCACAACCCGCTCCTGGCCTTGCCGCCCCGTCTCGCTTGACGATGGACCCGCGGGTCTGGTATTATATCAGCATTATGCCTTACAAAACTGTCAAAAGAGCACGAACCTGATAGCGAGGTATAAGCGGCCTCCAAGGTGGGCATCGGGAATCTCTGTATTGGACGGATCTTTGGGCGCGTTTGCTGTTGTGACCAGACCACCTGCCTCGAGGAGAATCGCAAAACCAGCTGCGACGTCCCTATTGCGTACAGTCAAGTCAGTTGGCGCTCACGCTTGAGAAGCTCTAGGGTCCAACATACCATTCCCAGCAGCCTCCCTCCCACCAGATATCTACACCACCCATGGCCGTGTACGCCAGGCCCAGAGTCGCGCTAGCAGTCATTCAGCAATCTGCCCATAGGCACGAGTGCCCTCAAGCCCGACTCACCTTCCTAGGCTTCGCATGCCGTGTACCATGCCTCCCTTACCATTCCGACCCCCGACTTCGGCGGCCATATTCATGAAGCTCTCGACCTTGCGGTGCATGTTGCCGTCGGGGATGTCCCTCCTGTCCTTCCCCCACTCGCAACAAAAGACACAGCCCTTCGGCGCCGCGGCCGGCATGGGCGGTATGGGTTCCCGGATCAGCGGCAGCGGCGTCGTCTCGTTGAGCCACGCGCCGCGACCCTTGCACGCGGTGAAGAGCTGGTTCATAAAGGGCGCCTGGATGACGCCGATGACGGGCCGGCCGCCGACGAGGAAGGCGATGGAGACACAGAATGTGGGGAAGAGGTGTGCGTAGTTGACGGTGCCGTCGAGGGGGTCTACACACCACGTCGGCGCTGTGTCGTCGATGAGGTATTCGCGGGATGTGCCTTTAGAGTAGGACTCCTCTCCAACAAATCTTTGCGATTAGGGCGGTGATGTTAACATCTTGTGGTCTCAGGATCCATCTGGATGACAGGTTGAGAAGGGCTTGTAGCTGAAACCTACTTGTGATCAGGGTATCTGCTCGAGATGGACCGGTGGATGAAGGCTTCGACATCTAGTAAGGAAGATCGTGAGCGACAATGAGACACTCCAGGGGCCAATTGGAAGCTGACTCGGCTCGCCGCGCGCGACGGCGAGCTCTTTTCACGAGTCTTACCCTCATCAGTCTGAGTGACAATGTCTACAGCGTTGTCTTTCTCCGAGAACTCTTGGCCACTGTTGCCTCCGGCGCCGAACCTAGAGGTTGCGGCGTCCATAAGCATCTTCCCCGCATCCTTGCCCAGCTGTATCGCAAAGGCGTAGATTTCATCCAGTTCCGTGTCCGTGATACTTGCCATGGCTTCGTAACAATTCAACTGATTACCATGAGAAGTCAGATAAAGATATTACAGGTTCAGGATCAAGTGCGTGACATGTGTTCGAGAAATGTGGTGGTCGGAGCTAGGCCGATTCACTGTCCGCTGACGTAGTGCCCGAATTCCGTGTGCGACTGGAGATGCGGAACAGGAACCGCTCGCCAACGGCCGATAGAAACCGTTCACGGTGGGGATGTATTCTGGATAAGGGCCTTCGGAGCTCTCAAATGATAATCAATTCTCAGGGATAGCTACTGTGAATGAGGAGCCGACATGGCTTGATCGCGGCCGAACACGCTCACCGGAAGAGTCCTTATCCGGAATGCCGCCGATCCGCTCTGCCAGGACTCCGTTGATCCACAACACGTTTCTACTCCAATCGAAGCAATGTGCAAGGAAAATGGTAAGATATGAAAGCAAGGAAGGAAATAGTACGCAGTCATCACCTCCGCTGAGTGACTCATGACCATGGTCATCGCTCAGAACATAGGGTCGTCGTGTGCCAAATCTTCAAAAACCGGAAGTCCGTCTGTGAAGTGCGTAGGGCCTGGCGCAGCAAACATATCGGTGGTGAACAGGAGTGTAGGGTTCTCAGCCAAGGACATGTCTGCTTCCGGCATACGGCTGTCATTGTCGGGTTGTTCCAGGTCCTCAGCTTGTGATTGTGCTGGCTGCCTGGAGGCAGCTGGAAGCTGTTGCCTTTTCCCCTTCCTGTCCTCCCTGTCCTTTATCATTTTCTCCTTCTTCTCCTTCTTCTTGAGCTGTATGCTTTCGTTGGCTGCTTCAACCCAGGACTCGGTTAAGTCCTCGCCGACCACTGCGGGAGAAAGATTAAGTTAGTACCCGTGTTGGAGATGACGGATGGAGTGAGCTTCCCATCTCACCTTCAAATCCGAATACACTCATGATGTACTCTTCTGTGAGGAGGAGAGGCACCGTATGATTACTACTTTTTTTCAAATGGAAACTGACGCCTTTACTGTCATTGAAAGGGTGTTTGTCAAAATTTCGACAGCCGCAACAAATGACAAACCACCTGTCGATGTCTTCCGAAAGCCGAAAGATGTAGTCTGTCCCTCCGACCTTATCTTTATCGACAGTCCTGAGCTGCTGTGACCGGTTGGCAGTTTGGTGCCTTTCAATGCGAGGTCGAGTCTGAGATCAGTGTCAATCTGCTGTTGCGTGATCAAAGCGTTTAGGAGTGACACACCCGTGTTCCGACAATATTGGACTCGACCTCCTCCACCGAGGATTGCTTTGACCTTTTATGAGAAGGGACTTCTGAGTTGACATCGTCTTCCCCTAATGGATGTTTGGACTGGATCTTCTCAGTGATCAAGAATTGCTTGCGTCTGCTCCTAGAGAGGCACAGAGGGACGAACAGAAATCTCTTACTTGAGCGGAGACCAATATGACATCTTCTTCTGGGGCTGGGAGAGCTTGGCCATCATGATTGTTCTGTTGGTCGACGTCTGCGGGCTGTTGGGCAGGTGTGTCCACCACAAGGGGTTCAGCAAGGGAAGATTCGTCATGAAATACGTCCAAGGTCGCGGCAGGAAGTCCAACGTCCATGGTCCTGGCAGCTATGTCTCTCGGGTTGAGCTTAGAAAGTATTCCGATCATGTCGGCACGAACCTGTGAACGGCCCTCACTCCATCGGAGCTTCTCTTCGTCCACTTCGCGTTGCTGTGTAGCTCGCCATTCATGGCGCTGGTTCTTTTGACTCTCAAAAAACGCTGTCGTGGCTTGTTCCTGAGCAAGTAGCAGGTCTTTCCACTCGCGGTTCCGTCTCTCCAAGGATAACTGTTGCTCTTTCAGGAGACGTTCTTCTCCGGCAATGATGTATCGTCGGCACCACTGGCTCAACAGTTCTTCAGGATCCCGATCCTGGTTGACAACACTCCCGGTGTCGTCGATGGTGTCACCGATCGACATGTTGTGTGCAGCCTCGAGTCCTGTCATTGTTGTCCCTTGTCCGAGGGTGGGTTGCCTTAAGTCTTGAGAGACCTTAGTATGAAAGTGAGGGTAGGATCTGTTGCTGCCAACGGGGCGTCGGTATCGGTATCAGACCGTGTCGAGTAGGTGAAGAGGCCAGTAATGACTCCAGCACATTGCTTAGAGCCTCTGTGAATGTTTCTCGAACCTCTGCCAGCCCTAGATTCCTGCGATGAGGAAATACTTGGTTGAGAGGGAGGAAGTCGGCTGCTTGGGGATGTTGAACCAAGTGACAGGAGGCCCTTATGAATCTGAAACAAAAGCTTAGGATTCGAACGTAAAAGCCCTACGGACAGGGAATCAAACTAAGTAATAAATGCTAGTAGATTCCGAGTCTACGAGCTCAGTACTCCTTATTTTACTTCAGCTTCGTGTGGATAAACCGAAGAAGCCATCAATTGATCACAACCCTGGTGCGCGGACCAGCAGCTCATGGCGAATGGGGCTCCTGGACACCCGGCCGGCTGTGGCCAAGGTATAGATACCTGTAGATACTTCGACTCGGTCAGTGTCGGTCTTGCGGTGTCATATTTTAACTGATCACCAAACCTGACCCTGGCCACTTGCCCAAGCGTCGTGGGTAACCAGTAGCTTCGCCGTCCTTCTTGCCACCCCCCAGACACAAGTACGATAACACACCTTGCACACCCTCTTCTCCACAACAGTTGCAGACTTTGCTAGGGCTGGCTCACCTCCGCCAGCGCAGCTTGCAGGAGGTCCGCGCCTTTTGGTCTGGGGTATGGTGGATGGGTCCAGCCCCTCGAAAGCCAGCGCGGGTCCGCGACGGGCAGTCCCCTATACCAATGGGACAAACCCATCACATCTCCTCTGAGACTTGCATCATGCATAAGAACTAATTCGGATGGTTGGAACAGGCGGCCGGCTCCTTCCCCGTTCATGGCAGGCACATTAAGGTGGAGGTGGATGGGGGCCTCGATTTGGGCCATCTGCGTTTTATGCTACAGCTCGTCGAAGCCAATGGCCACCCACCAAGCCGTCGTGAGCGACTCCAGCTTAGAGGACGCTTCTGTCGTAGTCTGCAATTCACGAAACAAAGTTTCAGGGGACGGGCCTTGATCAGTGGCTACAAATCTTGCAATGCATTGGGCCGGGCCGAGATGACATGAGCGGGTGCATTTGACAGTGGGAGCTAGCTAGTCCTCACACCTACGAAACGCGGGCAAAGACCAAATCAATTCCTAGGTCATGTTTACGATCCGTTGGTTGAAGCCTCGTAAAATTTCTCGGGTGTGTTTGATTCCTAAAATTCGAAAGAATGCGATTCGTCGTGTGTGAAAACTTTTCTCTCCTTGACAGGGGGCTCGTCCGCTTGTGCGCTCATGCAAGCCGCTCTCCAGAAAAGGACCATGGGTCACTCTCGAACCTGTCAGGAAGATAAAAAGCACCTGCACCTACTCATTACGCCCATGCATGACCCCTGGTCCCTGCTCGAAAAGAACAAGGATGGTATCGCTCACAACCCTCCTCCTCTCCACAGTCAGGCTGAGCTTGAACTGGTATTTCCTCACTGCGGAGGTCTGGGACTCAGCTTGCCAGGAGACCAAGTCTCTCAAAATATCCCATCATGAGCAACAGCTGGTCAAGTCAAATTTGAACCGATAGCTGGCATCCCCCCCACCCCTTGCCATCCAACCCCTGAGAAATCTTGGAGGTTGGTATCCCACTGACAAGTATGCGCATGCAACCCACTCGGAATGTATCCGCGCAAACTAGGATTGCAACACCGTGACACTGAAATTGAGTCATTACCTCTTCGTAAGATGCAATATGCCGTGGTCAACAGGGAAGTAGGAAGGGCCCTGGAAGACGGGATGCTTGCTCCGGTTTGGTTGTCCAAATTTTTCACGTCTCCATCCGCCCTGGTCTTTACAGCAACCCATTCCATTTTTTTCCATTGATGTTAGCCAAAGAACAGGAGTGGAATGATCAAATTAGGTATCTATTTGTGCCGAGATCTTCACAGCGGTCTCTCCTTTCTCAGACAGTTTCAAGCATTTAATTGCTGTTAATTCAAACCTTTCAAGTCAACCACAGTCCAGCATAATAGGAGTCAATTTTCCAAAATTTCTGCCAGTAAAACTCGTAACAAATAATGAGCGTACGCCTTCGTTCCAGTGATCTAACAACCTCATTACAGACCATGAAATATGTTCATTTACGACCTACACTTGAGAGAGGAGGCAGAGACTCGGTATCACTATCCCCTTGAACATCTGAGATCACGGGCCAAGACGCCAAGGGCGGCGTGGCAGGCATTTCTCCGTTGACCGACATGTCCGCAACAGGGACCGTGGTCTGGGCCTCTGGGACGCTTGCCCCTGGGCGGGGTCCTGCCCTTCGTCTCCTTGGAGTAGGCGTCTTGGGGCTTGGCCTCTTGGCCATCTCTGTTGCCTTCTTTGCTCTTCTCTCCTTCAGCATTTCGTTGCTCCGCTTCGCCGACTCCTCGTCGGCGTCTTGGACTGGCGGCACGTTAGCTTAGTCGCTCACTCCTATCCTCTAGCAGCCGGACATACCCTCATAGCCATATTTCAGTATGAGATCTTCATCCGACATTTCGTAATCAAGATGATCGTGGAAATTTTGATGCGGTTTCGACTTGAGGTGGCGTCGAAGGCCAAAGCCGCTTTCCAGCGGGTCTCTAACGAAGGGGTGGTTCTTGCATCCACATCGGAAGATGAACCATTGGCCCGGAGAGATCGATGGACTGATGATGTATTCCAGACCATCGACTTCATTCATCATAAGGGTTCTATGAGAAGTCTTCCGTCTATCTGCCGGCTTGATGCGGTATCGTGTCTTGATCGGAATAGAGATGGTCAGCACGAGGCCATGCATATCGAAAAGCAGTTTGACGTACCGATGTACCTGCCGGCTCAAGATTGTTACCCGAGGTCTGCGTAGTTCGAAGTCTCTTGGAAGGGGTCTCGATGCTAGAGAGATCGGGCGACTGAGCACGTTTCGACTGTGAAGGGTCAGCATCATACCTTTAAAGTAGGTGGCGACTACTCACGGACGAAGGCATTGGTGACTCTTCAACATCAGCTTGAGCCGTGGATTCATCTTCTCCCATAAATAAGGAAGCACTAGGGCCATCGCTGCATCGAGTTTCCGGATGAGGCGTTGAGGGTTGTTCAACACTTGTAAGCAATGGTGTAGCTTCGCCAACACTAAGTGTGGCACTTTGAGCACGGTGCTGGTTGAGCTCTGTCGGAGGGGTCGAGGGGCCTTCGATGGGTTCAAGCACTGGTACAGCCTCCGCCACACTGACTGTGGCACTCGGGATGCCGTTATGGTCGACTTCTGGGGGAGGTGTTGACGGTATCTGTGATGAAAAATCGGCAGGATTCATCAGGGGCGTGCCCTTGACACTCCACAGAGGGTTCGAGAACTTGGCTGAAAGCTCTTCCATGATGCTTACAGCTTCTTCCTCTGAGATGCGGGTACTCTCACGGACGGCGTGGAAGACGTCGTTCTGGACTTCCGTGAACAGCTTCTGGCACAGGCGCTGCTGCTCCTTGAGCGCTCGATCTTGTCCAGCGACGAATTCATTGTATGTGCTCGTGATTGACGCTTCTCCCTTCTTCAACTTGTTCAGACATAGGTCAAACACAAATTCTCTCACGCCACGGTTGAGCTCCTCTCCAATGGGCATCGTGGGGGCAGCTTGCGGAGAAGACAGAGGACTGGGCATTTGGGATTGAAAGGTCAAAGCTTCTCCAGCCATCTTGGAAGTGTGATGGGCTTAGGGTACGTGCAAAGACTTATCGCGGGGAGAGAGTGCCTTGTTTGAACGGCAAGAGATATTGACCAGAATGAAAGGTAACAAGAGAGCGCAGAGAGAAGAAGAAGAAGAAGAAGAAGACGAAGACGAAGGGGAAGAAGACGAAGAAGACGAAGAAAAAGGGAGATTCAGGGACTTTGTGATTCTCTCAAAGTGCCAGGGCCTGGGTGGCTGGAAGATTCAAATTCTGAGAAGCGGGTGTGGACAGTACAGATTTTGGGGGACGGGATTCCCAGTGGAACTGGAGGGAGTCCGCTTGGCCTACCCTTTCCGTTTGCCAGACACACCGGTCGAGTTGGATGTAGGTGACTGCCTCTAGTTTGCTTAAACCAAGGCACAGAAGAAATATGAGTTCCTCAAGTCTGCGCCTTGATTGCGACCAAGTGATTACTGTAGCAGACTCGGAAGGTAGTGCAGGCTTAGATCAAGTGGGATCCGCATGAAAAACGATGAAGGAAGAGAGAAGCAGGAAGAGAACAAAATCTGCTCTCAAGATGGGACCTTGCTCCTCCTCGACTTTTCTCCTGTCTCTCCTGCCTCTGATGTCCAGATGGACTTTCCTGCTGAAAGGGTGGGTGGGCCGGTTGGGGCGTGGCCCGCATTAGATTGTGCTGTTGGTTCAGGGGTGTAGCCAGAGCCAAGGCGAAGGCTGCCATTCCCACTCGACTCGAGCTCAGCGAGGTGTGGGAAAGTACGTCTTGTGACCAACCGCTCTATTTTGGCAAAACTTTTCTCATCTTTGCAAGGAACTGAACAGATTGCTTGGCGGACCTGATTAACTGCTTGCCTATCGTGCCGTGTAGCCTTTTCTTTTTGTTTTTGAAGGGGCGTACTGCTCTGGCTGGGAAGCTACCTAGGTATACTCTGAGGTGACATCCCTGCATAAACCACTGGCAGTGATGAGGCAGTGCGAGTATGTGACTGTGAGACAAAGCCCCCGCTCCGGCGCTTAAAGGGTTTCATGCCACCCTACTTGTAAAAGCTTCGCAGAGGCCGCCCCTAGAGCGTAGAAAAGATGTCGCAACAGACAATTGTCGCGTCGATGGTGACTAAAATTCTAGAGATGGAGGGGGATTTGAATGCAGTATGTCCAGACGAGCAAACCTCGCCAAGGGGTGGCCTGTTTCAGACTGGAAATCCAAGAGGCAAGGCAGATTTCTACTCTGGAAAGACAGGCTCCTTGAGATCTTCTCGGCTTCCCCGTGAGTGGGTCAATCAAGAGTTTGGCTCGAGCATATGCATTTCCATACGAGCAGAATTTGCTGGACGATTGTCTGCTCTGGTGAGAAGAGGGCTCGTATTGCATTTTCAGGGCAGCCTTGAAAATGTGAATGTCTTGCCGAGATTGCATGCGTCTTTCTTCGTGAAATGTGAGACTCGCAGCAGCTTTGGGAGCAACTTTTGAAGACCATTGATCATTGTGAAATACTATGTACCAGTACAGGAGTATACAACCAAAAGTCGGTGAGGATGTAGAGGGTATGTTTCTATGCGAAGAAGGTCTATCAAGCTTGCAATAGATAACATCGTTGGTCAATGGCTTTAGCCATAAAGGGAAACAGATTATATGAGATGGCGGGTGTTGATATCAATGATATATTTCGAGCTTATAAGTTTGAACCGTTTCCCTAGACATACACTGGGCTGGATCTATCCGGCCCAGGGGAACCAGTTGTCCGACCCAATAGCAAGCGCCGCGGGACGCATCCGGTCAACAAACATGGTGTCCTCCTTTTTGGTCCTAGTTTGATAGTTAATATCGAGAACACGACAATAGCTAGCAGGCGAGACACCTCATACTGCCGCTACATCGATTGAAAGTCCCAGATGGTCACTATACATGCCTTGGCACGCGGGTATCGCGGCTGGTAGTGTGGAGAACAAATGTTAATTATGACCGTCTGCCTTTCCTTGATGCAAGCCACATGGTTGCCTTACGCGCAAAGGACCCAAGAGAGAAGAGATTTCTGGTGCTTTCCCCTGTTACCCCTTTTCTCCTTCGACGTGGTAAAACCTGGCACGGGCTCTCACTCGGATGCGGAGTTTTTAGTTTATCACTCGGCCGAGACATGTGGTGCCCAATTATTGAGCAGCTGCCCACCCATAGGCATCGACTGCCATTTGAGTGAGAAGGGCATGGAAATTTCTGTTGAAGCCTCACACGAATGTATTCTCCCACTCAAATAGATCTAATTGTTTCATGTAACAGCTCACATCTAATCATTGGCTCATTATAGATGACTTGCTTTCCAAGTTGACATGCGTCTCATGCGTAATATTTATGACAGACAGGTCTAGCTGTTTCAGCCGATCCACTCAAACCAGGAAGGCTCCAGCATCTGCACCTCGATTGCTCGCTTTTGCTGTGTTGAATTGGGCTTGCCGGCGATCTCGTCATCGGTCAGGTAGTGTGCATTCTTCATGACATCCTCAAGCGTAGCATGTCGCTGCTCTGCAGTTCCGTACTTTCCTTTGCTTCTGAGAACCTGCTTGCCCTTGGGCTTCTCCCAGCCGTCGGGTGTGGTTCTGTGACCGCGGCCCAGACCCCCGCTCCCGTTGTCCGGAAGGGGAGGATAGAACGGCTGCTCGTTGGCGACGTCCTGGACCGCTAGGCATTCCTTGAAGTTGACCTTGGGGAACTTGGCAAAGAAGACGTCGTACTTGGGGTCCATGGCCTGCTTCAGAGACACAATCTCGTTCGGCTTATCGTTGGGCTGGAGGAGGCCCCACGGCTGCCTGCAAGTACCGCCCTCGCACGACTTGGTCACGAGCAGGATGGCATTGAGGCGGTTGAGAAGCTGCTGAACCTCTGGGGTTGGGTTGAGGGCCAGATTAGTCAACTCGTAGGGGTCTTTTGCCGTGTTGTACAGCTCGACCTCACCCGTGCACCAGTAGGAGTAGAGCCAGGACTCGTCGGAACCCACAATACGCAAGGTCTTGTAGCTGTTCTTCTTGAACGGGACACCCAATTCGGCAGCGTTAGGTGCCTCGACAATACAGAGTCCCCAGAACTCCACGTTGAGGGTCTCTTTGGCGTTGCCACCACCGTTGCCATCACCCGTCGAGCTTTCGGGGTCGTGCCATTGGGGGAGAAGACTCTGGCCGTCAAAGAACGACGGCCACTTGTCCTGGGGAACACCGGCAATGTCCAAGAACGTAGGGCCAAGGTCCAGGTGGGCTCCGGGAATCTTTGACGTTATGTTCTTTGGGATCCCCGGCCCGCGGACAAAGAAGGGAAGGTTGGAATCCTCGGCGTAGAAGGTGGCCTTGCCTGCGGGGACGCGGTGCGTGCCGACCTTGTACCCGTTGTCGCTTGTGAAGATGACATAGGTGTTGTCGAGCACGCCCTTCTGTTCAAGCGTATTGATCACGTCCTCCATGATCTCATCGACGCCTTGCAGACCACGGATGCGCTGCCGGTATGCGTGGTCAGAGAATGCAATGATGGTGTCGTTCATGAGGGGCAGAGTCGGCAGCCAGCTACCCTTTTGCTTCTGGAACTCCTCGGAAGGGTTGAAGTTGGGAGTTCGGGGTGCGGTCACGTTTTCGAAATCTTGGGCGTGGCGTGCGAGCGGGACGGTCTCCTGGATGTCGTTTTGCACATGAGGAGAGGACGGAGCTAGCACAAGCAGGAATGGTTTCTCCTGGGAGGTGAGATGCTCGATGCGGTCGACCCTGAGGACTTGTCAGCATTTTTATGACTCGAATGAAAGTGCGGCCGGGCTTACGCTTTGGCACGGACGACATCGGACTGATGGAATCCGGTGTACCAGATAGGGCGTCCTCCATTGATGGAAGTGACTGGTGTGTTGAACTGCTGGGTGTAAGGGTCGAGCTAGAGGGCGCAACTGTGAGCTACAAGTTTCTAATAACCAGTAGGCAACAGAAAAGGCAGAGAGGGGCGGATACTCAAGACTTACCAGAGCGTCCACATGGTGCCACCCTTTTGGTGCTTCGAGATAGTTGGTGAGCCCATAGCCGTTAAGGAACTTGCCAATATCTATAGTACGTTAGCAACTGGCGGAGGTGTTGGAGAATCTCTCGGCTTACATTCGGTCCGGTAGCCAGCAGCGTTCATCCAGTGAGGAAGATAGTCCTGGTCCAGCTCGCTGGCAACAAACTTGTCGTAGTTTCCTCCCGGCGCATTGACATGCGTGATGTTGGTGTTGTGGACCATCTGCCCTCTCATGAAGCTAGCACGGCTGGGGCAACAGTTGGCTGTCGTGGCGTAGTGGTTTAGAAACTCGACGCCTTGGGCCTTGATCAACCGCTGTAGCACGAATTGGTAGTCTGTGGATCCGAGACGGTAGTCCTGGTCATCGGTCATGATCATGACGATATTTGGACGCTTGTCTGGACGAGGTTTGCAGTCACGGGAATGAGCCGTGACTGCCAGGAGGGCACCAGACAGCAACGTCGAGGCCTTCATCGTGATGAATGCAAAGACTTGTGGTGATAAGGAACAACAGGCTCAGGAGTTGAGGCAGACTCGGCTCCAACAAGCGTACCGCGCTTTGTAGAAGCGCAGAGCATTTATAGTTGGGGCCAAAGCCATAGAAGACGTGGTACTCATCTCGAAGTGACCGTGCCAAGTCAAGGCTTGGCAAAAGGTTACATCGCCATATGGCATAGTCTGGGATCGGCAAGATGCAATTTGAAAGGTACACTGGTCTCCCCGCTCTTCAACAGTCTACTACTGGTCATCCCCATGAAGACGACTCTCTCGTGCTGCGTCCGGGGAGTGTAGTTGCGGATCTGGGGGAAAACGAGACCGGGACCCGAGTGAAGTGGGGATCGGTTCTCGGACTGCACTTCTCGCTCGGGTTAGTCATTCCATCACATCCATGGAAGCAGGTCGGTTCCAAAGCCAGGGTCGCCGATTTACGTTGACCGCCAACCATTTGGGACTGAGAAATCGCTCAATTGAGGCGGAGAAGTTCCTCATGTGTATCGAAGGCAATGCGGGGAAGCCAAACGTTCCTCGGGGAGTTGGAAGTTGGTGGATCGTTGCCAAGGTCAGAGGCCGCACATCCGTGGCTGGCCCACCATTCAGATCCCGGCTCCAGGGGAGCTCTTTCGACGTCTATTCTCACACAGTGCCCGAAGCAGGCCAGGGTCCTGACTGACGTAGATTGCAGTTCAAGCACGACCCGGAGCACGAGGCGTTTGTGCTGGCGGGGACCTGTACAAGCTGCGAGACATAGGGCCTATGCAGCACGAGCCGGGAGATCACACTCTGCGGACGATCCAGAACAGTTTCTTCGTGGACGAGTAGATGGCGCCGAATTCATTATGATGCCAGATTCAGGTGGAAACATCGTTCTCAGCAAGCTGTGGGATAAACTGGCGGACACAAGCGAGTGTTACTTTGTCAGTTTTTATTTGTTTTGTTTTGTTTTGTTTCATTTCATTCTAACCAAGGCCCGAGCCACTTCTCGTCATCGGCGGCAGCGAACGGTGCCTTCACAGGCTCGAAGACTGTGCGGTCTAGCTTCGATATTGCGCTATGCCACTCGTTCTTCTCCTTCTCCCTTCCCTGTCCGACTCCATTGCAGCGACTATTATGATAGTAGCGAACAGGTCAACCCAAAAATAGCAAACCAAGATTAAAAGAATTATGACAGTCTATGTTCTCTTTTATGTATCCAACTCCATGTAAATGTTGCACAAGAGTAAAAAGGAAATAGGTTGCAGTGACATCAAGTAGGGGGATTTACCTCCTGTTGAAGTTCAGGAAGCGAGACTGTAGAAGACAAAAAGTGTTAGTGCCTGCTCCTTGATCGATGAGGATGAGTGGAGAAGAAAAACTTACAGCCGTAAAGATGATGATGATGTTGCTAGCAACGAAGCAAAGGAAAATACCCAGATCCCTCCAGCGGTTATCGAACGAGAAGCCCAGGGGCTCGTAGAACTGGTCGCCGACGATGTACGCGCAGTAGGCGCAGTCGCTCGTCGAGTTGTCGACGAGGTAGCCCGCGCCGCCGCGGTCGAAGAACGGCGCCATGTACTCGCCGCAGGTAGTGCCGGCGGGGGCAACGAAGCGGTTGAGCTCCTGCGGCTGGCAGATGACGGGCAGCTGGTGCAGGGCGGTGGTGACCATGCCGGCGATGAGGCGGGTGAAGGGGTCGAGCTGGAAGAGCCAGGAGCGCCAGAACTTGGGCATCTGGACCGAGGGGATGGTGACGCCGCAGAAGAGGGCAAAGGTGATCATGATAAAGGGGTCGAACTGGGACGAGATGAAGGTCGAGGGGGTCAGGGCGGCGAGGCCCTGGCCCAGGGTGACGGAGAAGAGCTCGGTGATGAGGACGATGAAGAACTGGTAGCCGGCGCGGGACGACTCGTGCTGGAAGCCGGGCATGTAGTAGAGCGGCAGGAAGAAACAGACGGCGCAGAGCAGCGAGTAGGGCATCTCGGCGAGGACCATGGAAACGGCGAAGGTGAAGGGGCTGTACATCTTGGACGAGGATTCGCGGAAGAAAATGGAGCGCTTGATGTGGTACATAACCTCGACCTGGGAGATGACGAGCGCCGGCAGCACGGTGACCTGGAACATGACGAAGACCTTGTACTGCAGCGAGGAGCGCGACTCGTCGAGGTTGAGGTACGTCAGCCCGGTCAGGATGGCGATGACGATGTGGTTGAAGAGGCGGGTGAAGAGGTAGTTGGGCGAGCGCCAGAAGGCGAGGTTGGTGCGGTTCATGACGACGCGCAGCTGGTGCGACAGCGGCGAGGCGTACTCGCGCTGGAGGGAGGGGTCGGCAGCGCGCGAGGCGGCGAGCCGCTGCTCCTTGATCTGCGAGATGGTGTCCTTGACGTTGGCGAGCTCGGAGCTCTCCTCCCAGATGTCGGCCCAGTCGCGGCCGCCGATGCGCGGCGACGAGCCGGCGCCGATGGCCTCGAGCATGAACTCGGCGACGTTGTCGCTGTCCTTGGCCTCGGCGCCGTGGCGCTTGAGGTACTCGCGCAGGACGACGGCGTCCTTGCCGATGTCGCCAAAGTAGACGCAGCGGCCGCCGGACTTGAGGAGCAGCAGGCGGTCAAAGTTCTCGAAGAGGACGGCGTTGGGCTGGTGGATGGTGCACAGGATGGCCTGGCCGGCGGCGGCGAGCTTCTTGAGGAAGCGGACGATGTTGAAGGCCGACTGCGAGTCGAGGCCGCTGGTGGGCTCGTCGAGGAAGAGCAGCAGCTCGGGCTTGGCGGCGAGCTCGACGCCGATGGTGACGCGCTTGCGCTGCTCGACGGTGAGGCCGGCCTCGGGCGAGCCGATGATGCTGTCGGCGAGCTCCTCGAGCTCGAGCAGGCCGATGATCTCCTCGACGTAGGCGTACTTTTCGCTGCGGGGCGTGCTCATGGGCTGGCGCAGGTCGGCCGAGAAGCGGAAGGCCTCGCGGACCGTCTGCGACGGGTCGTGCATGTCCATCTGCTCGGCGTACGAGGTGCTGCGCTGGAACTGCTTGCCGGGCTTGACGCCGTCGACGAGGATGTCGCCCGTGATGACGCCGACCGTCTTGCGCGCGGCCAGGACGTCGAGGAGCGTGGTCTTGCCGGCGCCCGAGGCGCCCATAAGCGCCGTCAGCTGGCCCGGCTTGACGTAACCGTAGACGCTGTTGAGGAGCCGCCTAGTGCCGCCGGGAACGGGGACGTCGTACTTGAGGTCTTCCCAGGTCAGGACGGCCTCAGACGTGATGTTGAGGTCGGAGCTGTCGATCTCAGACTTGGTCTTGCGGCGCTCGTCGCGCTTGGAGATGAGCTTCTCGTTGAGCTCCTTGCGCTCCTTGTTGGGCTTACTGAAGATGGTCGCCGTGTTGCCGCCCATGCCGTATTTGACAAACTCGCCGAGGACGACGTTCATGATGAGGAAGAAGACGATGAGGGCCATGATGATGCCCCAGTTGCGCCAGAGCTCGCTGGGTCGGTACGAGAAGCCCTGCTCGATGTAGTCGGAGCCGGAGACGGTGAGGGAGCCCGGCTTGGAACCGGCCAGCGTGCAGACCTGGTGGTTGATGTCGTTGTACTCGGGGCCGCGCGGGATGAGCGACTCGGCCGTGCACGTCATGTCGATGCGCATGAACTCGTTCTCCATCATGCTGCTGAAGCCCAGGCCGAGCACGTTGATGTAGTAGATCCAGCGCAGCCAGACCTTCTCAGACTGGTACTGGATCAGATACCCGGACGTGACGACGAAGAACGTGATCGCAGTGACGGTGAACTTGACAGCGTAATCAAAGTCGGGACTCAGACAGCCAATGATGCGGAAGAACAGCGTCATAGCAACGTTGGTGGAGAAGATCATCAGGAAGAAGATGAAGAAGGCACCAGCGCTGCGGTAGAGATTGGCGGCGAAGTAGACGATGATGGAGAAGATGAGGATCTGCGAGACGGCAAAGACCTGGTCGACGAGGATCTGGGCGATCCAAAGCGCCGAAGGCCGATGGAACGCGAACGCCTTGTGCTTGTTGACGATGGGACGACCCAACATGGTGCTGGGCAGCTCGGAGAAGGCCTGGAAAGCGTTGAACAGCAGGGAGACGAACATGAGACCACCCTTGCTGAACGCGCTGGCGGAGGTCTGACCGAGACGGAGATACAGGGTGGCGAGGACGATACCGATGACGATGGAACGCAGCCAGGATAGGATGAGGGCGGTCTTGTCCTGCATCTTGAGGATGAACTGGCGCTTCATGAGAGCCCAGACCTGGCGCTGGAAGGGGACGTTGTAGACGGAGCGCTTGGCGCCGCGCTGCTTGCTCTCCTTGACGGCGACCTGGAAGTCCTGGTGCTTGTGCTCTTCCTCCGCCAGGCCCTCCTTGTACTTTGTCATGTCGGCGGCCAGGTCGGCGGCGAAGCGCGACTCCTCAAAGGCCTTGCGCAACGACATTGAGTCGTGGGGCGCGTTCTTCTCGGAGTAGCCGGCGGCATACTCGCGCTCAAACTCGTCGGTGCAGCCGGTGACGTAGTCGGGCGTGGTCTGGCGGGGGCGGGCGGCGAAGCCCAGACCCTCGAAGTAGCCGCGGGCCTCATTGGCGGGACCGAAGTAGACCTGCTGGCCGGCGTCGATGACGAGGACCTTGTCGAAGAGCTTGTAGATATTCTCGGAGGCCTGGTACAAAGAGACAAATGTGGTGGTCTTGTACAGGTTGGCCTGGACGCGAAGCGACTTGACGAAGTCGAGGGCGGTGGAGGCGTCGAGACCGCGGGTGCTGTTGTCCCAGGACAGGATGCAGGCGTTGGTGCAGAGCATCTCGGCGACACTGACACGCTTCTTCTCGCCTCCAGAGACACCGCGGACGAAGTGGCCACCGACGACAGTCTTGCGGGTGTGCTCAATGTTGAACATCTTGAGCATCATGGTGATGACGGACTCCTTGAATTTGGCCTTGTCCACGCCGGCGGGCAGCTTCCCGGCGACCTTGGTGTCGAGGGCGAAGTCGAGGGTCTGCTCAACGGTCAGGGTAGCGTGGTGCACATCGTCTTCCTGTTATTGCTATTTAGTGCTCTGAAATCCTAGCGTCACTTCATGACCATCAACTCACCTGGTTGTAGACGGCCTCACCACGGTACTGCTTGAACTCCTTGGCCGTGTAGGGACCGTAGAGGACGTCGCCCTCGACGCCCGTGTATCCGTACCGCTGGTTGGCAATGGTCTTGAGAAAAGTCGTGCAGCCGGACCCGGGCTTACCCAGGACGAGGACCATCTCGCCGGGGCGGCAGACGCCCTTGAAGTTGTCGAGCAGCGTCCTCTCGACGCCCTTGGGGCCCATGCCGAGCCAGCGCATCACCGGGGTCACGTAGTCGAAGAAGTCGACGACGGCGTCGGGGAAGGTCTTGACAAAGATCTTGGCGCCGCCCATGCCCTTGACCGTCAGGCCGTCCCAGTACACGCCGATGTGCTTGGGGCGGATGCCGGCCTCCCGCTCGGCGGCCAGGTCTCCGCGCAGGGTGGCCTCGAGATCGAACTGTTCAGTATCCTCTGTGGACTCGGAGGCGGCAGAGGCCACTCCTGCGGCGCCGGTGCCCTTCTCGGCATCGGCTATGGACCGGCGATGACTGCTGCGGCTGTTGACGCGGCTGGCGCGAGACATGCTGGACAGCTCTCGCTGCAGCTCCGCAAAGTCGGCCTCGGCCTGCTCGACCGAGACGCCGGTCTGGACGCGGCTCAGGCCATTGGGGTTGTTACGGCGAGCCTCCTCGCGCAGCTCCTCGGGGTCGGCTGTGGTGGAGGACGTGGAGGAGCGAGGAGGCACCTCGATCTCCTTGTCCTTGTGATAGAAGTCGGGGTTTACGGTGGCGGGCTGGCGCGGAGGGTCGCTGCCGCCGCCCTGCTTCTCAATGTCCTTCTCCTCCATGAGGACAGAGTGTACGAAAGGCGAATTGGTCCTCTCTTCCTTGCGATGTGTGCGCGTCGACTTACACGGTAGGGTTGGCGTCGCAGGACTGGTTGCAGGCACTTATATGAAAAAGGCGATAAGAACCTCAAAAGAGGAGCGCGTGCAGATCACGGCTTAGAGAACAGTCTACGACAAAGATATATAACTTGTGTCAGAGCCGCGAGAAGGACCGGAGGAATAAGAAAATAAGCCAATGCGTCACCCCGAAAGCTGTGAAATTTGTAATACGACAGTGTCGAAAAGTATCACGGACAACGGCCACGGGCACAGCTCCCAGAGGGTGGTGGGTTGGTTGGGAAGGTGACGAGAAATGGGCGGTGCGGCGCAACCTCTTTTGTCTCCGAGAGAAAAAAAAGATCAGGGTGCGCATTTTCGGTGGGCCGCACACCCCCCCGGGCACGGAAGAGACTAGGACTTGATGCGGTCAAGACCATGGTGGATGCGTGGATGCGTGGATGCGTGTGTTGATCTGGGTCTGCCTAGAATGGGAATGGGACGTGGAGGGATGCACGACGCTCGCTCGCTCTCATCAGAGTGGGAGTGGGAGGGGAGGGTGGTTCTTCGAGAGGCGAGATGGATCCGCTCCGAGGCAGGTAACTAGTTAGTGCCAGGGGCGGCGGACCTCCTTCGCCAGACCGAAATCTTTTGGCCAACGGCAACCCACTCACGGTGGAGCAGATCGTGTTTCGTTCGTTCGTCCGCCCGTCCGTACCCATCCAGCGTCGGGCTTTCGGTGGACTTACGGAGGACGAAGCTGAGGCCCATCTCCCGCTGATTGATTGTGTATCAGACTCGCATGGACAGAGCCCCATGCCCTGGAAGACAAGAGGTTCTCTGGCTTGCCTCCTCGTCTTGGCTCGCAAACGGCTGCTTGGGCACCTCGTCTATCCGGCGGAAGCGCGAGCCGGCCATGTCACGGTCGAGGGTAATACAAGTCCGGGCCCACAGCCCGATGCCTTGTCACATTAGTTAGCGGTGGCTTACCCCGTGGCTGCGGTTGTGGTACCGAACATACATACATGTACATCATTTGCCGGCCGCCCTCGCCAAACCTTGGAGATTCTCGATGGCGCCGTTTGAGCATGTCTCATAGGCTGCTCTGTGCTGCGTTGCTCGCCGGGATGAGTCAAAGCCCCAAGCAGAAGAAGCATGTTGGTAGATCTTAGCGTGGTGCGGGAGGAGGCACACACACCATCCAGCGAACTAGGTAGCTACCTCCCACTTGTACCAGTTCACGCCTCGTGCAGAGCAAGGCACCACAAGCAAACACACGCTCTGTCGGACATTCCCCCTGCTTCACTCCATATTTCTCCGTCGTTTGCTGCCAAGTTGAGGATTGTGGATTGCACACGGGGCTTAGTCTATCTACAAGTACAAGAACCATTGTGCTGCAATTTACTCCATTAATCTCTGATAGTTGGTCGAACGCTGGAGCGTAAATCTCGTTATGGAGCAACCAAAAAAGGCTTGACTTGAAATTAGCCCAGTGGAATTGTAGCAACGGATTTATAAGCACGCCCAGCATGTCCTCAACCATTGGCGGGGCCCGCGAGCCAAGACTTGTCGGCACAATGCAGGCGAGCCAGCCGCTGGGACTTTTGTCCAAAAAGATGTCAAACAATATCATAGTTCGTCCTCGAGAGAGGATCGTCCCCAGCTAGGCAATAGCAAGGCATCAATCCGGCGGCAGATGACTGATGCTGCCGCAGCTGCTGCAGCTGCATAGCGAGCCTTTCACAAACGAATGGAAGTGATGGATTGCATCCACTCCATTGGACATGGGAGGGAGTCGACCTGCTCGATGAGGTTACATCAATTGATTGTATTGTGGTCCACTAGATATCAAACAAAGGGCGTCAAGTCTGCTGCGTATCAATCTGATGGATTGTTTGCTCGCGAGGTACCCCTGTTCAACTGTAGGTACGAAAGGTCCCTAAATTGCAAAATCAGCCCGCCCTTCAGTGACCCACACAGGGGGACATCACAACCGGAAGAACCCACCTGCACGGGCAGTTGACCGTTCCTTTTCAGTGTTGACTCGCCGTATCTGATTGTGCTGCATTCTTGGATTCTTTCACCGAGTCAGTATGAATCATTCTCACCATTCGAGGCACTAGTTATTAATGTGTCCACTGCTCGAACCACTGCAAACAAAAAAAAATACTGCAGCTCCATTTTGGTCAAATTGCGGAACCACTGAATTGGGGTAACGGAGTTCCGTGTATGTGCTGTTGCTGTTCGAGGGCTGACCGCCAGGTGCTCTTTTCTCCTCCATCGGGCTGTTTAACTCGATGTGGAAATCATACCAACCTATCATTACCTTGTCACCCTGTAGCATGCAAGTGCAAGCACGCAAAGTGCAGGAAGAACACTGTCATGGTAGGACTCTCTTTAATAGGTACTCCACAATAATTATCCATCTCATCCTCTATCCCAACAACCCTTTCCGATGAACACAGCCGAAGGACTTAAGATACGCTATCTCCAGATCGCCCCTCTTCCTCCAAGTCCGTAGTTAAGCCTTGCCTTTGTTTGCTATGCCAATCCAATATGGTGGTGTCTTCAGCTGCAATATACAGGATGCAGATGCGAGCCCACCAACCAGAAACCTCGTCACCAAAGCTGCATCTACACCTTCTTCCCCATGATGCTTTGACTCACAACTGAACCCAAGTGGTTTGCGTTTCTCATAAGAAAGAGGCAGATTGGTCCGAGCCCACCATGTCGACCGTTCTGGCCTGGTAAGTGCTGACATCCAAGAACATCTGTTCCCATCTTTTCTCTTGGCTCTGATCTTCGCCTGCTACTGGAAGAAAACATAATGCAGCCCCCTGCACACCGACTGGAAAGGGATCGATCGCATTAATTCACAAAAGCTACAAGGCAATTGTATTCTGCCAATAAGAGAAGAACGGGTAGCCAGTGTGCCTCATGCAGGCGTGCCAGACAGATACAGGATTCGGGCCCTTACCCGGATTTGCCCCGGTCTCGATGCAGACCGAGCGCATCTCGTCTCACAAGGCTCAGCCTTCCCACAACCCCGTATCAGTTCAAGGAAGGCAAGAGTACCAAAGTTAGGTACCAACCCGACTTATCTGACTGACCCCAGCCTGCCCAGGCCAAAGCGGCCGTCAGCCTCCCGGGACTCCCGCGTCGACTGCGGATGTCCGCTCCACATTTTCGAACCATCAGGGGCCCAGTTCACGGCAACTATCCAAACGGACAGATTGGTAATCCGCCTTGGCCAGGATATCGTCATGTTTTTTTGGAAATACGAAAACTGTCGTCTTGTTACAGTTTCGCGTTCACCGAGGACCCCCGGCACGTGCTCGAGGAACCCTCCAGGCCTCATCGGACCGCCGACTCGGCGGACGCGACGCCAACGGCGACACTGCCGTCATTTGTCATCTTCAGCGAGTTTTGAGAACTCCAGACTTGTCCAGAACAGAACACCATCCAGCCCCTTTGCACCATATCGCTCATTGCCTAACATTGTCACGGACTACGTAAGAGAGGAAGGAGAAACGACATTCGAATCTTCATCCTCAACAGAAGATAAGATAATTCCATTGCTGCTAGACGAAAAAAGAGTAAGGGATCACCATAATGCACGCGCTCCTGTCTATGATCCGCTCCCATGTTCTCCTGATTTGAAACCATCACTCCTCCCACCCTTTGCCCGGGGTGCCAGGGGCCCAACCGAAACCAAATGCACCAAGCCGTATTCAAGGCGACGATTCCGACTCTCTCCCCTCGAAGTGGCTTGTCCGTCCGCACAAAATGCACAACAGGAACACCTTCGAAACTTCCCACTCTGCCTCTCACAAAGACACGTAAGAAAACCACGAGTCATTGCTGAATGCCAGCAACGCCAATACCGAGTCGTCACTGGTCGAGAAGGGGGGCCGGAGGGATCTTCTGGGAGAGCAATAACGCCGTGCCATGCAAGGGGTGAAGACAAGATGATAATGAGCCCGGGCGGCCTCCTGCAACTGGGCGATATCCGATGCTTGAGAAGGGCAGTCATATATGGTCCTTCCTCGTAAAAACAGCCCTTCACAACTCCGACTCCACGCTGCCGTTGGCCTCCACATTCATGGGGCTGCCATTCTGCGTTTGCCTCTGGGCGCGAAGACGCGCGTTCCCTGCCGGCCGCCTCCGCCCCGCCTGCCGCCCGTTGCTGTTCATGTTCTCATCCTCGTCCTCAGAATCCGGGTGGTCCTCGGCGAAACGGCGCGCCTCGTCCAGCTCGTTGATGTCCTCGGGCTTGTCTCGCAGCCATTGCATCCTGGGGCCCGACCGCGCCATCTCTGATACCCTGAATCCGTAGATCTTCGGCTCGTAGATCTTGGGCCTGCCCAGCCCTGGCGCGATATTCTTGGCGTACATACCATTGATCATAACATTATCGTCTCGTTGACCGGATGCGTGGAGCAGCGCCGCGCTCTGGCTCAGAATATCCGCCCCGTGCTTGCTGAGATCGTAGTCGGGGAAGGTGAGGAGGAATAGTGCACCAAAGGTCCTTCCAAAGAACGCGCCATCCACCGTCTGGAAGCGGCTGTTGGGAGGCACGTAGACGTCGAGACAGGAAGGGCAGAACAGCTTGACGGTGTGCTCGCCCGGGATATCTGACAGCCCGACTGGCAGAGTCCTCGCCTGGTTGCAGTTTGTTCTCGGACAGACGCCAAAGTGGCCCAGCTCGTACTTTTCCGACATTTGTTGAATGCCTGCTCGCGAGCAGATGAACCGTTGGTGTATCAGCCCGTAGAGCATCTCTGCAGAGGACTCGATCACCGACAGATCGCTGGCAATCCTACTATGGTGCCGCCTTTCGCCGTGGTGCCTCATCCTGTCCTCTCCTGACTCGTCCAGCTCCTCGTCGTCCTCCTCTTCCTCCTCGTCGTCATCATCCTCTGGTTCCACATCTAGAATCATCTGTAGTTGCAAAAGTCAGCGCGACAACACGATTAGCGAGAGGAGCTGCGCAACCTACCTCTAGTGCTTCCTTGTACATAGTCACCTGGTTTTGCAGGCCCGTGAGATTGAAGTCATCCTCGATAAATTCCTCTGAGACCTCGGCGAAGTACTCGTGGCCGAGCAGGGAGCAGAAGGAGGTGATCCAGGACTCTGGAGTGCCAGAAGAAGTCGACATCGTGACGCGGTGGTACTGGCGTTACCCCGTCGCCGCTTGCCAAAGACCGACCGGGGATAGCAAGCTGGGATGATGGGGTCGGGCTGCTCGCCGTTGCGTGGAGGGGTAGGAAATCCAAGAGCTGGGGTCGAGAGGTGATCTGCGACACGCGATCGCGGTTGGGCGGAATATAGACTGGCGACGCGAATTCCCTGGGAATCAAAGTCTTGACATCGCCGATGCGAAGAGAAATAGTTTCGAAAAAATGGAAGACGCGGGTCGGGGCGAGGGCGTATCCAGCGGGATGGAGTCGAGCTGCAGTCACGGATTGTTGATGTTGGAATTGACGCCTGTGCAATTGCTTGGTGGTGGGAGGGGGTGGCCCGTGCTTCTTGCCCTTTGTTCATGGGTCATTCGAGTTCTCCAGAGAACTCAAATCGCACCTTCCCCGCAGAAATGATCTTCCGCGGCTGAATGGGCCGCACTGAAAGTCTGGCGCCTCCTGGGCCCGCCAAATTGCCTGACCCAGCCCACTGGAGTAGCCCCCTGAAGCTCGAGTCTTTCAGGCGCCACAGTGACATGGATCAATTTGTTCAACCCGTCGCGTGTCATCACGATGCCGGCGAAAGTACTCGGGAGATATGAAACTCCATAGTGGTGGAAGCAAGGCTGCATTGAGATGCCTGTCGCGATGGAGCATACAGTGCTATAGCCATTCCGCCAGGGTCACTCCAGTGCCAGCTCTGCAAAATCATGCCCTGCCCCTGGACCGCTTCCGGGAGGCCGCTTACAAGGCTGAAAAACCTCTCATTATCAAGGCTGCATATGAACAAGGCACCTTACCCGCGGTGAGCAGGTGGTTCGTGCCGGAGGGCTCAGATGAGGCGGCATCAGGAGTTCAGAAGTGGACAACCACGCCATATCTAGAGCAATTCGCCGGGACGGCCTTTCCATATGAACTCATCGCTCCTCAGAACGAGAACTCCAGCAAGGCAGATATAGTCCATCATTTCCAGTCCTGGCTATCCAAGTCCGGAGACGAAACATACACCGCTCTGGCCTCCATCCTGGCACACCACACCTCAGTCTGCGGCCCATATCAGTCCACTCAACCACAGCTCCTCCGCTTCTACGCCCCCCTAGCCCTCCTCGTCGCAGCACTCAAGTTCAACCGAGAACACTCCCACACCCCGCTCACCAAGCTCTACATAGCACAGTCCGCCCTCGCGGACCTCCCGCCAGAGCTTCAGACGGATGTCCCCGCGCCGGAGATCGTCCGCCACGCCGGCAAGGGCGACGTCTACGACTCGAGCGTCTGGCTCGGGCTGGAGCCGACGTACACGCCCTGGCACCGGGATCCCAATCCCAACCTGTTCGTGCAGCTGTGCAGCTCCAAGACCGTCAGGACGATGTCACCAAGTGCAGGCGAGCACGTCTTCCGCATGGTGCAGATGCGACTGGGCCAGTCGGGAAGCTCGAGGATCCGTGGAGAGGAGATGATGCTTGGCCCAGAGAGGGAGGCCCTGCACGAGGCTATATGGGGCAGCGATACTGCCGAGGGTCTGAGAGAGGCACATCTCGATCCCGGTGACAGCTTATTCATCCCCAAAGGGTGGTGGCACAGTGTCAAGAGCGACTTCGCCGATGGGAGGCTGAATGGGTCTGTCAACTGGTGGTTTCGATGACATCCACCTTCTTACATCATCACGACGAAGTAAAATTATACTACCTAGGGAACTTCCCTTCAAGTCATGCTAGCCATGTTTCGAAGAAGGGCTAATCGTGATAGAGACCATGTGACGCCAAAACCCAAATCATCCACGAACCAAGAGGGAAAAACAAATGAGGTTTCTCGTTTCATTGCTCATGCCTTCTCGCTGGAAGCCGGCGCAGCGGTGTCGGGAGCTGCAGCTAGTTATTTTATTAGCATCACCATCAATTGCATTTGCTCAGTGGGGGATGCTCACCTTGGGCAGCGCTGCCCTCGCCCTGGGGCTTCTCCTTCTCCTTGCCAAACACCTTCTCCAGGCCAGCGGCCTTGTACGCGCTGCCACCATGCTCCTCCTTTTTGAGGTCGGCGAGGCGGCGGGCCTCGGCGTGGATGTCCTGCACCTGGCGCTCGGCGTCCGAGTAGAACTTGACGATGCGCTTGCCCGTGGGCGTGTTGGACGCCTTCTCAAAGTACGAGCCGATGCCGGTCAGAAGGGTGTTGGCGCGCTGGGTGATGCCGTAGCTCTGGTCGGCCGTCTTGGCGCGGTCCGAGGCGTGGTACTTTTGGTCGAGCTTGTTGAGCGTGTCGAGGAAGCGCGCCGAGACGCCGCGCGAGTGGTCGAGCTCGATGGCGCGCTGCAGGGCAGCGTCGCCGATGACGTAGCCGTGCGCGAGGTACTCGGCAAGGATGCGGGTGCGCGGCTTCTCCTCCTGCGTGATCTCGTCCGAGTCGCGCTCGGCGTTGGTCGTGGCGTGGTGGGCAGCCTCCTCGTCGGAGCCGCCGGCGCCGGTGACGGTGATGTTGTTGGGGGCGAGTTTGGTGTTGTTCAGCAGCAGAGCCGTCTTGGCAGCCGTCTCCTTCTCAAAGGTGACCGTGGCGCTCTTGGTCTCGCCCTCGGTGGTGACCTGGACGTCGGTGATCTTGCCACTGTAGAAGGAGTGACGAGGTTAGTGATCATATCCCACGATTGGGGACGAAGGTGGTACTTACCAGAAGCTGAAGAATCGCTTGACCTCCTCATCATCGGTCTGGGCCGAGATGTTCTTAACGTGGACGGTGTTTGCGCCAGACATGATGTTATGCTGTACTGCAAAGTTTTGGCTGTTTGGTGTTCGTATGGTGGTGACGGTCGTGTGGTTGAAAGCTGTGGAGTGGAATGAATGGTACCTTTGTAGGTAGGAAGAGGGGTGGAAGATGGTTGTGTTGCGAGAAGGTGAGAGAGGAGGGGCCCGGGAGAAGTTGTTTTAAATGCTGCAGCAAACAGACGGGTAATGACCTCGTGAAATTGCCTCGTCGCGCGTGTCTGTACTTTCTGTTCCTTGCCAAGGTCGTCGTAGTGGTAGAGTTTCGGCGGGTGGCAGGTCGTGGTGGCTTGACACAGAAAGGAGGGGCAAAGTCAACGTCATCGTATGAGTGCAGGGATGTTGCAGCCTGTGATCTGATCCGCATCTGGAGACCCAGGCAAGCCAGGCGCGCACCACACTTTCTCCGGTGCGACCTGCCGTACGCCTCTCAACAAATCCCAATCCCCGCCTGGGCTGCATTCAATGTTGCCTTCCACTGGCTCCCTCTTTTAGAGCTATTGTGGCGTCGTAGCGCGGAGAGACTCGTCATCTACGGAGCTGAGTATCTGAAACGTGTTTGTTCGAACGAATTCTATCAAGCATGTGAAAGTGGCCAGGATCCTTTGCAAGTGCTTTTGTCCTAGGGCTATGTCACCTGGGGATAATGTGTATCAATGCCCGTCATTATTTCATTTCTATCTATTGTACAGTTTCACAGGCTCCAAGAGGGCGATCCTGTGACAGCGCTGGACACAGCCTGCTCAGGTCAAGATCGATGCGCCAGGGAGCATGCCCATTTCAGCCCCGCGTCTACTTTTCCGTCTTTTTGAACTTCTCCTTCAGTGCATCGTCCATAGCACCCTTGGGGTTGGAGGAAAGGTTCTATAACAATTCAATTAGCGGCTGCACTTGCTTCGTTGATCGATGTGAAATCGTGAACGTACCTCGAGCTGGGACTTGTTGACCTCGGACTTGTTGGAAGCGTCGTCGGTACCCTTGCCGGAGCCAGGGACGTCTTGCTGCTGAGCTCCAGTCTGGCGCTCAGGAGGAGGGGACTGGCGACCTTCTTGAGATGACATCTTGTAGTATCTCTGAGGTTTTGGAGTGTCTGTCTGCGAGACCGTTAGCAACAAATTATTCGATACCGAGCTGACTTTACAAGATGTAGTTTGACTTACAAAAGGACTTTGCGACGACTGTTGGTCAGAAAGGTATCAGGTTTGGGAGTTTGCAGAGCGCAGAATGATTGAATCTACTCAGTAGAATTTTAGATTTATATGCTCCTCTCCATCTCTGATGTCAGGCTTCCAGAGGCGATTAGGAAGCTTCTCTCCATGGCTTGACATCACATGTCGTCATAGGCCCTTAATTGCATCACCAATTTCGGGAGCTTTAGCTCCCTGTGCTGTAGTGACACCTGTAAAGAGTGGGGTCTGATAGCAGATTGAGGAGCTCTTATCGCTTATCAGCTTATCGAGATCCCTGAAATCTGAAATAGCGTCCCCTTTCCAGAAGGCGGCCCCTGGAGGCCCTGGGCCTGTCACTGCGAATCGTTGCCATTCCATTGGTGAGGGGAAGTTGTTGAGGTCGCATTAACTGGTCATTTAAACCTCCTCCTGCTTGACAACAAATAACACGAGGCCTATCGCGTTGCTGACTCCTCACTGCCCACTTGGAGATATTCTTTGACACGCTCGTTCTCAAGCGACTTGTCTTCTTGTTTTGATAAGCACAAGTGGAAACCCACCAATGCGGCTATGACCCAGGCTGACTGGTTGATGAAGCACGCATCGAACACAAAGAGTTTTAGACAGGCAGCCATTCTACGCGCGACGACATACCTCGAAATTTCCCCTTCTCATTGCATGTCGGCCTGAGAGGGGTTATTTTGGTGATTTCCACGTCTTTCTTTCGAGCGCTCTCAAATACTTCGGTGCCCAGAACTCAGGCGTCAACGTCCAGCAGCCCAGCACGCCCGTCTTTTCCAATCTTCAATATCTGTTCCTGGAGGATATTGTGATCAGGGGCCTACGATTGCATGACCACCCTCAAGACCCCGAATATCTCGCCGTAGGCCTGTTGCCATCATGCCAGACCTCAACTCTGTGCCACCCTCTCCCCACTCCCTCGCCGCATCCCGACGACAGTCATCCAGCCAGATGCCCCCTCCGCCTCCGCCACATGCCCAGGCTCAAGCTCAGGCTCAAAGTCAACCACATCCGATTCCGACCTCTCCTTCCCTCAACATTCTGCCGTCGAACCAGGCTGCGGTGAATCAAACTTCGACATCTTCCTTGCCTTCGCCGCGCCTTGCGCCGTCCGCAACGGTGTCGACTCCGCCCTCTATAGATAATGCCATTCCCATAGTTGGGGCCGGTCCTGGTCCGCTACGGCATCCGAGACCCTTGACAGCGGCAGAACTACACTTGGAGCTTGAGAAGGAGCAAGAGGCAGTGGTAGGCACTGAAAACTTACCTTTGTCCTTGGAATGAATAGCTAACACGATATTTGCGCAAGGTCAACCGGCTAACTCGGGAGCTGTCTTTACTACGCGCGGCCCACAACGCATCAGTTGTGTCCAACACATCATCAACGTCTAATAGTACGGCAGCGAACATCGAACAGCATGCATCGGATCCGAACCACTTGCTATCAGGGTCCGGCTTCTCGATTCCTTCGTCCACCGGCCGCCGTCACCACCGGACCTCGTCCAGCACCAGCACACGTAGTCAAACAGGCTTGGTGGGCTCGTTCAGCACCACCTCTGTGGTTGGAATATCAGCACCAGCGCCTACTCGTCCTTCGGCACGAGAGTTGAGCCGGCATGACAGCACTGCCTCGCATCGGAGCCAAACTAGCTCGCCGGGGCCACGATCGCAACCCCACTCGTTCACACAGTCTCACCTAGGAGATCCGGCGATGGCGGGTTACTTCCACGCTCGCGGGGCAGCCCCTACCTCTGTGCTGGGTGCAACGCCAAGCAGCACTAGCGAGCTTTCGCCTGGAATCCTTCAGGGCACTACCCGCTACGAAGAGACTGCGTACTGGCGTACGGAACTCGATTCTGTGAAGCGAGAGAACGAGTCGCTCAAGCGCAGGGTTCGAGAGCTAGAGCGACACATCCGAGACCGAAGGGCCAGCGACGCTAGTCGCGGGCGTAGCGAGAGCGTGAGCACAACGGCGAGTGTCAGCGTCACCGCAGCTGGCGGCGGCGGCGGCGGCACAGGGATAGCAGGGCGTCGAGAGGGAGGTCGAGATCGCGTGGTGAGCACCCTGAGTGTCGCTGGGAGCGTGGGCGTTGGTGTGCCCGAAGATGAAGTCCAAGTTGGGGAGAGTGCTGCTAGTGCCGGTCTAGGACCAGGCGGCAGCGGCGCTGCAGGTCGATCGGGCGCGAACTGAGATCTTCACCGCGTGAGGCATGGATGGAATGGGCATGGGAGCACGCGAGTAGCTACATTAGGTGGTGTTCCGGTTTCTGTTCACCCCACGCAAGGCAACCGATGTCGCGTGTGGTGCCCTGTCTGCCCTGCCATGTCACAGATGGGGATATGCACTACCATCTTATATGACAAAGCTGTACGAAGTTATGATTGGATTAGAAACAAGAAGCGAGCAGAAAGGAGGGTGAAATCTTGATTCGGCATGTGGTAGAGGGCGGCTCGTCTCGAGCTCCTTAGAACATGTGGCAAATATGCAGTCTGCCTTGACGGCCTTTTTTGAAAGATTGATTTGAAGATGAGAACAGGCATGCTTTCGAACGAGATATTGCAGCCTTGACAATCAATTTCTGCGCTTGATGGGTGCTATTACTGCCAAGAGCTTGGGGAGATACTTGTCATACAGACAAGTCCATGCCTACGTTACACGGGTTCTTCCATATTCTGTCATATGCGGGCGGGGTGATGATGGCCGCCTCAGCACCAAGTGATGGCCAGATTAGTGAACATCCATCAAATCCATCAATTTAAGGTACCTATGTAGGTAGTGGGATAGCCCTCGCATGTCTCCCAGTAAGGATATGCAGTTAGCATTGAGGTAGCCCCTGATCAAATATTCTGACCCTCTCTTCAGCACCAGACCTTTCTTTTTCACCAGCCTACTCCGTCGTCAATCTGCCATGTGCCTGCATGCATGCTCAGACGAGAAACCAGAGCTGGCGAAAATTTAGGCGGTTGCGTAGAATGTCTTCCCAGTAGGGAAGTCGTGTATGGATGGACAAACATTAACAGCGAGGCGCCCTATCAGAATCTCTCCAGTGAAATTGGAAGCTGCATTAGTCCTGCATTGGGGGCCCTGCTTTCCCACCATCTTCTTTCCCATCCCCCAATGAATTCACTACGGATTGCATACCAGCTTATCCCCGATATGCACGAGGCATATTTCGATCTACTTCCTGAGGATCCAAGCCGAATCCCTCACAGCGTCTGCCGAGCTCCCAAGGTACCAGTAGGTTCCTTCGCAGTGATCGGTCACCGCTGCGCGACGCTCTGGGCTACTCTCGAGTTGGCCGAGACGAAGAAACCGGGACCCTTTTCGTGGTTTGAATGGACCACTTTGCGTTTTCATGGCCACGCCGTTTGCGGTGGGAGCACATGTCTGGCGCCTCCTTGGGGAGCCGCTGGAGCCATGGCTTGACGTTTCAGCCATGCTGACGTGTTACAACAGTGTACATCGCGTTATGTACGGCGTGCCCTCCCACGAACCTCTATTGGGCCAAGCCAACCAGGGCAGTTCAACCTGGGCCATTTGAGCAGCTCTAGCTCCTCGCGTGACCGACGCCACCAGAATCTGCGTTTTTGATACGTGGAGCACCCAGCACGATGACGGATGCTGCAGTGTCTTGGAGGTGAGCAAAGCTGTGCTCCGCCTCACCGAGCTCCAGGACAGGACCTTCCACCGTGCCGCAATCCAGGGCTCCCAGCCCCTAATACCGGGCAATGTGTCCATGACACATCAGTTGCTTAATCGCTCTGGTACTGTCTATCCTTATTTTCCCTAGGAATCGGTATTAGTAGTACGGCTGTTGGTAGGTATGAGGTATGCCAATCCACTCCAATTCGTGGGCACGGACAGCAGCTGCCCGGAAGTCCTGGACTTACATATAAGCCGAATGCTGTCAAGCTCGCCAGGGCTCCTGAAGTAGGGAGTCCTTCTTCAGACAAACACCTTTTCTATCATCACCGAAACCTTCACTACACAATAGCCCCCAATGTGGGTGCAACTCGTGAAAATGGGACAACATGGCTTTCACGCACCCAGTTAGTATCGTTTCACGATCTCACTCGATGGCGGAGCATGCCTTGTCTCCCCATCAGCGCTCTTTTTCCTATCCCCTCGAGGATCTCAGATCAGCGCAGACGAGGTTTGCTCTGCGGCAGTTGTATGATCTCCCCAAGAGCTGGCCAGCGGCCCTTGTGTCGCGCTGGGTCCACGAGTGTACACTTGAGCATGCGTTGTGCCGCAACGAAGGAAGGAAGCCCATTGCTGGGCTTTGGTTGATCGACTGCAACACGCTGCAGATTGTTCCAGCCCCAGCAGAACCTTCGTATGTGGCGCTCAGCTACGTATGGGGGAAATTCCGCAAGACGCCGCAGGACACTCCGCACGGGTCGCTCCCCTCTCCTCTGCCGCTGCTTATCTCGGATGCCATCGAGGTCTGTAGACAGCTCGGCTTCCAGTACCTGTGGGTTGACAAGTACTGCATCGACCAGAATAACCCTCAAGTCAAGCACAACCAGATCCAGCAGATGGACCTCGTCTATCGCAACGGGCAGCTCACAATCATCGCAGCGGCCGGCAAGGATGAGACCTACGGCCTCCCGGGTGTTTCCTCCTGTCCTCGGAGGACACTGCCCACCAGACAAAAAAGACCTCGTGCACTGTCTACCTCTGAAGACCCTGCTTGTGGTATCAAGTGCTATTGCGACGGCAACCTGTCTACGACTTCAACCATTCTTGACGTCCAGCGAGCTGTGCTAAGGTCAAAGTGGTCGACACGGGGCTGGACATACCAGGAAGGCAGCTTGTCCCGCCGTTGCCTTGCATTCACCGACGAGCAGGTCTATTTCGAAGTACGTTGCCCCTGTTGCACTAGACGATGCACTCCACTGACGTTGGGAATAGTGTGACAGCGGTATCTGCTATTGTGAGGCGCCCGGCACTGTTGAGACCAGCAGCGAGGCGGCCATTGGCATCTTCCGGACTCTCGTTCCGGATCCGCGCAACTCGTTCGATAGACAATATCTTGCGCTACTGGGTGCCATCGAGGAATACTCTAAGCGCGAGCTTACCTACGATAGCGATATCCTTTACGCTTTTGCGGGGATCATGCGCAGATACCAGAGTTTGTCGCCTAGCATTAAGCAGATCGCCGGCCTCCCATTCATTGTTCAGGATGCACAAGGTGGGGTCTGTGAAATAAACATTGGAGACAGCGATGATATCGAGGTTGATCTCGAGATGGATGGTTCCTCGCCGCCGCCTCCAGTCCATGATCTTGACTGGGACCTCAAGCAACAGCTGAAGGACACGTCCTTCCCCTATGGCCTCGCCTGGGCCCACAAGCATAGCTGCTGGGAAGAGGATCATGTCAAGCCTCGGCGTCGTGGTCAGCTGCCCTCATGGGCCTGGCCCGAGTGGGCAGGAGAGGTGACGTTTTGTTGGTGGGGAACCATCAGGCTGAACGACTTCCAGCCTTTCATTGAGGATATCAAGGTTGAGCTCAGGGATGGCAAGGTCATGCCGTACCAGGACCTGCCATCCCCAGCCGCCGGATGCCACCAGCAAGACGGGCAAACTCTGGCTCCGCAAGCCCTACTCTTCAAGAGTATCCCCATCCCTCCACGGCTCGTGGATGTGAAGTGGGCTAATCGTGAGAGAGTGGAGTGGTCCGTGTGCGGTTTCCGTACCAGCCTATCGTTGAGCGCCGGAGCAGACAGCCCGTTTCGGTTCCGCAAGGACCTTGTGAAGCGGGGCCTGTTCGAGCTGGTGATTCTAGGTGGCGATGGCGACTGGAAGCCGCCGTCTCGCGAGCACAGCCTCCTTCTCGTCCTGGGCAGGCACGATGAGGACTGGGTGAGGTGCGGTGTCATGCGTGTGGACTGCAGCCTGAGGGAGTTGCTCGATGCCCTGGTCGAGCATGATGTTTTTCCGTATTATGAAAGAAAAAAGGTCTACAGAGTTGAGTAGAGGTTGTCTGGAGTTCTTGCACGTGTCTTCGTTCTTCGCATGGGGCTAGGTAGATTGGTGTTTTGTGAGTCTGGTATGGGTGGGCGTTCTTTTGTTGGCACTGTTTCTGCGAAATCGGTTTATTTCGTGTGCAAAGCGAATCTCTTCAATGCGGGATGAGCGGATTAAGGGGTGCGTTATTCACATTAGACTTATGTTCTAACTGCAGACTAGAAAAGAGTCTTGGCTTCTATGACTACACTTGATCACTAACTTTCCGCTTCATAAAAGACAAGCAAACTCTGGAACTCCGTACAAAACAAGACCTCATAAACCCAAACTCCCATCTATATGCACGCTCAAGAACGACTCCTTCACATACAATAGCACCTTGATCATGCAGTATCAATCCTCGACAGAGTCCTCAGGACTCACGTGAATCTCCCAGAACTTGGCCACAGATTTGGGAAACTCTTCCTTCCTCTCCTCGCTCACCCACTCCCCATACTCGTCGTGCGTCGCCTTCTCCGCCAGCACACCCGTGGCGTTGCCCTTGTGCAAGAAATTGTGGAAATCCATGGCGATGCGCACGTACTCCTTGAGCCCCTCCTTGACGTCCACCGTCGCCCCGGTAGTCCAGCTCAGCAGCAGCGGCTGCAGCAGGGGTGCGTCGGTGACGCTCGGGTGCGACGTGCCGATGCTCGTGACGAACCAGCTGGCGCCGACGCGGTCGAGCGTGCCGCGCACGAGCTCCTTGACCGTGTCGAAGTGGGGACGGCCGAAGAAGAGGCTGCGGGCGCGCGACCACGTGTTGGAGTGCACGACGAGGATGGGCACGTCGATCTCGGCGTTGAGCGGGCCGCTCTCCTTGCCCGGGTCGAGGATGATGCCGCCGACCGCGAGCGCCGCGGCCGCCACGGCCGCCGGGCTGATGCTCTGGTCCCCCCCGTTCCCCGGCTGCAGCTGCAGCTTGCCGCCACGGCCGCCGCCGGCGCGGCTCCTGAGCGCCTGCAGGGCGCCCGTGGCGCCGTACGAGTGGCCGCCGATGGTAAGGCGGTCGAAGTCGAGGCGGCCGGTCCAGCGGTGCAGCGTGTCGCGCCCTTCGCCGCGCGAGCTGAGCGCCGAGACGTTGTGGCCGCGGCCGTCGTGGATGGCGCGCAGGACGCGGATGGTCTCGAGGATCTCGGCGTCGCGGAAGGCGAGCTGCTCGCGCTTGATGCGGGGCGTGTCCATGGGCGGGTCGGACACGAGGTCCGACTCTTGAAAGAGGACGACGCGGCGGTCCTGCTTGCCGGCGACGCAGACGAGGGAGCCCGGGCTGCTGCCGTCGCGGTGCTCGACGGCGGCGACGACGTGGCCCCGGCTGGCCATCTCGCCCAGGTAGTGCGTGTAGTCGGTGCGGGAGCTGGCCATGCCGTGGGAGAAGACCATCACCGGCAGCTTTTCTCCGCCGCCGCCGCCGTGGTGCAGCGGGACGTCGACCTGGGCCGGGATCTCGATGCTGCCCACTATGAGCCACAGCGCGAAGGTGAAGACGGGCCGGATGAGGAAGTTGTTGACGCGCGCGATGCGGGCGTAGCCCTCGGCCGTCAGGCTGAGGGGCCGCGGCGCCCAGAGGTGTTTCGGCTTGTCGGACCTGCTGCCCCGTAGCGCCGGGTAGTAGAGCGTGAAGAGAACGGTCTCGACCTCGAAGGCGGGCTCACCCGACGACTTGAGCAGCGTGTCGGAGATGCGGACGGGCGTCTCGAGCGGGATCTCGAGGTCGAGGGTGCCGACTTCGTAGCGGCCCGAGTAGGCCGGCAGGCGGGACGAGAGGAGCGGCTGGCCCCGGACGAAGCACCAGACTATGTAGAGGCCTATCGTGGAGCACAGGATGTATCTCCAGGTGAAGCGCGGGCGCAGGAGCGTCCTCAGTCGGTCTGTGAAACGCTCCGAGAACCACTTCCGGCTGGTCCGGGCGCCGTCGAGCCACTTTAGCCGGGGTAGCGGTGTTGTCAATGTTGTCGGTGAGGCCATGGCGAGCGGTAGGTCTGGCTCATCGGTATATGGTTGTAGTTCTAGGTCATCTGCGAGCAGCGACATGGCTACTGGGTGGATTCATGACTTTGCTTATTGCTTTTTGAGCTGGAGCAGGGCAGTTCGGGCATGCGTGACGTCGGCAGTTTCGGACTTTTGAATGACGCAGGTGGAGTCTTTTCGGTGGCAAACGGTGGCGGCGGGTCCAGGCCTCTGAAGATCTGTTGGGGACCTTGGGGGAATTCGGCTTACATCCCAATTAGGCAATTCAGATTCGCGGGAGGATCCGTAACCGTGGAATTTCCAGCTTACATCGGTTATGAAGTTGAGAAACATTATTCTAGAGGAGATTGAAGAGGAATAATTATGCTGCCTAGAGCTGGTGCTATCTTTCTTATTTTCCTATTCTAGTAATGGTATGAAATCCTCTCCTCGTCGACGATATTGCCATGCACAGCCTCGAACGAGGCAGCTATGGCATCCGGCAGCGGGCCCTGCTCGATCACATCCAAGGCACGCTCTAGCTGCTCTGGGCCATTGGCACCAACGACCAGAGAGTCTCCGTGCTCCTTGCTCAGCATGCTGTGATAGGCTGCCCACCGCAACGCTGCGGCATGGCCGGCGATACCATGCTGAGACGCGACCTTAACCGCCTTCTCCACTGCGGCAGTGACGGACAGCTTTGTATACATTCTGGAATAGAAGACCCCAGTCGAGTGGGATGAGTCAAAACTTGCCGCCCTTCCTGCCGCCCTTGTGGTTGCCGGCGAACAAGCCACCCGCAGCAGGACTGTAGGCGTAAAACGACATGTCGTTGTCGCGCAGCACCTTGAAGAGATCCTTCTCGGCGCCCCGCACGGCCGCATTGTAGGGGCCCTGGTACACGCTGGGTTTGACGAAGCCCCTCTCCTCGCAGATCCTGACGATCTGGGCAACCTCGTCCGCAGCGTAGTTGCACAAACCCCAGCGCCGGATCTTAGTCTCCCGGATGGAGTGGTCCATAGCCTCGCACAGCTGGTCAAAGGGCGTGGCGCGGTCGGGCATGTGCAGGTACTTGATGTCGATCTGCTTGATCTTGAGGTCCTCGAGCAAGGCATCGATGCCCTTGAGGATGTTGTCCTTGGTGTGCGGCGCCGCCATGACCTTGCTGCTGATAACAAACTTGTCCTACAGGCCTGAGGCGCCGATCCTAGGCTCGCAGGTCCCAGGGCTGCCGGCCGGGTACCAGCGTGCGGTGTCGACCTCGGAGTACCCGCGTTGGGCAAAGGTCTCGAGGAATGCTTTGGCCTGCTCCGAGCTGTCGATAGTCGCCACAGGGTCCTTGGAGCTGTCTCCGATCTTGTAGATTTACGGTTAAGTACTTATGATTTTTCGGAAGACAAAGAGTCTATGTGACCTACATTGTTGGTTCCCAGAACCAGGTTGAGGGGTACCTTGCTATTGGTTGCCATGGTGGCTTACTATTCGGGGCAATGAGGAAATGATAACAGGGAAAGTTAAAAGAAGAAGAGCATGTAGGTTGTGTTGGTGGAAAGCTCCCCGGCAAGGATTGAGGACCAGGTCTTCATTTTATACTTGGATTCAAGTCTATGGACGAGATTCCACATCACTGCCTGTTTTAGGAAGTCCGATCGTGCTCTGTAATATTTCCCTCTACTTATATCGCCCCATGACGAAATATGACATTTAACACGGGTTGCAAAGATACGTGACAAGACATCTGAACTATATGGAATCGGATCCGCCTGTAATCGCTAGTGAACGTTTTCTGACACAACTTGTGTGTAATTAGGTACCAGGCCAGGCTGACACACTCTAAATTATGAACAGCACCATTCGTAGGAGGAGTAAAACTCTGGCTCCGACAATTCCGATTCTTTACCAGATTACAAAGGACGTCTAGAGCTAGATATGTGGCACCATCTGTACCCATGATGGTACCCAAAATGCACCGATGGAAGTGAGAAAGATATACATAAGGAAATCTTCCCATGTATTAATTTCTAGCCCCTCCTGTTCATCACTGTAGGCCTACCTTTCACTTCCGTCAGATCATCGCATGTACCTTCCTGGCTCTCTGGTCTTCGACATTTTAACTTGCTCAAGATACACTATCTCGTTGGAGGTCTCGGAAGCTAGACTTGGTCATGATGGTGTTCACTTATCTAAGGTATGAAATTGATAGTATACATATGCTGCGTGTGGAATTCCTTGATCGGAACCGCCAACGAGATTTCAAGCCATTGGGGTCTCTCGCATGTGTGGTTCTAGTTACCAGGAAGCCTGGTTGATTGAGATTTGTCTGAGATTCAGCCCATCGAAGAAGCCTAGGATCTGAATTCGTCGCGAGCTCAGCCCAAAAGTGATATTACGGTTCCAAGGATCTATCTCGCAAACCACCCCATAACTGAATAGGTATCAAGGTCCCAAGGACCTCTATGGAGCAATGCGGGAGCATCATGGTCTCAAATCCCATTGCACAACTTGGCGATCTAGCCATTGTGGAGATGATAGGCGATTTGAACAAGACACCAAACTTTTCCGGAGCTAGTCATATCCTGAAAGTTTGCCGCGGGAAACTCTCGCTCGAGCTAGCAAGGTCTAGCAGTCAGTGTTATCAAGCTATTGGGGAAAGCATACAATTGAGTCTAAGCTCATTCTGTCCTATCTCTACATAAACCACGGCCCCGGGGTTCGAACCTCTCGGGGATTGTCTTAGCACCGCTGAGAAGCATCCCGTCTTCCCTCATGTCGAATTTGAAGTACCACAATTACGAGGGTTTCGGGCAGTTTGCCCGGGAGCACCTGGGATACAGCCAAGCTGTCCGGATTGGCGACCGCATCGAGATCTCAGGGCAAGATGTGTATATTCTATCCCCGAAACTAGAATGCTGCTGGCGCCGACTAAACCCTCCCTAGCTGGCTGGGATCCCAACGCCCCAACCCCTACCTTCCCCGAGACTCTTGATGCCCAGATCGACCAAACTTTCTACAACATCGACCTTGCCATGAGAGCAGCAGGTGGCAAGGGTATCTCGCAGGTGTTCAGCATCCGGTCCTACCACCCTCAGATTAAAGCGACGCCAGATGCCATGGATCTAATGAAGAAAAGCTTTGAAAAGTGGTTTCCAAACCATCGCCCCATCTGGACGGCTGTGGGTGTAGAAAGTCTAGCGCTACCTAAGATGAAGATTGAGATTGAAGCAGTTGCCTATGATCCTCAGAATGGCGGTATGGGTGTATGAAGGGACTGGCCAGAAGCTATAATGGGACCTTGAGGGATATTAGATAGTCATTCCAGAACAAGTTCTCGTTAGTGTAATCATCCCGAGACTTGATCTCATGACTCATTGGTGATAACAGGAAAATTTGGCAGTCGGGATGGTGTAGTGCAAACGACCTATGCTAGCAAAAGCTTAAGACTGGCTCTCCTTTAAGGTCTCGATGTTAGATCTGGTCCGTCTAAACCTAGGAAAACTTATGACTGAACATGCAAGTATGCTAGTGAGAAACGACTTTTATCATCATCAGAATAGCTGCCGATGCAGAGGGAGTTCCCTTGTGTATAGAAGGACGTCGGAACTCGTGCCGTGGAATTGAAGGACAGATTGCCTAAGGGTCCCGATAATTTTGATAATACAAGAGTGATGACTAGATCTAACTACATTAACTTGTGAGCGAATGTATCCATGATCCTAAAGATGGGCTTCAACAGAGATGCCGAAAGGTGAGACAGCCGCCACTATCCCTGACTGCGACTCAGCCGGGAAGACGAAGGCGAATGACTGCTCCAAGATGTTCAGAGTCTGGTTTATCTCCTTGGCAGAGATAGTGATCGGCGGTGCCATTCGAAACACAACACAAGTCCCAGACGAAGCTCCGCATTGACATGCGAGCCCCAGTTCGAGCGCTTTGCCAGAAAGTGCCTTCCCGATATCGAACCCGGGCGCTCTCGTAACGGGATCGGAGATGATTTCCATCCCGAGTAACAGCCCGCGTCCGCGGATGTCGCCGATACACCAGTATTTGTCCTGTAGCCGTTGGAGGCCCTCACGTAACTGCCGCCCCCGCGCAGCGGCATGCGCGACCAGGTTGTCCCGGACAACAATGTCGATTACCTTGCTCGCTATGGCGGCAGCTAACGGGTCGTTGTAGTGAGTCGTCACCCACAGATAGCCACCTTTCAAGGCGAGCTTCTCAATGTCGGCACTCGTACTGACCGAAGCGACAGGTAGGCCACATCCAATGGTCTTGGACAAGGCCAGGATATCGGGGACGATTCCATCGCGTTGGAAAGCGAACATGTCTCCGCATCGGCCGAGACCTGTCTGCGCCTCGTCTGCAATAAGGAGCATGCCGCGTTTCTTGCACTCAATGCTCATACGCTTCATATATCCCTCCGGAGGTTCGAAGATGCCCCCGGCAGACATGATGGGCTCGAAGATAAACGCAGCAAGAGATCCGACAGACTGCGAGTCGACCAAGGCCCAGCCCATTTCCAATTCCGCCTCCCAATCATAGCTGCCATCCGGCTTTCGGAAACGTGACCGGTACGAGTTCGGGAATGGGAAGGCGATTTGGCCCGGCATCAATGGACCAGCCCACTTGCGGCCATGAGAGTAAGTGGCAGAGACGGCGCCTTGGGTCATGCCATGATAGGCGGCTGAGAATGCCACGATTTCGAATTTACCTGTCGCACATTTGGCCATCTTTATGGCGGCTTCGACAGACTCTGAACCAGTATTGAGGAGGAAGGATTTCTCGAGAGGCGCCGGAAGAATCTGCGCCAGCTTCTCAGCAAAGTCAACGACAGGCTCCGAGACCATGAGGCTTGACAGGTGGTCGAGTTCCGAGACGCTCTTCTTGACCACTTCCACAATCTCCGGATGCGAATGTCCAAGGAGCGAGCTCATTTGGCCAGAGCTACAGTCAAAGAGAATTTTGTCATTTACATCGTAGAGTCGGATTCCTTTGGCCTTCTTGATGATCGTTGGCATAAACGGTATGCCGGTGTTCATCAGAAACTTGTTGGTCCGCAACCAGAACGCAGCGGTGTCGAATGCCATCTTGACCTTGGGTTACTCGCATCTGAGAGTGGAACAAAGCCCGAGACTGTGCCGTGAGCAAGAGATACTCGGACAGCATCATCAAGATAACCTCCTCTTTCAGAGCTGATAGGAGTTGCTTAAGAGACGGCTTGAAGAGCTTAGTCCCTGACATATGAGCAGTCTCTATTGGCCCGGGAAAGTTTCCCGGTAGTCCTGCACTACGGGCAACTCTCCTTGAGTCCGATTGGTGGGTGAGGGGAAGGCTCCATGTTATCTGAGCAAACAAGTTCCCCGCTCCCCGGATACAGTATGGCTGCTATCAAACGCTAGTAGCTTAGTGCTCTCTGCGAAGTTGCCAAGGGTTCGGAAGTGCTGCGCTGGAATCACTGGAGAGTATCAATTGCCACCTTGGCCATCCTTTGTATGCCTCTCCATGTGTGTGAATATGACTAACAACTGCAAACTGCTTCGAGACTTGTTGCATATATCAACAGGGCCCATGGCGCACTCCAACACCAGTCCGTACACCATCATTCGCCAGATCGAGGTATCAAAGGAGCCTCAAACATAGCCTCACTTCTTACGCTTTGAACTCTTAGCTTCTCTTCCTCTTGCCTACAACCACTATCAACATGGTTGCGAAGAAGGAAGGCGACGATGCTGTTGTCAGCCAGAATCTGCCCGATGATTGTTCGGGGATCGAGATGGGCGAGACAACTCGGACCACCGCAGCCCTTGGGGAGGCAGCTGACATTTACGGAGACGTTGAAATTGCTCAGCAGCTCGGCTACGTCGTCCGAGGGTATGTGATGCCAGGAAGTCTCTACCGTAATACACCACTTGCTAACGCCAAGATGACAACAGTCTCAAGGCTCGTCATATCCAGTTTATCGCTATTGGAGGCTCGGTTGGTACCGGCCTCTTTCTCGGTATTGGCGGTGCTTTCCTCAAAGCCGGTCCCCTCTCGGTCATCCTAGGTTTCACAATCACGGGTGTAGCTGTCCACGCCATGATGAACTGCCTCGGAGAGATGACGACCTGGCTACCGCTGCCCGGTGCTATCCCGCAGTACTGTGCCCGCTATGTCGATCCTGCTATGGGCTTCGCCGTCGGTTGGAACATCTGGTATCTCTCCACAGTCGCCATCTGCGTCGAGCTCATTGCCGCGGCCGTCCTGGTCACATTTTGGAACGACAGCATCAACCCGGCGGTGTGGATCAGCATCCTCATTGTGGTGATTCTCAGCCTGAACGTCTTCGCCGTTTCGATATACGGCGAGGCCGAGTTCGTGTTCGCCGCCATCAAAATCCTTGCCATCATCGGCCTGCTCCTCATGGCTTTCATTGTGGACCTAGGCGGCAGTCCTACCGGTGATCGGCTCGGCTTCCGGTACTGGTACAATCCAGGGCCGGTAATGAAAGAAGTCGTGGCTACTGGGCCCACGGGCCGCTTCCTCGGCCTGTGGTCCACCCTCGTCTACGCCGCTTTCTCGTACGGCGGTATCGAGATGGTTGCCGTCGCAGCCGGTGAAGCCGAGAACCCTCGCAGGAACATCCCGCGGGCTATCCGGCGTCTCATCTGGCGCATCGTCATCTTTTACATCCTCGGATCGCTGGGCATCAGCGTGCTCGTCCCCTCCGACGATGCGCGCCTCGCTAGCGCCTCGCCGTGGGTCCTCGCCGCCAACAACGCCAACATCCGCGTCCTGCCTCACATCATCAACGCCGTCATCCTAACCTCGGCGTCCTCGTCCGCCAACGCTTTCTTGTTTGTAGGCTCCCGCTACCTCTTCGGGCTCGCCCAGAACAGACAGGCCCCGCGCATCTTCCTCAAGTGCACGGCCACGGGCGTCCCCATCTACGGCATCTGCTTCACCGCCATGTGGACCGGCCTGGCGTACCTGTCCTGCTCCCGAGGCGCCGCCAAGGCCTTCCAGTATTTCCTCAGTCTCGGTACGGTCGCTTCGCTCTCCACGTGGTGCAGCATCTGCGTCACCTACATACGCTTCCGAAAGGCCCTAGCCGCGCAGGGCATCAGCACAAAGGACCTTCATTTCAAGTCTCCCTTCCCGCCTGTCGCTGCCTGGATAGCCCTTTGCTTCTTTCTTCTCGTCATTCTCTTCAATGGCTGGGAGGTCTTCACCAGGGGCAACTGGTCGGTGCAGACCTTCATCACTTGCTACATTGGGGTTCCACTGTACTTTGCGTTCTATCTCTTTTGGAAGGTGTTCAGGCGGACGAAAGTTGTCGATCCTGCTACCGCTGACATCTGGACTGGTAAAGCCGCTCTGGACGCCGAGGTGTGGCCTGAGCAGAAGCCGAGGAATTTCTTGGAAAAGATGTGGATGTGGATTGTTTAAGATGCGCCGTTTGCGCAACGCAAATGACAAGGAATACGGCTTTTGTGTGTGGGTGTTGTCATTGACGATGAGACTAGATTGGGTAATAATGAGACTTTCTGGAATCTCTATGAAAGCAACTCTATCTAGCAATGAGCACGACTTGATGTTGCTGATGTCCTTGATATTGGTTTGGATGCTCGCATTATGGTGTCTGTTTGCTACATGTCTCTATAATTCCTTGACTAGAAGTTGGTCGCAAACTCTGGGAACAAGCCGTTCAGCGCCGCGATATCCATGTCCATGTCCACCGGCAAGAGATCGCCCAGGTCCAGTGTGTTGCTCGGGCTCGCCTCATTGAACCCAGCTTCAATCTTCTCAACAAGGTCGCAGCAGTTGGAGAGGCAATTGTCCGCGATGTCCCACTCATAGCTGCGACGGTGGAACTGCAGGGCATCGACCATGAGCCTCGCTAGCTTGAGAGGGGCGTTGTTGAGCGCTACCCGAGAGTTGAGGGCGCATCTCATGAGAAATGTTGTTGCTGACGTGAGGGTGTATGCGAGTTGAGGAATCCAGAAGTCGCGGCAGTGGGTCTCGTTCAGCTCGCGCACAAAGTCCACGATCTCTTCGCAGATACGCCTGGCCTGTATGTAATGCTCAGAGTCGGTGTCTTCGATCTGGAAGGACATCTTATCCCAGTCCAGTTGGATGCGGCGGATGAGGAGCTTCACGGACAGGTAAGACAGCCGCAGATTCGCAGCACCCGCTCCTACAATCTGAGTGCCCCGGATGACTAGTCGCCGAAGGGTATCATCTAGCGAATCTTCCCATCCGGCCAACATGTTCTCCAGAGCAATTGGAGTCATGGCCGGCTTTGAGCTGGCCTTGCCAACGTCGTAGACATGCTCCAGGCAGCGGCCCAAGACTTCAGTCAAGGTGATGAGAGCAATGAAACAAGAGGCTGCAAATATCTGATCCCTCGGCATACCCGGGTTCGAAATGTTATCTATCGTCAGTATAGGAACATCGTGTTGCGAATCCTGGATAAGGGTGGGAGATCCATATGCCATGCTGCACCTGTGATATCATGGCTGTCAGTCCTCAGAGGTACATTGACTAAACTGGGTTGCATAGCTTACCAACGGTCATATATGATAAGTAGCCACCATATCCTCATCCGAAACTTCTTTTCCGAAGGCGAGAGATTCCAGTCTGAGGGATCACGATTCAAGCCGAAAGAATTGGCCAATGCCACGGCCAAGCCGAGTAAGCCGCCGTTCCACAACGGGTGAGTACTAGGCCTGCCACCAACGTTCAAGATGATCGTTATGATTGTCGAGATTGTCGGGGTGGAGTGCAATTCCTCGACGAGGGCGTCTTCGGCTAATGTCCATATTGTACGATGATCTGGGCATCGAACCGTGCTCAATAGCGGTGATGTGTCCCAGTAGATCAGCGTATTGCCGTACAGAAAGGCAAGGAGGCCTGGTGATATCTTTTCTTTCTGTGCTGCGAAAACCCTCCTGAACAAGCCCTCGTCGAAGATTGGAAAGCATATGTTGATCTTCTCGAAGAACCTAGACATGCCTATGAGTTGGTTGGGAGTTCTATTCACGAGGAACACAAGACACCCACAGGGTAATCAAGTCATCTTGGTATGGATCAATGAGCTTCTCGATAACTTCAAAACTTGAAGCCGCAATCGATCGACTCTCCGTTTCCCTTTCGCCGCGTTTAGGGACAATGTTGAAGAGTATCTGTCTTGCATGTCTCGTTGGCTGACCCAAGTTCAAATGGAACTTGACCATACGTCTCTTCTGAGCCGTTGACGTATTGGAAAGATACTCTTGAAACACTCGGTCGTCGTCCGCAATGGCTGGGCTCACTACATGCGATGTCCCCTCGTCGGGCTGGGCGATGATACCCATCATGGCAGAGATAGACTCATCCTGCTGGCTCGTTGGCGGAGTTGGGCGATCCGGCCGATTGACCATTACGTCCTGCACCAGCGCAAACGGGCCGCAGAGCGGAATCGAGTAAGCCGGTAGCACCCTGTGCGACACCGTCGGCGAGATTGACGAGGGACGCCTCGTCCGGGATAACCGGGGTGAGTGTTGAATGCGCGAAGCGGCCGAAGGGGTTTGTCTCCCGCTCAACGGCGTGCTCCGTCGAGACTGCCCGGGGGTTCTCTGCCGCCGCTCAGCTACCTGTGGAAATACACACTCGGTGCCGTGCGCCTGGCACATGGCGCAGGTCGAGGTGGTAGCCGCCGTCTGACATCGTGATTTTCTTGCTCTACACGGCAAACAAGCCGGCTGCATGTGAGACCTGTACGGCCGGCCTTCGTTGCTGATGATGTGCTCTGTACCTCCGGTCCTGAAACCGGGGTCCATGCCGGGCGAATAATACAAACGAAAATGCGGAGAATGGACTTCGAATCCGGTACCAGGGCCGTGGGTAAGCACGATGTTACCCCAAACCTCGTGGACTGCAGATCAATGTCTCGGAAACGCGACAGTGTGGTGTGTAGTGGGATAGACACGACGGGAGGATGTCTGAAAGACATGAACGGGGGCATTGTGGTACTGATAACCATACCGTACTTATTGAACCTACTTGTCTACCTCCAGTAGCCAACCTGCTTAGCGGCTTTGTTATCTTTGACACAAAGCAAGGTGGATTTTACGAGCGGGTAGCCCCCCCCGAAAACCGTGAAGCCAACATCAAAGGCTTCTTCCAATCTGGCTTAGTTGCGGGGGATGCACATTTCGGTGGAGGGCGCGGACTTGGGCGATCTTGTCCTAGGGTTACTGACTAGCCCCAGCTAGGACCTTGACTCCTATCCTCCTTGGGTTTGGGATAAGACATTGAATCAAGAAATGCACATAGGTGGCAAGGCTTGTCATTCCTGCCTCGAGAGACCGGTACACTTGGGACGTTGGGCTTTTACAGTAATATTTCTGACTTTTCGCCGAGCTATGACAGAGTTCGAAAGCACCTATGTACAGTGACTCATTGTTTACCATCTAAAAAGTAATCTTTTTACCCTGGAACTTCACGTTCTGCTGGGCTTCTCTTGCCTTCTTCCTCGCCTCCCAACTAGCATGCAGCTTTCCTGTATCGTCGGCCTTGCGCTCCGGCTTGGGCTTGGGATTGGAGCTCTCTGCTAGTGGCACCATATTCGCGTTGTTGGACGCGTCCTCCTTGCCCTTGCCTCTGTGGAAGGGAGTGCGGACACCCGCTTTCCACGGCTTGGACTCGCCAGCTGCCACGGCACCGCGCTTGGGATCCCAAGCAGCGCCCTTGCTCTCGTCCTTGAGATGCTTGGCCTCCTTCTTGAACTTCTTCTCCCAGATGGCCTGCCGCGCTCGCTGTCCTCTGCGGTTCTTCCGGGGAGGGGCAATGTCGACATCCGATGCTGATTCGGAGCCGGAGACATAGCCGCCCATTAATGATGGCAGAAATGCGGACCCGGTGGGCGTCGCTGTTTTGCCAGCTTTTTTCGTCGTGGATGCTTTCTTCGTGGGTGGGGGAACCGCCGAGGAGGAGTCTGATTCTGCATCAGAAAGGTCGCCTTCGGAAGCTTCCACACTGCCACTGATATCCATGCCTCCATCTTCTGCCCCCGACTCGTCCGAAGAAGATGCTAGCCGGGCATCAAATCGTGCAATAGCCTCTTCCTCCGCGTCCGTGTCCATGTCTTCGTCATCACCCACATCCCCATCCCCATCTTCTGAAGCCGAATCGTCCGCAGAGAATCCATTAAACTCCTCTTCGCCACTCTCACCTCCCTCCTCCAGGTCTTCTAGGTCGTAGTCGCCCTCGCCTTCACCTTCCTCCGCGTCACTGATGCTGGCCTCTCTCTGTGCCCTTTTTTGCGCGCTGCTCTCGACCTCGGCGTCCCCTGTTGGCGCGTCACGCTGCGCGGCGCTCTTCTTGCCCTTCCCGCCCTTCTTGTCAGGCGGCGACACGCCCAATACCGCGCACATGTCGGCCATTGCTTTGTCGACTACGGTCCTGACATGAGGACGGTTGTACAGCGCGCTCGTGACATTGTGCAGCGCCGCCTTCTCCTCCTCGTCCAGCTCCGGCTTCGGTACTCCCGCCTTGACCTCCTCGGGCAGATGGGGCGATGCCGCTATCGTTTTGACCTTGAGCAATGAAGAGCACAAGTGTGTGTGCGCCGACTGGTGCAGGTCCAGCGATTTGAGCACGGCGACCTCGCGCTCCAGGCGCTGCAGCTTCTCGGGCGTGACGCCCTTGTCCCGCGTGCGCTTGGCCAGGCGCTGGCGCTCAAATCCCTTGGCCGTCTTGAGGACACGGAAGAGCTCCTTGCGCAATTTGGCGAAGCATTCTGTCGCTTCGTCCTCAGTTGACCGCTTGCGCTTGCCCATGATGCTGGATGGCAGATCCTTGTCCAGAGAATCAAGATGGACGTGGTCTCTACAGCGATGAGGTATATGAGACAGTGGAATGCACAGAAATCAATGCGCGAAGTATTCGTCTCTCCATGCAGCGCGACTCAAGGAGTGATTCGACAGGCGTCAATTACATGAAAACGTGAAGAATCATCGCTGCCTTTTGCTCTCGAGCCTCTCAACTTTTTTAGGTGGGGCAGAGCTTCCAGGTGAAGCGCTAATGCAAGCACTTCCCGGGAAAAGTGGGGGTCTCGCATTGAAATTCCCAGGCGACGCGTCCGGAGAGGAAGCGCGTCGCAGCGCAGCCCCGACTTCCTCAGCTCCGGCCGCCCTCGAACCCCAGCTCAACGACCTGCAAACCACGGATGATCTCACGACGTCACACCTTCAGCGCAAGAGAATAGCCGCATACACGATCGATCGGACAGGCTTCTTGAAAACCTAAGCAGCATACGGCGTCCACTGTTGCCGCGCAGATTCGCCGGATCCCGTACCATCGCTTGCTCCGAACAAAGAGCTTAAAGGGAGGCGCTTGCCTAACGCTACCCCCGCTCGTGCAGAGCACACTTCACGAATCGCCGTGCCTACCATCCCGAAAACCGTACATCCCGACCCCAATCTCCACGACAGAGAGTCGCCAAGATGATGAGCTCACGCGCTGCGGGCAAGGAGCCGGTGCACGCCATGCCCAGCCGCGAAGAGTTCCTGAAGCTGCCCGAGGACCAGCGCAACCAGATCAATGAGGCCTTCACCGTCTTCGACAGCGACCGAGACGGCCGAATAGACTACGTATGTGGTCCCATGCTCTTGGTTCCACCCCAAAACTCGCTGGGCTTGGATGCGCTCGTTGCTGACCAGACCTAAACAAACACAGAACGAGATGCGCTTCTCCCTCCGCGCATTGGGTTTCGACCTCCCCAAGCAAGAGACCTACCCATACCTGACCAAGTTCGCCGTGCAGCCCGTCTCCTGGCCCCAGGGCAAGGAGTGCGGGCCCGTGTGGCGCGAGTTCACGCTGCCCATCTTCCAGGGGATCGCGGGCAGCCTCATGTACAACCGCGACCCCGTCGAGGAGTGCCGGCGGGCGTTCCGCCTCTTCGACGTCGACGGCAAGGGTGTCATCACGGTCGAGGACCTGCGCCGCGTCATGAAGGAGATCGGGCAGGCCATGGAGGAGACGGAGCTGGGCGCCATGATCAGGGAGTTTGACACCGAGGGCAAGGGGGGCGTCAACGAGGACGAGTTCATCAAGATCATGCTGGCGAAGCGGCAGGGCTAGGGGCAGGGTGCGGCGGGCGCTGCGGTCACGACGACGGGATGACAAGGCACGAAATGGGACGGGGAGGGAGATATCAGGCCGAGCCCCGAGAAGGGGCCGGTCGTATAGGCGAATTTATGTGATTACCCCTTTTGCGAATTGCTATACTCAACGATATCTTACATGCTCAAACCACCACTCATGCCATAATGTGAAGATGCATGGTCCTTTCCCCGATTATCCCACACTCCGATCTCCCCATCCTCGCTGCGTACCCTGCGCTCGCGCATGTCCATCGGCAATAATCTGCACTCTCGAAGCTATGCCTCGGACCGTGGCGGCCAGCTGGCGCAGCTCATCGCCATGACCTCTCACCTGGGCTGGCTGTGCGGCCGGTCCAAGATTGAGAGGGTTGTGGATCCCAAAATGGTAAGTATTGGCCGCGCCACTCTGAGCCTGCGCTCGGTCAAGCTGGTCAGCCTCGTCTTGCAACCGCGAGGCGCTCTCTCGCATGGTGGCTGCCGTCTGTCGCAGACCACTCAAGTCTAGAATTTGGGTTGGCGGTGCCTGGCTGGCCGGAGCTTGCTGTGCGTTCTGCGGTGTGTTCTGGAGAGGATGCTGGTGAGAGGCGTTTGCGAACCCCGTATCCTGGCTGGGGTCCTAGCCTCTGCCTTGGCTGTACGAGTTGGCAGGACCGGAACCAAATCCCACGGTTGACGATGCTTGAGATCCCGAGCACTCGCCCGGGTTTTGTGAAGCAGGGAGACCCTGCAGGCCGCTTCGCTGGTCTTCGAGTTCTCTTGCTGCCACTTGATGGCTCATTCCTTGGGGATGTCTACGACCCCCCTGGTCCTCTCCGCGTTGCTTCTCCCGAGATGCAAGGTGAGCTTGCTGGGGGAGCGACACGTTTGAAGCAATAGGGCTGGAGTTGATCGTGATAACCTCCTCCCTGGCGTGATTAGCCACTGGTTCGAGCTGAGTTTGTGAGGAGGCAGAATCAAGGATACGGAGCTTTTGGGGTGGGCCCTCGTATTCCTCATCGTCCTCTTCTGAATCGCCCCAGCACGAATGCTGTGCGATCTCCGAGGACTTGGATCTCTGGTGCATGGGTCTCTTAGATGACTTGTCCTTCTCTTGACAGGCATGATCCAGATTTGGATTGCGACGAATACTTCTTCGGCTGAGACTGCAAGTGCTGCCATAATAATGGCAGTTACAACACGCTCCCTCGGCGACGTTTGGGTCCGCGTCGCAGATCTCGAAAGGACCAAATCCTTGGGCACATCCATCGCATGGAATTACCGATTTTGCCATGCAGAGAGCGATAAGAACAGCTTCGACATGCCGGTCACATGTGAGGCGCCATACCAAACCGCGCCGGTGGTCAACTCGGTCTCTCACCTGGGAGAAAGTAGTTAGCATTTTGGTTTTTCTTTCCAGTATCTGGTGAGGCTCATCCGTGCATTTCGTTTTTGTAAGAGGTCAGTGAGTAATTCTGTCAGTGGGATCTCAGTTTGGTCCCGTTCCTGTACTATGTTTTCGACCACTCCACGAGTGATGCAATAATAGGTTCGATAGGGTTGGACTTTGATTCGATCCGAACGCCGGAGATCAGAGATGTCTCCAGACTCATCATCCATCTTGTATGATCCTCGACTCGATGATGTATAGACCTGAGATCTCGAGACGCTGAAGGGAATGGTTGGCAGTGATGGCTTTTTTGGCTTCCCGCTGAGGTCTGAATCAATAGACTCTGAGGTCTACCTGACACTACAGGTTGTCGAATTTTGAATGAGTAGCCATGATGAGCGGGGACAAATTTGAGGAAGCGCGTCCACAATCACCCTGATTGTGACCTGAAAACTTTGATGGCCGAAAAGTCTTTCGAGACACAACAGAAAACAAGAGACGGACGGTTTCCTGCCAACAAGAATTTGCCTTGAACTGCAAGGTTGAAAGCAGAAAAAGTATTTGTGCATGGGACTCCAACCCCTGAGCTTACACCTACAACTACATTTCCGGAAGGAACATCATGCTATGCATCACTTAGCCTGCATGCGAAGAGCTTTCGTGTAATCAAATCGTCCCAAACAACAGGATCGATCAGCAAGAGGAGATCGGAGTCTGTCACGACGTTCGTCTCTTTCTTTCTCTGTGACAAAGTCACGGTCAGAAACATGTGGGAACATTGACAGAACCAAATCATAGGAATATTCCAATCTACAATCACAGGATTGATGTCCGTTGCGGATTGTCTCAAGATCGGCTCTGCATTACGGTCTCCGACTCCGAGCCGATGTTAGCCTTCGGAAGCCTTGAAACGATGCAAGATGGAAAGATACGACGACACCAGCGTTCCAGACCATCGGAACAACACGAATGTGGCAAGAAACGACTGCAAAGGGGCGATAGCATGATATGCAGGTCAAGGTTTGTCAAAAGCACACCACTTTGCCTCTCGGGCCAGCACGGCTCACGATGCCGAACTGGCCCACCGGAGGCGGCCAAGGTCTCGGCTACATGTGACCGTTCGCCCCCCTTCACAGATCCGTGCCGGCTAAGCAAAAACGGAGCCGGGTAACGACACGGACAGCCGGATGGACGGAAGCCACAGTGGTCAACAGCCAGGGAGACAGACACATGTCTCATCACGTGGAACTGTCGGGTGAATTCGGAGATCGAAACGGACTGCCTGTTTCGTCGATGGTAGGGATTTTGGTCTCCGCCCAACACTACTTGTATCATATGGAGTCTCCAACAAACGGAGCAGGAGTGGTGTTCCCCACAAATGAGGCTTGTAACAAAATCTCCACCTCTGTTTTCGTCAGCGTTTGAGCTGTATGTACCTACTTGTACGAGAGTGCGCACAAGGCATTTCGTGTTAACACCGCTCGGATGCGATTCCCCGACTCACGATGCTCTCCTGGACGAATCAGTCACTCGATGTCATAACCTTGCACAGAGTCAATCCCGTGTCTTCGTCCAAATTGCTGTTCATCGCCGCCATGCAAAGGGTTTCTGCATTTCTCCCACAGAACATCACATGGCCCAACGCCATGTTTCGCCCGGTGAGGTCCGCAGAATGCCAATGTTACGTAAACCCAGCGTGCCTGTTTGGGCATCAGGTGTCAATTCACCCTTGGCAACCGATGGAAAAGCCGTTCCGGTACGTAAGAATTGGCATCGACTCGTCAGAAATCGATGCTGGCTACGCGCACGGGAGCCTATCAGGCACAGGACAATTCCTTCTCGGGAAACATCGGAACAGCCCTCACTGAGTCGGGGGCGAGGTTCTGGACCGCCATGACAAGCCCCGCCACGAATCGATGCCTGGTGTGGAGCCGGAACGGGGCTGGCGATGGGTTTCGGCGGGGATGGGCGTGTTAGCCAAGGTGCCAGGCTCGCCAGGGCATGCAGCGTGTGCAGGATTCCATCACGCCCGCATCAATCATGGCCGAAAATGGGGACACGCAGGGGTGGCTATCTCTGCTAATTGTTTTCCCCGATCTGCTCCTAACTATTCCGACCGTGACAGGACTCGGGAAAACTCGCGACGGTGCATGATCGAGAGATAACGGTGCAGGAAGCATCAGAAAGACAAAAGCCGACTGAGAAAAAAAAGAAGCAGAAATGAGGGCCAATATCAAGAGATTGTCGTCGTCAATGGATCGCAGCGTGCTGCGGGGTAAGGACGTCGATATGAGGCTGCTGGGGGGGAGGAGGGGAGATGAGGAGGAGCACGGGACACAAGAGGAACGAACCATGGAGACAGCAGGCACACTGCGGCCTGGGGAAAAAAACATGGGGACTCCAGTTTCTGCGGTAGGAGTGACCAAAAATGGCCCAGCCCAGACCCGTCCTGGTTGGGTTCGTCGGGAGTGCCAGGGCGCTAGGAACCCAGGTGCCAGCCTGGGGAAGCCCCATCCCAGCAGCCCTGGTGCCCCTTGTTAGGTGGCTTGCTTCTGGATACAGCACTGTATCTGGGCTTGGCATCAATCAATATCTGGTGACGGCAGATTAGAGCTTACACAGACCCGACAGAGCCTCCAGGTACCGTAATATACAGCACTGCTTGCTGACATACATAGGTATTTTCTTGTGAACTCACTGCCCTTACAGCATCCAGCACCGAACCTAGGGGAAGTGGTACCCTGGTAGCCCTGAACTCTGTGAAGCAAGCAATGAAGTGAAGCTGCCACTGTTGTGGCCCTTGAAGCTGGCCGTATGCTTCCTTCCTGCAACTACCCTAACCGCCACACAAGTAGAGACTGTTCACTGGCAGAGCAGAAGATACGTTCATCCAGAATGCATCTGCCGTTGTGTGTAGGGATTTTCCGGTTTATTTTGCATGTGTTGGGGACGGTTATCGGCAGGATTGACGATGCAAGGTACCTTATCGGGTAGCTGTACGGAGCACCGATGGATCAGCGCTATCAGCCCGCGCGGGAGGCAGCCTGGACCAAGTAACCTGATGCTGAGACAAACACTGAGGGGGTACCTGACGTGCTAACCAACCCCGGATCAATGGCATGGCTGGCATGGATGCTTTCCCGGGACGCGCCTGCAGGGCAAAAGGGCAGAACGCATCGACCACACCACCACCGTCACGCACACACGACACTCGCAAGGGGCGAAAAAAATCTTCGAGAAACGTGCATTGCTCTCTCCCTGCTGACCCGACCGGGGCTAAGGAGCGACAAGAAAACGTCAAGCACGTTTTGGTCAAACGTCACTCGGATGAGCAACCGCAGCATCGTCGCAGGAACGCGTGCATCGCCATCGTCCGTCCCGATCTCAGCAGGGGTCGCTCAGCGTCCTGCTCCGAAAAGTATTCGTGACCCAGCACCCAATCACTGCCAGACCTCGCTCGACCAGTGGCATGACGCCGTCACTCCTCCGCGTCCCCACCCGGCTCTGCCTTTTATATCCTCGGCCTCGGGCACCACCACTAGGACGACCAAGAACTATCAGCGCTACCATCACTGCACCCTCCACTACTCGCTCCGCAAAGTGGACCTTGTCGAAGCCAAACTCGTTCCAATCCCTGCGACTCAAGTCTACCAGCCAGAACCGACCCGAGCATCCAGGAACTTTATTAACCATGAAGGACCCCGTTCCACGAACCGCTTCTCCTTACACTGATCCTTCCATCAAAGGTCCCAGATCTCAACTTCTCTCCTCTGGCGTTCAGAATTTCCGCAAAAGTTGGTTTCCCCCTCTCCATCCAGCTCTCCCTGAGCTGTTCCGAGCTCCATCTGCCGCCAGAACGGCGAGATACAAGCTCTCCTGCTCTATCACATGAATCCGTATCGCTGACTCGCTGCCCACCCTCCTCACAGTGATTTCCAACACCGTCAACAAGACCAGCCTGCACCCCGGCGGTGTCCAGTAAGCAGCTCCCCCACCTACTGCACTTTTGCTCGCGTGCTCAGCATACTGACCTGCTCTGTTCTTGATAGACCCCACCGGGAGCACACCGAGATTGGTATGCCCTCACTTCTAGCTGAGCCGCCTTGGCTTGGAGCTCGCTCTGGAGTTGGAGAGTGATCAGTAAACTAACCAGCTCCGAAGAGGAGGAACTCCACGAGAAGGCACACATCGACTACGACCGTGTCGCAATTGTAAGTGATCGGCTCTCCACAAAGACAGTATCCCTGGCCACACTAAGTAAGCTAACCCGGTAACTAGATCCCGAACCCTTCCGTCGCGGCCTTGTACGAGGATGCGTTGGTCTATGAGCCCGGCTCGGGCATCTCATCTACCGGAGCCCTGACTGCTTACTCTGGCGCCAAGACTGGTCGCTCGCCGTCAGACAAGAGGATTGTCAAGGAGGAGGGCTCAGAAAGCGAGATTTGGTGAGTTCTCCCCCCGTCTGCTGCCATATGCTTGCCAGATCAAGCCGGCGCGCAGTTCCAACATGTGAAATCTGGGCGACAGTCGAACTAACAGCCATGCAGGTGGGGACCCGTCAACAAGCCCATGACCCCAGAGGTAAGCAATCTTCTCGCAGAATCCCCTTTGTTTAACCATTCCGCATGTCTTGTCCTCCCTCCCGTTTTCCCACCATGACCTGCCCTGTACGACCTGTCACAAGACCCCGCACCCGCAATTGCCCATCACGAACCATGCAATTTCCTTCTGCGGGCTGTGGCACGTCATGATTCGGCCCCAATTACATAACACCGATGTTGCCTCGGGCAAACCCGCGAGCTCTTGGGTGTCGTGTGTGGGTATTTGCTGGTGTGCGCTTGTGTGCCAAAAAGCCGACGTTATCTGACCCTGGTCGCTGTCGTCATTGGACCGCCCGCCCGCCTGTCGTGTCCCGGCATATGCACCCCGCTTCCGACGCCAGCCGCCTTCCGTTTTCCTCCCCCTCCTCCCACCGTCTCCATCACGTGCTAATCTCCACATTTATCACCACCGTTTCCACGATTCACGTTCACCGTATTGGAAATGGCAGTGTGAGACTAACACGTGAAAATCACTAGGTCTGGAAGATCAACCGCGAGCGTGCTGTCGACTACCTGAACACGAGGAGCCGTATCTACGTTATCGACGGATATGCCGGCTGGGATGAGCGCTACAGGATCCGCGTGCGCGTTGTCTGCGCCCGCGCCTACCACGCCCTCTTCATGCGCAACATGTTGATCCGCCCTTCGCGCGAGGAGCTCGAGCACTTCGCGCCCGACTACACCATCTACAACGCCGGCACCTTCCCCGCCAACCGCTACACCGAGGGTATGACTTCTGGCACCTCAGTATCCATCAACTTCGCCGAGAAGGAGATGGTCATTCTGGGTACCGAGTACGCCGGCGAGATGAAGAAGGGTGTCTTCACCGTCCTCTTCTACGAGATGCCCATCAAGCACAACGTCCTGACCCTGCACTCGTCCGCCAACGAGGGCAAGAACGGCGATGTCACCGTCTTCTTCGGTCTGTCCGGTACCGGCAAGACCACCCTGTCTGCCGATCCCAACCGTGCCCTGATTGGTGACGACGAGCACTGCTGGACCGACAAGGGTGTCTTCAACATTGAGGGTGGCTGCTACGCCAAGTGCGTCGGCCTGTCTGCCGAGAAGGAGCCCGATATCTTCAACGCCGTCAAGTTCGGCTCCGTCCTCGAGAACGTCGTCTTCGACCCCGAGACCCGTGTTGTCGACTACGACGACATCACTCTGACCGAGAACACTCGCTGCGCCTACCCCATCGAGTACATCTCCAACGCCAAGATCCCCTGCAAGTCCGACAACCACCCCCGCAACATCATCCTCCTCACCTGCGACGCCCGCGGTGTCCTGCCCCCCATCTCCAAGCTGGACCGTGCCCAGACCATGTTCCACTTCATCTCTGGTTACACCTCCAAGATGGCCGGTACCGAGGACGGTGTCACCGAGCCCCAGGCCACCTTCTCTTCCTGCTTCGCCCAGCCCTTCCTGGCCCTGCACCCCATGCGCTACGCCAAGATGCTCGCGGACAAGATCGACCAGCACAAGGCCAACGCCTGGCTCCTCAACACCGGCTGGGTCGGTGCCGGCCACGCCCAGGGTGGCAAGCGCTGCCCCCTCAAGTACACTCGCGCCATCCTCGACGCCATCCACTCTGGCGAGCTCGCCAACGTCGAGTACGAGAACTACGATGTCTTCAACCTGCAGGTCCCCAAGACCTGCCCCGGCGTCCCCGCCGAGCTGCTCAACCCCAAGGCCGCCTGGACCGCCGGTGCCGACAGCTTCAACACCGAGGTCACCAAGCTCGGCAAGCTCTTCATCGAGAACTTCAAGAAGTACGAGAGCGAGGCCACCGAGGACGTCGTTAAGGCCGGCCCCGTTGTCTAAGCAGAGACTTCCAAGACTACATTCTGAGCTTCACAGCGATGTGTTTTCTTTCCTGTTTCTGTTTCCCATTGTTGTCTCTTTTTTTCCTTTGTTCACACATGGTCTCGCACCGTATCATAATGGCATTGTGATCTCTTGACCCGGTTTTTTTGGTCAAGAGATGGTTCAGCACGCGCGGCACGCAAACGGTTATTGGTCCTGGCAGTACTACCTTTGGATGAAGGAGACTGTACCGAAAAGAAAAAAGACAGGACATACGCTCTGCGCGATATAGCATCGAGGAAAAAACTGTTGCCGATGACTATCATGGTTCCGAAGGACACAAAGTGTGGGTGGGCGGTGGTGGCTGGCAATGCTCGACAACTGCAAATCAGTTGTGTCGCATCCAGGAAAAGAATGAGAGGTTGTTTGTTGTTTGGAAGCTTGAATACATTATGATAGGCACGAATTCAGAAATAAGAATGTGAACCTCTCAAAAATAGGTGTCTTGTCCTTGCTATGCTATGCCGTGTCATTGGTGCGTGTGGCTCTTGATATACTGTTGCACAGTATTCGTATATTGTGAGAGGATGCTCCAAGTTGCCCCTCATATTTACTCAAGAAGTAGCCATCACAAGTGTTCATCGTGCCGTGTGCAGACAGGGTTCAAGGTGTTGCCGAGCCCATGGATCCTAATGTAGCTGCTTTCCTATCAAGTACACTTTCTCGCGTTGATGCATGTGTAAAGCATCAGCTCTGGCCCCAAAAGACTCCTAACACCACCAAGGTCAATGTCTATCTCTATCAGTTATTTATTTCATTGTTGACATCTCAATATACACATCACATGCCCATCACCCCCCACGCCCCGTTTACGCATCCTTCTTGAGACAGATGACCCAGTTGACGAAGCCGCAGGGCCAGAGGTGCTCGACGCTCCCGCTGCGCACCTCCCAGCGGTCGGTGCCGCCCTCGGCGCCGCACGTGCGCAGCAGCACCTCGACCTCGCGCGGGGTGCGCGTGCGCAGGCTCGAGATCCAGCCGTCCCAGACGAGCACGAAGGGCAGGACGGGCACGAGCCAGGCCCAGAAGAGGGTGGCCGGGGAGCGCCACTTGAAGGCGTAGAAGGGCGCCAGGGCGAGGATGCCGAGGCCGAAGATGGCCGGGGAGAAGAAGCCGGCCGCGTCGCGGGACTGGAGCTCGAAGATCCTTTGTGGGTGGGCGTGTTAGTTAGCTTTATCGAGGGAAAGGGGAGGGGGGAGGAGGTGACGAGGGTGTGTGGCCAGCGGCTTACCCGAAGCCGTCGCTCGTCTCGACGGTGTCCTTGAGGATGGCGCGCGCGAGGTCGTCGTCAAAGTGGTGGAAGGCGAGGTTGAACAGGCGAAACACCTTCTTCTTCTGCTTCTCCCCACCGTCGCCGCCGCCTCCGGCATGCCGCGCCAGCAGCGCCGGATCAGCATGGCTGGCGTCGACGGAGCTGGGCTCGTAGCTGACGTTGGGGCTGCGCGCGGCGGCCTCGCGCCAGTTGTCGATGTGCGGGTGCAGGTCCGTCAGGACGAACTTGACGGGCTCGTGCTCCTGGTCGTCGCCTGCGGCCCTCCTGCCTTTGCCGGCGCCGTCGCTGCCGTTGACGTGCTGCTCGATGGTGGGCGTGGGCCCGCCGGCGCCGGCGCAGAAGTCGATCATGACCCAGGGCTGCCTCCGGCCGTCCTTGGTGCCGAGGACGTGCTCTGCCAGCAGGGAGGCGACGGCGCGGGCCGGGGAGGTGGACTGGACCAGGGGCAGGCAGGTGATCCAGGCGATTGTCAGGGCGGCCTGGACGCGGGCGCGGAACCAGGGGTGGAACCTGAGGACTGATGTCAATTTATTGGGTTCACACAGAGAGAGAGGGGGAGGGGGTTAGGTTTGTACCAAGATTGGTCGTCAATCTCAAAGAGATGCATCCGTGGGATGAGCGGCGCCATGGCTGGCTAAGTGAACTTGCTCCGGGTGCAAGAGTCGGCAGAGAGGGTAGGGCTGGAGGAGCAAGTGATGAGGCTATTCGCAGCTATCTCGAAGCTAGCCTGCGAGATGCCTACCTGCTTGCGTGGGGAGTCGCCGAGATCTGAGATATTGTCTGATCCTGTCTGGCCGGGCGAGGCGTGGAATCCTCTGTCGAATGGAGATTGAGTGACTAAGAAGCCAATTGGTATTGAGAGAATACCTACAACGTCGGTTTGCGGAGCTTGGGACAGCTCGTAATTGATGCCAAGAAGTCGTTATTCGGCAAGGAAGCTTGAGCTGCACGACAACCGGGCCTGCTTGATAGGTGGTGAAAGTGAACACGAGTCACAAGTCAAGTCTGACATGCGCCGGAAGCATGTATTGGCCCGTCTCGGCTCCAATTGGCTTCAGACCTTTTTCCGTGCGCGTAATGGGCTGTGGCGGAGAGCTCTGATGAAGCTCGTGACGTTTCACCTCAACAACCTCGAGGGCCGCTGGTGGGACTTGTGGCTACATGTAACTAGGGGGGTTCGCTTCCGCTAAAAGCCTCCAGGGATTCCCGGTCGTACCGGGTCAGCCTCAGTGAAAGATAGCGTGCTTACAGCGCTAAAAGAATTGCCCGCCAGCAGTTTAGTACCTCCACGCAGGGAATCAAATCATCGTTCGGACTACCTAACTGAAATGGAATGTCACATATAGGTAAGGTAGTTATGAATCTACACTGTTCAAGACTGGCATCCTGCTCACATGAACCATAAGGCGGTGTGATGCGCTAGAGACGTTGTGCGTGATCATAACAACGCAATAGGTTGCCGGGCACAGAGTCTATTCGTCATCGGGGTCAAGTGTAGCTTCAGCCCCTTGCAGACAGCTTGTCGTAGTGTGGTGGATGGTCCCGCGCGGTGACACGGGCGGGTGCGTCAATCATTCCGTTGGGGACTCACCAGTCTGCACCTCTCACATGTAAATCCACAATAAAACTCCAGGCTTTTAGGGGCCCTGTTTCATAACCAAAAAACACTCCATACAAGTCGTTCCTCAGAGTGAACAGTCTCAGACCTCGTGAAATGCCTCGCGGCCGATACCTTTTGCCCTGCTCGGTAACGCCATGTCTCTTCTGCATGGCTTCACGACCTGGCTCGTCCGTCTGGCGATCCCGCTGGTCCTTGCCTACTTTGTCCTCACGCGACCCCGGATCCGGCGGGATGGCAAGCCATTGAGGTTGGTTCATACTCTCATACGCCTCTCAATGCTCTAAATTCATCATAAACAAGACGCTGACAGAGACGATTGCTCTAAAAAGAAAACCACCCAACACACTACCACTGGTGGGGAATGGCTTGCTATTCATTCAAGCACGCCACAAGCTCTTCTCTTGGTTCGTCAAGTGTGAGCGCCAGTTTGGGAGGGAGACGTTCCAGATCACGGTGCCGACGTTGCCGCCGGGTATCGTCATCAATGATCCTCGGAATGTCGAGTACGTCTTCAAGAACGAGGGCATCTTCAGCAAGGGCGACTTTGTCAAGGGGATGCTGTGGGACCTGTTTGGTGGGTTGTGCCTCGATCATATCGCTTTGATGCAGCACTGACGGCTCTATCTATAGGCTACGGCATCATCAATGCAGATGGCGAGATCTGGCAGATACAACGAAAGGCTGGCAAGGACTTTTTAAATGTTCCTAACCTCAGGGTCCTCACCGACACAGCACTTCCAAAGTATCTCTCTGCCAGTGTAGACTTTCTCAAGGACGAAAAGGACGATGCCGTGGTAGACCTCCAAGTGGTGTTTCATGAGATAACGTCGCTTCTCATGGGCAAGATGGCATACAATGTAAGTATACTTCAAAGGGAGAGATGCAAAATCGGTCTGTACTGACACCCCTTGAAGATGGAGATGCACGCGGACGATGCATTCACAAAAGCATTTGACGAGGCTTCCGGTGCCTCCACTGAGCGTTTTCAGAACCCCTTATGGTTCATTACCGAAGTCTTTACTGGCGCCAACTTTCGCAAGCAATTAGCTATCGTCAAGGACTTTGGCAACCGCATCGTTGCTAGCGCGGTGGAGGATCGCAAGGCCGGCAAGTGCCACGCCTTTGCGTCAGGGGAGGGAGAAGACAGCAAGCTTGATGAGGTGTCGGGAAGTCTCATCCAGTCACTGCTAGACACTGTGCCCGACCAGAACATGGTTGCCGACGCGGCTTTGAACTACCTGTCTGCCGGCCGGGACACTGTGGCTCAAGCGCTGACATGGACTTTCTACCGGCTGATGAGGGAGCCTGCCGTGGTAGAGAAGCTCAGGAAGGAAGCGGAGCAGGTCATCGCTGCAGCTGACTCCCCACCCTCCTCGGGGCTCAACTCGACCATTTTCAACTCGACCAACATGCCCTACACCATGGCAACCTTTTACGAGGCCCTCCGCCTCTACCCTCCCATCCCCTTCGAGATCCGCCAGGCCGAGCGGGACACCACCCTCCCGGACGGCACGTTCCTCCCCAAGACGTCCATCATCGTCTGGTCCCTGTGGGCCATGGGCCGGTCGCAATCGACCTGGGGCTCCGATGCGGACGACTTCAAGCCCGAGCGGTGGCTCGACGGCAACGACCGGCTGATCCAGCGGGGCTCCGGCGAGTTCCCCGTGTTCAACGGCGGGCCGCGCATGTGCCTCGGCAAGAAGATGGCCGAGGTGATCGCCGTGCAGTGCATCGCCAGCCTGGTGTGGATGTTTGACTTTGCGCCCGTCGACGACAGGGAGAGGGTGACCAAGACGAGCCTTACGCTGCCCATGGAGGGCGGTCTGCCTTGCTATGCGCGGAATAGAGCTGGGGGGTTGGTCGTCAGTGCGTAAAATGCATCATAGACTGTTAAGAGCTTTATGAGATCATGAAAATGTTTTAGATCTGGGACATGAATCAAGACCATCACGTTTACTGGTTTACTCTACTATCTGGAAGATACTACACCTCTCGTCGTCCTTGTGAACTGTCCAGTGGAGAAACTTGGGATCCCTGCCCAGCACCCAGTTGCCCTCGCGAACGAACTCGTCGTCTGGCTTCTCCTCCCCAAAAGTGTCCGTCGTCCACTGGTGGAACCGCTTCCCCGCCAGATCTCCCTCCAGGTCTCCAAAGCACCACCACGACGTCCCGAGGTAGCCGTCGTTCACACCCATCTTGAACCGTTCGCCCGGCCGGAGATCAGCCTTGGACAACGTCTCCTCGTGCCGGAAGATGCGCTCCCATCCGAGACGGTGCGTGGCGCGCGCCTCCGTCCCGTCCCCCGGCACGGTCAGGAACGTGAGCCCGCGCTCCCTCAGGTCGGCCGCGTCGCTCCTCATTATCTCGTTGACGCGGAAGAAGCCCAGAGATATCTTCCTGCCGGTGGCCTGGCCTTCCCCGTCCACGCCGCAGATGGTGCCGAATGCGCCGCGGGCAAACATGTCGACGCCTCCTTCATCGTCGCCAAAGACTTCAAAGGCCGAGCGGTGGACGGCGAAGGTGACGGGCTCGCCTTGGTGGTCCGGTGCTGCCTCTGCGATGCGGGCTGTCAGCGTCACGTCCAGAGTGGCGTTAGGGTCGCTGAGCGAGAGTGTCGGCGAGGTGGTCAGGGTCACCTCGAGGGTTGCGAGGGTGGTGGCCGCGTTGTATTTCCACTTGACGAACACCATTTTCGGGGCGATTATTGGAGGGAGGGAGGTGAAGAGAGAAAAGAAGAGGAATGAACATGAAGGAGGGGGACGAGTTACCTAGGTATATGTAGTCTACGGGCTTGGGATGGGTGCCTGGGAAGGTAGACTGTATGGATTGAAAATCCCGGTCGCCACGTGGACATGACATAACCGGAGAGAGGTGCCTCTCAGGTCATACGAATGAGGTTCACAGCTATTGACCACCTGAGATTGATCATCATTGTTTGCAAGAGGTATACAAGACGTTGGAGATTTAGGATGAGGGGGGAAAAAAGAACAAAAATCATCATCACTTTGGGGAATGATCACGATCTTAATTGATGAAAGGAGGCAAAAAGAAAAAGAGTAAAAAAAGAAACCGGTCCTTCAGGTCCTGCCCTCCACCTACAGGACGTATCCTATGCAGGTTTCGTCAGCTACAGCACCCCGCTTCCTCCTTTCGAAGGTTATTAATCGCAGAATTTGTTTGCGACTGCTCGACCTCGCCCAACCGGGGAGTTGAACTCCTGTTGCCGGGGGCAGGGGTCGAACAGACGTGTCTGAACTGGGGGAGTTAGGTTGGTGTTTTTGGATAGGCAACGAGTTGCTCATCCAGCTACACCATCTCCCCCCGTTGAAGACCAGAGGGGTCTAAACGGTCCTATAGGGCGTAGCTCACCTCCCTCTCACCTTGGAACGGCGAGGGGCCGTGCATCCGGGTATTCATCGGGGGCAACGGGCTGGGTGGACTAAAGCTGCTCCGGGTCCCGGCCACGATAGGAGACATATTTGAACCCGTGCATGATGAGGCCCTATCGGATACATGTATGGTAAGTGCGTCGATGGCGCGCCTTTGAATGTCACGAATCAAATCTGATGTTCCGAATCCCAAGCTGCGCAGTCTTAGCACCACATGCTCACGAACATGGAATACGAAATTCAGACGGGAGACCAACAAGACGATCCTGGACCAGCTTTCAGCTAAGGGTTCATTCGAAGCACCCGTTGGAGTGATCTTCTGTCCCGAGATAGGGCGTACAGTCGTTGTGAAGCTGCGGATATCAAATGACTAACCAGTAGCTTCACTGGGCCGACCAAGCCGTCACTCCAGGGCTCATGAATATGGGATCTTCAGAGATACTAAGTCCTGAGTGCATTGATTTCGATTCCCCGTGACGGAGAGGATATTAAATCAGCACTCGTGCTAATGAAGCCTCATATTAGCCCATATAGCTCTTGTTCGTGACCTTGGAAGGGACTTGATGAAACCAGCTAAATTGACACAACCTCTGATGTGAACCAACTTGACAACAACAACAATAACAGAAACGGGAAGGACAAGAGCTAATCAGGGATTCATTAAGAAGAATTCACTACCAACCCCTTGGTGACGAGTACATAGGTCTGCCTCTCCCGTACAGGTCCGCAGCGGATGTAGACACTGGTTCCGCGGAGAACTGTTCGGCACCTACGACTCATCGATGCCAAGCAGTACCTCTGTCGGGTCTGGGTGATGAAGACTACGTAGAGGTCCTAAATTCATATCAGGTATATCCTCGGAGGTTAGTCGTGTGATTCCCCATTGTTGAAAGCCACATCTCCGGTGGGTGCAACTTGCTGCAAGTCGGCGAGGACCTGTATCGATGGTAAGTACCGTCCAAGTCCGACAAGCAGCTGTAACTGAAAGGATCTCCCAAGAGACTTGTCATCACGAAGCTAACTCAAGCGATTACATGACTGAGTTAGCAAGCAGTAACACCAGGTCGGGTCTATCGTGTCGGTTGTGCTGTGAAGTCGAAGATGACTCAATTGGGGTTAGCTCTGGACTTGTTGTGGATTCAGGCCGGGCCCTGGCTGACAAGGGCCTAGCGGAGCCAAGTCAATACAAGTACTTGTACTAGGCAGTTACTGGGGGTCCGACGACGTCACGCTGGCCAATCTGATCCGCGCTGAAACATGTTAGCAAACACACCACCACACCCCAGTTCGTTCGATTTGGCTTTGGCGCTTCGAGATGGAGGCCTTTCACCCTCTGTCCGAATGGACGAGGCTCACAGTATGGGCTTTTCGCCTCTCGAGACCCTCAGAAGCGCTCCGAAACATTATCGAGGACAAGACAAGTCGTTCCGACCTCAGCAAGCGACACGACAGACAGACGTCGTCATCAATTGTTATCGATAAAGCTGCATACCCCGCATTTCGGGCGTGCACCTTGTGAGCTGTCGCGGCAGTTACTCCCCACTCAGACCCATCGGGCAGTCGTCTTTCAACATCACGAATGTCGAGGCCGAGAATGGACGCGATTGCGGCTGTCCAAGATGCAGGTACGGTTCGAAGCGGCTTCATGTCAGGGCAGCCCGTTCCAGTGCCCTGGAAATCGAAAACCTGCTGTGTTCTCGACCTGACCTGGGAGCTGGGCAGAGGAGAATGGGTGCGGTGCTAACTAACATAGCTCCCAAGAACCGAGCCCCCGTGAAGGATGTCTCGCTTGCTGGGAGCTCACAAATCAGATCGACACTCAACCACACAACCACACAACCACCTCATCATGGAGGGTGGCATCACCCCGCGAGCCCGCGTGATTCGCCCGGCTAACCCCCCTCCCTTTCGTCTCTCTCCATGCCTGCTTTCCTGCTTCAAACCCCCCTCCGCATTCTGCCGTTACTCCGGTGTCGTGTGCTGCATCCCCTCCAAGCAGCCCAAGCAGGATTGATTGCTACCGAATCCTAGCATCAATGTCGCTCGATGCGCTCGGGGCGCGAGGCATTCATTCCCACACTGGCCCGCACATATGGCCAAGCACTCCAAGGGGAGCATTTACATCATGTATGCTGCTAACTGCGCATCTGAGCACATGCCGCCAGCCGCCCTTGATGTATGCCCCTTGTAACATGCCAGCCAATCTGCCTTTTGGCGATACTCAGCAATGACTTAATACTCGCCTTTTCCCCCCCCTCGCTGGCTCGTCCATCCGGAGCGGCCCTGGCCAGCGGCTGTGCCTGAAATAGACTTGACTCAGACGCAGTCGGAGGGCGAAACCTTCCCAACAGCAAACATGCCATCCCCATCCATCCATTCGACCCCGCACGAACCAGCTAGTCCGCGTGGTGGTCGTGGTGGTCCTGCCTTGTTCTACCTCCGAGGGAATGTATCCCAGCGCGAACTGCTCAGAGGTATCGGTGTCGCACATGACGACCCTCCCTCCCTTTCATGTCCCTTTCATGCCTTTGCCCGAACCTACTTCTATGTCCTGGTCCCGGCCCTGCCCTTCTGCCGCTCTTACTTGTGAAGCTCTCCCGAGGACTCCCCTCAGAAGCATATGCACGCCTTTTAACTCGCGCATCGTTCCCTCCGTTCATCCATCCATTCAACCCGTCCCATAAATAAGGGTTATCCCTCCCCAACACTGCGCCAAACCTTGTGATCGACCATCTCCGCCTGGCTGATCAACAACGCGAACCAGTCTCGAACTAGCAGTGGCTGGTGTCTTGTCCGGATTACCTGGAATACCTGCCTGTCCTGCCTGCCAGCTTACAATAAAGCTTGGTTGCGCATGCGCTGCTTTCCGGCTTGCTGATTACCATCCTCGTCCTCCTTACTGCCTGCCAGCCTCCTAGTCCAGGCTCTGCTGCTTTGGCTCTGCTCTATCTGCCTTGTCTCGTTGCCGACTTGCACCAAAACACCCCCACCCGAGACCAGACTGCACTTGCACGAGTCGGATCGCGAAATCGACGAAGCTCTTACTCGGATTCCGCGCGCGATACGATTAATTACAGAATATCCGCGATTCAATTGGTAAGGCAATTCTCAAGCTTTCATACCTTGTATCGGGTCCGTATTATTCCCTGTTATCGCCGTTCTGGCCTATGAGAGAGCCTCCAATTGCGCGTGGTGCGGGCGTGGATGCGGGAAAACCGGCTCTCAGCCCATTCCGGCCCTCGGGTGGCCCGAGATTTCCCATCCACTTCCGGCTGGGTCCACATGCCCAGCGCAAAACACACCCAACCCTGAGAGCCTCATCAAAACGCACCATGCCGAGCAGACCCGGTTGGGGCTGGTTAATCATTGGCCCGCTCCCTGGCCACGTTGGGCAGGCCCCTGGCTTGTGGTGTCGAGAGCACCGTTCGGCTGAACGTATGGTTGTTAGCCGGGCAAGTTGCGATGACAACATCTCGTTCGGCTCAACCACGCCTACAGCCGATCGAGACCCTGGCCAGGCGTGGCCTGGGCTTATCGTATAATACGAACGTATCTCCTCGGAAATGACGCTGACTCTCTTCTACCTAGATAGCATCAGTGTCATTGCTCGCGGATCTTGACCCTGGCAGTCTATATCTGACAATTGGAACCTCCAGTTGCCAGTGACCTGTGTCTTGCCCAACCCTCATAGCTGCTCTCCCCTGTACCATGAGCAGCACTGTTAGACAAGCCGCCGAGGCAGCACGGTCTAAAACATCCGCCGAAGTCATGGGCACCGCCAAAAATGCACAGGCCGAGACGGCCGCCGTCGCCAACGACTTTCTGCACACGCCCTTCATGAGGGCCGCTCTGCCCTTCATCAACGGAGGCATAAGTGGTATGGTGGCCACCACGGTCATCCAGCCAGTGGACATGATCAAGGTCAGAATCCAGCTCGCCGGCGAGGGTGTGGCTGGCGGGCCCAAGCCGACACCTCTCTCCGTCACGCGCGAGATCCTCGCGAGCGGAAGGGCACTGGATCTCTACACTGGTCTGTCGGCCGGTCTGCTGAGACAGGCTGTCTACACCACGGCACGGCTGGGCTTCTTTGATACCTTTATGGGACGTCTCACTACCCGTGCCAAGGCCAAGGGTAACACCGTTGGATTTGGCGAGCGGGCTCTCGCCGGTCTCTCGGCCGGTGGTCTGGCCGCCATGATTGGCAACCCGGCCGATCTGGCCCTGATCCGGATGCAGAGCGACGGCCTCAAGCCCATCGCCGAGCGCAAGAACTACAAGTCCGTCATCGACGCCCTCAGCTCTATCGCCAAGAGCGAAGGCATCGGAGCCCTGTGGGCGGGAGCCGCCCCCACGGTTGTCCGCGCCATGGCGCTCAACTTTGGCCAGCTCGCCTTCTTCAGCGAGGCCAAGGCTCAGCTCAAGGACAAGACCAGCCTCTCCCAGCGGGCGCAGACGCTGAGCGCCAGCGCCATCGCGGGCTTCTTCGCCTCGTTCTTCTCCCTGCCCTTCGACTTTGTCAAGACGCGCCTGCAGAAGCAGCAGAAGGGCCCTGATGGCAAGCTGCCCTACAGCGGCATGGCCGACTGCTTCGCCAAGGTCACAAAGCAGGAGGGTATCATGCGCTTCTACCGAGGCTTTGGGACGTACTACGTCCGCATTGCGCCTCACGCGTAAGTAATCCCCCGTCCCTTTCCCCCGTGCTGCAGTTTTGCTGTTTTTGTTCTGTGGTGGATGGATTTCCTACTATTTCCTATCTGGGTTGGGGTACATAACCGAGGTTAGCCGTTGAAACTGACACTCTTTGCAGCATGGTGACGTTGATCGTTGCGGACTACCTTGGTTTTCTGACGAAGTAAGGCGATAAAAACCGGCCAATCGTACGACTTCGATCATGAACCTTTCGTTTTACACCATTGTTTCTTTTTCTCGTTGGATAAAAGACGAACGATGTCTTTTTTTGGGCGTTTGGTGGCATACAGATAACCATTGGCGGGACACACTTGTGTTCGAAGATGCGCGTGCTGCGAAGGCTTCTTTTTTTGCCTTAGCCAAAATCCTTATACCATATGAGCCATACACTTGTAGAGCTCAGAATAGTGACGATCAATCGGATCGTGCAATAAAGAGATTACTTCGAACATGTGGTCGCGATATGTCCCTCCGTAAGAATGCGTGGATTCCTGGCAATGAAGTTGAGCTATGGCCCACAGACGGGTGGACGCCAGCTGCCACGCCACAGGTGAGGACCCCAGTGCAAACAGGCTGGTCCGGGCGCTGAGCCCACTACGGATACCTACTGCGAGCAGGGATGCGTGCCCCTCCACCCCACGCGTCAGCCTCAATACGGTACCTAGCCTCTAGCCCACTTCACGCGCATGTTTCTTGAGCTCAAGAGGCGACGGGGCTAGTCGGAGGACTAAGAAAGACAAGTGTATGAATCAAGCTGCCTACTTATGAGGTAGCAACTCAAAGAGCGTCGCGACAACCCTTACAAACCGAAGAGCACGGCGGATGCTCCCGAGCTCCATCTTCCTGCGTTGCGCACCTGGATCGGACCCCTAGAAGATGTGACAATTGAGCAGACATGGATCCAGACTGGGCAGAAGTAAGCTTTTCGATCTCCCCCCGGACGCTGGACCTTCGCGTTTTGTTGTTTGGCAATGCGCCAGCCCATTGCACGATACCCAGCTACCCTTTCTCCCGTGCGATCCTTGGAGCTCAGGGAACGCCGAAGACCGAGCGAATGCTGATGTGTTGCTCTCAACATGTAGTTGGCCCGTGTCTTGCTTCCCCCTCCGGGGGGGACAAGCCTCCCGACCCCCGTCGCGATGGTCGCCTTTGACACGAATCAAGAACTGCTCTGGGCGGGCAACGAATTCGTACGTTTTTGACCCGCCGATATGTATCCCCGTGGAGAGTATGAGCCTAATCGTCAAGCGTGAACAGGGCCGTGTCAACTCGTTCTATGGCCCGGAACTCCAGCGCTACACTTCCTTCAAAGCGCACCCTTCCACCGATGGCCCCGTCCGACAGATCCTCTTCAACGACAAGGGCGTCATCGCTCTCGGTCCGAAGAATGTGCATATGGCATTGCGACGCGGTGTCCCGCTGTGGAATATCAGGTTCGTGCTTGCTGGTTGCAGTGTGTCCACTGCCGCGGGTCGGTCGACTGGTATACTGATTCGCATTGGACATAATCCAGGGACGAGGCAATGCAAGATATGCGATGCATGAGTTTCACATCCCGCGGCACGACCGAGATACTCGTCGCCGGCATGCAGGACACGATGTTCGTTATCGATCTGAACAAGCGCGAGATCACCAAGCGTGTATGTTTGGAATGACCCGGGTGCTTGGGTGAAGGATATACTAAGACTTCCAGCAGATACCCGCGCAGCATCGTTATACTATTATGAAGAACAACAGTCGGTACATTTGCGCTGCCACAGACGACGGCAATGTCGATATTCTAGACCCCATCAGCTTCAAGATCCTGAAGACGTGGAACGCACACTCGACCTTTATCAACGATATGGACGTGAGGGCCGACTTCATCGTGACCTGCGGCGCGTCGCTGAAGCAGCAAGCCGCCATGACCTACATGTTTGACCCTTACGTCAACGTGTTCGACCTCAAAAACATGACTTCCATGTCGCCTGTCGCATTCCCGCCCCTGGCCGCCTATGTCCGGATGCATCCGCGCATGGTGACGACTGCCATAGTCGTGTCCCAGCAAGGCCAGATGCATATCATCGACCTGATGAACCCCAACACCAGCAATGTCAGACAGGCAAACATACTGTCGTACGTCACGGGCATCGAAATTGCGCCCACGGGAGAAGCCCTCGCTATGGCCGATACCGAGTGTTCAATACACTTGTGGGGTTCTCCATCGCGGGTCCAGTTCACAGAGATCCCCGGACAGCTCGAGCTGCAGACCCACGACGAGATGGCGCAGCATATCGACTGGAACCCGGAGACGCCTCTCAACTCTGTTGGCATGCCCTTCTACAACGACACCCTGCTGTCGGTCTGGCCGACGACGATCAGCGACGTCGGCGCGCCGCCCGTCAAGTTCGACGGCACCTATCTTTCTACTCTGCAGAAGACCGAGTACGGCTTGTACGGGCGGTCGAACCCGCGCTACCGCCGCAACCAGGTCGAGAACACTCGCGATTCCGACAAGTCGGCGTCGATACAGGCGCCCAAGTTCCTGAGCGAGAAGAGCAGAGAGTCTGCTCACGCCCCGACGGGCAGTACGGCCTCGGGCAACGCCGAAGAGCTTGCCGATCCATTGGCGATCACCGAGTTGGAGAGTATGATGCCCGAGGCCCCGAGTATGTATCGGACTGTGGAGATCAAGTTCAGCAAGTTTGGCGTGGATGACTTTGATTTCGGGTAAGGAATAATCACACTGGCATCAGACGTCGGGCTTGACTAATATGAATCACTCTAGATTTTACAACAAGACTCGATACGCAGGTCTGGAGAACCACATCGCCAACTCGTATGCGAACTGCCTCCTGCAGGTGCTGCACTTCACGCCTCTGATTCGGAATCTCGCTCTCCAGCACGCCGCAAGCGCGTGCCTGCATCCTCAGTGTCTGTTGTGCGAGCTCGGCTACGTATTTGATATGCTGCAAAAGGCGGAAGGCTCGACCTGCCAGGCGACAAACATGCTCAAGATCCTGAGCAGCCACCAGCAGGCGAAGAGCCTCCGCCTGATCGAGGACGAGATCAAGAAGAATCCGCTGGGCGACATGATCCAACAGTTGACGCGGTTCCTGCTCGACCAGATCACGCGCGACTACCAGCGTATCCTCCCTGGCGCGCCCGAGATGGAGCAGGCCCTCGGGACCTCGTCTATCACGTCGATGAGGTGCACGAACTGCAGAACGGAGACTACGAGACGACAGCTGACCTATGTGAACGAGTTGAAATACCCTGCGGTATGTCTTTGTTTGACTATATCCACATGTGTACAGTTTGCTAATGCGCCAGAGGGACAGCAGCCGCAAAATCGCGGTGGTAAGGCCACCAAGATTACCTTCTCGCAGGTGCTCAAGTCGAGCATCGAGAAGGACGCGACCAACAAGGGGTGGTGCGGGCGGTGCCAACGGTACCAGAGCCTCTCGACGCGCAAGACGATCAACAGCCTGCCGTCGGTGCTGGTGCTCAACGCGTACTCGACGTCGCAGCCGCCCGAGTTCAAGCGCTGGTGGTCGACGCCCGGCTGGCTGCCCGAGGAGATTGGGATCATAGTGGACCCCTCGGGCCAGTTCTTCTGCTACGAGGGCGAAGACCTCAAGCTGCACCTGCAGCGCGGCGCGCACAACGTCATGGTGTACTCGCTCATCGGCATGGCGGCCAACATCGAGAGCGGCCACCCGCAGGCGCAGAAGTCGCACCTGGTCTCGCTGGTCAACGTCGCGCACGCCGAGCCCGCGGCCCCGGAGAACAGCAGCCAGTGGCACCTCTTCAACGACTTCCTCGTCCGCCCCGTGTCGAGCAAGGAGGCGCTGGGGTTCAACACCGCGTGGAAGACCCCTGCGGTCATTACGTTCCACCTCAAGTCTGCGAACAACAAGATCGACGCGGACTGGAAGAATCACCTGGACACGTCGGTGCTGTATATGGATACCAAGTAAGTCTCATTCATTCTCTAATTCTCCGGCACCATGCCAGCTTGCGACAGCTTCCAGCTAACACACACATCTCTCTCAAGACCTGACTCGGAGGATAAGACCTACCGGGTCTATGACCAGCAGACGGAGCGACCTGGTCCAGACACGATCATCGCGCTCGACACCGAGTTCGTGGCCATCAGACAGCCAGAGATCGAGATGAACTCGGACGGTATTAGAGAGACCATCCGGCCCATGACGCATGCACTAGCCCGCGTCTCGGTGGTGCGGGGCCAGGGCGAGGACGAAGGGCTGCCGTTCATCGACGACTACATCATCATCCAGGAGCCGATCGTGGACTACCTGACGACCTTCTCGGGGATCACGCAGGGCGACCTGGACCCGCGGTCGTCGCGGCACAACCTGGTGCCGCTCAAGACGGCGTACAAGAAGCTCTGGGTGCTGCTGAACCTGGGCTGCCGGTTCCTGGGCCACGGGCTCAAGCAGGACTTCCGCGTCATCAACATCCAGGTGCCGCGGGCGCAGGTCGTCGACACGATCGACCTCTTCTTCCTGCGGGCGCGGCTGCGGCGGCTCTCGCTGGCGTTCCTGGCGTGGTACCTGCTGCGCGAGGACATCCAGCTCGACACGCACGACTCGATCGAGGACGCGCGCACGGCGCTCAAGCTGTACCGCAAGTACCTCGAGTTCGAGGACGCCGGGATCCTCGAGGCGATGCTGCAGGACATCTACCGGGCGGGCCGGGACACGGGGTTCAAGCCCCCGCGCCGGGAGGAGGGCCCGCCCGTCGTCCGGACGGAGACGCCGCCCATCCCCATCGAGGGGCTGGCGGGCCCGTCGACGCCGTCGAGGTTCGGGCCCCCGCCGGCGCAGCAGCAGACGCCACAGCAGCAGCAGCAGACGCCCAGTGGCGGTGGCGGTGGCGGTGGCGGTGGCGGTGGCGGTGGCGGTGGCGGGTTCGGGGCGCAGGTGCACCAGGGGTGGACGCCGGGGAAGGGGTCCCCGCTTAGGTAGCGCCTCCGGCTCTCGTTGTACCGGCGGCTCTGTGGGGTGGTCAGGGAAGGGGAAGGGGAAGGGGGGAAGGAAGGGCAGCGGCGGGTTGTGGAGAGGACGGAGGAGCAGGATATGGGAGGGCGGAGCATGGGTGTGGACTACGGCTACGGCTGCACTGATGAAGGTGCGTTACATGGCGCTTTGCAAAGTGTGGTTTCCCGGGTGTCGGAGGCATTGGATGGTGGTCTGTCAGCTGGGCCTATGGACTCTTGGTCTGATCAGAGCGTTGAGCGATTGATTGCTTGGGGAGGGAGGGCAGAGGGTTGTTGGAGTTGTTGATATCTAGCAATAAGGGGTAGTGTATCAACTCTACATGCCTTAGGTACATGTATGGTAGTAGCGAAATGCATTACATGCAGCGAGCGTATAAGGACAGGCACAACGGCTTGACATGTGCATGTCGGTTTAAACCTAGCACGGTGAGAATGATTTGAGATCAGATCGGATCCAGAACTCGATGGACCTCGGACCGGTCAGAAGGGTTTGGTCGGCCGTGGTTCGGCGGCAGGGGGGGGGGCGCTGCTGTGTGCGCTGTAGCCAATCAGTAAAGGCCCGTATTTTGCCGGTAAAGGTTATTGTTCTGGGAGGGTGTGGGAGCTGGAGCGATGATGGGAGCCAGTGGGATTCCAGAGCTTCTGGAGCTGGAGTTACGCTGGAGCATTAACTAATTAGCCTTGGTGGGAAATGCTTAATTGACGACGATCTGGACCACACTGTCACTCAGTCAGGTCGGGCTGGGTGGTGGAGCCTCTTCTTTCTTCGACTTCTCCAGTCCTTCAACTAAAAATCCAGACGAGTAATGGGACTACGGCTAGTGGCTGGCCTCTGTGGGTTGAACTAGCTGCTGGCAGGGCATGGGGGGTGGAATCTGTTCTTCTTCTTCAAGTCGAATCTATTCCATCGTGGCTCCTCACTCACTTATCTTTCACCTTTCTCCACGTCCGACTCCGACTCCGGTCCTCGGTGCAGCAAACACCACCACAACAACAGCAGCGATTCGCGGGCACGGCCTGCAGCAGCGTTGAGCTTCGGTCCTTTTGGGGAAACACAAAGGCTCCGGGGCTAGACTTGCACTTCTCTACAGCGCGGAACTGTGCAAGACCAGTCCAGTGCAGTCCATGCATGTGCTTATTGGCGACTACGTGCATGCATATACCATCCTCCAAGTTCAACAAAGCTGCGCGCTCTAGTTTGCAGGCAGACATCCCAAACGGAACCGGATACTGCAATCGCAACACCTTGCTGGCAGATAAAAAAAAACCAACACCCCCGAGACGTCAATCGCTACTCTTACACGAATCAATTGCCCCCTCTCCCAGTAATCACAAAGCGCCCACTGTCTCGACCCGACGACTTTGACAGCCAGTCTCCTGCGTGCGTGCATGGGATTCGCCTGGCCACAGGTCCTCGATAAACGCATCATAGCGGAGTCATAACTACAGAGCGAACGCTTCCCAGATTGGGCTGGAGAAAAAGGCCCGACAGGATCTGGGATTGGGCAGGGAGCAAGACAAGGACTGGAGCAAGCCTGTTGCACCGCATAAGCCTGCTGCCACACAACCGAAGGCGAGACGAGACGAGTGGCAGAGCGTGTGTGAGCGAGCCAGCGAGCGAGTGAGGGGGGGGAAAATACGGCAATAAAAAAATAAGTAAGCAAGCATGGGCAAGGATAGAAGCAGCAGAGAGGGCGGCGACGCCTCGTCCTCGGCCAGCCAATCAAAACGACCTGGCATCAACCACCAGGACAGCGACTCTCAGGTCAGCGATCAGGCCTCTCAGCACGGCGGAGGCAGTCACCACACCGGCTTGCACCGCACCAAGCCCCAGAAACACATTGTCGGCGGAGGCGGCGCCGGACGACTACACGCCCGCGTGCCCTCCTCCAAGGCCCTCTACAAACAACACCACCCGGCGGCCCTGGCCGCCGCCGCAGCATCCTCGACCAAGCAGCAGCAGCGCCGGCAGCCCTCGCCCGACCCGACCGAGCACGACGACGGCCAATTGCCCTGGGTCCAGCCGACGCACCGCCGCGCCACCTCGGAGGTGAAGCTGTCGCGCGAGTCCTCCACGACCAACCTGATCAAGAAGAACGCGTCCCACTCGAGCCTGATCAAGCGGAACAGGTCGCACATCGACGTGGGCAAGCGCAACAAGTCGTCGGGCCAGCTCAAGCGCTCGCTGTCCAACCCGGGCGTCGACAAGCTCAAGGCCGCCATCGCGAGCGGCGGCAACAGCAGTAGCCATAATACCAAGAACGAAAAGACCCAGGTACACTTCGACCTGGGCAACGACGATCAAGAGGACGAGTGGGTGGACGCTAGCACCTCGGCCTCGCCGTACCTGTCGCGGCGCACATCGGTAGCCGGCAGCGGGCAGTCGTCCGCCAGGCAGCCCGCCAGCCCCGAGGACTCGAGGCCGCAGAGCCTGTCGTCGTCCATACACCACAGAGACAAGGGCAAAGACGTGGCTTCTTCCTCCTCGGCCGGGACGGTCGCGTCCAGCGCGCCCGACCGGGCCACGGTCCAGCACAAGATCAACCTTACATCGAGACTACTGCAGAGAACGCCTTCGACCGGCGCGCCGCCCATGATGTCCAGCGAGACGGCGTCTGCGTCGGCGAGGCCGCCGCCTGCGCACCAGCCGCGGGAGCAGTCGCCCGACTCGGGCCTCAGCCGGCAGTCGACGTCGACGCTGTCGGGCACGCCGCAGACGCCCGGCCAGAACCTGCCCGGCGCCGGCGCCGGCGGCGCCAGCGCCAAGGACGACATGACGTCGCGCTTCGTGACTAACAGCCAGGGCGTGGGGTCGGCGGCTACGGGATCCAGCTCGTTCTACAACGCGTCGCGGGGGAGCTCGTCTCGTCCCGGCTCGGGCATCAGGGAGGAAGAGGAGGGCCTCAAGAGGCCGCGGTCTATGGGGGCGCTGTCTCTGGCCGGCCCGGCCACCGCGCGCTCGATGGCGGCGCAGAGGGAAGACGAGGACCACTGGACGGACGAGGACGGCCGCGCGGATAGCAGATCGCCGGCGGGAGAAGGAGGAGGAGGAGGCAGGGCCCGGCGGGCGGGAGCGTACGTGGTGCCCCCCGCGGCCGACACGCGCGTCCAGCAGAAGCTGGACCTGCAGCGGGCGAGCTCGACCATCGAGCCGAGCCACCGGCACCACCAGGGCGCCGGGGTCGCGGCCGGCGCGCTGATCGGCGGGGCCGGCTACGACACGCGCGACCCGCGCATCGGCAAGCTGCTCGAGCGCACGGGCATGGAGTACCTCGTCGTCCGGCGGTACCAGAACCCCGTCGCCCGCAGCATCGCCCGCCTGTCGCAGCTGCCCGGTGCGGACAAGAACAGGCGCATCCCCAACGGCGGCACCGGCGGCGGCGGCGGCGGCGGTGGTACGCCGAGCCGGTCTGGCGCCGGTGGCGGTGGCGGTGGTGGTGCAGCAGGGCATGCTAAGCGCGTGTCCGAGTACGGCGGCGGCCGGTTCGGCCTGAGCCAGAGCTTCCGCGATGAGCAGGCGAGGCAGCAGCAGCAGCGGCCGAGCAGCGCTGCTGGGCCCGGTCACGGTGCGGCCGTCGGCAATGCGAAGAGGCCCGTGACGCCCAAGCGCGCGACGTCGTACGCGCGGCCCAACGGGGCTGGGCCGTCGGGCGAGGCGGCCGGCGGCGGCGGCGGCGGTGGTGGTGGTGGCGGCGCGCTGAGCGGGTCGAGCCTGGTGGACGGCGAGGACGACGACGGCACGGTGGCGCTGCTGCGCAACCTGTGGGAGAAGAACTTGGACCTGAGCGCCAGCCAGGAGTAGGGGGACTGGCTGGGAGATTTGTGTTGGTGGTGGTGGTGGCGGTGGTGGTGGTGTTGGTCAGGATGGAGGGAGGTGATTGCCTCCAGTGATAGTAGCAGCGAGGATGGGATTCTCATGTATCTCGCTTGTGGGAAGGAGAATGGGAGGCCTTTGCGAGGACAAGTTGGAGGAGGAGTCGTTGGAGAGAAGGGTCTTGCTGGCCCTGGAGGTTCTTGCTTTTTTTTTCCCTTAAGTGGGTTTGCATGTCCTGGTGATCATGGATGCATACACATGGCACATGGGAGTGGTGTTTGATTTCAATGTATTGACTGTCTAGCTGCATCCTCTGGGATCTGGATGGAAGCGGAAGCGATGAGATTGCTGTTATTGTTGTTATTGTTGCTGTTGGTCTTCCGAGGGAACGATTCTTGTGCCCAGCGATACATTTTAGAGGTCTGCTGCTCTGGTCTAGAAGGCCATGAATACTGATGTTCATATGCTGCTTCACTCGGGACAATCTCTTTCTGTGTGATTCCTGCTCGATGCTACCTGGGTAGTTATCTCTCCAACAGAGCGTTGGAGGCAAGCGGGGCCGGCAGAATAGTTGCCGGAAGTGCATATTGAAATCCGGGGGTGGGATATCGATAAGGAGCCTGATAAGGGTGACTAAGCCCAAGTTTTACTGGTCCCTCCCTCTTCGACTTCAAGACTGGACGGCCCAGCTTTGGCCCATTCTCTCAACGGGCTTCTTTTCTTCCATTCACACCCGCCCATTCCATCTTGTTCCCTGATTTTCGAGGCTTGACTTTGTCCCCAGCAGTCCAAAATCCCACAATCCAAAGTTCACATTGCGATACCATCCGGCACCATGAGTACCGCCCAGCTGGAGGAGGAAAAGAGCCTGTTCCAGGAACAGGTAAGTTGCAACGAGAGCACACGCGACAGACACCTCCATCATCGTCCGTCTCGCACTCGCTGACTGTTGTCCCCCCCCTCTCCCCCAAACAGCTCGACATCGTCATCTCCTCCCTCCGCGATGACCCGGGAAACGCAGAGCTCGTCGCCCTCAAGGACGAGCTGGAGACGGGCATCCAGATGCTCGACGAGTCCATCGCCGAGCTCCAGCCCAGGGCCGCCGCCCCGGCACCGCCGAGACAGGCCAGCCCGCCCCCGCCGCCCAAGGAGAAGTGGTCGCGCGAGAACCACCCGGCCTTCAGGAAAGACGCCCCCGCCTCTGCTTCAGAGGAGAAGGAGCAGGAGAGCGCCGCCGCGGCGGCGCCCGCGAGCTACCACGTCAACGACACCGTCCTGGCCAAGTGGCTCTCGGGCGACCGGGGCTTCTACCCGGCGCGCATCACCTCCGTCACCGGCTCCTCCGCGGCGCCCATGTACACCGTCAAGTTCAAGAGCTACGACACGGTCGAGACGCTGCGGGCCAGGGACATCCGGCCCGTCGTGCAGAAGCGCAAGGCCGACGGCACGCCCGTCGGAGCCGGCTCCGGCTCCGCCATCTCCTCGGCGCCCCAGAGCGGCACTGCCTCCCCCGCGCCCCTGGCACCCACCTCCGGCGACAGCGGCAGCGGCGGCGGCAGCACGAACAACGGCGTCGTCCTGTCGGCCGCCGCGAGCCTGTACCCGGAGGCCCAGCAGCAGCTGGCCGCCCAGCAGGCCGAGAAGGAGGCCCCGCCGCCCAAGAAGTTCAAGAAGATCAAGGCCAACAAGGAGCTCGAGGCCGGCAAGAACAAGTGGCAGGACTTCAACAACAAGTCCAAGTTTGGCAAGGCGCACAAGAAGGACAGCATGTTCCGTACGCCCGAGGGCGTTCGCGGTAGAGGTATGAATTTCCTTTTCTTTTTTTCCCCCTTCTTTCTGCCCCCCCTCCTCCCGACTTGAGTGAGGTCTCGAAGATGTGGACAAACAAATGGCTAACCTTTTCTTGACGTGTTCGTTTATCTAGTTGGATTCACCGGTTCGGGACAGGCTATGCGCAAGGACCCCACGCGCAGCCGCCACATCTACCAGACCAATGATGACCAGGACTGAATCGTGACTGATCGTTGTTGCACAAAATCTAGGGCCCCTCGCGATTGTGGCTTACTTTCGCGGCTCAATATTCGCCTCCCCTCCCCAACGAAAACGCCGTTTTTCACGCTGGCCTTTGCGCAAACAAAAAGGCGGCGGGCCGGTTAGGCGGGGGGCGGGACACACAAGGCATTTCTTCTCATGGCGCATATCAGGGGGCGCGGGCTCGACGGCGTTTCTCGGAAAGCGTTTGGTTTCATTTTCTCCTCCTTTTTCCTCGCTTTTCTCTCTCCCGCTGCCATGGAAACAGATGCTAATGGCCCAGTGTGGTTCTCGTCGCGACGAAAACGAGATGGCGAAAAGGCCGTCGTTCTCGTCCTTTTGGTGGCATAGCATTCTAGTCAGTCGGGTCTCGGGTGGCGTCACTCGTTGCCAACAAGAGCCATTGAACAAAAGTATCGAGATCAATTACATTAAAGATACCCCGTATAATCAGCTCCTCCCTAAATCTTGCCGAATAATATGTGTTGCAGTAATCGGGAATATTGCTTTGGTATTGCAAATGCCCACATGAAGCAATCAATGATGATCAGAGCATCTCTATAAATGTATCAAAACATAGGCAACAATGTGCCTAGCTCTCTCAAGACAAAATGCGGAGAAAAAAAAGAATGAATCTAGGTATAGCCCGTCCATATATGCTCCCGGCACTCTCTCGCTCCGGCCGGTTGAAAAAAGGGGCCTGCGAGCTTCGCCATATAACGCCCCTGAAATCAGTCCCAATCACCTTCGACCAAGCTCTTTTGTCCTGTGATCCCAAAAGACAGTCACTCGACTCACTCGCCTCACGACGATCTGACGCCCTCCGCACCGCCCTTTCCTCTCCCCGTCCTCCCGCGCTCCGTAGGCGCACCACCTCCCCTGCCTCCCCTCGATCCGCCGCCTGGCCCCCCTCCTCCTCCACGAGCAGCAGGAGCCTTGCCACCGCCGCGGTTCCCCTTCCGACCCCGCCCGCCGCTCTTCTCTTTGTTGTTTCCGCCCCCGGCCCCGCCGCCGGCGTTTCCCTTGCCAGCCGCCGCCGCAGCAGCTGCCGCGATCGCCGCCCGGCGCGCCTCCTCCTCCTGCGTCCGCCGGCTCTCCTGGTCCCACCACTCCTGGAAGGCCTGCTCCTGCTGGATCTCGTGCAGGCTGCGCTTGGCCACGGCCTCGCGGACGCTCTCCTGCTCGCGCTTCTGCTGGCCGATGATGTCGGCCATGCTGACGCCCAGCACGGGCTCCGCCTTGGGCGCGGGCTCCATGTACGACTTGGAGTGCGGAACGAGCGGCTGCTGCTGCCGCTGCTGCTGCTTGGAAGACGACGAAGACGCAGGCGGGGGCGTGTTCTTCGCGTTTGGCGTCCGCGATTGCCCTGCGAAGCGGGTGTCTGGAGAAGCCGTGCGCCGCGGGATGGACCGCGTCGACGGGGACGACTCGGCTGCGACGAGGGGTTTCGCTCCAATGGGGGCACGGGCCGATGGCTTCGCCTCGTCAGACACGGTGATGAGCGGAGAGGCCCGCGGGACGGACACGGCCTTCCACGGTCCCGGGCGAGACTTGGGCGTCGTCGTCGTCTCCCACGCCGGTTTGTTCTGTGCGTGGGCCGCCTCCTCGGCAGCCAGCGCCGCCTGCTGCTGCTGTTGCTTCTTGCGCTCCTTCTGCGACATCTTTGACGGCGGCGTGGCCTTGGCCGCGGCCGCCGCGTCCCTGGCCTTCTGCGAGGCGAGCCCAGCGGACAGGGCGGAGCGGCTTGGCGTGGACTCCGACAGGATCTCCTTGAGATCCAGCTTCTCGGTCTGCAGATGCGCCGGGCCCCAGGGGTTGCCGAGTCGGCCGGAGGGGCTTGCCTCCGCCGAGAGCTTGGACGGCGTCATGGTCGGCCGCACGGGCCGTAGGAGCGGGGAGACGGAGGCCGGCGACTCGGCAGACTGCAGGACGCTCTTCCCCTTGCCATCTGGTAGCGAGCCCAAGCGGTCGAGTGGCGTGCCGGGCACCTGCTGGTCGTCTGCCGGAGTAAGCTTCGGCGTCATGCCGGCGAGAGGGCTGCTCAGGCCCGAGGACACCTCATCGTCCATGTCAAACATGAGGTCGGCCTGCGAAGCCTTCGGTCGCAGCGATGGGCTAAACGGCTCATTGCGCCCGGCCTTGGACTTTCTCCTCGCCCGGTCCGAGGAGGGCGACGCGGCCAGGGCGGACTCGTCTAGGCTGCCAAACTTGGCCTTGAACGACGATGAGAGCTTCCTGTCGTCGTCCTTCTCCCGTGCGCGATAGGCGAGCTCCTTGACACGAATCTGCCTCTCCTCGTCAATGTCCTGCGCGAGTTCGGGGTAGCGCTCGAGCAGCTCGACCTCTGCCCTGCCGCTCCTCGCAAACGGCATCTGCGCCAGCTGGTTGTCCCGCACGACTTCGTCCAGCTCCAGGAGCAGATCCTCGTCGAGATCGTCTAGGAGGTGGTTCTCCAGCATCGTCTCCATCTGCAGGCAGATGTACTCGAGGCCGGCGTCGCGGAACTCGGTCACCGCGCAAGGGCTGATGGCGTTGAGCAGGTGCGAGATGTTGCGCGAATTGGCAAAGCGGCCAATGACCTGCTGGCAGATCTGCGACAGGCGGTCGAGCATCAGCTCGTTGGCGATACTCATGACGTCCATAACGAGGTCGGAGAAATCCTCGAAACTAGCTGACACGACGTGGTCGAACAGATCCGCGCCAACATCAGCGTAAAGGTGTCGCAAGACATAACGGAAGGCGGCAGGATCCATGTGGCTTAGATCAAGTTTGACCTTCTCCGATTCCTCAGCCTCGCGCCGGCCAGCCAGCCATATGCCACGGGATCGACCGTTGAAGAGACCCTCGAACCATGGGCATCGCTGGCAGAGGAATGTACTGTGGACGCTGACCTCCCGTCCATCCAGCTCTAGGATCGCATCTCCGTCCTCAAAGAAACGGCGGTCATTGAAGGCGCGGTCGAAGTCCCGATCCATCGATTTCTTGGGCTCAATCTGCAAGCGAACCGCAGACTCAAGCTGAGGCATGTCCAGGCGCAGGGCTATTTTCATCAGCTCCGTCCGGATTTGACGATAACGGTAGGCCAAAGGAGGTGCCTGTCGCGTGTAGTTCCAAGCAGGGATGACCCTGTCCGTGTACATGTAGAGTACCAAGTTGAGTACACTGATCAGATCCAGCCCCTTGAACGTGATGACGGTCTTGCCGTCTGCCTGGTCAATAGCAAGGACATCAGAGACAGCCTCTGGCAGTTCGCGTGAACTTTTCTTTCTGTGGGCGAACAGTGCAGCTCTGAGGGCAGGGCTTCTTGCAGACAATACCCAACTATGGACTGGGACCTGCAACTCTGGGGCGATGGAGCTGCAGACAACAGTGCCGAGTTCGTCGTTTCTGTATCGCCAATCCACCAGGAATTGCTCCAAATCTTTGTCTAGGTCCGGGGACTTGAGCACCTCGTAAGCCACGGAGCCCAACTTTTCTCTCAGGACATCAGCATCCCAAAACTTCAGATGGTCCTGGTCTTTGCTCGAAGGCTCGCTAGCGACAAAGTCCTCGATAGGAAGAAGTGGCGCAACATCATCCCACAATGTCTGATCATCGATGGTAATCTGCTCCTTCATCACGCCCACGTCCCTGCGGATCGCAGCGAAGGCGCCAAAGACGGAGCTCCGGACGGTCACGACCTTGGTGATATAAGGGACACGCTGAAACTTGTAGTCCTTGCTCTTGAAGTCTTTGGAGCCTGAGACGTGCGAATCTTTGGCCTTGGCACGCTTCACTCGTCTCCAGACAGCGCCAGATTGTGTGCTGATGATGACGGAGCCGTGCTCTCCGACGTCAACAGACCGGACGCCATCTTTCCTCGAGTTCCAAATGCACTGCGGCTGGGTGACCGCACCCTTGATCTTGGACGGGTTCGTCGTCGACGTTGCCGAAGTGTTCGCATCAGCGTTGTGGTTCAAGTGCATAGTGAACAAATCACCTCTGCCACCGACCGCAGCGATAGTCTCTCCGCCAGACGCTATGTAGTTGATGCGGCCGCGTCCTGGGTCGAACCGTGCCGGAAACGAGCTGCCAGACAACCGCAGGTTCGGCATGGGATCTGAGACGGGGAACTTGACAATGTTGTAGCCAAAAGCTGTGAAGACGCAGACAGTGTGATTGGCGAGGAGACACGTCGTAGCTTTGTCGATTGCGCTGACCATGACGATCGGACAAGGGAACAGAGATGCGGCGACCTTTCTTGGCGTTTGCTGCACCTCGAGCGAGCGCGAATCAGCATCCATCAGGGCCAGCTGGCCAACGTTTTTGCCCCAGCAGTACAGCGAGGTTTCTGTATGCGCGACGGAGTGTATCGCAGAGGCAGCAGCACCGATGATGGCCTCATTCTTGAGCGTGCCAAACACCTTGCGCGGTGTCGTGCTCATGGGGTCCTCATCCGCCTTGGCCGGAGGTGGCAGTGCGTAGCCCAACTGAGAACTCGTGTTGGAGCCCCAAGTCCACAGCTCGCCACCATCAGTGACAGCCATAGTGTGGTTCTGGCCCAGAGCGACCTTGACAACCTTCCTGTCTGCAAGACCGCCCTGGACAGGCGTGAATGTGAATCGCGTGTTCTCATCGCCGAGACCAAGTCTTCCTCCACGACCTACGCCACAGACATACAGGTTGGAGACAGGATCCGTGGTGAGTACGGCGCTGTGTAACTTGGACAGTACGACATCATGGATGTCCAGAGGCCGGCCGTGCACCAGAGCTGGAATCGACTCGAGCTTCTGCGGACCGCTAGGGCCCTCGACACCGGACTCCTCCAGCCACTCCTCGTAGAATCGCTGGACTAGATGGTCCGGGCGCTTCAAATAGACGCGCTCCGGATACTGGCGGTCATCCTGATCACCCAGGCCGAGCGAGATGTTCTTGTTGCTTCCAAAAGTGAACAGCTCGTCGCCGTCGATCAGAGCTTGGAGATCGCCCGAGTTCCTGCAGCGGATTTCTTGTCAGATCCAACTTTTTGACTCGACAAACTAAGAACAGCACGAGGCAAGCAAGACAGGACTGCTGCAACCAAGCAACGCAGCAAAGAGGGAGAGTTCCACACTAACATCGCATCGACAACAGCCTCCTCCGCCTCGCTCACGGACCCCTCCTCGTCCGAGTCTGCCGCGAGGTCGTCGAGGACGTTCAGCGCCCTCTCCCCGATCGTCGAATTATACAAGTCGAACGGGCTGTTCCCTTCGTGGTCCTTGGTCTTGATCAGCCTCCCCACAACCACCTTCCCACTCCCGCTCACGCTCGTCAGCAGGTCCCGCCTTTCCTTCTCCAGCAAGAGGCGTGCCACCGAGACATTTCCCGCGTACAACGCCCGATGCAGCGCATTCCACCCGCTCTCCGGGTCCTGCGCATACAGGTCGACCGCAGGGTGGTCCAGCAGCGCGCGCACAAAGGAGAGCGCATGGCCGCCCGCCGAGCTGGCGGCGCGCAAGAGCAGCGTCAGCCCGGCGCGGTCCCGCGCATTCACCTCAGCCTTGCCCAGCGCGCCACCGGCGCCGGCGCCCTGCTTCCCGAAGTGGTGGCCCGATATCTTGCGCCCGCCGGCCCTGCTACCGCCGGCGCCACCTCCGGCCCCTCCGCCCGCCCCGGCGCTGCGCGGCGATGTTCCAAAGGCCGCGCCGCCGGGGGTGGTGAAGCTGCTCGGCCCTCCTGCTGCTGCGCCTACTGGGGCGAGGAGACGGCGGAAGCGGTCGACATCGTCTTCCCAGTAGTATTTCCAGAGTAGGTGACTCATTAGCCGGGGAGAGGCTGCGGGTTATCGAGGGCAGGGTGTCGGATGGGTTCCCTCGAGGTCCTCCGCGCTTCTAAGGGGAGAATCGCACCTCGCTGTGAGTCTCGGAGGACCACGGCGTATTTAAAGGTGCGGGTAGTAGAAGCGCAGGGAGACCTTCCCGTTGCGAGGATGGAAAGCAATGGATTTCCGTACGATGCGCTCGTCTATGGTCGCGGTGGTAGGCAGAAATGTGTCTTTTTTTCGTGGGTGTTAGGGCTGTTCTTTGGGAGGGAAGGTTCGAGATAAGTCGCCACCACCGAGGTTGGAGATAAGCTATTCGGACTTTATATGAGGATGACTGACGGGTACAATTTCGGCCGGACGAATCGGTCGTGCAGAGCAAGACTTCGGACTGCGTAGAATAGTCGAGAGATGTGGGAGGAGAGTAGAGGATATAGACGCGACAGAGGGGGGGATACGTAATGAGGATACAATGCGATGTGGTTAGGAGTGCCCAGGCGTTGATTTGGTGGTGGGGGGTTTATCGATTAGAGAGGGTAGTTAATCCCTGTTCTGGCGCACATGAAGCTATTATTTGGTCGAGTCACTCTGGCGTGTCTAGTCGAGATTCCCCGGAGCTTACTTTCCAGCTACATCCAATCAGAGCCCGTGGCCCCTGCGTGTGCCCGATCTGTGGTTTATCGCCCGTCGTCGTGGAATGCGACACGCTCTGGCTCCAAAATACACGCTTTCCGGCTGTCACACGTCCAAGCCAAATGCGGAGAGCCGGGCTGTGCTTGTCCTCTTGTCCTCTTGTCCTCTCCTCGTGGGCCATCCCGGGCCCCTTAACGATGCGCTTTCTCACGTCCCGGAATGAGGGGTAATATTCACATCACAATACCGTATCACAGAGCCGTGATAAAGTATATTGTTACCGACGCATCCGCGTCACGAAGGGCACAGCTAGCCATGGATTGATGATCCTTGGTATTGGCTTGCGTCTGTTCTTGCACTCAGCCTAGTCAGTAGCTCATCCCAGGCTGTATTAAAATGTCTATATTAGGGCGAGCTGTAAGTGATATATTCATCCGGGTGTAAGACAAATGAGTGTTGATGTGACTCTATACGGATGCACTTTTTGACTAGCAAATCTGACCGAGTCTTGAACATATCCATAGTGAACCGATTGACAGACACATGGAAACAACGAAAATGCCATTGCAAGGAACAGTGGTAGAAGCAACGGTAGATGATATCCAGCCTACAAGTGCAGTTACTCTCCATGTCTAGCTAGGTGCACGTCACCCAAAAGTCAAGGATGACGTGTGATGAGATGCTTTTACAATCCTATAGACTCTCGACTTATCTACAAACTATCTCTATACTCTCTCAATACAGTGACTATGCGCCACATGTGTTGTATGACCGACAGCTCACGGTGGTAAGCAGCGGTATAACACGAATATCTGGGCTGTGGCCAATCAGCTCTTTGCTAGCCCGTGCAACCTCCGCCCCAGACGTCGTTGGCTGACTTGAGCAGACTACCACCATCCTCTTACACACAATCCTCATCCGGCTCACAGGCACTTCACACACACAGATTTCATTCTATCTGGTCTTGTGTTCTCTTATTCGAATTGTGTTGCAGAACGTCCCTCTTCGTTCTTCTGCACACCACCGCAAGCTTGTGCTTACGCAACCCTCTCTCTCTCAAACTATTACTATTCCATCGCAGCCATGGCGGCGGAACAGCCGGACGGCCAGCCCCTGATCAACGACAACCCGAAGCTCCAGACCTACTACTCCTCCCTAGAGTCGAGGATCGGCTACCGCATCTTCCTCGGCGGCACCCGGCACTTCGGCTACTACGAGCGCGACACCTACTGGCCCTTCCCCATCGGCCGCGCCCTCCGCAGGATGGAGGACAAGCTCGCCGAGCTGCTCGCCCTGCCCCGCGGCGCCGAGCTCCTCGACGCCGGCTGCGGCGTCGGCCACGTCGCCCTGCGCCTGGCCGGCAAGTTCGGCCACCGCGTGCGGGCCATCGACGTCACGGACCACCACGTCGCCAAGGCGCAGCGCAACGTGTCGTCGCGCTGCTCCTCCAGCCCGGGCCAGGTCTCGGTCCGCAAGATGGACTACCACCACCTCGAGACGCTGCCGGCGGGCTCCCTCGACGGGGCCTACACGATGGAGACCCTCGTGCACGCCACGGACCCGCGGGCCGTCCTGGCGGGCTTCCACCGCGTCCTACGGCCCGGCGGGCGCCTCGCGCTCTTCGAGTACGACCACGACCTGGCCGCCGAGGGCTCCCCGGAGGAGGGAGAGGAGGAGGCCCTGGCCCGGTCGATGCGCGCCATCAACGACTACGCCGCCATGCCGACCAACGAGCTGTCGCACCCGGGCGTCTTCGCGCAGATGCTCGCCGAGGCCGGGTTCGAGGACGTCGTCGTGCGCGACTACTCGGAGCGCATCAGGCCCATGGCGAGGCTGTTCTGCGCCGTCGCCTACGTCCCCTGGCTGGTGGTCTCGCTGTTTGGCCTGGAGCGGTACTTCATCAACACGGTGGCTGGCGTCGAGTCTTACCGTGGACGGGACCGGTGGAGATATGTGGCTATCACGGCGACGAAACCTGGGGGACCGTTGGAGGTAGCGAAGACTCGTTGAGTATTGGCGACATGGGTGTCGAACCTGTGGTGCAGCATCCAGGACGAGTTCAGGAATGGTACTGTGAAATTGTCTCGGTACTAGAGTGTCTTCTTGAAACAAAGCAAATAGAAACGCTTCAAAGGCTGATTAGACCAAGGCGGTGGCAGTTATAAGTTTGAACTTTCGGTGTATACTGTTTGTAGACAACCAAAGCCCGGCCTATGCTACAGCTTGAATCTTTATAGAACACAAATTTCCGACACATTATGATATAAAGGTAAAGGCTGTTCTCGAGAGTCTCTTTAGATCTTTAGTTTCTTCCTGTCTCCTGGCCCAGACTGCCCAGCCAGGTCTTGTGATACTGGATCTCGGTGTGTCGAAAACAAAAACCAGGGCCACCATCTTGTCCTGAACTAGTAAAATGCCCAACAATCTTCTATACACGGCACAGCAACACTCGCCCATTCTCAACGTCCGGAGCAGAACCGACCGAACGTAATTATGACAAGATTTTCAACAAAGATTGATAATGTGTTGCAGAGATAAATAGGTATGCCACGTTACGTGATACATTACATCAAAACTCGGAACCACAAAGCCATCCCCGGCCCAAAACTCGCCAGAAAATGAGTTCATCATGTGCTTGTCATAAAGAGTTGGAAGAATAGACCCGCCCCCATCTTTAACCACCGGGTTCGGAAAAAAACTAGGGTGAGCCCCTCATCATCGCAGGGCAACACGCTCGATAACATCCTCTCGTGTAAGATTCCCAGGACCTCAACAGACGAAGAAATCATATATGGCTTGCCCCCAAAACATTTCTCCCCTTTGTCTCTCCCTCCCCCTCTCCACCACCCACCCCATCCCCTCAACATCAATAACTTACACCCCCAGCCTGCTGCTGCTGCCGGTAGTAATCCCCCGGCCCCCCGCCCGGCGCGCTCGGCGCCCCACCGTCCTGAGGCGGCACATACGCCTTGTACTGCGGCTCTGCCCCCCCGACGAGCGGCGCGCTCGGACCCGGACCGACGCGGCTCGGCAGCGTCTGCCGGGCGTCGTACGCAGGCCCGCTCGGCTGCAGCGGCGGCGGCGTCATGACGGTCTCGGGCCGGGAGGGCTGCTGGTGCTGCTGCTGCTGCGGCACCGGCACAGGCGGCGCCTGGACCGTCGGCTGCGGCGGCGGCGGGCCGCCCACGTCAGACGCTCCGTCGTTGTAGTACGGGTTCTGCTGCTGCTGCTGCTGCTGCTGTTGTGGAGGGTACCCGCCGTACGTCTGGTACGCCTGTTGCGGCGGCGGCGGGGCGGACGGACCGCCGGGCCCGCCGTAGCTGGACTGCCGGCTGGGGCCTTCGTCGGGAGAGTAGACTGACGACGAGTACGTGGCGGCCGAGTTGGGGTTGTGCGTCGCGACGGGTGAGTCGTACACCGAGGTCGACAGCTCCTGCGGGTTGCCGGCGGGGTTGTGCGCGCCCTGCGGCGGCACCGCGTGGGAGTAAGGGGCGTAGGCGTTGTGCTGTGGCGGCGGCGGCGACGAGGTCTGGATCGGCGCGGGCTGGTGCGGCTTCCCTGCCGACGGCACTCTTTGCCCCTGGTCACGAGGTGGGTATTGCTGTTGGGCGGGCCCAGGGGGTGCCCCGTGGGCAGCGGGCACCTCCGCGCCGGCCATGTAGAAGGGAGCAGGAGCGGGCGTGGCGCCGGGACGATGGAAGTTAGGGGACGGAGACGTAGCGGGAGGATACTGAGGTTGTTGGTCTAATTCTATTATTAGTTTGCAAGGTACTAACCCTAAGGGCCTAGATTAAGCATATTCCGTACCTTGCTGAGGGGCCGGAGTGCCATAGTATCTTGGGTCTGCCTGCTGTTGAGGCGGTGGCGCCTGGCCAGGATAACCCGGCCCTGCGGGCGCGGGATATCCGGCAGGTACCCCTGGGTGCGGCCTCATAGCATATTGCTGGTAATTCGGTTGCGGTGGGTGCGACATGGACGACTCCAGCAGTGCCTCGTAGTCCCTCCTAGCCTTGATAAACTTCTCGTTGAGCTGCGTGAAGTCGTCCTTCTTCTGCGAGTACTTCTCAATCAGTTTGATCAGCTTCGGTCGAATAGCCAGCGTCTGGTGGTAGAGCTTGGAGATCTCCTCGTTGTCCTCCTCCCGGGGTGCCGTGTTGGACGTGCTCAGCAGCGTCAGCAGCTTCTCGACGTTCTTGATCTCGGCAAAGACCTCAGCCTCCATCTGCGCCTCGCGCTGCAGCTCGTCCGGCGTGGGGTCCGTCAGCTTCTCGACATAGTTCAGAGGGAAGATCCCCGTCTTGCCCTTGAGCGAGCCCCTCCACCAATCCTTGTACACTGACTCGAGCACCGCGATCACGTCTCCCTTCTTGAACTCCAGCTCGCCGGGTTCCGAGGGCACAAAGTCGTACAGCGCCCGAACCCTCGACACAGTGGCAGCCGTAGTACCCGAAGGCACAGGCTGCAGAGGCTGTGGCTCCTCCGCCGACCCCGAGGCACCGGCAGCACCAGAAGATGACCCGGCGCCGGACGACTTGGTCTCGGCCGCCTTCTTCTTGCGCTCCTCATCCTGCAGCGACAGCTTCAGCGCCATCTGCAGCTCCTCCTCCTCCTTCTGCCGGTCCACCTCCGTCAGGCTGTTCTTCTGAGGTGCCGAGGGCGGCTGTAGTTGCGGGTTGCTCTGTTTGAGCCGGTAATACGCGTCGTACATGATGCCCAGGTCGGCGTCCTTGCTAAACATATCGGACCAGTCCTTCATCCTTTCCAGGATCTTGGCTTTAACCTGAGTGTGGGTGTTGCGGTCGTTGGCGAGCTTGAGCAGGGCGTCTGTAAAGGCTCGCGAGGACAACTCTCTATGCATGTTCTTGCCGCAGTTTTGGCTGAGGGCGTTTCCGAGCTGTGGGTGCGAATCTGGATGTCAGCATGGAGAAGTCCTCTCCAAGGAGTAAAAGGGAGAGAAGGTCAAGCGGAGCGGGAGAGACAGACCTCTAGTGTGTATAGTTGCACGTTGGCATTGCGGTGCGCAAGCCGCTTGATCATGGCCTGCACCGTCTCTTTGGGTCCATTCGGGTCGCTGGCCACACGGTCGCAAACCTCCATGATCGCGCCCCAATCCTCCGAGGTCAGGTTCTCGTCTGTCGCCTTGGCTGATGGCGCGCAGATGGGACTGTTAGTATGGCTTCCTCTGGGAAAAAGAGCTCTGTCAAATGCATTAAATCGGGGGATCACGTACCGACGACCTCATCGTAAGGCCCAGGAGCCGCTGCTCGGAACATGATGGGCGGCGCCGAGGAGGCAGGTGATGGTGGTGGTGGTGGTAGGCAACTGGATAGACTGCAGACTCGTAATCTCCCTGATTAAGACTGCGGTTCAGGCGACTTGGGTGAGCTCCCAGCTAGGTAGCTTATGGTCTGCCAAGAAGGCGATGGGGGATGTCGCGGAACAGAGGCAGGTCGGTTCGAGCCGACGGGTGACTACGAGATGTGAGGTTGAGATTGAGATGGACCTCCAGGGAAGGGGGGAAAAGGCGTCGCAAGCTTGGCGTGTGGTTGTGGAGGTTGTGGTGGTCGGGGAGGAAGAACAGCCTCGCTTGGCTGATGACGGAGTGCCTGGTTGAGCTTCCATGTGGTAACACTCCTCCAAAGTCACTCTTTTGGTGGAGCATCAACCACATCATGGGGCCTGAGGTCACCCTTTTTTCGCAAGACACGCCAGAGCAGAGCAGTGCCCCATTGCGTAAGGCCCGTCTGCTTGCGCCACCCACCCAAATCCATATCTCCGCCTCCCCCCACTACTAGAAACAGGTGGGTGGGTGTGGTTGTGTTCTCTTTATAATGGCACAACTTATCACATCGTGACGAAGCTTCGCGCTTCGACATTGCCCATTTACGCGTACTCTCCCTTAGGCCTGCCTTGTGCACAAGCGGGATGGGGATGGGATGCTGTATCCTCAATTCTTTCCATATTTGTGTAATCGATGCGGTAGTTAGATCCTGATGGGAAACCTATATGCAAACCCGCAAAGAGCTACTAGCCATTCTCACCAGGGTATTCGCTCTCGCCGCCGCTCCTACTGCCCACGACACTCAACAATTTCTGCCTCTGGTCCTGTTTCTGTTCGTAATGGTGCCCACTGATCATGTCTCCGACGAGAAGAGAGGAGAGAGAAAGAAACCCCGTATATGCATGAGATGCAGAAGAAACAGTGACAGTCTATACATGAAAGACAAGTAAAAAAGCTTGCTTGATGATCCCAGCCCTCTCCTGCGTGCCCGCAAAACAAAAAAAAACCTCTCGTTCGTGAAGATGTTTACCCGCAAGAGACTGGCGCGCACTACCCAGCGTTTTGCCAGCCAGTTCTTCTGGTGCCGCGAGGCTCATACCCAGCACGGTCTGCAGAGGCGGACCCAGTGCTGCCACCTCCGCGACCTTCCTCGAGGCTACGTCTGTTGAGCTCCCGGCCTATCTCTGACATGTCAAAGACAAGCGGTTCATCATCCGCTTCGCCGTCACCGGGTCCTCTAGTCAGGCTGCCGGGGTACCTGCTGGTCGAAGAGCCTACAAAACTGCCTCGTGACGACTGAGGCGGTGTCGCTCTCGACCGAGTCCTCGGGCTTCCGGTATATCTCAATCGATATGATGCAGATCCCGAGGACAACAGGCCGCTCGGCGGCTGCTTCTCCTCGCGATCGCCAGAGGATAGAGATCCGGGTTGTGCCGAGGTTCTAATCTCAGCAGCAGGCTGGAGAGCAGCTCTGTCTCCAGACTCGCGCTCCATGCGTAGCAAGGTGCTCAACGTGGGAGGCTCGCCACCTTCATCAGCGCCTAGGCTAAGGCTGCGTTGGCCGCCGTAAGGGACATCGCCATCTTCATCATCTGCGCCGCGGTTGGCTACAGAGCTGGCCCTCCTGTTCACTTGGATGAGCCTCGGCGACAGAGGGATATCAATGGCGTTCGTGCCCTCCTGGCTGACTGGCGCCTCTTCTCCCTCTTCTTCGGTCGCAACAACATCAGGCACAGCTCGGCGATTAGCCTGGGGACCTTGGTAATCTGCGATAGAGTTCTCACTCAGGCGTGACGGGATCGCAGGTGTGTGTGGAGTGTGAGGAGACAAGGGCTTGCTGGGCGAGGAGGATGCGGACATCGAGGCGCCCGGGACGCTCGTCAACTGACGGCTTGACGAGCTTGACGAGCGGTGCAGTTGCATTGATGAGTTCAGTTGCATTGATGAGTTCATTGATTCCGTCAGGGCGATATTCGAGTCTCGCATCAGATGAAATTTGGACAGTTGAGCTGCCGTCCTCTTCGTTGCCGACTCTCCCTTCTTGGACGCCTCGAAGCTCTGCAGCGTCTTCTTGCTGTCGAGAGCTTTCAAGAATTCCGAGATGTTGTCGTCGTCCGTCTGGAAAGACCCCGAGCTGCCGCCACCGGGCTCTGCAAGCAGCCCAGAACCGGGTTGGGCTACGGATGAGGATAGACTCTGCTTCCCACTGCTGCCCTGATCATCATCGCCCTGCCTGCTGTTCCCGCTAAAAGAGGGTCTATTTCTCCTGTGCGTGAAGCTGCTGCTATATCGACTCGGCGTGGGCTTAGGCGACGAGCTGGGGCCCGGGTCAGCCGCGGGGGGCCCTCCGCGCAATGATGCTGCCATGCCAGCAGTCAGAGAAGACCTATTCCTCGCCTGCGTCAACGCACTCAGACCCGATTGCCTAGTCAGAGAGTGAGGCGACGATGGTTCATCTGATATCCGAGGTGAGCCGGATAGCGAGCCAGCTTTGAAAGGATTGAACGAAACAGACGGTCTCCTAGCCATCCCCTCAACGTTTCTCAATGATGGCCTCGTCGATGATCTGCCAGAGATTGGTAGTGAGTTTGGCGGATCAGGTTCGACACTCGTGGGTATGGACGCCGGAGGCGAGCTAGTGTCCGATCCTGGAGGTCGAATAGCTCGCAATGCTGATATGGGGCTGGCCCCCAATGGTCCCGTGCCGTGAAAGGTGGAAAGGCTGCCGTAAGTCTGCTGTTGCTCCGACTGATGTCTGCCGTGTCTGTTCGGCAGCGAGCCTATTTCTGTCGACCGCGGTTGGCGGCCTGACCTAGTCCTTTGCGGCAACGAAGGTTTGAAATACTGGTCGTCGATGCCCATGAAGCGGGAGCTCAACAAAGCTTCCGAGTCGTCCACTCGGAAGTTGCAGTCGTTTCTGTACGTCACAGAGGCATAGAATCTGCCCACCGGCACCTCCAGGTCGCCAAACATATAGTCTGTCACAACATCTCTGCCATCCAGCAGGGGTTGTCTCAGGGGATCGTAGCCGGTGACCTCGCTCTCGGCCGACAAGACCCGGCATCGTACCGCCAAGGGTGGTGACACAGCCTTGGTCATCGACTGCTGGGCAAACTTCCAGGCGGGCATGACGCGAGTGCTGACGAACAGCGACCGGAAGAATATGATACTTCTCTTATAAATGGTCGGCAGGAGCGGGCCAAAGTCTTCGGAGGTGTTGTTCGGGAGGCACTTGAGTTCTATCTTCCAGCGCTCGAGCACAATCTCCGTGTTCCGCCTTCTCGCTCTAGAGGGGCTGCTGTCACTTGAGGATTCCGACGAGTTCAGGACCTCCATGACGTCTCGCCTCCTTCCATTGTCGTCCAATATCACCAACGATTTGCCGGGCGGTAATTGCGATGCATCGATGTAGGTCTCGATGATCATGGGCGGCGGCCGGTTCTCGAATCCTCCACAGGTCTTCCATATTCGCATTTCTTCCTTGAAGTCATCAATATCGTCGGTCTCGATTTGGAACTAAGCATCATCAGATGTCAGCCTGCAATCTATCAGGTGTCGAGGAATGGCATCAATGCGACAACACGCACCCATTTGTTAACTTTCCTCCCATCGGACCGTCTACTAGCCGCCGAAGGGGTGACATTCATTCGCGACTGGAGAATGAGGACGGCTGCTTTCGCATGGAAATTCTGGCGCCCACCATTAGCCTTCATGGTACTTTGACCCGTTCATCGGTAAGGATAGACATACTTGTATGATCTGATCCAGCTTCTTGATAGACTCTTTGCTCAGCGTTGGCGCCGCGGGACCCTCGGCGCCCTCTGCAGGCCCGGAGCCGCCATCCTGCTGCATGGCCGCCTCGGAGCCCGCGCGTGACCGGCTCGGGCCACTGGGTGCGTCTCTCGGGTTATTCGTGCGTGTGGGGTTGGTCTGTGGTGACGTTGCGGGCGAGGTCACCCGGGGCGGGTGACGAGATTGTTGATGCATCTTCAGCGACTGATGGAGAGGGCCGCGGACGAGTGCGGATGCATCAAGGACAAGTCCTGGCAAGCGCTGGTCAACAAGCCGCAGGGGTTCCCGTCAGCGGAGAGGATCGACTGCAGGAAGCAACGGGAAGCAGCATGCGGTTACTGCTTGGCGCCGGATGGTGTTGTCGCTCAAGCGCAGGGGGAATCGATGGTCCAGCGGACGCTCGCATCCATAGTTGGTTCCCCGAGCTCTTTGCTGAAAAGGTGCGATGCTAGAGCCCAAGCACACAATTCGTCAGAGGTTTCCACCGGTATGACTGGTTTCGTGGGGCAACCGGGGCTAGACTGGAAGCCTACTGATGGCTGGTTGAGGTCTGGAAGCAGGCAACGGTGGGAAGCTTAATGCAGCTGCAGGGGCAAGCTCTGCGGTGCGCGGCGTGTGCAAGAGAGGTAGATATGGCCGATAAGCTGCTTTGTTGACCGCATTAGAACCGAGCGAGGTGTACAGCAGCATGAACGAGGGCTTGCACAAACAATAGTAAAGTCCGTTGGTCAAAGGAGGGGCCCAAGATTACAATGCTCTGATGGTCCCAAGACTGTGTGTAGTCATCCGCGAATCGGCGAGCCTCGTGATCCCAAAGGCACCTTCTTTCGTCATCGAGTCATTCTTAAGACGGCACAGAGTCGCAGGCCCAGCAGAGGAATGTGTCAGAATGCAGAATTGGAATGAAAAGGAAATCCAAAAAATGCCAGGAGCATGCGTCCCGGCGATGGGCGTCCACAATTGATGGCGAGGATGAGGGAGAGGAAGAGGAAGGTCAGCGGAGGACTGGCTGTTGCTGCATGGCGAGATGCCAATGATGGGGATGGACGGGATGGGCATGGATGGGACGGGGATCCATCGTGGTGGACGCTATCCTTCCCCAAAGACCCATTGATTGATCCATTGATAGCGGGCAGCCCAGTGCCCACCACAGCCCAGTAGTAGGTACCTAAACCAGTAGCCGTCACACAGTCTAGTCCCCACAAGGGGGAGCATACCACGGGTAGTTCAGCACGTTTCGATGTGCACAGTGCACTACAGCCAGTCAAAACCACCGGAGCCGGGCCACGCCAGGGAGGAGAAGAGGAGCAGTGAGGGAGAGCTTAGGCTGCCTACCTACCTACCTAGTAGGTATCTAACTCGTGCAACACTGGCTGATGTTGACTCGCCAGAGGTTCCTCCTCACCTCCTCCCCTTGCTGCACTTTCTCCTTCTCTTTCTTGGCCCTATGAATCGTCCCAAAGATAGACGCCGTGGGCGGATGGTGTCGGGTCTGGTCTGGGTCTGGGTCACAAGTCCCACGGCGCTATGACAGGCCCTCACCCGACCCTGTGACCCAGTGGCTCCAGCGCTTGGTTTCAGCGCCAAAGTCGTTCCCTCTTTTGGCAAGCATCATCTCTGGCGCCAGGAGAAGCCGGCAAGGTGTCAAATCGCGGATTGCCTAATTGGTACACACAGACTTCACTTGCGCTGACACACACACACGCACACACACCACATAGGTAGACATGACATCCATCTGATTCTTGCAACCGAGTGACAGGACACGCGCAGTAACCGACATCGGGTTGGCCGGATCCGGAGGGCCCTGGATGTCTCACTACCTTACTATCCTATCTCAATAGTCTTCCCCTCTCAGGGTTTGGCTGCATGAGGCATGCAGCCAGGCAACTTCACATGCCATGCCTGAAAGCAGAGCTACAGCAGCTGCCTACCGGGTAGGCACTCGTTGTAGTCACACACACACACACCCTGATAAGCATCAGTCAAGAAAGAGGGTCGATCGATCGGCACTCGCCGCTCGATGTGGGTATCGATGTGGGTAACCCTGGCCGTTATCTATCCGGGGCCGCTCGTTGGACACGCCTTCGACGGCAAGAAGACGGGTAGGCTTGCTTTTTGAACCCTGTATCCCAATGGATGGATGGGTGGATGGATGCGGATGCACTGAATGCAAGCCTTCGTTGCTCTTGTCCAACATTGGCGAAGAAAAAGCATTGTGCGGGGGGGGAGGGCAGTGTCTGTGCCTGTGTAGCCTCGTGCTGCTGTGCAACCTCCACGCCACTATGCGGCTCTCCGTAGCACAACGGTGTATGGCATCTCATCTGTCCAGGTAAACCAGTGAGATCCAAGTAAGTAAGTGATATGAAATTAAAGCATGAACAGGAAGAGTCTAGAACGGAACCCGCCCCTCAACGACATTCATTCCTTATGTGCTCGTGAACAATCAATCCATCATGCCACAATCCTCACTCTCTTCCCCGGGCCTCCACCCCGGAGCCGCACCCTCACGCCGACCTTGTCCTCGGCCCTAGGCTCCAAGATGTGAATAGGCAGCACCCGGTCGTTCTTCTCGGGCACCCGCAGCCCCCCGCCCTCGCAGTCGCCCTCCACGTCCAGCACGGCCACCAGCGCCGCCGCCAGCGCCAGGATCTCCGACGTCGCAAAGTGCCGTCCGGGGCACAGCGTCCTGCCGCCGCCGAACGCCCGGAACGCGGCGGGGTGCACCTGCGCCTCCCGGCCGTCGATCCGCAGGAACCGCTCGTGGTCGAACCCGGCCCCGCCCCGCGCCGCCCCGGCGCCCCAGATCCCCTCGTCCGCGTGCATCGTCCCGCCCGAGATCTGCACGACCGAGCCGGCGGCCAGGAAGTGCCGGTCCGCCAGCAGCGTGTCCTGCTTGACGAGCCGGGTCGAGTAGTTGTCCGACCCGACGCGCAGGCACTCGCGGAACACGGCGTGCAGGGTCCGGCACCGCGTGCGCACCGCGTCCAGGCCCAGCACGATCTCGTCGTCGGCAATGCCCTTCCCGTCCTCCTCCTCCTCCTCCTCCTTCTCCTCCTCCGGCACCGTCGAGGCCGCGGCGGCCTCGATCTCGGCCCGCACGGCCGCCAGGATATCCCTGTCGGCAAAGATGCGCAGCACGAGCCAGAAGGTCGTGATGGCCGTGTTGATGATCCCCGCAAACAGGAACGACACCTCGCCGCGCGCCTGCCCGTCCAGGCTGAACCCGTGCTTCGCGCTCGTCTCGATGTGCATGCGCGAGATGACCGCCGCGTCCCGGTGGTGGTGCCCGGCCTCGATGTACTCGGCAAAGGCCCTGACCAGCGCCTCCCTGCCGCGGTAGGGCTTGGTCGCCGTGACGGCGGGCAAGACGTTGATCAGCAGGAGGCCGAGGCCGTGGTCAAAGTCCCAGAACGCCTGCTCCAGCTCCGGGTGCGCGGCGATCGGGTTCTTGGGCCCGTACATGAACCTGGCCGTGCCAACGGTGACGAGGTGCTGCATCCACGAGAGCAGGTCGAGCGTCTCGCCGTCGCCGCCGGGCCGCGCCCGCAGGCCGTCGGTGAAGGCGTTGACCTGCCGCGCCATCTCCCGCGCCGCATCGAGGCTGAACTCGTCGAGCAGCGGGCCGGGGCCCAGGCTCGTGTAGATCACGTCGTGGAGGTCGGCCAGGAAGCCGCGGGGCTCGCCGGGTTCCGGGTCTACATTCTGGCGGACGATGTCGACGGTCGCCGCGTCGAGGCCCATGACCCGCTTGGTGGCGTCGGCGATCAGCGGCGTGAAGGACAGGGCCTTGGACGCCCGCTGCACGGCGCTCGCCAAGGCCGGGTCCGTCACGATGTAGATGCGCGATCCCGGCACCGGCAGAGTGAAGATCTGCTTGCTGCGGTGCACAATACTGTAATCCAGAGTCAGACAAGATGAATTGTCCACCGCGGGTTGTGTGTCCTAAGAGACCCTTACCCCAGCTCCTTTACATATTTACCACCCTCCAAGACCATCTGCAGAGGATGGCCTATGAATGGAATAGAGGAGCCAACAATGGTCGGCTCCCTAGGATCCCTCTTGACATACTGCAATTGATACAGAATCGCATACAGCAACACGATGAGCAGTGCCGTGGTGGTGACCCCTGAGAAGGGCCACTGCTGTGTGTCCAAGGAAAACATGGTGGGATAGCCAAACGAAGGTGTAGAAGCCAAGGAATAGAGAACTTCAATCAAAACAGCCCAGTCATCGCTTTTAACAGAAAGACAACGTCACAGATTCATAGACAGGCCCCTTTTTGGAGGTCTCAAAATTCCCCAAGCTGGCAAGATTTGCCAATCCCTCCGGATTGGTTATCTCCGAAGAGACACGGGGGGTCAGTAACACCTGGAGGGCAATAGAGCAGGCAATCCAGGAACCGCGATCCCCCTGTACTGACCCCTCATTCGCTCAAATGGGGCGTATGTGGTTCGTCAGACAGTCCGAGGGTCGCATTTGACATCCTGTCAGCAGTAGCAGTATTTAGCGGCGGCAAATTAGACGATGCGAAGTCCCGAAACCATCATTGAAGAGGTATCTCAGATCGATCTCATTCTTGGTCATATCATTTTCCAGAGATATCTCCATAAGAAAGCGCCATTCACAGATTATTCCAACCTAGATCCTGCAGTCTCCCCGTCTCCCCGTCCCCTTCCCCTCCCCCTGTTTGAAAGCCAAGTGTGTGCCAGCGCCAATTCATGCAATTTGAATGCCGGGATGGCAAAAGTTCTGATGTGGCCGTTTGTTTTTTTGTTGTATGATTTTATTGATTTTTACTGGTTTCGTTTCGTCGTTCACTTGTGGAAGGACTTGACCTTCTCGATCTCATCATAGCTGCCCATGAAGATGCCGGAGCGGTCGTGGATGTGCTCGGGCACAATCTCGAGCATGCGCTGCATCTTGCTGTTGACAGCCTGGCCACCAGCTGTCGAGAGAAAAGGTCAGCGATCTTGTTAAAATCAACCTGGATGCACAGAGAGAAGATCTTACCATTCTCAAACACCATGGCCATGGGCGCGCACTCATACAGAATACGGAGCTTGCCCTTGGGGCTCTTCTTGTCGGCCGGGTAGGCAAAGATGCCGCCGTAGAGCAGGGTCCGGTAGGCGTCGGCAACCATGCTACCGATGTAACGGGCGCTGTAGGGCTTGCCATTGGCCTGTGCCTCCTTGAGGGAATTGAAGTACGCCTTGACGTTGTCCTCCCAGTAGAGCGAGTTGCCCTCGTTGACCGAGTAGATGGCGCGCGACTTGGGCAGCTTCATGTCCGGGTGGGTCAGGATGAACTCGCCGAGGCCGTTGTCGAGCGTGAAGCCGTTGACGGAGCCGCCCTTCATGGTGATGACCAGCTGGGCCGAGGCACCGTACATGGTGAAGCCGGCTGCCAGCAGCTCGGTGCCGGGCTTCAGGATGTCCTCCTTGGTGCCCGTGGAGCCCTCGGCGAGCTTGTGAACGCCGAAAATGGTGCCGACCGAGACACCGGCGTCGAGGTTGGAGCTACCGTCGATAGGGTCGCAGGCGACGGCGTACCGAGCGTCCTTGGCGTCCTTGAAGTAGATGACCTCCTCCTCTTCCTCCGAGACCAGCAGGGAGACCTTGCCGGACGACCGCATAGTGGCAATGAACAGATCATTGGAGATGACGTCGAGCTTCTTCTGGTCATCGCCGGTGGTGTTGGACGAGCCAGCGAGGCCGGTCAGGTTCACGAGGGTAGCTCTTCGGATGTAGTAGGCAATCTGCTTGAAGGAGAACTGGAGGGCGTGGCAGAGAAGCCTGTTATTGCAGCTGTCAGCTGGAGAACTGTGTAGGAAGGGTGGAGGAGGAGCCTACGTGAAGTCACCGGTGGCCTCCTTGTGCTTGACTTGCTCCTCCGTGAGGAAGCGGGTGAGGGTCTTGATGTCGACATTGATCTGCTCGGGCATAGCCGCCTGGTCACCGTTGGTAGCCATCTTGATGGTTTGTGGCGGGGTATCGAAAGGAAGCAGAAGGTAGAATCAGTGCTCTAAACGCAGAATAGTGTCCAAGAATGAACAGAACGGGCACGCGGACGCTGGACGAGCTCTCCCGAGCAAAGTATCGGGAGGATGGATCGTGGAATGGTGGGGCTAAGCAATTGTCCGGCTCCAGATAGGGCAATCAATGTCAGGCCGACGTCACAAGAGGGCAGGGAACGGACTCTTAGGTGGATGAATCGTGTGCAAGTGGTATCGTTCCAAAGGGAAGGGAAAAGAGGAAATAGAAAGAGGAGGGCGCTAGGTTTTCTACGATCGTGACGGGGCAAGTATATCTACTCTGGGGGGGGCCTTTACAGTTACCTAAGGATTGCCGATGTCGAGCAGACCATCGTCAGTTCGTTATCCAGGCGACTGACTGCCCCTCTACGTGTGCCGGAGGGCCAGGCACGGGGATTGGATCGCCGGTAGAAGAACGGCTATCGATGGCTGCGAAAGGGATCCATTCCGACCCAGGTACCGTAGCAGCTTGGCGGGACCAGCTTGTCGCGCTGTCCGGCCGAGGGGAGTTGGGGAAGCATGGAGCGAAAGAGGATTTCCCGGGACGCCTGGCCTAGGTCACGCCTCCACATTGTCCCGAAACAGGGTGGGACCTGGAAAGCTTCAAGCAAGTCTTTCCGGCAATGAGAGGCGTGGTTTGCAGATAATGGGGCACGATAGCTCGATCCATGGCTCCGAGGGCAGAATTGGAGATGATAAAAGCCCCCCGTCGACGATAAGAAGGATTCGTAGTCTATGTGGTCAGGAGTAAGGCAAGGAGGCATCAAGTCTTCGAGGTGCCGGTGTCGTGTGCAAAACCAGCCGAGAGAGCCGTGGCAAGATTCTTGCTTCCGTGTCATTGCCAGATTGTCTGATGCAGGTGTGGTCAGGATCGGATGGCCGGAAGCCAGCCGGTCATTGTTCAGGAACATGGCCTCGATCGAGGTCGCGAGAGTCGAGTTGTATTCATGTGCGCGGGTAATTGTTCCGACATGGGGATTGGGCTGATGAACGGATTCGTCTCCCAGCTCCAACTCGAGCTCAGGGCTGGCTCTGCGGGGGGAGGGAGGACCAGGAGATGGAGGGGTAACTGCCTACCTAGGCACTCCGTAAGGTAGCTGTGGCTTGCGTCCAGGTCCCAGCTGTGGCTCGGTTTCGTCCTTCTGTGGCGTGCGTCTTCTCTTGTCGCCTGAAATTCTAGGTGCTCATCAGCAGCCCTTTGCTCGGGCGGTCATGCGCCAGTGCCAGGGCCTGGTGCGGTGTCATTTCCCAATGGCTGGCACACGCTAAATACCTCGGCATGTGAGAACGCGACTCCAGTGCTGCCGAGATAATTGCTTGACTCCATCAGGCCAAAGCCAAAAAAGGTGCGCCAAAGCACCGCAATCACCCCAAAGGAGACATCAGATTTTGGCTCGCTCTCCCTTCGAGACACTATTCGCACCGAAACACCCAGAGATACCCCCTTTCTTTACTGTCAAGGGATTTCCGGCTTTCAGATTGTTCTCAATATAAATACGAGTTATTGTACAATCACACAGGCTTGTCACCTCGACTATCTTCTCTCTCTCTCTTGCCTTATCTCTCACCTGTTCGCGATCCCCGCACCCGGCCAGAGCTTCCGCCCATCCTAAATCCCCGGATTCAGTCCCCTACTTGTACTTTAGCCTCCGCGCCTCCAACAGACAAGTCATCTGGACGACCTGCGACAGCAGCAATCCAACCTGATTGTCACTTCAAAACCACCCTTCCCTTCGAGACAGGACCTTTTCAAATCCACACAAACACGAGAACAAATTGCCCACCATGGTTGCCGACGCCCTCATCTACCACCCTAGTGTGTCGCACTACCTCAAGTTCATCGCGACCACCATGGGTCGCGACAAGCTCATGCGCACCATCCAGTACTTCGCCCGCTTCTACGCCTGGTACCTCCTGCGCACCAACGCCACCGCCACCTCCATCGCCCCCTGGAACGCTCTCAAGACCCAGTTCGGCCTCGTCCGCAAGGCCCTCCGCGCCGGCAAGAACGTCGAGCACCTCCAGGCCGCCGCCCGCGCCGCCGACGCCCGCACCGCCGACCCCGTCGTCCGCTACGCCACCGTCGGCCGCCAGCTCGGCTATGCCGGCTACCTGACCTTCGACCTGGCCACCCTGCCCAGCGCCCTCGGCGTCCGGCCCTCCGCCAATGCCAAGAGGCTGCAGCGCGAGGCCTACCGCTTCTGGGCCATGGGTATCTGCTGCAGTCTGGTCTGCCAGTTCTACCAGCTGTACGTCCTGCGGCAGCGCGAGGCGCGTGTCGACCGCAAGAACGGCGAGGGCGTCGTCGAGAGCAAGCGCATTGTCATGTGAGTTACCAGCCGAGAGCGAGCCTTGCACTCACAAAACGATCGTTGTACTAATCATGGCTGAAATCCAGTGAGCGCGCCGCTGCCCGCACCCAGGTCATCCAGGACCTGTGCGACTTGACCGTGCCTACCTCCGGCCTCGGCTGGATTGCTTTCGACGACGGTGTTGTCGGCCTTGCTGGTACCCTCAGCAGTTTGATGGGTGTCTACGCCCAGTGGAAGAAGACCGCTTAAAGGGAAGATGCTCGACGGCGGACGGATCAGTTACCGGCTGATTGATTGAGTGTGGATGACTTGAGTACTTGGGCAATATGCTTCTGAAAGGCTCTTGCCATTGGTATTTCCACCTGTCTAAAAACGAGGATCTTATGCCATCACTGGCAGGAGGTTATTCCCGAGGAGAGAGACTTTTCGCAATGATTGGGTGGGATTTTGCATCTGCTGTTTGCATTGTAGGGTAGTTCGTCAGCTCTTGTGTTTGAGCTTTATATCCTTGGAATGTTTCTCTGGTTTCTCTGCTTCTGCGCAAGGCGAAATGGACATTGTTCTGCTTCTTCCGCAAAACCCAGTGACAAGATTTCTGCCATTTCTGGACGATGTGAATCATGAAGAACATGCATTGGAAAAGGAGACGCAGGAAGGATACGGAAGAAGGGCAGAAGCAGACCACGATTGCTGCGAACCAAACAGCATAAAAGGACGGAAAGAGATAAAAAAAGACAAAGAATGCATCGTGGCATGTAAGTCCCTTTCCCCCAACGACCTCGTTTGTCCAACTGCACCTCTCGTCCCTTTTAATTCAGCTCAACGTTGGTCTGGCGATGCACCTCGAGGCTGAGCCTGGCAAAGGGGCTCCGCTCGCGCAGCACCCTGCTGTACCGGAAGAAGACCCAGGGCACCGCGCAGAAGACCACCGCGACGCTCGCCAGCGCCGTCCCGGCCAGGTTCGCCCCGAGCGCCGCGTACATGGCGTGCGCGACGAGGGGCATCAGCCCGCTGACGACGGCGCGGACAAAGGCCAGGCCCGAGAAGGCCGAGGCGCTGTACAGCAGGTACGAGTCCGACAGGTAGCCGCTCAGCACGTACGCGAGCTCGTTGACCGCGAAGCCGACGGCGACGAGCGGCGCCGTCGGCGCCAGCCAGTGCGCGTGGACCGCGGGCGGGACCGTCCAGGCGAACGCCGCCAGGCCGACGGCCAGGGCCGGCGCCGCGAGGGCGAAGCCTATGATTTTGTCTTCCCTGTGGGAAAGACGCAAAATACAATCGCGTGAGCAAGCTTAGGAATGGAGAGATCAGGATGTAAGAAAACACTTACGGCTGGATGGGTTCGTTCTTGGCCTGCCTCGCCTTCACGGCCTTCATGTCCCACAGTCTCGGGACGAAGGTGAGCATCGTGCCCAAGGCGATGGCCAGGAACGGCAGGGAGGCCTGGGTGCGCGTGAAGCCCAGGGAGGTGTATATCGCGGTCAGCGCCTCGGTGAAGAGGTAGATGATGCCCCATGAGACAGCAGAGATGGTGGCGATCATGATCACCAGGGGTTCGGTGACAAGCAGGGTGACTGGCCTGACGACCACGATGTCCACCAGCGACCGCAGGTCGGGCGACGAGTCTGGGTTATGCCACCCCAGGTCGGTGATGCTGGTCTCCCTGCGCAGCTTGTCGATCTGCCGGCGGAGCAGCATGCTCGGCCGGCTCTCCCTGACGAACAGCAGCGCGACCAACAACAGCCCCGTGACGATTCCGGAGCTGTAGAATACCCATCGCCACGCCACGGCAGCGGTGATGTATGCAGCGTATATGGGGCCCATGCACAGGCCCACCGTAGTGCCGACGTTCCAGCCCAGCACGATCCAGACCCGTCGCTCGGCATTGAAGATATCCTCGATGCTGCCGGCGATGACGACCGAGGGCACTGCAGAGGCGAGGCCCGTTACGAAGCGTCCGATGAATATCCCCGGCACTCCTGCCAAGGGGATGACGACGCTGAATATGGAGAACAGGGCGCAGGAAACAAAGTATGGCCAACGACGGCCGAAGACTTCAGAGAAAGGGGGGATGAGACAGCCGCCTATGGCTTGGCCGAGTTGGTACCTGGGCCGGGTTGGTCGATATTTGGGGTTTGTATCACAGGAGCGATGAGTGCTCCGGAAGATAGAGTAAACTGGATGTTGGCTTACATGAAAGTGAATGCAATGAGTGAGTGAACCCTGTCGAGGCCGAGCTCGGGACCAGCCGTGTCGGCCACAGACGCCTGTTCATGCGAGAGTCGCTGCGTCAGCATCATAAAGGCAGTGGTGAACAAGTCTTCTCATCCTTTTAGGGATGTACACATCAGGTTTTCTCTATTCTATGCCTTGATCCTGTATTTGTGTGCCCGATATGGTGCGCTGTGAAGAAGGCTAGGGGGTCAACACTTACACCGGTTGTGCTGATAACAGTCCTGCAGGTTATCTTGTTAGTCTGTACTGGCGACGAAGAAGACTGCCACTTTTACATACGTGTAAAATTCCAAAGCTATTATGACGGCCGTATCGAAAGCCTTTCGGGCTGTCGACCAATTCCTGGGGTGGGTAGTAGCACCGGTGACAAAGTACAACAGACCATCGCTTCTCCTTTCGAGCCCGTAGGGAGCCAACTGCAACTCATCGTGGGCCTCAACGCGGACATGGTCCCGGGAAAGGGTCTTCTCGTCGTCACTGCCAACATTAGACGGAGACTGTCGAGACCATGGGCTCTCATCAGACTTGAACGTTGAGGGAGCCATGTCGAACACGGTGAGCAGCACACGGGAGGCAGGAAGGTCCCAGCTTGTAGCTTTTTCTAGCTATAATGACAATGCAAACTCTTTGCATATGCGAGTCTTACCACAGAGTTACCCAATTCGCCTCCCAGTCTAATACGATCACTGCTTTTTTCTTTCCCCCCTTCCCCTCTACTGCCCCTGCCCTCGATGGCCGGGTTGCATCCACCACGCATGAGCACGATACTAGTGCTCACAGTCACATCGTTTCGAAAGTGTCGAGAAAAAGAAAGGACGGAAGGTGAACACTAACAAGCCTACTTCATCACCGTCTTCGAGGTACTCCATTCGGCATCGCATTCCGCCGCGCTGGCGAACAGAGGAGTAACACATGCACTTCCTATATGTCAGATTCTGCGTTGTACTTTTGATAGTGTTATTTCTAGATTTCTAAGCATGGTTTACATCAACTCGGCACAACGCCGGTACGGGATGCGAAGACGTCGTTTCACTAACACAAATTGCAGGCTGAAATTGCAGCCCCTTGTCAGGTACCCGTCACCGGAGTTCCGAGTACAGCTCGCTACACCTCCACACATGGATCTCAAATAAGCCCTTACAGAGTACGTGCATTGATCCTTGTTCCTGTTTGTCTTTGTAAGTGACTGGGTTGGACTACCAGACCTTTGGGGTCCAAGCCCATCCCAATCCAGTCACCTTGCGTATTCATCCGTGAACCTCTCACAGCCCTCACTTTGGAAACCATTGGTAATTTTTCCTCCTGGCCAAGGCTCCAGAGGACCAATGTGTGCCTAGTGTAACGTTTTGCAGGCCAGAGCGGAAGCAAGGCCGCGGGTGTTGTAAGCCTTATGAGGTCAAACACTCCCCAATCTCGGGATTCTATTGGTGATGCATCAAAACCGGCACCTCTTGCATGCGGCCCAAACTCGGCCCCCATTGTAACCCCGTCGTAGATTTAACCAGTTGCGGCGCTGCGGCACTGAGGGCACTGGCCCTTGGCGCTGACATTGCGGGACATGTGCGGGCCATGGGGCATGCCTGTCATCAGCTAGCGATGACGATGGGATACTGTCAGCTTTCCACAAGTGGGCTTGGGCGAAGCACGGAGTAGATTTCTAGACTCTCTGGTCCTCGGACCCCAGAGTATGAGTCCAATGCGAGCCTTGACCCTCATCTAGCTTGTGATTCGTTCAAGCCAAGCCTGCTTCAAATACATGCACCTGATCATGTTGCCGGAAGTGGTCGGCTCGTCGGCTGGATAACGCACTTTCAGGGGCCTTCATGAACGAAGGGCCCTGGTGACTTGAACTCGACCAAGAGGGATCAGTATAGTTGACGGAAGGTCATCAGAAAATACCTCAATATTAGCAATGGATAGGCTTGCCATATCCTTGCCCTGCAAATTCGGAAGGGTTATTCCACTACCTAAAATAGATGGACTGGATGGGATGGATAGTCAAGTACTTCTGTTAGCAGCTCGTCAACTGATCTGACCATCACTTGCTCGGCTTCCCTGTCACATATCGTATTACGGGACGAGATCAATACATGTACCTTTCTCCGAGTAGGGGAAGTGCTCTCAAGGGGGTGTATCTACTCGCAGCCCCTATACCATACTTAAAGGGAACGTGTTAAAAGTGCTTCTGCTCAGGAAGAAACCCGCCATTGCTCCAAGACACCATTGAACAACAAATGCAAGAGCAGTTGCCGAGTCTTGGAGAGGATCTCGATCCCAGTTAGCTCGAGAGCTCCTGCCGTCCTGCTTCGTTTCCGTCCTTGCAGCAGAGTCGGGAGTAAGATGTCAGAATAGGAACACCATAAGACCGAAGGTCAGCCCGCCCCTACAAGAGCTGGACTGCGCTTGCGTTACTTTGATGATGATATACTGCATCTATTATGCATACGAAATCCGGCAGAATGGATTCACACAGCAGCAATAAACCCCAGCGGCAGGCCGGCATGGATGCTGTATGCAAGGACACCGTCCCGGCGTTCTGGGGACGTCCAGACAAGACGGGAAGCGCATTTGATTTCAGAAGTCCGAATAAGCCCCTTGTTTACCTTTTCCCCCTACCTTTCTTTAGAGCAGCACCATAAAGTACTGACTTGTTCCCTCTACTATGCAGGCGATGTGATCACTACCCCCTCACTCGGCATGCTCGAGGCCATCGCCAAAGCAACCCTGCATGACGATGTCTACGCCGAAGATGAGACGACCACGCTCTTCGAGCAACGGATGGCCGAGCTCTGCGGGCACGAGGCGGCCGCCTTCGTGATCAGCGGGACGATGGCCAACCAGCTCGCGCTCCGGTCGCTGCTCGCGCAGCCGCCGCACGCCATCCTCGTCGACTCGCGCTCCCACATCGTGCACTGGGAGGCCGGCGGCGTCGCGCACCTGAGCGGCGCCATGATCCAGCCCGTGCGGCCCCTGAACGGGCGGTACCTGACGGCCCGGGACGCCGAGAAGCACGCCGTCGTCACCGACGACGTGCACAAGGCGCCCACGCGGGTGATCAGCGTCGAGAACACCGCCTCCTCCTCGGGGGCCGTGGTGCCGCTGGCGGAGCTGCGCGCGCTCAAGGCCTGGGCCGCGGCGCGCGGCGGCGTCGCCGTGCACATGGACGGCGCGCGGCTGTGGGAGGCCGTGGCCGCGAGCGGGACGCCGCTGCGCGACTTTGCGCGCTGCTGCGACGTCCTGACGCTCGACTTCAGCAAGAACCTCGGCGCGCCCGTCGGGGCCATGGTCCTGGGCCCGGCGCGGCTCGTCGCGGCGCTGCGGCGCATCCGCAAGAGCATCGGCGGCGGGCTGCGGCAGGCCGGCGTGCTCGCCGCCGCGGCGCAGCAGGCGGTCCTCGAGAACTTTGGCGAGGGCCAGCTGGACACGCGCGGGGTCCTGAGGCCGAGCCACCTGCTCGCCGAGCGGATCGGGTGCATGTGGCTCGCCAAGGGCGGGAGGCTGCTGCGGCCCGTCGAGACGAACATGGCCTGGCTGGACCTGCGGCGGGCTGGGGTGAGCGCCGCCGAGTGGAATGCGGCGGGCCGGCGGCACGGGATCAAGCTTGATGGGAGGAGGGTGGTGCTGCATCACCAGATCTGCGAGGCCGCTGTTGTGAAACTAGGGGTTGTGATGGATGAAGTCTTGCAACGGGCTTGCAGCGGCACCACACCAACTCCTCCAGCATCGACTGAGAAGCCTCTTCAGCTGGCTAGGCTTTGAAGCTGGGAGATGACAAGATCTTCATGGCACGACTCTCCTGAAGGAGGGAAAGGTGCAAACACCTTGTGACCATGTTTTAATTATGGACGATGCATGAGCAACTGAGGTGGACAATTTCGAGTAACGTTCAAAACGAAATTGCCATATCACTTCAAATAGTTGGGAGGTTCGTAAGGAGATTCCTCAATGCTTCCAATGCATACCCTTGCCCTGGATCTCACGAAGGGTTATGCCACTATCTAAAACCAGTGGGCTACGGATAGTCAAGTACTTTCACTAACACCGTTCCAACCAATTTGAGCATTCCTCAGTAGATGAGATTGGTTCTTTAAAGTTGCACCGGTGTTTTAGTGTTTTGATACCGACCAGTTGAGAGTGTTTTCGAACCCTTCAATAATTTCATCGTATTAGAGTCTTCTGAGCTTGATATGCTAGTGAAATTCATCGCACTTCATGTGTGTCATAGGCTCGTTTATTCCTAAGCTTTCGGGTGGAAACCCATCGCAAACAAATTTAAAAAAAAAAGCTCATGTCCACTCAATTCCACGGCTCCGAGGTGAAACGCTCCGCGTCAACTTCTTCCTGCGAGCTGTGGATTACCGAGTCGGTCCGGAAACGCTTGTGTCGTCCAGAGTATCCGTCTCCGTCGTCTCCATCCTCCTCAGAGGAAGAGACCGAGAAGTGCCTCTTGGCTTCAGTGGAGACCGAACCATTCGTATCGTCCTCAGACGAGACTGAGAACAGTCTCTTGATGTCAGTCGCAACTGATTCGTTCTCATCCTCTGTGAGATCTATGACGCCACCACTCTCAGGTTCAGGGGTTACGAACATAGACTCGCTCTCCGCTCGGAACAGAGACAGAGGGGATGAGGCTGCAGAAGGGTTCATAAAGGGAGAGAGGCTTCGACTTGGGACGCCCTCAATGTCAAAATTGAAAGTCGAGCACATCGATGATTCGCGTTTGAAGACGAACGAGCCACTCTCACCAAACTGGATGCTGGTCAGATCCTTGAGTTGTTTCTGCCGGACACCATGAAATCGAGAGTCATCGCTGTCATCACCACTGCTGTCGCCATCTGAGCTCGAGTGCTGCGAGGCATCGTCGGAAATCCCTCTAATATCGTCATCTGAGTCCGTATCGTCGAGATTCATATGGTTGTCAGAATCAGGCTCTGACAGAGGCATTTCATCCTCAGAGTCTGGAATGGACACACTGTGTGTGTCATCACTAGGGGGTTCATCGTTATGGTCTCCTGGCGCGACATTGCCGGTGTTCAGTCCTTGAGTCTCCTCGCTGTACCATCTCAAGACGACCGCCATATCGTCATCAGTAGGAGTGTAGAGATCGTCGTCGTCATTGTTGGTAGCGACGACCGGGAACAGAGGAGCGAGCCTTGTAAGTTCGGCTGCGGCTTGGCGGTTGGGGAGTTTGTGCTGCGTGACGACGCGAGTGACATGCTCTTGAAATGACCAGTCCCAAATAGGCACTCTCTGCCCTCCGCTCTCCTCGCCGGCGCTGGTGTCATAGAGTCTGACGTACGACAACCCGCGCAGCTCAAGAACATTGTCCAGGCCTGAAAGAGTACGCATGTTCCGGAGCGGTCGATAGTTTGGGTGGCCCCGGGTTTCTTTCTCATGAAGGTCCTGAACGCAGTTAGGTTCGTAGATGCGTCTGGTCCGGTTCTCGTCGATGAAGATGACCATGGTCTTCAAACGTTTCATCTCGGCGAGATGGTCGAGCTTCTCGGTGCGCTTGGATCGCCATGCCTCCATTTTACCGCGACGACGTTTCTCCATGTGGCGCTCATTGACGAGGAAATAGTTGCCCTGCCAGAGCAACTCAATATGCTGTATGCGCTGGACCCGGTGGGTGTTGATGCCGGTGCAAAACCGGCCGAGCTCTCCTAGGCTGCTGAAGGCAAAGGTATTGAGGCCGTAGAAGGCGTGGAGGCCAAGGAAGTACCTGTTTGGTCAAGTCTTGTCAGTAGGCTGCAAGGAATGCAAACGTGTATACATGTTCCCGTACCATCGCCTGCAGACCAGGAGGACAGAGAGAACATCGTTCGGCCGGAAAGCGTCGGTGATGTTGCATTCACGAGCGCCCCAATGGAATGCATTGATCATCCCGCTGTGAGTTTCCTAATACTCGCTGTCGGGAGGGGGCCTTGCATCGCGGTCAAGAGGGTCGAAAGAGTCGAGCCGGCTGAGGCAGTGGACCAATTTGTACTTCTGAAAAAGAACCAGCTCGAGAACTCGGCCCAGGCAATTGGCGGGGAGGTCATTAAAGTCCGGGCCCTTTGAGGTCTCGATCTCTGGATCGAGAGAGATCGCATCAAAGGGTGGCGAGGCGTCGTTGTCCACAGGAGATTCGATCATTAAAGACTCTGGATTACCAAGAGACTCTGCGTCGCTCACTGGCTCCTCGATGCCCCCTTGGTACTCTGCGAAGTCGAGGACGGCCTCGGTGCGATCAACAAAGGTCACGTCGGGATGGCGGACATCAATCCTCGTCGACATGTTCTCTTCGCCTTGGGCATACTTGAAGACCACATTCCACTCCCACCCCTCATGCAGTTTACTGTACCAAGTCTGCGTCGCCTTGTCAGTAAATCGCGCCAACGGCGACATATGTGAAACTTACTCGCTCGGTGGGCCGCCGGCGTCCTTGGCCGTCTTGGTCAGCCAGCTGTTGTTGAGCCTGTGCCAGATCGGCTTGAAGTTGGTTCACCCTTGCCTGGGCGTCTTCAAGCTCATTTTGAAGTCGGTTCAGGTCATGCTGCCTAAGGTGAATGAAATGTCAGATTATGCAAGCCATTCCGATGCCGTCTCGGATGACCAGACTTACTGGGCATGAAGCTGCAAAGTGTGGTTCTGTTCCACATTCTCCAACAACTGAATACGCTCATGAGCATCCTCAAGCTGCTCCTCAAGCGAGATGTGACGGTCGACTGGACCGTCAGATTGATGACTATCCGACATCTTGAAGTGACAAAGGTGTGGTGCAAGATGCGTTCGGTGTTTGCCTCAGAATGAAATAGAATTGGGAGAAGCAAGCGTAATCTGGAAGTGCCTACGAGCTGAAGTTGAAGGAGTAGAATCCCTTGACCCAATGGTGTGATGGAGGAGAGAGAAAAGAGGAATGGCCACAGCAGCGAGAGGAAGAGAATTTATACCCCTTCAACGACAGAAATTGAGGCGCAAAAGGAAGGAGCCAAGGATGGCCTAGGTGCGTGGTATAAGGGATATCGGCATCACTTGGGTCGGGGATATGTGAGTGAGGGTATGGAAGTGAGGGTGTGTTGTAAGTGAGGATGTGTAAGTGAGGATGTATACGTGAAGATAGGCAAGTGAGGATAAATTAGGCTGGAGTGACGACGGGATTCATTGATGCCCAAGGGTAGGGTGCAAGGCTACCGTGTGAGAGGAAGAATGATATCAAGGGTGAGTACTGGGACAAGCGACCTTTGTATCGTTGGCAAGGAACAGAAGATGAAGTAAGATTGGGATTGAAGAATTAGCCCTACGCGGCGATGAGCAAGATGAATCTACATCTATGTAGCTGAACGGTGAGTGAGAGATGAAGGAAGTGTCATTAGGTAGGTAGAGATGGGACGGAGGGGTCAATAAAGTTTGTGAATTCAAGGTTCGGTCTCATCTACAGTGGCTGGTGATGAGAAGAGATGATTTCGTCGGATGAACCGCGATATCAGATGACAATGTGAGGAGACTCTAAGCTAGAGGGAGATAATGCCTAGGCTAGGATTTGAACCGAGAGGTACTGATACTCTCAATATGACTGTGGAGGCAGCCGTATGTCTGTAAATATGCCTGCACAGTCGCGGTCAATCGCTCTAGTGTTGTTGAGATAGGAAGGAAGGCTGAGGGTGAGACGGCTGAGCTCAGAACAGTGCGCTGAACAGTTGAACATATGGATTCTTGGGTACTATGTTGCTAGATGAGAGTGATGGCATGGTAGTGAGACTCGAGCTCAATGGACATTTTACAAGCATGGTCCCTGACGATGAAGGAGGGCATGAGGGGGGAGTCCCAAGACTGCAAGGACTGAGGGCCAGCAGCTTGAGAATACATCTCATCTACAATTAAGAATTCATCTAAGTGGAAAGGAAGATTAGCCCAGAAGAAAAGAGAGAATAGTCAAATGACAAGACAAGTTAAAGCAAGACAGCTTTAACGATACATGTTGAGATGGTGCAGCAAGCGATCCACAACTGAACAGAGCAGATGTTAACCAGACAACTCAGTACGGAGTGTACGAGACTGGGCGGCCAAATTTGCTAGTGATAACCAAGGCTTGTCAAGGTCGAGACCACTATTCCACGAGAAGTTATCGAGTCTGGAACTACGTGAGAAGACTTGGTAGGTCTGTCTGTCTGCAGGCAAGACAAGTTTAGGTATCCAGTCCTGTGGCTAACTCGGTCCACCAACGGCTGCCCATTGACTTGCAGATATCCACGGTTCCGTCAAAAGCAATCCTCAAGTTGAGTTTCACTGAAACACTCTCGAATACCCGTAAGAGACTTGCAGCAGCTTAGGAAACCCAAGCGTCAAGGCCACGGTATGTAAAGTCGGAATAACACCAGATTCGATGCTAGTAGAAACAAGGCAATTTCTCGCGTGACTCTTCTGAAGCTGTTTCTTGGCACGCAGATCATATGCACTAGAGCCACAGGGGGTGCTGCTCCCACCAGAGCCCGCCCGCCGGGGAAGTCCGTCTGCCCAGCTTTTGAGGATCTCTGGCCGTGGCCAATGAGATTGGAGTGAGGCAGCATGTGGTACAGCCGCGCGGCTTTTGCCTCTCCCCCCGGAGGTGTAAAACTTCATTTGATGATTCTCGAATGCTTTTCCCACTCTGTCCAACCGGGCACAGAACAAAGAAAGACCCGACGTTCTTCCACTCGGGCGAATGCTCCAGGTGGTGCAGTCGCCTAACGAAAAGCGCCGAGGTGTGGGGGAGTGGCTTGCATTAGCCCGGCGCTAGGCCCCAGCTGCGGAAGCTTGGCTCTCCAAGTCAAGCCTTTTTCGTGTTGCTTGTCATTCTCTGGCGAACCGTGGAAGCCCTCGACGTCATCCATCAAGATGCATCTGACGGGTCCGCGCTCTGATCGCTAGGCTAGTCTTGTTTCGTTCGTTCCCAAGATCGGCTTCAGGCTGGTCTTCTGGGCAACATTGTGAACACAGTCGACATCTCCTTGAAGAACAGAACATGGATAAGAGAGAGAGCGAGGGCGAGGGAGGGCGAGATGAGTGTAACCCGTGGAGAAGCAGCTGGATGCACGTCTGATTACGGCAGGTCGATATCGCCATCTGGGATGCAACCACACAAGGATCCATCTTATCGTCTGTTGTCTCTCCATTTCTCTCCATCGAGCCCACCCATCATCCCCATCACCCCCCGTCCGACCAGGTCATCCCCACACTCGCACCGGCCTATGGTTCTCTCTCTATCGAGCTCGTGGCTAAGGATTCGTCTAAAAGTACATGCCGTCCCCCTGTCCAATCGTGCGTAGATCACTGCGCTTCTTGCTGCACGTACTTGTAGAGGATGCAACCCGTCCACAAAGCTGAAGCTGCTCTACCACTCTTACGTACCTATCTCGAGGCTCCACAGGAAGCGCTGCAGTGGTAGGCGTAGGCGAAACCCGAGCAAACCACGCGCGCGCAAGCTTTGCATGTGCCCTCACAAGGTTTAGTTACCAGGTTTGGCATTTAACGAACTGCCCCCTCCCGGATTTGTCCAATTCTTGAAGCCTTTTTTTTGTCCCTGCACCATCGTGAACTCCGGCCCCGGGCACCATTTCTCGACGACAAGACGACCAGACACCCACCAGTTTGGTCTGCTCATTTGCTTCCTCGCCCTCCGTGTGCTGTGCTGGCATCCCAGTGTCCTTGATCAAGAACAGTGATACCTACACAACCTTGCGGCAACGAGTCGACCAATATACTTGCCACCATGTTCAACTTTGGGCGCAAGAAGAGTGATGAAGCCGCGTCGGGGGACGCCATTGCTGCTGACCCGGTCCCCGTCGACGGAGAGGCTCCCCTCGAGAAAGAAGGAAAGTTCATCACGCTCCCCGTCGTGGCTTGTGGCGCCGGACTCTTCTCGGATGGTTATGTTGCCAATGTATGTTTGTGAAACTTCGGCCCTAGTGCACATAGAGATCAGTGTCCCTTACAAACCACCATTACTAGGTCATCGGCTCTGTCTCGACCATCTTCGGTAAACTGTACCCAGACCAATGGACCACGGACCAAAAGCAGATCGTCAATGCCATCGCCTTCGCCGGCACTGTGAGTATATATGACCCATGCTAGACTTCACACACACACACACACACACAGTCCCCGTCTGACCGGTGGGACCACGCACACAAGGTCGTTGGCCAGCTCGGATTCGGTTTCCTCTCGGACAAGTGGTCGCGCACAAACTCGCTCCTCGTCTCAACCGTCATCCTCATCGTCTTCACCGCTCTCTGCGCGGGCAGCTACTACCATGGCTCCATCGTCGGCATGTTCCAGATCCTCACCGCGTGGCGGTTCTTTGTGAGTAGTAGCAATGTCAAGAAGTAAAAAACAGCGCTCGGGGCCAGCCAGGACTGACGCGACTGGTTTCGCGGTACAGGTGGGAATCGGCATCGGCGGCGAGTACCCGGCTGGAAGTGAGTACAGCCCGATTGTGTCCACAGAATCAGGTAGGAGAACGTAGGCTAACGACAGCTGGATAGGTGTCGCCTGCGCCGAGTCGACGGGCGAAGTCAAGAAAGGCTGGCGACACATGGTGTTCATCTTGTATGTGCTGTCCTTCAATCCGATCAAAAGGCTTTTTAGTTGCTGACGGGGCTTTTCTCTTTCGCAGGTTCACCAACAGCATGATTGATGTAGGCTTCGTCATCGGTGCTTTCGTGCCGTGTAAGCCGTTTCCTCCTCTGGCCTTTGGTCGACCAGACAAGAGAACAAGGGTTGAGTTGCTGACATGAAGCAAAAAATAGATGTCGTGGCCGCCGCCTGCCAGAACCAACACTTGAGCACCCAGTGGCGCGTCTCTCTGGCCATCGGCTGCGTCTTCCCCTGCATCCTCTTCGTCATGCGCCTCTTCATCAAGGAGCCCGAGGAGTTCCAGCGCGAGTCCATGCGCCACGTCAAGACCCCGTACAAGCTGGTCTTCAAGTTCTATGGCTGGCGCCTCTTCATCGTCAGCCTCATCTGGTTCATCTACGATGCAAGTCAACAGTCCCCCGCCAACTCATATTCTCTCGCGGAGGGGGGAGTGGCCTACTGACATGACATCTCTCCGCCAGTTCCTGACCTACGCCTTCGGCATCTACTCCTCGACCATCCTGGCCAGCATCTACCCCAAGACCGCGCCCCTGACCACCATCTTCGGCTGGAACACGGTCATCAACCTGTTCTACCTGCCGGGCACCATCCTCGGCTCCAAGGTCAGCGACTGGCTCGGGCCCAAGTACACCCTCGTCCTGGGCGTCGCCCTCCAGGGCATCGTCGGCTTCATCATGGCGGGCGACTACAAGAACCTCTCCCAGGAGAACATGGTCGCCGCCTTTGCCGTCGTCTACGGCATCTTCCTGTCGCTCGGCGAGCTGGGGCCCGGCAACAACATCGGTCTTCTGGCCTCCAAGTCGTGCGCAACGTATGTTTCTCTGCTCCAAGATCCTTCCTTAGCACTATGTGTTAACCGTGTGTTTTGATGCTCCAGTGGTGTAAGAGGACAGTACTACGGAATCGGTAAGAACCCTTCCCCCGATCTGTATCTTTGTTGAAAACGTCGACTAATCGGTCTCTCTTCCTTCCAGCCGCCGCCTTGTAAGTTGTTATATTCCCAGGGCCTGTCCCCCCAGCCCAGCCACTTGCTCAGACAGGGAGAAAAGGGGCCAAGTCAAAATTAAAAACATACTGACACAACGATCGATCACCAGCGGCAAGATCGGCGCCTTCGTCGGCACCTACATCTACCCCTTCATCGAGGACGCCGGCGGCGACTCGGACGTCGCCTCGGCCCAGTACCCCTTCTACGTCTCCTCGAGCCTGTGCTTCCTGTCGGCCGCCCTGACCTTCCTCTTCATGCCCAACGTCAGCCAGGACACCATCCGCTACGAGGACGTCCGCTTCCGCGAGTACCTCGAGCAGAACGGCTGGGACACGGCCCAGCTCGGGCTCAAGCCCACCGACTTTGGCGTCGACGCGGGCTCCGTGCTCCAGGCCGGCATCTCGAGGGAGCCCGAGAAATAGGGAATGGCTTCTCGTCGGCAGGGCTTGCCTGCCTTTTGGAGAGCCGGGGCAGAACGACAAATGGTTGCGACTTCCCCCTGCCCGGTTCTGAACGGTGATTTCTTCCCTTTCCCATGGAGTTGGCTTGTGGATGCACGGGATCGACAAGGATAAAGCTGGCCCGGTTGGTTTCGTTTTTCCAGTTTCAATAACTCATGATACCACTTCCCCGCAAACTCTCGGCCGTGTTAGCAGCCACGCATGATACCAATCTCGTCCAATTTCTCTCAGGGCTCTTCTTCACTTCGTTGGATAGCTGAAAGTCTCTCTTTCGTTTTCTGCGACTGCTAGGCAGTGCGGGGGGATGATCAGTCCATCAATCGTATTAGGTATCGGGATATAAACCCCCCCTTGTTCCAATCAAATCTTGATGATACTTGACAAAAGAATTGTCGCTCAACTGCCTGGAGCATGATGATCATTCCATATCTTCTCAAAACAAAACAAAACACAGGCGAAATCTATGGCCCCTCTTCATCCCATCCCCCCTTCTTGTATAATAACCACAACCATCCCCTGGTGTGTGTGTGTGTGCGTGTGCGCGCGCGTGTGTAACTCAGTCCAACTCAACCGCATCAAGCGCCTCGCGCACAAACTCCTCCGTGACCTCCCCTCCCCTCGACGGCGGCGCCTCCTCGAACCCGACGACGTCCTTCCCCACAACCGACGCCCGCGAAGACTCCGTCTCGGCGTCCCAGTCCCGCGCGTCGTCGTCGTCGTCGTCGCCGCCCGCCAGCGCGTCCGCGCCGTCCTCCTCCTCCGCCGCCTCGCTGCGGCTCGTGTCGCTCGCCTCCTCGGGCACGCCGCCGAGGTTGAGGTTGCGCCGGAGCAGGCACATCTCGACCGAGATGCCCGGGCCGAAGGCGCACCCGACGACGTAGTCCTTGGGCCGGCCGCCGGGCGCGAGCCGGTCCATCTCGGCCGAGCGCAGGCGGTCCATGACGCTGAAGATGGTGGCGGAGCTCGAGTTGCCGTGCCGGATGTACGTGTCGTACGAGGCGCGCATGTGCTCCGGCGACAGGCCCAGGGCGCTCTCGGCGCCCGTCAGGATGGTCGCGCCGCCCGGGTGCATGGCCCAGTCGAAGTCTGCCGCCTTGCGGTAGGACGGCGGCAGGTCCGGCAGGGAGGCGAGGAGGTCCGAGAAGGAGGGTTCCAGTGCGCCGGCTGCGAGCTTGGGGACCCGGGGGGACAGGACGACTTTCCAGCCTTGGTGGCGTTCACTGCGCGTTAGCCAAACGACATCGCTGGCTGGGTATATGCGGGGGAAAAAAAAAAAGACTTACCGACGGGGTCGACATCGAAGCCGAGATCTGCCTCCGTGTCGGGCAGTATCCTGTGGTCCCACCCGAGCAGCTCGTAGACGGGCTCCACGGGCTCGCCGACGCCGTTGCTCAGCACGACCGCGCTGGCGCAGTCCGAGAACAGCGCGACGCCTATCCTCGTCTCCTGCAGCTCGTCGATGCTGTCCAGCTCGCTGCGCACCATGGTCGTGCTGACCTCGAGCGCGAGCACCAGCACCCGCGCCGGCCGGCGCCGCATCGCGTGCCCCAGCGCCAGGTTCGCCGCCGTCCGGAGCGCGTTGAGGCCGCCGCTGCAGCCGACGCCGTGGAGGAGCACCTTCTCGACCGGCTGCCGGATGCCCAGGCCCTTGACGACGAAGTGGTCGAACCCGGGGTTCGCGCTGTCGGTGCACGTCGTCGACACGACGTGCGTGATCTCGGCGAGGTCGATGCCCGCCTCTGCTATCGCCTTTTGCGCGGCGCTGATGGCCAGAGGCACGCCGTCGCTCATGAAGATCTTGTGTATCTCTGCGATGGAAGGCGTCTTCTCTTGGTTGACCAGGGGGTGGTCCGGCGTGCCTATGGATGAGCGGGTGTCTATGCCCGTGAACCGGTTTATAGACAGGACCTTCTTCATCCTGCGCAAACGTTAGCTTGCTTCTGCGCGATAGAGAGAGGAACCTTGACATTTCCTCGGGCGGGACTCACGAATCTGACTCTGGGTAGAACCGTTTGCTCAGAAGCTCGAGCGCATTGGGTGAGAGCTCATTCTGAGGGTATTGGGAGCCCACGCCTATGATTGAGAGGCCCAGCTCTCCAAAGCTGGTGGGTGAGGCCATCGCAAGGGTTCGTACGCAGTCAATTGGTCACAGAAGAAGCTCCCTTCCAAGCAGCAACACACTTGGAGAGCTGCGACGAGCTCAATTGACGATTGAAGTCGTGATTTAACCCGCTTCGAATGTGTGAGACTTGGAATAGCGGGGGGACCACAAGCTGTCTGGATGTATTCCCGCTCTGAGGGCGGATTCTGGGTACCTAAGTTAGGCGGGCAGGTGGCTGGCCTAGCGGTTGATAGCGAGGTGATGATGGCAGAAAGTGCAATCTATGATCTCATGCCAGCGAGCGGTGAGGAGGAGAATATGAAGCGCCAGGTGGGACAAGAAATTTCCTACAGAAACTCGGGAAGGCGAACAAAGAAAGAGAGTAGAGGAAAAGGGAGGTTCCCTTTTCTGCGCCCGAGCAAGAGACAAACAGAAGCACGAACCCAACCTTCCCAATGGCAAACAGTGACACCAAAGGGGAAATGAGTGGACTTTTTGAAACGTGAAGGCAAGACTGATACCTAAGTAGCAGAGTGGTGGTGGCGGTGGAACGGGACGGGCGGCGGCTCACGAAGCTGTCCTAGCTCTCTCATGTGGACAGACATGGATGCCAAGCCCAACACACTTTTGTACCTGTCGAGAGATCAACGACGGATAAGGCGGGCAGGCAGGGCGACCTCAGCGGCAGCTTGCTTGTTCCCAACAAAACGGACGGAGGCCTGCAGAGCAAGCATCCTGTCACTCTAAACCTTGAAGCGGTGCTTCCGGAAGTCACATTGAGCCGGCGAGAGGTTGTCACAAGACCGCAGGGTCTGGCCGAGGAGATACCTCCAGGCTCCAGAGAGAGAGAGAGAGGGCGCATTCACGAGACGGGCACCTCAGATCTCGAACATCCCTGACGGATCCTGTTTCGGCGATCCAGCGAGCCATTGGGCGGCGTCTCGGCAGCTCAGCCTCCACTACAACTAACGGGGGAGCCCGTCCCAATCTGGGATTGCTTGCCCCTCGTAAAGAAAAGGCCAGACAAGAAAATCGGTGCAGTACGTAGCCATGAAACGTGCAAGATCCCCCCTCCTTCGCGCCGAAGACAAGGATCGAGGCGTCAGAGAAGTGCTCGGCAGACCGGGGCTGACCTCCGTTTCTGGAAGGGGCTCAACATGAACCTCAGTCACAGCATTGTCTGTCTGCATCTGCATGTCCCAGTGCCGAGGCATGTCCACAATTACCTCCAATGGTTTGCGAAATTGTGCGGATTGTACCTGCGACTAATGCTGTATGCTGTAGATGCAATGCAGGTGTCGACCCGATCGGACGAATTGATGGACGGCAGGCCGACGCTTGCGGGACGACAGCTTGGCCGTCTGGGTACGTACGCGGCGTGGCTTCGACCTTTGAATGTGTCAGCCACGACGACGGTGTCAGTCATGCATAGTAAGAGGCAAGATCCAGAGTAGGGCAATGATTCTCGTCATAGATTTACGATACTTGCGTGTTTTGTCGGTAAGAGTTGGTGAGGAAATTGCACTGAGGACACTTGATCAGGTGTATGCAGGGCTACCTGGGGGAAAAAATCAATTCCTTGGCCAAGCCAGCACTCCCACACAACCGCACACTTGTTCTAGAAGCTCACGCCCACCGCCAACGACAGCCGCACTCCCAACCACGCGAATTGATGGTGAATTGGAAGAGCTTAAATTGGTCGGATTCCCCATACACACCAAAAACGCCAGCTGAGCTGCGTGAGCCAGATCTAGATCGGCTAGCACAAGACCTGTGCATCCCAATCAGCCCTGCAATGCAACTCCCCAAGCTTGCCTTCGTCCTACACCTCCTCATAGAGACCCCAGCCGCACTGTCGTTCCTCTTCTCGACCAAGCGCCAGCTGCCCGGTGCCACACCCGAAGCCGAGCTGGTCCTCCACTGCTTCGGCGGTCTTCTCTTGTCCACCAGCCTGGTCTCGCTGTCCTTGATTCACCGGGCAGCGTTTGACTCCACCAGTAGAGCTGTCGCACTCTCCTTTGCGCTGTACCATTTGTTCCCGTGTAGGAGGGCATACAGGCGCATCACATCTGGGGAAGCTTCTACCCGGCCAAAGGTGTTGGGCGGGCCGCCTGTACATCTCGTGCTTCATGCAGCGTGTTTTGTGTGTTTGGTAGTTGCTGGTGTCTGGGGTGGCTCTTGAAGACTCAAACGCTCTGTATGATGATGGATTGACTAAGACTTGGGTGATGGGGCCATGGCGAATCAATTTTTCAGTGGTATTCTATTGGATCTGTCATCTAGATCGTTGTGATTTGTATATATCTAGCCTTCAGCTGCGGAACAGCTTCAGACCCTCCTCTTCGACATTGACACCGTCCATCTCGTCGTCCGACTCATCGTCCTCTTTAAGCTCCATCTTCTGGCCGAACAGCGTCCCAAAGAATCTATCGATGGCGTCCTGCTCCCACGACCGCCTGTCGTCGGGCGCCATAAAGTTCTGCAGCTTCTCATGGACGTTGAAGCGCAGCTTGCGGCCTTTGCTGGCCTTGCGGTCGACCTGCTTGCGCGTCCTCGCCTCCTTAAGGGCTGCCCACCTGACAGTAGGCACGGCGCTGCCTGGAGCAGTGGTGTCGGAGGACCGCTGGTCCACGAGCTCCTTCAGCAGGAGCTGGTAAAAGTCCGCGTCGTCGTAGATCCGGGCGTCCTCGGCAACCTTCTTGGCAGCTTGAGCGGGAGCACAGGATCGCGGGATCTTGGTCCGCTTGACCAGCCTGTCCGAGTTGAGCATCTGGTCCTGAAGCTCGGAGATCAGGGACTGATTCGGCGTGGCGATGAGCTTCCTGGCAGCCGTTGCTGGTGTTCTTCGGACTTTGGCAGCCCACTTATCAAGAACCTTGTTGCGGTGCGCAAGTGCCTGGCTCTCTGTGACATCCATCATCTCCCAGATAGACTGGGTAGCTGTGTCGGCATCAATTTCCCGCTTTCGCTTCTGCCCAGCGCTTGCGGCGGAGGCAGGCAGTAAGCTGTCACGGAAACTGTCGATGGTGTTCCAGAGTTTGATAGCAGCTTCTTCGGCAGCCTCGTAGGGTTTCTTGGAACTCTCAGCATCCTCATCCACGGCACTGAGCGTGTTGACAGCGACCAAGGCCTTCTGGAGTCGAATGCGCAGGTTGAGCAGAGCGTCAAATGATCGCCGCTGCTGTCGAACAGCGAGACCTTTTTCAGCCTCGGCCTTGGCAGCCTGTGATATATTCGCAAGAATGCTCTTCTGCCCTTGCTTCATGTCGTTCATGGTCTTGCTCAGCTTGTCCTGGTGCGACTTTTCCGCGTCCTCATCGTCTTCGCTGCCCGACTCACCGTCCTCATCCGACTCTTCCTCGTCGTCTTCGCCAGAAATAGACGCACCATCTTCATTAGAGCCAGAATCATCGTCGTCGTCGTCCAGCCCTTCTAGGTCATCAGACTCGTCTTCGCCTTCATCGTCAGACCCCACATCTGCACCACCATTGCTGGTGGCATCGTCGTCTTCGGATCCGGACAGAAAGTCAGCGGCAACCGGGCGCTTATTCCTCTGACCATTGACCTTGGGTTTTGAGCTTCCGCGGAAGGTAAAATCCTTGAGATGCTCTTCGTCACTATCGCACAGAGCGTCGTCGCTCTCGATCTCGTGGTCCTCGCCATCGTCGGCGTCGAGGTCGGCGGTCTCAGGGTCGGCAAATTCTTCGGAGCCAGACTCGTCCTCCTCTGAGTCTTCTTGTGACCCCTCTTCATCCTCGCTGCTCTCCTCCAAGGCCGCGCGACTCACACGAGAGCCACTATACTTGGCACCCAGTGCAGGCGCTTGCTTCTGTCGGAGCTTGCTCTTTCTATTCCGTTGTTAGAGGACGACAAAGGGTGATCGAAATCTAGGTTCTCAGCTTACCCTACAGAGACATAGTGCTCTGTGCCAGCATTGTCTACAGCATCGCTATCATCACTGTTTTCGGCATCATCCTCTGGAGCATCGACTTCCGGGTCGTAGTCTGGACGGGAAAATAGTCAGTATGGTCTGTTTCAAGTGAAGACGTCCTTGGGCCATGACACACCTTTTGTTTGGGGCTCGTCCGGATCAACAAAGAGCTTCTTGCGGCGGTTGACGGGCGCCATGATGCCTTGCGATCTTCAGATTTTGCACTCAAGATTTGTATGTAACTTCCATTTTCATAGGCGAACTCCCCCACATGAATTTTTTCGAGAGAGCTGGGAACTTTTTAGGCGGTCGACAACGGCAAAACGGCCCCACTCTGTGCCTTTGCTAGAGACTGGACATTGCGCCGGGCGTCCATTGGCTGAGCGCTCCAGTACCCGCGGCCACTAGAGAACCCTCTAGCCTCAGCACTACAGCTCTGTTCTCAGTCAGAGTTCCACTGAAGCCCGATCGTACACTCTCTGGCCGTGAAGAATTGAACGATCAATGTCATAGCACAGAGGCAATGAGCTTGTCATGTCGCCGGCTGTTTCATTCTCTCAGGCCACTTCAGCATGAGAATCCCTTGGTGAGACTTGAACGCTTCCCGCCGGCCAGCCGAATCATTGTACACTAACGCCACCACTTAGGGCCTGCCCAAGAGTGGCTCTATTCCACGCTTCCAGCGCGGCTTACCTGAGAAGCGCAAAATCAAGGATGTGGCCAAAGTTGTAGCTGTATCGTCGGCTAAAGGAGGTGTCGGTAAAAGCACTGTCGCCGGTGAGCTCCCACTGCGACGGCATTCCAGCCCTACCAGTGCACAAGCTGATGAACAATGGCAGCAAACCTGTCTCTCGCCTTTGCGAGGCAAGGCTACCGATCCGGTATATTAGATACCGATATCTTTGGGCCTTCCATCCCGACCTTGTTCAACTTGTCAGAAGAACCACGACTGTCGTCAAGTATGTGCGTTGCATCTGACCTGTCCTGGGTACCCATTGCTGATACTGTGACAAAAGACAACCAGCTTCTGCCGCTCTCAAATTATGGCGTCAAAACCATGTCGATGGGCTATCTCGTAGGCGAGGACGCGCCCGTCGTATGGCGTGGCCTGATGGTCATGAAGGCCCTCCAGCAGCTTCTCCACGAGGTTGAATGGGGCGGCCTTGATATCCTCGTCCTGGACCTGCCCCCTGGCACCGGTGATACCCAACTGAGCATCACACAGCAGATTGTGCTCGACGGTGAGTTTGGGATGCGTTCTGTGTAGTGACGAACGTGTAGCTTACAGTCCCTCTCTTCAGGGTCGGTTGTCGTTACCACACCGCACACGCTTGCCGTCAAAGACGCCATCAAAGGCGTCAACATGTTCAAAAAGGTCAACGTGCCTATCCTAGGTCTCGTACAAAACATGTCTGTGTTCCGGTGTCCGCACTGCCACGGCGAGACGGCAGTGTTTGGGTCCAGTGAGGGAGTTCGCAAGGTCTGCAGTGAACACCATATAGACTTTTTGGGAGACATCCCCTTGCATCCAAATATCGGAGAAGATGCGCACTTGGGAAAGCCGACAGTGGTGTCCGAGCCGGGGAGCGACAGAGCACAGGCTTTTATGAAGATAGCGGAAGAAATTGGAGTCAAAATCGGCATGTAGAGCCAAGCATGTATCATCAAGTCGCATATAGAGTGTATGAGTAGTGTATACGTTTCACGCATAAACACAATGGGAACAAGGGAGACACGAGGACAACGGCTACTAGAAGTGATATCAATCTCGTAGATAGGCTGCCATACCCCTGCAGCAGAATGTACCGTAGCAAATACTCTTGGTCGACAGTCTTGTTCGGGTCGGCCTTCCACATCGAGGGTAGATACGGAGCAGGATTAAGCGCGCTGCGTGAAGTGCTTGTACTGTCATTCATGATCGACCTCTCAGAGTACCTCGAGGCCCGGGTCAACGGCCGTGCGACTTCGGACGTCTGGGGAGCTCCACTCAGTAAATTTCTGGGGACTGCGCTAATCAACCCCTGCAGCGGCCCAGGCGCCAGGTACCCACGTACCTCTTTTGCGGTGTTTAATACCAATGGTGCCATTTGATGCGCGAAGCAAGCGATCTGCGGAGACCTGAACGGAGAACGACGGCGGCGGCGCTCGAATCTTTGGTTCCGCCATTTTCGCGACAAAATAAATTATTTCCTCGAACCTCCATTCACGTTGTCGTTGCGCGCGTGATCACAGACATACACCTCCCCCCCCCTCCGGTACACCTCAAGCCGCATGTGAGTGAACACGTCAATTGGCCTACTCTCGTTCGAAATACTGATCTAAGGGCCCTCGGACAGCTCGAATCCGCCAAAATGTCGCAGGAAAAGAAGCCTCTTCCCTTCATCTACCAGTTCGCCGCGGGTAACACAATAGCCTTCCCTCAAGACGACGGGTCCCGAAAACCTCTCCCCCGAGAAGACGAGGAGACCGTGAACAAGAAGAGGAGGCTAACATGATCTTTTTCACAAAGGCGCGGTGGCGGGTGTCTCGGAGATCTGTGTCAGTAAGTTGACTGTCTATCCCGGTCTGCCTTCCATGACATGTCTTGCTGACAAAAGTCGACAGTGGTATGCCAGCCTCGTTTCCCCCAAATCTCGGTCTCTCGCACTTCGGGTTGATATCTACTACGAGCGGTGCTGCAGGCATAGCCTTCCGCACTTGGCGCATCAGTCGTAGTGCGATGTGGTGGGACGTCGCTTGTTGAACTCGACCGAAGCTAACACTCTTAACAGTACCCCCTCGACACGGTCAAGACTCGCCAACAGCTTGCCACTGGAAAGAGCGCCGGCATTGTCAGCACCTTGTCCGACATTGTCAAGAATGAGGGGTGAGTCGGCCCCCGTTCCCGCTCCAGCCTCCGGATCCGGACCTGAGCCCGGGCCCGTTATCGGCCCACCAGCCGGGCCCTCCAGATGGCTAACCAAGCAAAACGGAACAGATTTGCACGAATCTACCGAGGCATCACTGCCCCGATATTGATGGAGGCTCCGAAGCGCGCGGTAAGGGCTCCTCTTACACTGAAATGGCCCCGCCAACGAGAGAAAGAGCTGTGGTGGTGCCATCTGTAGCAAAGGTCAAAACCTGCGCATTTGAGCTACCATCCTGGTTTTTCCTCCCTCTGGGTATCAAAATACATGCATCGCTGACGGAAATGAGCCTCTGAACAGATTAAATTTGCTGCCAATGACGAGTGGGGCAAGGTCTACCGGAAAGGTGAGCTTCCAGAACATCGCCTACAAGACTATCACTCCCTAACGCTTCCGGATCGCAGCTTTTGGCCAAGAGAAGATGACTCAGGGTCTTTCCGTTCTTACTGGAGCCACCGCAGGAGCCACGGAGTCTTTTGTTGTCGGTAAGTGAGGAGCTCTCTTCCATCCCCCCTTGTGGTACACCATGTATGATCACCGGCCAGTTACTAACGCCGAACAGTTCCTTTTGAGCTTGTCAAGATCCGACTTCAGAATAAGGCTTCGGCCCATCTTTACAATGGCCCCGTCGATGTGTTGACCAAGGTCATCAAGAATGAGGGTACGTATCTGGATACCATTTTGTTGCGCCGCAGTGTTGCTGACTTTCACTCAAGGAGTGCTCGCCATGTACCAAGGCGTGAGTGCTCATAGTCTCTGAGTCAATACACGAAAGACTGCTGCTGACAAAACTTACATCACTTCAGCTGGAGAGCACCATGCACAGACAGTAATTGCCCCCTCTTCGTTCATTAGTCCCCCACTGGTACCGTTGCTAACATCAACACAGCATCCTCTGGAACGCCGGTTATTTCGGCTGCATCTTCCAGGTCAGGCAGTTGCTCCCGGCCGCCGAGTCCAAGGCCGCCAAGCTGAGGAACGACATCCTCGCCGGTAGTAAGTAGCAGCAGCCCCCAAAGTCCTGCACCAGTTTACGTTACCAGTATCGCTAACAATCATCCAATAGCCGTTGGAGGAACCGTCGGTACCATTCTCAACACCCCCATGGATGTGGTCAAATCGTAAGCTTCACCTCTCGTTGCAAACTGACCGCCCTCAAAAAATTCGCTGACAGACATCATCTCTCAGTCGCGTCCAGAACGCCCCCAGGGTGCCCGGCGTTGCCCCCAAGTACAACTGGGCCTACCCTGCGCTCGCGACCGTCGCCAAGGAGGAAGGCTTCGGCGCCCTCTACCGCGGTTTCCTGCCCAAGGTCCTGCGTCTGGGCCCCGGTGGAGGTATCCTCCTCGTCGTGTTCACGCAAATAATCGAGCTGTTCGAGAAGATGCGGGATGGCAAATAGAGAAAAGGCGAGGCGAGGGGAGTCGTCGGTTTCGTTTTTGTCGGAGGTGGGAGGTTTCTGCTGCACCGCGATGGACTTCATTTGCTTTCTTATCATGGTATACTAGTGGCACATTGTTCGCGCAACACTTTAGACAGATACAAATGCATTCATGTACTAGGACTCGTCGACACCAATAGAGAGTCCCCTGTTCGTCCGAGGCAATCGGCAGATCATGTGGAGTACAGTGGCTCTTTGAACGAAGAGAAGCTGTGTTCATGTTCTCGTCACGTTCAGATCACGGAATCAACACAGATAGCATGGGACAACGACTGAAACTCAACGATGTCAATTCTGCTAATAGTGGATCTACGCTCTGCTTTGCTCCTATCTCGACTTCAACGCGTATTTCGATGTAAGGAGGAGCAAAGATGGTAACGCTGGTGAAGGGAAGGGAATAGTAGTCCTCAATTCAAGAGGGGGAAGTCAGTGAGTGTAGTGGTCAATGGTGTAGTGATGGAAAAATTCATCGCAGCATCGTAGCATGTGGCTGCAGCTCGCAGGCAGTGGGATAATCGCCAGTGTGGTCATGGCCCCCTTCGGTCTGAAGCCCTCCCCCGTTCGATCAATCAAGCAATCAAAACCAAGGCTCAGAGACGAAACGCTCAACACCCACCACCACCATCTCTTCGTCGATATCCATCAGGGGGGAATACGTCTGGGCCCGCTTGTCACCTCCACCCTCGTCGTCACCTTCCCCGTCAGGAGAGAGAGACTGCGAACGCTTTCCCTGGCTGTCATCCGCCAGGCCGGGTTCGTCCCCGGTCAGATCGATGATGGCCTCACTGCTGGCCCTGGAAGGCGTGTCGTTGGGGATGAACATCGACTCGCTTTCCTCGCTGGCCGCGCTTCCCTGGCGGTCACGCCGCTCATGATCCCTTCGCTCCCGATCCGGCTCGTACTCGTCGATGTCCATCGCAATGCCAGATCCGTCTGAAGCTTCACTCTTGGCGTCAAACTCTGGAAGCTCACTCTGCTCAATACCATGGAAATCGTCGTCATCCTGCTCGCTATCCTGCTCATCATCGTCTGAGTCCTCGTCCATATCGTCGTCGGCATCATCACTCTCGTGCGACTGGTTGATGTTCTCCTCGCCCTCGGAGCTCAGGCCTAGGCTTCCCATTTCCTAATCTGGGTTGCCCAGGCTAGCATCCTCCGCCTCGGAATCTGCAATGACCATCGGGGAGCTTGCCTTGGCTCCATCGGAATCACTATGGTCCGAGTCATCATCTGAGTCGCCGCCGCCTGGTCCGTCACCGCCTGGTCCGCCGCCACCGGGGGGGTGTGGCGAGTCAGAGTCAGTGTCCGGGCCGCTGTTAGAAGAATCATCATCAGACGAACCGACGCTTGGGGTCTGCACATCCATGAGATCATGCTCAGATTGCCCGTTAGGGACGACGCCCGGTGGGTCTGTGAACCAGCGAGTGACGATGGCCCAATCATCTGCAGTAGGCACATAGTCCCCTAGCGGATCAAGGTGACGAAGCTCCGCATCGCGGCGGCGGCGCGCGCACTTCGGCTGCGTGACCTGGCTTGCGATGTCGTTCCTGAAGCTCCAGTCCCATGAGGGAATCCTCTGATCAATGCCCGCGGCGAGGCTCTCAGCATGGGCTTTAACGTCGTTGATTCTGACAGACTCCATGTCACGGAGCATCAGAATGCTATCAAGGCCCTGGATGGTGTGTAGCTTTCTGAGCAGCCTGTACTGCGGGTATCCACGCGACCGACTCTCGTGGTAGTCGATTACGTCCCAGGGCTCATGCCCGCGCCTCTTGCGCCACGAGCTGCTCTCATCCAGATGGACGACTAAAGTCCTCAGGCGACGCATCTTGAGGAGAAAGTCAAGGACCTCTGTGCGCTTCGAGCGGTAGATTTTGGTCTTGCGTCCGTTCCGCCTCTCAAACTGACGCCTATTGGTCAGGTACTGGCTACCGTGCCACATCATCTCGATATGACAGACCCTGTGGAGCCGGCCTTTGATTCCCCGACAAAAGCGCCCGAACTCCCCTAGGCTGCTGAATGCGAACGTGTTGAGCCCGTAGAAGCAATGGACGCCAAGCCAGTAGAACCGCCGGCAGACCAGGAGGAGACTGAGCACATCATTTGGGCGCAGGCAGTTGGCGATGCTGCATTCTTTCGATGGGCCGTAGTGGAAGCCGTTCACAAGTCCCGAGTGTGTCTCCTAGAACGCATCATCGGCCAGTGGCATATCTTCCCGACGGGGCGGGTTGTAAGGATCGAGACGGGAATTGCAGTGCACAAGCTTCCCTTCTTTGAAAAGCGCCATCTCAAAGATTCTAGCGAGACAATCTGGAGGCAGGTCGTTCAGTCCAATGGGGCTGAGAGCCTCGATATCCGAGACGGGCGAGGGAAGAGCATTCTCTGGGTGCTGGATCTGAAAACCGCCAAGGTTCAGGCCGAAAGGAGCCGCCAAGGGGCCCTCCACGAAGACAATGTCGGGATGAGCAATCTTGATAGAGGCAGACATGTTCTCCTCCATCTGGCTGAGTCTCCACACCTCGTTGTAAGGCATTTCGCCAATCAAGAGATGGTAAAACCAGGACTGCCAATCAATAATTTAGTATATAATCTCACGAGGTATAAATGAAGGAGTGACGGATATGTGATTCATACCCTGGTATGGGCGCGCGGAACAGGTATTTTCGTCTCGATGAGCTCACGGTTCCTATGGAAAACTCAAAATTAGCTTTGATCGTTATCAGCCATTGGTAATGCACACTTGACTCACAGGTCATCAATACGGCTGTTGAGGAAATTGATTAGCTCAGCCTGCGCTGTGACTGTATGTCTCAGTCCGATGCATGATGGCTTCGCGCAGATGTCATTGTTGGCGGGATCATCAGTGTCCGACATGCTTTATGCACGCAGAATGGTTGCAAGATGCGAATGCTAGAAGATCTAATGTTAGTTTCAGGTCCTCAGAAAATAGAGTGAAAACCAAGGCTGTGTATTCGATCATATGAAGAAAAATTAGGAAAGGGTGATAGGCTGGTCAAATCCGAGAAAGCTCACATACCTTCTTCTCGCTGTGAAGTGATCAAGATCTCAAGGCTACCAAATGCGTTGTGATGAACTTCTATACTGTGATTGTGCACCAATGAGTGGGAAAGATATTATGTGAGGAAGATACTTGCAAGGATTGTGAGGCAAGATACTTGTGAGGCTTGTGAGGAGAGATGCTAAGCTTGCTGCTGCTAGAAGAAGATGTTTGCCAGTCGCTGCTTATACTGGTGAAGAGAATGGCACACGGTAGTTGATCATCTGCATGTGAATGCCGTTCAAGTTGAGATGAGAAAGTGGAGGAGATGACTGGTCTTGGAATGGAACCACGCTTTTGAAGATTGCCCAGGGAAAGGAATTGAGGTGCTCAAGGAAAGAAGGAAAGAAGTAAAGAGAGACCTCGGTCAATGAGGGAAATGAATGAGGTCAAGTATTGATCATATATCTCCAGGGGAGATTGAGTGAAAGGGTGATCTGATAGCAAGAAGAGGCGAATTGGGAAGGACCCGGGATCGTGAATGTGGGATTGAGGAGAAATGAGGATCAACAGAGAGGCTTCTGATGAGAATAAAATTTGTGAAGCAGAAGGATGTGGATTGAAGATGCTGTAAAAGATATTGATCAGAAAACCTGATTGAGAAATAGTGATCAAGAAGAAGTTGAAGGGGCCGCTTGAGGAGACTGATCGAGAAGAAGTGGAAGGTGCTGGTCAGCACCAAGAAGGAAGAGATCAAGAAGAATCTGATCTAAATGAATCTGATCCAATCGTGATCTATTCCAAATCATCACGAGCATGAGAGCAGGGCTGAAGTATGAACGGACTGAATTGAGACTTGATCAAAGGTGATGTTCATCACGGATCAGTAGATGATTTGAGATGCAGACGTGTTATCCCACTGTCTAGTCCGGATCTACTGATTCTCACATTACTTATTTCCTCAAAATATTGTCCAGTCAAGGTGTGACTATTGATGCTCCCTGCTGCATGCTTGTTCACTTTTGCTGCAGCAATGATCAAGTCTTGCATCAGATGTTAGTGCAATACCCTCAGAGATATGAGGAAATGCGTGACCTTTTTAGGACAACGTCTCGAATTTATCCCACTTAACCTACAGGGAGTATTCCTTTCAAAACTTCAATCTCTGCCGAACGTGTCGTTCCTTGGCCGCCGCGATCTGCGGGAGTCTTCGGTCCGCTCGGATCGGGGCTGAAGTGGCACCAAGCGGGGCGTTTTCTTTAGCGGCCGGTCTCCCGGGGCGCACGGGTCCCCCATCAGCCCTACCCCATCATGAATCATGTCGTCACCATCGTCTGTTTCATCTCACATGCAGTAAGACGGGACACATAACACCTCCCTCGTATCATACATAAAGGGAAACCTCCCTTCCAAGCCCATAGGAAATATATCTCCATGCCCCCCAACCACAAATTGCTGATCGCGCTCTCCTCCACCGCAGAAGTGAAGCGGACATAATAAGACGAAGAAGGGAAGACACCAAAACAGCAAGCCAGAAGAATGTCGTTCCTCAACTCGCTCCTCCGCGCGACAAACTTCCGCAGCCCGCTGCTGCGCACGCTCGTGCCCAGCGTCGGCGCCGCCTTCGCCATCCAGGCCGCCTTCGCCGTGCCCTCCATCCTCGCCCAGTCGGAGCGCTTCTACGACCTCTCCGGCTCCCTGACGCACCTGACCGTCATCGCGCTGAGCCTGTACCTGCCCGCCCTGCGCGCGCGCGCCGCGGGCGGCGCGCCCCTCCAGCTGCCCAGCCTGCTCGAGCCCTTCACCAACCCCTCGGGCGCGGCGCTGAACTGGCGCCAGGTCGCGCTGAGCGGTGCGGCCGCCATCTGGACGATCAGGCGTACGTGTGGACCAACCCAACCCATTTCTTAGATTACTCCGATCGCATGAGATAGAGCCCACGCTCTTGCTGACATGACCCTTTCCCTCGACACATAGTCGGGAGCTACCTCTTCCAGCGCATCACCCAGCAGGGCAGCGACTCGCGCTTCGACGAGATCAAAAAGTCCCCGCCCAAGTTCTTCGCCGCCTGGATGGCGCAGGCGACCTGGGTCTCGCTCGTGCTCATGCCCGTCGTCGCGCTCAACTCGGTGCCCGCCGCGGCGCTGGCGTCCGCGGGCGCCCTCGTGGGCCTGACCGACGCGCTGGGCCTGGGCCTGTACGCGGGCGGCCTCGGCTTCGAGGTCGTGGCCGACCGGCAGAAGAGCCGGTGGATGGCCGAGAAGAAGGCCAAGCAGCACGACGAGGAGTTTATGACCCGGGGCTTGTGGAGCACGAGGTAAGCCCTTTCTCCTAGCTGGCGGCGGTACCAGGTTCATCTCAAGGAAGGGCACGGTAGCTGATCAGAAAAAAAAAACAATAGTCAATTCCCCAATTATTTCGGCGAGTCGACGCTGTGGACCGGCATCGCGACCCTCGCCGCCGGCGCCCTTGCAAGCAAACCGGCCCAGGCGGCGCTGGGCTTCGGCGGCCTCGGCGGGAGGCTGGGCGTGGCGGCCTTGGCGGCTGTGAGCCCGTTGTTCACGACGTTCCTCCTGCTGAAAGTGAGCGGTGTGCCGTTGAGCGAGAAGAAGGTTAGTGCAAAGGTCACAAGGCCGACTTTCCACGGATCATGCATGCTAACTTGTGTGTGATTCAAGTACGACAAGCGATACGGTGACAGGAAAGACTACCAGCAGTGGAAGAAGAACACGCCGAGGTTTGTCCCGAAGCTCTTTTGAGCAATGAAATGGGGAATACGGTGGAGGTCTATTAATTCTACAGGCTTGTCCCTGAGCTTGAACAGTTCAGAGCTTTATGCAAAGGCCATGTTGTACTTGGGCTCATGTTGAAGCTGTTGAATGCTGACGTCTGGGATTTCCTCGATCTCTCTGGTCTTGTTTACAGACAAGGTGTGGACACTGGGTTTGACAATCATGAGGATATGAGAACGAACAAGACTGTCAAAATAGCCCCAATGAGCCTTTTGCGCGCTTAGACATCCGAAACTGCGTAGCATGTGAACGCTTTTAGCCCGGTAGGAGAGATCTTTGTTTAATAAAGCCTCTCGTCCAACCCGATTGATATGATACGATCTTCCCGGACCACATTGACGGCGAGGTCCAGCCCTCCTTGAGACCGCGACCTCCTTACGATCACAGCTCTCGACAAGACACTCTCTCAGACTTCCACATATGTTGTTGATCTGTTTCTCCATTCATACGCAATTCTTCCTCGCTAGGCTCGCTACATCTCCGTCAAGAGACATAAAAGGCCACAAAACAGACGCCGGTATGCCCTCCCCTGACCCAGTGAAAAATAAAAAGCCCGACGCAAACAATGCAAGTAATCGCTGTTGATCTAAGTACACGCTCCCCCATTCTTCACAGTGATTCTGTCTAATCACTTTGGGCCTCCACCGCCAAAACTTTCTCCTCTCCTCTCCAATCTCCATCTCCATTACCCCAACGCCCAGCCAAACCTAACCTAACCTAGCTAAGGTCGAACCCAGCCCCCGACGTGACGGCGTACAGCAGCTTGCTCTTCAGCACCTCGGCCGTCTCGTACTGCGGCAGCTTGAGCAGGTTGACGCACGTGCTGGCGCTCGGCAGCCGGTCCTGGTCCCTGCCGCCGTCCCGGATGCTGAACTTGGGCTCGAGCTGCGCGAAGCCCAGGAGCGGGGCCCGCGGCGTCGACGTGACGTACTTGAGCACGTCGCGGCGCTCCTCGTCGCGCAGCTCGTGCATGACGCGCCAGAAGAGCCGGACGGTGGGGTGCTCCTGGCCGTCGTCGCCGACGGCGTACAGGCCCGAGTAGACCGTGTGGCGGCGCAGGTCCTCGACGTCGATCTCGGACGAGTCGCCGCCCACGAGCCGCTGCAGCTCCGACTGGTTGAACATGGACAGCCAGGCCGGGTCGATGATCTGCGACAGGCCGCGGATGAAGGCGCGCGTCTGCGCCCAGGGCTGCCGCGCGAGCCGGTGCCGCGCCACGTACGAGATGTACAGCGGCCGGTTCTCGTTGGTCACGGGCTGGTGCTCGCCGCCGGGCACGAGCTCGCGCGTCACGGTCCGCACGGGCTCGCCGGGCTGCGAGACCTGGTCGCTGATGGTGAAGTCGAGGCCCAGCTCGGCCACGTCGCCCGGGTAGTGCTTGAGCTGCAGCATGCCCTGGTAGAGCTCCTCGTCCAACTCGCGCAGGTCGTTGATGTTGGCGCGGGGGGTCGTCGAAGAGTCTGTGCCCGCCCAGGTCCAGTTGAGGAGAAAGAAGCCCGCGAAGGCGACATCGATAAGTATTCCCTCGTACAGACACTTTCCCACCACCCGACCGAGGAACTCGAACCGCTCAAGGAGGTTCTTGATATGCGCGTTCCAGCCTTCGGAGTCTTTCGGGACCCCTGCAGCACGAAGGGTTTCTGCGGCCTGGTCGAGAGCACAGGGGTTGGGATACAGCGCGTTGTGGCTGTTGCTAACAAACAAGGCATGCTCGTTGCTAAAGGCCTCTCGTGTGACGCTGACCAGAAACTCCTTTGTGACACCTCCGCCGTCGATGCCGGCCTCTTCGGTGTCGAACTTGTCCATAAAAGTAATCTGGATTGGCTCCTTCAGACCTTCTCCGAGAGGGAAAAACTGCCGGAACGCATCCGTGAAGAGCTGGCCGCGTTTGATGGTAGCGGTATGTTTGCCCAGGACCTGTCTCATGGCAATGTTGTTTGGATTCCAGCCTCCTCCGTTTTGGCTGACCATATACATGCGCCACTGATCGGGGTCAATGTTGCCATGTCTCCTCCTGTGCTTGTCGAGAAACACAAACTGTCGGAAGATCTGCACCCTGATGTCGAAGGGGATCACATAAGGCATGTTCTTCAGAACAGCCAGCTTGGGGCCGATGAGGGCCAGTGTCCTCTCCCGCTGGGCTTTCCTTTGACGCTGCCTGAACGATTCCATCATGGCATATCTCGACCGGCGCTGGCCGGCCAGAGTGATGGCTTGGTGGTCGACGTCCATAGCGTCGTTGTCCGCGTCTTGATCATCATCACCATCCTCGGTGTCTCGCATGTCGGCTTGTTGCTCCTGCTCGAGGACGACAGCGGACAGGAAGGCCTCCATATCAAATTTGGACGTCATCAGCCAGTGACCCGCAGGCAGGAACGGGCGACGAGAGTCGCGCTCGTACAGCAGCCGGACACTCGTGGTCACGAGGGTTTTGAAGTCGGAGAAGTCCATTCCAGAAATCACGTTGAATGTCTGCGTATGTACCTGAGAGCCTGGCTGCGACCTGCCTGAGCTATCCTGGAGAAGCTCGGCTGCGTGGTATTGCAATGTGAAGGCTAGGTTCTTGAGGAAAAGCGTCAAAGATTTCAGCTCATCCAGCGTCATAGCACACTGCTGAACTCGGGATGGAGCGGCCCCCTCGGACAACCCAGCACGAAAGCCCGCACGAAAGTCTTCATCGTCGGTTAGCCTGAGAACAAAGATGTAAAGTTCCAAGAAAAGGAGAATAGTTCTCCACTCTCGGTCCCACACCGAATCATTGGCAGAGCCGGGGAAGTGATTTCTCTGTAGAAGAAAGGTGAGAGTTGCCTCGGGGTTGGAGACAACGCGGGCAAAGGCCTCTGTCTTCCGCACTGCATTCCAGAAGAACTTGACAGATGGGGTCCGTCCTTCCGTGGATGTGACGTCGGTCAGGTAGAGGCGCATGCGAATATCTTCTGCTTGGCTGGGGAAGCATCGCAGCAGGACAAGTGTGTAGCCTGCCAATAAGCTTGCAATGTCAACACTGTGTTCTGCAACTTTCGAGTGGTCTCTGCAGGTATTCCAAGTTAGCAGGAAAGGGACGAACCAGAACTTTCTCGGATGTGACTTACAACTTGAGTTGCTCTAGTAATAGGGAGAGCTCATCACGATCGACTAGAGACAAGAGGTGTTCCGACACAAAGGACGGCAGCGGAGAGCCAATCTGCTGATCATTATTGAACAGTTCGTCACCGCTAGGTTCGGGATTGCCCGACGTATCAAGACGCTGGCGAATATCACTGTTGAGCGCCGACAGCTGAACGTAGAGAGCCTTGAGGTACAGCATCTCTCGACGCGTATCTTTTTGGGCCTTCTGCAGGGCTATGAAGTGGGCGAGTAGCCAAAGCAAGTGGTCTCGCGACAGCTTCTCGAGTCGAGGCGAAGCATACAGTCGTAGTATGGCGAAAGCGAGCTTGCTTATGCTAACATGGCGCGCGAAAGTGCTCGTTTGAGATGACAGGCCCGGGGCGGAGATCAGGAGGACTGAGGCGAATGCTCCGTAAGCTTCTTGAAGCGTAACATCTGCTAGACTTATGGCTCTCTTTTCGTCTGCAGCCTGATGGGTTGGGGATGTTAGCCATGGCTCATGGTGCGCATTCGGCCCATCGAGAAGGCAGCCGGAAATAAGGGGCGCATAGGCAGCCTGCAACAGGAGTGTACGATCTTGAGTGCTGGGCTGTTGTTGGAAGTATTTTGATAACATATAGTAGTACTGTTGACACCTATCGACCAAGACATGGGGGTTTGCGTGGATGATTCGGAGGAGGAGCAGCAAGAGCTGGGGGTGGACGACAGGAGCGGACCTGGACGGTTTGAATGTATCTGTTAGTCGGGACTGCGACGATGTGACAAGGGTTTGTTCAGATGGGAGCTTACTGCTGGAGAGCCTCGACCAAGGCTTGAAGGATCTGTCTTTGGCGTGCGAACGATTTGCATCCCCCCTTCTCTAGGTCGGCCACGAGGAGGCCCAGACGCTCAAGGTCGGTCTTGTTGGAGGCGTCGAAGAAGGCGAAGAAGAGGGGCAGAGCGAGTTGGAGCCGTAGGCCGAGTCCATCGGCTTCTCCGGAGCTATAGAGCTCGTCGAACTCGGCCCGGCGCGTGTTCTTGACGCTCTGCCGTACCGCGTGGCCTCTCCATGAGCGCTGGATCTGCTGGGCGGCCTTGAGGCGGTCCCGCTCGACCTGACGCTGGCGGCGCTCGGCCTGAGCATCGGCGACGGTCTTGGAGGCACCGGCGGCGGCGGAAGGAGAGAAGGCAGTGGCGGCGAAGGGGTTCTTGTTCTTCTGGCCGCTGAGGTTGACGTTCCGGGTGCGGCGGGAGTTGCCTGTGAAGGTGGGAAACATGATAGTGGGGTTGTCGAGTTACCTAGGGAAGGCGACGAGGAAGGACGACAGCTACCAACGGAGCACAAGCAAGCTCGGAGCCTGTGCTGATCACCTGGCCGGGGATGCGATAAGGTGCAAGTGAAGGTTGGTTGCCGACATTGATTCGCGAAGTCCTGGTTGCGAGGAGGACTCGGTGTTTGGAGGTGGGTTTTTCTAGATAAGGAGTCATGCACTGGGGCTTGAAGGAAGGGCAGCAGATGCCTGCGCATTAAACTTGGGTGTGAGGTTGTTGATATTGCATGTATGCGACTCCAACTGGATCTAGCTGGGGCGGGAATGACTGATTGACCACCCGTAGCAAGCGAGCTTTTGGCTTCTAGAAAGTTCAGGCTTGCCTGCTGGTGAGTCAGGGAGGCGAATCCAGAGTCCCAGGCTCACCAGGTTCCAGGCGACCAGTCCACTAAAGTGGAAGCCATACCGCCAAAGTACAGGGGGTCTCACAGCACAGTTGCATCCAATCTGAACTGTCAATCCAAGTAGTTAGTCCAGTAGTGTTCGTTATCGATAACAACCTCGACCTCGATAACGATAAGGCTCATAGGTACCAGACCAGGCACAAAAGCACGGCAGGTACCCTTGCGGGCCATCCTACCCCAGTAAATACATGCCAGAATAAAGAAGGGTCGCACTTGGTGGGTTTTCTTCAAGAGAATATTGTACAAAGGCAGAAGTACTTAATCTCTGGAAGCAGCTGCGAGAAGAGAACGCGGCAGTGAGTGCAGGCAAGTGTAAACCTTTAACTGATTTACCTATGTACTTTCAGGTACATAATCCCCAGCTACGGAGCACCAAAATGGCTCAAAATGTGTAAACACGCATTGGGATAACCTCGCGTGCCTGCTATATCATTTGCTCGGTGCTTGGTTGCACCTCAGGTAAGGCACACACACCTTGCCAATAATACTAAGAAATTCTTGAGACGCACATGGTGAGGGCCAGAAATCATCTGAAAGGTATCAGGCGTAGGAGTGCTACAGCGGGTGGCGGTACGTACCTTCTGCTCACACCCACACACAGTACAAGTAATGCACGCCCACACCACCTTTTGTGGGAAATTTTTCATTTCACTGGCCACCGCCAAATAGAGTGGTGGTACCTCCTCTCTTGGTAGCAGCAAAAGACCGCCCAGAAAAAAAAAAGCTAGAGCCAAGGGCCGTTTAAATAATTTTTGTCTACCCTCATTTTCTCTCTCCCCTTCCCACCGACTTCACACGACCCTTTTACCACAAAGAATCGCAATCCCCTCCCAGGTTCAGATTTGCAGTACGGCTTCCGTACGCGTCTCATCTGTCCGAAAAGAGATCTTTTTCTCTTCATCACAAACTCACAAAAAAAATTGAAAATCCAGAAAAAAAAGATACCTTTCAACATCCCTCAGTCCCTCCCCAGGAGACCTTTCGCCTGTCAACCCGACAATTCTTTCTTCAAGAACCATCCATTGGGAAAGACCTTTATCCAGCACCTTTTCCTTCCTCAATCATCGCCTATCACTGAAGTCTTTGGTTTGATCCACCGGCTTCATATATCAGAAGACTTCTTCCTATCCGAAGCAGTCTCATCATTCCCAGGTTTCTCCTTCAAGGTAGCCACTCCCCCCCGAATCCCACCTCCGACCTTCGCTCTTGCGACAGACAGCAGCACAGGAGCACGCGCGATTCACTAGGCGCTGCTCCCCGATACGCCTTCATCATCTGTCCAATACATTTTTACTAATCGTCTGCTCGTACCCTGCAGGACTTTTCGCGTCTTTGAAACCAACCCGTAACAATGGCTTCCAACGGCGCTGTTGACCAGCTCGCTGCCGACCTTGGCAACGCCTCCCTCAACGGTGGCGAGAAGAGCGCTCCTGCCATCAACACCAACGTCGAGGCTGGCAACTTCCAGGGCGACGATGCCGATGCCTCGGCTCCCACCCCCAGCTCGGCCGCCCCCAACCCCCAGGCCTCTGCCTCCCTCTATGTTGGCGAGCTCGACCCCTCCGTCACCGAGGCTATGCTCTTCGAGCTCTTCTCCCAGATCGGTTCGGTCGCGTCCATCCGTGTCTGCCGTGATGCCGTTACTCGCCGCTCTCTCGGCTACGCCTACGTCAACTACAACACCACCGCTGACGGCGAGAAGGCTCTCGAGGAGCTCAACTACACTCTGATCAAGGGTCGCCCCTGCCGCATCATGTGGTCCCAGCGTGACCCTGCCCTGCGAAAGACTGGCCAGGGCAACGTCTTCATCAAGAACCTCGATGTCGCCATCGACAACAAGGCTCTCCACGACACCTTTGCCGCTTTCGGTAACATCCTCAGCTGCAAGGTTGCCCAGGACGAGGCTGGAAACTCCAAGGGCTACGGTTTCGTCCACTACGAGACCGATGAGGCTGCCGCCCAGGCCATCAAGCATGTTAACGGCATGTTGCTGAACGAGAAGAAGGTCTACGTCGGCCACCACATCCCCAAGAAGGACCGCCAGTCCAAGTTCGAGGAGATGAAGGCCAACTTCACCAACGTCTACGTCAAGAACATCAACCCCGAGGCCACCGACGACGAGTTCCGCGACCTGTTCGAGAAGTACGGCGATGTTACTTCGTCGTCGCTTGCCCGCGACCAGGAGACCGGCAAGAGCCGTGGCTTCGGCTTTGTTAACTTCACCACCCACGAGGCCGCCGCCAAGGCCGTCGACGAGCTCAACGGCAAGGACTTCCGCGGCCAGGACCTCTATGTCGGCCGTGCCCAGAAGAAGCACGAGCGCGAGGAGGAGCTGCGCAAGTCGTACGAGGCCGCTCGCCTTGAGAAGGCTAACAAGTACCAAGGTGTCAACCTCTACATCAAGAACCTCGATGACGACGTTGATGACGACAAGCTGCGCCAGATGTTCTCCGAGTTCGGCCCCATCACCTCCGCCAAGGTCATGCGCGACTCTTTCTCCGAGGAGGACGCCGCCAAGGAGGACGAGAAGAAGGAGAACAAGGAGGGCGAGTCCAAGGACGAGCCCAAGGAGCCCAAGGAGGCGACCGAGGAGTCTGAGGACAAGAAGTCGGACGACAAGGACAAGAAGAGCGGCGACAAGAAGCTCGGCAAGAGCAAGGGCTTCGGCTTCGTCTGCTTCAGCAACCCCGACGACGCCACCAAGGCCGTCGCCGAGATGAACCAGCGCATGGTCAACGGCAAGCCCCTCTACGTGGCTCTGGCCCAGCGCAAGGATGTCCGCAAGAGCCAGCTTGAGGCTAGTATCCAAGCTCGCAACCAGCTCCGCATGCAGCAGGCCGCTGCCGCCATCCCTCAGCAGTTCATGCAACCCCCTGTCTTCTACGCCGCCGGCCAGCAGCCCGGATTCGGCATGCCTCCCGCTGGACGCGGCATGCCCTTCCCCCAGCCCGGCATGGGTATGCCCGGCGCCCAGGGCGGTCGTCCCGGTCAGTTCCCCGGTGGTTTCGCCGGACAGCAGGGTGGCCGCGGTGCCATGGCTGGCCAGCAGATGCCTCCCATGTACGGCATGCCTGGCCAGTTCCCTCCTGGTGTCCCCTTCCCCCAGCCCAACAACCCCCAGTACCTCGCTGCCATGCAGCAGCTGCAGCAGGCTGCCATTCCCGGCGGTCGCGGTGGCCGTGGCCCCATGCAGTCGATGCCCGGCAACATGGGCCCCGGCATGCAGGGCTTCCCTCCCAACGCTCGACAGGGCCAGGGCCGCGGCGCTGGCGGTCGCAACCAGAACTTCCCCGCTGGTGCTCAGGCTGGCCGTGGCGCTGCTGAGGGCGCTTCTTCTGCTCTGTCGGCTCAGCTGCAGAGCGCTCCTCCTGCTCAGCAGAAGCAGCTTCTCGGCGAGGCCATCTTCCCCAAGATCTCGGCCATCCAGCCTTCTCTCGCCGGCAAGATCACCGGTATGCTGCTCGAGATGGACAACACCGAGCTTCTTGCCCTGTAAGTATCATTCGAATCCTACTGTTTCCACCGAAATCCCTCTTACTAATGAATACCTCAGGATCGACAACGATGACGCCTTGAAGGCCAAGGTCGACGAGGCTATGGGCGTTTACCAGGAGTACGTCAAGGCCCAGGGCGGTGAGGGTGCCGAGGGTGCCGAGGCCCCCAAGGAGGAGGCCAAGGCCGAGGAGAAGGCATAAGTCAAAGCTCGATTTGATGGAATGCCATGGATGATACCACTTCTTTCTCATTTTTAAAGCTATTCTTCCCTTTTTCTTACGGAATCTCGATTATTCCTCGCAAGGTCCGGCATTTGACTTGGGCTCGAGGCGGCGATCTCACGACGATCCTTCGGAAAAGTTTTGATACCGATGTTGCAGCGGGTGACTTGTGTTGCTCGCATGTCTGCCCAGCCTGGCAACGATAAAAGCACCTCTTGTACTTGATAGACTTGGCTTTCTGGTCGGACATCTGGTAAAAGGGGCGGTTCTTTCAGCCGCGACCCTTATCGGCGTTATATGGTTATGGATGTTTTTTTGGGCCAAGGTCTCTCTGATGCTCTTGACGGCGCTTTTTGCTGCCGCATCATCTGGTTCGATCTTGCAATACCCTCGCGGGTGGTCTCCTGCGCGGAGGACTATCATTTATTCCCCCCCTTTTGCAGTCTGCAAATCGCCTGTGTCCCTACAGATTGGGCTCTTGCAATTTGATAGAATAACGAGAAATTCTTAATGCTCTTGGTGGCTCGCTGTGCGTGCATGTATGATTTGCTTCTGGCTGGCTCATGGGCTCATCACGCACAAGATGAAGTGGAATGGGTGGTGGTCATGCAAGTGAAATTGGAAGAAATGCTAGCTTGTTTAGATACAAACAGGACGGATAGATAGCCCGTCCTTCTAGAGGTTCGTGTGTTAACTCCTAAATGTGGGAAGATGCAATGCGCCGCTGTCCGTGATACATACCCTTGGCTGCCTGTGTGTGTCTTTGGACTCTGGCTCGTCCCCGCCCAAGAACGCCTTTGTTCTCCGTCCTCCAACTCGTCGAATGGTGACATACATGATGTAGAGATGAGGAAGGGTTGAGAGGACTTGCCCTGGGGATAAAGAAAATGCAGATCCCAAAACATCCCATAAAGCCATGAATCGTGTTTTGTATCCCAAAAAAAGAAGAAAAGCAAAGAGAAAAAAAGGCAAGACGGGATTCAATTCGCCCCTCGCCTCACCCCGTTCATTATGATGATCCCGCAGACCCCGCAGCAGCGACATTCTCGATCCCCCTCCTCTTGTCGGCGCCGTACAGCACCTCCATGAGCCTGCTCTTCTGCCGCGTGCGCACGCCCTCGAGGTAGACGCCGACGTCCTCGAGCCCGCGGATCTGCTCCTCGACGCCGAGCAGCGTGCCGCCGCCGCCGCCGCCGCCGCCGCTGCCGTTGCCGCCGGCCGCGGCGCCGCGCACGAGCGGGCTCACGAGCTTGCGGCGCAGGCTCTCGAGGCTGGCCTTGAGCGCGAGCAGGCGGTGGTTGTGCTCGACCAATAACCCTTTATCGCGCACCGTGCGCTCCCGCACGTCGCGCAGCAGGTCCCGGTTGCGCTCGTACTTGCGCAGGTCCGCGGCGCGGGGGCCGAGGATGCGCGTCCAGAGGCCCGAGAGCAGGTCGGCGTGGCGCTCGTCCTGGGCCGAGACCTCGCGGGCGACGGCGCGGGCGAGGTTGAGGAACTGGCGGTCGATGGCCTCGAAGAGGGCGAAGAGGGCGAGGCTGTGCTGCAGCTCGGACGCGATGGCGTCCTCGAGCACGGCGAGGAACTCGGCGAACGTGCGCTGCAGGGCCGCGCGCGCGCGCTGCGGGCTCGAGGGCCCGAAGAGCGAGGCCGCCAGGGCGCCGAGGCGCGTGGGGCGGCCCGTCGCGGCGTCCTCGAGGACGCCCGCGGCGGAGAGCAGGTTGTGGATGTTGTCGTAGGCGGCGGCCAGGGGCGCCGGGGAGGCGGGGCCGCGGGCGGCCTGGGCGAGCTCGCGGCGGGCCCAGTCCATGACGATGAGGATGCTGTCGACGTCGCCGTCGACGTTGGCGAAGAAGCGCGTCAGCTCGACGGCGAGCGCCTTGAGGCTGTCGCTGAGGGCGTCGAGCTCGCGCACGATGATGGGCGCCGAGGTCATGTTGCTCGAGCGCACGCTCTCGCCGAGGTCCCAGACGGCGACGCCCGTGGCCTGCAGGTCGCCGACCTGCTGCACGCCGCTCTCCGAGTAGTAGATGAGGGGCTCGAAGGAGCGCGCGATGCCGGCGACTTTGACGAGGTCCGGCACGGGCCGGGGCGCCGCGGGCGAGAAGAGCGAGCGCAGGGCCGAGAGGGACAGGACGCCGACGAGGACGGAGCAGAAGAGGTGCGCCCAGGACCTGGTCATGGCGCGGACCCGGCGCCGGACAAAGTTGACGGCCGCCTCGACGGGCTCGGTTCGCTGGAGGACTTCTGCGCGGACGGCGAAGCGGATGTCTAATTAATTGCCTTTGTTAGTTCGTGGGGAGTTCGGTCGGTTGAGGGCTCAAATGGTGGGATTTTATAATTCAACCCATCCATCCCGTTTGCCAACAAAGGGAACAAAAGGGGGGGGGGGGGGGGAAACGTACAGTTCTCGGGCACGGCATCCCTCGCCAGAACAGGAACCTTGACATCATCCCCGTCCCCTTGCCCTTCCCTCTTGACCCCGGGCTCCACTTTCACCGTGGCCTCCTCCTCGGCGGCGGCGGCGGCCTCGGGCGGCTCGGGGCTCCTCTCCTTCTCCGGGCTCACGCTCCCCGTCGGCAGGCGCGTCCGCGCGGCCCGCGCCAGTATGTCGTCGACCTCGTCATCGGTGTCGCCGGGGCTGGACTCGCGCGACCCACGGCGGCCACCGCCGAGGATGTTATCCGTCTTGCGCCAGAAGCCGGAGCTGCGGTCGCCGTTGCCGAGGCGCCTCCACGCGGGCGGGCTGTACCCACCAGCCGAGTCCGAGGCCGCCTCGTCCCCCGCCGCGTAGTAGTGGTGATGATGCGGATGGTCGTCGTCGTCGTCGTCCATCATCATCATGCTCCCGTCTGTGTCGTCGTCGCCCGTCAGGAAGCCCGAGTGGGTCGGCGGGTAGAGGAAGGGGGGCCGGGGCCGGGAGGGGCTTGTTGTTGAGGGCGCGAAGCCGGGCGGCGAGGCGTCCGAGGCGGCTGCTGCCATCCCGTCGGTTTTCTTTTTCCTCCTCCTCCTCCTCTGCTGTCAGCTGGGTGGTGGTGGTTGTGGTTGTGGGACTGCTACTGCGACTACCGGCGGCTAAGATGGCGGCCAGGCGGCTTTCTCTCTTCTTCTTCTTCTTGTGTGGTTTCGCCGCCGGGAGGGCTGGCAGCGGACGGCGGTACAGGAGCCGGTTGTCGTCGTGTTCGTCGTCGTCGTCGTCCTCCTCCTCGGGTAGTTCGATAACTCGCGGGTCGATCTCCGCAGTCGCGACAGTGGCCGCAGCAGTCTTGCGCTTCCAGAACACGGGGAAGCTGGGCAGGGCGGGCGTGCGGGGCAGGTAGAGCGACAGGAAGACCAGCGAGAGGGTCAGCGATGCCAGGAAGGTGCTCGGGGCGATGTTGACGGTGAGCAGCGAGACGTTGTTGTTCACGGTCAGGAGCGAAGGCATCTGGAGAACCCGCGCGGGCGGGCCGGCGAAAAAGAGCCCAGCAACGTCCCCTGTCGCAAAGGAGTCCGGCGAGGGCTCAGTGGTGGTTCGGGCCGTCGAGTGAGTAGGTGAATTGCGCTCTCTCTCTCTCTCTCTCGCACTCAATGGGATGAATAGATAGATAGACGGGCAATGCTGATTTGGCGGGTGCCGAGTTCGCCAAGTCTATGTGAAAGATCTCCAGAGCGTAGACGTTTTCGATCGTATTGAAAAGGTAAGAGAAAGAATTCGAGGTAGATTCGAGTACAAGTTCAGCTGTTGGGTGCCTGGGGGGGTGGTTCCGTCAAGGGTGCATGCTTGGCCGTGGTTGGTGCTTGTAGGTAATGAGGGCCCGCGTCCGGTGTAAGTCGAGAAACTCAGCACCCCTTGTCACAGCCAGCCGAGGAAGCATGCAAAGAAGAATCCTACTGAATGTATGTCACCTACAACAAACTACTTGGGAGACAAAGGAAACATTCAACATCTATCTCTTTCGAAAAATGGTAGGGCCGCACGCACCCTCCTCGCCAGGGAGGGCCATGTGGTGGAAATCGAGAGGCTGGGAGAGGCCCGTCGTTTCAAGTTCGAACACAACCACAACCGTGGACCTCCTCCGCGGCCCAATCACCACCCATCACCAACCACGCAAGGGAGTGGCCTGGCCGTCTTTCGAGGCCCGCCCCCCCCCCCTCTCTCTCTCTCTCTCGCCTCTTTTTGTCTTTTCCTTGTCTCCCCTCCCCGCTCCTCCGGCCCCTCCCTCCCACCCCCCCTTTCCAGCCACGGCCGGGCGAATCCTGTGTCTCGGATCCCTCGAATTGTTTACACGACGGACGGGGCCCAACTAGTTAGCTCGGACGGCTTGCTCTCAAAGTTGAGTGCTTGCATGCCGAATTCACACCTTCTGATAGGGCACGACGAACCGGAACGGTTCCATTGCATATATATACATATGCATGCACGCACTTCTGGGCAAACAGGAAGAGAATCGCGAGCCTGTCTGTCTGTCTGTCCAGTAGCAGCCAGCTCTCCTGTAAACAAATGGTAAACAAATGGTAAACAAATGGTAAACAAAAAACAGAAAAAAAGCCATCATCTGAACACCAGTCCGTCCTCTGTCGTGGCCCGATGACATGTTGAAGCTGCCCGCCCCCTCACTCACTGGCTTACCTTTGATTGTGTCATGGAATGAATGCACCATGACCGACAAGTCAGCAACTGCCTAGCCTTTAGGCGACTTCGCGCGAGAACGATAGACTACACACATTACCTGGACTTAGCAAGAACTCCAGCCACAGGCTTTTTCAGTCACCAGAAGAAAAAAAAAAAGAGGTGTATCATCTTTCTAACATTCTGAGTGAGATCAGGCACACGGGCCTGACAGAGCCAAAAAAAAAAAGAAAAGTGAGCAAACGCCCCCCTCAAAGCACAAAGAGCCCTCGGCTTCCGCCCCCTCCTCCCCAAAGCTACCTACGGATGGATGAAAAGGGTTTTGCTATAACGCTATCAATAAGTCTCCTGCTATATTTCCGTCCTGATTGCTCCCCTCCCCCAATCTCCTTTCCTCCCCAAAAAAAGTAAAAAGAGGCGAAAACCCATAGAGCCAAGCCAAGCCAGATAGAACACACACACACACCCGTAATTTTAGTCAATCTTCGCGCTCGCAAGAGACTTGGCCGTCGGGTTGCTCAGGTTGTTGACCTGGTTGACGGCCGGCCGCTTGTACTTGCCCTGCTTCCGCAGCCGCTTGCGCGCCACCATGACGGGCACCGAGCTCTTGGTGACCAGGTAGTTGGAGAAGGACCCCAGGATGACACTATTCGTTCGTATAGTTCAGACTTGTTAGCACACACTCTGTGTCTCTGTCTCTCTCTTCGGAAGAATTCTGCGGGACAACTTACCCCTTCAGAGCACTCCTCCCGCGGCTGCCCAGGATCACCAGCGTCGGGTTGACCACGTCAATGACCTCCGTAATCAAATGCTTGGGGTTCTTGCAGTGCAGCACCTCGACGATGACGCGCACCTGCAGCCTCGTCTTGCGCAGCAGCTTCGTCACCCGCTCCGTGATGTCCTGGATCGCCCGGAACCGCTCCTCCTCGGCCTTGGACCGCTCCCGCACGCTCGGCGCCGGCGACGACGCCACCTGCGAGAGCTCCTGCGCCCGCGTCAGCGGCCTGCCCCCCGCCGCGCCGCCGAGCGTCATCAGCGGCAGCTGCGTCGTCGACGGCGGCGCCGACGACGACCCCGACCCCGACCCCGCCGCCGCCGCCGCCGCCGTGCTGCTGTTGTTGGTGTTGTTGTTGTTGTTGTTGGCCACGGCGTTGATGGCCGCCGCCTGCTCCTTCATGGCGCCCGGCTCGTCGGGCACCAGCGCCCCGTCGCCCGTCACGATGCCCGTCTCCTCGTCGACGCAGTACAGCGCGATCAGCGTGTCGCCGTCGCGCAGCACCGTGCCGATCGCCCACTCGAGCGCGTGCGTCGACTCCTCGCTCATGTCCGTCGCCACCAGGTACTTGCGCAGCCGCATGTGCTCCTCCTCGGCCTCCTTCTGGATCTTGCCGTAGTCGCCCCGGTAGATGATGCGGATCGCCCGGTGCGTGTCCGGGTTCGACATGACGGGCGTCGTCGAGAACGACAGCTTCTGCGCCCGCTTGATGTCCGTGTAGTCCTGCTCCTCCTCCGAGTCCATCGGCGTGCGGGACCCAGACCTCGACGGCACATCGAAGCTCGTAGACGGATGCACCCCAGACTTGTCCTGCTTGACCTTCTCCCCGGACGGGTTCGTGACCGTGATCTCTGGCTCGTCAAAGAGCGACCTGTACTTGTACGCCGGCTGCGACGCGGCCACCTGTTTCCCTGTAGCAAACACAACACACAAAAATAAATCAATTTCACAGCTCTTTGTACAAGTGGATGATCACTACCTCGGGGGACCCAACTTACTCTCTTCTTCGGCAGCCGCCAGGAGGCTGAGCGTCTTCCGGGCCTCCTTGGTCAAGGCGGGATCCGGGTCCGAGCCGGTCGAGGGGCGCTCCGTCTTCCTGCCACGCTCGCCTTCCTCGTCCGTCGAACTGGGCCCGTCGTCGTCGCTGCTCTCCTCCGGGAGGGCCTCTCCGTCGGGCGTGAAGTAGACCTTAGCCAGCCGGCCCGTGTTGGACTGCTCCTCCGACTGCTTCCTCCGCGCCAGCTCGCTAAGACTGCCGCCGCCCCAGGCGAGGTTCGCGTCCGACAGGCGCCTGTAGGCGTGGTTGATGTCCACCGTGCGCCCGTCGTCGAGCACGGCCCGCCCGGCCGGGCTCAGCTGCCGCCCGGAGAGCAGCGCGGGGGACTGCGAGCGGACGCCCAGGCGGTTGTGGGGAGACTTGGACTTTCCGCCGGCGGCGCCGGGTCTGCCCGTGGCGCCGCCGGTGGACGAGTGCCTACCCCTCTCGCCGGGGAACACGAGGTTCGACAGGTCCCCGCTGCGCAGCAGCTCGGCCATCGAGTTGCTGGCGCGCTTGCCTCCCTGGCTCACCCGCTTGGGCAGCGCCGGGCCCGACTTGCTGGTGATGATGTCGGAGAACTGGTAGGCGGCGGTGGGGTCCTTGCTGCGCGACGTCGACCAGGGGCCCAGGTCGGCGGGCGGCTTGGACGCGGCGTCCGACATGCTCCGGGTGTGCGACAGCACCGAGCCCTCGGGCGAGGAGCCGCGCTCGCTGAAGGTCTGTCTCGTGGCCGACGGGGGCGGGCTGTCGACGTCCAGCAGGCTGCGGGTCGCGGGCGCGGGCGCGGGCACGGGCCCGCCGATGTCGAGCATGCTCCGGACCGGCGACCGAGGAGTGGTGAAGGGGGACGAGGACCGCACGTCGTTGGCGCTGTCGGACCTCCTAGCGGCGGGGCGCCTCTCGAGCAAGGCCAGGACCTCCCTACGCTCCTCGTCTAGCATCGCCTCCATGGACATGGCTTGATGCGACATGCTGGAGGGCTTTGCCGCGACCTATTCAGGCCGCCTGTGTTTTGTTTTTGAATATCGTTGCAGAGGGTTTGCGAGGCTTTCTCAAGGCCAGATGCGCAGGTTGCGCAGGGTGCGCAGAGAAATGCGAATCTCCCAAAGTGAGGGGTCGGGAGGATGTCGATTGGACGCGGGAACGTGACAGCTTTGTCTTATCTGCCAAGAGTCGAGTCGGTATTGCGTGTGTGCGTGTGCGTGAGCGTGAGCGTGAGCGTGGGTGTGTGTATGTATGTATGTATGTGGGAATGGAGGAGAAATGTTCCAAGGTTCTGTCGTACAGCTGGAGCCTCTGCTCGTTCTAGCGGGGGATGATGGTTGGCGGTCGGGGATGGAAATCAATTCGCAGACTTCGCATGTTGTTGTTGCAAAGAGCTGTCTGTGGCTGTGGCAGAAGGGGGGTCTCTCCTCTCTGGAAGGTCTTAGAACATGACTTGACTCTGAGGGCGTGTCGAATGCGCTGTCCGTCCTGTGTGCTGTGTGCTGTGTCCTGTGGGCTGCCCTCTGCCCTGTCGTCCAGTCGAGGGTGCCTAAACGGGGTGGCGGCCTCGACTTGTGAATGCCAAGATCCTGCCTCGACGAACTAACTAAAACGTGCGGCAGCAGCACCACCGCCAGCCCGCCGACGATCCTCACGGAGAATAAAGGGATGATGGTGACGCCTGCCAAGCGCGAGGCGATCAGTGGTGAGACGCAAAAGACGCGAGCCTGCAGGGCGGAGCTGGTACACTTGTTTCTCCTCTCTCGAGAAAAAAAGATGCCGGCCTGCTGCTTTCTCGGTGTTTTTGGAGTTGCGAGTTTCGGATCGGGTGGAGGAAGAGTGTCGTCGACCAATGGCCCCAAAGTCCAAAGTCCCTCGGGCCAGTCAGGTCTGGTCAATTGAATCAAACCACCCCGACACCACCACCAACAGGCCGACAGTGGCCCCAGCCAGCCCGCTGTTGTCGCTGAGGTGCCCCGCTTCAGGTCGTTTTCAGGGCCCAAAGCTCCCCCCGCTTCAGCTTCATTCAGTACAAGGGCTGCTCCCGAGGTCAAATCTAGTCGAGACTAGCAGTGGGCGAGGCCTGAATTGTATCCATCCATCCATTGATCCATTTGCATCTTTTTACGGGCGGGTTTCAAAGCCGGAATTGTCGAATGAGAACTTGGAGCTCGTAAGAAGCGTCAACGGCCCAGTTTTACCAGTACAAGTACAACAGGACGGATCGTCTTTACCTCCGCTGTTCGACGCCCAGCGTACCGACCAGCCCGGTGCTAGAGCAGCGCATCTCAGAGTAAGCCAAGGCTGTACCTAGTTACCTACCTCTAGGTCGTAGATAACAAGGCGTCTTGCAAGTCTAGAACGTGATTAAACTCCCACTAGCACCCCTTTGCTGCTCCATCTTTGGAGCCTCCGCCGTCATAACGCGGTCATGTGGCATGATTCAAGACTCAACAAGGGAGAGAGGCCGGCCTTGCTTGGTCCCAAGGCTGTGCAATAAAGAGTTAGTGTGGATAGTAGTAGTGATGAGTGCAGGCTCAGAGATACGCTCAACTCAATTCTTCCGAAAAGGGATCGAGATACCTTTCCACAGCCTTCTCACGAATTGATTGGCCGATCTGAGAGGAGCACAATATGACTGCTTTGCTTTGTTCAGTTACTCATTGCGTTCTATGAAAAATGTATTGACTCGCTGCCACGCATGGCAAGTGCTGCTTTTTGGTAATACAGTTCTATGATACAGGCTCTCTCATACACACACACGATAGACACACCTCCCTCGCTCTTGCTCGAGGAATGAGGGTACGTCTCTCTCTATACACACATCCTCTCAAAACCCAGCGTGTAGCCCCCCTCCACCAAAGACATTTCATCTCAAACAACCAATCACTTCCTCCGCAGAGCCAAGTGGTTCAGGTTCGCTCTGGCGCTGGTGCCGAGCTTGTGCACGATCTGCCTCTTGTCCCACACCGACGACCGGCCCTCGATGACGGCGACCAGCTCCTCGGCGACGCGGTGCGCAAACATGGTCCGCCCGCTGCCCTTGGACGGCTTCTTGTTGACCACGTCGAGGATCCACATGAAGGCCTGCCGCCGCCGCTGCCGCAGCTTGAGCGGCGTCGGCACGGGCAGCGCCGTGCCGCCGCCCGCGAGCCCCGCGAAGGAGCGCACCTTGACCAGCGGCGCCACCGAGTCGATGGCCAGCGTCAGGTAGAGGACCGGGTTGAGGGGCAGGTGCGACGGCGGCGGCGCGCCGGGGAGGAGCGGCCGCGCCGGGTTGATCTTGGGCACGGGCGACGTCCGGAGGTAGTTGAGGATCATGGACATGTCCTATTGGAGGATAGAAAAATAAAAGCACCGTCGTTAGCAAAAAGTTCATCCTAGCCCCCCCCCCCCCTGACAGAGACCAAAAAATGCCTTTTGCAGGTATAGTCAACTGCCCCCCCATCAACAAGTAAAATAAAGAAAAACTCACCCTCTGGGCCTTGCTCAGCTTGCCGTCCCGCATCAGCAGCTTCGTGATCTGCGTCAGCACCGGGTCGTAGCGGTCCTTGAGGTGCATGGACGGCGGCAGCCTCCTCTCCGGCAGGCCGAACCTGTGCCCCTCCACGGCCGGGTCGAAGGGGTCCAGGCCCTGCGCCATGAGCTCCAGCTGGCGCAGCGCCTCGCCGTTCCCGGGCGCCTGCGCCTCCGCCGGCCGCGCCTCCGCCAGCCTGCCCGCGCTGAGCATCGAGAGGGGCATCGTGCTGCCGTCCGCGCTGTCGGGCGCCGACGACGTCAGGGCGTTGGAGTTGTTGCTGTTGTTGGGTGACGGCGAGGCGGTGGACCTGGAGGCGGCGTCGTCGGCGAAGCCCCTGGCCAGGGCGGCGATGATGCGCGGCTGCTGTTGCTGGCGCTGCTGCCATTGCGCGGCGGCCGGCCGTGACCGCACGGCCAGGGTGCGGCAGGCGCTCCACAGGTTCAGTCGTGGAGGCATTGGTGGTGTTGTGCTGTGTCGGGAAAGGGGGGGAAAAGGCAGCCTCTTCCGTGGCGGCGGTTCCTGATCACAGACGGACGGGCTGGCAGACGCAATTTTTGTGTTGGAGAGCGGAGCTTGCCGGGGCAAAGTGGTCCAAGCGCCCCCGTGCAGCAACGACCGGTCCTTATCAACTGATAAGCCATGGCTCCAAGCATCTCACTTATTAGTTACCTGAATTAGGTATCTTAGGTACCTGATGTAGGTACTCCGTAAATCGTCCAGCATGCGTTTCTTGACTACGAGAATGACATTCTCACCCAACACGCCCCTGTCCCAAATTCTCCCAACTTATCCTCCTCCGCCTCTCGTGACTCCGTCTGCCCCCCCAGCCAGAGAACAAGAAGTGCCTGCAGAGTACATGTACAACAGAGCAACACGTCTGCCTCTACCCGGAGCTAAGAGGGGTCGAGGCAGGCTAGCCAGCCCTGAATCTGACGGGGGGGGGCCATCGACAAACTTCCCAGGCCTTCCGGATGCAAGCTCTAGTTAGCGAGAAAAGAGTCCCCCAGGCCCGATCGAGAAAGATCTTCTCCTCCTTGCAAGGGAATGCTCAAGTGACAAATACCGAAGAACGGTGAGTGCCGAAGCAAAGTGGCCCCGCATGTTCTCGCAACATCTGTCCAGACAGGACCAACAACAGGCATCTTCCTCCTCCTTGGGCCGCACCCGCGCAGCCGGAACCCCTTCCCCGGAACGCTGGCCACCACCAGCCCTTCTCCCCTCCCACGTAGGCGGTGAGCTGTCAGAAGCAGGACTTTGGCTTGGCTAGCACGGCCGCACGCAAAGCTTTCTCCCGCCGACCCCGGCCCGTCCTGAAACGTGCGCGAACCAATGCCAGGCCCCTTGCTCTTGCGTCCATCGGAAGAGGCGGTGGTGCTCTCATGGGTGCTTGTTGACGCCGATGCCTCCTCTCGAGCCACCAGCCTAAACTTGCCCACTTCAAGGCCAAGTCAGCAGCAGCAGCAGCAGCAGCAGCAGCCGCATGCCGACAGACAGAAAGAGAGGGAAAGAAAAGTGTCACAAGGTCCCACCACAAGCGTAACGTATATGCGCGTGGCCTCCTTGTCTGCCTGAAAACCCCCCGGCCTCCCGCATCGGCGAGGGCGGAGGGGAATAGGACAAGGCCAAGGACGACGACGACACACAGACGCCCCGAAATCCGGTCAGGCAGACAGGCCCCCTTCCCTCCCCGCCACCAGGTGCAGGTCCCACCGCTTGGGTGCTGGGATCGCTTCCAATTCGCTGCAGCAATAAAACTTCCGCGCAGTGTACAACGTACAGGAACACACACACACACGGGCGGATGCTTGCTGGCAAGTTACAAAGTCTGGCAAACGAACTCTGCTGTCCGCACCCGGGCAGGCAGGTAGGCAGGCAGGCAGGCAGGCAGGCAGGCAGGCGGGCGGGCACATCATGTCACTCCGGTGAGCATGCAGACAGAGACCTGGGAGTAAGCAAGCCTCCCGGGACCGGCGTTGCGGTTGCAGGCATGCCAGTCTCCTTCCAGCAGGCAGGGGAGGGGGGCTTGCCAGGAAAAAGAAAAGAAGATTTCCTGTCGGTGAAGGAGGATACCTAGGCCCAAGAGTCCGTCTGATGGACCTATCCTCCTCCTACGTTGCTTGCTTCTTCCTCCCTCGTAAAGAGGCGGTAATCATGCTGTCATGGGCTGTCGACCCGGTGTAGGTTGTGCAAGTTCACGTCCCCCCAGTCCCAGTTTCCAGGTTGGAAGTCTTTTTTTTCTCTCGGTAAGCCTGGCAGTTGCGGTTATTGGGAAAATGGGAAGTATGCAAGTTTGGCTGGGGAGAGAGAGAGACACCCTACCCTGGACCCCAGCAAGAAACCCCATCTTCACCCAACTTTGATCCCAGTTCTCCCCTCTCATCAACCCTCCAATCCAAACCACGGAATTCCCTCCGCATCCTCAAAATACCTTGGTACAGGTAGATAACAAGGCAAAGAAACATGTGCCCCCCCCCCCTCCCCCAACACGAGGGTCCCGTACCCAAGCCCAGAAACAGCAATCCCAGATATCCACGCGCACGCCGCACGCACGCACCAGCGAAAGTTTTCCTGTCCGTCCATGTAACATCGTGAACTGGCCTGGACGGATGAACTTCTGCCACCCCACTGCACTAGAGCACCAGACGATGCCGCTAGCCTCCCCCGCCCCCAAACGGAGAGTTGACCCAGACATTGTGGCGTGTCTGCACAGAGGAAAGAGGAGCCCACGTTCTCATTCTCAGTCATCCTTTCTTGCTATTCGCGGTCCTCTTGTAACTACCTACCTACCTGCCCACTGCCACATCTATCCCTCTCAACATCGATCGTGCTGCTCCGGGAACTAGGACGGGCCCCCTTCCTGCCTCACTTGCGTCATTGGGGGAAAAAAAAAAAACTCAGACAAAAACTGCACAATCTAACCAAGTACTTGCCCCCCAATGATCGTCCCCTCTGAACCCAGATTGACCCCCCCTTTTTTTCCTATCGTCCCGGCCCGTGCGTGGGGCTGGCTGGGCAGCTAAGATGCTCAGCTGGACCGGGCCAAGTGCCGTCAACCACACACACCCACTCCCACACACACGAACTAACTAACTAACTACTGTCAACACCCACGCAAAAGAGCGGGCGTGGGTAGGTAGGGCAGGGCAGGCAGGGACAGGCAGGCGAGAGAGAGAGAGATGGCGGTGGGCAAGCTAGAGTTAGGTAGGGTATGTATGTCGATCACTTCCAGCTTCCCTGGGGGGGAGGTCCACGAGACGAACGACAACAGGCACAGAGCCGCGTGCGTGCGTGGGCAGAGAACAGAACACCACCACCAACACCGATTTATGTGTATGTTAATGAGTGTGTGGGGGGGGGGGACGGAACCCTTCCTCCCAAGACACATCTGAAAGCCATCCCACGACCACGACCACCACGTTGGGTTCCAGGCAAACATACAAGGTAAAGTACCTTGCTTTGCCTCACCGTCAGCAAGGGCATGACATGTATATATCCTTGGCATGCATAGAGAACCAGGTCACAAAAGAGAGGCAGCACCGCGCCGTCCTTCCTCTCAATGGCTTAAAGCCATCGGCACCATGCCTATGGGGCCTTCTCGAGGAGAAGAGAGGAGAGGAGAGGAGAGGAGAGGAAACGGTAAGATAGACGGAGTGCGAAGATGTCTGGTAAAAAAAAGTCTACATTGATGTGTTTATTCGAAACGAGAGAAAAGAGATAGAAAACGAAAAACCAAAAACGAGCGTATCCTGTGCCAAGGGAGATGTCTTTTTTTTTCCCTCCCACACCGAAAATAAAATATGCCAACAAACCCAACCCTTGGGCCTCCCCGGTGTCCGGCAGGTAAAGAGCAACTTGCATGTAGTAGCTGCTGCAAGCCTTATGATCGACACGACCCGGTTCCGAGCACCTGTCCTGTCGTCCCTGCAAGCCCCCCCGGGCCCCGACTCCTGGGTCGGTCAAGGCGCCTCTTTGACTGCTTCACATTGCTTTTTTTTCTTTCTCTCTGACCCTCCTCCTTTCCTTTCCTTTCCCCCCGCCTCCTCGGGTTCCATCTTGTAACGCCGCCATGATTCTTTTTGTTGGCCCCCTTTCATTTCCCCTAAGCAGTGATCCCCTAAAAGGAAAAAGAAGTGTACAAGAAAAAAGCATACACTCATACAAAGGAACTTCGTGTCTTCTCTAAAAACTGCCCATGGTGACACACGCCATGTTTGCTGTGAAAGTTGTGCTCTGCTGATGCTTTCTGTTGTGTATGGGGGGGACCTGCGAAGGCCACACTGGTACGAAAAGGAGCCACGACCGCATGTGCAGTAGTCTCGAGAACTAGCAGACCACGGGCCGATCTCCTCGGAGAAGACTCCATGCCGCCCCTGTCGATATCTTGTAGCCCAATGAATCATGTTGAGGAAGCCCACCTAGTAACCCAAAACAGTTGTCTAAAGGAACGACGCCTTATGAAAAAGTAAGAAACAAGAGAGAAAAAGTGAATAAGTGAATGGACGGAGCCCACCAAAACCAGAGGAAACGGAGCCCGTTGGCGCCATCCCACCCACTTTGGACATGGCTCCCATAAAAGAAAAAAGAAGAATATGTCACTGCGCCGAATGCCATAAAAGCCTGCTGCCGTGTGGCGAAGATCCATGCCCTGTCTCCAAACGCCAGAATGTCATGTAGTCGTACAACACATGGAAGGGAAAGTGCGTCAGAAACGTGGCTCCAAAGCCGTGCTGCAAAGGCCTGATCGACGGGGGTCAGGGGCCAGTGCAGGGCGCAGCGCTGCCGACAGCCGTCTGCCTACCATCCGCTTCGGCTTGTGGAAGGCGAGCTCGGGTTGGAGCCACCGGTCAGCCAGTTGAGGGCCAGCTCCGCCGCATCCTCCTTTGCGTTGTTCAGGTTCTTGCCGTCGTACCAGAAGCGTGCAGCAAAGCTCTGGCCGTGGACCATCACTCGGCTCGACCAAGCCGTGCGTCCTCCTGGAGAGGTGGCCAGATAGATCAGTATCTCGCCCCTCGTGGCTTACAAGCCGCCATGACGAGAGTTCTCGGGAGTCTTACCTCGTCGATCAGATACGATCTGGAAAACGGGAGGGTTGATTTGGTATTCACGACAAGCATCTGCCACATGTTAGTGAACTGCCCGAAGCATACTGGAGATGGCAATCATACCATCGAGCTTCTGCTGCCATTGCTTGGCCGCGCTGTTCTGGTTGTAGGCAGAAGGCATGGTGTCCGAAGATGGTATAAGATGAAGAGTGTAATGTAGGATGTACCCGTGTGTGAAAGAGAATATGATGAGCTGCCTAGAAATTCAAGAACGATTGAGGCAAATGCGTAAAGACTTGTAGGAAAGAAATGTATGATCTGGATATGATGAGATTCCCTAACGAGCGTGGGATGATGGAGAGAGTGAGAGTTGTGGTAGTTCTTATACTTGTCGACTGAGGCACGGAGACAATTTCATCAACACCGTCTGGCCAACCGTGAGCTTGACAGCTGTGTCGTGGCAGAATTATATTGCTTCGAGAGAAGTCAGGCTGGCCAGAAGGACCTGGTAATCTTGGGTTTCGATGTTTGCTTGATGATGTCCTCGTACCTGCGTCTTCGTTTGCTTGCGCGCGAATGTGCAGAAAACGACGGCAGACTGCATCGTGAATGGAGGACGGGAGTAGCAATGATAAAAGAAAACAGCCATAACAGTCCATGAAAAGTACCTTCTGACGTAGGTGCATGTGCCCACGCTTGAAAAGTCACCCGCAGGTTCCTCTTGGGCTGCACTAGGTAGGGCCTCTACCACGAAATGCACTTACTGGCCCTTACTTCCTTTTGCTTTTTGGAGAGGGAAAGCGAGAGAAGAGAGATCCAATGCTCGGTTTCTCTCTCCTGCTAACTATCCGCCCTTTCTTTTCTTTACTGTATGCTCTGAGCATGTTTCAGCACTATCAGCCCTCTTGCTAGCTAGCGTCTGTTGGGCTTTTGGAAAGGAAGGACTTTAGACGGAGTAAAAGAGCGAGGAGAGAAAGCTCTGCAGCAGGGGTGGCGTGTGTGAGACCATATCCGACTGAGGAAACCCTGGGATGGAGAACATCGAATGGGAAAAGTGCAGAATGGGCCTAACTCGGAGAGGCAAGGTACCGCAGAAGTCCCTAGTGTTTGCTCGACGGGGAATATCTGCCCTGAGCCGATTAGTTGAAAAGACAGCGTTTCTGAAGAAGGAAGAAAAAGCAAAGATGGATGCGTGTGGCTGGCCGCTGGGCTGATTGTTCGATGGTGTGGTGTAAGTCCAGCGTGGGATGTGCAGGCGTGCTAGTCCCGGATCGTCGCGGGAATGGCAGGGGAGGACAGTGGGAGGACGCAGGGCGGTCCAGGGTTGCGTTTGGTTGAAACATGAGTCCCATTGAACAAACGCTTGGCTCTCTTGCCTGCAGGACTTGCGTATTGCCCCTGCTCAGTCATCTGTAGTGGTCCAACTTGCTCAACGACATGGCCGACTCACTTCTCGCTGCCGGCTGCAAATCGGCTCTGAGTTGCGATGTACAACCACGTTGAGGGTGTGTTCGAACGCGTAGCCGGGCACAAATTTTCGCTTCAATCTTGTCGGCGAGAAAAACAAGGTGTGTATCTGGGTGTGTGCGTGTGTGGCACGCCCTGACACCTCTGAGCGTGAACGCTCACACCAGGAATAGCCACCCCTGACCCGGTGAGGTGAGAAGCACAGGGCTAGGCAGGTATGCTCGATGTATAAGATACTTCCGAATTCCTGTCCCTCAGAACGGGTCGGTGCCAGTTGGTAGAGAATTGTCGGTAGTAACGGTATGGGTCGACTTGGTTACTATTGCCAGATTGAAAATAGACTGACGATACGGATCTCTCCCACCATGCCCATCCCAGGTGCACGGCTGATCTCGGTTAGATAGTGTGGGTATTTCTGTAAACTTGTCCATGACGTCTTGTGTACTTGATGTCCGTGAGCCTGAGGTAGCATGGTTAGGCTCGCCGCTGGCCATTTATTAGATAGGCGGTCTGACCGACTTTCCACTTTGATCCGCGATTTCGTTTATAGAAACTTTACCTGCTACACCGGGGTGGAGATGTCAATGAAGTTGTGATGTGTTTGCTTCTCCACAGGCTGTTGGTCTCTCGGTAGGCCATGGCACGACGGCCCTGGCGTTGCAAGGGCCCCTCCTCCGGCTACCCGCACCCACATGGCTTGCAATGTTAGTTGCAGAGCTCTGATGAGACAGAGCGGGTATTGCAAAATTGTGCTCAGGAGACAGAGAGGCATTTCCCTATTCCGAGGCTAAATCGTGACATAGGAGGAGTTCGTGCGTCTCATCGATGTGGCACAAGACCCAGGTCAGCACATCTAACTGTTCCGCATCGTCGGGTACTGTATGATCAATCGGGCATCGTTCCCAGGATCCGTGCAGCAAGGACAATCGGGCGCTGCCAGGGTACACTGACAGCTCATCATAAGGCGCCAACGGCATATAGACTCTCAGCTGGGTAAGAAGCCAAAGAAGCGCCTCCAGGGCGCCATCGGACAAAGCATGAGCTTATGTTGCTCGTCCAGTGATGACGTTGAATCATAGTAACAGACTGAGACTGTTCATCAGATTAGTGATCTCTGTCCGGTGTCGTAAGTGTGTTGAAGGGCACTAATTCGACCAGGGGCAGCGCGAGATCTCCATCAGCCAAAAGCGTGGAGCAAGTTCGGTATTGACCATCTCCTCTGTTGTGAAAGTACCAGATACATTCAATACTTTCGATGGGGCCAGGCCTGGGTCGATCAGAGGATATTGCCGTTACATGTCCAATATCTGGCGTGGTGTCGAATTCAAGAGGGTGTAGAGTTGCGAACTATAACGACAAGGACTAGACCTCCATGTTTTGTTCGTGTGTGTGCAGTGGTATCGGCGTGCTGCCTGCTGCAGAAGCTGATTCGGCATGTGATTTGATGAGGTATGCGGTACGCAGACCATCCATGGCAGTACGTCCCTGGGAATATCTCATGCATGGCGACGCACACAGAGCGACCGATCTGGCCCAAGTACATATGCCTCGCTATTCGTCGCAGGTCGGCTCGGGGGTTTTCAGTTTTCTGTAGCACGTCACTAGTGAAAGCAATTGGTCAGTTCCAAGGTTAGCAATGTAGGATAAATCAGTTTCTATTTGGATGTGGAGCTCTCACATGTTGAGGGGTGGATCAAGAGTTTTCTGCGGCTACACCAAGCTTTCGCAACGACCAGGAACAGTTGTCAAAGCAAAAGGACGACATCGGGCCAGGCAGTCGGGGACCGATATCATGCTATACAGCCAAAACAACAGAGATAAGGCTTGCAGATGGGCAGAATCGATGTACTCCAACGTCAGGTGCCGGGGCTGCGTGTCTTACATCGAGATCATGCAGGGAGTATCATCTTGACGAGTAACGGTCTGGTGCACGACAGCAACGGATGTGCAGGCGTTCGAAAGTGCTGGTTTTTGCGAGGTTCACTGAGTGTCGAAAAATGGCATGTCGAGTCGAGGGTTGCGATGCGTCTCGGATGTCTCGAACCCTGATGCGACGATTTGCTGACCGGCGGGCGGTTGAGAAGCCCGTGCCGCCATCTGCAAGCCAGGCAGCTCGGTAGGCCTCAAGTGAGGGCACTTTCCGATGCAAGGTGAGCAATTCAACGAGTTCAGACAAGAACTACACCCGTTACGTCCCTCTCGAGCAGCTCTAGTCGATAAGCTGTGGCACACCCCCATAAAGTCGAAACAAGAGTGTGCAACATGAATAGCGAACGGGATCCCAAATCTCTGAGAAGAGGCCCGTAGCAGGTTCAAATAAGACGGTCTCGAGGGCTCGATTGCTTGCAGGACGTGCTGGAGGGGCCTATTGAGGAGCCGAGACCGGACTACATCTTCAGGCATGATTGGATCATGAAGAAAAGTGTTCTAGATGTCCAAATGCATGAGGAACGTGCAGATGGCCATCGACAAATGACAGCAAAAGGCGTTTGGATATCGAGATGCCACGGACTGTTTTGTCGACAGCTTGCACACCACAGGTGGAGAAAGGCCATGTGAAGGTGAAATGTGGCATCCAGACGTGCAGCCGCTTGGCCAAATACTGGAGATACTGGTCGCCTGCTCTGTTGCCAGGAGCAGGACGGAATGGGAGCCAGGTATCGGTACCAGAGCCGGAGGTGTGACAATTGCAAGTTGGGTGCATAAGGCACGCAGAGACACAAGCGAGAATACAGCATTTCGAGCGCCTCGCGAACCCAATGAATGGCTGTGGGAGAGACATTGGCCCCTTGGCGTATCATATCGGGGGAATGACAAAGATCCAGACGTATAGGTACTCATGAAAGAGCAGAGATACACCGAAGAGATGGAGAGAGAGACCTTGGTGGTGTTGTTTCTCCCTAACAACGCATCGCTTGAAGAACGAGGATCAAATGTTAGGGAAACAACATTGAATGCCCTGGGGACTGGGCGGCGTTCCCTACCTAGGTACAACTTACTCAATTAGGCAAGAACTTGTTGTAGGTGGTGCGAGGAAGCGATGACTGGAGGGAAAGATTGAGCAACTGAGGTGTGCCTTCCCTCTTCCACAATGAACAGATTCCGCACCTACGCAAGGCAAAGCAAGCACCACCAAGATGTAGTTACCTCTAAGGTAAGGTATAGGTAGGTTGAGTTTCATGTCCTCGGTGCTGTTGGCGATTGTTTTGATTGGCGGTGTCCAGTGTCAGTGTTCAACAAATATGGCCAAGCTTTGAGTGCACCAACCTGTCAGGTGTCAAGCTCGATCTCTGTCAGCTGCCAGAAGTACCAGATCTCGGCGCCCGGCTGGCCGTCCAGGACCTGCTGAACCCCGCTAAACAAGTACCCCGTAAATGCCGGGGCATTCACCACCTGGGCCACTGTTCACACCTGGAGAATGTTGTCCCAGAGCGCCTTTCCCCACTCTCTGATACCTCGGCATCTCGCCAATTACACGGGCTAGCGTCGGTGTCTCACAAACCACCACAGCCCCTTGGGAAGCTGACGCTTTCTCTGAACATCACGGCCATCTTTTCTTCATATTATCTCACTTGGGGTAGTAGTCCGGTCTTGTTTCCTCTCATAACAGCGCATCACAAGAGCCCAAGTTGCTATTTTCAGTCCCTCGGACCCAGAGAACAAGAGTGCCAGCTCATTAAGAGCCGACGAGATCGAGTCAGGATGCCTTTTGATACCGAGTTGACGAGGCGGTTGGGGATCAGGGGTGAGTATCGAGCTCTCTTCACAGGAGACCAAACCTGTGCGGCTTTCTGCAGAGTTTCAGGCTGACATGGCTTGCCCTTTTCCCGAATTAAAGTCCCTGTCGTGCAAGGTGGCATGATGCACGTCGGTATGTACTCACTCAACTCATATATGAGTTGTCCTATACTGAAAACAGTTTCCATGTATGTATTGACGCCTTACCCTCCTGCCAGGAACCGCCGAGCTGGCGTCAGCAGTCTCCAACGCCGGCGGGCTGGGCATCATCACGGCCCTCATCTTCCCTACCCCAGAGGAGCTGCGCAAGGAGATCCGGCGGTGCCGCACCATGACCAAGAACCCCTTCGGAGTCAACATGACGCTGCTGCCCTCCATGGTCCCGCCCGACTACGGCGCCTACGCTGACGCCATCGTCGAGGAGGGCGTCAAGGTCGTCGAGACGGCCGGCAACAGCCCCGGCCCTATCATCTCCAAGCTCAAGAAGGCCGGCATCATCGTCCTGCACAAGTGCACTGCCATCCGCCACGCCGTCAGCGCTGTCAAGATGGGCGTCGACTTCCTGTCCATCGACGGCTTCGAGTGCGCAGGGTAAGTCTAGAATGTTCCGTTCTGTTAACTGTCCCCCCATGTCGTATGATGTTTCCCATCCCCCCCCATCATGCAGCGTTTCCCAGATATAGTCTCGTATTACGTGCCTTACTTCTGCTGCCCATCATCCCTGGCGTGCCATCTGCGCTCCCGGCGTTGACGCGGGGGCTACACGTAGCGTTTTTGTACAACGCACATCACATGCATGCATGTTGTATTTACGCGCACATTGCACCCGCATGGTACCTTGCACACCTCACGTCATGTACTGCTGCCTCTTCTTGTCCTTTTCTGGGCAATATGCATCTTTCCAAACGTACCAAGCACCACTCTAGACTTGCATTTTTGTCTTTGCCCATCTCGATCGCGAACCAAAACAGCAACGACAACCCCCCATCCTCTTTCCACAAAGAAGGAAAAGAATTGCTCATTTTTATTTTATTTTATTTTATTTATTTTATTGTTGTTTTGTTTGAAATATTGAGGAAGATCCGTATTTGACAAGACTGACTGACTCCACACCACCCTCCAGCCACGTCGGCGAGTCGGACATCACAAACTTCATCCTGCTCTCCCGCGCCCGCCAGACGCTCAAGGTCCCCTTCCTGGCCTCGGGCGGCTTCGCCGACGGCCACGGCCTCGCGGCGGCCCTGTGCCTGGGCGCCTGCGGCGTCAACATGGGCACGCGCTTCATGTGCACCGTCGAGGCCCCCGTCCACCGCAACATCAAGGAGGAGATCGTGCGCGCGCAGGAGACGGACACGACGCTGCTCCTGCGCCGCTGGCGCAACACGACCCGCCTCTACAAGAACAGGGTCACGATGGAGGCCCTCAAGGTCGAGCACGAGAGCCCGACGGGCAAGTTCGAGGAGGTGGCGCCGCTCGTCAGCGGCAAGCGCGGCCGGCAGGTCTTCCTCAACGGCGACCCCGAGTACGGCGTGTGGACGGCGGGCCAGGTCATCGGCCTGATCCACGACATCCCCACGTGCGCCGTCCTGGTGGCGCGGATCGAGAAGGAGGCCGAGTCGACGCTGAGGGAGAAGCTGTCCTTTTTCAAGGACTCGCCGCCGTCCAAGCTGTAGAGAGAGAGAGGTAGAGAAGGATGGGCCTGTGTCCGGGTGTAGTGCCAAAGTCTGTGTAGAGTATAGAAACATGTCTTTTGCATATGTGTGTGTGGGCATATTGGATTAGCCTTGTGCGAAATACATTGCATTTCTCGATTCACTGATTTGGCATGCATGATTACGGTCCATAGCCATAACATGTTCATCTTACCTGAAGGTTACTTACTTCTCTCTTAAATCACAGTTTCCGGATCCCACACGATGCTAATCACTGCGCATAGCTCCCCAGGTCATTCCTTAGGTATATATCAAATGGATTTTGCAACTGAGACTAGCAGTCAAATACGCCCTGCCCCGTGTTTTATGCTATACATGTGTTTAACCCCGAAAAAAAAATAAAACACCCTGCTCGATCACAAACCGTGTGGATGCACAAGCAAGAAAACAACAAGAAACAACCACTCCACTTCCACTCCCACTTCCACTTCCTCATCTGAGCAGCAGCGAGAGAGAGAGAGAGAGAGAGATCCACTCTACTCGGCAACCCAGACGGCAGCCATGCCCATGCCGGTACCGATGCACATGCTCGTCACGCCAATCTTCTGGCCCCGCCTCCGCAGCTCGTAGAGCAGCGTCGAGACCTGCCGGGCGCCGGTGCAGCCGAGCGGGTGGCCGAAGGCGATGGCGCCGCCCTTGGGGTTGATCTTGTCCTGCGGGATGCCGAGCTCGTTGGCGCACCAGAGGCACTGGCTCGCGAACGCCTCGTTGATCTCGTAGATGTCGACGTCGTCCACGGCCAGGCCCGTCTTGGCAAAGACCTTGGGGATGGCCTTCCAGGGGCCGACGCCCATGAGCAGGGGGGCGACGCCGGCGACGCTGGCGGCGACGAACTTGCCCAGGATGGTCTGGCCGAGGCGCTCGGCCGTCGAGCGCTTCATGAGCAGCACGGCGGCGGCGCCGTCCGAGATCTGCGAGGCGTTGCCGGCGTGGATGCTGCCGTCCTTGGCGAAGGCCGGGCGGATCTTGCCCAGGGACTCGGCGGTGATGCCGGGCCGCATGCCCTCGTCCTTGTCGACGACGACCTCCTTGGTCTCGCCCGACTTGGGGTCCTCGAACTTGACCTTGAGGGGCATGATCTCCTCCTTGAAGAGGCCCTGCTCCTGCGCCCTGACGGCCTTCTGGTAGGACGAGGCGGCGAAGGCGTCTTGGGAGGCGCGCGAGATGTTGCGGTCCTTGGCCATCTGCTCTGACAGAACGCCCATGGGCACCTTGCAGTTGGCGGCCTCGGGGTGAGACTCGAGGAGCTCGGAGAACTCGGTGACGGCGCCGGGGCTAACATTTGGTTTGTCACAGATCAGCATCCGGGCCACCAGTCAAAAAAAAAACAAAAAAAAAAGTATGGTTCCGTTGGGACGCGAAAAGCTTACCCGTACTGCGTGGACATGGACTCGACACCGGCACCGATCCCGACGTCGATCATGCCAGCCTTGATCTGGTGGGCGACGTCGACGCAGGCCTGCAGGCCGGACGAGCACTGGCGGTTCAGGGTGCGGACGGCAGTGGAGTCTGGGAAGCCAGCGACGAGAGCGGCGGCCCTCATCTCGGTGGCGCCGCCGCCGGGGGCCAGGACGGTGCCGACGCAGACATCCTCCACGAGGCCCGGGTCGATGTTGGAGCGCTCAATGATGCCCCTCAGCGCGCCGGCCATCAGGTCGGAGGCCATGGTGTCCTTGAAGGCGCCCTTGCCACCCTTTGTGAAAGCCGTTCGGAGGCATGCCGTGACGACAATCTGCGGGGAGGAGGCGTGAAAAGGATTAGCTTCTTGACAACGACAGGAGGCGGGGTTGGAGAGAGCTGCTTACATCGTCGGGGTTCTTCTGCAGAAGCTTGTCGCGGGCGCTGCCGCCGCCAGACAGCTGGCCAGAGATCTGAGAGAGTCTGTCGATAGCTAGAGCAGGCGAGGGATATGTCAGCTTTGTCCATCATGGACACCGCGGGGGTGGTCGATGGCAGCGCTCTCGAGGATCACTTACCACCCATTGTGAATGTTCTGTTCCTTTGGATGGATATGGAGGCAGGTATGGCTTTGAGAGGAGGAAAGACAGATATGCAGCACCGCAAGAAGGAGATATTTAAGGGAATAAGTCTCTGGATTTCAAATCTCGAGCGTGAGATGACCTCGGGAGGAATAGTTTGTGTGTGAATGGAAGCACAGACTGGAAAGGTTCGGTTGCTTATGAGAAAGACGTCAGATGCACCGAGGCACTACTCAAAGCGGAATAGCGGGCGCACGAGTACCCCGATCCTGTGGCGCCTTTCACATGCCAGCCCGCTGTGCCCCGCTAAAGGCGAAGGTGGCCGATGCACCTGGCCAACCCCCGGTACCCCACATTCTGGAGGAGCATGCAGGCAGTGCCGGGCGCCGACGGTCTTCGGAGGGAGGCTCACTAACTAATGTACTTGTGTTAGCCTACCTTTACCGTTGGCCACCGGACAGGTATTTGCATGTGCTCTTCCTTCCGATGCCACTCATATAATCATTTTTATTGTTTTGCCCTGTCGTTACTAAGCATGCTGCAGCCCTTGTTTGCTACGAAACAGAGGTATCCCGCCCAATATACTCCCTCAAAGAAGAAAATGCTAGTAAACCTGCAACCTCTGTACCCCCCCCTCCCCCCTTATGGAGTCAGGATAGCCTCCTTGCTCTGCGGCGTAGGCACGTAGGCAAATCTCTATAGGTCCCTTCCATCATGCAATGGGTTCAAATCGCAGATGGAGCTGCTCGCCAGCAGGCCGTCCCGAGCTGTTCGTCCAAGAAAAGGACCCCGAGTCAGCCAAGGTATTTGTTACCTACGAGAGAGTCTTGTGTCGTCACCACTCGGTAAAGTTTACTTACTAGCCATCCGTCTGCTCCATCCCCGAGTCGTCGACGACGTAGGTAGTAAAGTTGCTGTAGATCGCAGCGAGCACCAGTTTCATCTCTGTGTATCATCGCCCACATAAAATCATCAGCTCGAGAATCCGCAATGTGGCAACGCGCGTATATATGATGACATGAGAGACCTACCGTTGATCGCAAAGTTGGACCCGATGCACATCCTGCCGCCCGAGCTGAACGCCCAGAACTGCCTGTGCCGCTCCCTCAGGCCCTCCCTGTCCTTCTCGCCGTCCAGCCACCTCTCCGGCACGAACCTCTCGGGCTCGGGGAAGACGGTCCGGTCTCTGTGCAGGGTGTGCGCCATCGCCGCCACTCGGACGCCGGGGGGAACGGCGTAGCCGCCGATCTGGCAGAAGCTCGAGGTCTGCCGCGGCTGGGCCCCGGGGAGGGGAGCATGCAGTCGCAGGGTCTCCATGAGCACCGCGTGGAGCAGCGGCAGCGCGTCGAGGTCCTTGGGGTCGGGCAGCTCGCCGGCCCCGACACCGACGCCGCGCATCTCCAGGCCGGGCCGCAGAGACCGGAGCTCCCTCTGGAGCTCGCGCTGCAGGTCCGGGTTCTGGGAGAGCCTCCACGCCGCATACGTCAGGGCGACGCCGGCCGTCTCCTGCCCGGCCAGCACGTGGTCGAACAGCTCCGACTCCACCGCGAGATCCCGCTTCTGGATCGTGGTCGAGAAGATGGGCGAGTCCCTCCCGCGGGTCTTCTCCTCCTTGTCGATGCCCGACAGGACCGCCTTCAACACCACAGGCTCGTCCTCGGGAGGGGTCTTGCCCACGTCGGCCATCACCTCGGACTCGAGGGTCGCCCTGCACAGCTCGTGGTTCCAGTTCTCCAGCTCCTTGGTGGCCCACTCGACCGTGGCGGGGTACAGGCGGAGGCCGAACATCCTGCAGACCCCCGTCAGCAGGGGCAGCTCCTGGATGAAGAAGCCGTTCTCGACGCGCGCCTTGTACAGCTCGAGCCAGTGCTCGCGGTAGCCCTTGTTCTGGATGAAGTTGGTGCTGTTGCGCATGCCCCAGAGGTAAGCCGCGATGAAGTCCATGGTGGCCCCCAGGAAGAGCGAGTGGACGTCTATCCCGTGAGGGGCCAGGTACGGCGCCGCCGACTCCCGCAGGATGGGCAGCAGCCTGTCGAAGAGGATGATTCGCGACTGGGCCCTGGACGGCTCTGATGCGTGCAGGTACGACTTGGAGTACACGTTGGAAATCATCCGCTTCCTGAGCGAGTGCTCCCGCGAGTTCTTGGTCGAGAACATGCATGGCACGCTGTACACGTGTTTAGTGGACGGGACGAGGTCATGTCCGAGGATATGAGGGCCTACCCGTAGTTGTCAAAGACGGCATACCACCCAGGCTTCTCAAAGCCCCCGGGATAGACTGTTCGAACACTATCCAGACCGTCGATGCTCAACTCGGCTGGGCCGATTCGGACGATCGGACCGACCCTTCTATGTGTCGCCAGCAGCGTCCGGTTCTCGCGGTTCAGGAAACGCTCGCGCAGGATCCAGAACCGCGAGAAGGGAACAGACCAGTGGGCGTTGGGGATCTGCGCAAGATGGGACAACCAGGCAGGGTAGATGACGAAGTGGTACACCCCATATGCGAAGAGGAAGATTCCTGCCACAAGGGGGATAGGAAGTGCTTGAAGGGCGTCTTTCAGAGCCATGATGATCGAGATCAGGTGGAGTTACAATGTTCTGCGATCTCTGCCATCAGCATCCTCGTTCTGCCGGAGCACCAAAGCGTTTTATATCAACGCACGCGACGCAAAACTAAGCACATCTGCCTCCCAGCACGCTTGCGTATCACCAAGCAAGCACCAGTGCAACCTCATATGTCGGCGGCACTCCGTCGGCACCCGAACCTTCAGCCAAGCCAGGAACGGAAAGAGGGCAGCGCACACGCGTCGTCACAAAAGCTTAATTCCAGGCTGAAAGACCCGATGGCCACCGTTGATGCTCACCAGCACCACCAGCACCACCACCACCACCACCACGGCCCCCCTGACCGCCAATGTCAACAAACGGTCTGGAGGTGTGCAAAATCGGATAGCCGCCCCGGAAGCCGCACCGCCCGGACGAACGCGCTTGACCGCCAGATGTTTCCCAGTGAGGCTGAAAACGCCCCAATCGGATAGGCCCGTCTCGCTGGGAGGCTTGCCACCTCGGCGACCTCAACCCGCGAGCAAGGTAGGTGGAGAGGGAGGTGAGTGAACCCGATCGGGTAGGCCCGCAGCCACCGAGCCACCTGCCTGGGAGACCAGTATGCAGAGCCCGGCACAATGTGACGGGTGCAAGTCTGAGACTGCGGCGCCACACCCGCGCGGGTAGCAGTCGACCAGGGCCAACTTTTGTCTTTTGTCTTTTTTTTGGAGGAAACTATTTGAGCCCCCCCCAGGCCCGCGGAGATTATTCGCGACGATCAGACACAGAGCTGAAGAAAGCTGAGTCCTTGTCGGGTGTGTGGGTGGTGGCAATCCCCGTGGGATGGTGACGACGAAACGGTCAGTTGGACAAGTACGAGTTCCCCATGTTGGTGCTGTGGGGTTTTGGGCTTGTTCCCGAGTCCGAAAGATGCGATTGGCTTACTCCATACTTTTCGATGCTGGACGGACCCGTGCTAAACTTCCCTCAGAACTATTGTTGGTGATCCTTGGCGTTTTCCGATAGTCGTTGAGGACTAATGCAAGCAAGCCTCTGCTTGTGTACCGCGAGATGCAAGTCAGGCTCAGGCCCAAGTGCTTTCGCATGACCTGCAGGGGAACAAAAAACAGCGTGATCGGGGCTGTAGAATCACGGCCAAACTCCAGACATGTATGACAAACAGTCGTCACCGCTTCTCAACCGCATTGCCACCTCATTGTTCAACTCGGGTGAGCCGTGCCCTTTGATATGCGGTGCTCAGGGGCTGTTGTTGTTGTTGTTGTTGTTGTTGTTGAAGCCATCGATGACACAGATGACGCTGGGGCGATTGAGAATGAACTCGTATTTTGACTTCTTGCCGGCATCAAAGTAGAGGCTCTGAATAGCTCTCTGATCTGAACCTTCGATTACAAAAGCAAAACCATGGGGAAAAGGTTGTCTGCCTACGTTATGGAGTAGAAGGTAACTACGAAGCTGTTCTACTTGAAACTTGGTGTGCCGTCGCTTGATTGCTCCTGCGATCGTAACCGCGTTCATCGAACCCTGTAGGCGCGGGTTGAACTCAAAATACTACAGAAACAACATGGGAATTACCTAATTACCTCTTCTCCTACAATGGCCGGCCGGGCTTAGGCACAGTATTCATACCGTATGACCTCTTGCCTCACCCGACCGACTCTATACGGTGACGTTCTCCCTTGGAAGCTTCACCTGCTCAACGACTCTTTGATACGGCAAAGGGGAGGAGCTTACTGCCTTGTCTCTTTCGTCTCTGTGGATGGCACTACCTCGGTTCTGACGGCGAGAATGGGAAGTCGGGTTGTTGGAGCCTTTGTCGACAGGCAAGTCAAGGTATACGGCGTAGTTGAGGGCGAGAGCATTCATGAACGTCTCGTCTCGCCTTCGCCCTGTCAATCTCCTCTTCTTCCATCTGATTTAAAAAGCCCATCTTCGTTATTTTTCCCAGTCTTGTAACCTTGGTACATTTGATGCTCGCGACGATCCATCCGGATCCCGCTCCGCCGCCCCCCCTTGTTTCCCCCCGTCCTTCAGCCTTCGGGCCTATTCCGCTAGCAACGCTCGAGGTGTCCGTCCCATCAGCAGTTTCGCCCGTACCTTGCCGCTGGCGTAGTCGGTATGTAAGTTCTTCCATGTCACTGTGGCGTCAAGTCCAGCGGCCTCTTCTCGCCTTGGCCTTGTCCACCGCCCATGTCGACGTTAGTATATGGAACACTTGCTCTCGGCAATATTGACATTCGTGGGACACGATGCATTGTATTCTTGGTATCTTGATAAGGGACTCTCTACACGCAAGCCAAGGCAAGCCAAGGCAAGCCAAGCAACATGCATCATCAAAAGAGCCATTGCATCGCCGACGCCCACGCAGGCCAGGCCAGGCCAGGCAGCGCCCCTGCTCCCCAACGCCCGTTCGCTCCTTTGTTCCCATGATTAAAGGTATGTGTGTGTGTGCAAAGTCAACAACAACCCGGCACCAAAAAAAGGACCAAGCAAGAACCCCCATTCTGGCTCCGGCTGCTCGTCGATAGGGATCAAACAGAACTGTCCATTGCGCCAACAGAGAGAATTGGCGCAAAACGAGCCACACAATGATTGAGTCGTATGGCAAAACAATAGGAGTGGTAAAAATAAAGAAGCCCGTGCGGTGCTCTGTCTCTCTCGCTCGCCGAGGAGAACCCAACCGCTTACCGCTTCCAAAATGCAAAGTGTTGTAAACGCCGTTTTGCCTCGCCCAGGGCCATCCTTGGCCTCTAGAAATTCAAAGGGTCTTTTTGCCCCCCCACTCGTCGCAGAAAGAAAACCAAACGCCCAGCCGCTCCTCCGGGAGGTCTGGTGTCGTTGAAACTCCGTGAAAACGCCCCAAGACAAAGTGATGACGAAATAATACCTCTTTCCTTTCCCTCTTGGTCCTCCACGATATACCCATTCGAATGACAGCAGCCATGGATAATTTTCTCCACCATGGCAGAGAAAAAATATGACAATTACTTCAAAACAAAAGCAGTCTGTCATGATGTCTCGTGTGGGGGGAAAAAAATTGAGAACATTCGCTCCGACGACAAGACATGTTACAGATCGATGACCATGCCAGCCGAGAACGGCTGGCTCGTGCCAGAGAGCATGCCGAGGCCGCCTCCCCCGCCAGACTTGGACGCCATCTGGGCCAGGCGCTCGCGCTCGGCCTTCTCGCGGTCGAGCTGGGCCTTCTCCAGCTTGGTGATACGCGGCTTACGCGCCACCGAGCCGCCACGGGAGCCCGGGCCGCCGCCGCCACGGCTTCCGCGGCCGGAAGCGGCACCTCTCGTCGAGCCGCCGCGACCACGTCCGCCGCGGCCACGCCTCGGGGGACCTTCGGTACTATCACAAGAGAGAAAACCAGTTAGTAGCTTGTCGCAACAGGTAGACGAAGGGGGGGGGGGGGGGGGGGGGGGGGGGGGGGGGGGGGGGGGGGGGGGGCTTGTGGCTGGGCTCCCTGGGAGGGCGTGCTGTTAGTGGAGGCTGCGAGCGGGGTGAGCCCTGGAAGGAGGAGTTGGAGAAGACGCACCTAGCGGCCTAGCGCTCCAGTTCAGATGCAAATGCATCTTTCTCTCTGGGCCTTGCTCGTTGATCAGTGGATGAACCAACGCCCTCAATGTGGGGAGTGTCGTGAGAGAGTCGTGAGGGAAAAGACGCCTGCCCGGAGCCACTATTGTACAGAGGCTAGCAGGCAGCCTTCGTCGCTCTTGCCCTTTGCGGACCACTGCGGAACTTGTTGGTTTGAAGCGAATGCAACTTGGCTTATGGAATGCTGCGAAGCATCCGAGACACTGTCCAGTCCAGCCAGCCAGCAGCGATCTTGCTCAGTCACCAATGGCTTTCACTGATTATGCTGCCCATGACCTCGCCTGATCTCGCCGTTGGCAGTGGATCATGGAAACGAGAGCGAAGGTGGGAAAATGGTATACCGCTGCCGTTGCCGCCGCCGCCGCCGCCACCTCCCTCCAGTCTGATGAATGGCCCCCAAACTGGCCGGAAGCCGTCAAGACAATACACGCAGCAAGTGCAGATGCCACGGGTCCAACTGTCAAATCCGGCCTGGCCTGGCTGATCAGTCCTTTACTCGCTCCTCAAGCAGCCCTCCTGCTTGTCGTCGTGTGCCTGGTGCTTCTTCTGCCGGGATCACAAGACGGCCGATATCTCAATGTTTCATGTATTGATATGTGTGCATATTGCCCCTCATTTCTCAGATCCTCCTAGAGAGTTTGACTGGTCCTCATCTGCAGCAGTGTCGCATAACTAGGTCTGCCGAACCACAGACCAGAAGATACGGCCAGTTCCAGGATCCGCGCACGCAATGGACATGGATACAGGAAATACAAGGTACTTGGTAGGCCGAAGCCCTCCACAGATGGCGCAAGCTGAGCGAGGTACCGTTGCAGAGCTCGGCCAAGGGAAGCAAACGGCTGTGGAGAGGTGGGTATCTGTTGTTATTTCCTTAGCGGATGGATGCCCGCTTGCTAATCTCAATTCTGTCCAGGGCTCGTTCGATCTCAAGTGAGGGGATGAGCAACGCCAACATGGGGAGCTTATGCAATCGAAGAGTCGAAACAAGGGAGGACACGCAACAACAGAGGTGGATGTCATCTCTCGCCTCACCTCACCGGCCTCATCACATACTCGGCCATGTGCAAGATAATCCAGGGCACGCTGACACATTTCTGGGGCCATGGGTGCTGAGGAGCGCTGCCTGTCAACCGCGCCCAGTGAGAGCATTTAAGAGCCGCATTCCAGTGACTCGTCGCACACACTTCTTTGACACAACTCTAAAAGCTAGCGGCCCTGGCTCCTGCGCGCCGCCGGTGCTCTTTGCCAAGCAACCGTTCTGGGCTACTGCTTCTGCTGCAGGGTGTGGGCCGCGTTGCATCCAGGAGGATGTGCTGCAGACTCAAGCAGATGAGGGCCGAAAACAGACCACTCGACAGAGCTCCTTTTCATCGCGGTCCTGTTTGCAAGTGCCTTTCCCGCATACAGCAAGCGAGTAGAGGTTGCAACATCAACACACATCGGCAGATTGATTACACCCAGAAAAAAAAAAACCCCAAAAAAAAAGGACCCTCAGGAATCATACTCTCAGATTCGGTACACAATCGGCTGGCGTTGAGTCATTCCAGAGTGCTCGACAAGCAATTCTGGCTGTTCTGTGGGGTAGCCAGATTGTTTTGAGGTCGATTACAGGTTTTATCTCTTCAAATTGCAAGCTATTACCTCATGCAGCACACCTTTCTAACTTTGGAAAACTGCTGTCGTTTGATCTTGCTTCCCCTCCTAGGTCACCCAAGGTGAACATCGACCACACGTCAAAGTGTGTCGCCAGATGGAGCTGCATCGGCTTGACCGTCTGGACCTTTCGTCATGATCTCCGTCATGATGCTTCCGCACCACATTGATGCATTCAGGACAAACAGGCCCCAGTGGGTCAGAACCATCATCATATTTCTTTACATCCTGTCACCTGGCATGATAATGGCAGGGTATGAACGCGAACGGGAAAGGCTTCTCGGTCGGTTTATTCCCGGCTAGATACGATACTGTTGATTCCCTTTGAGCAGTTCCTTCGGCGCCTTTGCTGGAAAACCCAGAAATGGACAGTGCGTGGGTAGCTGCGAAGAGATGCTTCATCCCTGCCAGCCGCTTCGCCATCTCGTCAACAGATCAAACCCCCCTGTCACCACGCTAGGTGGCCGGTAGGCCAGACCAGTATGGCACGGCCCATGCTCGGTTTTTCCCGCCGTCGTCATTAGCTCGAATCAATGGCTCTCCACCCACTGGATGCGGAGTGGTAGGGACTAGCAAGTGGGGATGGGGGGATGGATGAATGTCGAGGTATGTTGTTGCACAGAGCTCCGACCTGATGTGTGCCTGGCGTAAGTACGGAGTAACAAAGGCGAACTTGTCCCCAACATCTCCATCGCACCTCATCAAGGGCCAGCAGAGTTGGCTGGGGACCACCCCAGGATTGGTTTCTTGTTCCGAGAAAGCGACCGTTCAATGACAGCGAAAATAGACCGGAGGCGTGTCTCTGGATGCCTGGCTTGCATCAGAGCAATGCAATGCGCACGCGGGGTGCCAGAGGACCAAGCACAAAATGTTATGCTATCTGGTGCGAGTCATTGTCTCAAGGCCCGAATTACGCAATCTGCAAATAAGAAGCGCACATATGGCGCGCGTCGGTGGTCCATTGCATCTGATACATATGCTACAGATGATTGCATATGATACATCAAATAGCCAGGGTTGCAAGCTATCCTCCTTTCATTTCTCACCATGATCGAGCCGACATGTCGAGGAAATCCGGCCACGGAACCGGAGAGGGGAAACCTTGTACGTGCCTTCCACTGCTACCTCACTTGTTGTAGATCCTTCCAGCGGCCACGAGCCGTAGCACTGTCAAGGCAGGTACGAGTGTGAGATGTCCCGCATTTGGCTGTTACCCAGAGATTCAATGTTGCCTGGCCCGATTGAGACTGGAAGGTCCAGCATTGAACCTTGGACATCGGATCAAATGGTGAGCTTATCAGTCCCACCAGATAAGCATTCGATCTTCCATGCGTCCCTGGGCGAGCTTGATTCACTTCGTCGCCCTCATCTTCAGCTTCGCATTTGCCATTACATACCAGTGTTTGTTTCAATCTACAGTACTCACAATCCAACCCCCAAGTCCTTGGCTGCATTCGTATCAACTCTTCGAATCTCCAATCCGTCGCAACATGCTCAGGGCAGGACGTACTTTTTTCTTTTGTTAAAAAAAAAAAAAAATAGTTCTGAGTCTGCAGCAACATATCACCAACGGCACGGCCTGGTCCCTTCAGGGGAGTTACATCGAACCCACCTTTGCATGCCCAGCACGGGCGAAATGGTGGGACCTCGGCGAGCGATCAAGCCGCCTCCCTGTCTCTCCCACAGGGATCCCTTCAAGCCACGGGAGGCTATTCCTTGACAGGTTCAACTCGCATGCTACAATCGTGGACCGAAATTGGCCTCTCCGAAATACCAACAAGATTAACCGGCTAATACTTGACTTCCTCGACGAGGTCACTCCTGAGTCTTGCCTTGGATTACCTCAGGAGTTTGGGGCAGCTCAGATCATGAATGAGGTACCTGCAGACCATATCGGCCAGACTAGGTGGCAAAGGAACCCGACCGCCAGCCACCGGCGCCTCTCGGTAAGCTGCAATTTGGTGACCAAGATGCGTGGGTGCAGGTGAGAGTCCAGGACCGCCAAAGAGCATCTTCCGGGTCATCCATGTTTTTGTACTGACAGACAGTTACCCTGCAGGATGCTGCATTCAGGGGACCTCGTCGGGCTGCACGTATTGCCTTAGGGATCCTGGTCCAGAGGCAAAAATACAGGTTGTTTGCACTCAATCTACGTCGAATTCTCGAAATCATCTCAACTCGGTACGTAATGGTCTCTGGGCAACCACGGACAGCGCATTGTTTGCATCAGCTCGTTGTACATTGTGCGAATTGACATTCTCAAAGATGTCGGACCCCCGCGCGGGAGGGCGGGCTGCTTTCAAATCATTGCGTCAAATTGCGGGCCTATCGTTACACCCTCCGTCAGGCAAAGTGCGGAATGTCGTCCATACAGAGTGGACGGCAGTAGAACCGAGCAGGAGAGACTACGGTTCGCTACCGTATCAAACACAGCTGCACATGGAGGCGGCCTGCCGTGGTGTGGTAACGAAGAAACTTTACGATGACCCAAAGCAATCTGGCCCACGCGGTTCGAGCGGGACGGTATGGCTCGGGGAAGCAGGCCTGCAGTCCCGGCGTCGACGATCTAGGCCAGCAACCATTCAGGGCTGGGGCGGCAAGATTACATCTGGTATTCTGGATAAAGTCGCTTCACACCCCCTTCCGATGCCTAAAGCGCACTTTACATTCCCAACGACGCATGTTGACCTCAGCCCACAGGTCGACGACAACTCGCAAAGCGATGCCCCAAGGAGAATATTTAAATTAACTGGAGATACGGAGGGGAAACCGGTGAGCACCGCTGTCCCTGATTCCAAGCTGCATAGCCGACGCCGGGTCCTTCCTGCATGGTACCTCGGCTGCATATCTTACAGTATCGTGAGTTGTCAATGTGTCTCTAATGCAGCCTTTGCAGGACATTGCCTCGCTAGACGTAACCACTGACCCGCCTTAAAGTCAAGCCCTCCATGACGGCCTGATTCACACAAAGTTTCTTTTCTAATTTCTCACGGGTCTGAGGGTCAACATGCCCAGTGCCCTGGTCCCAGCTGCTCACGCAGATGTGCCCGAGTTCCGAGCACAAACACCCACAAGAATCCGGCCTTGGTTGGCATGAATCCGCCCTCACATTAAAGAACAAGAAGGACTGGCGGTGAAGCGCCCTGCTCTCAAATCGCTTGCAGAGAGCTGGGAAGCCAAGGCAGCTTGTCAAACATCCAGTCCTAACGAATCACAGTTCGGAGGCAACGAGCTCGCTCATCTCCATGCACGGTGACCTATCCCCAGTGGGACGAGTAGGAGAGGTTCCAGGTGAGCCGCAGTGCGGACCAACTCACTCCTGGCTCGGTTCGCCTCGTATTGTGGCCCCCAGCCCCCCTGGAGGAACTGACAGCCATTCAAGGGAATGGCGTGTCGTCGTGAAGGTTGGCCACCTCGCGGAAAAGCAGCATGGTGGCAAAGACAGGATGGCCGTCCAACGCCCAGCTCGCAGGTCCTCTGTACCGTTGCCGATCAGCATCATCCTATCTCGAGTGCCCACGGCCAGCCTGTCTCTCGTGACACGCGAGGCCCGCGCCGAAGCGAACCCCGCAAAGACGTTGGTCATGGGATTTCCTGTCGACATGACGAGTCCATATCTGTTCGCCCATTCGATGGCGATACGATGCCAGACTGGAAAGGGACAGATCTCCGACGGCAAGGAGGGGAGCACCCCGGGAGCTGGCTTGCCACTGGCGGCCTGGGCGTTTCATGTGATCCCTTGGTGATAACCTCATTCGCCTTCAACATGCAGAGGAAAGTTGCTGATCACTGCATCCCCTCCCGACGCTCCAATGGCGAGTGATGGGAGCGCTCATCGCCACCTTTCTGAAGCATCCCCCCCGCCCGACGCAGTACTCCTCACTGGAAATCCCTGATCAAGGCTCGGATGGCAGCCCTCCGGACGGTTTCCTACGGCGATTGAGCGCTCGTGATACGCACGCAGCCTTCGTGCATGGAATATCCATGACCCCGACACTCATATCTAGTGGATACTTGTCAGATACTTTGAGGGAAGAGGTCGATACCTGGGACAGGGTACTTGCTCACCTGCATGATGAAGCTCTTGGAGAAGAGCTGAGAGTGGTTGTTGACCAAGTGGCAAATTACTCCGCGCTTCTCGAAGCAACCCGTCGCATCGATGTGATGAAGCGCCATCCTGCACGTTTCGTTGCACCGAGAAATGTGATATGGCTCTGTCGACGCGTTGAATGGCGGAAAACGAGGGCCTTTTGAGCTTCTAGAACCGGTCGAGCGGGTCCGAAGGCTGCAACACGGCAGTACGAGAAGGCGTCTCGTAGGTCCATCTTCAACAAGCTGTGACAAAGACCGCGTTCTTGCAGAATAATCTGGCACCTGACCTTCCTTCGCTAGAAACACACCAGGCTGAGAAGCCAATAGCAGTTTCCGGGAGGGTTTCGGATGAGGGAAATACCAGTCTGATATATGCCTGCCGTTTTTTGTGACGCATGCAATGCCGCGAGCTGGCGTGATGGGCTCGGATACGACAGAATTGACAGCCAAACGTGGAGTGCGTCGGTCACCAGACCCTCTCTCGCCCGGCTGTGATAGCGGGTCGGCAAATACCACTGGAGACGGAGTTTCTGGAAACAACATGGAGGACCAAGCCACCTGCCGGTATCCCTAGTCTGGGGTTGAGCGGCCCCTAAGGGGGATCATCACCGTGGGACAAGGACCACCATAAGAGTCACTTGATGCTTTTGATGGAGGGTTGCGTCTGTTCCTCGCTTTCAAAGCAGCCAGTTGGCCGTACCCTGACCGCATGTGGACTTGCTGATCATTGATCAGCTTGGCTTCACTTGAATAGGGCAAAGCAGCAATGCCTTTTCGTGGGAGGGATCGTAAAAGGTGCGTGTGGTGATTTTGGAGGGAAGGTGTGCTCATGGATGCCGGGAAAAGACCTGATTCTTACGGGCATAGTAGACAATCCGATGCTCATAAGAGTGTGGATATGATAGTTGTATTGGATTCACAGCACAAGGTAGAGTATGGGATTTCGCCGCACGCGCATACCCGGAGCAGCTCCCTCCCAGTTGAGAGGATGGAGTGAAAGCTGGGAGATTCCCGTTGCTGATCGAGTGGAACGGGGGCGGCAGGATGTTTTATAAATGCCACAGTCGAATGTTCTGGGAAGACCGCCAGCCATCATTGATTGGGGTTCAGTTGCGCATGGTTGGGCACCGTCGCAGAAGGGACAGTCATACGATACGGTGTATTCATATCACGACCCGATCTCTCTTCGTTGATCAGATGCTGCAGCCCAGCATTTGGCGGCACAAGAGCGTTGCTTTGGCCGATGGGCACACTTATTCATTGTGCTGACTGGCCCTGATTCTTCACAGGGAAGCAGGAAGACCTCAAGCCTCTACCAAATGCACAGAGATCGCGATATGGACAGACCAGGCCAGCTCGGTGCCAGGCGTGCGACACGACTGACAGCACCTGAGTTGCCCTTGCCCGCACGGACAAGACTTCTCCATCTCAACATGCGCGACCGCACATCTTGAGGCTGGACGTCAGAGTCGTCGCTGAGCCCCCATCCGACTTGCTGTTCTTTGCAGAACGTGCGTGCATGGCAGCGCGAAAGGGCACGAGCAGCTGCGCAGTGCCCTTTTGATGGGGTCCTGCCAGGACAAGGACAAGTTGGTTTGACGACGAGCGGAACACCAGGACGGATTCTGCGGCCGGAAACGCGATGGCTCGAGGATGGGGGGCGGGGGCTTTTCCCCGTGTCGGACGTGCGTCACACGCCGAGACTCGATCAGGAGCGCGGCGGAAGGCTTGGGTCTTCTTTGCCCGGACACTTGTCCTACGGCAAGGGGTGGGGTGGCGCTGACCGGATAGAGCTGGGGGATTTGGAGAGAGCGACAGCTGGCAGGCACCATTGGGAGCTCGAGGCTTGACGAATTGATGTTTTTGACGACTTAGGCCATCTCTTGTCTGTCTCGTGTCTGGTGTCAAAAGCAACGGTTTGGTGGAGTTGTTGAAGCTGGGCGAACGGAGTGTATTTGCTTGCTCAGGGGTATGAACAGGCGGCAAAGGAGAGTTTCTACAAGTCCCTGGGAAAGACATAGCTATTCGTAGTAAGGTAAGGTACCTAGTTAGTGAGTGGGTGGCTCAAAACGGTCCTTGAGGCAGGCAGCGATACCTATTCAAACCGTCACATTGTATGTACGGTATCCGCTTTGTTTACTGCAGAGAAGATACGCATGTGGTCTTTGCTGTGTTGCGAGGTTCTTTCGGACCGTCAGTAATACCGAAGCCCCTTTTCACTGATAAAGTTGAGTCGGGCTATCTCAGCTGTTCAGGATGACCGAGGTACAAGTAGAACTGTCGTGGAAGCGGTCAAAGTTTTGTAAATTGGGTCTCGGATGTGGGCGAGACACCCTGACGATCTCAATGGAGATGTGGGGGGAGGATCAGTCGAGAAGCATCGAAAATCTTTCCAGACTGCTCGCTTTCCTTGCACAAAGTGAACACCCTGGCAGGCTTGGTACGTAGGTAGGTAGTCACTCACTTGAGAAATCATCAGAAAGTCCTTTCGGCTGATGCCAGACAACCTGATGATGTCTCGGTCGCGTGATCCCCGGCGCAGGGTTGAGAAATCCAGGGTTCTGGACAGCCGAAATGAGGGGTACGTGCATTTCTAGCATTGCTACAAATGGAACACGAAGGAAGTGTGCAAGGAGAGCCGCGCACCAACGGCCCGGTGTTGATCGGTGCTGATGCCTGCTTTGGAACCGGCTTGCAGCCAGCCAGCGTGAGACTGATGCTGAGGAGGCCACGAATACACATGAGACCAAGGGCTTTCCCCAAGAGGCGGAAGCATGACGCACCCAGTCGCAGCACCGCACATCGTGTATGCAACTCGGCCATAGCACAGGCCATAACTAGTAGCTAGTTACACATAGTTACATGTAGCACAGTGAGATCGTGCTTGGGTCTGGTCTGGTATCAGCTAAATTGCCGCGAGTACGGGTGGCTTATCGGGTGTTCTGATAAGGCACGGCAACCAAGCCCCGGCGGGCGGCGGGGGAAGAAGGTGGGTACTTTATCAACATCATGAACTGGAAACACGGCAAGGGTGATTTGCCAAGGCGATCTCCATCAGCCCCATCCGCCTGTCCACCAAAGCCCACCAAGGAAGCTACTCCGCAGGTAGCGCACCCACCCATTTCGTGGGACCTGATGATCAGGTTCAGACAGACATGCACGGCGGCTGAATTAGTTGAGTTGGGGGGTCCTTGGGGAGAGCGAGAAGGGGGGCGGGTCAGTGTCTTGTCGGTCGGTGATGCCGTCGTAATGAAGATGAACAAGGTGAAGGGAAACAAGATTGCGAGACTACTTGTACAAGTAGAAGGAAAAGGTTATCAGGCATCGGCGGCGTTGTGGTGGGCGAAGCAATGCCAACCTACCTTGGTTAGTGAATGGAGCAGAGACATGGAGGGAGATGACTGACGACGCCGCCTGCGAGGCGCCACGAGGGAAATATCGTCCCGCATGGCTGGCTTTGCCTTTGCTTTGCCTTTTTGCTTTGCTTTGCGCTGCCCGCCGGGTCCCCCTCCTCGATTCCACAGCGAAGGGACGGACTCTACTTCGTGCTCTGAGGAAGCACATGCAAAAAGGAATGAGGCTGAATGGTGTTTGTGATTCGCCAGAGGCTGCTTTCCTGTGCTTGGAGCGGGTGTGGTGGTGTGGGTTCCTGGCGTTCTCGTCTCCTCTCGGCGGGCTCAGCCTAGAACCCACGACTGGCTGGACCGCCGGATGGGATCCATGTCGAGTGAGAAGAGTGAGCACCCAGCCAACATTCCGTCCCGCCGAACGACTCCGCCCGTGTGTTAGCAGGCACTCAGTCGGTCAATGAGAGTGCCCAATCCAACCAAGGCTTGGGGAGGCACAGCAGACACACATTTGCTTCAAGTCGAGTCGTCCGTCCCTCGTGGTTGTTGTCCCGTTTCCGATCCGATCGTAAGCCACACTGCTCACACATAGGTACGCATACGCACACGCATACACACACACACACACACACACACACACACCACTTGGTACGCCCACACTGTTGCAAAGGGACCCTTGGACTACCCTTCCCCGCGGGAACGACTTTCAATTCCTCACCTCAGATCGCCCGGGCGAGGCCTTTTTCCTCCTTCCCACTCTGTTGTTGTTTTCCCTCATCCCGACTCTTTGGCCAGGGCCATTCGGTTTCAAGCAATTAGGTTGGATCGTGACGTTTGAGGGACAGACGGCCGCGTATTCCCTTTTTTTGTTGTTGCATTCGCCCGGGCTTCTTCTTATCTCTCATGTCGGCGGTGTAGTATTCCCAATCGGGCAGGCTGACCTGTGAAGCGCCGCGATTGCGCATCACCCTCTCTCCGCCTTTTCCCACCCTCGCCCGCCATTCTGCGCACTGCAACCTCCGGACGACCCGGACTTTGTCTGGCGGGCCATTCCTCGCCACGATGGAGTCTCACCACAAGATCACCAAGCCCCGGAGCAAGATGGTGAAGCCCATATTGAAGAAGCTGTCGCATTCTGAAAAGAACTCGCTCGACCTCGACCGCGGCTGGGACGAGCAGGCCGGCGGCTATGGCTGGGCCGGCGGCGGAGGCGGCGGCGGCGGCCTGTACGAGTCGGCGGGCGCTGGGCGCTCCGCCAAGGACGTCAGTTTCATCTTTGGAGAGCCGTCGGCGCCCATGGTCTCCTCTTCAGCGACGGGCTCGGGCGCAGCCAGCGCTGCCGCGAGGCCGCGATTCCAGCATGGGCGCTCGCCCAGCGGCACATCGCACGTCTCGGTCGCTACCAACGGCAGCGGCGGGCCGCCCAGGGCGGGTTCCTTTGTTCACCCCTTTCAGCAGACGCCGCGGACGTCGACGCCGCCGCTCATGTCGTACGCCAACTCGATGGCCTCGTTTGACTGTGGGCCGCGCGACTACTCCCCGACCATCACCGAGGACGACGACGGCACCGTTGGTTGCGGCGGCGGCGGCGACGAGGACGACGTCTCAGTTCCGCCCTCACTTTCCACTCAGGTGCACCACCACCACCACCACCACCACCGCACCCACTCTTCCTCACTTTCCCAGTCAAATCTGCGTCGCCCGTCGCTCGCCAGCCAACGCACTTCTTCCTTTTCCGACGTATCTGGTGCGAAACCCCTCAGGATAAACACCAAACCGGCCACCGCCAGACGCGGTCCAGGAAAACTCTCTTCCAGCCTCTCCCACTCCGACCTGCACCTCAACCTCACCTTGGACTCACCCATCTCTTCCACCCTCAACGCCAATTCCGCATTCCCGCCGTCAACGTCGTCGCAGGCGCCCTCCATCATCTCGCCGATTTCGCTCTCGGCATCAGTCGCGCCCATGTCTCCCCTCCGCAGCTCCCTCGACGGCTTCCGCCTGCGGTCGCGCTCCGAGGTCGACACCTGGGACCGCGCCGAGACGATCCGCGAGGCCCGCCGGCGCTTCGAGGAGCGCGAGCGCGCCAAGGACGAGAAGCGCGAGCGCGAGGCCTCCAAGAAGCAGGAGCGCCGCGAGCAGAGGGAGGCCAAGGTCCTCGAGAAGGCGCACGCCGCGCAGCTGCGCAAGAACTCGCGCAGCAGCACCGACGTCCCGGGCCTGGCCGGCCTGGCACCGCGCCGCCCGGGCCCGGCCGCCGTCGCCACGGGCTCCTCCAAGTCCAGCTCGCGGCGCGGATCCAGCGCCGCCGCCGCCAAGAAGCTGAGCAGCGACCTCGCGGCATCGTCGACCGACGAGAAGCGCGGCGCCGAGTTCCTCAGCAGCAACTACGACAGCGTCGAGGGCGGGCGCACGCCCCGCCTCGGCGGCGGCGTCGACGACGTGCGCTTCCAGCCCGCGGGCCCGCGGCGGGGCGCCGCCAAGCGCAGGACGCAGGGCTACTGGACCGGGTTCATCCTGTGGCTGCGCACGCGGCTCTTCCGCCTGGGCAAGGCCTAGAAGGCCCGTTCCCGCGCGGGGGAGGAGGAGGAGGAGCCGAGGGGGGCCTGCTGCTGGCGTTGCGGACGGCCGGGAGGCGCGGCGGGAGCGACGGCGTACGGCTACCCGGCCCCGAAGAAGCAGGACCCGCGGCACGACGACGAGCCGTCCGAGTTTGAGAAGATGTGGATGCTCAACAGCCCTTTCGAGCGGTACAACCCACCCTCGGCGTACGCGAGCACCGTTGACTTGCATCGCTAGACGCAACGGCGGTGCATTGCGGTGAAGAACACCTCACACCCATACTTGAGAGATCCAGGAAATCTTATGAGGCGAACCCTGAATTGCTCTATACTTGACACACACACACACACACACAAAAAGTCCCAACAACACCCACATTCTCGAACCTCTTCACATCTTGCATAGACGGAGGAAGCGAAATATTCTCAAGATCTTCACGGCGGACCAATTTCCTCCAAGTCGCACGACTCATCATCAACATACAACAAACCATGCATACCCGGGATAGGCAGACTCCAGAACAGCACCCGCAGCTGATTCTTTGATTTTTATGATTTTATTTTTTTGACAGCCCAGCATTTTATGATATACGAAAAGAGATACCTTTTTGATTGATTTTTTTTTTTTTTTTTTCGTTCCTGCATCTGGAATTTGGGCTTCTGGCAACTTGATCCGCCAAGAGGGCTTTGGTCCCGGAAGACAAGGCGTTGGAGGGCGTTTTGTTTACCCGCGTGCAGGGACGGCGGCTCAGGCTCCGGCCTGCCTGTCAGCCGTCATGCAAATCTTTCTGGGCATTGCCTTTGCATTTATCTGGTCTTGATGGATGGTTCAGGGTACATATCCGGTCTTGTGAATCTTTGGCCACCAGGTTGGGAACATCTGATCTGGAAACCGACGGCCCGCTTTTGGGAGGGTAACCCTTTGGAACTCTTGGAGGGGGGCGGGGGTGATCTGGATCTCTCAACGAGATCTGGCGAGGAAAGTTGCCTACCATCTGGTCGTCTGCGGCCGGCCCCTCGGGGCAGTGAATATCTGCGCTTCTCGAGAGGAAAACGAGTCTCGCGCGCAGATGGACTGATAGCTTCCGACAAGGGATAGCTCTTGAGCGATGCCAATGAATACCGATTTCTCGTGCAGGTGGCCTTTCGAGACTCATACAGTGCCCGTGCTATCTTCTCTGTGGATGAATACATGAACGACGGGCGACTATATGGCCGTCATTGATGACCAACACTTTGTTCACAACCTATAAGCAAAGTTGCGACTCCTCTCTCCATGTCGTGTATAGACAGTATATCCAAAACAAGACAAGAAACGCTATTGTGACAAGGTAGATATCCCCTTTCCTTGATTTTTCCTTTTCTCTCTCCCTCACTCACAGCTTCGCCTTGGCCTTCTCCAGCAGCTGCGTGTCCCACCACGGCCAGATGGCAGGGCGGTCCTCCTCCATCGTGCCCCGGAACCGGGCGGGCCTCTTCTCCATGAAGCTCGCGACGCCCTCCTTCATGTCGCGGCCGTGGAACATGTCGTACAGCACGCTGCTCTCGAGCAGGTGGGCCTCCTCGGGCGTGCCGGGGCCGAGGTACATCATGTCGCGCATGACGCGCGTGCTGACGCCGCTCGTCGACGCCGCGATCTCCTCGGCGATGCGCAGCGCCGTGGGCACGACCTCGCCCGCGGGCACGACCTCGCCGAAGAGGCCCTCGACGAGCCGGTGCCGCGGGCCGACGACCTGCCCCGTCGTGACGAGGTGCAGGGCCCGCGCCGTGCCGATCAGCCGCGGCAGGAAGAAGGAGCTGCAGGCCTCCATCGTGATGCCGCGCCGCGCGAACACGAAGCCCAGCTTCGCGGCGTCGCTGACGACGCGCACGGCCGCGGGCAGCACCATGGTCATGCCGACGCCGACGGCGGAGCCGTTGACGGCGGCCACGACGGGCTTGGCGCAGCGGTGCATGGCCAGCGCGACGTGCCCGCCCGTGTCGCGGTAGTCGTCGCGGGCGACGCCGTCGCCGCCGACGCTGAAGCCGATGTCGAGGTCGGCGCCCGGGCAGAAGGTGCGGTTCGCCGGGTCGGAGCCCGTGAGGACGACGGCCCGCACGCGCGGGTCGGCCGAGAGCAGGTCGAAGGCCGTGGCGAGGGAGCGGGCCATGGCGGTCGTGAAGGCGTTCTTCTGCGCGGGCCGGTCGAGGATGACGAGGATGACGGGGGTCGGCTCCGGGGCCGAGGCCGGGTGGTGGGAGAGCTTGATGTCTGGCAGGGACAGGGTGTTGTAGCTCTTTGGGAGCTCCATGGTTGTTTGGCTTGGCTGGTTGGTTGACGGGGATGTGTTCTGTGTTCTGTGTTGTGGTTGTTAGTTGTGCTAACCCGATGAGAGACTTATGTCTTCTTCTTGTTTGTATATATACAACGTGTAAAGGTGAAGTTCATGGTGAGAGAGGTTCATTGTACAGTTCATGGCTGAGGTGGTGGTGTAAGTCGAGGTGCGGAGGATCGCGCGCTAACCCCAGATGCCGAGGTCCGGGCGGTGGGACTCTCTCCGCATAAGGAACCAGTCTCCGCGGCCCAAGGCGGCTGGACAGCATTCCATGATCTGGCGACAGTCTCACAGACAAGCATATCAAGCATGATCAGGCTTTTGTGATGCCTTTTTTTCCCCTTTTTTCGACTCTGTCTGTCTGTCTGTCTGTCTGTGGAGCGATCTCTTTGTCTTTCCTCAAGGCCGGCTGCAAATCGCCATCTACCTTGGCTCGAGATCCGGCTAACTAGCACGGCCAAGAACGCTACTTGTACATGCTTAAGCCGGCTCATCTGGTTACATAAACTTGCTGGCGAACCCCAAAAGTCCTCCAGGGCCGCTCGACGGGCCTCCAGCCTGGCCCTTCATGTACATCTTGAGTGCCATCTCGCCGGCCTTCATGATGGCCGACTCCTTGGATGAGTCGGATGAGACCTGGCCCTGGGATGCCTTTTGGTCGAACAGCTGAGAGCAGAGCACAGTATTAGTCTGAATGAAAAGGACACAGCAGTCATAGGTAGGAGATGGATGACGATAATACCTTGCTTGCCTCGCTCATGGCCAGGCCGATGAATGCGCTCTTGCTCTGGGATCCCTGAGCCTCGCCGCCTGAGAACATCTTGAGGGCCTGCATGGCGGCAGCAGCGCCCATGCCTCCGGATGTGGCCTCTTGGACGTTGCCACCGCCCCCAAAGAACTGCTGGTGGTTGCGGACGGCGTCTAGCGGTTGTCAGCCAGAGGGCACGCACGCTGGTGTATGATGGAAAAAAGGGCTCATCAAGAGAAGGGACGCACCATCCTCATCGATATCCTCCTGCTCCAGGCGGCCCTTGTTCTGGCCGATGGCATTCAGGATCCCGCCAAACAGGCTGGTGTCTCCAGAGTCGCCGGCGTGGCGGGAGGCCGTCTCGGCGGCACCGCGCAGGTCCTCGTCGTCTTCGTGGCGGTAGTTGTCAAACATTTTTGCAGATGTCTTGGGAAAGAAGTTGGTGGTGTTGCAACTACAGGAGTCTTGGAGTTCTGTCAGAAGTGGCGCGTGAGGGGTTGAAGAAGGTGTTGCGGGGGGGCGTGACGAAGCTTCAAGTTGACTGCAAGCAATACAAAAAGAGGCCAATTGGACGGGTTTGCTTCAGGTCTATTCTAATGCCAGGCTCTAATGCACGTTACGCGTTTCACTGGCCTGCGATCAAAGGGTAGAGAGCCATCTCTATTGGACAACGTCACGACAAACGTCAATGAGCGATGGTGCGTTTCGAGTTGGGGCCGTGACTGGGGACTGCATTTACCTACTAGGTAGTTACTCCACAAGATCAAGCACGATGCTTCGATGCCATAACAGGGTACAAGTGATCAGTGCAGTTTCCAGACTTATGAAAACACTATTCAAATGCATGTATGCGATCAGGAAAATGATGCCCTCCTCCTTGTGTCAGCTGAACGTACTCTTGGAGCTTGATGGCCTGGGGAGAGATACAGAGCGATAAGCCTTGACGAAGCCTTTTCCTGGGCATTCTGGGGTCCATTCCAGGCAGCTTGGCAGGCCACAACTCCACTAAGATCCACCAAGGGACCGCCTAGAGCAAGATAGGAGAGCGGTCAGGGGCGGCAATAAAATATTTCTTGACCGTCCAGCAGAAAAAAAAATTAGGTAGTTCACCGCAGATGCCCCGCTGCCGTTCCCGCTCCTGCTTCTGGCTTGCTTCCCAAAGACCACTCCATTGACCAGAACTGCCTTCGCAATTCGACACAATGGGTCGCATCAAGAAGAAGGGCCAGGCCGGCGCGGCCAAGAACTACATGACACGGACTCAGGCCGTCAAGAAACTCCAGATCAGCCTGCCCGACTTCCGAAAACTGTGCATCTGGAAGGGCATCTACCCGCGCGAGCCCAGGAACAAGAAGAAGGTCTCCAAAGGCGCCTCTGCTGCGTCGACCTTCTACTACACCAAGGACATCCAGTATCTGCTCCACGAGCCGCTCCTCGCCAAGTTCCGCGATCAGAAGGCCCTCGAGAAGAAGATCTCCAAGGCTCTTGGCCGAGGCGATGTCTCTGACGCCAAACGCCTGGAGCGCAACGCTGCCAGGCCAGAGAAGACGGGCAAGCCCAGGTATACCCTCGACCATGTCATCCGCGAGCGCTATCCCACCTTCATCGACGCCCTGAGGGACCTGGACGACTGCCTCTCCATGCTCTTCCTCTTTGCCAACCTGCCCTCGACCTCGACCGTGCCCGCCAAGATGATTGCCCGCTGCGAGCGACTCTGCCTCGAATTCCAGCACTACCTGATTGTCTCCCACAGTCTGCGCAAGTCCTTCCTGTCAATCAAGGGCATTTATTACCAGGCAAACATCCAGGGCGAAGATATCCTCTGGCTTGTTCCCTACAAGTTCAACCAGAGGGTCGTGGGCGACATCGACTTCCGCATTATGGGCACCTTTGTCGAGTTTTACATGACCCTACTTGGCTTCATCAACTTCCGTCTCTACACCTCTATCGGTCTCAAGTACCCGCCCAAGTTTGATCAGACCAAGGATGAGCAGGCTGGTGAGCTCGGCGCGTTCACGCTCGAGGGTGTGAACCTGGTCGCCAAGGACAACGAGACCAAGGCGCTGACCAACGGCGCTGCGGAGCACGGCCCCGACCCCAAGGTGCAGGCCGAAGTCAACAAGCTGGTCAAAGAATTGAAGAGCGCCGAGGCGGCGACCGAGTCCAAGCCTACCGAGGCGGATGCCGACGAGGAGCAAGCAACCGAAACGATCGACAAGTTCGAGGTCGCTGTCGCGGGCGGTGACGTGCTTCCCCAGCCCACCTACAGCTCGAATGACAGTGCTTCGCTGTTCTCAAAATGCACCTTCTTCCTCTCCCGAGAGACGCCCCGTCAGCCTCTGGAATTCATCCTGAAGGCCTTTGGCTGCAAGCGTGTGGGCTGGGACTCGGTTCTCGGCGAGGGTGCTTTCACGCACGATGAGAGCGACCCCACCATCACCCACCAGATCGTCGACCGGCCTGTCATCCAAGCCGCCATGGAGGCAAACGGCGATGGCGAGGACAACCAGACTTCACAAAAGCTCGGCCCCAACCAGCGGGTGCCCGGCAGGATATACGTCCAGCCGCAGTGGGTGTGGGACAGTGCCAACGATGAGGAGCTCAAGAGCCCTGACCTGTATGCGCCGGGTGCTCAGCTCCCGCCCCACCTGAGCCCCTTTGTCAAGAGTGTCCAGGGCCAATACGACCCGACTATCCCTCTGGAGGAGCAGGAAACCGAGGCTGAGGCGCTCAACGCTGACAGCGACATGGAGGAGGATGAGGAGCCAGCCGACGAGGATGATCTTGCAGTCAAGGCTATTGAGGACGGTGGCATGGACATCGCCGAGACCGATGAGGACGAGGACGAGGACGACAATGGCTCGTTTGGCGGCTTCTCCGAGGGCGAAGAGGACCCCGAGGACAACTCGGATGACGAGGCCCTTCAGAGGCAGCGCGAGCTGGAGGCCGAGCTCACAGGCAAGCCAGTCAAGGGCAAGGAGCAGGATGCCAAGAGCAAGGCCAAGGCCGAGGCCAAGAAGGCGCTGGCAAAGAGGAACAAGGAGGAAGAGGAAGAGCTGGAGCGGGCCAAGGGCATGCTGCCCAAGAAGAAGAGGAAGCTGTACGAGCAGATGATCTACACCAACAAGAAGAAGAGCGCCGAGGACGAGAAGCTGCGGTCCAAGAGGAGGAAGTTGGAGAAGCAGCTGGGCAAGGGTGCCGCTTAGACAACAGATAGACAGACAGCTTCGCTTTTGATTTTGCAATCCATAAGGTGGCGTTTGATGTGGATACCAGGAGTTCAAAATATATATCAATATATATCTATTCATCCAGCACGCTGATGCGCTCTTTCTGCTGCGTTATGTACTATGGTTTTGGACTTGTGTGTGTCTGCAAATGCTACTCTCTCAATCATCCAGCCCTCCCCACTCAGCACCACTACTCTCACCACCATCCCCTTGCTCTCCACCCTCCTCGGCACCCTTGCGCCGCTTGCTCCCCTCGATAGCACCTTTCCTGTTATTCTCCCTCCGGCGCTCCCAAGCGCTCTTGGACGTGATGCGCGCTTTGCCTCCCGCCCCGGACCGCCGGGACTCGACGCCCCGCTCCCGCAGCTTCTTGCGGTCCTCCTTGGACACCTGCGGCAGGGCGTCGAGCAGCCACTGCTGCACCCCGCTACTACTCTCCTTGCTCTCTCCTCCTCCTCCGCCTCCTCCTCCTCCGGCGGCGGACCTCTGCCTCTCGCTCAGGGCGATCACGTTGGCCACGCTCTTGACGAAGGGGATGTCGTCCCTGGTGTAGAACGTGACGGCGACGCCGCCCTCGCGGCCGGCCCGGCCCGTGCGGCCCGCGCGGTGGACGTACGCGGCCGCGGAGCCGGGGACGTCGTAGCTCACGACGCCGTTGACGCCGGCAAAGTCGACGCCGCGCGCCAGCACGTCGGTGGTGATGAGCACCCAGACCTCGCCGGCGCGGAAGCGGCGCACGACGGCCGAGCGCCGCGCGTCGGGCAAGCCGGAGTGCAGGACGGCGATGCGCGCGGGACCGCCCGCGGCGAGGGGGATGTCGAACTTGAGCTCCTCGTGCAGGGCGGCGGCGCGCTCGATGGTCTGCGTGAAGACGAGGAAGGGCGGGCGCAGGGGCACGTCCGAGGCCGAGGAGGACGACGCGGGCCGCAGGAGCTGGCGGAGGGCGAGGAGCTTGCCCGGCTCCGAGGCCGTGTACACGAGCCGGTGGGACACGTTGGGGACGGCCGTGTCCTTGAGCCCCACCACGAGGCGGACCGTGGGGCGGGCCGAGGGCAGCCCCCGCGCCGCGGCGTGGGCGGCGGACTGGGCCATGATGAGGGTCTCGATGTTGGAGGGCATGGTGGCGGACCAGAAGGACACTTGGAGGTCCGGGTCGGTGCAGGCGGACCAGATGCCGACGGTCTGGTCGCGGAAGAGCGGGTCTAGGAGGACGTCTGCCTCGTCGAGCACGAGGGACTGGACGTTGGGGAGGGTTTTGGGGGAGGAGCCGCCTTCGGTGAGATAGTTTAGGAGGAGCATGGGTGTCGTGACGAGTATGTCTGCTTTGGTGATTGGTGTGGAGGCTGACGCTGTCTTCTTGGGAGGTTTGGGCTTGTCCTCGCCCTCGTCGTCTTCGTCCTCGGAAGACGAGCCTTCGTCCGAGATCTCGTCGTCGTCTGCCGCCTCGCCGTCCTTATCGCTGTTGGCGGTCTCTGCGGCCACACGCATGCCCTTCCTCATGTACACGATCCGCAGGCCGGTGCCCATGGCGAGCTTCTTGCCCTCGTTGGCAATCTGGCTCGCCAGCTCCCTCGTCGGCGCGATGACGATGGCGTTCAGCTCGTGCTGCTTCCGGTCCTCCCGGCCAGCCCGCTTCTTCATGATGCCGTTGATGGCGGGGATCAAGAAGCTCAGCGTCTTCCCGCTACCCGTCGGCGCGACAGCCATGAAGTCTGCACCATCCTCGAAGCCCGAGACGATATCTGGGTCCTCGACCTTTCCCAGAGCTAGGTTGTGGTCCAGAAGCAGCGGCAGACTGGCCATCTGCACTTCCGTCGGCTCCTTGTATGACAGCTTCTCGAGGTTCTCGGCAAGCCGCGAGGATATGGCGTATGTGTCGCGCAGCGCCGAGAACGACGTCAGGGGCTGGGGATACAGCTGCTTCTTGTCGTCCTTGGCATCGACCTTGGCGGCCTTCTTCTTTTTCTTGCTCTTCTTGACCTTGTCCTTCTCCTTGGCCTCCTGCGACGACGGCGACTTCATCAGCGTGAGCTTGAGGCGGTGGGAGCGCAGCAGTTGCCGGCATTCGTCCTCGTCCAGCAGCTCTGCCTTGCGTGCCTTGGCCTTTTGGTCTGCCGTCTTCGAGGACTTGCTGGTCTTTGCCGAGTCCTGCGCCTTTGCGTGGTCCTTGGGCGCGAAGAAGTCGATGTCGCTGAGCTCCTCCTCTTCTGCTTCGTCGGGCTTGGTCTCAGCGTTGCCGGTCCGCCTCCTCTTGGTGCCCCTGGAGAGGCCGACGTCGTCGTGGAATAGCTGGGCGTGGGGGAGGCTGCCGGCCGAGGGCAGGAGGTTCGACTGCGCATTGCTTGCGCCGCCTGCCCTTTTTGCGGGGCGCTTCGTGCCTCTGGATAGAATCTTGAGGATGTCCATCCTGCGCTCGGGTGTCGGATGGCGAGCGCAATACGAAACGGGCGTGAAAGCGGTTCGTCGCTAGTGCGTGTGGTGTTGTCTGTCGATGGAGAGTTGCGGGTAATTTTTTTTTTCTGGGCGGCAGTACTGGATAGACCGCCCGGGCCCCACGGTGCGTAGTGTGGGGTTTTAGGTACGAAGTATTGGGCGGTGAAGAGCTCTTAGTAGGAGAGCTTCCAGTACTTGTAATTAGCACTTTCGCTACTATTGTCCGCTTTTGTTAGTGGTCGGAACCAATGCTCAGTTGTAGATTCGGGCCTTCAGGGGAATGATCGCAAATTCTTTACAGAAGATGGTAACATCTTTCATGATCCTTTGAATAATTACATCATACAGATGGATTGGGTAGAGCTTGCAGGGATTGTATTTCATTCATAACTAGATATAAATCTCGAGACCGTTTGGTGTGTGCCGCGCTGTGTCCTAGCCAACAATGTTTCAGCTGCAAATTGACTTGGGGCGCGCGCCGAGGCATCTCTTGTCATCAATTGAATTAGAAGTGCTGAGAAGAGCGACTAAGCGTACGGTTCCTTGATCTTACTCTCCTGCCCAAAGTATACCCTCTTCAATTCATTCTACCTTCTTTGAAGTTCTCGGGTCCGAAACAGACAGAGATGGCGCCACACAAGTCATTCGCAAATTATCCGCTGCCCAAGGAGTCAACGGACGTGACCTACAAGTATGAGGAGGACAAGAACCCAGTTCTCCGTGGCCTGCCCTTGGCTATCGGCTCTTCGGTGTGCGTTGGCTCCTTCACACCTCTCGATTGCGCCGTAGCTGATTGATTTGTTTCCCTAGAATTTCAAACCTTGGCTTCGTGCAGAAGATCCTCTGGAAGAATGCTGGATTTGGCAACTTCAGGAGCGGTGCTGGTCTGGAGGATGTGCCATGGACGATTCATGTGAGATGCTTGCACCTCCTATCATGCATGGGTTTCTGACATGCACCCGGTCTAGCCGATCGTCATCCCGCTGGCAGACGAGTCCTCGCCAGCTTCCATGCTGGATATCTCCTCCTCCGCCCTGACCACCCAGCAGCCCGCCGACCGCCCCGGCAGGTTTCACTCGGCCGCCGACTTCACGGCGCGGTACCTCTCCCGCGAGCTGACCCCGCTGCAGGTCGTCGAGGCTCTGCTGCCGCTCGTCCAGCGCGAGCCCACCGATGGGTCCGCTCCATCCAAGTACTCGCCGGCCTTTGTCGCCCATGACGTCGACAGAATCCTTGCGGCAGCCAAGGCGTCGACCCAGCGGTATGGCCAGGGCAAGCCGCTCGGCCCGCTAGACGGCGTCCCTATCGGCGTCAAGTGCGATACTGACCTCGAGGGGTACGTGTCGACGTTTGGCATGAAGCCGAACAAGAACTACCCCTTCTTCCGCAAGGTACAGGAGAAGTCGGCGTGGCCGGTGCAGAAGCTACAGGACGCTGGTGCCGTGGTCATCGGGCATCAGCTTATGCACGAGATTGGAATGGGTGAGTTGCCTCAAGTATATCTGTGTAATGCGATCTATTGGCTAACGAGGTGACTTTTGGGCGATAGATACGACTGGTTGCAATGTAAGAGAGTCCTGTCCAGGTTGTTGTTGTTGGCTTAGAGACTCACTCGGTTTTGCAGCCTGAAATGGGCACACCGATGAACTGGTATAACAAGTCGTATTTCCCTGGCGGCTCGTCCACCGGTGCTGGTTCTTCCATGGGAGCTGGCCTGGTTCCAATTTCTGTCGGAACCGACGGCGGTAAGAGTTCTATCTCGCTCACGCTGAACACTAAGAAATATCTGACAATTCAACAGGCGGTAGCATTCGAATTCCCTCTACATACAACGGCCTATATGGTCTCAAACCATCCCACAATAGGACAATGTCCTGCTCCTGCAGCACCGTCGTCGTCGGGCCCCTGGCAGCCACCGTGTCGGACCTCACCATCGCTTATCGTGTCATGTCGCAGCCAGACCCCTCGGATTCGGTCCAAAACAAATTTGCCATCTCCTCGCTGCCAACCCCAGGCGCTGACAAGGTCATCGGCGTGGCCTGGAACTGGGTCGACAAGGCCGACCCGATCATCATAGAGAACTTCAAGAAGACGGTCGACTACCTTGAGAAACAGGCCGGCTACCGCATCATCGACATCGGCCTCCCCTTGCTGCGCGAAGGCCAGCTCGCCCACGCCGCCACCTGCGTCACCGAGGCCTTCGCCACGGCGCGCAGCCGCACGCCCGACCCGGACGACTGGAAGGCCCTGCTCAACTACCCGAACCGCCTGCTCCTGTCGACGGCCCAGCACACGCCGGCGTCCGAGTACATGCGCTACGGGCAGATCAAGACGGTCATCATGCAGCACCTCGCGCACCTCTGGCAGGAGCACCCGGGCCTGCTGGTCCTGTCGCCCACGACGCCGGCGGCGGGCTGGAAGGTCCACCCGGGCGACCAGGCGTACGGCCTGTGCGACGGCAACATGACGGTGCGCAACATGATGTTTGTGTGGCTGGCCAACCTGACGGGCTGCCCTGCGCTGTCGGCGCCCATGGGCTACGCCGAGCCGGAGCAGGGCGTCGGCCGCGTGCCGATGGGCGTCATGGCCATGGGCGAGTGGGGCGCCGAGGAGCAGCTGCTGGGCTGGGCGGGCGACGCGGAGAGGTATATCAACGAGGCGTACCCGGGCGGCAGGGTGCGGCCGGAGGAGTGGGTGGATGTGGTTGGGCTTGCGAAGGAGAAGGCGCAAGGGAAGTAAGTGATGCTCAGGGTTTTCCGTGGGAGAAGTCTTTTGGATTCTACACTCAACCAAAACTTCTGCGTAATGCCTTCATATAGCTGTGAAACAGCAGCAAATGCCTTTGTTTTAGATATTTCTTGTGTATGGCATGTGTAGATGCCGGCATTTTGTACAGTAATACAGTAAATGCACTGTATAGGGCACTGTCACCACGTACGCAAACACTAGGCGCGACGCCCCGATCTGACCATTTGCGCAACTTTGTACCACTCACCAAACAACAATGGCAGCGAATCGACCATGGTCTACGAGTGGGAAGCGCACAAGGAGACGTGCTACCGCCTGTACATCGAGGAGAAGAAGTCTCTTGAAGACATTATTGAGTATATGAGAGTGCAGCACAATTTTAAACCAAGGTGAGCAGTGACTGTGTGAATGAACACCCTCCCTTCCCTTTGCGCTCGCCGTACTGCCTTCGTGTCACGGCGTGTCCCCCCAGCCTGCCGTACCGAAATGGGATCCTCTTCGGCCGAACGACATCAACGGCGTCGACGATGGGTCCCACTCCAGGCCGGTGATGGATCCGGACGACGATGCGGAACAGTCTAAAACGGTCTGGACGCATGCCGTGTTTGCGAAGAGCTTGGTATGGATACGAGTGTATCCCAAACTATGAGTCCAGCTTCTGACCACAAACGCAATCTCTCACACAAAATTACACACAAAGACTAACACACCGGCAATAGTAAACGTGCTTTCCAGACACAGTTTCGCAAATGGGACTTCCCTCACAAGAAGAATCCGGCACACAAGAATGACCAACTCGTGGCACGCGTCCACGAGCTATGGGGCCGCAGTCTGCCCCAGCGGGAGATGTTGCGCATCCTCAACGAGGAGGACGGCTTCGACATCAAGCCGCGCGAGCTGATGCGTCTGCGCTCCCGTAACAGATGGCTCCTCCGCGCGCCGAACCCCGCCTCTACTGTGGTAGCGGGCAGGTCCTCTACGGCCAGTAGCCTCGATGATGTTGGGATTGGCGATGGTATGCTAGGAATGCAGCAGCAGCAGCAGCAGCAACAACTCTATGCCACAGACGCACAAATCGCACGCGAGGAGCGTCGCCGCAGGTTGGAGACAGAATCGGCGGAGCGCTGGGCGAGCAAGAAGCGCCGGCGCAGGACACGCGCGTGGGCGGGGATGCCGCCGGACCCGGAAGGCCTGCCGCCGCGATTCCCCTCGGAGACGACGCTGGACGAGAGCAGAGCCGTGCTGGACCTCAATCGGGATCAGTACCAGCGCCTGCGGGCCCGGTTCCGCGAGATCTGCGTCGAGGGCGGGATCGAGAGGAAGACAGTAGCCGGGCCAAATCGCTGGGAGCAGGCCAAGGATCGACTGGTGGCTGAATCTGCGCACCTGCAGGCCGTGATGTGGACGGCCGAGGGCGGCGGCGAGGAGGCGAAGAAGCTGGCGCTGGATGTGCTGTGCACGGACGTCACCAAGAGGATGCGGGCTGGGGAGCCGCGGATGACAATCGCCAAGGCGAAGAACATACTCGGGGTGAATCCGGAGGAGGCGAGGGCGGTGAGGGGCGCCCTGTACGATATGCTAAGGGAGGATGGGTTCCTCAGCAGGCTGGAGGACGGAACTGAGCGCTGGGACGACCTGAAGGGGCAGTGGCTCGAGGAGTCGGACATTCTTCAGGGCAAGCTTGCGGCGTGCGAGGACGAAACGGACGCCGATCAGAAGAGGAAGGCCATCAATGCGATCGCCAGGGACGTGGTCAAGCGGTTCCGTGACGACCAGACGCGGCGCAACCCGGCCAGGAAGGGCATGCCTGCCCCAACCCTCAACGCCACTCCGAGGCAAGATGCCCCAGTGCACATCGAGATCACGCCCGCCGACATGGCCGCGCTGGCCAACACGCCGCTCGACCCGGACGGGAGCTACGTATCGCATTTGTCCCCGCTCGCCATGGTCCCCGGCACGCCGGACTCGCACGCCCACTCCCCAGGCAGCATCGTGCCCATGCCCATGCAAGCCCCTTCACCGCAACAACAGCACCACCACCACCTGCAGGGCCCGTCCCCGCACCTCCACCACCAGCGCCTACTCCCCCCGCAGGCCACCGGCGCCGTCATCGACCCGCAGACGGGCCTGCCGATGGACCCTTCGGCCCTGCTCCTGCCGCCGGACGTCGCGACCTCGCCCGCCGCGTACCACCACCACCACCGCCACCACCACCCAGGCAACCCCTTCGCCGCGGCACAGTTCGGCGCGCCCCCGGCGTTTCACCAGCAGCAGAGGCGCGTGAGCACGGCGTCGTCGGCGGTGGGCGCGACGCCCGTGTACCTGCGCCTGCACCCGGACTCGGGCGTGGCGGGCGACCCGGCGAGCCCCTGGATCGCGATGCTGGTCCACGTGCCGTCGCTGGACGAGGTGCGGCACGTGGCGGCGGGCAAGTACCCCGGCAGCGTGTGCACGGCCGTCGAGGCCGTGCTCAAGACGCCCCAGGGGACCGGTGGCGGAGGCGGCGGCGGCGGCGGCGGAGGGATGGCCGAGGTGCCGCTTTTGGTTGGGTCGGATGTGGAGCTTGAGGCTTACTTGACGAGTCCGCTTCTGGAGGGGAGTGCGCCCATGTTCAACGTGCGGTTGGATTATGAGTACGACTCGGTTGCGTTGGGTTAGGTCTTTTGGGGGGTTTTCAAGATTTCGCTTTGGGATATCAGGATGAGGCTGGAGTTTAGAGTATGGGAAGTCAACGGCAAGCTTTCTGGTTATGATGAGATCTATCTGGGAGTTATTTTGACACCACGTATAGAATGAACCTGTATCTTGATCTCTCCTTGGAGTTTTTTTTTTTATTGATTCGGTCTTTGCTGAATGTGTCTAACTTGACATAGCTACAGGTTGAGAGAGCCGTACGTATCCCAGGCCCAAACACTACTTCTCACGACAACTTCTAGGGATAACGACCCTCACGGATGATTCTTTCGTTGGAGGAATATTTCTCATCATCTCTGCAGCGTACTGTCGTACGGAGTCCACGTCTAAGCAGTCAGCACAACACTAAGACCGGAGTTTCATTCAGCCCATTTCATCTGTTGTGGGAACGCGTGTTTCGTAGATATTACGTATGTGTCATTCCGCCGCGGGTTTCAATCCTGCTTGTAAGCTTTCGGAAAGGGAAGCCGAGCCGGCCTGTAAGACGGAGGTATCAAATCAAAGACCATTGGAGCACCCGAGATATCAAATCACGCCAGGCTGGTCGCAATAGTCAGAACAGAGGCACGGAAACTTGATTTGAATAATTGCGCCTTCCCCTTCTCCAGCTACTGCTCCTGCCGAAACTGGGCGGGCGATAAGGCACACACACACACACACACAGTACGGACGTTGACGAGGAGGGGAGACAGGGCGCGTGGCCTGTGGGGCGTGGGACGGTGTGGAGGTGTGCAAGATGTGGAAGGTGTAAAGGTGTGTGAGTGCCGTGAGATCCGACTGACGGCCGGTGGCGGCGATTAGAGTTTCACTACCCGGAGCAGCTGCTCAGAGCCTGGCGGCAGGCATCACTTGCCGCAATCAATCACTTATCCAAAATCAATCCGTTGATCCAGCCTGCTTCCGCCCGTCTCAACCAGACTCTGCATTGTCTCATCTCACAATTGGAGGTGAGACTGGCTGTTAGCTTCGATGTTGTTGCTTCTTCCAGAAGCATCTGGGCTTCCTAACGAGCCCCCGTCGAGTCACATGGGCCATAGTCAAGATCATGCATGACTGGGCGTTTGCTTCTTTGTTGGACGGGCATTAGCAATTGCCAGCTGTTACCTGTACCTATTCAACACAATTGATACGAATGAGAGTATTGAGGCCGGTACATGAAAGGGACAGGTCGTTTCAACGAAGAGACACACCCACAATGGGCACGCCAATTTGATATGTATCGCCATGGCCGTCATTGATCGACTGTCCTTTACGTATTAGACATCTACAAATTCAGTCATCATCGCCTTCACACTGCCCACTCTCGACGACAACAACTTCATTCCACATCACCGTGTTATCTCCTCTCCTCCCGAAGCTGTCACAAGTTTGCCGGCACATCCACTTTAGCACCCACCCTCCCGCACACCTACGCGGGTCGCCAGTAAGCTTATCAACCACTAATAAACAATCGACACTAACAAAGGCGAACAGCGCTCGCAGCCAAGATCGCCGCCGGGTACTCAAGCCTCCCCTCCCGGGACGACCAAGACGTACCCTGAAGCTTGACCTCTCTTGGCTGCTTGCATTGCCAAGTTGCTACGTGGGGGGGAGAAGGAGAGACGGCTTGCAGCAGCTGCGTGGGAAAACACTAACGATGCGTACGTTGAGAATTGCTTTCTTTTGATTTTCCCTGACCCTGATCCCCAACCTCATCAAACTGAGCCCAGGGTTAATTTCGTATGATTCACTTCTCCTTTTTGAATTTCTCTCGGCGTGCGTTGTGCCAAGCTGAAATGTGAGGCGCGAAACCCACAACTCGATAATCAGTGGTTATCCAGGAACAATACCCGCTGGGGGGCCCTGCACCACGCTACAAGTCCAAGTACGCCATGTCCTCGGACCTGGTGGCGGGGAACAAGGGAATGCTACTGCAGTGCGTCTGTCGAGACACCCCATCAGAAGGATCAAGGGGGGAGGGAATGCATCCGAGCCCCCGAACATGCCCTCGTTGAGCTAATGGGACAAGTGTCCATACCTAACCCATCACTCGACTTGGAGTTGCATCTGCACAGGCTACGCAGTCTCCTCTGTTTGGTTTCGCCGTCTTGCTACAATCAGGGAAACAGTGCTTCCAGAATGGACGGCATTGGTCTGAACTGCATGAATCATCTTGACGCAAGCCCCCGTGGCCCATCCCGAGCAAAGACGGGCCAATGCAGCGAGAGCGAGTGGCCAATGCCAGGAACTCGGAGTGTGGTTGAATTTGGGGCTGACGCCATGCCGGCTCCCTGCTGGGTCTGCTGGGTCTTCTGGGTCTTTGGTGGGCAAGTGCCAGGAACTAGTGGCTTGAATCACTACGAAATGATGACCCCAGCAGCCACGGGACGGTGACTGCAAGTAGCCTCACACTTTGGCGCTTTGTCCTTTTCGGGGCAGTTTGGGTGACTCCCTCGCTAGCACGCCACTAGCGAACCCGCGCCTGCATCCACTACAACCACTACTCGCGCTTCACTACAGGCACGATAGTCAGCGTGTGACCTCCCAATCACATCAGCGCTTGCGACCACGGACGATGGCCATGGATGCCTCCCCCCCGGTTTCGTCTCGCCTCCTCGCTTGGAGGAATAAGTATTCCTCGTCGGCGTCCTCTTGCTCTCGTGACCTTCTCCCTTTCCTTTCTCTTCTCTCTTCTCTTATTCTTCTTCTCTCTCCCTTCCCCTATTTCCACTCTATCTCCCTTCTCTTCAAGCCGCCCCAGTGTCGGACGTCTTTACACCTGCTACAGATCACCCATTCGATGAAGGAAACTTCACCTGACTCGTCGTATATAGATCGCATACGCTCTTGGGCAATAACCAAAGCGCATGGAGGCTCTCGTAGCACGTCGAGACGATCGGGCACTGACCCCGGCAGCATCCTTCCCATAAGTAGAACCATCTCCAAGAACACCGAGTCCACCACTCAGTCTGCTGCTACTGCGGACCGCGGCCACCACAATGGCAATCCTTTCTTTCTTCGTGGCGGCTCCGGCGAGCACGCTAGCTCCGGTGGGGGCGAGAAGGCGGCATCGGCATCGGCATCGGCCCCGGGCCCCGCTGACCACCACCCGCGAGACGGCAGCCGTTCGTCGCGCTCTGCATCTCCGCAAGATGAGAGGCCGGGGTCTGTCGTAGAACAACCGCCCCCGGGCACGAAGAAGAAGGTATCCAAATTAGTCACGAGTTTCCTCGTCACCTGCAAGAAGATCTTGCTTCACAGCTGGCTCAATGTGCTCCTGATCTTTATCCCCGTTGGCATCATGGTCAACGAGCTCCACATGTCGCCGGCCCTCGTCTTCTCCATGAACGCTCTGGCCATCATCCCGCTCGCCGGCCTATTGGGCCATGCTACCGAGGCCGTGGCTCATAGCATGGGCGATGCTATTGGTGCCCTGCTGAACGTTACGTTTGGTAACGCGGTAGAGCTGATTATCTTGTACGTCCTGACCTTCCTGCACCCCGCCTCCTTCCCATCTTGCGTCCTCCGCCTTCGTAACGCGGCACGCGACACGAGGTCCAATCTATTCAGAAGTACCCGCTGACACCCTGGACAGTATGTATGTTCACCTTGTGAGATGTGATCAAGACAAGAAAGAGCGAGAAGCCGAGCCAATGCGGCCTTATCAGATCAATCGCGTCCCATATCATTCGTCCATATTTTGTTCTACTTTCGTCTTTTCTTGACGCACCCTCTCGAGGTGCCCCGTGCCAATGCTTTGATGTTGTCTGCATGCCCACTAACAGTCTTTCTTCCTAATGCATTAGCATCGCCCTTGTCAAAGTAAGCTTTCTGCCATCCTAGATAGACTAATCTAGCCCCTTGGCCGTTCTAATGCTGACATTTCACGGCAGGATGAAATTCGAATTGTCCAGGCTTCCCTTCTGGGATCCATTTTGGCCAATCTGTTATTGATTCTGGGAATGGGCTTCCTTCTTGGAGGCTTGCGTTACCGGGAGCAGGTTTGTTCGACCGCAGAATTGGCCGAATGAGTGCAGCTGTGCTGACAACTGCCCACCAACAACAGATTTACAATAGCACCATCACCCAGACGAGTGCCTGTCTGCTGAGTCTGAGTGTCATCAGTCTTGTATTACCAGTCAGTATTCATCTCCAGCCGTGTTTCTAGCTGAGCTGACCATGGCTGCAGACCGCGTTCCACGCCTCATTCGCCAATTCTACCCTCGCCGATCAGCAGTCTCTCAGGATCAGCCGTGGTACTAGCGTGGTATGTCTGGCTGATGGCATCACTGACCAATATGATTAGAAGCTAACTCACTGCAGGTCCTTCTCCTGGTCTATGGTATCTACCTATTCTTCCAGCTCAAGTCGCATGCATATATGTACGAGTCGACGCCTCAACACATCATTGACGAGGCAACCACTCCCGGTCCGGCGGCTGGCTGGTTAGACTCGTCAAGTAGTGAGGATGGCTCGTCCAGCTCAGACTCTGACGATTCGGACCACTCTCGCGGAACGATGTCTAGGACGTTTGATCGACTGCGTGGGCGCAATCGCAAGTCAAGTGTTGCTTCACAGGACACAGTTGATACGGGCCCCATGCGCACACCTTCATTCGGCACTACGATCGCCAGCCCTTCAGATGACCACACACCGGATGAGATTCTCGCCAGTCGACCAGCCATGTTGTATAGGGAGTCGCATGCTGAAGCTAGTGAGGTAGCCGTGGAGGACGAGAGGCCTCAGCGGCATAGGAAACACAAGCACAAGCGCTCGCTGCGTCGCCACAAGAAGCACAAGAAGAGCCGGTTTGGGTCGACCGAGATGGTCGCTGGCGAGGAGACCATCGAGGAAACCCCCGAGATTGCAGAGAAAATGGCCGAGGACGGTGCGCCGCGCCGGATTGACTTTGCTCTATCGGAGAGTCGACGTGACGTCGAGGCAGGCGAAATGTCGACGGCCAAGCGACCGTTCAACATCCGCGGCATGTCCTTTATTCCTTCTGCAAGATCTCTGGCCCCGACTGTCTTCACGCAGCCTCCCGACGGTCCCGTCATGCCGCCTGTTCCCGCTGGCCCCGTGCCTCGTGTCCGGTACGGCATCCGTAGGACCAACTCGTTGCCCGATCGACTGAATCAGGAGCGCCAGTTCCGCCCACCCGGAGCCATGATGCCCTCGCAGGTCCCACTGGCGGCCCTGGCCAACCCCGCAACGGCTACCGATGCTGTCGCAGCTGACGATGAGGATCTGTTGTCCCGCAAAGCAGCCATTATACTTCTTCTCGTCACCACGGGCCTCGTCGCACTTTGTGCTGAATTCATGGTTGCCTCGATCAACGGCCTGGTCGCGGATGATACCGTTGGCGAGATCTTCATCGGACTGATCATCCTGCCCATTGTGGGCAACGCGGCGGAGCATGTCACGGCGGTCATGGTGGCGATGAAGAACAAGATGGACCTGGCGATTGGCGTGGCGATTGGCAGTTCTATTCAAATTGCCCTCTTTATGACGCCTCTCGTGGTCATCCTGGGGTGGATCATTGGCCGCGACATGACGCTCTACTTTACGCTGTTTGAGACGGTGTGCCTCTTTGTGTCGGCGTTCATCGTCAACTTCTTGGTCCTCGACGGCCGCAGCAACTACCTCGAGGGCGCGCTGCTGTGTGCCACGTACGTGATCATCAGCGTCGTGGCGTTTTACTACCCCAAGGAGGGCGATGCTAGTCAGTACGGCCAGTAGGGATGAGCACGCATTTGTTTTGGGGTTGGGGGAAACGGTGGCTTGGTTGGGAGAAGGACGTCTGGTGGGAGACGGGCCTTGTCTGCTCATCCGAGTGTCACAAGAAGGGGGGTTACTGAACTGATGAGGACACGGGGGGTTTTACATTCACTACGAGGAGGTCTTTGACGAGGGGGGTTTGTGTTTTAAAGTTCGCGGAGGTCCGTCAAGATTGCACGATTTATGGCTATGGCTGTCAAACAAGATTGGCAGGATGAGCTGGATGGATCATATGAATTACGTTCAGGAGGCTTCACGTCTTAGCTATGACCCGCGGTTGATATGGACGACACAGTTTTGACTGTTGTCTGTGCGCGTGGAATTACATTGACATTCTTTTTTTTTTTCCTCTCAAAATTCCGATGATAACAGTCATAACAATCTATACGTGAGAGACGAGGTTGCGCAGGTACCTGCGTAAAGCGTACTCGGAACCCCAATACGCACGCCGGCGGCCGAGAAGTTAGGTCAGACAGGAGGGCTCCCATGTCCCCAAAGCAGCTTGTAGGTGTCATGACCCGCTCCACGTCATGGTTTGGGGGCTGTGCGGGGAGGAGAAATGGAATGGGGTCGATTGATTCAACAACCATTTGACTTCACCTGTTGGTTTTGGTTTCGGGGTCCCGACAGCAGTGCCACGATCCGGCTAATTGACTATTTGGCTTGGCGGACTCCGTAAACTCAGAGTCAGAGAGGTCGGGGTCGGTCAGCTCAATCCGACCACCGATTTATTCCTTCTCTGCATTTCTCTGCAAACGCTTCTTCTCTCCACTGGGGTCATCATTACAGCCTCCGAGTGGCACAAAGAAGAGCGAGTATTTGAGATAACTACTGCTTTCGTTGTAAGTGAGCGGGTTCAAGCACACGTCTATTGGCTGCGCACCTTGGTCACGCCTCATTCGTTCTGCGAGCTCACAAAGAGCCTTTGAATCAGATACGACGGAGAGAGATAAAGGGCAGGCAGGAGCTTTACTTTTCCACAAGTCGAGCCCCCATCATCATCTCATCTTCGAAACGCATAACCGGGATTCGAGCATCTGGTCTGTCTGAGTCGGGACAATCTTGATCACCCAACATCACAGCCAATCGCTCTTCATACTCCTCGCTCAACAACTACATACGTTTCTCAACCCCCCGCCACCATCCATTGAGAGTACCAGGGACAACCTCGGAATTCTCAGGCCAAAGACAATGTGCTTCGGCAAGAAGGACAACTACGACCCGACGGCCGAGCCGCCCAGGCCCGCCGGCGGCGTCAACAACAACCCCTCTTACCAGTCGCAGCCGGCATCGTACAGCAACAACAACAACAACGAGAAGAAGTCGGCGGCGGCGGCAGACTACGCGCCGCCCTCGGGCCCGCCGCCATCCCACGCCGGGCCGTCGTCGTCGTCCTCGACATCGTACGCCCCGCCGCCCGGCCCGCCTCCGGCCAAGGACTACGCCAAGGCCCAGCCGTACGTCGACGTCACCGACAACGACTTTGCTCCGCCTCCCGGACCGCCGCCCGGCGCCGGTGCCAGCAGCAGCATCGGCAGGAACGACGACTTTGCGCCACCAGCAGGTCCGCCGCCCGGCAGAGCGAACGGCGGCGGCGGCGGCGGCGACGACTTTGCGCCGCCGCCGGGTCCGCCGCCGGGAAAGAAGGAGGAGGGCGGCCCCGGCTCGGCGCAGCAGCACGACTGGCAGTCGGCCGTGCCGGACACGTCGCTCTTCCCGCCCCCGCCGGCGCTCTTCTCGGGCTTCGACCGCTCGCCGGCCAACAACGCGACCGAGGCCCAGGCCGAGGCCGGCACGCGCTGGTGCGACGAGTACCCGCTGGCGCCGCCGGCGCAGCGCCTCAGCGCCGAGGAGCTCGGCGCGCTCGAGTACCACAACCTGACGCTCGTGCAGCCGCCCAACTTCAAGGGCGAGCTGCGGCGCACGAGCGCGGGCTGCTGGGAAGGCAGGTCGCTCGACGGCGCGCCGGACGCGTGCCTGCTGGCCTACCCGCCGCTGTACGCCGTGGCGCACCACTCGCCGCTGCTCGACGGCGGCCGCCGCACGCGGACCATCTACTACGAGGTGCGGGTACTGCCCGGCCACGGCCGCGGCGCCGAGGTCACGCTGGCCATGGGCTTCAGCGCGCTGCCCTACCCGGCCTTCCGGCTGCCCGGGTGGCACCGCGGCAGCCTGGCCGTGCACGGCGACGACGGGCACAGGTACGTCAACGACATGTGGGGAGGCAAGAGCTTCACGGCGCCGTTCCGCAAGGGCGAGACGTACGGCGTCGGCATGCGGTTCCGGGCCGGCGCCGAGGGCCGCGGCGGCATCGACGCCGAGGTGTTCTTCACCCGCGGCGGGCAGGTCGTCGGCTCCTGGGACCTGCACGAGGAGACGGACAGCGACCAGGACTTGCCCGTCACGGGGCTCGAGGGGTACCACGACCTGTGCGCTGCCGTGGGCGCGTTTGAGCGCGTCGGGTTCGAGGTTGTGTTTGACGAGGCGAGGTGGTTGTATAAGGGGCAGTGAGTTGTCCTCGGGGGCGATTGTTGGGAGTATGGGAGGATGTGAAGGAGGACGGAGTGATTGGTTAGTACAGCAACAACAACTACACGGGAGGAGATGAAGGAGGTGGGTGGTTTTCCACTCGATTAGAGCACAGAGAGTATCATCGTGATGTATGGGACTGTATGCATGCATGCCTTGGTGTATTTTGGAAGTTGGGAGCACTGTATGTTTCTGTGGGGTTGCGGATGCACAGCTAGATGACAACACATGGCAACATGAGGCCAACCAACTCAAAGAATTACTTAGTTCTGTGTCATGACGGCACCTGAATAACACAGGGCCGCCCGATACAATGACTTGAGGCTGACAATGTTGGAGATGTTTCGTAGTGTGGACGGGAAGCAAGCTACCACCGTGATTCTTCTTAGCGCATTTCTCCAAGTCTTAGCGCCAAAACTCACTAACATCAAATAACTATCTAACTACCTAAGGTAATTCTCTACTCAATCTCATCCATGAATGCTCCTCAAACCTCCAAACCACCACACAAGTGGTACCCTATGCGGCTCGACTGATCGAGACGTTTGAGAACCACTCCCAAAAGACGACTATGATCTTGAGGATACATCTAGCCAAGCAAGATGTCCGCGCCGTCGAAAGGTGAGGATGGAAACATCCCCTTTGACTACGACACGGACGAGATTCGCTCGATCGACTCGGAGGACCTGTATGAGGCCAGGCCCAACCGCTGGAAGGGCTCGCACGCGACGTGGAGAACCCTGACCGAGGACGACCGGCTCACGCACACTGCGCTCGAGCAGACCCGCAACCAGGACCTCTCCGTGCACCTGTACAACGCGTTTGCGCTCAAGCACAGGCATCGGCGGCGGCGGGGAGGGAAAAGCAGCGCCGCCACAGCAGGAGATTCCGTCGAGGGCCAGGTAGGTCTTGCTATCATCATCATCATCCACTTTTACAAGCCAGATCAAATGAATACTCACCGTGAGACACAGGATGTGGATAAGGTCACAGGCCAGCCCGTCGACTGGAACCCGGACTGGGAGCCGCCCAAGGGCTGGACCGCGTGGCCCATGAGGCGCCACCAGCTGCCGTCCGACGAGTTCTTCAAGACGGCGGGTGAGGACGGGCCCGGCGCCGCGCGAGACGTGTACAGACACCCGCGGCCGCCGGCGCACCCCAGCGCTGCCTTGGAGGAAGCCGTCTCGGCGACCATCCTCAAGCTCGCCAGCGCAAAGTTCAGAAAACGCGGTCTGGGAGAGCCCAAGCTCCACCGGAAAGCAGCAGCAGAAGAGGCCCAGGCAGCCGAGGAACAGCGGCGTCCCGCGACAGGACCAGACGTCTTCTTCTCAAGCACCGGCAGCCCGGCGGCCATCAAAGCCGATCCGGAGACCAAACGCAGCGCCGCCCTGGACAGCACCGCGCCGACCTACATGCCCGTCGTCTCGGCCGACGACCAGCGGTCTTACGAGCTCCTCCGGCCCTCGACGCGGCACATCCTGTCCAGCCTCGACCGCGCGCTGACGGTGCTGCACAACGCGCGCGTCGCGGGGATAAACTACCTGTCCGAGTCGTCGGCGACCAACACCTCCGACAGCGAAGCCGGGTCCGACCCGCGCCCGCGCCCCCGTCGAGGCAGGGGCCGCCCGCGCAGCAACACGCCCGGCAGGAGGACGGCGTCTGCCGCACTATTGTCCTCGCCTGATATGGATACAGAGGGACCCCGTCGGAAGGGCAGGCCGCGCACGCGCTACGCGTCGCGGGAGGGCGAGAGCGAGAGGGAGGCCCTGGAGCGGATCGCCCGGCAGCGCCACGACAAGATGCCCGTCTACCCCTCCTCTCCCGAGGCGTCCGAAGAAGAGCACGAGACCTTCGAGACGGCCGCAGAGGAGGAGGAAGACAAGCAACGCCAGAAGCAGAAGCAACAACCCAAGCGCAACAGAGGCAAGCCGCGCAAGGCCTACCCCCGCCTCGAGGGCGAGTCGGAGAGGGCCTACCTCGTCCGCATAGCGCGCCTGCAGCACAAGAAGATCCCCCAGTTCTCCGGTTCTTCCTCTTCCGGCGAAGAGGACGAAGAGGACAAGAAACCGCCGCCGCCCGAGGAAGCCACCACGCCGCCACCAGCCCAGCAAGACAACCGCCACCCGTCCTCCTCCGCCCACGCATCCCCTCCGCCCACGATAACAGACGCCCAGCGCCAGCGCAACAGGCAGGCCCTCCTCGAGCGCTGGAGCCCGCGCGACTGGTCCGACGTCCTCGCCGCCGCCGCCCTCGCCGGCTTCCCGCCGGGCGTGCTGTCGCGCACCGCCCGGCGCTGCGCAGAGCTCTTCGGCGAAGGGGTCGACACGCGCACCATCCCGCCCCACCGCGGGCCCGTCGTCACGACGCGCTACACGCCCGGCGTGAAGCAGTCCGTCGAAGACTACTCTGACAACTCTGGCTCGGACGACGACAACGCCATGGCCGTGGACACGGTCCTCCAGCTGCGCGCGCTGAGCAGGCAGTCCAGCGCCGCCGCGTTCACGACCTCCCCCGAGCCGTCGGCGGCCCCCTCCTCGCCCTCCTCCGAGGACGACGATGGCGAGGGCGATGATGACAACGAGGACGGCGACCGCCGCAGCAGCAGCAAGGGAACGCCGGCGGGGAGGCGCCCGCGTCCCCGGAGGAACAGGAGCAGCTCCGTCGGCGGCGGCGGCGTGACGTCCTACTGCCACCACGCCGACTGCGCGCGCGCGGTGCAGGGCTTCAGCCGCCGGGCCAACCTGGTGCGACACCTGCGCCTCGTGCACGGCGAGGAAGAGGCGCCGGGGCTCGCCACCTCCTCGAGGGGTCCGACGCCCATCGTCGCTCCGACGGCGGCAGATTCCGGAGGAGGAGGAGGAGAAGGGGTCAAGAACAACAAGGTTCTGGACGCGGACATGTACGACTACGACTGCTACAGCGAGGAGGGCGGGGACGTGAGCGGCGGCGTGCACGTCGACGGGTTCCTGCGGCCGATCAAGACGCAGAAGGGGTGGAGGGGTCCGGGCTGAGACATGGGGAAGGACTTTGAGCGCATGTTGCTACGGATCATAGCATGGGGATGGCGATGGTCGGAGTATGGTAGAGCTGAATACGGTGTTTGAGCCTCAACAACTTAAGTGGTATCGGTATCGTCATGAACTGAACTCAGCGTTGGCCACAGAAGTATACCAACCAGGCCGACAGTCATGCCGAATCTTGTAATGAGAAGAATTGAATCTTGAATTCCAATTTCTTTTTGATACGCGCAATAAAGAAGGGTATCAGGTATACTCAGTAAGCCTACCAACCACAATAACCTGCCTATACAAAGCTTTAACGAAAAGAACGAAAGGTGAAAACCCATTGCTGGCTTATCGATCTCTACCCAGCCAGTCTCTAACGAAAATTATACGGCTCCCCCGACTCCTATAATTACCTCCCCTCACACTCCAGACACCATACTAAAAAAAAGAACCCAACAATCGACAGTTACAGCAACTATGTAGACTCGGCCTCGTCTCAGACCTTTCAAACCCAAGGTCAGTGAAGACGCGGGCTCTTCCTCCTCGAAGTGCTCTGCGAGAACGACGACGGCGGCACGTTCTCGCGGCCCTCCATCGTGACGACGGCGCCGCCCTTGGCCGCCTTGACGTGCTTCTGCGGCAGCCGCGTGCTACGCCGGAACAGCGGCATCGTGTTGTCGTTGCCCTGCAGCGACATGACGCTCGCCGACGGGTCAAACATGATGGACCCCGTCGTCAGGTTGGGGTTCACCTCGCGCAGGCTCATGCCCAGCGGTATCTTGACCGTGTCGCTGGCGCCCGACGACGAGGCCGGCCTCGAGGGTGACCTGGCCCGCTCCGACCCGTCAAAGTCGCTGAAGACCGCCGTCGTCGCCGCAGGCGGCTTGCTGGGCGTCGGCGCGCCTTCCAGGCGGGCGATGAGGACCTCGTGCGGCTCCGTCTTGGGCAGCTCGCCCGGGTACCGGTACTGCCTCTTCTCTGGAGTATCGCCCGTGGGCTCGTACTCGTGCAGCGCCGTGCCGGTGATGTCCTCGCGAAGCGTGCTGAGTGGCTGGCAGAGCTCCTGCGAAACCGGCTCAAGCTGCTGTCGGAGCCCCTCGGTCTCAGTGTCCATGTCCGCACCAAGATCCTTGACGCGGTCAAAGGTCGTGGTGAAGTGGTCGGAGATATTGGATAGAGAGGTCTCGACGGTTGTGGAGAGAGACTGCACTGCAGAGATCTGTTGATCGTGATGGCTAGCATTCTCAGAGCGTGCGCGAGTGACGAAATCGTCCAGATCCCTCATTTGCACATCCAAATCCTTCAGCTGCTCGTCCACCACGCGAATCGTCTCGGCATGAACAGACTTGGTCGCCTCTTGGATGGATTTGCTGTGGTCATTTGCCGTCTATATCAACCATTAGTAACAGGAAGGGAGTTGCTCAAGTTTCAAGAATTGACTTACCGTCCAGTCGTCCTTGAGCTTGGACTTGATGGCGTCGCGAGAACGAGTAGCGCTCTCAACAAACTGCTGCTCCTGGGCATCCCAGGTATCCATGCCCGACGCGTAGTTGACCACGCCAGTGTCGAGAATCTTGCCAGACTCGGCCATGCTGTCTTTGATGAAGTTGGCTTTAGAAGTTAGTCGTTCGTCCTGCGCCTCTGCTTGCGCGTTGATCATTGCAGTGATCCGAGTGAGGAGTTTCGTGCGATCCTCAGCGGCCTGCTGCCTCTCTTCCCGGATTACCTGCTCTATCTGAGCGGAGGCAGATGCATTAGCAAGGACTGCCTGTTCCCCTGCCTCCACGATTCGCTTTCGCAGACTGTTGGCCTCCCCTCGTTGCGAGGAAATATGCTTGAGCATATCCTCAAAGATCGACTTGAAGTCCTTCCCGAGCGAACTGTACGACGAGTGAAGTTGGTTGTGGAAGGTGTTGAGCTCAATGAGGACGTCCTCCGCTATCCTCTCTGCGGCTGAAGCAATGGCCTGTAGGCTGTCGCCAACGCGGTCCTTGATATGATCCCGGACGACCTTGATCTCCTCGAGGACCTCATCCATCTCCTCCTTGGACTTGGCTTGCTGCTCCAGCAGGTCCCTCTTAGAGTCGGCGAATTGGGTCAGGTTTTGATCCAGGAACTCTTGCGTCGAGGACAGCTTCTGCACTTCTTCCTCGACAAACGACTTCATCTTGTGCGAGATAGTGGAAATGTGTACATCTTGTGTCTTACGCAGCGCTTCGATGCGTCCTTCCACAAGCTGTGTAACCTCAGACACCTGTGACTGCGATACTGCCCATGTGCTTCGATTGAGATTTTGGAGATCCGACTTTCTCTTGTTCTTTGCATGCAGGCCACCAACGTGGTCTACTGTCGTCTTCAGCGTATCAAGGAGCTCGCCGCCCAGGCTACTGAGCTTCTCTTCAGTGTCCTGGTGCGCTTTGCGCAGATGCGTCTCCTCTGCGAGAGTCTTCCTCGTGGCGTTGAGGACAAGCTCCGTCTGGTCTAGCACTTCCTTGGTCTCCTCGAGCTGCGCTTGCGTCCCTTCGTGATCTTTTTTGAGTCCCATAAAGCTAGAAGTGAGATCAAATAGCTCTTGGACCTTGTTTCGCAGGTTGTTCTCGAGCATACTGAGCTTGGCGGCCTGTTCGTCGGCAAGGATCCGACGAGACTCGCTTTGGACGGACATCTCCTCGTATGCCTCGTTCGTCAGGTAGACACCGTTCCTTTGCCTGGTAGCGATCAGCTCGCTCTTGAGCTTCTCGATCTCGGCCGTGAACTCCCTCAAAAGCGTCTTCTTGTCGATGAGCTGGTTCATCTGCGGCTTGTTTCGAATATTCTTGGCGCGGAATGCATAGTCGAGGGTGGAGATGGTCTCCTCGAGATTACTCTTGGCTGGAGACACAGTAGCAATGATGCAAGTCTTTGTCCGTCCTCCAAGAGAGTCTTGTAGGAGTCGTGTGAGCTTTGACTCCCTGTAAGGAATATGGGAGCTCCGATCGACCAGTGCGTTGATGACACGGCCAAGAGTCAAAAGACTCTTGTTGATGAGGCCGGCTTCGGCTGCACGCTTGTTCTCTGCTCCAGAGCGTTGAATATTTTCACTTCCAGCCAGATCGACGAGGTTCAGCTTCCCGGAGCAAAGGTACTCCTTCCCGTCCTCGCCCGTTCGCTTGGTATGCACGGTAATGGTGAAAACAGTGTGACTTCGGCTACTGAGGTCGTTGCATTTGGTGGCAGCAACCTGGCGGCGGACACTTCCTTCTTGGAGGCGCTTGATACCTTCACCGGCACTGGCGATATGGCGTTCTTCCATACCCTGGACTACCGTAGTTGCATGACCCTTCTTCGAGTTGTCCTCGAAGATCTTCAGTTTGGCACTCTCATCCGGTGAGAGAAGGTCGCGCAGCTCTTCGTTGTACAGCTCGATGAACGAGCACTTGACAGTGCTCTCAGTTTCTTCCGAGTCCAAGCTGTGGAATAATGACTGGAGGACCCGGGGAATTATCCCGGCAGCCTCTGACAGATATCCGAGCGACTCGCTCATGTCGCCAGACATTGTGTACGTCTTCCCCGTGCCGGTCTGTCCGTATGCAAAGATGGTGCAATTATAGCCAGTGAGCATCTGAGCCGTGTCAGCAGTCTTCATTATCACGCACGTGTCACGATGAGAGCCTACCTCGTCCAGGATGGGCTTGACGACCTCATCAAAAACCATCCCCTGGTCAGCCGCCGGGGAAAAGACACGATCAAAGTTGTAGGTCTTGTTGCTCAAAGCATTGGGTCCCATAGAAAGCTCAACATTCTTTCCCTTGACCCCCTCGGTCAGCACCACAACGCCACTGTTTTCGCGGACTTCACGGTCATTGCGACCTCTGCAGCGGACAACAACGTTGATGTTCGTCTCCTCGCTGGGGTCGGACTCGAAATCGCGTTCCTTGCGCTTGGTGCCGGCGGTCGCAGACGTGGCCACAGAGGCGAGGGACTCGACTGGAGAGACAGCACCGGTTCGTTCTAGTCGTGATGCCGGCCTCGAGGCCGGTGGCAGATGTGATTGGAGTCTTGAAGTGGTAGAGACGCGTTTGGTCTGGCGGACTCCGGCGCGACCGACAGCGCCGGATCGTACTGATGATGATGTGGTCAGGGCATTGGTGCCCCGCCGCGAGGGCTCCCGCAAGGAGCTCATTGACGGTGATGATACTATCGTGTCTTGCAAAACGAGGTTCCAGACGTGTATGGAAGCTCAGCAAGAGAATGATGCTGTGGGAAAAGGTGTCGTTGACGTTGGGATGCAGACCCATGCAATAATTGAGAGTAGTCGCACAGGAACAGGGTGCTCTATGATAAGAAGAGGTGAAGCTCCAGGATGAGACACACTAGACGGGTGCAGCAGCAAATTGAGCCCTACAAACGGCCAAGGCTCGTTCTGTTCGCAGCAAATGCAGCAGGGCAGACGTTGTTGATAGTGCCGACCCAGCATTGGCAGGGGTTTGGCGTGGGAAAGCGCTAACAATCAACACGGTGGGGGCCGCCGGATTGGCACGGCAACCACGACACACCGCAAGACGTCGAGGTGGTCAGTGCATTCAAGTGCAGGCCAGGCCTCGGCCCCGTTCTCCCCCACACTCCCGGAGAGGTACCTGACCAAGTGGCTTGTAGGTACTTGTACCTATCGACCCTGAAAGGGCAGATGACGTCTCAGCTAGCCCCTCCCTAGCATCACGAGGATGACTGTTTGCGATTGACAATGCGCGCGTGTGAAACCAACGCAAACCAACGCTTGTCTATTTCATCCATTTCAAACTACTTCTGGCAGTCTGTCTTTATCAAGTGATGTAGCCAGAAGCCCATCAGTCTCGAGGAAAGCATAAAGCAGCTCATCTAGTGCAACTGATGACGGATTCTCCCTTCTGAGTTTGATGTTCCATATGAACAGCATCGACCTCATATTATAACCATTTTACTCCTCCATACATGCCGCATCTCTAGACCGACCCCAGTCCACGCTTCACTTCCATGTCGCAGTTCTCTGCCCAGGTGCATCCCGGACGGGCTCTGGGTTTCCTGGGTGAGCCATCTCGCGTACGTGTCTGAATGCTGCCGCAGTTCTCTAACTCGAAATACACATATCCAATAGTCCTCGGAGCATCCCTCCACGATATCCTGACCCGGCTCAAAGCCGAGCCACAACGTTTCCCAAAGCTCGACCTTGTCTATTCTCCTTCCGATCCCGTCACCCAGCCGGTGGTTGTAGGTCTGCCTGCCAATGGAATCCGTCTGCGGTTTGATGGACCGGAACAACGATTACGACTCATAGAAGTCCTGGACTTCACCAAGAATCACATCATCTTCAAGGAGCAGAACAAGGAAAGGGATCTCTTCAAGCCCTCGAGCTCTGCATCGGGCCCTGCGCAAGAAACGACCACGGGCCCCAGCTTCAAACATATCTACACTAGGTTTCTGGGCCCAACTTATGATGGCGAGTTCGTACCTGGAACAGACGCGGCCAAGCAGGACATGGGCACATATGTGCTCTCCTATCCTGGTGTAGCTTTCACCTTCCCAATGCCAAGTTCTGCATATTCTCCCGACAAGGATGCCGTATCCCTGTTGTCCTCCTCGGGAACGTCAGTTGCAACTTCGATGACGGTCTTCAGCGGGGACTCTTGGGCCCAGTCTCGGGATGCGCTATGGACGGAGATTCTCCCCAGCGTCAAGACTTTTACCCCGCTAGCTAAGGGCAAGGATACGTCTCCGGACGAGATATCGTTGATTAAGATCCACGGCGGTGGGACACTGCAGCTGTTCAGGAAGTGGACAAGTTCTTCTGTCTGGATAACTCTGGGTGAGACAACTCCTCAGGACTTGGTCGCCGAGCTGGGCCCTCCGGATGCCATATACCGGAAGAATGAACAGCGGATGTACATCCACAAAATCCGCACAGCTAGCAACAGCCGGACGAGGCCAAACGGGGCTGACATGAGACGCCATGACCCCCTCACTGACACAGACCAGTCCTCTGCGCAGGATGACTCGGATGCTTCCGATGGTGCCATCGAAGACGATATTGTCGGTAACGTATCCAGCGAATGCTTCTACAATTACTTCTACCTTGGCTTCGACATATTGGTTTCAACGCCGATAGCACCGTCAAGGCCTCCGCCGTCTCGGGCTGAAGAGCAGAATGCAGCTGGCGCGTCGATAAAGATGGGCACGGCAGACAGTCTAGTGGCGACAAAGATGATTTTGCATGGAAACATCCCCGGGTCGTATCCATTCAACAGACACCGACGCTGCCGTTGGGAGATAGACTACCTGCAGCCGTCTACACAGGAATCACCAATCAGCTCGGAGTCGCCGTTCAGTGATGTTGAGCAACGACTACGCGAGGAGTGGAAGTCGATATACTCTTCTGAGGACGAGGCCAAGAAGCAACAGCGAGGCATGGTCCTCAACCGAGGATGGGGTGATAGTCCGGGAAGCAGTGTTGAGCTCCTTGGCGGCTGGGAGGGCGACACTGGGGCTCTGCCGAGTCGCGGAGTTGGCGGTAAGAAGGTGGACGGTAGCGAAGACTCGACCACGACTCTGTATGGCTTCCCGGGGCTTGTCTTTGAAGTGCTCAAGAACGGATTCGTCAGCTCTCTTACGGTCTTTTGATTGATTCTCCTGCACTGGGTTGGGATTTGATGTGTATCCGTGGCATTTATTTCCAGCTATGTCCCAAGTGAAAATTGGGTAGCGTGAATGGCTAGCGAGCATTTGCATATACAGAGAGCATTTAGCATCCCATGAATCCATTCCAATATCATCCCGAGACAAATCGTGTTCTGCGCCGGTATCCTTATACCTGCAGCAGATCTGTTTGTTGGGGCCCCTTAATCCTGTGAAGTCGTACATCCATGGTTCGGCCTGGATCGGTCCCCTGAAAGTACACCCCGGACCCTAAAAGCAGGCGCTAAAACGGTCGGCTCGTCGCTAGCGCATGGGCTCAAGTCCCCAGCTGTTAGTGAATCAGAGCCCCATGCAGGCTGTCCTCAGCGAGTAGCTGACCCATCATTAACAGCTTCGAAGCTGGAATGGAAACCGAGAGGGCTCCAAACAAGGAGCAGTGCCGGTTTCGCCCAGTCGTCATCCCTCTCACTGTGTGTGCCGATCACTTGCCCATGCCGACACGCGCCGCCTTTGCCTTGATATATTTCAAAATCACTAATGCACCCATGAGATCTCTCCCTCCCGTGGAACCACATGTCATAGGCTGTTGAGTGCCGACCCCACGGCAAAGAAGAAAAAACTGCATTTTGTTGGCTATTTTGCTTGTGATTCAGCTACCCCGTGAACTTGGTTCTCTTGAACCCTGTTCTCCACGACAGACCACTTTTCTGTGAAGATGCTTCACGGATCATCGCCGCGCCCCGTTGCCTGAGACCGCACTGCCCTATGGCACATTGACATGTGAGCACGTCCTCGGCACAACCGCGATGACGGACCACGATGCCAACCATGCCCAACACCATCACGACAGACAGCCCGCCAGGGGCTCCGGGTCGCGAGAACGAAGGAGCATGGGGAGCTACGAGACGGGCGAATCGAGCACGATGGGGAGGCTCACGTCGAGCCTCTCGATGACCGACACGACCCTCACGCAGCGGTCCTCGTCCGAAATGCCGGCCACGTCTCCAAGCGCATCGCACGGCAGCACGCAGGACAACGGGCAGGGCCGAAGGGAGGAAAGGAGACGGAGTCATCGCACCAACAAGAACAGATCAAGCGGAGCATTCCTGCTCTCGGGTGCTCTCGATGGATCGCCACGGGAAACACACGAAGCACATAAAAGACACCAAGCCAGGAGACACCAGGTCTCTGATGTACAGGAGCAGCAGAATGCGAGTACCACTCCCGACAGACCACAGGAGTCTGATACGATCCCTGTGCGAACCGAAAGACATACCAAACAGGAGAGACTCAGTGTTCCAGGCTCCCAGCAGCCCGCGTCTCATGGAGACACACCTCCTAGGTTGCCGTCGCAAGCATCCAACACGTTACTGGATTTGGATTCTACGCAGATTGTCAATATGGCCCTCAACCTCAGCGAGTCGAGGCGCTTAGCAGCGAGACGCAACGTGTCCCACCCACTGCCTCCACGCCTGGCCCCCTTGCCAGACAGTTCGGTCGGAGGCAGCCTACGACAGCAGCTGCAGCAACAGAGACGGACTTCAAGAACAGTATCGCCCAAGCCTGATCGAGGATCGAGGATCGTGTCAGGCCCAAGGCTGAGCAGCCCGCTGCAGTCTACCTTCGACCCCATTGACGGGTCCTATCGATATCACTTCTCCCAGTCGACATTGTCCAGAGCTCAGAAGGCGAAGGACTACTTGGAGCTGCTGGCGCAATATCGTCGAGTCCTGGAACTCGTCCCGCCCTTGAAGCCAGATATGATGGAGAGGATCGCCACTACAAGTCCTCCAGGCTCGCCGGCGCATACGAACCGAGCACATTACTTTGGAACTACCGATCCAGGTGCTGTCACCCTAGGCCGAGAATATAACCCTCTCCAGTATATTCGCAATCGGAAGGTCAGAGCTCGTGAGAGAAAGGCTATCGATGGTGAAGGCCAAGGGTTCGGGGATCTCACCAGGGTGACAGACTGGGTTGATGGCGTGGCTAAGTGGGCTGCTACGGGCCAAAGCCAGACTCCCGGTGGCACACTACTCCCTCCATTCGCAGGAGCTGATGAGACTCTGATGCACAGCTCTCCTCCGTCGAACTCGTCACGACCCTCTGTGGTCGTCAACAAGCCCAAACGTCCCCGTGTCGATTGGGTCATCGACCCGGCAGACATGTTAGCAGACGTGTATTGGCTCGAGCAGGGCGACAACAAGAAGCTGGTGGAGGACCGGGATTGGCACAGAGTCTTCCCCCAGGATCCAGAAATTTACCGACCCATCTCGCAACAGACAGAAGACGGCAATGCTGCGACAGCCCCTAACCTTGTAAAGAAGGCAGAAACTATCCCTATAGTCGAGAAGTCGATCGCAGACACAAACTCGCCCCGAGCCGAACAAGAACGTACACGCAAGACTCGGCACAAGCTTCAGCATCTCCGGGGTCGCCACCACCGGCAGGGGAGTTCGGTCGCCTCCAATGATATCTACAGGTCCCGCAAGGCTTCGTTTTCTGACACGTCAGACAGTGATAGCGATCCAAAACCCCGGCGACGACGGGTTAGGCAGGATACCATCACTGCTGGTGGCAAGGACATCCTGGAGAAGCAGATGGCAGAGATGATTGCCCTGGAAGAACGAGAAAAAGAGGCCAGGGAGTCGTACGAACTAGAATTACAGAGAACCAAGTCAACTAACAACGACTTGACTACCCCTGACAGACCGCGATCAGGTAGCTCAACGGGACCCAGTCGAGGTCCGAGCCGGCGAGGGTCACACGGAGCTGAACACAGTGGATCAGACGAGAAGCTTCCCATCGGACGGCCAGAGCTGGGCTCTCCGATCAAGACCGGCCGTGCTAGTCTCGAAGTACCCGAAGTGCCCCTTACGGGCCGTCGACTATCTGTGGACTACAACGTCTCACAGCCACCCTCGCCCGGTATTCGCCCTATAGATGTTGGCTTCGTGCCTGGAATCGGGGCAGACTTTACGCCCAGCTCGAGCAGACCTGGGTCCCCACCACGGAACCCTTTCAGCAAAGTCAAGAACATCTTCCGCGACAGGAGTCGCGAGAGATCCATGGACCGCAGCAACGACATCCAGGACAGGCAAGAAGATGCACATGCAGGCAATATTGGGGGCCCTGTAGACACTCCGGCCACGCTGTCGCCAACGCAGACCAGGGTCGAGAGGCGGCCATCGCGTAGTCCTGCTCGCAAGATCCAGTCCAAGGGCACCGATGAAGGCCACAAAGCACATCGTAGTATCGGTAGCATGCGCCTTCGCAGCGAAGAGTCATCAGGTCTGAGGTCACTCCTCAAGACCGGCCCGCGTATTGATTCTGTCCTACGGAACGGCGTCTCCAAGGTCAGCGAGCTCTTCTGGCGCAAGGAAGACGACGACCAGACCTCCAACACCTCTTCCAGCGAGTCTGAAGATGAGGCCATCACGCGTGGCAGGTCTAGAGGCTCTGCCGTGCCCTCGCGAGCTACCTCTCAGAGACGCAACGACGAAACACTCAAGGCAAAGCACTATCTCAGCGTCATGCCGACATTCCAATCCACAATGGCATCTCATGACAGGCTCAATGCCAGAGACCAGTCCCCGATATCCCGACCTCCGAGCCGCCGGTCGTCCAGGTTCGACCTGCTCAAGCCACCCAAGATCGACATACAGAGCGCCTCGCCCTCCGACACACCGCCAAGGGAGCTGAGCCGCACTCGCGACGTGTCCACCTCGCAGTCGCGCAAGGGCAGCATCGCGGACGACAACAGCCGCGCGGCGGGCGCCCGCCTCAACCACGTCCTCTGTCTGCCGGAGCCCCTCGCGACCCAGCGCTCGAGACACCTCTCGGCCTCGTCGCACGGCACGCGCCACTGGTCCCTGTCGGACCGCAGCCCGTCGCCGCACCCGGCGCAGGACGCCTCCCAGCTCTCGCGCCGCGAGGTCGCGCGCCTGCGCGCCATGATCCTGGGCTCGGGCATAGTGGCCAACGAGATCGCGCGGCGCGTCAATGAGCCGCGCCTCCTGCCCGAGGCGTCGTCGTCGGCGTGCAGCGCCGCCACCACGGGCGCGCTCCGCTGGGCCGAGATCGTGGCCCTCAGCCCGCAGCGGCGCGACGAGCTCGCGGGCCGGCCCGTCTCCCAGCGGGAGCTGTACACGGCGGCCGCGCGCGTCCTGGGCCAGTCGGTGCAGGCGTCCGGGCAGAGGTGGCAGGCGTCGGCGGACCGGTTCGCGGGCGAGACGACGCCCGCGCTGCGCGAGCGCGTCGAGTGCCTCCGGGGCAAGCTCGCGGCGGACCTGTCGGGCCTGACGCGGGCCGCGGCCGACGAGGCGGACGGCGTGGTCAACGACCTGCTCGAGGGCCAGCGGCTCAAGGTCAAGCGCGTCGTCGACGTCATCGACAAGATGTCGCGGCGCCGGCGCCGGCGGTTCCGCTGGGTGCGGCGCGCGGGGTGGCTCGGCGTCGAGTGGATGCTCGTCGGGTTCATGTGGTACGTGTGGTTCGTCGTCATGATCGCGCGGGTGGTCTGGGGCGTCGGCAGCGGGCTGTTTGCCGGGGTGAGGTGGTTGCTTTGGCTGTGAGGGAGCGGAGCTGGAGCGTGGGTTTTCTTTCCGACGAGGCGAGAGAGAGAGAGAGACACGGAGACAATAGAACAGATTGTAGAGTGGCGGCGGATGTGCTGAGTACCAGACGAGAATGAGGGGGGAGCCAGGGAGCCAGGGAGCCAGGGAAAGGAAGTTTGTACGAGAGAGTGTGTTGGAGATGTGGGCGGTGTAGGTTGTTGGATATGGACATCACGACTTTCTCTTTCTGTCTTTTCTGTCCCTTTTCTATGTTTCTTTTTCCATCATCAGGGCGATTCGATACCCAACATGGCCTTTTGTTCTTCTGTTTAATGTATCCATTGCAGGTCTTAGCCTTTCCAAGATAAAAAGGAACTCTATACTATTAATGATGATACTTTACTTTTACTCCAGAACCTCACGGAAAAGAACCGGCACTGCAAGGTGGTGACTGAAGTCGTGAACGTGAATTATGACGTTTTATTTCTTTGTAACTGTGCCACACAAAAGAACATTACTACGCTGGGCGAAAGCCCGTGTCCGGCTGGGAGGGGTTGAACATCATCCCACAGCCCTTCCTCATATTCATTTCACTCTCCTTCGTTAGTATCTTACTCGATCCTCTTCTTGCCCTCCTCGGCATTGAGGTAGCGCGCCGTGCTGAGGCCGCGTTCGTGCCGTGCAACGAGGCCGCCGATAACGGGGTCCTTCCTGACCTTGCTGATGGTCTCGTGGTAGCCCTCGGTCGCCCACGGCCGCGGGTTCAGCTTGGGCCAGTTGACCTGTTGTAACGAGGAAGAGAGACACATTAGTTCCTCGAACCCACAAAGGGCAGCTGTAGAAGAGACGAAAAAGACAAACTTACATAGAGCATGCCGTTCCTGAGGATAAAGTGCAGAGACCAGGCGGCGGCGCCGGTCCAGAAGAGGATGAAGAGCCGCGTGGGCAGGACGGCCGAGTCGGGCAGGCGGCGCGTGAAGAGGGCGACGAGGACAAAGAAGACGCTGAAGGCGAGGATGTAGGGGATGGCCTGGATGAGGATGGGCCGGGTGTCGGCAAAGACGAGGCTGGTGCCGACGCTGGCGGTGGCGGGCGAGTAGGCGCCGAGGAAGAGGTCGAAGGCGTCCTGCCGGGGCCCGTCGAGGAAGTTGTTGCGGGCGTAGCGCGAGACGGCGACCTGGCCGTCGCGCAGGGCGCCGGCGCGCGTGCGCACGCCGAGGCGCGTGATGTCGGTCTTCATGGCGCCGGTACCCGAGTAGGAGCGCGACACGACGTCGGCGTTGTCGGCCCAGAGGTTGCGGAACATGAGCTCAAAGGCCGGGTCCTCGGCCTTGAAGGTGGAGCCGCGCTGCATGATGCCCAGGTCGACAAACATGCGGTCGAGGGTCCAGCGGGCGAGCATGGACTGGACGACGTTGGTGCGGTCGAGACAGTCCATGCAGTTGGTGCGCACGACCGAAGTCTGCAGGTTGCGCACCTCGAGGCCGCCGTCGAAGCCGGCGGGCATGTCGACGGCGCGGAAGTACTGCTGCGCCACGAGGGCGTCCTGCATCTGCTCGAGGAGCAGCTGGGCGCGGTGCATCTGCATGCCCTTTGTCTCGCTGTGGAAGTCAAAGTAGACGTAGTGCAGGCGGTCGAAGACCTGCTTGGAGGAGCCGGGCTCGATCACGTGGAACTTCTCCTCGGTGCGGAGATCACCCTTAGTGCTCTCCCTCGGCGCCGTGACGAGCTTCTCCACCATCTGCTCGTAGGCTTCCTTGACCCTCTGCTCCCTGCCCTTTTGATTGACCAGGTTGACTAGGTAGTTGTCGCCATAGATCTTGATCTGCTCGCTAAAATGCGCGCTCGCTGCGGAGAAGGCAGAGTCGATGCCCCGGATCTGAAGCTTGGGCGTGTAGGAGAGATTGTTGATCTCGGCCCAGTATACAGGGACACTACCACGGGTCTGGACGTAGGACAGAATCTGCATCTCCTTGCCCTCGGAACCCCCCAGCTTTCCGCTTTGCATGTCGGCACTGCCACTGTAGCCACCCAGCCCCGTCCTGTTATCGTTCAGGACGACAATCTGTTCCGTCTCATTGTAGTTGGAGACATGACCCTCCTCGTCTATACCGCGGGAGAAGTAGCGAGTACCACCACGGTACCGTGACCGCCTTGTGATGAGGGCCACGGTCAGGGGTGTGGTCTTGAAGGTGGTCGGGTGGATCTCGAGCATGCCGAAGATGACGGGCAGGATAAACGGGTCGACGCCTTGCTGGGGTCCCGGCTGGCCACGAGCACCCCTGGTGCGGAAATCGATGAAATCCGACTGAATGTACTTGTTCCAGAAGAAGCGGTCGTCCGCCCTCATCCACATGGGAGTAGTCTCTTCGTGCTGCGACTGGCGCTGGAAGCTGTTGGTCAGGTCGACCGAGTATGAGAAGTACATGGCACCGGACTTGAGGAAGGCTTTGAGCAAGGCCAAGAACCGGTCCTCATCTGGATCGCGGATTTGGCGTTCTCGCATGGGGAGGAATTCGGTGGCGATGACTTTGTAGACCATGTGGCCACGCAGGCGGCCGACTGGCTGGGCTTTGGTAATGGCAATGACATATTTATCTGTAACAGATACGAGTCAGCCCAAATGCAGCCAGGATTGGTGTCACCGGCTGTCCAAAAACTCACCGAGCCTCAAACGGATCATGCCCAGAATGCCAGCAACGCTGGAGACGCGAGTGACGCGCTTTCTGGAGACAGGGCCTGGGGCAGCCAGCCTCACATCCCCGGTAGGGCGGTCGATCGTCAGAGCTGGAGCATTGGGAGAGGAGGGCGAGGTGAAGATGTAGCAGTCGGGCGCCGCCTGGACGTTGATGTCCCGGTAAGGGAGGCTCATCTTGAAAGCGAGCCTGTGGTGCGCACGCGTCGCAGAGCGGATGGCTTGGAACAGAGGAAGGGACCGAAATTGTGTTCTTTGTAGACACTTCCTAACGTATCATGATTCTGGGAATGCAGATGGTTCACTGGTACAGCCGTCCCTGGTTGTGAGGCTGCTTGGTTTTGAGAAAGATTATCCCTAGGATATGGTGGTGTACCAAGAATCTGGAGCTTATCGCAAGCTGTCTCTATCTTGGGGGAATTAGCACATTCATTTCCTCGTCGCATTTGCCCGCCAAGCGTCACAGCTCCGATAAGATAAGGCCAGGGGTCGTCAATGATGCAACTGCGCCTCGATAAATTGTTTGGGCGCACCCACGTGATTGTAATCTCATTAGATAAGCAGAACACGGCTATGTGTGGTCATGTGTACCCTGATTCAGGACAGCCAGCGGCCCAGCCACACCAGCCAAGCCCATCTGCATCCTCGTCTAGTGCCCTCTCCCAGCGGTCTTTTTCAGTGGATTCCCCGAGAACCCACGGGCGGCGCAACGCCTGACGTGTGCGAGTCTTACCAGTTGCTCAGCAGGTCCGCATGGTCTCCATCCACCAGCCCAGAACCTCCAAGGCAACACCGATTTCTCAACTCTGGATCCGTCACTACCGCCTCAGTCCTGCTCCTGAACCCCGACGCTCCAGACCTCGACTCGCATTCAACCATCCGACTGGCCGAGTCTTGGTTCTCTATCCATCGACGATTTCAACCCGAGCCAAATCCCTTCGACCGCAGTCTCTGACCGCTGACTCCGTCCTCTGCCAGCCCGAGCACAATCGACTCCGTCTCTAGCATCCACATCCACCATGGCTGCTCGAGGTCCCCCCGGCGCTCGCGGAATGGGCAACCGCTTCGCACAGTTCAAGCTTGTACTGTTGGGTATGCTATCCCTCATTTACCCATCCGACACCCGCATTCGGGATGCTAATCATGTATACAGGCGAGTCTGCTGTCGGAAAGGTACTACTATATCACCGGTGTCGCAATCGCCTTTGTCCCTCGCTAACATGTGATATCTAGAGTTCCATAGTCCTTCGTTTCGTCAAGGTAAGGAGTGAATTGTTGTTTATAGGTCAACCGGGCATCGTACTGACTCCCCTCCCTCGCAGGATCAATTTGACTCGTACAGAGAATCCACCATCGGCGCCGCTTTCCTTACCCAGACGATTTCCCTCGATGAGAACACCACCGTCAAGTTCGAGATCTGGGATACGGCTGGGCAGGAGCGCTACAAGTCTCTTGCGCCCATGTACTACCGTAACGCCAACTGCGCGGTAGTCGTCTACGACATCACTCAAGCAGTACGCGTCCCCCACCACGGTCCTCGATGGCGCTTGGATGTGGCAGGCTAACTCGTTTCACAGTCATCTCTGGACAAGGCAAAGGCCTGGGTGAAGGAGCTGCAACGACAAGCCAATGAGAACATCATCATCGCGCTTGCCGGTAACAAGTTGGATCTGGTCACGGAGCAGCCCGACAAGCGGGCCATCCCCACCGCCGATGCCGAGGCATATGCCAACGAAGCCGGCCTCCTCTTCTTCGAGACGTCGGCAAAGACGGCAGAGAACGTGCGGGATCTCTTCACAGCCATCGCCAAGAAGCTGCCGCTGGATCAGGCCGGCCCCAGACATGCCCGGCCCGGACAACGCGCCGGGGTCAACCTGACGCCAGACAATGCGAACACCCAGGCGGGCGGCGCATGCAGCTGCTAAGACACAAGCACGCACATTGCGAGATTCACGAGAGGGAGCCAGCACACGAGCGGAGACTTGAGACGGAGCATCGACGTAATTACCGGGCACACAGCCGAGAGTGTGCTGGACTGCAACATAGTCATTGCTAGTCATTCTGTCATTCTTTGGCCGTCCTCGTCCACCCGGGTCACGGACTGTTGATTTACCGTTGGAGTCTGCTGGTAGGATGGTTCTAGTCACTTTGTAATACCTTTTTACCGAATTTTTGACGCCTTACCTGGTTGGTTGTCTTCATGGTTACAGAGCGAGAGGAAGGTTGAGAAGAGGGAGGGTACGGTACGTGAGAGTGAGAGGGAGCGTGGGAGCAGCATTTTGATTTTCCCCAACTTGAGGAAACGCTCAACCTCGATCTGTCGTGCGCTTTGAAGGACGGCCGGTGCATCTACAGCGTCTTCTTGTCGTTGTATAGTAGGATATAGAGCCAATAATATCGTTCATGAGCACTTGCTGCCCCGACCCCGATTGTGAGATTTGATGAGATCACAGTCAGTAACTATGAGTACTGCCTGAATGATGGGATGGTCCGTGCACCCACCCGCCGTAGCTGGCAGCCCCCCTGCACCCGCAACCGGGAATTCTGGGGCGCCAGCTTTGCCGAACTTTTTCGCTCATGCACTTTCGACGACGGCCCTCTGGAAACGACCCCAACGTGGCACCTCCTCACAACAAACCACACAGAGCTCGGCTCAACCACCACATGCCCCCATGTTGCGGACATCTCTTCGAACCGCAAGGGCGCTGAGCGGCAGGCCCCTTGCTGCCGCCGCCGGCCGTCAATGGCAAGTCGCTGCCGTGAGGCCTGCCGGCCTGATCAGCCAGGTGAGTGAGAGCGAGCTCCCGCACATGCTTGGACAGGACGTCATGCGACCAGATCCCACGTCTCAGCCAGCCCCCTCCCAGCTATCGATTGTTTGGTGTTTGGCCACTACATACTCTCATCACTGGCAGAAAACTGACATACTACTGTTCAATTGATAGAGGTGCTACGCCGACGACAAGAAGCCAGCGGCTATCCCCGTGTCCGAGACCAACACTGCTGCCGGCAGCAAACCCCCGACCTCTGAGCCGGCTGTCGCCGAGGCCACGATCCCCGCTGAGAATGTCCCGTTGACGCCTCCAGCTCCCGAGGTGGCTGCCGCCGCGACCTCAACGCCGCCTCCCCCTCCTCCCCCGGCGCCGAAGCGAGGCGGCTTCTTCCGCCGCCTGCGCAACTACGTCCTGACGATGACCATCCTCGGCGCTCTGGCCTTTGGCGGAGGCGTGTGGTACTCGCGCATCAACGACAACTTCCACGACTTCTTCACCGAGTACGTGCCCTTCGGCGAGCAGGCCGTGCTCTACCTCGAGGAGATGGACTTCCGCAAGCGCTTCCCCCAGATGGCGAACCGCGTCAACAGGCAGCACAGCACCGGCGAGAGCGTCAAGATCCCCGCCCAGAGCGGTGCGTCATGGCGCGTGGCTGACCACGAGGCTTCCAGCCGGCAGTCGAGCGCCGTGACTTCCAACTCGGCCAAGGTCCAGGCCGTGAAGAAGGATGAGTCCAAGCCCGCGGCCAAGAAGCAGACGCCCAAGGCTGAGGAGCCCAAGGCCAAGGAAGCCGCTCCGGCGCCCAAGGTGGAGGAGGCCCCCAAGAAGGCTGCTGCTGCTGCTGCTGCTGCCGCCGCTCCCACTGTCGCCACCGCAGCGTCTACCCCGGCCTTCAAGGCTCCCGAGGTCGATGAGCCGTCCCGCTGGCCCCCTGCGTCGCCGATTGACCCGCTGGCTGTCAACGACGCCGTCGAGCCCGTCGTCCAGGACCTCGTCCGCATGCTGAACGACATCATCACCGTCATCAACCACGACAACGCCAACGAGAAGTACGGCTCGACGATCGGCAAGGCCAAGAACGAGCTGAACAAGGTCGGCCAGAAGATCAAGCTCATCAAGGAGGCTGCCGAGAAGAAGGCCGCCGAGTCGCTGGTGGGCCGCACCGAGGCGTTTGACCGCGCCGCCACCGACCTGGTCACCCGCGTCGAGGCCGCCATGGTGGCCCAGGAGGCGCAGTGGCGCCAGCAGTTCGAGGAGGAGATGCAGAAGCTCCGGGAGAGCTACGACGAGCGCCTCAAGAACATGACGGCGCGCGAGCAGCAGGTCAACGAGGAGAAGACCAAGAACAGGCTGCTCGAGCAGGCTGTCGAGCTCAACAGGCAGTTCGCCCAGGAGGTCAAGGCGCGCGTCGAGCAGGAGCGGGAGGGCCGCCTCGGCAAGCTCAACGAGCTGTCGTCGGCCGTGTCGGAGCTCGAGAAGCTGACGGCGGGCTGGAACGAGGTCGTCAGCACCAACCAGCGTACGCAGCAGCTGCACGTCGCCGTCGAGGCCGTGCGCGCCAGCCTCGAGGACGCCACGCACCCGCGCCCCTTCATCAAGGAGCTCGTGGCCCTCAAGGAGATCGCCTCGGACGACCCGGTCGTGGACGCCGCCATCGCCTCGATCAACCCGGCCTCGTACCAGCGCGGGCTGCCGCCGACGCCGGACCTGATCGACCGGTTCCGGCGCGTGGCGGGCGAGGTGCGCAAGGCGAGCCTGCTGCCCGAGGACGCGGGCGTGGCGAGCCACGCGTCGAGCCTGATCCTCAGCAAGGTCATGTTCAAGAAGCAAGGGCACGCGGCGGGCGACGACGTCGAGAGCGTGCTGACGCGCACGCAGAGCCTGCTCGAGGAGGGCGACCTCGACGGCGCGGCGCGCGAGATGAACGGCCTCAAGGGGTGGGCCAAGACGCTGAGCCGGGACTGGCTGGGCGAGGTGCGCAAGGTGCTGGAGGTGCAGCAGGCGCTTGACGTGAGTCTTTTCCTCTCTCTCTCTCTCTACGATTACTATCAGGGAGTGTGATCTTTTTGCTAACGACCCTTGTGTGATTGATGATTAGGTTATTGCTACGGAAGCTAGATTACAGAGCCTCAGGGTTGAGTAAACAACTTTGAAATGGTCTCTCTTTCTCCTTTGTCTCTCGGTCGAACGCGAAGAACAGAAAAGGTGTAGTGTATACAAGATGTCTCCGTCTAGAAAGACCTACAGCTAGAGCTGCTTACGGGGGAACGCGAAACTGGGGGGGCGAAAGGGTTCCCCTGTGTATGAGATAGTGAATAGACTTTTCTGAAATCTTATGTACGCGGTGTATGATGATGGATGATATGTGGTATGTGACCGTGATGGAGCAGCCCAGGGCACTTGTCTGGCAAAGGATGGAACATCTGTGGCTGTTGTAGATCAAAATAATGCCGATTAAACGATTAAAGGCAAGGTAACTTAGTATGAGAAGGTTGGAATCAAGGCATGTAATTCTCAGCCCCACTACGTAGTTATCTTAACTGGACTTCCAACCTTCAACTCGGAATTCACAAGGCTCGCAATCGTGAGCGCGGCCACTCGCGGTAAATTGACCGAGATACTTTGGTCTGCTCATGATCTCTCTCAGAGTGTTGAGTTGAGATACATACACCCGAGCCCACCTCTCTGGCCGGCGTAGAAACCCGAGAGACGAATTCGATCTCACTCATGTCGAGGCTGACAACAACACCAACACCACGACCCGTCATCTCACGCCTCTTCTCCTCCCTCTCAGCATCATCCCGGACAATACCGCCTCTCTCCCACAGTCATATCTCCTTCCGCCTCCCCTCGCCACTCAAAAATCCCCGCCACCAAAGCCCCTACACCATTCGCAAGATGTCCACCACAGCCACGGCCACCACCACCATCTCACCCTCCCAGCTGCCCCAGACCTACCCCAACGCCCTGCACCTCCTCTCCCTCCTCCCCACCAACCGCGAGGTGACGGACCTCTTCGCCGGCGCGGAGGGCGGAGGACCCGGCAAGGACAAGGACGACCTCAACGCCCGCGCCATCCCCGAGGTCGTCGCGTGGCTGGCGCGCGCGGGCTACGAGCCGGCGGACCTGGCGCGGCGCGGCGTGCGCTGCGTGCACGTCGCGGGCACCAAGGGGAAAGGGTCGGCGTGCGCGTTCCTGACGGCCGCGCTGCTCGCGCACGGGGACGCGGCGGGCCGGGTCGGCACGTACACGTCGCCGCACGTCGTGTCGGTGCGGGAGCGCATCCTGCTCGACGGGCGGCCCGTGGGCCGGGACGTCTTTGCGCGGGCCGTCTTCGAGGTCTGGCGGCGGCTCACGCGGGCGGCGGAGGAGGCGGCGGGCGGCGCAGGGGCGGTACCGCCTGAGGGCGGGTACGACGGGCCCGGGACCAAGCCCTTCTACTTCCGGTTCCTGACGCTCGTGGCCTTCCACGTCTTCGCGCAGGAGGGCGTGCGGTCCGCGGTCGTCGAGTGCGGCATCGGCGGCGAGTACGACCCCACGAGCGCCGTCCTGCCGGCCGAGGCCGTCACGGCGAGCGTCGTGACGCGGCTGGGCGTCGACCACGTCGCCATGCTCGGCGGCACGGTCGAGGAGATCGCGTGGCACAAGGCGGGCGTGTTCCGGCGCGGGCGGGCGGCCTTCACGGTCGGGCTGCCGGGGCAGGAGCAGGAGCGCGCGCTCGCGGTCCTCCGGGCCCGGGCCGAGGACAAGGGCGCGCGGCTGCGGGTGCTCGACGGCGCCGAGGTGGAGAGGTGGGCTGGGGTCGGGGAGGGCGCGAGGCTGCGGGGCGGGTTCCAGAAGTACAACATGGCCGTCGCGGCGGCGGCGGCGATGGAGCACCTGCGCGTGCTGAAGGGCGAGGAGGAGGAGGATGGCGACGACGACGACATGGGCGAGGCCTTCTTCAGCCTGGACGACATACCGCCCAGCTTCAAGGAGGCCATGAGGGGCGCCACCCTGCGCGGCCGGTGCGAGACGATCCGCGAGGAGGGCGGCGGCGGCATGGAGTGGCTGCTCGACGGGGCGCACACGGCCGACAGCCTGGCCGAGGTGTCGCGCCTGTTCCTGGCGGCAAGGCCACGGACCGACGGTGCCCTGCGGATCCTCATATTCAACCAGCAGGAGCGGGACGTCGCCGCCCTGCTCCGGAGCATGCTCGCCAGCAGCGACGACGGCGACGGCGACGGCGAGGGCGCGGCAACAACAACAACAACAACAGCAGCTGCTGCGGCGTTCGACCTCGCCATCTTCACCCGCAACGACGCGGCCCCGACGCCGGCGGGCGAGCCCCCGCGCGAGACGAGCGTGCAGCAGGCGGCGCGGGAGGTCTTCCACGGGCTCTGCCCGGGCGCCGCGACCGCGGTGGCGGACAACGTCGCCGAGGCGGTGCGGTTCGCGCGGAGCGCGTGCGAGGAGAAGGGCAAGGGGGGTTACGTGTTGGTCACGGGCAGCTTCAACCTCGTGCGGCCGGCGCTGCAGATGCTCGATCCCGACTGTGAGGACTGAAGCCTTGGGTCGGTGGTGTCTTTATAGAAGAGTGGAATAAATTCTAGTGTATGATTGAGAGTCTATAAGCATCGTTGAGGATTGCTCCAGACGTGGTGGTATAGTGTCTATGGTATTGTGTATTTATGCCCACGGAGCCTTCGAGGGCTCATCTTGTTTTTGTTTTCCCCAGGTGATGATCCATGGAAAATCAAAGCCCAAAAAAGAGAAGTAAAAAGAAAGAAAGGCAGAAAGGAGGGCAAAAAAAAGCTCGGCCAAGCTGTCACTTGAACCCTGACCTGCGAAAAACCCCTATTGGGATTTTTCTTGGTTGTGGGAGGTCAGCCACATTTATTTTCTCTGTGGTGTCCTCCTCAGGGGGGGTTAGTTTAATGGAATCCACGTTTGTCGCGGTTAACCACTGCACCATCCCACCCCCGATGAAAACTAGACGCTCTAACCTGCATGATAAGGGGTTGTTTGCTGTTCGTGGTGGGGGACGGTCGGGGTGTATCTGGGTGAAGGGTCAAGGTCAAGGTGAGAGTGAGGTGGATGTCAGGGGTTCGACCCTCTGCAGTCGAGCAATATTCAATATCCCTCTTGTGTCTTCTCCTTTCACGACGGCCCCCCTGGCAATACCAACCAGCCCATCGGCCACTACCATTCTACAAGGCATCAGCACCCTCCAGAATCTCCAGCGCTCCGCCGACGAGATGCAAGCTCCCCGTCACGAGAGCCTGCACGGCCTCGCCCGCCTTGAGGTCCGATGCCAGCGCCCGTGCCTGGTTGATGGCTTCCTCGATGCTCGGGACGACCGAGACCTTTGCCTCGGGGTCCAGGGAAGACCACCTCTCGGCGAAGGCGTGCTGGGTAGTCAGCTTTGCGATAGCCTCCGGGTCGTACTGGTGGTTGACAAAGTCTGGGGAGAACACACAATCACATATACAAATCAGCATCCCGATGAGAAAGAATCAAGGAGATGGAAACGTGTAAGAAACCAGAACACACATACCCCTCTTGTACCCAGTCTGGGCATAAGTCACGTTGGTGCAAAAGATGACATGCTCAAAGGAGCGGCCGTCGTTGGCCGACTTTGTCGCGCCGTACAAGCCGTCGAGAAAGTCGACGGCCTCGGACCGGCCCTGCTGGTTGAAGATCATGACCTTGGGCCCCGACCTGCTCAGTTACAACAACTGCCAGTCAGTCACACCTTTTTCCTCTCTCTGTGTGTATATGTACGATGTAGGGTGAACAAAAGAAAAAAAAAAAAAAGGAAGAAGTGACGCATAAAAGAAAACCGGAACCCCATACCTGCCGTCGCACTCGCCCACGAACCAGCGCGAAGCCATCTTGAGGCTGTCGACCGTGTGCGCCCCGTCGAGGTGCCAGAGGACGTCGCCCTCCCTCTTGACCTCGCACCGGCCCCTCCACACCACGCGCTCGAGCCCGTCGACAAACTCCCTCGGCAGCCTGTGCGGGTCCACCCGGAACGCCGGGTCGATGCGGAGCAGCGCCGCCTCGGCCAGCGCGACGGCCAGCGTGGCGTTGCGCCTCTGGAACAGCGCGTCGGGCCGGATCGCGACCCCCTTCAGGCGCGGGTCCACGTCGAGCCCCCGCAGGGCGACGCCCTTGTCCGCCGCGCGGCGCGCCAGCACGGGCGCCGCGTCGGGGACCTGCTCGACGGTGAAGGCGGCGGCGCCGGGCTTCATGATGCCGGCCTTGTGCCAGGCGATCTTGTCGACGGTGCCGCCGAGCGCGAAGACGTGGTCGATGCCCAGCGCCGAGATGCCCGTGGCCAGGGGGCGGTCGACGATGTTGGTCGCGTCGTACTCGCCGCCGATGCCCGTCTCGTAGACGGCGGCGTCGACGCCCTCGGACAGGAAGACGTGGAAGGACATGAGCGTCAGGTAGCGCGCGTAGATGGGCTTGGTGCCGAGGGGCGCGGCGCCGGCGTCGCCCCCCGTGCCGGCCTCGAGGCGGTCCCAGACCTCGAAGAAGTAGCGCGCGAAGAGGGCCTCGGAGATGGGCACAGAGTCGATGCGGATGCGCTCGCGGACGGCGATGAGGTGCGGCGAGATGAAGAGCCCGACGCGGCTGGGCCGGCCGTGGGCGCGGCGGTAGTGCGCGAGGATGGAGTCGGCGAAGGCGCAGGTGCTGCCCTTGCCCTTGGTGCCGGCGACGTGGATCACGTTGAGCCGGTCGAGGTCTTGGGACTGGGAGGAAGGGGGGACGGGGTCAGTAGGGGTGAGATTGGGGGGCGAGCTCAGGCGAGCCCGATGAGTCCCTCCGGTCCGGAAGGCCGGCCGTTGGTACCGTGAGGGAGGGAAATACTCACGGTGTAGCCGATGCGGGCGAGGTACGCTCGCATCTCCCGGATGGAGGCCTCATCCGGGCGGATGCCGGCCTTGCGGCGCGCCTCGAGGACGGCGAAGGGGGTTTGCAGAGAGTTTAGGGCGTCGATGGCGTCCTGGCTTTACGTTAGAATGATGAACACTTGCTCGGGATGATGATTACTGTTCTGGCTTACATTGTAGGTCCTCGCCTGAGTCGCCATCGCTCGGCGGCGGCTGATCGAGGACGAGAGAAGGGAGGGTGATGTTGATGTTGTGATGAAACCGGCTCGGAGGAACAAGTGGCGTCTGGTTCCGCAAACTACATGATGCATTGGACGGTGTCCTTGATGAGGGATTTTGGCCCGTGGTCTTCCCGGGATTTGATGTGCCTGGTCAGTGTCTGACTTGCATGGGCTCAAGCGTGAGTAAGAAGCCCAGGGAGACTTTTTTGGAAGGTCGGGGTAGTGCCAAATCGCCGTCATACAAGCTTATCGGGACGATCCGAGCAGTGTTTTTCGGTGTCTTCTCATGGCGAGTTTTTATGGGGCTGTCTGTCTCTCTAGTCCAGTCTGTCTAGTACTTGTAAAAGAGAGAGAGAGAGAGAGAGAGAGACAGGTTGTTCTGTTCTCCTTATCAATGCAACCAGGATCATTTGAAATGTGTGAATATTCTCCAGTTCACGGAAAAAAACGATGGGTCAGAGTTGCCAGAGAGAGATTGACGACCTCTGCCCTCATTGGGTCGCCGTGTAAGCTGCAGAAGAGGGCTCTCACAGTGCAACAAGTCCTCCATTCTACCAGGACAATGAGCCAGTAATGACTATTACTATTCAAGACTGTGATATGCACCACACCTCAATGAAAGGAACTTGAATGTATTCATGAAGCTATGTGTATAATAGGACCAGTCTGCTCCTCTCACAAGCGCCTCGGCTCACTTCAGCCGGACCAGGATGATCTTCACCGGCATACTCGAAACCCCGCTCAAGACACAGGATGCCACAATTCATCTCAACATCAACAATCCAACAGCAACAAAGCCAAGCAACTCAGTCAAAGAAAGAAGGGAAAAAACCATGGCGGCAGACCTCTCCTTCGGCCCGCCAGGCAGCCAGTGGCACTACACCCGCAGCACCCGCACCTACGACCTCACCCGCGGCCGGCTCCCGGCCATCACCGTGCCCACCACCCAGGGCGCGCCCGGCACAAACATCCGCATCGCACCGGCCGCCACGGCGCTCGTCGTCGTCGACATGCAAAACTTCTTCCTGCACCCGGACTGCCGGGACCACCCGCTCGGCCTGGCCGCCGTGCCGCCGACCCTGAGGCTGGTCGAGAAGTGCAGGGCGCTGGGCGTGCAGGCAAGTTAGATATCAACCCACCCACTTACACACACACACACACACACACAAACTAGTTCACACACTCTTTTGCTGATGGGAGAAACGGGGGAGGGGCCACCGAGATCGACAGATCATATGGCTCAACTGGTCCCTCACAGACCCCGACCTGCAGACCATGCCCGCCGCCGTGCAGCGCGGCTTCGCCCGCGCCCTCATCGCCGCCGCCGCCGCCGGCGACCCGAGTACCACTACCACCACCACCACCGCACCAGCCCCGGCCCCGTCCTCGGCCATCGGTCTCGGCGCGCAGCTGCCGGGCAGCCAGGGCCGCGTGCTCTTCCGCGGGTCCTGGAACGCAGAGCTCTACGCGCCCCTCGCGGCGGCGGCGGCAGCAGCGCAGGACGTCGTCTGCGGCAAGAACCGCCTGTCCGGCCTCTGGTGCGCCGACACGCCGCTGTGGCGGCACCTGACGACGACGACGACGGCGACGGGGATCAAGACGCTCCTGTTCGCGGGCGTCAACACGGACCAGTGCGTGCTGGGCACGCTGGCGGACGCGTACAACGCCGGCTGGGACTGCGTGCTCGTCGAGGACTGCTGCGCGACGGCGAGCCCGGCAGGCGCGGGGGAGGCCGTGGTCTTCAATGCCGCGGTGAGTTATGCCTACCCACCTATTTTCCCTTCTCGTTGGTTTTTTTCATATATTCCGATGTTGTCCCTCGTCTCGAGTCGCGGTGGTCTCGCAGGGAAAAATGAGGAACTTTGCGGTTCTCCCGGCTCAGACAACGATGGACGTATACCCCCTCTCCCCCGCGTATCGCTGACCACACGCACACACACGCTCACTCACACACGCTGCAGCACACCTACGGCTTCGTGACAAGCAGCGACGCCTTCCCCTCCGCGGCCTCGTCTTGACGTGAAGCCGCAATAAAACGAAAACGGGCTGGGGTAGGCACCTAGCACGAGAGATCTGTATCACAAGGGGTTCCGGCCTCGACAAAAGGGCTCTTCCGCAATCTCCTCATCGCATTCCATCCCCTCCTCCCGCACCCTGCCAAGCCGGGCACCAGTTCCAAGCGGCAGTTGGGGCAGGGCATCAACTCGTCTGGAATGGAACACTGAAAACATGGGACACAAAAGGGACCAACAAGGATTCGTTTGCTTGATCCGACGCACCTGTCTGGCTGTACCGTACCATACCGTAACCCCCAGTACCTATGTGACACTTTTTCCTTGCTCCGCACCTCTGGAATGCAAGACTCGCTTACATTCCTCGCGCCGGCTGGTTCAGGGACTCAGGCCTCCTCCCCCCTTCCCAGTCCACCGATCTCCCCGTGCCAAGCGCGTGAAAAAGGGAGGGAGGGCAAGACGAGCCGGCCAGCGGTGGAACACACACTGCTCTCTGGGGTCCCGTTGTTGCCGGGGAGGCTTATCCACCCCAAGCTTTTTCGTTGTTTCCCCCTTCTTCTTTTGCCTGCCGCTCCGCTCCGCTCCCTCCCCCGGCTCAACTGGGTGGTGGTGATGGTGAAACTATTTTTTGCCTGCCGGGTCTGGCTGGCTGGTTGTAAGGAAAACAAATCTTCTGATCTGTGCTTTTCTTTCTGGCATCTCATACGATTCCCCGCCTTCACAAGTAGTGTGTTATGGGGGAAGAAATACGAGAGAGAGAGACCTAGGACAACAACAACCATTCACAATCCCATATCCCCCCCACCGCCCACTTTACAAGTACAGTAGATCCATCGATGTCATCGGTCTCAGAGTCCCCAAACGGTCGCGGGAGTCGGGTCAACCTTGGCGTCACGGGTACTCGGAAGGGGAAAAAAAAGAGAGTTTGTCCCAAGAAATGCGGAGAGAGGCGCGAGACGAATCTCTCCTTTGTGTCTCCCGGTCAATTGTTGATACCCAGAAAGCCTAATTTGCTATCTACTCGGTGCCGGCGGCGGCAGTGGTGGTAGCTAGGTGGTGGCTGGCAAGCACACTCACATACAGACACACACACACCCGCCTGGAATACCAGACGTATCCGACGCCCTACGCCATTGGCGCTGCCCGTTGTTCCTGCTTCGATCAACCGTGGGTGCAATCATGGGGTGGTGCAGATGAACCTCGTATCTGCACCTCAACCCATGTTATCAGGACCCCGGTCACCCCTTCAACCCAACCCTGGGGTATCGTCCACCTGCAGGTCTATGCTTCTCTCTTTCCAGCATAAAACTTGTCCCAGTAAAATCCGCCCCAAAACGCCGTGCAAATGCTCAGTTTCGTTGGAGGTAGATAGATGGCTCTCTTGCTCAGCGAGATGTCCATCTCGAAAGGCAGCCAGTGACTCTCCCTCAATAAAACCCCCGGGGAAGAAGAAAAAAAAAAACGCCATGCCCATGCAAAGAGAATAGATCAATGAAAATGATCTAGATCGACGGCGGCTAGCTCCATGATCGCTGATGATAGAAATTTGAAAGTCGCCGGCTCTGTTGTTGCGTAAAATCGTACAGTGACTGTGATGGACACAGCCCAAAGCAAAGATGACTTGTGTGTCGTATCATCGCCGCAGACCGACATGGATCTCGGGCTTGCACAGGCCGTTGTTGCAGCAGATCTCGGGGCCAGCCTTGCCGTTCAATATCGCATCAACCTTGTCCTATCGAGGCCATGGCTGTTAGTACGGTTGTCTCTTGTGTCGACAGGATCCGAGATAGGGAGGCTTACCTGGGGGCATGGGATGGGAGAGGCGGCGACGAGAGAGCTGAGAGAGAGGACAGCGGCGAGGGCGCCTGATACGAGGACTCGGAGTTGCATTATATCGTGAGAGCACACACACAGGACGTGTGTATGCGTGTCTGCAGGTGCGAGTTGAGTTGTGACGGATGGGTGTAGGGAGTATTATGTGTGTAAGTGGTGGTGGATAAGAAACGTGGTGGACCAGTTGACCAGACGCCTCTGCAAGAAAGGGAGGAATGGCACTTATATCAAAGCAACGGAATCTAGGAGGTGTGAGGGCAAATCAGGCAAGGTGCAGGAAAACAAAAGCCCCGAAGCCTAGCGATATATACGTGCCAATTCCGGGTCAGCACACACACGATCGCCCTGTGGAGGGCGGGCAGCAGGGCCAGAGGAGGTCCAGGGCAAGAGAAAAAAAAAGGAAAGGGTTGGCGCGGGCTGCAATGGCACCGACACTAGCAGGACTAGGAGGGCTGACGGGGTGGGTATGTACGGAGTAGTGACAAGTAGTGACAAGTAGGTAGTGGGCTCGGTGGAGTTCACGACAACAAGCCTTGAAGGATACAAGGCACCACCAGCTCAGAATGGGCACGCCGGGCCCTGCTTAGCTCGTCTGGGCGTCAGCCAGAGCGTGATAGGCAGGGAGCACGATCTTCCTCATTGGATTGAACAAGAGCGAGGGAGATAGTTACAGAGTAGAAAGAAAGAGAGAGGGACACTACCCGAAACCGATAGTCTCTGGGGGAGATGACAGACACGGCTGGGCCGCCGTCTTATCCGCCTCTCTCGAGATCCCTAGGTAGTTAGGTATTGCGCCCGCAGAGTAACTACGTGTCTACCTACCTCGATTGCTCATTTGGCTCACTCGCAGACGACGACCCTGTCCATCTCGGGCCGCCGTGATATGAGAGGGGGAGACATGCAGGGCCCATGGGCACACGAGCGGCGCACGGAGAGAGCAGTACGGAGTAAGCATCAGGCCAGGCCAGGCCAGGCCAGGCCAGGACTCGCTCACGCATCGCATGCATGCAGACGAGGGCAAGCAAGCCACCGACCGGGCTCAGTGCCTCATCACTCCAGTGATGACCCGCCAGCGCACACACACACACGAGAAAGAGAGAGGGGCGCATCAGAACATTTTGCAGCACTTGCTTTGCTCGTCACTCGACGTCATCCCGGAGCCAGCAGGAGAAAGCCCGCGGCATTGCTGACCCGGTGACTGGGGAGAGCTAGTCGGTAGCTCGCCATGGGCATTCTAGAATGATTCGTAAAAGAGGAGGGGAGAGTGGTATGCAGAAAATAGAAATGGCCATGGAGGGAGGGCAAAGTCAGCAGGGCAGAACGCCACGGGAGCTAGGTAAAGGCCAGGGGAAACGCAACGTTGCCAGGTGAGAACAGTGAGAACGAGATGGCCAGGTGAGCGCTACACGAGTTTTTTGCCGTTCGCTAGACTTTTGTCGTGGTGTGGCTTTCCCTCCTTGTGCATTTTCTCGCGTCCTGGTTGGCTGTTGCGCGGGGATACGATAAGAAAAAGGTGGAGATCAAGCCCTCGAACCAGCGAGTCAAGAGAGGGCAAGAATAGAAACATCCCCCCCCCGCTAGCTTTGTTGCTCAGGGACCACAGTACCTAGGTACCTCTCACATCCATCCCGTGTGCCGTCAAGCCGGGCGGGAGGGAGCCCGGTAATTGGGGTGTCAGTGCGCTGAACGGAGGGCCGTGACACCCTGGCTTCAGCACCCCGACAGCCAGCATCCAGCCTTACAAGTACAATACAACCGCGCTACCACCACCGTATCCCAGCTGAAATAAGACTGCCCAGGTGAAATATGACGTCTGGTTGGACCCATTGACTTGGCTTTTTCCCTCCCTCCATGGCGTCGGACTCTTGACCGCAGCCACCGCCAAAATGAACAACAGCCTCGGCAGCACCGAAAACCATAATTTGTCAATCAGCCACCCTTCTTACCACTCATTTCCAGGAGGCACGGAGTAGTATGATGATACTGTCATGCGAGGGAGAGATGGTCGTTTGCCCTGCCACTACAATTGTATCCTTTCATCGCTCTTCTTCTTCTCGGTCGGTGGGCAGCGATTGACGCACCCCGTCGGAGAAAGTTGGAGGCTGAAACTGTGGCCCTGTGGGTGATCGGCGCAGGAGATCGCTGGTGACCCCCCAACCCTCAATCTGATCTGCAGAACGGCCGGGCCATCAATGCCACCCTACAGCTGTTTGGGTGCTAGCACCGCTTCGACCGCTTCAGCCTCCTGTTACGCATCATACCCCTCTCTGAGAGGATGATATAACCCTGCAAACGCGTAGTGCTGCGTGTGCATCAAGTACCTAGAGACGTTGAAGGCCAACCTGCTACGAGGATCGAATAGTGACGATCGCCTTGGGGGATTATGGAAAAAGGACAATCTTCAATCTCCAACAAGAATTGTGTGTGGATCATCACCATTCAAAACTCGGTCCTACACTAGCAAAATCCGCGCTGGAATGAGGAAATGACCCTGAGACAGTGGCTTGCTCCCGCAAACTGTCTCATCCTGATGCCTGGGCTGGGTTGGAGTGTGACGCCTGGAGCCAAGTCCGCTTGACACATTCTTTATTACGACAGGGACAGAGAAAGACTGGAGTCACCCGTCTCTCTGTTGTTCAATACAAGTAAGAGACTTGAATCTACTTGTGCAACTGGATGGATACCTGTGCTCAGAGCCCTTTTGGTTTCTCGGTCTCCGCAAAATGGAGTCTTTCATATCGCAACAGAGTGGGTTCCTTCAATACATGCTCGGAGAAAATTGCTTCTTCTCAATAAAGCTGTACGCAGATCTCTCCTCGTTTCGAGATCCAAATCCTTCTGTCCCCAGATTTCTTCTTCTCGGAAATCTTAAATTGATAGACCCCCAGCTGAAACCAAATCGGCTGATCTCAATCAAAGTGAAAAGTCTTTGGCACTGCCGGTCGATCTGCAGCAACGAGCAAGTTGGGTTTCTTGAAGGTCGTGTATTCCAAACAGTTTCAAGACACAGTCAAGAGTATAATTGATGACCAGTCCTGATCCTCCTTCCCGCAAAGGCTCGGGCTGGCGTATTGCCAAAGCAATTATGAGATTTGATGGCGATGCCTTTAGATATAGCACCCCATCACTTTCACCAATCAACAACTACGTCATCACCATGAATCGCAAGCAGGGACAGTTGTCTCGATCTTATCTCTTTTACAAGCGCTTTGATTGTACGAGCTGGTGCCTATGTAGCATCCATCTACACCGTAAAACTCCCTCGCCTCCATCCATCCATCCATCCATCATCGTCTTTCTAACCTCTTGCTTCCGGGCGAGGAAAAAGCTCTCAAAACAAGTACACACAAAGAACATTAATAGTAGAATGCCTCCATCCGAGTGAAAATGAAAAAAAAAAAAAAAAAAAAGACAAAGAAGAAACGCCGGTGAGCTTTTGAGATAGGCCTTCCCTTTCCCTCATCGCCCCTCTTCGAGACCAGGCTGGGGAGTAAAACCCAAAAGGCAGCCCGTCCGCCCGTTGTAATGTTCGATATCCATACACACACATGCATGGCAAGGTGACCATAGCCATCATGTTCCAACCCCCTCCCCAATTTCCAGCCCATATCCGTCGTCGCCCTCCATGGCATGCATAGCTGGCTGGCACACACCCTCACAGGTTAGCTTTACTCTTCTTCACTTTACGTCCCGTCCACGGCACGAGGGGGACGACGTCTCGCTTGATAGTCTTGAACACCAGCTTGTCAAGCCGGTGCGGGCTGAGAGCAGGACCAGGCATCCAGATAACTTTCTTCGTGTCCGCATCCTTGAACCCCGGGCGGCGGTCGGCGGGCGACCGCGGCGCCCTCCTCCCCTCCTCCATCCCCATCCCATCGGGCCGAGCCTTCCGCTTCTAGTGGTAGAACGCCGACTTCTGGAAGCTCTCGGGCGTGACATCGCCGACCTTGCCCGCGGGCATCGGCGGCGGCGGCGGCGGCGCAGCAACAACAGAGCTCGAGGTGAGAGAATCGGCGCGGGTGGTGGCGCCGTCCTCGCTCGCCGCCGTCGACGACGCAGCAGCAGCAGCCTTGATCGCGGCCACGGGCTGGCCCGGCCGCTGCGGCGGGCCCAGGAACGAGCCGGGCAGGTACCCCTGGCGGCCGTCGCGCGTGCGGCACCGCCACCACTCGGACGGGTTGCCGAGCGGGTCGGCCTTGCTCAGCACGGCGACGAAGTCGCCCTTGCGCACGGCGAGGTCGACGCCCGGCACCGCGGCGGCGCCCTGCTCGGGCGTGAAGTCGTACACGACGCGGCAGAACTCGAGCTTGGCCGGGTCGACCACGGCCTGCTGCTGCTGCTGCTGCTGCAGGGCCATGCGGCGGCGCTCCTCCTCCTCGTGCGAGGCGGCGAGCGTCTTGATGACCTTGCTCATCAGGTAGGGCAGGCCGAAGGCCGCGAGGACGAAGAAGAAGAGGGGTTTGCGGCTGGGCTTGGGGGGCTGGTGGGCGCCGTCGGGGGAGGGCAGCTGCCGGCCCTCGAAGCGCGCAAAGGCGGCGGGCGTCAGCGCGGTGGCGTCGACCGGGGGCGGGCGGCCGGTGAGCTTGGCGATGAGGGTCCTGATCCAGCGCATCAGGGTGAAGATGCCCAGCACGGAGCCGAGCGTGTCGCGCAGGTTGCCGAACTGCTCTGCTACTGAGACCATAGCTATGTCGGTTTGTCAGTATACTCTGCACCGGAGCATCCCACGTACGGGGAGCCAAAGTGAGCGCCGGACTTACCAAAGAAGCTCGAGTGTGTCGCCATGTACGTGCTCTCCAGCATTTGCGCGAACCCTCCAAAGGCACCTACGATACCCTCTAGCATCTGGAAGGTCGCCTGCGTGCTCGTGTTGAACCGCTGTGTGAGGCTGTTGGGGTCGTTGGGGTCGCCCATGCCCGGCATGCCTCCGTACATGCCTCCGCCGTACATGCCGCCGCCGTAACCTCCGTACATACCTCCGCCGTAGCCGCCGTAGCCGCCGTATCTAGAGTACGGTGATGAGTAGGGCGAGGAGTACGCTGAGCCGTAGGATCCATAGGGGGAAGCACCCAGAGGCCTACTGTACTGGGCTGCGTTTTGGTTGACGGCTGACGTCAGGGAGGCTGGTATCGCGGGGATGGCGGGCGCGATGGCGGTAGATGATGCGGCGGTTGAGGGAATGGCAGGTGAGGTAGTAGATGAAGTGGTAGTAGCGGAAGAGGGGGCTGCTGCTGCTGTTGCCGTGCAATTCGGTCAGTATGATCACGGTATGTGGTGGTATCGGGGCTCGATCGGAGGGATCAACAGAAACATACCAGTTGTGGAGGGCGCGGCGCCCTGCCTCTCCCAGGGCTTCGGCGGGGAGGCCATCGCGGCTAGAAGGCTACGTGTCGCCGCCTAGATACTCGGTGATATCGAGATTGAATTTGTGTGTCTTGAGAGACGGCCTCGATGGCCCGTCTGAAAAGGAGACCGCGAGGTGGCGATGACCAAGCGGGAGACGGGCGAGGCGAGCGGGAATTGGCGCTCGGGAGGCTGGCGCGAGCCGTGGCCGTGTGTCGATCAAAACAATGCAGTCGAAAACCTCTGCTGCAGGCCGAGAAAATAAGAGCCACGAGTCAATGAAAGAAGAATGATTGAAACGTAGAGAGCGGGCGGCACCGAGGCAGCTCTCGTGTGTCGACGGGGGTGCTGCGGAGGAGACGACGTCGGATTTGATCTGGGGGCGGGCAGAGCAGCAGAGTGGAGGGAGAGGGAGGCTGCTAGAAGGCGAAAAAGCTAGACTCGAGGGTTGTAGCGCCGGTGCCTCGCTCTGCTCTGCGTGTGGAAGAGTCAGCCGGGGGGGCGGGCTTGTGAACCTCGGCTTCCACCGCCGCCCACGGGGTATTTTTGCCGACTCCACTCTTTGTACTCTGGCTCTCTAGCCGGCATTATCTTAACAGATCCGCATACAGTCTTCCATACAAATATGTTAAAGCTGCTCAATCTCACCTCGGCCGCCGTCTTGCCTCCCAAGACACCCTGTTTGAGTAACATACCGATGTCAAATTATCATTTCCCTTTTCGAGCATGATAGGGCGAGTTATTCTTCTCCCCATCTGCTTCACAAAGTGCAACGGGGAAAGCAAAGGATGCAAGCAACGATGCAAGCAATAAATTGATAACTACCTACCTAGGTACCTAGAGTCAAAGTATACCAACATACACTAACCGAGCAGCAAGCATCATTTATTCTCGTATTATTTCCTTTCCTTTCCTTCATTGACAACATCAGTTCACTTCAGGCCCTTAAAGGCGGGCGCGCTCTTCGCAAACTCCTCCCAGGTCGTCAGCTCGTCCTGCAGCAGCGCGTGGCTCTCGTCGAGGCTCGCGCCGGCGTAGTACCCGGGGCTCTCCATGAGCTGCATGTTCTGCAGCAGGTCCTCGGCCGCGAACGCCGGCAGGCCCGCGCCCCCGCGGACCAGCCCCTCGACGAACACCCCGTCCGGCACCGTCGCGAAGACGGCGTCCCGGCCGGCCTCGGGGAACGCCCGCGCGAACCCGGCCAGCAGGTCCTGCGGCGACATGTACCCCGTCGCCGCGTAGACCTGCCTGCCCGCGCCGAGCTCCCGGACCCCGGCCAGCACGATGGCCTTGACCCACTTGCCCGCGTCGGCGGGCGTGAAGACGGGCAGGCGCACGGCGTCGGTGGTCGGCAGGGCCAGCGTCCAGGGCGCGCCGGGCGAGGAGGGCCTGCGCAGCGTGCCGCCCGCGATCCCGCTCATGAAGATGCCCGGCATGAAGAAGGTCGCCGGCAGGCCGATCTCGCGGATGTACTCCTCGACCCGGGCCTTGCTGTCAAAGTGCTGCACCTTGGTCAGGCGGCCCTTGCTGGCCTTGGTCACGTTGATGAGGGAGCTCCAGATGAAGTGCTTCACGCCGGCGGCCTTTGTTGTGTGGTGCATGCATCGGTTAGTCGTCGTCTGTGCTAGCCGGAAGCAGGCCAGGGCGTGGTGAAGGAGACGCTACACTCACCTTGGCGGCGTCAGCCATGTTCTTGCCCTGCTGCGTCTCGAGCTCCCCGTCCATCTTCTCCCAGTAGTTGGTCACGGCAAACACAGCCGTGGCGCCGCTCATGGCCTTCTCCAGAGAAGCCTTGTCATTGGAGTCGCCCTGCACGCCCGACCTGGTTAGTATTGCTTGATATACTTGGGCACGATTGTTGGAAAAAGACCTACAGTGACGACCTCAGCACCCTGGCTGATCAGCTTCTTGGCCGACTCGCCGTTGGCATTGCGCGAGACGCCCCGGACGGTCCAGTCGTTCTTGAGCTTGGGGTCGTTGAGGAATATCTGGGCGACCGAGCCGCCCTGTTGGCCGGTGGCGCCGAACACGGTGATGATCTTCTTGGAGGACATGTTGGTCAAAGCTCGGAGCATGTAGAAACCAGCAAGTTTGTGATATGGGACTATGAGGTGCAACAGCAGGTCAAGACCTTTATTGTCAACAGAGAAGCTGAGAGGTAGGTGCGTTTATGATAGAGCTATGCTTTGCACTAGGCGTTAAGGTTGCGAATAGTTGCTACTGGTGGATGGATGGATGGATGGATGGATGGCAGATAGCAAGCTGAGAGTCGTAGTTGGTGATGGTGATGATGGCGATGAGCCAGATCAAAGCTCCAGCATTCAACGTTCCAAGGCTCGACTTTTATACAATTGATATTGAACCTGTATCTCTATAGAACCCCAACGATGACAATTTCTAATAGCCCTTTCATCCGGCAAGATAAGTGCATTTCAAACTCTCCCATCACCTCTGTCTCGCGTCAATCAAGCGCGACTTACACGGGTACCTCATCTAGCCAGCCACTAGGCTTCTCTTGGACCGAGATGGAACGAATGGACAGCTGGGGGAGCCCACGCACGCATTCTGGCGGGCTGTAATTGGATCACGTAAGGTTGGCTGGCCAAGGAAGAGGTAGGTAGGTACCTTTGTTTCTAGCTGATGATCTTAGACTTGGTGTGGGTGAGAACAAGGTAACTATTGCCCACGTCATTACAAAGCATCGGCTCAGCCTTAGCTCGCGCTTTCGAAGAGCGCGAACGCCACAAAAATCAAATCAAGTAAGCACACTAACAACAGTCAGGAATTACTCAAGCGTGTCAAGGTCGAAAGAAGGGGAACTTCATGCATCGTGATCCAGGAATGGAAGCTTTTGGCTTTCAACGGCTTCTTGATTATGTCTTCCGCTCAGGCCTGTACAGCCAGGCAGTATATTCTAGCAGTATCGTATCATCATTGTCAAGATATTACAAAACAAAATATGCTTCGGAGAATCACACGCATCCCCATCTTCACGAGGCAGCAATGCCCGTATTCTAAGCCGATGCCTTGGCCTTCTTGGCCCTTCCTCTACCCGCACCAGCACCATCGTCAACACCCGCTTCGTGGTCACCTCCGTCGTCGTCATCGCCAGCTTCCTCCTCATCAGTAACGACGACGGCGTTTCTCGCCTTGCGCTTCCGCCCCTGCTGTGACGAGGTCTTCTTCCTGCCGCTCCCATCCGCCGCCGCGGCAGCAGCAGCATCGCCAGCGCCAGCGCCGCTCTTAGCAGTCCGCAGCTTACTCACAGCCTCGGCCATCCGCCTGCTGCCCCCCCTCGTAGAAGTAGAAGAAGACGAAGCCTTGCTGCCCTTGCCAGCCCCTCCTCCTGCACCGGCCCTCTGCCTCGGCGCAAACACCTCCTTGGCCGCGCCCGTCCCCGCGCTGCCGCCGTAGAACCGCGTGATGTTGCTCTGCGTGCCCTCCGCCTCGCGGCGGTTCATGTCCTTGATGACGGGCACCAGCACCTCGTCTGTGCGCTCCTGGCTCCACCCGATCGTCGCCATGAGGAACGTCCGCAGCGCGTCGAGGTCCGGCACGCCCCACTGGAACGGCTCCGGGTCCTTGTCCACCTCCGGGCGCAGGTAGGCCTCCGCCACCGCCGGGTTCGGGAACCCGGGCGGCAGGAACAGCTTGGCCGCCTGGGACTTGCGGAACTTGCGGCGGAAGGCGGACGACTGCTTCGTCGCCGCGGCGTCCGGCGCCCCCTTCTTAGGCAGGGGCTGCTTCTGCACCTCCTGCCACCAGTCCCTGAACTCGGCGAGGCCGTCGGCGCCCGGGAACTCGGACAGGATCTCCACGGCCGTGACGGGGCCCACGCCGTGCAGGCCCTCCGTGTAGTCGGACCCGAGCAGCTGCGCGATGGCGATGAGCTGCTCGCGCGACAGCGACAGCTCCTTCTCCAGGTCGCTGCTGAGGTACAGCTGCACAAACTTGTTGTCGTTGAACATGTTCTTGTAGACGCGCGTGCCGCCAAAGAGGAAGATGTCCGAGTCGTCGGTGACGATGCCATCGACGAGCCCCAGGTGCACCAGCTCCGCGCACTGCGCCTCGGCCTCCATCGGCGCCGTGATGTACGGGATCCCAAACAGGCGCAGGAGCGTCTGGCACTCCGTGACCATGATCTGCGTGACCTCGTCTGCGTCCCGCCTGTCCTTCTTCTGCTGGGTCCGCAGGGCGCGCAGCTCCCTCTCGTAGGCCTCTTGGTTCTCTTCTGTAGACTTGTGATTCAGTGTGCTGGCGAAGCGAGCATGTTCCTCCGCCTCTTCTGCCATTTGGACGAGAAGTTCCTCCTCTTCGGGATCGCTGAACTCATCGTCGTCGCCGTCCGCAAAGAGGGCCATGTCTGCATCGTCAACCGGCTCTGCAAGGCCTTCTACGCGATCTTGCTGAGCCGGCGGTGGTATGACAGTGTCCTCGAGCGTGACAGGGGCTGTCTCTTCTGCCGTTGTCTCAGGTTCTACCTGTTCAACAGCCTCAGACGGTGGCGCTTCATGACCTGCTTGCTCAGCGATATCCACATCTTCAAATTCAACATCCTCGGGAGATGGTGACCGAGCATTGGCCTTTTCACGCTGAGAAGCAGTCAAAGATCCAGGTGCCTCCTCCATAAAATCTCGAGGGCTCTCCACGGTAGCTCTGCCCTCCTCCATAGCAGGGACGGTGGGCGAATTGTGCTCTTCCACCAGCACAGGCTCGCCCGGAGCTTGTTCTTCCATAACCTCTTCAGAAACCCCAGCCGCCGCAGAACCCTCCTTGGGCGTCGGAGGATCCACAATCTCGACATCACTTTCGTCGTCCGAGGACTCGATCTCGACGACCCTGTCTTGCTGGTATTTGCGATACAACCGCTGCTGCTCCAGCGCCTCGGCCCGGTCCTCGGCGTCCATCTCCTCGTGCGCCTCCTGCTGCTTCTTGAGCGACTCGCGGATGTCCGTGTTGTCGACCATCCACGGCGGCAGCGGCCTCGGGGCGTCCTGGTCCCCCGCCGCCCTTTCGAACCCGCCGGCGAGCTCTTCATCTTCACCGTCTTCTGATCCGGCCCCGGTCTCCGCAGCGTCCTTGCCAGCCGCCACCCCTGCTTGAGCGCTCGGCTTCGCCCCACCGGGCTTCCTCTCAAAGATGGACGTCCGCCAGTCGAGCTTCTCAAACGGCAGCGGGCCGTCGAAAGGATTCTTGACATTGGGCCGCACAGGCGCAGGCTGCACAGTCTTGGCGGCTGCGGGCGCGGCCGCCTTCTTCTTCCTCGCGGCAGCGAGCGCGGCGCCGAGATCGACATCGCTGTCGCTGTCGCTGCCGGGGCTCTTGCTCTCACGTCTCTTGGGCACTGCGGCGTTCGCACGGCTATTGACGATATTGGCGACCGTGCGGCCGCGAGTGCCAGTGATCGGCCTCGCCTCAGCCACCGCTTTCTGCTCCCACTGAGGCGCCGGGACGTCCTCAAATTCTTCCTCTGCGGATTCGTCCTCAGCACCGCCGACGCCATGCTGGTTCTGCAAAGAAAGGGCAATGGCACGCTCCAGGCCCTCATCCTCATCTGCCTCCAACGTATTTTCCACAGGCTCCTCAAAAAGGTCATCCACGGCGGGCTGGTCCACAAACATGGAGTCCGGATTGGCTCCAGCATCCGCATCGCCCTGGCGATACGCCACCTCCTTAGCATGCAGCTTTGGCAGCCGGTTCAGACCCTCGATAGGCACGTCCTCGAAGTCATCCTCATCCTCCCAGTCCTCGTCCTCCTCCTTGGTCTGATACTGAAATTGCAAAGCATCGACGTCAATCGGCTTGTGTATCTCGCCCCGGTCTTTCTCCTTGCTGACCACGCCCAGCGCCCAGCCGCCCTCGGCGCCCTCGTTCTTGACAAGGATATACTCGCGGTCCTTCTCGCCCGCGACCCGCGCGTTGACGCCGATGGTCAGGTCCGTGCCCGTCATGCCCGCCTCGTACATGAGCCGCTGCGTCAGGTGGTTCCTCTCCCTGACCCGCTCGATCTGGAAGCGCGAGAAGGCCATGCGGTCGGGGAACATGTCCTCGAGCTGCTCCTTGCTCAGGCCCATGCGGAGGCGGCTCCGGATGCGCGCCGCGTTGAGGATGTTGTACCGGTCGGCGGCGGGCAGGCTCTTGAAGAACTCGCCGTCAAAGTCGATCTTGCTAAAGTCGTACAGGTTGACGTCCTCGCCGTCGTGGAACTGGCGCGCGTACGCCTCGAGCTCGTCGATGCTCATGATGCGCGGGTCGTCGGGCCGGCCCATGGCCTCGATGCCGTTGGCCATCTCGGGCAGGTGGTACGCGTCCTGCCGGTGGAACCTGCGGCTCTTCTGCCGCTCCTGCTGCGACATGTGCGCCTCGTCGGCGTACACGATGTTGTCCATGCTCGGCAGCGCCTCGCCCGCCGCCACGCCGTCCGCCGCCTCCGCCTCCGCCCTCTCCCTCGCCCTCTCCCTGCGCCGCTTGTCCTCGTCCTCCTCGGCGATGCGCTTCATCTGCACCGCCAGCAGCTTGCCCGCCGTGCGCACGGCGTCCTCGCGGCGGCCCTCGCGCCTGCGGCGGCGGCCCTGCAGCGTCGCGCGCTTCAGGGACGGGGCGCCGCCGTCGAAGACGAAGACGGGCAGGATGCCGTACCAGAGCAGCTTGCATATGCGGCGGAAGAAGCCGACGACGTGCGAGTTGCGCAGGGCGTTGCCCTCCTTGTCGCGCACGGCCTTGAGGAACTGGTAGATCCAGATGGATGCGTCGACGGCGAGGCGCTTGCGGTTGAGGGTCGCGAGGTTGGTCGGGCGGGCGCAGGGCTGCAGGACGGTCCAGAGGCCGTTGACTCCCATTGCGGCGGCGGCGGCGGCGACTGGTCAGAGAAAGGGTCGTGTGTTGGATGGGGGGAGGAGGATATCAAGTGGACGGAACAGCCGTCGCTTCACGAAGGGCGTGTTCTCATTTGCGTAGGTTCGTCGGTGACGGGGATCAGCAGTGTTTCCATGCGTGATCCGTCCCCTGATTGCTATCGAAACGTACAAAAAGCTTGTACAGAGCCGCAGAGCCGCCTAGATGAACTTTTCGGCATCGCCTCCAGGCATCCAGGCGCGCGATGACCCAGCACGCTGCCCCTCCCGGAAGTGACGCCAAGTCAGGTGAGCAGTGGGACGTTCTAACCCTAACCCTTAATTTACTTTTGGAAGATCTACGCCGAGCCCGCATCCACAACATGAGCCATTGCAAGGAATGCAACTGACGTCATGACCCTGGGCCACCGTCTCTGGATTAGAGTTCGTCCCGCAGGGGCCCGTCCAAGACACATTTCAGCTGCTCCTGTGTCGACATCATGTCATGAGCGCAGGTACGGAGTACTAGGAGCTTCCATGTGACAGACGGGACGGTGGACAGCCGGGGGTATCCTTGAGGACATCTAGGTAAAGTACTTGTAGACACCTATCAATACTCATAATGAGGAAGGGATCCAGCCGCCAATCTCTGCAAGTAGTAATAGGAAAGCAAATGTCGAGATGACCTATTGCAAGTGCAAGTTACAGTAAGTGCAGCATCCTCCTCTCGCCAAGCAAGCCCGAGCCCCAGTCTCCCAGTGCCCTGGCAGTGATCTCCCCAAGGGTCCTTTTGGCAGCTCAGGGCACCTGCAGACTCTTATCACATTCAAACCCCACTCAATACAGGAACCAACAAGCTGTCCAACCCCACAACACCAAAAACCCTCCCCATCTTGAATCATTCTCACATGAGCCGTAAAAGATACCACCAGTGTTGAAAGTCAACCAACCCCCAGAGACCGGCTTCCCAAAAAAGGGACCAGCACAGCAATGGACCGCTCGGAGGCCCCGGTCGTCGAGCCCGGCGACACGGCCAAGGCCGCCGCCTGCTCCTTCCTCGAGTCGCTCATCAACAAGAACATCCGCATCCACACCACCGACACGCGCATGTTCCGAGGCGAGTTCAAGTGCACCGATCCCGTGCGTCGCACCCCCTTCCTTACCACACTTGGGGGGGGCTCCGCGCGTACTCACTCAAGCGTGGAGCTGTGTGACGACGATGATGGAAACTGACTTGGGGAGTTATCCTTCAGGACCGGAACGTCGTGCTGTCGCACACGTACGAGTATAGACAACCGTCAGACGCGCAGCTGGCCGCGCAGGCCGCGTCTGCTTCGGCGGCAGGAAGCTCGGACAAGGTGGCCGTAGACATGACGTCCCGCTATCTGGGGCTCGTCGTTGTCCCGGGGCAGTACATCGTCAAGATGGAGCTTGAGGAATTTGCAAGCCAGGCCAAGAAGCAGTTGGCTTGATGATGCAGCGGTTATCCGCGCGAAGACGGGGAGGGTTTTCTGCTTGATGGATGATTTTTATGATACCCATGTAACTGCACGATACATTCCATTCATTCACTTTGCTAGTACCAATTGTAGTTAAAATAAGACGAAAGGATGAAAGGATGAGGATATAAAAAGTTCAATGCTCTACTAGATATACTCTGGCTCATTCCCGTTTCCCAATCCCGCGCACGCAAGACGGCGAAAAGCGAGGTAAGGCTAATGGTACAAGATACTAAAATTGAAAAAACTGCAGCAAACGCGGTAGCAACACCAAGACCAGTTTGTCCGTCTCCAAAACCCAGCCCATATCCTAATTATTTCTCTTGGCCTCCCAGACTATTTCAAATTACCTCAGGCCGACTCCCGTCTCCTCACTGCATTGCAACCTTGGCTCATGCGGCAAGAGTCTCGTGCTGGCGTCCGCGGGTCTCCCCATTCAGGCCCCGCTCGCTACCGAGCTCCTCCTCCTCCTCCTCTTCCTCCTCCTCGTCGTCATACTCCTCACCCTTGTGCTCGCCAGCAGCAACCCAAGAGTCACGGTCGTTCAGGGGGGCATCCTGACCAGACAGGTCGTGTCCCTCGCTGCGAGCCTTGATGTTGTTCCTCCGGCGGGTAGACAGGGTGCGGGCACGAGTGGAGAGCTTGGAGGAGACGGCGGCGTTCTGGGAGACCCAGTTCGTCAGAGCATCCTCGCAGTCCTGGATGATGGCCTTGCTGGCCTCGTAGCCGTCGTAAGCAGCGCGGGTCTCACCAGGAGTGACAGGGGTGTCGTCAATCAGCTCGAGGAGGTGCTTGCCGTAGCCGGCAATGATGGCGACCTTCTCGCAGTGCTCGCGCAGGGCGTCGAACTGGTAGGTGTAGGCAGCCTTGATCTTCTCGCGAGTGATGTTGGAGAGCTGGGCCTCGGCGACGAGCGACTCGGCCTCGGCACGGACCAGCTCCTGCTCGAGCACAACAATCTTGGGAGAGTTGGGCTCCTTGTACTTGAGCTGGGCGATCTGGTCGGTGATCTTTTGCTTCCCTGCTTGGGTGTTAGTGAGCTACCAGACGAGTCGGGTGTTGTGCGCACATACTGTCTCTGCTAGGCTGGACAGATGCCTCGATATTCCTAATGCTCTTGATGGTGATGCGGTACTGGTCGTATCTGTCGACGTATTGATCCTCAAGCTCGCCAATCTCGTACAGGAGGACGCCGAGCTTGTCCGTGACGTCAGAGACATCTTCGTCGCAAGCCTCGCCCCAGATAGACAGTTGTTGCTAGCACTCGACATTAGCTGCTGGAAAACGAAGACAAGGGCTGGCAAGTGGTGGCTTACAGCAACTTCCATGCGCTCCTTTGCGACGGTCTCCAAGCTGCGCATCACGTTCTTCTCCATCTTGACAAGCTGGGCGAGCTTCTTGGCTAGGTCGGGGCCGAAGGCGCCGGCAGCGTTGCGGCGGAGGGCATGGCCTGATGTGGCTCGTCAGCTGCTGTTCTCCAATAGCTCCCGATAGCTTCGCCTCATCTCCGCGCAAGACGTGTATACAAGAAAAAGTTCTGGGAACTTACCGAAGCCGCCGCGTCCGAAGAGACGGCCTGACTTGGTGCTGGATGGCGGAGGTGGGGGGTTCTGCGAGGCCGCATACGTCAGTCAATTGAACAACCACCTGATGCTGGCACGATACGAATGACGAACTCACCTGGATCTGCGAAGCAGTAGGCGCCCTCGAGGCGCGCATAGAGTATGTGCGATGCATTGCGGCGGTGTTGCGGTGGTGATGCGGCCGGCTGTGGTGCTGCGAGCGAGCGAGTCAAGAAAGCTGTCGGATCAGGCAGCGATAAATCTAGAGAGGCTTTCTGCAGAGCGGAAAGAATGGAAATCCCGGTTGAAAGGTGTTCAGGGTCTTTGCAGGGGGTGTATTGCGCGGCGGGTATCAAGGACGGGCAGCAATCAAATAAGAGGGATGAATTGAAGCGGAAGAGTCGGGGGAGTGTGGGCAGGGAGGGAAGATGCGCTTTATGACGGATGCATGTTGTTTTAACTCTGACGACGATCCAGCAACGACAAGCACCAGCGCCAGCACCACCAGCACGAATGAACGAATGGGGCCCGGCCGTCAGCGGGTGGTGGGCGTCGACGTCATGCCCCTGTGATTGCGACAGTAACACAGCCCAGCCCGCTTTCAGGACTAGCCTAGCAGATACTTTAGTTTGGGGAGCACAGGCCAGCTGGGCTCCAAGACGACAAGACTCATGTGTCTCTGGGCGCCCATTTTCTTGGGCGATCGGCGCATTTCCCACAAAGTTAGGTACTGCTAGTGCCCCCGCCCACTTCGTTCGCCCCGGGCCCTCCATCTGGGAAAAACCAGCTCAGCAGCCGGGCGAGCTACAAGTCCAGCTCCGTCGTGCAGCTCTCCCGAGTCCCGTCACGGGCGCTTGCCATCAAGTCATTAGGTCATCAACTCCTTAGCTTCGATGAACAGTTCCCTCTGGGCAGCTTGTAGCCTCGGAGAGCCATCTGCCGGATTGGACGAGAAGAGCAAGGCTGAGAACAAGAATGGCACAGACTAAAGATTGACTTCTGTGCTGTTATTGAGTCAGGCAAACGACCAACAAAGGTCTTTCCTCGCTAAAGAGAATGAATGATCTTGTCCCTTTCCTTCATCTCTCTGTGTAGCCAAGATGTGTGAGTCTTTCTCTAATACCTTCAAAGGGGATGCTCGGGGTTTGGCACATACTCTTGAGATGCCATTGACGGGAGTATAGGCTGGTGCCTTTGACTATGTTCTGTTATGAGAAGCGCCCAACATCCTCAATTGTCAAATATAAAAGCTTTATCTATCAGTAGCTTTTCTAGTTTTGACAGTCCAAGACAGCTGGCCAAACAGTTCTGGCCCAATATAGCCAGCCTGCGAATAGTCAATCCCTCAATTACTGAATCATCCATCTGTTCATCAAGGTGTCAATCAAAGACATTTCAATATTGTCCATTCATTGGAGGGTGCATTCTTACCAAGGAGAATCTCCTACGGTACAAGGAGGTGACAATTCACACTATTCCCAAATTGGCGACTACACCTGAGGGTGGTCGTGCCCTTTCTGGCCAGGGTGGACTATCAAAGCCGACCTAGCCAGTGCAGGTGGTGGACCCCCAGCAAATTGCCGGACCGCACGCGTCGCTTGGTACAGATCCATACACTTTCATCCCAAGGCACGCGTCACATCGACACCCTGAGTCCAGAAACAAGCCTTCACTCCTTGATTCGGCGCGGCCCTGTTGCAGATGACCAAAGATTGCAATTAGTGCTTGGTTCACCGCAACACACGGTCTATCGCTGTTGATAGTGCATCGCGACACGCCTGCCTGCTCGTTGTCCCATCGAGTGTGCTTCCTCTCGCAAGTCTCACCTCACGGCGACGATGCGTGGCTGGCACATCTCATGAGAGCCTCAAGTAGCGCCTCGGCAAGCCAACAGCCTCATCTGCATCCCCTACGCGATGCCTCTGCTAGCCAGAGTCGATGATGTCGTCGACTTGACTCTGAGCACCGACTCAGACCGTGATAGTATCACGGCCATCCATGCGCGCACCGATGGTGCTCCTCAGGCGCACCCGCCATCTGCGTCCCTGTCGCCTCGAGGACTGCGCTCTCTGAAAAACAGCCCCGCGCATTCTCGGAGGACGGCTAGTCCCCAGTCTGCAAAGAAGCGCATTTCCAACGGGTCCGGACCGGCTACGACCGACTCGAGCATCACGTACACCGAGGAGACGCCTACCAAATCGGGTGGTGCCTCTACCTTCTCATTCTCTAGAGAAGGCAGCAATGTCGCCTCCGCGTCGCGGCCCCCTGAGAGCGCCACCCATTCGTCCCCAGTGTTTACTACCCCGCCTCAGTCGCACACCACTCGGGCTCAGCAGACGCCCAAGAACCAGACGCCTAGGAAGGCCGAGTGGACCACTGCTAAGATCGAGAGCTCGCTGCGCACCTTCTCGGCAGAGCTGGGCAGAGATCATGCGAAACTGCTTCGGTATACCCTAGAGTCGACATTCAAGCAGAAGCCAGCAGGCCGTAAGCACCTCAGCTCCAAGGATGATCTTGCAGGCCTGAAACCCGAACCTGCCAACGAGGCCACTCCACGTGACAAGATCATGAGAATCAAGCCCAAGGTAAGCAAACATAATTCCGATATAGTGATGGCCGATACCGTCTGTAGTAGTGACGGGCGGCTGCCCTATGACGATGAGACAAAGACTTATACGCTTTCCAGCAACACGGGAAAGAGTACCACAGGAGTAAAGGGGATCAAAAGGAGATTCTGTTTCCCGTGGTGTGTATCAAGTCGAATAAGAATCGCGTTCCCAAGTATCGCTTTCACCATGTGGAAATATCGAGGAACATACTCTCGCCCAACACACCTCTCAAATTCATCCCCCACCTGCGGGATCTTGACAACGACAACTCGGAGGTTCAAAAGTTCAACCAGTGGATCGAGGAGCTTGAGAGCATGGACCAGAAATCTGGCTTTAACACCGCCAGTCGTAACACCAAGTTTGCGCGCACTCGAGTGCTCGAACGCGCTATGACTCTGTCTCTCTACCTCGAACGTTGGATCAAACGACTCGGCATTGACAACTGTAGCAAATCGACTCTGATACGGCATATGGCCAGTACGTCTGAGAGTGACGATGCCATTACGCCGCAGCAGAAGAACCACCTGCTCAATTCGTACAACGAGGATGTTGGATCCCCTCGCGCCGTTAAAATTGCGCGAATGTTTACAGAAGCCTTTAACAAGGTCTTCTCGAAGAAGAACGTCAGCCTAGACGACGTCTTGATGCTCGACGAGTCAGTCGAGACTCTTGTCGACACCAAGAAGATGACCAAGGAGGGCTTCAGCAGCCAGAAACTGGGTGATGAGCAGCACATCGAGCTGCTGGAGCGTTGGCTCGGCTCCTACACTGTTCTGGGCTGTATGATCTGCTATGCCCACTCCTGTGAGCACGGTGAATTTGACGCCGACAACATCCGCCGTTGCTTCTCTATCGACATGAACGTCAACATGAAACTGGGACAACTCATTAAACGGCGCCGCATCGCTGCTGCTCAAGAGAAGATGAACGGTACTCCCTCCAAGGCTATGACTCAGCCTTGTAAGAACAAGTGCTACCGAAACTACGATATCGGCAACGAGGGCTATGTGACGCGAGACTGGACCGAAGAAGAGACGAATCTCCTCCGCGCCATCTTCTTTGTGCTATGCGATAACAACGATGTCCGTCCGCAGTGCACTACTGCCGTTCTCCTAGGGCGTTACTGCTGGGAAGTCTACAGGAAACTGAAGCAGATGGACCTGACACTGCCAGAGGTGCAGGTCCCAGACGAGTCGACCGTCAAGGCGCCTCGGCCGATCCCCTGGTACGATCGTCACCGAAAGGTCCTACAGGGTGATTGGCAGGAGCATACCAACACCCACGAGCATGCTGTTCGCGAAATGCGCGATCCCTGCTTCCACGATGGACCCTGCACAGTCGCGAACGGGTGTCAATGCGTGGCAGCCAAGGTTATGTGTGAACGCTTCTGTCGGTGCACCGCTGAGACATGCTCGCACAAGTTTACGGGGTGCGCTTGTCACTCTAGTGGCAAGACGTGCTTTGCCAAACAAAAGGAAGGCAAACCTTGCATCTGCGTCCAGCTGAATCGCGAGTGCGATCCGGTGCTCTGCAAGGGCTGTGGTGCGCGTGATCGTGCAGATCCGCAGAACGCTCGCGACGAAGTACTCCATTCAACTGGATGCCAAAACGTCGCTCTACAGCGCGGCCTCTCCAAGACCGTCTTGATCGGCAAGTCGCAGCTTGAGGCTTGCGGATACGGCTTGTTCACGGCCGAGGACATAGCTGCGGATGAGTTCGTCATCGAGTACGTAGGAGAGCTGATCACACACGACGAGGGTGTGCGGCGGGAGGCACGCCGTGGTGATGTGTTCGACGAAGAGTCGAACAGTTCTTACCTCTTCACGCTCTTGGAGCAAGACGGCATCTGGGTCGACGCCGCGATGTACGGAAACCTGAGCCGCTACATCAATCACGCGGGCGAGCACGACAAGCGCGGCTGCAACATCACGCCCAAGATCCTCTACGTCAACGGCGAGTTCCGCATCCGTTTCACGGCCATACGCGATATCAAGGCCGGCGAAGAGCTCTTCTTCAACTACGGTGAAAACTTCCCCAATCTGACCAAGAAGCTGCTCGAGGACAAGGTCGACGCCGGGGGCGACGAGAGCATGCTCGGCGCCTCCTCGGCCGGCACGGGCCAGCAGGCGAAGAAACGCGGCCGCGGCGGCCGGCAGCCTGCTGGCACCGCTCGCAAGTCCGGCAACACGGGCGGCGGCGGCGGCGGGCGGAAGAAGCAGCAGACCACTGGGTCGGGCGCGCGCAAGGAGGCTCCGCGGTTCAGGGTCATCGAGGAGCTCGACGACGACGACGACACGGACATGTTCCCGGAAGACAACGTGGCCTCCTTTGCGAGGGGCAACTCTCGGCGCGGCCGCAAGCGTAAGAGGCCCGGCCCGAATGATGATGATGACGACGACGACGGCGAGGACGAGTATCGCCCTGGGGCCAAGGGGTCTGAGACCGACTTCGAGTACCGCGCGGGGCGGAACCGTCGCCGCGGCGGTGGTGGTGCCGGCGCCGGCGGCAGGAGGCGCGGGGCCGACGCGCACGTCGAGGCGGGCGAGATCCGCGCCAGCCCGCGCGGTAGTGCCAGCAAGCGGGCTAGGCGGTTCGGCGGCCTGGACGACAGCGCCGTGGGCGAGCCGGATGAGCACCAGGGCGCCGGCGCCGGCGGCCGGGGGGCTCCCGAGACGCCTACGAGGCAGAACCGGCGCGGCGGCGCGGCGGCCGCGGCGAGGCGGAGCGTGGAGGAGGTTGAGGACTCTATGGAGGTGGACACTTCTTCCTTCTACAACGGCAACCGCCGGGGCGTCTCGTACGATGATGGAGATGACGATGGAGATGACGACGATAGCGTCGTCGACAGCGCGAGGCGGAGGAAGAGGCAGAAGCCGGCGAGGTATCGGGTTGAGGATGATTGAAGAGGGAGAGCATGGGGGGTGTGTGATGGCAGTTGTTATTGTTGTTGTTTGCCGATGTGGAGGGTGACTTTGAGGGGGGGAGTAGTTGTAGAATAGCAGTACTGGTGTTACCTTTTTTTTTTATTCCATTAGAGAAGGGAGGTCTTGGTCGAATATGAAATTCTGTACGAGTATTAAATTACCAGGTCCAAAGCGTGCGTGATGTTGATATGCTGGACTATATCGTTTTAGTTCTCTGAGACTACCCTGAGGGGCGGGAAGGACTTGTCCTGACCTGTCGACTACTTGCTCGGGTCGGATTAGTCAAACCAGCTCTTTATGTTTGTTCACCTCGATTGCATTGTTTCGAGTTGTCTATATCTAGTTGTGAATTCTTATCGCCGTGGGAAGGGCTCTAAGAGATATGTGGATGGTTATGCTGAGTATAAAGTTGTCAGTTTGTCATGGCGTCAATGATCAGCCTTGCCATGTTGACCCGGAATTCTAAATGTTCAAGAGAAAGTCTCACACAGTAGCTCTCGTAGGGTCGGCGGTAAACTATAGGATTGACATGCGGTCATTGAGTCTCCTCAACTGTGTCTAGATAACAATGTAACTTGGCTTGTACCTAACAGGTAGACCGAGAACCATCTCACTTGAATAAAACTTAATATTGAATAGATAAGGTTGACCACCAAACTCTGAGCCATTGCTCCAAGAGACACAAAAAGCGTCTTATCACAGTAGTATGAGTTGGACTAGAAGTAAAATGTTCTTGGTTGGTTGCCTTTTCAAGAAGTAAACTGTTTAGTTCGGTTGAGAGCATATAGTGCTTCTGAGCATGGCAAATATGAAGTGACGAGACGCAACAACTATAGGTTCCTCGTCTTAATCAACAACCTGCCTACATATACCGATATCATCATATGAAGCACAGACTTGTAGGCTACTTAGTCATAGGATGGCTTGATTAGTGAAGCAGATGAGATCTCTTGGTCTCAGCTGCAGTTGTGCACCAGACTGTTTCTACCGCTGAAGACTGCAGATGCACCGGTTTATAGTCGATCACTTCCGTCACGATATACAACATAGAGGCCAGTCCTGCTCGCCTCAACCTGCAGCCACGTAAACCATGTACCCCGCAGAGCACTTGAATCTACTAGGGGTCAGCGGTGGCCGCGAAGTTTTCAGCTATGTGTCATAGCCATCCCACAGACAACCTGCCATTCGAGGATGCAGAGAGAGTCCAATGCGTGTGCGGGATGAGTTGCAAACGACAGCAAATACAGACGAGTCTGCCAAAAGAGTCATTGTGCATCCCGGGTCCCTTGGGCATGGTGCTATGGACCCCCACGCGGTTGGCCAATCGGTTGCTGCAGAGTGTCTGAGGGGGAACAGCGACGCGGGAGGACCCATCAGCGGTGCAGCGATACAACGCTGAACAACGCAGCGAATGGGGCTCAAAAGAGGCATTCGCAGGTGTGTTTTACGGTGTAGAAAAAATGGATCTGGGCGTCACCAAAATGCCAGAACATATCACTTCGTTCAAAGAAAGGGTTGGTGGCTAGGACACGGGAGGCGTGGCAAGCTGGTCTTCACACCGCCGTGACGGCAGCTGACCTAAGTGCCTGGTACGTGGGATCTTGAGGACAGACAGAGAAAAAGAAGCAATGCTACCGCGTGGTCATGCTACCTCGAAAAATGCTTTTCAGGCCCCGGTGTCGGGCGTCATCGAGAAGAGCTCGATCCGGGGCAGAAGGTCCTGATTGATCAGAGAACACCAGGGCATAGGCCGACGCTGTGGGATGGCAGATGCTGTGCGACTCGGGGATCCCCCCATGTAAGCAAGCTGCCATGTTTGCTCTGACCCGTGGGGAGACATATGTCGGTGCCGCCAAGGATGCACAAGCAGCTGCCCCGCGCTTTTCTGCCCTGTAGTTACATACCTGTACGGAGTGCTCCCTCCAGTCCTCTTCCTGTCTCGTGTGAGAGTTGGATGCACACACTTCTCGATCCATCTCCTGATGCCTTCACTTCCCGTCCCCGGATGCGAGGATGTGCACCCACATCCAGGAGAGGCAGCCGGTCAGTGGGCGTCAGGGAGGTACCGAGACAAGGGACACGGTCTAGATGCTCTGGATTCTCTGCCTGGCACCACAAAAAAACGGCAAAGAGGGGGAGAAAGAGGAGTATCCAGCATGTCCATTTCATGCCGTTAAAAATGCGGTCGAGGTGTCCCGCAAAGCATGCCCTGGAGGGGATCTGAGGCACGTGCTGCTGGCCTGGCGAATGGCTGTTGCAGTGAGGAGCCCCTAACCGCAGTCCCTAACAGCAGTCTCCTGTGCTGAGTGCTGAGTGCTAGGAATGCTGGATCCCCCGCCGCCCCTAGCACCCTTGCTCCTGTACCACGTGTACTTGTATTCCCTGCCACTCGACAGGGCATTTGCAGGTACCGCCCAGCCCGTGCCAACCTTTGAGCGGGCACATCGCATCGCCCCCCCTCAACTTGTCGCCAATGCATGCAGCTACGCTACGACGTATGAGGGCAGACAAATGTGCAATGTGATGGATGATAAGCTGCATGAGGCCATAGGCAAGGCAGAAGAAAAGACTGCAAAAGGCAGACGGCTTCCAAGGTTGGTGGTTGCTTGCACTGCCCGCGTCCCTGGTCCCGCCCAATCAAGCCATCAATCGCCCAATGACGGGATCCCCATGCCAAGCCCTGACCAGTCAGTAGGTATTTTCCCTGCGCTGCCTCTCGTTCCCTGGTAACGACTCGTCGACTCGCCGAGGAACTCTTCCCATTTGATCTGGGTCACAGCCTTCTCCCGGCCGCTTCGAGGACTCGGTCTTTTCCTCTTTTCTCCTTCACTCACCCACATATGCTTCGTACCTCGTTGAGACACACACACAACAGCCCTGGAGCTTTGTTGATCACACGGACTTGACGTTTTGCCTCTGAAACTCTCAACTACGCCCCGAGTTAGTGTCTGTCTTATCGCGAATGGGCTGCTGCTATCTGCTCCAAGCAGGCCTAACGAGTCCCTAGTCTCGCACAAGCGCGCCACTTTTGTCCCCCTACGCGCAAGGCCAGCCGCTCTTTTGCGGGCGATAGCGACGGTGACGGACGGCGACGTAATTCAAAACCGCCCCTCCGAGAAAAAGAGTCAGATCCTCCTCTGCCACACCTTACACTTCACACCTGCGCCATTCACCATCAACCCCCGTTCATCGTGCAGTCTGCCCCTCGACATACAAGAACCCGGCCCCAAGCGACGGCACAAACGCTATTGGTCTGCTCAATTGAAACGACCAGCAGAGGCGCTGCCAAGCCCTCGAGGGAAGCCCTCGTCTCCCGAACTGTCTTCCATTCCAAGCTGGAATCTGGGGAAAGTTTATCGAACGACGCATTCTCCCTCCCCCCAACCACGGATTTCTACTGCTCGAGCTCTCTGGACTCAATTATCACCATCTCCAAGAGCCTCTTCTCTATCGTCACCGGCGACAGATCAAACCACGCGACGGTTTTGCAACCACATCAGGTCTTATCACGCCCTGCGCGCCGCGAATTTGCCTCAGCTGCGGCAAAGCATCGAATGGGGTTTTGATGACAGCGATCCGCGCTCGGTGCTGAATCGTCAGAAAAAAAAAAAATAGCTTCCACCACCCTGGACACGCTCTGACGCCTCACACCCTCTGGTCGCATTGGCCTCGTTTTGAGCATCCCAACTCGAACCCGGTGATCTTGTCTTCTTTTTCGCCGGCTCGCGAGCTCTCTAGGAGGCTAGCCTATCTCCTCGACAGGTCGCCCTTTGGTTTCCCGTTTTTGTAAGCTTCCTCCGTCATCCATCCCCGCACTTGCCGTCAATCTCCCAAACCTCGACTCCTGGACGATTCCTTGGCGGCCCAGGCGACGCCTGCTCCTTTTGAAACTCGTCCTCGTAAAAATCCACAATCATTTCTGCCCGGTCCTGCCGTCAACAATCAAGCTGACGCTCTGGTCTTTCGGCCTCTCCAGCGCGCCTTCATCAAACACCGCCGCAGATAGCTCTGCTCCGAATCTTAGCTCCGAACCCTGACAAACAGTCCCATTCAATCCGCGCCGAGCGATCCTTCACCCGGTCGCTCTTACCACCGACGCCGATCCTCCCAGCGAACCGCTCCAGAACGTCTTCGAGTCATCTTTGACAACGGAGACTTCACTGGCCCGCCGTTCTACCACCACAACTCGCCTTTTGGCCATACTCGATCAGCTTTATCGTCCTCCTTAACGCCCAGCTCCACGGCGACGAGCAACAGCAAACTTATCCTTCCGGCGTAGACGGGTGCCGCGACGGGCTTGTGTGGGAATCTAGGCGGAACCACAGACCGATTACGCAGCACGCCGTCCGACGCCGTCACCTTCCTCAAGGCGGCCCCTCCTCTGCACCATGGGCAACCAAAACTCCACAGAGGGCGGCCTGAAGCCGACCAGGTCGGGTGGCTCGGGGGTCTCCGACCGGGGGTCGGATGGCCTCCAGTCGTACCCGTCCTTCAGCAGGTCCGACACCAAGGACTCGAGCCGGTCCTTCAAATCCCTTCGATCCAAGATCCCGGGCGGTGGGAAGACGGACAGCCCGCGAAACTCGCAATTGATGTCTAATGGGGACGAGAAGTCCGAGATCGCATCGGTGAAATCAGGGAGAAGCGGCAGGTCCCGGACAAACAACCTCGACACATCACCTACGTCACCCTCCTCCATTGACACCTCGGGCATTCTATCGCCCATCGACGACACTCAGCCCCCGCCCTCGCCAATACAGTCGGCCTCTATGAAAGCTGGCAGGCATGACGTGAGCGCAGCGCAGGCATCTGGAGAGGTGGATCACGTCTCTGACCAACCACCGTCTGGCGGCGGCGATCCCGATATGCAATCGCAGCAGCCCGGACAGTCGATCCTGGTTCGACGAGATGCCCCGATGAACCCTGTCGCCAAGACGTCGACCGGGAACTCCGGGGAGAACGGTTCCGGAGTTGCGATGGGCGATATCAAAGACATCGACCTGGACGATTTCATCAAGCGCTTGTTGGACGCCGGGTATGCGGGCAAGGTGACCAAGAGTGTCTGCCTCAAGAACGCCGAGATCATGGCCATCTGCCACCGCGCTCGCGAGTGCTTCCTCTCCCAGCCCGCTCTGCTCGAGCTCGACGCCCCAGTCAAGATTGTGGGCGACGTGCACGGACAGTATACCGATCTCATCCGTATGTTTGAGATGTGCGGCTTCCCGCCCAGCGCCAACTTCCTATTCCTAGGCGACTACGTCGACCGTGGCAAGCAGTCCCTGGAGACTATCCTGCTGCTCATGTGCTACAAGCTCAAGTTCCCCGAGAACTTCTTCCTCTTGCGTGGCAACCACGAATGTGCCAACGTGACCAGGGTGTATGGGTTCTACGACGAGTGCAAGCGGAGGTGCAACGTTAAGATCTGGAAGACATTCATCGACACCTTCAACTGCCTCCCCGTAGCCTCTATCGTGGCTGGGAAGATCTTCTGCGTCCACGGCGGTCTCTCCCCCGCCCTGGACCACATGGACGATATTCGCAACATTGCTCGACCGACCGACGTGCCCGACTACGGTTTGCTCAATGACCTGCTTTGGTCCGACCCGGCAGACATGGAGCAGGACTGGGACTCGAACGAAAGAGGCGTGAGCTACTGCTTCGGCAAAAAGGTCATCACTGATTTCCTGGCCAAGCACGACTTTGATCTGGTGTGCCGCGCACACATGGTGGTCGAGGACGGCTATGAATTCTTTAGTGACAGGGTTCTTGTCACCGTTTTCAGTGCACCGAATGTAAGTCACTTGCTTCACCCCCCCCCCCTCCCGTGGCATGCCCGCGATGCTGACTATGTATTCAGTACTGCGGCGAGTTCGATAATTGGGGTGCCGTCATGTCCGTGTCGTCTGAGCTGCTCTGCAGCTTCGAGCTTCTCAAACCGCTCGACTCCAACGCGTTGAAGAGCCATATCAAGAAGCAGAAGCACAACAGAAAACACATGGTCAACAGTCCTGTAAGTTTTTGATCTTGATGAAACCCCCGGTCTGACCTGACGACTGACGGTATGGCAGCCTGCAAACTTCAACCCCCAGAGTGTATAGGGAGATTGGGGCGTGCGCAGAAAGTCACTGTGACATGCAGAGTGTTCGATGCTCCAGTAACAGGAGCTCGTAGCAGGGCGCCATCAGGTTGCCCCGAACAAAGTTGAAAAGACGGAACGATATCACCCGAGGCCAGTGGCAGGCACTCGAAGCGAACCACGAGCGACTTCGCGCACACACAGTCGTGTCGCGAGGCGCAATAGAAGAACCATGGCCCACAATCCGGCGGCCTCCCGCCCGTCTATATGAAGAAGAAGAAGCACACGCAGAGCCAGCCAGGCCTCGGACAGGCCGCCCGCGCCGGGAACGAGATTGGGGGGCGGCGGATGAGGATGTGATTATCCGGCACTCTTCCCCCCTCCAGGATCGGGTTTCCTCTGTCGAAACGGGGGCGGATATGCGCTGTTTCGTATGCGCGCCTTTTAAGCGTTGGACTCTGTCTCGCAGAGCCGTGAAAGGCTTTGATGGGCTTGGAGGGGATCAACAGCACACTTTCCTTGAAATAACGAACCATGCTTTGCGGCGGATGTGTATGATATTTGGGAGCGCAGGAACTCAGCTCGTCGGGAGAGGGCGGAAGACAGACTCAGTTGCCGGAGGGGACGAGGGAGAGAGCCACACGAAAGGGGAGAATATAGAGTCGTAGAGATGGATCGAAATGCTTCCTCTTGGAGCATTCATGAGCCAGGGCAGGAGGGGGAGAGCGAGAGCATGTACACACAAAACCACAAGTTTAAACTCATCTCGGGGGAGCACTTGTTTCTGTTGCGCCGTTGGCTTTTGTTGAAGGATCTCTCTCTCTCTCTCTCTCTCTCTCTCTTGCTCCTTTGTGGTCACGAAGGACCACTCCTCGAACGAAGGGGGAGAGACATCACGGGAAGGGGAGATGGGAATAGCATTGTTTATTTTATTTTTATTTTTTTTCCCTTTGCATTTCTTCGATGATAAATAATGATGATGATTTGAAAATTCGACGGGGAAGAAGAGCATGAGCATAGTGCTCGTATTGCAGAGAAGTGACCCATTGGGTAATTATGTGTGGTGACTTGGCATGTTAGGTAAGGTAGGTAGTTATATCAGCAAAGGGGGGGGGGGGGGGGGGGAGG